CCTTTTCTTTAGAAGACTTGTGGTGTAACTCAGACCATGTTGTTAAAGAGTCGCCTTGCTAAAGTTTTTTTTTTTTTTAAAAAGGGTAGGCAAAATAAGCATGAGCTTCAGCCTACACCTTTTCGATTAGCTTTATGATGCTTTTGAAACTTACTATGTATCTGTTGTGGGTGGATTTTAAATGCTAATCGAATAAAATAATTAATTGAATTGAATTGAAAGACAGGAGGTTGTACTTGGTGTACAGGTACATGGTCCTTCATCACTCAAGTAAAAATGGACTTTAATATTGGGGACATTGTCTTAATAGTTGACCCATCAGCTCCTCAAGGACTGGTAAAAATCAGAGGATGACTTTGGGCCTGCTGGGTGGCGTTCAGAAGTGACTTTGAAATCATGCAGATAACTCAGAAAGAGAGGCTTTGCACGACAAACTTTGCTCTAGAGTCACAAGGTATGCCACCATGAGCCACCCCAATCATTTTTGACACTATAGCGAGGCTTCCTTTTATTTAAAACATTTCAGAAAAAGCCGTACTCATACAACTTCAGTCGCCTTATGGATCATTGCAGCTAGGCCTACCAAAAAGTGGCAAAATCCACAGTCTCTCAGAATGGTGAACCTATTCCCATCTTTTTTCCCGAGACTTCATGGACTTAGCTTCTTTTCTTTTTAAATATAAAACACACCTTAATGTGAGATTGTCCTTTCTGTGATTATTATTTGGCAACTATTAAAATTCCCCCAAAACGCATTGCTTGTTAAAAGTGTATTTTTGTGACACTGTCAGCTGGTAAATACTGTGACCTTTGTGGGTCTAAAACCAGTTCTACCAATATCATCATCCAGCTGTGGGAATCGACAAAAAAAGGAATTATTTCACCTTCCATGAACCTTTGGCTCTCGTCTGACAGTACTTAGGACAGCCAGAGAACGGCATTATTCATCATGCATGTGACGTCCTCTGCTGGCAGCAGGTGGGAATGACAGCACATGCACTATGGGACTGTATGAAAAAGTGTGTTCAGCTAGGGCTTCACTAAAAGTACAATACTTGGCGGCCATATTGGATCGGCCGCTGTGGCGACCCCAAAGGTCAGCTGCTAGAGCACGCAGCATTGTCAGGTTCAGCTAGGGCTTCACTAAAAGTACAATACTTGAGGACAATTCCATTATTCTTTGTTTTAGTTGTTTGCTTGTTTGCTTTTTGGTCCCCAGATAAAATCCTTAAACCATCAAGAGTCCAACGTGAAACACAGACTCCATTATCTGATCACTACCATTGAAAGGCAATGTTTCACTAATTGGGAACATATTGGAATAATTTTCTCTCAAGATGTCACCTAAAGTCTGTGGCTTGAGACCAGCAGCAGTTAAAAATTAAAAAATCTAAATAAATGGTATTTTTCTAACTGGTGACCTTATCTGAACTCTCCTCTGTATTCTGGCCTGACCCAGAAGCCTGCATGGACTCATCAGACATTTGGCACCGTTCATCCACAAAGACCTCCCAAACCGGTCCTGAGATCATCAGGCCCCCTCATCCAGCATCCTGCCAGTATTGTTGAACTGCCCTGAACTTGATTGAAAATAATGATGGCCAGTAATGTTAAAGTAAACACAGAAGCATGGGCCAGTCCACCATAAATACAGTGAAAGTGCACAGCAGGATGAGCACATTTAATAATGTCAATAAACATTTTAATGGTGTAAAGAAAGCTAAGCCCTTTGTTTGTGATCTGTAAAGAAATATAACCCCTCAAAGTTAAAGTCACTGAACTTTGATCTTTACATAGTTCTCCATTTATTTTGTCAAACCGTGAATCAGGTGTTTTGATGGGTATAGTGACTTGTGTGACCATGCAAGGATCAAATTTCTCTTAAAACAGTTATATAGATGATTTCAGAGAGGTTTCAGGAGCTACCTGCCCCAACATTAATAGTTTCATCACATGTTGTGTGTCTTAAACAACAATCACGAATAAATGTTTGATTTACTGTAATGACTGGGATAGAAAACAGGTTTTTTTTCCATCTAAAAAAGTGGGATCATCTTATTTTAGCATTATAATGATTCAGCCCTCTACAGTCAAAAGTACAACTTAGTTAGGGGCTACATTACTTATTTCCACAAATAATTACCATGTGCTTTCACTTTTGTTATTTTAATTTGAATTTAATATACCAAAAATTATGTTAAAGTCCTTCATTAAAATTGAAAATTTAAGGTGGGACTTGGAAAATGTAGTTTTATGTATAGATTAATGTTCTTTACATGTTTTAATTAAATCAAATCAAGGGGGCAGAACCTTGCTTCAAGTCATTTATGCTATCTCCTTTTAAATTCCAAAATGGTTTTACTTTTGAAGAAATTTTAGGTTTTGAAGAAGTTTGAAGGTCTTTTCTAATGTTTATCAGTGTATGTTTTGTCTTTTAAAGTTATTCCACCAACTTTTGAACAATAATGTTTGGTTGGTTAATAAGTGGCACAAAATTAACTCAGATTGTGGCAGGACATAGTGATTTACAGGAAAATCCACTGGCTTCATGAGATTTATGGCAAAAAAAAATGTTTCTGTGACATCCAGGAGCTTTCTATCCCTTAGAGTGAATAAAAGACTTTCAAGATCCAGTTGCTCATAAACCAAAAGTAATCTGAAGTGTACCTTGCCCAGAGTCAACCCTGAAGATACCCACAAATCCTGCTTCATAGTATAGACCTCCAGTAAGCAAAGCTAGAGCTCCGGTCTCTTTCACGGGCATTATAACGTTTGGGTAGACAAATACAGTATGTAACCACTGTGTAGTCTACCATGCGTGTTGGTGAAGTCATGGCCCTGTAATCTGACACAGTGACCTTATAGACTTAAACGTGACCTGAGGGACTGAGATGTGATATCCCTGACAAGCTGAATGACTGGGCATCCCCTTTTTCACCTGGACATAACTTCAATGACCTAATGAATACATAACAACATTAATATGAGTGTCACCTTTGTAAATTGGGTAATGACTTAAACACAGTTGTGGATTTGGACATCACCTAGGTAGAGTTTTGATAACAGTATCCTCCCTTTTTGACCAGCGTTTCATTTTAATGTTATTTTCTTATAGAAAACCAGACTTAAGTTATTCATGTATCCCCAAAATGAGCTGTCTTTAACAGTAACTTCAATCTCAGTGACTTGGAAATTATCCCAAGGACTTGAACATGACCGGGCATGCACGTCTAACGCAAACAGGATTAGATTCAAAGACATGACAGGCTGCTGATTAATTAAAGACAGGTTAGTAATACACACTGTCATGATTTAAGTATTTAACTGGTTGTGGTAAAAAAAATTTCAGTGTAATCACAGTGTAAAAAGACTAAAACATAGTGTAATGTGTTAATCACCTGGTCACAGCCCTTACTGACTCAAACTCAGCCTTGTAGAAACAGGCAAGACCCCAGAGGCTTTTCTTCAAAAAACATACAGGAGGAATTTGAGGCTTAACATTACTTGCGTATGGTGTTGGTAGGTCCACAAGTAATCATGTTATACCTCTAGGATCCAAAGTAGGAAGAAACTTTTAAAAAAATGTTTAAAATCTTTTATTTGCTTTTATGTGGCCCTACTTCTCAAAGTGTTCAATGTTAAACTAATGAAGATAATATAAATTATTATAGAGCATACCATATTTTGACAAAATATCATTACTTAGATTCACAGTGTATTAAAACTTAATAAACCTAACCTAATCATATAAACTCACCTGACAACCAACAGCTAAGCTAGCACATTGTTGTAGCCTACAGTGTCTGCAAAATCCGCAGCAAAAGCTAATCTCATTCAACATACACATAGTTGACTCGCACTGGTGCTTATGTACCTGGAAACAAGGGGTAAAGCTCTTTCATCTAACACTCTAGAATCCTCATGCACTGTTGCAGTAAAGTTGTGTTTCCTGTTTTATAATGTAAAATTACTAAATACACGTCTTTTATACTGCCAAAAATGAGCAGGGAGGTTTGTAAAGGGACAAAACTTAGTCTCTGATGGTCTTGTTTGCTGTTGTGGGTCAAACATTGGTCATTTTACCCTGTTTAAGAACCAGCTAAAAAATCCTCACAGAAACTTTCAACAAGTTAGCCAACCAAATGAAAATGTTGTGATACTTTACAAATACTGTGAATATGAGTGGAAATTGAGCTTTTATGTTCACATGCTGTGTGTCTTAAACAACAATCAAGGATAAATGTTTGATTTACCTTAATGACTGGGGTATAAAACAGGGTTTTTTTTTCCCCATCTAAAAAAGTGGGATCATCTTATCTCTGGATTATAATGATTCAGCCCTCTACAGTCAAAAGTAAATCTTAGTCAGGGGCTAAATTACTCATTTCCACAAATAATTACTATGTGCTCTTACTTTTATTTTCAATTGAATTTAATGTACCAAAAATTATGTTAAATTCCTTCATTAAAATTAAAAAATTTAGGTATGGATTAATGTACTTTACATCGTTTAAATGTACTCCCCTTATTTATTTATTTTGAAAAATCAAATCATGTGGGAGGCATAACCTTGCTTGAAGTCATTTATGTTATCACCTTTTAAATTCTAAAATGTTTTACTTTTGACGAAATTTTAAGTGGAATATAAAATGGAAATTGAGCTTTTATAGCCATTTAAAGACTCACCTCATAACTTAGTTTAGCTACCACGGAACTGTAATCCTTTAGTGTGCCACTAATTAAAGTCAACATGTTGCATAATAAAAAGTTATTTTTACGTTGAAATAAGCCTGCTAAGTTTTTTTTTGTACCTTGAGTGCATTACTGATTTTATCTTCGGGAATCCAGAAGCAGAAACTCTGTAATTGGACCGTCAGTATTATAAGTCACTGCTCGTATTTCCTCAGCCCAGGTGACTGTGCTGCAGGTCCTGGCTGTCCTCATGTGACCCTAAAACCCACATTCAGTGTCGGAGCAGCCATAACACCCCGTTTTCCTGCAGTGACGTCAAATAGCACTCCCACATACGCCCCAACAACATAAACTCCGATTTACTCAGTACTTTAGCCTCCATCTTTCATTTTAAATTACACCTGTGATCATCGCACCTGGGAGGCTTTGGCAGCCCATTCAGCGGCTATTTACGTCCTTAAAATCTTATTAAAGGACTAGACTGGCTGCAGCAGCGTGTGTTTGTGTGTTATCGCGTGTCGATAAGGTGGAGGTACTGTTTTAACCGGGAGAGTCGAACTGCAGCGCGGACTGAAGTCGCCCCCGGTGCCGCGGTGGTTCCTGTCTTTCTCTCAGTGTGTGGGGGTGTCTACCTCTCTCCCGCCTCTTTCCACCTGTCTCCCTCTCGGTACCGTTTCGGGTCCAGTCGCCATCTCTGCTTTCGAGGACGACAGTTGTCAGGAAACGACTACGAAACCCCGGCGGGACCATGTTGACTCTACTGACGACCATGTACCTGGTGGTGCGAGCGGTTTCCTCACGGGTGAGTGAACGCAGCACAGCCGTATACACTGGCGTCGCGGGGACGCTGCTGACCGTGCGTCCTTGAACGCAGCATAACCGTGACATTCTTGGTTTGAAGTTGACCGGCAGAAACCGACCGGGCTCGTTTCTCCTCCAGAATCTTTTAGGTTGAGAAATGTCTGCGCTAGTTTTGTGTGTGTCATTTTGTTGATTGACACTGCGGTGAAAAGAAAGCATCCCCTGTGCTTTCTTTCTTTTCTTTTTTTAACCCGGGCCTGTCACCGTTTGACTGAAGGTGAGAAAATGGCCGCCACAAACTTTTCATCACCTTCGAGTAGGTGAGGCATCGGCATGTTGCGGCCTTTTCTGACCCCCGTCATCATTAATTCAGGAAGAGTCGTTCCCACTTGGCAAAGTATTTAGTGCCACAGTAAAGTCCAGTAGGGTTAACAATTCAATATCCGGTCAGAGCTTTCAAAATAAAGGAACAATACTAAAGGACACAAAAAGTCTAGTAAAACAGACTCATGTACTTCTAACTGTTAAACGACTGAGACACTGGAGAAGGAGAAGTATTAAATGTTAACAAACGTGTAACACGGCTTAATTACTCATAATAATGGGATAATTTTCTAATGATCTGCTGCCAGTCATGTTGAGTATGTATGATGTAAAGTTGAGATCTTGTGAAAGCAGTCTAAAGTAGCTCATTATCATGTAAAAATTGAGAAAATTTGATGTATTGTTGCATGTACCACTTAGGATCTCCTTACAATAAAACATCTTTATTTATTTGACTAACTTATTATGTTCACCCTTGTGAAATGTCCATCTGCCTATCTTCCCTTTTTCCAGTTAAATTAGTCATTCATTCAATAGACATAAAAGTCTTAGTGTGAACATGACAACAGGTCTGGTTCTCTATAAAAGGCTTAATAAGTGCAGCTGGTCTTTTACATTGAAGACTGAATTAGGGAGGCTTCTGGCTCTGTTTCCTGTTTTGTCGCTGCCTTTCTGCACCTGTCCTGGGTGCAGATTATCAGCACCATGGTCAGCTCCTGCCAGCAGCACAGAACTGAAGCCTATATATTAGCCTTACAGAATCTGAACCCAGTGAAAAGAACCAACATGGCTGCCACTGTCCTTGATAGGCTGAGGGGATGAATGAAGGTCTCGCCTCCCTGACACTGATACTTTCCCTGTGAAAGAGCATCCAGCTCATTCAGCTGCAGCACTTTCTTTGAGGGTTTTTTCTCCGAGGAGGCAGTTGGTTGACTCTATTACTTTTAGCTAAAATTGATAGCTCAGCATGGATTAGGCTGAGGTCAGGGAACTTAACAAGGTAAACAAACACTTCATCTCCGAACGAATAAAACTATTCCTAAATGGGTTTAACTTTTTGTGAAGCAGGGGTAGGACAATAGCGCAAAAGAGTTGTTTTTTTTTTCCTACAATAACGTGTTTATCACAGTAAATCACATAATAATGCCAGTCGATTGGGGGGTGGGGGTTACCCCCATAATGGCGGAGACCCGAAAAGACCAAAGAGTTCATAAGTAAAGCATTAAAACGGTTGACTGAAATCCAATTAACCTTCCAGCCCTCTATATTACAAGTGACAGGACTTACTTTAACCCTGAAGTGAGCAAAGTAAAGCAAAGACAGACCCTAAATCGCATGGCCTACCACACATCAATTATTGGCCACCACAACCTATAGGGCACAGCCATCCTCAACAGACCCAGGCTATGTTTAGATTAGCTCCAGGTATGAACAACGCTGATACTACCTACACTACCACATGACCCCCCCATGTCCACCACTACTCCGACATGGCGATAGACAGGGACAAATGGGCAGTAAGAATAAGGCTGTACGCTTCACCTCCCCCTACTCTCCAATTCTCTGAAGGAAAAGAGGAGAGAGATAAAGAAAGACAAAACAGTCCAGAGACTAAAGGAAGGATGACAGAGTCAGGGTGGGGAGCCCATTGGTTCTAGCTCCCACCTTGCCCATGCAAATTTCCCTGCCGTGGGATGAATAAAGGTTTATCTTATCTTATCTTGTCTTATCTGATCCTCAGCAGATTAGGTGGCACGTTTTACCTCCTCCCATTCCCACATAGAACTTTTTTGTTGAAGCAAGCAAAAAAAGTTTTTGGCAAGCTCTGGCTATAGCACAGTTGACAAAATACTTCTACAACTCAAAGTTAAAATCTTCACTAGGATGCCAGTGTTGACCTGTAAAAACAGCCTTCGAACCGAATATGGAAGTCAAAGAAACTAATAGCAGATTCTTGGCTGGATATTTAATTACAACTGAACGCTTAGCAAGACTTTTCAATTAGTCAATCATAAGGGAGTAAATTCCATAAATCCTCCTCTGCTTTACGGTCTGTTTGATTCTATCTAAGTTCATAATTTACGAACTGTACATCATCCTGCATTTAAAAAAGGCAGACAGCTCCCACTGAAATCATAATCCCGTTTTGGCAACATGTACTGCTGTAATAAATCATCTGATAGCAGACTTCAGTGAAATCAAACCACTTAAGGAAAAAACCAGGATTTGGTTCTTGCTGGCCTTCAGAGAGACAAGAGATTTGCTTATTTTCTGACCTTGCCACATCCTTGTCTTAGTTCAGTCTATGCTCTCATCTCCTGGTTGGAATTCTTCTCTCTAATTGTCAGTAGATCAGACAGATGGAGTCCAATCAGATTCACCCCCAGAGAGGCTGCAGATAGCAGGCTGAACAACAACTTATGAAGCTGGTCACTGATCTCAGTGACCTCCTGCAGTCTGGGGATTGAACTTGATCCCAAGTGTACTCTCACCTTCAACTCAAAAACAGTGTGGATGAATCACTAAAGGTGTCCCAAGAGTTCCCCAGTGGTCTTGATGTGGTTCTCAGGTCTGTTGCACCATTATTCACCACAAAAGGGCCTGATAACTTCTTGAAATAGATTTTGAGACATAATGATACTCTTCAGGGTTTACAGTAGCTCTTGATTGGATTCTTGTGATCCAATAAGCATCCTTATTGGATCATTACATTAGTGGGTTTTTAGGTGGATCCAGGGATGACTTAGGTACTGTAGTGTTTGCAGTGGTTGAAAGCATCTCTGGTTCGTGTTACTTGTTCCTTGGCCTGTTCTAGTGGTTGTGTTTCAGGCTCCTTTGTTTCTTGGTGGGTTTTTTGATGACTTTGAAGATTTTCATGATAATATTTTAAGACAATATGTGGTTCTGAAGTATACAGGCTCTTCAGTTTGTCATGTGAACAATTTCAGTGCGACTGAAGAGGTTATTTCGTGCTGAGTTTGTAAGTTCTTGATGGTGTTTTAGGGGTCCTTATTAGACAACAAATAATTCTGAAAGGGTATCCAGTGTTCTGAGGACTGTGAAATTTTGTTCTCAGGGTAGTTTTGGTGCTCCCTATGTGTTGAAAATGAGTTTCAAGGGAGCGTCCAACTGGAGGTCCAAAAAGTATCCCCTGAGGACCTAGGGGTTTAGGTGTTGCTTAGAATTGCTCCATGCATCCAGAGTTAGAAATAAGAAAGTTCTTGAGAGTTTTGTACTTGATTGAGTGGGTCTTTGTGTATGCCAGTTGTTCTTGATTGATTTTCAAAGGCTTCTCGTTGGGTTATTAGTGGTTCTTGTGCAGGATCAACGAGAACAAGTCCAGTGTTCTCAGACTCAAGGTTATCAAATTGCCTTGGTGTTTGGCATGTTCCTCAGCTTTGTGGTATAGTTGGTTTTCATGGATGTCTTGAGGCCCTTTTGAGAGATTTGAGGGTAAATTCTGGTGGATGTGTGCTTGGATACTTAAAGACAATTTTTGGTTGTGGTAAGGGTTTTAGCATGTTCCTTGTATGTTTTGAGACATTGCAGGTATCTTTTATTAGATGTTGGAGAGGTTCTAACGAGGTCTTTGGGAGTTTATTGAGTTCTAGTTTGGAGGAGATTGTGAATAACTGCAAGGGTTTCCAGGGGGGCCTAAGTGGAGGTTCCTAGGGTCTTAAGGGTTCGAGAGTACCTCATAAAGTGATTTCAGGGGGTTTGAAGTAGTAAATGAAGGTACAGTTTAAAAATGTTAAAAATGTGCTCAAGTAATCAGAGACCACGGGCTCATTCAAAAAGCCACACCTCAACAACTTCAGAATTCTTATTTGAAATGAAGCTCTGAAAACATTGAATTGAGGTTTTGAAAGATGCCAGATTCTGATTTTTTTTAGCATAGCTACCAAGCTTTGAGGGGGACAGTATAAAGCCCAAAAAGGAGCATAATAACCAGTCTAAAGTGCTAAAAGTGCATTAGTCTCTATTTAACTGTTATTTTCTACAAGATAATGCATGTAGTTTTGCTACTAGCCACGAGATGCCGCCAAAGAGCCACTGCCTGAATCGCATGCAAAAACGACCTATTTCAGAAACTCCTCGGCCGTATATAGCAAGGGTGGGCGCGGTGTCCTCAGTGCGGTGCATCTCGGGAGATTGTGTTCCTTTTATGAACTTAGCTGGGTAAAGAAGCCCGTATGAGCTTGGTGAAAAGACTACAAGTCCCGCACATTGCAGGACGAGACGTTTCACCGCCTGACTTTACAATACAAGCACAGAGGTGACCCTTCCATCTAGTCCGTCTCTGAGCCGGGAGAACAGGCACCCCAGACCCAAAGCATCTCCATCCGTGAGCAAAAATGGTAAGCCGAGTCAACTGACAGATTATTGAGGTGGTAAACGACAATAGCCGAGCAATACCTATGTGCAACTATTAATAGTTAAGATAGGCGTGAAACAATGCATAAGTAGTTGACATTGAAAAGAGGGCGGAAGAGTTATACTTAAAATTTCACTTTATGTAATGTTGTTTTGTGTGCTTTAATTCAGGCTTTTCTTCACGCCGAATCCCCGATTACAGTGAAACACTGTTAGCAGAGCTGTGTCACGCACTCTGTTGCGCAGCTATAAACCGCAGTTTGAAGATGAAGGTTGAATGAAAATCCGCCAATGGAGCTTTTTGCATCCGCAGCAGAGAGTACATTTGTTTCTGCACTTTCTTTACACTTCATGAGATCCGCGCCTCCATCTTAATCCGTGGCATGGCGTCGGCGTCGGGTTACATGATCGGACCATTCTTTTATTCAATAGAGGAGACCAATCATGAGGCGAGACAATCCAAATTGACACCCGCTCCAATTTAACAAACCAGAGCGTGTCAGAAAAGTTGGGATAATTTTAAAACATTTTATAGGGCGTTTTCTAAATGTACCAAAAAACTAGCTTGAATTCGGCTTGTATGATGATCTATTTGAACCGGTAACAGAGCTTGAACCACTGTCTTTTCAGCTGCACCTTTAGCTGTTCATTTTCTCATAGTTCTGCGAACCGAATTAAAAGCTAATTTTTATTACGCTGAATCGCCCGCCTGGTTGTTTTTGTGCATGCCGAATTAAAGAATGGGATCAACTTTATCAGTTATACTATAAAGTTCGACTGAATAGGGTAGCTACCCTTGTCAGTGTGCAAGGTCATGGTTCATTGAGCGTTTTTCTGAACGGGGTTTGGTGGTGACTTTCTTCGTACAAAGGGTCCACGGTGGGGGGGAGTAAAGGCCCGTGAGCCCACTTATCTTGGGTTATGTTAAAGGTATGTGCTAAAAATGAAAATGTTGATCTAAAAAGAGTTGTATTATTTTAAGCATTATGTTAAAGTAGTCAAGTAAATTCCTTTGTAATTTTTTAAAGTACTTTGAAATTAAAAAAATTACCGAATGTTTTAAATAGACCTGTGATACATCACCGAAACAAATGGTGTTTTAATTTAGTACTAAAACATCAAAAAATTGGTGACATATGAAAGTTATTTACAATATTTAAAATATTTGAGATCACTGTAATACGCCAAAAAATGCTTCTATATTTAAATATTTTAATTAATTCTGAAAACAAAAGTTGTGTAAAATATTTCAAATATTTAAAAAAGTCCAATTCGTCTAAAAATGTAAAAATATTACAAACGAAAGTTCTTATTTGGAAAATATTTCAGATTTTATAAACAAAAAGTTAATATTTGTTAAATTTTTACAACTTGGTTAAAAAAAAGGCAGAGTTCACCATATTTAAAAAATATATTCATCTGAAATATCTTAGATTAATTTATTTGAACAATAGTTTCCCCCTAAATGAATTTATTTTATGAAATTATGTCTTCACATAAGTAACACCCTAGCAAGTAATTAAATACTGGTTTTGTAACATGAAAACAAACAACAGTTAGTGACCTAGCCAGTTTTAGTTAATGCCTGTTGCTTCTGCTACATTTCCTCCCTCTTGTGTGTACTTTCCCCATCTGTAAATGCAATTTCGTTGTGCACAGTTGCAATGACAATAAAAGACCATACCATACCATGACATACATGAAACAAACACATTTTTATCTCCTCAGGCTGAACCAATCCGTGTAGTGGTGACCGGCGCTGCGGGCCAGATTGCCTATTCCCTGCTGTATAGCATTGCTAAGGGAGATGTCTTTGGGAAGGACCAGGTAAGAATGAGCCTCCTCTCTCTATGGTTACATAACCTGCAGAGCCCCCACCCCCCTGGAGCTTGCAGCACAGACAGCTGGGCGATGCTGTGTGTGTTGTTACATAATGTACCCCATCATGAATTATACATGGTTTACATGGGGATGGCTTCAGTTAGATTTGGGTCCTCATCAGAGTCAGATCAAGGAAATCTTGTAAAGGAGATGAGCTCAAACAGAAAGAAGAATAGCATCTTATTCCAGGATTGTTTTGTTTAAGGTCAGCTTAACTATAACCCATCATGAGGCACGATGATAAGAACCAGCAAGTGATTTTGACTATCATACCAGTGTTTCTGTGCAACAGTAGAGCCTCTCTTGGGGATCAGAGGTTCTGCAGCTTTATGAATGAACCATCTAACAATTGAAGGAGCACTGTAATTTTTTTTTCAGAAAACCTTTAAATCAATCAAAATAGTTCATTAATTTTTTTGTACTCTGAATAAAAGTCTGAAAATATTTTGAGGGCCACTGAACTGACGGTGTGCTCAAATGAAAATGAAATGGAAGTAATCAAAACACTTTATAATTTCTGTTAGTTTTACTTTCTACTTTGATGTTCTGTCAATTTCAACAGTTTAATGATTTTAAAATACTTTTTATGTCTTTTTGATTTTAAGAGACTATATGTCTCTTTGAATTGCCTTGTGTATGTATGGTGCTATACAAATAAACTTGCCTTGCCATAGTTATAATCAATTTTAGAGATATTCAGAGCAATTCTTCCCCAGAATGGTGGCTGTAAAGATATAATGCACAACATTCACTCTTTTTAGGCCTCAAAGATGTTACTGTAGAGGTGGGAAAACTTGTATCCGTGTTATTTGTCTAAACCTGACCTCTCTGCTTCCTCGACTGTGTCCCTTGAGACCTTGAAAGTCATCTACAGACTTTGATGTGTGCCCTGACCTCGTGCACTTTACCTCTGTTTATTAAAAACACCACCTGCAGGGGAATCTCACCTGTATGTATGTTCCCCTTCCTTTTCAGCCAATCATCTTGATCCTTCTGGACATCCCTCCCATGCTGCCTGTGCTGGAAGGAGTGGTCATGGAGCTGCAGGACTGCGCCCTCCCCCTGCTGAAGGGTGAGTCAGCAGTGTGTGTTTGAGCTTAAACACGGACCTGATCTTTTGTTAAACAAAATGCATCAAGCTTTAAATGTTGTTAAAGGGATATTCCAGCATAAATTTAAGTTATGGTCAAACACACCGTAACCGAGTTAGACAATGAAGTTGGTATAACTGGTGCAAAGAATTTCAGAAGCGCTCTTTTAGACTTCTTATGCCTGCAGCAATGAACAGGCTGTAGCAGGTTCAACAGAAAAAAATGTACATGTCCAAACTACTTCCACAAACCGTTCAGTCAGGATGTTCCAGGATGTGCAGTGTCACCACTGTCACCACTGTCACCCCTTTCTCGCTTTTCTACACCATTTTTGCAGTAACATTTGTGTCTTATGTCCTTTTAACTCTCCCTCAGTGTTTATCTGCAACCCTTTCACATTTAAGACAAAGGCATTGATCTAGATACTTTAAAAAATGTGTGGACTTAGTGAAACTTGTTGTTTTGCACTGTTATAGGCCTGCAGAACCAATGAAGCTGCAGCATTATAGGGGTACAAAGTTAAGACTGAACGTCATGGGGGGCAAAATTTCATATCTTGAGATTCATGCCTGATATCTCAATATCAATACGATACAATATAACTATGGGTTCAGTGAAAATTACGATTTTCTTAGGAAAATAAAAATGTAATATAAAAGGATGTGGAAAGTGCAGTTTTAGTGATTACACCTTGTGGAAAATATATATCATTGATATTCTTGATATTGCAATATTAATATCTTGAATGTTCGTATATCTTTCAGTCTCAGTACAGAGGGAGTGCAGACTTCAGTGGTCATAGATGGCAAATAGAGGAAAATGTGGAAATAGTTGGCAGGTCTACTTGGGTGGCCTGCCAAAGTATCTGACCATTTCTGATGGAACAAAATGTTGTTTAGTGGGAGTAATGGGTTGATTCTAGTACTGGAGCAACTCTGAAATACAAGTTTGCATATATCTGTGTCAGTATTGGTGGAATGAGTCTGAAAACATTGCCGCATCAGATATCTGCAAGAATGGTATCCCTGATTATTTTGCATATAAGAGCAAGGCTTAAGTTATATAATAACAGACTTTTTTAAAAGGACTCAATGAAACAAGTGATTAAACTGATTTTGTGCATGCATGTGGAGGGAAAATTTGACCACCTAGTTATACATCAATTAACCAAATTCTGAGCAAAAACAAAGAAGGTGTGTGATTCAGTGTTGTTTCTCTGCAGTGGAGCCTGGGGTTGTTGTAGCTGTAGCCATAACAGTCATGTGTTAACCTTCAGATAAGAACAGAGTATCGCAGTCAGGTTATAAATAAAGAAAGCTACATCAGTCTGCAGCCGCTAACACTGTCAATCACACTTCTCACCTGCTGCACGCTTTAAACAACGAGGCAAGGCATCTTTATTTACATAGCGCATTTCACCATGTCTGCTTGTGGTTGTGTTTTTGTCCTCCATAACCTCTGCTGCTGCTGCTGCTGCTGCTGTGTGGCGGAAGGAAGGAGTGTCTATAACAAGGCCTCTGATTGGCTGAGAGCTCGGGCTTCACAGCAGCCAATCAGAGGGGTGGTGGGACAACAATGAACAGAGGGGAAGTGAACTCTGAGTGAAGTCCGAGCTGATAACAACGGCTTACTCCTAATAATCAAATGTGTGTTATCGTTGGGATCAGCCGAGGTTGCAGGGATCTCTAAGAGAGGCTGAGTTTCAAAATGTAAACAAGAAGAGGATGTTTGAATTTAATAAAGCTTCAATGATTAAAAACATGATTTCTAATTTGACTGTGTTGAAAAAATACAGATGTTTTCAATGTTTCTGGAAAAATAGTACACCAGTAAATCAGTACACCAGTACGTCATCTCAGCCTTATCAATACGTTGGTAAAGCAGTGCAGCGTCTGCCTGGACTGATAAGACACCTCCCTGTTCAAAGGGCTGATAAGGACAGTCAATCAAAACCACTCTGAGGGAAATCATTTTGGTGTCAAAGAGATATTCTTTCACAATAAGATTATTGGTTCAGTTTTTTAATAGCCAGCACTCTGTAAGATCTACACATAAACATACTAAGAACAACAACAACAACAAAAACAAAGTACAAAGACGTGATGAGAAAAAAGTCCAAAATAGTATAACAAAGATTAAAGATAATCTTAAATTAAAACTTAAAATCTTTAAGCCACAAATACTCTGTCTCCTTTCTCCACAGATGTGATCCCCACTGACAAGGTGGAGGTGGCTTTTAAGAATGTGGACGCTGCCATCTTGGTGGGCTCCATGCCCAGGAAGGAGGGGATGGAGAGGAAGGACCTGCTGAAAGCCAATGTGGCGATCTTCAAGACTCAGGGTGCCGCGCTGGAGCAGCACGCCAAGAAGACCGTCAAGGTGACCTCTCTCTCTGCAAACTTACAACTGGCACTGTTATTTTGGTTATTTGTGTATGGATGCAGGAATGTCTTGCTTGAAAGGTCGTTTCACTCAATCTCAAGTGTTTCAAAGAAGACCGCAGCTGACAAACAGACTCACCTTTCTGCAGAGCTCTAATCTGCTGAAATAACAGCGTTTCTCTGAGTGTTTGTCATTTTTAGCTCACACTGTAATGCTCACCAATCCCCTCATGACCCAAAGTCCTCCATGAGGCCACAGAAGTCAAAGGTTAAAAAGTCACATGACTGGAATCTGTGGAGAAGAGAAAACAGGCTGATGTTAAATCCTGTGAAGCTTTCTTTACTTTCTCTGCAGCAGAAACTCTCCGATAAACAATATCTGGACCTTACAGGGGAGAACAAGTCCAGGCTTCATTATGGAGAAAAAAACCTGTAAAGATTTAACAATGATATTTAATCTGTCCTCTACAGATGGCTTATGCTGAGCTTCAACCAAATGATGTTCACAGCCCCAGACTAAAAATAGTCTTGAGTAAATCTTGGAGTTTTACTGGAGTTTAAGTTTAAGGTGGTAATCTGCGCTGTTTCATAAAAGTCTTTTCCTAGTCTTTGATATTATAGCAAGTCGCAGTGACGTAACACAACCAGCAACCAATAGAGGAGCTCTAACAAAAGCGGAAAAGGAAACCTGACAGTCAAAACAAGAATGTATGAAGACTAACTGGCAATAATAAATAAAGAGCGGATAGTGGAGCTGTGGACAGATCAGCCTTGCCTATTCAACGTCATCTGCTGGGTTTTCCCCTACACAGCTGAATAAAAGCCGCCACACCTCAACAATAAAGTTTTTTTACGCGCTGCCTTGGGACTCAGTATGTATCAGTACATAGGGCGCACACGGGCTACACCGCGGGACACGCGTGCCGAGTATTAGCATTAGCGAGTTCCGAGTTGTCATATGCGAACACGCAGCTGATTAATGAGCCCCCCCTTCAAATTACACACCACCACAGATAGATTCCCCACCAGTGGGAAACACTGAACTATCAAAAAATGCTAAAAGAACCTAGTTATAGTCTTGTAAATAGTGACCCAACAAGATTCACAGTCTTTGTAGAATCTCTGTCTGAGATTAAAACCTCTAAACACTTGTCTTTAGATGTGAGCAGGTGTGAGCTGATGGTTTTCCAGGAGTCTTTTCTGAATCTTCTAGAAGTCTTCTGGTGGAAAGCTGGCCTTACGTTTCACAGTAAAATTGTTAGTTTAAGGCTTTTTTATGCTCGCCATAAATATGAAAATGTAAGTGTCCATTTCAAACAATGGTTCTGTCACTGCCCACATACCTCCATGTGTCCTTTATGTTGGCATGAATGTTAACCATTACATCCACCAGGGGGCAGGCTGGGGTCATAAGTTTCTGACGACAACAAACAAAAAGAAACATTGCGACTGTGTAGGAGTTAGTGATAATGTATATTTTGCATAGGAGACAGAAATGGAGTCGGTGTTGGAGCAGGCGGTGGTCAGTCAGGCCACTAAATGCCTGGCGGTTGAAGACGGAGAATTCCTTCCTCTAGTTGTACCGATGAGAGAAATTGACGATGATCCTCAAAAAACCTCGCCATTTTCTTCTTCGTTTCTCTCTTGAGGTGCGTATCGGGTAGTGACAGCAGCAACTCTGCCCCCACGGTTTCTGGTGGTACTGCTCCGTCTGGCCCATATCCGTAAACTTTAAGGATTCGTGCAGAAATACGGACGAAAAGAACGCGAAGCACGGACAGAGAGCTCTGTCCGTATCCGGGTCCGTATGTAACGTTGAGCAAAATGAGCCTTTACAACTAACTCGTAGCCAGCCCTCTTACCGCCAGAGAAATACTGAGCAACATTCACTCGGTGTAAGAAGGTTTGTGTTTTTGGGGCCCCTGTTTTTTTTTTTTTTTACAGTGACCTAAAACTCTGTTAACATGTTTCCAAAAGTATCTGCACATGTGTAGACGGTGCCACAGCGTTAACTATCAGATCAGGCTGAGATTTAAAAACCCATCAGGTTGTTACTTAATCTGGACTTCTTAAACAGCTGCAGGGTCCTCTGTCTCGAGAAACTGTTTCAGATGTCTCTGAGGTTTTTTTTTTTTTCTGTGGTAAATCAGATACGTGGTCAGTCTGATTGAGTGATTTTGTTTTTTCAGGTTCTGGTTGTTGGAAACCCGGCAAACACCAACTGTCTGATTGCCTCCAAGTCTGCTCCATCCATCCCCAAAGAGAACTTCTCCTGCCTGACCCGCCTGGACCACAACAGAGCCTGCTCCCAGGTACACACTCTTAAACAGCCACAGGTCTGGCCTCAGCAGTAAGTTGTACTTGTTTGTGACTCTGCTGCTGTTTGTGTGTCCCTCCTTCAGGTGGCGATGCGTTGTGGCGTCTCCTCTGACCACGTGAAGAATGTCATCATCTGGGGAAACCACTCCTCCACCCAGTACCCCGATGTGCATCACGCCAAGGTCAACGTCAGCGGCTCTGAGATGGCTGCCTACGACGCCGTGAAAGACGAGGCCTGGCTCAGAGGAGACTTCATCTCTGTGAGTCTCAGGGTTATTTCAGGGTCATTTCCTGTTTTCTTGTGGTGTTCAGATCCCACAGACTGTCTTCCTCCAGGTTTCACTCCCTGTTCTCTTTTCAAACCTCCTCTTCTTCACCTTCCTCTTTCAGACGGTGCAGCTGCGTGGTGCGGCCGTCATCAAGGCCAGGAAGCTGTCCAGCGCCATGTCTGCCGCCAAGGCCATCTGTGACCACATGAGGGACATCTGGTTCGGCACCAAGGAGGTCAGTGAGGCCGGGCATATATGATGATATGATTTCACTGAACATAAAAAATATTTCATGTATCAAACATTTTACAAAACACTAAAATATTTTGCATGAATACAAAATATATTTTGGAAATATGGATAAATGTGAAAACAAACTTTGTGAATAATCAGAACAGTTATTTCTGTATTTTGCAGTCTTTCTCATTTTTTGACCCTGTTGGAAATTTTCGTTTTGTTGTTTTTATTTCACACTGACTGAATCTGTTGCTATTTTCCACCTCAGGGTGAATTCATCTCCATGGGAGTTTACGCCAAAGGAAACCCCTATGGCATCCCAGAGGACCTCATCTACTCCTTCCCCGTTCAAATCAAGGTGAGTCTGCCCATTCACAAACCAGGGCACAGAAATGACTGATGATGTGACAGTGGATCCAGAACTTCACTTAAAGTCACATTTTAACACATTTAAGTATTTTCTACTGCTAAGTATAGACCCTTTTGGGGTGGAGGTCATGACAACATCAGTGTTAGCTGCAGGCAAAGAGATAAAACTGGGGCCACTTCCATATGTGGTCCTGAATCAGATACAGATCTTTTTTTTTTATTTTTTATTTTTTATGCAACCTGAGTGTGAGCAGCCAAGGCGGATTTTATACGTTCACATCACTATTTAGAGCGACATAAGTTACAGTTCTGTGTGGCGGCAGCCCTGCAAAAATAGAGGCTAGCAAGGGTGGAGCAAGTCAGTGTAGGGACAGAGAGAAGGCATATCAAAAGAACTTGCTAATAAGGACACAGAAGAATGTGGCTGCAGTATCAGCAAAAAGTAACCACGGTAAAGTTAGTTTTAGGTTGGATATTCGAGTGATATTTGATGGTGAATGTCCATTGAATATCTAACCTAAAACCTAACTTCACCATGGTCAAAAAGTAAAGAGCCTTAAAGCTAAGTTTAAAGAAGCTAAAGATTCACAACAACCGGAGTGACCATGTTTTGGGTGATAAACTCAGCTGTCAGCTGTTGGAGCTGCTGGATAGCTATCAGGAAGCAGGCGAAGAGGAGCCTGAATCTCCGAGGAGCAGATCAAGTTCAGCGAACAACCTAGATATAATACTGCCTTCTTCCATGTTTACAACTGTGCAACAGTGTGTTGCATCTGAATTTGTTATTCTTTTGCGCATGCAGGCAGTTAAGAGTCCCAAACAGTTCACATTGGAATCTGATACAGGTCACATTATAAATGGTAGTGTGAACAGCCAAACAAAAAATTGGATCCAAGCAAAGAAAATCAGAATTGAGCTTTAAGTCCTACAGTCTGAATGTAGCCTTAGAGTCCTGCTGGAGCTATAGGGCCTCAGCAGGTCTCTGATATAAGCTGGAGCCTGTCCATGCCAAGCTCTGAACACAATAACAAGTAACTGAAATTGGATTCTGAATTGAATTATTATAATTATAATCCTGATTTAATGTTTTTCTTGCCACCTTAATCTCATACAACTCACTTGTTGTATTTCTGATTTTTTTCTGTCGACTTTAATCTGTTAGTCTGATGACGTCATCCTCCCATGACTCATCTTTTTTAATTTAATTAATAAATGACCTCTAAATTTCTCCTCTGTAACCCTGTCACAGAACAAGACCTGGAAAATGGTTGATGGACTCCCCATCAATGACTTCTCCCGCGCCAAGATGGACGCCACAGCAGCTGAGCTAGTGGAGGAGAGAGACACCGCCCTGGACTTCCTGTCCCAGTGACTGTCACCCCCCGGTGACCAACAACAGCAACAGCACTTAGACGCCGCGACGACTCCCTGCTCGCGGCTCTGATGAAGAAGAAACCTTTCATTCTTATAAACCGTCCCAGCTGCCGACTGTGTGTCACCTTTGTGTGTGTGTGTCGATGTGTGTGAGTGTGTCATCAAGGCCACTTCTTCAGGTTCTCAGATTAAACCTGTTTAATGACCACATCCTGACCTCCTCTTCCTCAGTCTGAGAGGCGCTGAGTTGAATGTCTGTTGGTAGACGACAACGCACACTAGCTGTTCAGAAACTGTAACGGAACAAGTTATCACCAATAAAACAACCAGGAAACTTAAACGACAAAACTCTGACTCGTTAATGCTTCTGTAATTCTCACTTTTACTGCTATGAAAGTCAGACATGCAGCTGATCTGAACTTGAATACATACGTCCCTACCTTCCAAACCACCAGACCAAGTTGTTGGTCCACAGCTGCCTCTAATGGTCCCATATGTTTCTGCTTTTGTGATGTTCTGGATCCAAGATAACATTTAACATAAAAAAAGTCAATGTCATGGTGCAAGAGAAAAACCAGCAGGTCCCCCAATATTACATGTCTGCAGAGTCTGAGAGCCCAGTAGATCCACGGCTGTGACAGATCCACAACCCTCTTGGTGCCCCTGCTGGGCTAAAACATACCATAATCATTTCACAAACATAGGACACATCTTCTTGTGAACATGTTTTTTTAATTGAAACTACAGATAGTAATAGTAGTGCAGGCTCTGATGAGCCCTCTAATTTCAACCCGAGAAAATATTTGCAAACTTAACCTTCGTGGTTGACAGCTCGGCTGAAATGGTTTCGTAGGTGAATTTGTACAGCGCTTAACTTTGTTGGCTTAAAAGAAATGCAGAATGGACAGTGGTACTTGTTGCAGCAGGTTTGGCACCGAACCAGTTCGGGCAGTGCTCTCCCTTCTTGAATCTTGCTGTTTATTTTTACAAGAAATCTCCAAAGGAGGACACAGTTTTTTTAGATTATTTATTTCTATTTTTTTCTGGGTTTTTTCGGCCCATTTACTGTGCAGTTGTGCACATTAGGAAGCCAGTTGAGGGAAGGTAGGGTCTGTGATTTAAATGGTTATAATTTTGTATATAATATATCCATCTTTTAAATCACCCAGTTGTGTATGTGTCTGGTTTCTCTGCAGATACGTGCTTTCAGGCTCTGTAGCTGTTTTTAGATCTTTCAGATACTGGCTCAATATTAAACTATAAAGTTATACTTAAACTAAAAAGGTTCATTTAGTCTGTTGATGATAAATTATACTTAGCTAGAGTAACCGCTGCACTTGCAATGACTTATTCTGACTACAGAGAGGCAGCATTGAGCCAGTCTCTAAAGTGACATGCAAGTTTAATAGGATTTTTGTGAAGTTCAGCCTGTCTGTTCTTTACTACAGATGCAGCTTTTTCTGGATAACAGACATTGTTATCATTATCATTTTGTTATATTTTTTTTCAATGAGAATATTTGTCCCCATTTTTCTGAATTTACAAGATAATTACCTCATTAATTAAAAAAGTAAACGTAATACTACAAAAATATGTTGCATTGTTCTTAAGAAAAACGTATTTATTTCTGAAATAAAGAGATACTTTTAGAATTATGAGAAAATCTTATGGTACAAAAATAATATTTTTTACTGAATTATTAATATTTATTTTGTTTATTCAGAACACAGGTCAGATTTTTTTTAAATCATGTAATTACGAGATATTTATTTTGTGAATCCAGAAAAACTGCAGATTTCTATCTCAAGTGAATGCAACTACACTTGTAGAAATATCTACAAAACTGAAAATTTAAGGGTTACAGCAATAGAAATGAAAGCCACTTTCTTAAAGGGAGAAAACAAACAAAATAAAGATAATAATAATGAAAAAAGTTCATGGTGGGCATCTCTTCACCCTTTTTTATAATGATTAATGGCTTCCCTGAGTTGTGGATAGTGTTTACATTTAAGAACAAAAAAATTTCAGTAACGTGTTAATTAAGGAGCTTATATTAACTTCTTTAAAAATAAAAATTAATGTAGAAAAAAAATGACCAGAGACTGTAGTCTTTTCTTTACATGAATGAAAATAGCCAAAATCGCAGAAAATCGACCACCTTTGAGTCAAAACTAATTAAACTTATCAAAACATCACGTAATTCACCAAAAAAGAGGATGAATCTTCGTAAACATTTTCTTGAACCCAACAAATGTATATGAAATAGTGACAGAAACTTAAAAAAAACAAACCAGTGTATTCGATATAGGCCATCTTGATAGGCGGGTCATGTTGTTTGCTGTATCTGATTGACAGGCCTGTCCAACCTATCAGCGCTCTTCTCTGTTGGTACTCCAGAAAACGTCACTGCTGTCAAATGTGGGCCCGTCCTGAAGACAGCAACAAGCTAGGCTGGCTGTCAGCAAGAGGAGCTAGCAGCAGGAGGATGAACCCACATCGATATTAAACCGGTTAATTTGGCTTTTTGGTTCTAAAATCAGGTCCTGTAAGTCTGAGAAGTTTTCAGTCCCGGTTTGAGGTCATTTGCGTGGTTCTCGGCCGTGTTTTTGAGGCTGCCCCGGTACTTTGACAGGTGGGTAACAGTTTGTACAGACCTGTAGCTGCTCGTGCACGAAAAGTTTGTCACCCCATGTATTTTTTTCTGCAGCTTTTGAGTGATAAAAATTCAGGTTTAAAGCTCTGAAATATGTCTGCACGGCTGGAATTAACATGTCTTTGACCTTTTTGCTTATTCAGGCCTACAGTCAGTGTGCGTGTCTCAGTGTGAGTCAGATCAAGAAATAAAAAATGAAAAATGTTCCATAAAAAAACTTTTGACAAATAAGGGGAAAAAAGAAAACTAGCAAAATTAGAAATGCATACTGATTTGCATAGGAGCAGAGAATACAAAATAATTAAATCTTGATATGAGCTTTCCCCAACAAACGAGGTCATGAGATGCACAGTGAACCATTTAAACTACAAAAATTGACTTATTTGGACCAGGAAAGAGTCCTATGTAGAATTAATCCTACAAATATTTGCCCTGTTTTATTATAAACAAAGACATGCCTAAAATAGATGGAATATAAAGTATAAAGAACACCCTCTCACATGGCCTGTAGGGTTCACATTAAAGGTCACCATTACAACCTCAGTGGGGAAGTTATTTTCCATTGAAACACCAGACTTTATAATATTCAGCACACATGATACAACATCTCTCCATTTTTCCTACAGTTTCAGTTAGAGTGGTTATTATAACCTGCACACAAGATATTCATATGTTCCTCAAGCTATTTAATGGTCACAAGATAATACAGAAATAATTATCAAATGGCAACAAGTTATTATCCTGTTCGTTCTACAAGATCATACTAGTGCGTTCATCAACAAGTAGGAACAAGTTATCTTGTGGGCACATTATAGTCATCTTGTGCTCATAAGTTACTATCCTGTGCATGCAAGACATGAATGTGTCAATGTCTTGCATGCACATTTTGACATTTACAAGTTATTAATTGTACAAAAAAGAACTTGTTGGACAATTAAATGAACAAAAAAATAAATATCTAGTTGGAAAAAGTTACCCTGTGGTCACAATAAAGTTATTTTGTTAAAGCAAGTTGATATTTTACACACAATCCCTACATGCCAGATATTAACTTGTTCCCACAAATGGGCAAAAAATGATCTTATGTACAGAATATTTTATCTTGTGTGAGCAATTAAGTTATTTTGTGCACACAAGTCATTATCTTTTTTGTACGATTTAATCATCTTGTGTGCAAAATATGGTCAACCTGTTTATGCAAGATATTATCTTGAGCACACTAGATATTGACTGATTATAACCAAGGTTTTTTCAGACAATGCTTATGCACCCAAAAATTGATTTCTTTTATCTGTAAAATAAATATAAACATCTTTTCTGTGTATGTGCATAAGATCAACTTTTCATTTTACAAACCTATGGGAGGCACTGTGTTACTCAGATATTCAATTACCACTGCAACTTTTGTTAATCCACCTATGTGAACAATGTTAATTTGTGTAAAAATGGTCTTTCCTGATCTAAATCTCAATATCTGGAAGAATATGAAGAATATTCGATGTTTTTATTAGAGCTAGTAGGAATCCTGACAAAGAAAGAAGAGAATCTGTTGATTTTCTCGTACTGTAACTCAGAGATTTCTAGAAAGCCTGGTATTCAGTGAAATCAATGTGACAACAACTACTACTCTATTTGTTCTCTATTAAGTCAACGGATGATTTCAAAATAAAAGTCATGACCTGCTTTTTCTGTATATTTGAGAGCCTTGCCTCTGCTCATATCAACACAGGCTTGAGAGATTATTGAAAAAGCCTCGAGACAAACCGTTTACCTAAAGCCTTCCTTTAAATTCAAACATCTGTACAGCACTCTGTCCTGATGGTGGTGCCATGTCCATTCACTTTAGACTCACTCTAGCACATTACATTCTGGCTAATTGTTAATACGCCAGTACGAGAGTCAACTTTTTAATGTCCTTTAGGATCTGAAGTAAAAATTCCAGTTTGCTTTCCTCTCATTCTTTGTAAATCAAGGAACAGCTGTTTTTATGCAGCTCTTACTATTTCACCATGAAACTGTGAAATTCATTGGGAGTCTGCCTTTTCCAAACCAAAACAAGTAATACACACATTATGTAACATATGTAAGAAGGTTTTGTGATGAATGATCTAGGTACTTATGTGCTTATCACTGGATGGACTGAATCCAACCGTGACTGACAGAAGCGCTAGTTGTGATTGTCTGGCCCTGAACTGTGTCTGAATGGAATGACCAGAGTAACATCACAGATTCATTTGACTTTAACTTGCAAAGGATCACATTGAAGGAGCTGGAATCATAACCACTCTTGTTGGTTTTGCTCCAAAGATTTGTTAAAAATCAGAAAAAAATTCTCTTCTTATTTTCAGATCACAGAATAATCAATAATCAAGTTAGCATGTCAGCTTTGGTGTCAAACTATAATCTAACTCCTGTCCTGTTAGTGTGTGACGTGGAGAGGGCCGGACACTCGCAGTCTCAGGCTGTGTTTGATTGGTGTGAGTGTCCGTGGGCAGGCTTTGAGTTGAGTTCAGGGTCGGGGCTGCAGGTCTGTGAGCTTCCTCTCAGCTGAGGATGAAGAGGAGGACATCTGTTATTCTCTGACAGCTGCTCTTTTCTTTTCTGGGACCATTTTCTTTCCATTTTTAACAATCGTATGGACTCGCCTTGAGCCGACCCCAAACCTTCCTGAAGCTTTTTTCCACAGATCTTCATTCATAGTGTTTTTGTTTTTAAGCTAGTTTGGTAAAAATGTCTCTAAGTGTCACGGGTAAGTTTATTGCTCAGTCATTCAGAGAGATTTGTGATTCACTGACTGTTAATAAGTAACTTTGCTAACTCTCTGATAAAAGAAAGTGCTGGAAGAGGTAAAAGTACAAAATGCAAGAACTTTAAAAAACTAAACTAAAACTAAATTAACTTTAAATTTTATCACTTAACACTTCACAGAGATAGATGGCTTTTATTTTGAGGTCAGCAGCAGGTTGAAGACACATCTTCAATAACTTTATAGATTGACTTGAAGCTTGATTGCAGAATAAGATGTTTGCTGTAATAAACGCATTTTAGGAGGAAAAACACAAACGTCACAGAAATCTGGTGAAATGTTAGATTTAGGTTTTCCATGATTGAAAAAATAAGTTAAAGTAAAATATATAAACTTACTGCAGTAACAGTAACAAAAAGCACACCAATACACAGTGTCCATGTATCAGTGTCCCATTGTTATCATGGGTTACAGCCTCAAATGTTTCACTTGAAATTGTTTTTCTTGCAAGGCAGATAGACTTTTTTTTCCCAAGTATGAAAAAGTCAAGGGCTAAGTAAAGCTGGCAGATCTTTTTTGATTTATAAATTTGAAAACCATTTGACATTGCCTGGTGGTAAAGATCTCTGTGTTTGCAGACCTGACCAGAGGAGCGATGACAGAGTTCCAGGAGAAACTCCGTCAGCAGCATGAAGAGTTGATGCACCGCGAGCTGGAGACGCTGGTCTCTACAGAAACCGACAAGAATGAAGCAGAAGTGAGGAAAAGTGCCCCAAAATGTCCTCCGAAAGATACAAGCTCTCAGAAATGCATTTTCCTGCTGAGTTCATTTGATGGTTTGGGCCAAAATTACCAACACATTTAATTTTGCACCCTTTTCATTCAGTCAGGTGTCATCTACCCTCTTGCTTTGTACATGCCTTTATTAGGGATGTACAGGAGTGACTAATTACTTACCCTCCAGTCCTCCTTTCAGGTTAGCATCAAAGTCCCAGTGCTGGTTACAAATTGAGCAAGTTGAGTGGTTATTCGCTGGTTTAGTCAGACACAGCCCACATACAATTTTATCTCCATTTTCTAGATCAAAGCATACTGAGAGACACCACCAGTCATTTGTGCTTATTTACATCAGAGTGGGAGAGGATTCCTGCATTATTGGGTGGCTTGACTGCAGCATATACAATGTACACAATATATGGTTGGCATTTCATGTATGTGCAAACTGCCTTTAGATATCCTTTGAAACAGGATAATGTGAAGCAGTGTTCCTACCCTTTCACATTGTCTCTCATCAGGATCTGTGCTTTAACATCACAAAACTGTGATATGTTATCGCACGTAAATGTGTCTGTGTAATATACTGGACAAATATTTGTAGAGTCAAACAGAGTCCATTAGTTTATCTTATCAGACAGGACATAGACTGTGTTTGTGAAGTTTTGGGTGAACAACCCTGAGGACACAGACGGACAGAAATACACATAGCTACACATGCTAACACCCAACTGCAGAAAAATATTAAGCATCAGCCAGAAGTTTTAGATATGCCAAATCTGCAGGAGGTGATAGAGGCAACGGATTTGCATGGACTAGTGGTTTTTTTTGCCTATTTTCATGACCATTTCCTTCCCAAAGCTAATGCAATTCAACATTTTAGCCCCCAAGAATTCTAAGCCCTAAAACCCTGTCACTCTACAAACTTTACAATGTCATGCAGCATATGTTACAAACATCTGAGAGAACAACCAACAAGCAAAGGTCTAGACAGGACAAAAACAATGTGGGTAAGAGCCACAAATTGTTAGAAGCAAAGCAAAGAGTGTGCTCTTTTTCGAAAGATGCCTCTTTTGTAAGGGCCTGTGTCCACTGACAGCATTTTATGCACTGTTAAAACCTGAACTAACAGTTTCAAAGCACCTCTCAGCAGTGCTTCTGTTGCTATGATACAAAAGTTGTTCCCTCAACACTTGGTCTTCCCTTTGTAATGACTGTTAGGTCTTTTTCATGTTGCGCTATGTGCTTTAAGTTTGCAGGTAAAAAGTTGCCCTTGCTAATCATATAGTTGCATAAGCAGCAAATCCAGACTTGGAAATGGCACCTTGTGTGTAGAATAGTTGTTAGTTTCTTCTCCCCATCATTGTTGACAAAGTTGATATCAGAAGTCCCACCTCCTCTCAATTTTGATTGGTCAGTGACAAACACAGCAGTGTTCCAAAAGTAAAATGGTTTTCTGTGAGAGCTCAACATCATGAAACAGCTGATGCTTAAGGTATTTTTGTAGATACTGAAAACTCTAAACTGTACTGGTTTGTGTTGGATTTGTACTAAGATATGCCGCACACTTAAAGGAGTCAGTGGGCACAGGCCCTTAATGTCACTTCTCTGTCACCAAACAATCATAATTAAGGAGAGGTGGGTCTTCTAGCGTCAATTAGGCAATTGTGAAATCTGCCTGTGGTGGACTTTGGCTCTATGGTCTGGATATTTGGATCGTTCTCCTATAAAAATGATTTACTACACTTTTTTTCTTGGAAGTAAATGGCTTCAAAAACTTTGATAAGTCTCTAAAATTAGTCTGAAAGTCATCCCCAACAGGAACTGGCAGGATTGTAGCTTCTCTGTCTCTGTGTCATTTGAATTTTGATTTGTTCTTTGTCAGATCTCCAGAAAAGACTTTGATGGCTTCAAGAAGCTCTTCCACAGATTCCTGCAGGTCAAAGGTCCTTCAGTCGACTGGGTCAAAATCAACCGACCGCCGGAGGACTCGGTAAGTAGTCGACACCCCCAGCCGCCCACACTGTTTACCACAGGTCAGAGTTTCATGTTGCAATCCCCCGAACGGCTGGTCAAGGTCAGTGCTTAGGCTGAGGCCCAGAGCAGACGTCAAAGCAGCGGATTGTTGACTGTCTAAAGATAACCAGCTAGCTACAAAGATGTGAACCAGACAAGCTAGTGAATGAAGTCATCTGACTTAAATTTGAAACAAGAGAATTTGACGCTTCATGCTCTCATTACAGGGTTTAAAATTTTGTTTTCACCACACCCTAATCTAACTGTGAAGGTTTGTTACTACCATTTTGTTGTATAGTTTGTTCTAAGAATGGGAATAGAGCGCCAGGTCTAGCTAGTTTCCATCAGTATCATTTGCTTTTTAGCTCAATGGTTCCCGTATCTATGCCTGGCCTAACAGAGACATTACAAGAGGCAGTCAGCTGAAGAAAACACTGAAGAGTGGCAGAAGTTATCAAAGACAACAGAAGACAGAAGGTCCAAAAGGCTGTCCTTTACAACTCAATAATTAACAGCAGTAAAACTGAAATGGTCTGATTTACTTACTTTAAAATCCACTCACTCCGTGAGACCGAACTGAGTTTCTGCATCGGAGGAATAAGATCACTGTGTTTTCTAAGACTGCCCAGATCTATTCCCTAAGAAACTGAGATGCCCTGTAAGTTGGAAGCTGTTAGCGCTGCAGCACAATCAGGATTATTTTGATCGATATTGATATTACAATTATTAAAAACAATTATGCAACTTCAAATGTTTGTCAAACTCAAAAAAAACTGTCAATTCTTCAAAAAGCACAGAAAGTGGAAAAAATGTTGACTTTCCTTTTGATGGTACCATCACTTGACTGGACTACTTGACTACTGAAAGGGACAATGCTTCAGTTCATCAAACACACAGATACACTTCCCTCCTGCTCCTCTCCCTGCTCTCCTCTCTCCTCCTAATAGTTTCTTCTGCTGTTAAACTAACTAATCTTAGCGAGAACCACAACTTCTTGGTGCTCTCAGACTTTGTTTCTCATTAATCCGAGTTTTTGATGATGAAGTTAAAGTCAGAGCTCTCTGTTAATGATCTGCTTTTATATAAAGAGATAAAAGTCAAAGATTAGTGGCTCAAATGAGAGAAAAAAATCAAGTAAAGACATAAAAGACCAAAACCAAAGACCACCATAAAACTGGAAGTCCAAAAGCCTAAAACCCGGGACAAGAACTGTTTTTGAAGAAAAGTGGACTTTCTAAGTTTCAATCATTAAAAATAAATTAATATTTTGTCTTAATATTAACATGAAAATTAATGTAATGAAAAGTTTATAAAAAAACTCCAAACTTCAGATGCTCAACAGCTTCCACAGAAGACAAATGTCAGTGTCAGCCGGCCCTAAATCCAGACTTTCAGATGCTGCAGCGGTCAGACTATTCTTAGAGCTAACCTTCACTGCGCCCAGATATTCTGGGAACACAGTGTGTGTGTGTGTGTGTGTGTGTGTGTGTGTGTGTGTGTGTGTGTGTGTGTGTGTGTGTGTGTGTGTGTGTGTGTGTGTGTGTGTGTGTGTGTGTGTGTAATGTCATGCTGCTGATAAATAGTTGGCTTTAGTCCGGATGTTCTCTGTACTCAGATCTGGTTTCTGAAGCACGTCCCACATCTCCGTTCTGTAGTAGTCGAGTCATTGAGTCATAAGATGGATTGAGGACCTGTATTGTCTTGAGTAAATCTCAGCTGTCAGATTACATTTTTAAAACATGGTTCATTGTACAGAAAAATAACACTGTCCTCCATCACAGACGGGACTATCATCATGTCAGATTCTGATTTTATCGATGTTATAAGTCTTGTCATTGATACCTGCTTTATTCTGTACCTTGAAGGTCTTTGCTACAGCTCCCTCTGTTTCTTATGCGTGTGAATTGGAGTGGAGGTGTGCTCTCCCTTCCTCAGACTTGCCAAGGGTTATTGGTACTGATACTGCTTATCAGTACCCTTATTGATATTACTGTCAATAATATGAAGCAAAAAATGTTAAAAGGTGAAAATACTTAAAAACATTTTGATCTTCCCACCTCGACATGCTGCTTTCTGTACGAGACACAGATTTTTTTGCTGTATTACTTTTGGTACTGAGTCCTGCTGAAGTGTGTTACATCACAGCTGACATATAGCACGTGTCCATAAATACACTTGTCTTCTGTGTGTGTCAGACTGCTGTCAGGTGCTACTGTGAGCTGTAAAGGTCAGACTGGAACTAAAACAGGTCCCACACTCTCTAATAAGTCTCTCTGTTGTTACACATTTGACTTTTTTCTCCATCCACGGGCATTTTAAGAGCAGTTTAGGATTTTCACAAGATACTTCTGCCTATAGAGGAAGGATAAGACTCCATTCCTGACAACTGTGCTGTAAACCAGCCATATTGCCTTGCTAATAAACTTAAGTGCCCTCTAAACAGAAGACCAAGTCTACCTTCATCTTCGCTCCAGATGTTGCCAAAACCTGATCTTCTAATCTTTCATGAATATCCATAAACATTGACCTTAAAACAAACCGGGGAGCAGGAGCCAACAACTTTAGTAAGGCCTTAATCGCAAAGGCTCTCCAGTGAGCTCTAGAATCCTCTAGTTTGTACCATCTCCCACCACCGGTCATGTTTGACTGAAAAAAGAAGTAAAGAGAGAAAAAGACAGATAAAAGAGAGTTGTTTAAGAAAAACAGGGTCAGGTAGAGTCAGGGGAAGAAGTCCATCTGGGTCAGACTGTGTGCTCCACCTTCCCTTTCTCTCCCCGCCATTTTCGTGAGGTGAGAGACGGGAAAAGAAAAGTGGGTCTGAGGAGGGATCTTGGAAGAAGATGGAAGTTTGTTTGGGTTATAACAACTTTGGTTAGGCTGTACGCTCTGCCTCCCTGTACTACCCTTTTCATGAGGCGGGAGAAGAGAGAGGAAAGAAGAGTGGCTGTTCCACCTTCTCTGAGACTTACTTACTTTGTGTTACTTTGAAATTATTTTTCTAAGGAACTTTAATTTGAGGTTTAGTCTTTGATGCTCTTTTACCAATCGAGTGTCTCCTCTGTCCGTTTTAAGATTCAGCCGTATGACAAAATCAAGTCCAAGGGTCTTCCTGCTGACATCAGCGCCAGCCTCAACAAGCTCGCCGTGGTCAAACTGAATGGCGGTCTGGGAACCAGCATGGGCTGCAAGGGCCCCAAGAGTCTGATCAGCGTCCGCAACGAGAACACCTTCCTGGACCTGACCGTGCAGCAGATTGAGGTAAAGAAACACCACAAAGAAAAATGCCAGTGGATAGACATTAAAACAAGTCTCATCAAGGTGTCTCGGAAATGTCCTGAGAAAGTCCAGGATGCAAAGTGGCCCACAAAAAGGACTTGAAATATTTGGAAAATCTCAAGAACTTTTGAGTACATGGAGCTTTAGCAAACTGTTCTGTTTGTTTTGTTTTTTTTAAGCATCTGAACAAAACTTATAACGCTGATGTGCCGCTTGTCCTCATGAACTCCTTCAACACCAACGAAGACACAAAGAAGATCCTGCAGAAGTACAAACACCACCGAGTCAACATCCACACCTTCAACCAGAGCAGGTACAAACACACACACACATGCTGCCTTCCAGACAATGACCTTCATATTTCTGCAAGATAATGACAAACTCCTTTTTCGCAGAGGATACAAAGCACGGTTCTGTCGTAGAAGAGTCCTGCCGATAAACTGTCACTCTTGTCACAGATTTTGATCACTGCTTTTCCTCTCAGGTATCCGAGGATCAATAAGGAATCTCTGCTGCCAATCGCTAAAAACATGGGGACAAGTGGCGAGAATTCTGAGGCCTGGTACCCTCCAGGTCACGGGGACATCTACACCAGTTTCAACAACAGCGGCCTGCTGGACAAACTCATCGCTGAGGGGAAGGAGTACATCTTTGTGTCCAACATTGATAACCTGGGAGCCACCGTGGACCTCTTCATCCTCCACCACCTCATGAGCCAGCCAGCCGAGCGGCGCTGCGAGTTCATCATGGAGGTCACCGACAAGACCCGAGCTGACGTCAAGGTAAGATTGAGTTTCTAGAGCAGGTCTGTTTTTTTTTTTCATGTGGCATTTTTCAGCTCTCTATATACCTCCTCTGTCCTCCCCTCTGTAGGGTGGTACCCTGATCCAGTATGAGGACCACCTCAGGCTGCTGGAGATCGCTCAGGTACCGAAGGCTCACGTGGACGAGTTCAAGTCTGTCACCAAGTTTAAGATCTTCAACACCAACAACCTGTGGATCTCTCTGCCCGCCATCAAGAGGCTGCAGGAGAAGAACAGTATGGACCTGGAGATCATCGTCAACCCGAAGGTTAAAAAAAATCCATGTTAACCTCAGAGACGAGCATATTTACCTGATAGTTTCACTGCTTTTCTAACTAGAGTCATTTCACTCTCAGTTTGTAGCACAGTGCAGGTCAGCTGAACTTTGACAGAAGTCTTTTTTAAATTCACTTCTTACATGATTTCTCAACTGGTGAGAAGTTCTGACCATCAGGACAGGTGATAGAGGGAAAAGTAAGCGGTTAAAAGACCTGGACCTGACTTTGCTCTTCTTTTCCTCCAGACTTTGGATGGCGGTCTGAACGTCATCCAGCTGGAGACAGCGGTGGGCGCTGCCATCAAGAGCTTCAACAATGCCATGGGTGTAAACGTCCCGCGTAGCCGCTTCCTGCCAGTGAAGACGTCATCCGATCTGCTGCTGGTGATGTCCAACCTGTACAGCATGGATGCTGGCTCACTCACCATGAGCAAGAAGAGAGAGTTCCCCACCACGCCGCACGTCAAGCTGGGCAGCTCCTTCACCAAGGTCAGCTCAGGGGGGGGAAACGGTGAACTATAAAGTATGTTTACTTGTATGGAGGCCCAGAGTGGACAAAAATGGGATCATGTTACTTAAGGCTGTTTGGCCAAATTTAGTTTTTTTATCTGAGAAAAATTCTCTTTAAATTACGGAATTTTAATCAAAGAATCTCAGAGACAGAGGAGGTTCACTGCAGTGCTCTAAGAGTCTGCATCATCAGACGGTCTAACAGCGTGGATAGAAAGGAAGGAGATTGTATTGTGGGTTTTTCAAGTTGAAACACATTACAAATTAACATATTAATAAGGCTAAAACTGTCAAATTCACGAAATTAAAGTTGTAAAATCACCCGATTTTGCAATTTAATGACTTTGATCCTGTGAATCGACGAGTTAAACATTTTTTCCTAACATTGTGTTCTTTTACAAGAGGTTTTTATATTTTTGAGAATCTAAAAAGATATTATTTTACAAAACTCAAATAATAAATTTACAAACAACATTTGTAAAACTACATTACCCACATTAGTTCATTGACAGGATAATCTCATGGAATTTAAAAATGTACAGGATTAAGGTCATAAAATTATGGTGTTAAAATGTTATGACTCTAATTTCAAAATATTCTTGTAAATATTAGTTTTAAAATTTTGGCTCGTAAAAAGATTTAGTTACACTGATCATTTGAAATTTACAACCCTTTTTTTTTGGAAATTCACAGCTTAAGTCCTGTCGTATTTCATCATTAGACTCATTAATTCAAAGCTTCTCTCTTCTAAGTTTGTGACCATTTTTTTGTAAATTTTTCTACTTTATTATGATCATTTTACATTGTTATTCATTTTTGTAAATTAGGAGTATTTATGAATGTTTATTCTTGTTATCTTAATGTATTCTTGCATTCCGCTGTCATGGCAACACAGGCTTTAACAAAGAAAATCCATTGAGTGTTTAGAGGTTCTGTTTCTGCAGGTTCAGGACTATCTGCGCCGATTTGAGAGCATCCCTGACATGCTGGAGCTCGACCACCTCACCGTGTCTGGAGACGTCACCTTTGGGAAGAACGTCTCTTTGAAGGTAAAGATCATTTTCTTGCTGGAGCTTTTTTAAATGAAGATCCTCTCTCACGGGGTTTGAGCCTCACTTGAGAGTTTGAGCAACACGTTTCCAGTATTTCTGCCTTCAAACTAAAGTTTTATGGTCATAAATCAAAACATCTGCGGATACATCTGAGGATATATGGTATCTTTAGAGAAGAACAAGGGTTATTTTACTGTCTTTCTCCTCCTCAGGGAACCGTCATCATCATCGCCAATCATGGCGACCGGATCGATATTCCTGCCGGAGCAATGCTGGAGAACAAGATCGTCTCAGGAAACCTGCGGATCCTGGACCACTGAGGCCTTCTGGGAAAAAAAGCCATATGCACCTTGAAGAGACTCTAAGAGATGTGTCTTTTTTCTCTTCGCTGATGAACCGTCACAGATTGTTTTTGTCTGTTTTCTATGTAAAACAGCCTGAAAGGGTCAAAGGTTAACCTCCTCCTCTTCGCTCTTCCTCCTGATGCTCTGCAGACGTCCAGCTCTTCATGGAGAAACTTTGTTACTGCAACTATTACTGTAAAGTCCAAGCCAACTTTTCTGCTGTTTATTAAAGAAGTGCAATATGGGTCAGCTGAGTGTGCTGCGTTTGTTTTAATATAAAGTCAGCTGATGAGAGGAACCCTCATCAGTGTTTATACACAGGTACATTAAACTGAACCTTTTTTTTTTTTAAATCAATATCTGCATAATCTGAACGGTCATTGCAGCCTGTGAAGATGCCCCCTGGTGGTTATGAGAAAAATAATGCAGCCAAAGAACTTGGAAATTTACTTTGAGGAAAAAGTCATGAAATTAATAGAATAGTTGTAATAAAAAAAAAAAAGCAAGAGGTAGAAGATTACGAGAAAACACATAAATCCTAGCACTGTCAGAGTTAAGTCATAATGATCATGACGATAACTTCCCCACTGTACTTCAGAACAACGCATTTCACTAAACGCAGTGGTTCTCAAGTCCAGTCCTCGAGGCCCACTGTCCTGCATGTTTTGGATGTTTCCCTGCTCCAGCACACCTGATTCAAATGATCAGCTCGTTATCAAGCTCTGTAGTGGCTCAATAACGAGCTGATCATTTGAATCAGGTGTGTTGGAGCAGGGAAACATGCAGAACAGTGGGCCTCGAGGACTGGACTTGAGAACCACTGCACTAAATAAAACGTCATACGGCTCGGCTGAGAAGTACTTTGCACTTTGCATCAAATGGGACATAAATATCGATGAAGTAATTTCAGTTTGAGCCACTGTAGGTGAGCTTAGCATTCAGGTGCAGCTAATCATACTCACACTGACAAGACATGTTTAACACGAGCATTCCTTTGTACCTCCATGTCACATGAAAAGTGTATTTTTGCTGAGTCCTGTCAGTTTGACATGATTTTCCTCTGTACTCACGCTTTCTCACATGTGACTATAAATTTTGTCAGATAAAGAAACAGGATGACAAAGAATCGCACCATTATCCTGTTTTATTCTCTTCAGGTTTGAAGGATTCAAGACATTTTGGATTTTCAGACATGCTCGCTCATCTGAACAAACACTCAGGGTCGACTCATTCAGACACACACACACACACACACTTTCTCTCTGTCACTCTCTCTCTCACACACACACAGTGGTATGGTAGGCACACAGTAGCGAGGAGCTCAGATGTGTCGATCAAACGAAGGCACTTCTGAAGCTGACAGTGAAGATTGTTGATGTTTTTTGTTCTCTGTCAGCTGTGGTCACTTTGAGCCTCTGAGAAGAAACACAATATCGTCTTTGACAGATGACCATAAAGCTGCTGGAGAGAGAAATTCAGCTTCAAATGAATGTAGTGAGACGAACAGGAGCAGAGAGTCAAATTTAGTGTCTCCTCTTGCTATAATCTTCCTGTAGTGTTTGCAGGGACAAAAGGTGACCACAGAGGACAGGTGGGTTCAGTCTGATCAGAGCTCAAACTGCACTGAGGAACAGAAAACCGGATTTATGGAGGCTGCATTTTACATGAACAAAGTCAGGTTAATAATTTAAGACTTAAATACTGGTAGAAAATTCTCAAAAATTAATGACTTAATCCTTATAAATTCAAAATCTAAATTAATTTTAATTTACATGTTTGTTTGGAATTATTAACAGTTTTATTCTAATAAATCTACAAATATAATCCAGTCATTTGACGAGTTTGGTCCTGTGAATTTACCACATTATTTTTTACAAGTTCTCAACTCCTGATTTGTTCTTGTAAGTGTGTACGTTTGTTTTTGTTACTTCACGCATTTATTCAAGTTTGTTCTTTACGACTGCTCTCTTGTTGATTTGTGAGGGTTTTTTTTTCCTGTAAATTGGTGAGGTTGCTCTTGTTCATTTTTGGCTCTATAGTTGAAAATTCAAGACTTACAGACACAAGATTTATGATTTTTCTCATGCCATTCTCAAATACTGTGTCAAATATATCAGGTAAATTTTAGTTATTTATACATAAATTTATTTTTGGAAATTCACGACTTTTTTTTGTAAGTTCATGATTTAATCTTGTTCACAGATTACTTAATATTTATCAATAATCTGACTTTTCTCTTGAGAAAAAATGACTCATTTTGTTCATTTAACTTTATGAGTTTCAGCTTGTACATTTTCCACATGATGGAACTTTCCATTATGATGGCTGCAGCTTTTTGTCGCTCTTCGGCCCTCTTGTGAGAGAAGTGAGTATAACAACAAACAAAGAAAAATGTGCCTTTAATCCTTCTTTGGCCTGTTTTAACAACTAATTTTCCTTGTTGTTGGTGGAGCTTCAGAGACCTTATGAGATTTGTAAAACAACATAAATCAGGTTTTCTGTTCTCTTTCTGTTTTTTGAGCTCTGGAGACAAAAAAAAACAAAAACTAGCTGGTTCATGCAGGTTAAATTAAACCACAGCAGGGGGAGAAAGTCAACAGCAGTTTGAGTGAACAGCTGATTATCATGCTCCAATTGTCTGCAGTCACTCTTCATTATCATTTAACTACAGGTATAAAAATTTACTTCATCACAAATACTAGAAATCCCTCAGCTGGAGGAAACTCAAGCAGAACAGAATTTAAAAAAGTGCATTTTAAGACTTGATTTCCTGTTTTACTTTGAGCTTCACAGTCTGGATGTTTGTAGTTTTCAGGCAATAAACTCTCAAAGTGCACTTTTTTTTCCATCAGTGCCTGCCTCAGTGAGGGTTCTCCAGGTCTTTAAGCTGTCTGAATATCCAAACCTCGAAGACAAGAAGTCTGGAAAATAGTTTTGTTCTGAGTATAAAAGCTTAAAAGTCAGTTTCATCCAGCCATCACCACAGAGAATTGAAACAAAATCAGCTGTTTACGAGTGAAAAGAAGTAACCCCGTGGGAGAAGAATGTTCTTCCCCCTGTTGGAATCACGGCCACACCTGAACCGCTGATGTTTTCAGTGTGCAGTCTGAGCACAGCGATGATTTTGTTCAGTGTCACAAGTGAAATCCCTTCAGCTCATCCTCGCAGGAGAAATGAAAAACTCAGCCACAGTATAGAGGGTTTCAAAGCCAGAAAAATAAATTACCCCGCCTTTCCTTCAGTGTTATCTACACCCTCCACTCCCACTCCCACTGAAACAGTCTTATAATTTATTAGTGTTCCTGCTGGATTGCACACAGTGAGATGAGGTGGCAGCAGTTTTTAAGGAGGCTCTGTGTGTTACTGTAGGAGGTCTTAAGGTGGAGCTGCTCCGGAGCCCCAGCGTGTCCCTGCTTCTCCCCTCAAAGTTTTTGGTCCCTGTTGGGCCTCCTCTACCCTCACCAGGCCATCATGGGCCTCTGAGGTCACCCCCTGTCACCAGGGAGGCCGGTGGGTCTGGTCTCAGACGTCTGGTCTCAGTCCTCTATCACCTTTTCTGTTCCCAGATCTCAGTCATGTTCAGGTCAAGCCGCTCCAGACTCTTCAGTGCCTGAATGTTCTCTGTGTAGAAGGCCACGTCCACCACCACCAGCCTGCAAACACCGACCACTCAGTCAGACAGGGGTAACTGATTACAAAGTTTGATGACAGCTCCTTGAAAGTGAGGACAAATACCTGTAGCTGTGTTTACCAACCAGCTACCAAAAAGCAAACCTCCTCCAAGTCAACAGATAATAACCACAAAAAAAATCAAATACAGATCTAATCGAACATGATTTCTCCCCATTCTTCTGCTGGTCCACATACTTATTTTTTATTACAAGGTTTAATTTTGATTCATTATTTGATGCTATCAAATAAGGGTATAAAAGTTGTACATTCAAAATACGGACATTTTTCCTGAAACTGCGAGATCAAAACCAAAATTTTAATTTTGATCTGGAAATGTTGCCTCTGATCTGGGAATTCTAATTTTGGTCATAGAATTCCACCTTCTGACTTTGACCTTGGAAAGTTAGTCTTTAATTTTGGAATTTTAAATTGGTTTTGGAATTCTACCCTCCAAATTTTATCTCAGAACTCTGTCTTTAATCTTGGAAATTGCAATTGATCTGGAAATTTTTGCCTTTCTTCTGGGAATTCTGCCTTTGATCTAATTTGGTCACAGAACTCTGCCTTCGATCTGAGAGTTCTAAAGCCCTATCCCAACATTCTTGGGATTATTGATGTAAAATCAGAGGACAAGTTTGAGTTTGGTTCTTTCTTTCAGTTGGGAAATGTCATTTGCTTTATGCTGGGTTAATTCAAATGAGATTTTAAGTGTCCTTTTTAAATTTTGTGTCAGTGTTTTTGGAGTTCAGTTACCCGTGCTGTGGCCCTCCGTCATTAACGACCCCGAGTCGAGCCAGCTGCCTCTTCAGATGCATCTTAAAACTGGCGTTTATTCTTAGAGACAGCATCTGCACCAAAAAAAAAGATCTGGTTGAGACTTCGGTCCATCAGTGAGCACTTTGTTTACTGAGGATACGTTAGAGACTCAAACAGAATAATCATATATCGTAGCGGGAAAATAACCTGTGTCTGTTCTTCAGGTAAAAGCTCATAAATGGCTTCATGCATCTTCGCCATCTGTTTACAGACGTTTCTGAAGCAGGCCGAAGGCATCGGAGCCTTCACTTCATACTGAGGAAAGACATAACAGCAGGATAAATGTTTGATACTTGTGAGTCATCAAACTCTACAATGAACAGAAAATCATCAAATGTTTCCTGAAAGAGTTTGAGGTTACCTTGGATAAAACCTTCTCAAACAGACTGTCCATGATGGCCACCAGCTTGGCAGAGATCTCTGCTATGTGGTCGTTGTAGTCCTAAAGAGAAACACACACTCTCATTTAATAAGCCGCAATAAAATGGTCTAACAGGAAAGCAAAAAGAGTTTTTTTTTCTATGTGGTAAATGGACTGTCAGGAACTTCTGTGTCACCTTGGTGATGTGGTCGAAGTGTCTGAGGACGCTGAACTGTTTGGGCTGCAGTTTGGTCTCAAAATGAGATCTGATGATGGGAATGTAGTGAACCACCAGCTGAAGACAGCGGGAAGCTAATGCTGCAAAACAAACACACGCAAACACACACACACACACACACGGTCTGAGAAAAGTTCCGGAGCTGTGCGAGTTGACTGAAAAAGAAGTATAAATGCGGGGGAACCCAGGACACCAGTTTCTGGAGTTTTTCCAGTTCAGCTGCTCAACAGCCACAAATGTTTTAAATGGGTGCCGAAGCAGACCAGTTCAGCAGCTGGACTCTTCTACTACACAGCCATGCAGTTGTACTACCTGCAGCATGTGGTTTGTCATTGTCTTACTAAAATATGAGGGTCTTCCAGGGTTTGACACTAACTTTTTTCAGAAGGTGCACATGAGCTCATCAGTTGAAAAAGTAAGAACTTAAGGGGCACAATGAAAATTGATCAAATCATGTGTGTCTAATTGGTCGACATGTGCGCTATAATTTGAAATCAATTTTAGGTCTTTTGGTCACATGACGTGGAAGCTATTGAAGAAAATGTTCAAAATTTGCCTTTAAATTTAACAAAATTTTTTACAGGACTAATTAGGGAAATAAAGAGTGTGGCTTATCAAAATCAATTTTAGGTCAACTGGTCACATGACATGGAAGCTATTGAGGGAAAACAGCCTTTTTTTGAGAACATCAACCGGTAATTTACTGATGGTCCATTATTTAACATCCCAAGTTGACAGTGAGGGTGCTGAATAGATTTAACCGCAATGCTTTTGCTATTCCCGGTTATGGAGAGTGAGAAGACACCGGTAGATCAGCGGTGCATGTCCGTTGAATATCCAACCTAAAACTAACTTCCCCGAGGTATTTACATGAAAAAGCATTTGTTGCCTTGGCTGATTTTTTTATGCGCACATGAGCCCCTAAATACATTTTACAGTTCACACACATCTATTTTTAGTCACACATGTCACATTGTCCAGCCCTGTCTTCTCTGAAAAAGTCTTTGTCTGGATGGCAGCATTTGTTGCTCCTAAACCTGTAGATATTGTTCAGCATTAATGGAGCCTTCACAGACATGGAAGCTACTCATGCCATGTTTTTAGAAATGGGTTGGAAGGATCAGAAAAAAAAGAGAGAGACAGACAGATGGGTGCAGAAAGAGACTGAAGATAAAGAGATGAAGGCAGGATGATGAAAAAATTAAAATAAGATAGGTGTGTGGCTCTCCTCACCAAGGTTTTTGGTGGTGATAGTTTTGAGGCCGACGACCTGCAGAGCTCCAGCCCCCAGAACCAGCTGACAACTTCGAGAGTTGAAGTGCTGCAGAAACAGAGACAGAGGACCTGCGTTTTAAGACCATGTGTCGAGAGGTTTACAAAAGCTGCTTCAGGTAGGTGAGATAGACCTGGCAGAGGATCTGACATCTCTGTGCAGCACAAGTCCAGATCTCAAACCATAGAGGAGTAAAAAAAAAAGTTTGACAACAGTTTGTGTTTCTGACCTTGAGGAGGTCTGACAGACGGGTCAGCATGTCAGTGGCGATGGATGGGATGTCATTTACACACTGACAGTATTCCAGAAAGATCCGGATCAGCAGCAGGACCGTTCTGGAGACACAGAGTATAAAACCCTTTTTATAAACAACCAAGAATCAGTTCTACAGCATATTTTCAACTTAATATCATCAGATTGTTCTTGAAACAATCATCTCTGGGTTTTTGTCGTATTAACAGTAACTCCTACCCAACAACGGCATATTTCTGCCCGCTGACCAGCAGAAACTCGGTGGGCTTCCTGTCATCTGGACCTGCAAATAAACAGCAAACATGTTACGGCTGCCGTCACCTAAAATCTCTTCTTGATGGAGCTGTGTTTGCTCTAGAGAAGTGGATTTGATTTTCATAAATTATTCCTGAAGAGGTGGTCGATTTCAGCTCATGTTTCCCGCCTTCATCACAACAGCGGATGTTACAAAGAAAAATGGACACCTGAGAAAAAATTAACCTTAAAGGTGTTGTAGGCAGGAACTCGTCAAGTAAGCATCTTTTTTAGTGGTGTATATACAACAAAGCTTTTAATATCAGTCAATAGCTATTAGTTATTGATGACATTTGGTTATATAACAATATCGCTGTGTTCTGTTATGTCTGTGTAGTCAACATTTTACATTTTTTGAGTGGCCCGCTCTTTCTGACTGTAAACAAAGCCATTCTCCACCTCCCCGACCTGATTGGTTGTGAGGCAGAACGTTCACAAGCCCAAACAAGGTTAGCGTGCAACAACATTCAATAGTAGAAACCAACCAGAAAGTACAGAAAATTGTCTGAATCCTCCTTTGGCCACGACCAACAACACAAGCAAGAAAACAAAGTCAATACCGGAGACTCTGGTGGAATAACGGGCGCTTAAGACGGAGGTAGACCGGACAAGAGCCAAATAGCTAGGTCAACATCAGTGGAACATAAACGATGGGGGACACTTCGGAATCTTACAGACCCTGTAACCTTTCTGCTGGACAGGTAAACCTCTTTAACAAAGTAAGCTGAGTGTCTGTAACAGAAGTGTTTCTGTGTTTCTTGTAGCACCGCTAAACTGTTGACCTCGGGTCCTGGACTATGTCACTCTATCCTAGTTGTAGAAGTCCTGCAAACATTGAGTTTGCTGGTAGTCTGTTGGCATCTACAGAAGCACCAATGCTTTTTAATTTCATGTTGACTGGGCCCCATTTGTAATAATCTGAAGTATTTATCTGCATTATATCTGAACTGAATTGAAACAATACGAGCTGAGGGGAAAACTGGTTGGGAGGGGTAGTGTTTACATTTAAGATTTCTCCCCAAAACTGACACTTCCTCAGATCCTGCCTACCCCACTTCTAAACAACTTGTTCGATCTGTCAGCACTAAAGAGACAAAGTCGCCCCCCTAGTTTATCTTTTAATGACATTAAATCTACAAACAGTCATTTCTGAGCAAATCTGAAAGACATGTTCAAATCAGATAACTTTTGGTTTGACTACAATCACCAACAATTATCAGCAAATTTCATTTGTCATTCTCATGCGTTCCGGACGTTTTGGATCCCTTTTGGATATCTTGGACAGAAAGCACTGAGGAGTTCACATTGACAGCATCTATAGATCATCGGTGGTCATCTTTTGGTACCTTGGATTTTGCGTTCTGGTAGTGTTATTCTGCCATCAGCGATGGAGTTGACTAGATCCTGAAACTCAGCAGGAACCTCAGCCTGCTTCCATCGCTCGTTATCCAGGAGGAGGCTGCAGAGACACAAAACAGCTACAACAATCACAAAAACACACTAAAACTGTGTTAGTACTCCTGCCTTTGGACTAAAGATAGAATTTAGCTACAGTGCAGCATCTGGTAAACTCTGGCATATTCATAAAGACTTTAAAATGAAGAAAGACAACAGGTCCTGGAGCCAGCTTGTGCACATGCTCCTCACCTGAGTTTGGTCTTGCGTTCCTCGTGGAAACGGTGCACGAAGCGGTTGGCCTGGCTCTGCAGCGCCCCCCTCAGGGAGACGCTGCGTCTGCCACACAGTTCCTCAGTGTCCCTGACGAATCCCTCCACGCCCTGAGAAAGACACACAAACTCTGCGGAGCTCAGACGCTCAAGGGAGCCGTCCTGTGGAGACAGAGACAATAGAGAGCATGGTCACAGTGAAGCCTGAATCGACTGACTGTGTTGGATTCATAGATGGATATAAATGTTAATACGACTTTGAAAATAACTGAAGCGCCTTTTTTTCCCTCGCAGGATATCATCAAAACATTGAATGTAGAAATATAGAAAGAGTTTCGAACTCAAGTGCCTCTTAGAGGTAGCTGAAGTGAGCTGAGGGCAGGTCTTACTGAGGTGGAGGTTTCTGTTTGTACCTTGGCTCTTGCTGTGAGAACTTTGACACAACGGTCATGGCTGATGTTGGACGCTGTGTACAGCAGCTCCTGGAGGTTGTTGATCACCCGGTTCAGCTCCAGCTCAGAAGGCATCATGTTGTCACTAGACCTGAGGACATAAAACACGCACACAGTCTGACATATCTGAACGTTTTTTGTCGCCCTACTACCAGGTGTACCATTGCTTCAACAGTGATCCAAAACTATGAACCCCTATAAATTGATTGCGTTAAAAATGTACTCACATGAAAGTCTGCTCCCGGCTAACAGAGCTCTCCGTACTCCCTGAGGCTGAGTCACTGTTTGCGGCCTCCACCTGGCTCTGCTGGATCCTGGACCCCACCACAGAGCCGGGATCCTGAGCTGTCTGCAGCTGCTGGGCCTCGTTCAGAGCGTCGCTGATGAACAGACCCTCGTGGGTGAGGTAGGCAAGCTCCGCCTCCCCCTGCAGGAGTGTTGGCCCGGGGGGAACTTCCTGGCTTGAGGAAGCTGCTGCAGCCTCCTCCAGGAGTCGGGTCTTCTGGTTTGAGGCCAGGACCTCCAGGACCACGTTTCTGATCACGCTGAGGGTCACCTGAGTGAGACAGAGAGAAAACAGATTGATGGTCTCCTCATACTTCATGTAAAGAAGGGAACTTCAGTCAACAGAACCAGCTCCACATTTCCTACAGTGACTCTGACACACAGCAAGTCTTAAGTTAGCAGAAATACATGTTTGTTTATTGAATGGTAGTCATCCATAATTTCTGATGCATTCAGGGAAGTCAGGAAATCTGAATGCTGATTGTCTTTAGTGACAACATCAAGCAGATTAGTGTAAAACAGATTAGCTGAGCTTCATGCAGATATCCGTTCACTGGGAGAAATGAATCCTCCTCAGGTTACAGCTGGTTGGAGCAAAGATGTCAATACAGCGGATTATACCCAGCCTGCTTTTGCTCTCCATACAGACTGTTTTTCCTACAGACATTAAAGCCTACTGACACCTGATTGGTCAATACTACTTGGACTACAAACGTGCAACAAACAGACACAAGACCTCTTCCCATCCTAAAAATTCAGACCCTGAGAACAGATGGCGCATTTTTACAGAGAAGAAGGGTTCACGTTTCTTGGTGCTGAAATTTGTACCTGAGCGAGACGAGAGACTCACCTTGATCCTCTGCAGGAAGAGAAGAAAACTCTCAAAGATGTTTTCCAGCAGCTCAAACCACTGAGGGAACGTCATCACACGCATCTGATCAGCTAGCCTTCAGAGACACAAATCAGACACACGTGAAAACATCCTGTAAACTAACAAATATTTGGACCCGTTTCATAGATTTTTCTTCCTATAGACACTGATTTGTTGATGTTTTTTAAAAAGTGATTTTGAGCACATGCGGTGACTTCCACCACATTCATTTTTACTTACTTAGTGACGACTTCAGTGTCAATATCTTCTATGTGCAAAACACTTTCTGCTACACACTGAAAACACAAACGTGAATACATTGATTGAGTTTGACTGTGATATTTGAAGGTTTCTACACAATTTAAAATACTTTCTTTTTTAGTAAACTTAGAGTCAGGAGTCTAACCTGAGTGACGATGGCCTTGGCAGCCAGAATCATCTCATCACTGTATATGTCCAGAAAATCCAACTTTCTCTGTCGCAGCAGACCGAACACTAGAGACTCCAGACGCTCCTAAAAACAAAATCAAACACACAGGTTAATGTGGTGTTAAAATAACAGTGAGTGCTTGATAATTAAAGTCCAGATTTAAATACGTATCCAATCAAACTCTACAGGCAGCAGCAGTATCTTAGAGGAAAAAGAAACACGATTCTGTTTCATGTAGATTTCATTTCCACACACTTTGCTCATTCAATTAAGTTCTATCCAGAAACTCACCCACAATTTGACCCTCAATTACTTTTATGGACCAGGAAACCCAATCAGAGTGAATTCATCACAGGAGTCAGAATCATTATAGTCATGATTAGATTAAATTAATTAAATTTTGTTTTTTTTAAATCTATTAGCTTCAATTATTCTTCTGGTGGAGGAAAATTAAAGGGATATTCCGGCGTAAAGCTAAGTTAGGGTCAAACACACCGTAACACTGAGTTAGACACTCCCTCGAGAGATGAATGTTGCCGACCGCTTGCTTCTCTAGTTATACCAACTTTAGTAACGACCGCAGGATAGCAATACACAGTGGTCTGAGGAGCAACACACAAACCTCAACCAAAACGCTACGCTATAGCCATAAATAATGCTCAGAACAGCACCTAACTTCATCAACAGTACATATAGGGTCCTAACCACAGTACTAGCCACCAAACATCTTTTTAACTTTGCCCAATTTCTTTAGCAAAGAGACTAAACACAACTTACCCACTCTCTTCCAGCAGCCGCTTGTTTCTACGGAGACCTCAGGCCAGTCCATTAAGGACTACATCGGGGTGACGCAGCTCAAGGAAGAACATTTATGATCATTACTTTATTATTGCCATGAAGTAATAATCATAATAATCATCATTTTGCACTGCAGACGCAGTAGTTCTTCTGCATTAGCATCTCAGTCTGATTGCATTTCCATGAGGAAATTATCATAAATGTTCTTCCTTGAGCTGCAGTAATGGACTCGCCTGAGGTAGCCATACAAAGCGGCTGCTGGAAGAGAGTGGGTGAGTTGTGTTTAGTCTCTTTGCTAAACAAATCAGGTAAAGTTTAAAAGATGTTTGATGGCTAGTGCTATGGCTAGGACCCTATATGTACTGTTGATGAAGTTAGGTGCTGTTCTGAACATTATTTGTGGCTATAGCGTAGCGTTTTGGTTGAGGTTTGTTTATGGCTCCGTAGACCCCTGTGTATTGCTATTGTGCGGTCATTACTGAAGTTGGTATAACTAGAGAAGCAAGCAGTCGGCAACATTCATCTTTCAAGGGGGTGTCTAACTCTGTGATACGGTGTGTTTGACCCTAACCTAATTTCACACCAGAATATCCTTTAAAGATCCATCACATCAAAATCCTCAGTTATCATCAAATGACTGACTCTACAAAGAATGAAAGAATAAAAGCACACCACCAAGCCCAATTATGAGATTATTTTACAGAATCAGAGCAGAGACCTTCAAAATGTCTTGAATGTTTATATAACTTGCTTGGAGACCAGACAGGTTCAGTGAATTGGATATTTATTACTTCTTAAATGTTTCAATCACTCTCAGAAATACTCGAGCTGTTTCCATCATCTTCCTAGTTTTCTAGAAATGATTAAATTAATCCATCTGCACTCGTCTGATACTCCAAGCACGTTTTTCCAGACAGCATTTGATTGGTCGCTTATTCACAGATTTCAGCATCAGGGTGATTTCACTGGATTTCAAACGGGTGTATAGATGTGAGTGTCGCACCTTCTCTGAGGCGGCATTTGGTTTGTGAACCTGTGATGGACACAGCATCCGTTAAATACACAATCATTCACTTCAGCGCTGACCTCAAGCTGAAAATCAACCTTTCAGGTCTAAAAATGAACGTTTTTTAGACGTCTAAATCTAGACCAAGTTTAGACCAAGTCTAAATCTGGGCTATATCTATACTACACTGCACTATGCAACTCACAGTTGCTTTTTGAAATAAATAGTGATCCAATAATGGGTTAAAGTGCAACGTCTAAATTCCGTCTAATAATATACAGAATCTAGACGGTTAATAGCCGTCTATGGCTCAGCGGGACAGTAAGATAGGTTGTGCCAGCATTTCCAATATTGCGGCCAAAGACACCTCCACCTTGAAACAAATACATGACATCAATGAGACGATGTCCATGTGTCATACAGTCTACAGTCTACATTGGTGGTCTCACATGGTTATGCAAGCCCAGAGAAACCAAGCTACTAGCGAGGTCAACATCATCTGTAATTTCTCCATAATTCTTAAATGATCATCCATACTGACAGCTTAGAAAAATCAGACCCTTTGTAATTCATCTCAGGACTCTATTCTCGAGTCATGTCAGTTTGGAAAAGAAGAACTCCTCATCAATAACTTTTACCTGGAGTTGGCGTCTAAATCTGTTTTAAAAAGGTTTATGTTAAAGGGGATGAACGTAGGATGAATAAATGAATTTGTTGAGACCTTCTCGAGGACCTGCGGCTCATCCTTCAGACTGCGGTTCAGGTCACTGCGGGCGTACATGCTGAAGTCCTCCACCATCATCTTATCGATCAGCTTCTCCAGCTCACACAACTGGGAACCTAAATGTCTGAGGGACACAAAGACAGCCAGAGACAAAGACAGACACTCAGACGCCATGTAGTTTTGTACCTAATTTCCCTAAATTATAGGGATCAAAGTCAGTAGAAACAGAGATGGGCTTGAAGCTGCTCCAAAAAAAGGCAAAGAGTCCTCACCTAAAGCTGTGGATGCCCTGAAGCTCCTGCTGCAGCACCTCCTTGGTGGTTGATATGAGCTCTAACGCTCCAACAAACTCAGACGTGGAGAGCAGCAGCTGCACGGTGGGCTGTGTCTGATGCACCGCCGCCATCAGTTTCAGCTTGTTGTGCAGCTTCACGCAGTTGTTACGAGTCAGCGCAGTACGGAGGGCCCGCAGAGGCCCCTGGCACATCACCTTGTCGATATCAGCAGTCCGGCTACGCAGAACGGCCACGGCTCGCTGTGTCTCCTGCAGACGATCTTGGAGCTCGTGCTGAGAGGACATGGCGTGGAAAAACGCATCAGAGCGCAGAGAGATCTGCCGGGCGATGCTCACCTCCACCACGTCCAGGTAGTGACTCAGCTGAAGGAGGAGAGGAGACAAACTGATTGACATCAAAACTAATCACAATCACCTGTACTGTAATTATTTAAGGTGACACGGATGGTGCGAGAGAGTTCACCTTCTCCTGTAGCAGTTTAGAGGACGCCACGTCTCTGCTGCTTCGCCCCCCCGCGCTGTTAAAGTGAGACCAGGGCAGGACGGCATTGAAGGTGGCTGGATCCTCCAGAGCAAATTCAGGCTTCATGAAGATCTAAATATTCAAAACACAGACAAACAGGAACCAAAGATCAGGGTGTAAATAGCACAAATTAAACTGCATTAAAATTGAGAATATAGGAGAGAAGAAGTTTCACCTTTGGGACCTGTTCAAGCTCAGCTTTGGATTTTTCTAAAAAAGGACAGAAGAAGAAGACGATCAGTTTGAAAGTATCAATAATATCAATGTTGGCAAAAATCTTACATTGTGCATCCCAATGAAGAAACATACTGTAGTACTTTCAATTTGCTTAAAGAAACAATGTCATGCTGACCCTCACACACAAACAAAACAATAAAACAGTCAAGAAAAGACGCACCAGTCCATGAGAAAGATATTGATACGAGTAGAGCTTGTTGTTGGGGTGAAAAAAAGTTACATTTAAGAGGTGAGCAGAAACTGTCAGAAAGTCTTTCTTAAAACTTTCTTCTGGCCTTTTTCAAGTTAAATATATCTTCATTATTTTACATCTTCATCAAAACGTAAAGTAAGCCTTTATCTGTTCAAATGTGACATTCGGCTTCGTATCTGACTAATAAAAATAAAAATAACAAAACATGGAAAAACTTTGCTTCATTTGTTTTAACTTGCTGGAGAACCTTGCGTGTCGGTTCTGAGGGCCTGAGCAGCTGCTGAGGAGTACTGCACTGTGCGCTGACAGTGTGAGGTCTGTGTCGATCTACGGTGTATGTGTGTCACTTAAGGTCATTTATGGACTCAGGAGTCAGCGAGCATCCTGCAGCAGCAGCTGGTTAATAATTCATACCGTGGTTGGTGGTGATACTTGAGACAGCATCTACATCGTCTTTGTTGGGACAGATCGTCTTGCAGCGTTCGTGGATTCTTTCTCTCTAAAGATTAAAAAAAAAAACAGAAAACATGTTAAAATGATTCAGGAGTTCAACTTTAACAACCACACAAAGGAGCTAAAATGTCAAAGGTGGCCTGGAGGGGGTGCTAAACGACAAAATCATGAAGCCTTTAGAGGTCCAAGTTCCTGCTGTGGGGTCACATGGGAGCGATAAAGCAGAAGAGAGCAGGAATAAGGAAGTATGTAAGGAGTGAGTGACTGCTGATCATCATCTGTGTCATGAGCTGAAGTCGTTACTATGAAACCTGAAGGAGAAAATAACCCTGGTGCTGCAGAAATATGAGGAAATAAGCAGCAGCTCTTAAAAGTGGACAGTTTTTGAGAGGAGAGTGAAGTCAGTTCAGCGGAGGAGTCTGCGGACTTCAAAAAAATATTGTAAATGTTTGGCATCCTTCAGAAACTTGTAGGAAGTGAAAATGAGACAGAGAAATGGAGATTAAAATAATGGAGGTGAAACTGCTTGAACCAGATTCCTGACCCACCTACAGCAGGTTGAGCCAAGCGGAAATAAAGCAGGTATCCTACACGTTCAACCAGTTCAGAGCTCCACCCTCCTCCAATCAGCATCACCCACAGCCAGTCTGTGGCGCTCTGAGCTGCATGATGCTTAATGAATCCTTCTGAGACTCAATAATTCAGGGGGGGTGTTACCTGAGCCATCTCCTGCAGGTAGGGGCCGAAGTGTTCCTTGGTGATGTTGGGGAGGTAGAAGGAGGCCATCACCTCCGTCTCTGCAAAGTCCAGCCCCCATGTTTTAGTGAAGAAGTCCGACTCCCGTTTGGCAAGGCGGGGGTCGTTCAGAGCAGCGGGGAGATTGACCTTCGAGCTGTACACCGTCCACCTGTCGTGCTCCGCCACCACAGAGGGGCCGTCACACAGGCCCCGCCCCTCACCTGAAGTAAATCAAGTCAGGAGGTTTAGATGCTCATACAACTAAAGCATGATGTGCTGAAATTATAAATAAGTAAAGAGAAAAGTTACAAATGCCGCCCCTCGCCTCTCTGTGAGAGACTGCACGAGCAAATGGTTCAACAATTCTAGAAAAATGTTCCTGAGCCAAAAACATCAAAGAATTAAAGATCATTACAAGACTCAGAGAATCTGCAGATATCTGTACAAAAGGGACGAGGACCAAAAACCAATCCAACCTGGAGGGTTCGTTTTCTATCATGGAAAATGATGTGAGCTTTGGACTGAAGGTGTTCTTACCTGTGGGTTCCTTGGGACAGACATCAGGCAGAGAGCGGATGGGCCTGAAGCGAGGTGGAGAGGGATCTCGCTCCTTTGGATAGATCCGACCTCGGCCTCCACTGCCAGGACGAGGCACTGGGGAGGAGCTGTGGCTGGAGGCCATGGCATTGGGACTCGCCTCCCAAGAGGCTAGCTGGAAACAATGACAAGACTTCAAATATAACTGCTTTTTGAAGGATCAGATTTCAAACATAAATTCAGACACTTTGGGGCTTTATTCTGCACCACAAGTTGTTTTAAAATCCACCCATCATTACCTGAAACACAGAAAGTGCCTCATCCTCTCAGGGTGACTGTTCGAGCTTTAGACAGCTGTGTCTGAACTGCTTACAGAATAACAGGAAGTAACACCTGTTGGGTCTTCATGCAGGTGCAGCAGCGTGCAGCACTTTCAGGAAAAAGATACTGACTGACTCAAAGTTCAACTCATTCTGACACCACTTTAACACCTGCACAGTTCAGATCATCACATTTATACTTCATATGAAGTTTCCTCTCGATGCGTTCGCTGTTTGCACCTCACAGAGGTATTTACTTGAAACCCTGGTTTACACAGGCAGTTGTGACTTGGTTTCACTCTGACTTTATTTCAGTTCCTGACTCAGATACAGAGGACCACTTTCATACAGTTGGATTAGTGTTTGTATCTTTGTTGAGGATGCAACAAGGAAAATGAGACACTATAACATGTCTGAGCTGCTGTGATCCATCCCTGACTTTATTCAGGGCTGATGATCCATCCTCTCACCTTGTTTCCCTTTTTCATCTCTTCTAATATGTCACTGATTTATGATTTCTCCACTTTGGTTTATAAGTTAAATATTTCATCAATGGTACTAGTTTTTCATAGTTTCTAATAAAGCGGGCCGGACAGGATTTAAATGTAACATCTTGACATCAGTAAACATGCTATTAAGACACGTGTTCAGTGCCTCCGCATGCTGTGAATGACATTCAAAGAGCTCAACAATGAGCAGTTATCAGAGTGTATAAATGCAGAGCAGTTTTGAGATAAAACATGGATCTTGGTGTTAAAGACGTTGATCTTTTTCTCTGTAACTAAAAGCTTCAGTCTGCGGCACTCTTTTTAATTTAACATCAGGAACAACAGGCTACACAACCAAACAAAAGGTTTGTCCCACATCATCACATAAGTTCCAGATACTCTACTTTTGCTCTGGCGCTCCTTTTGTATGAAAGATGTTCACAAATAAAAAGTTTATCATCATCATTTAATAATTTTTTTAATCTAATGAAGGTCAGTGAAGCTTTCTGTCAATTTGAATCTAAGTGGAAAGGTGAGATCTGGCCACAAGCTGGAAACAATTTTGGAGAATCATGTCGATGGAAAGTATAAACATGCACTTAAATTCATCTCTGTACTATAATATGATTATGGCTTTCCTAAAGCAGGCTGTTCAAATTTTAAAATATGTGCTTACTTTAATTTACACGCTGTACTTTGCTCGTTTTATGAGCACATTTCTGAGTAGTATTTGTGCCTGGCTTTTAACAGTCATAATAATAATGAGTTTTTATAAGTAGCAATCAGCACTGAAAACTCTCTGTCTTGTCCAAATGCTTCTACACCATGTTTATGATTATTTCATACACATTTTGCTGACTTTCTTAGTTCTGTTTGTTCTCTTTAAAAAGGAAAAATCTGTCTCTTTATCTGCTAAATTCCCAGTTGCAGCCACTAATGCAGATAAAAGCACACAGACTGAACCTGACGGATTTTAAACCAAATCTGCGACTTAAGCAGACTCAGAATAAAACCTAAGCGGAGTCAGCTGATTATTCTCTGAGGTTTTGACTTTTATACCACAAAGTCAGCCATATGAGCCATTGTTAACATAAAACGATTAGTCTAGCTTTTCTTTCACTTTACAGAAAGCTGATTCTAGCCAAAGAAAGGCGAGTCCATGAAAACTTAACATAGGTTAGTTAAACTCATCAAGCCAGCAGTGATCGTACGGTCGAAAAGTTTAATGATGAACTGCAGTCAAAACAAAAACCTTGTGGTTTTCCGTTTAAGGGCCAAGCATGACTACCTACTGAGATGTGAAAATATTACAATCTCCGGAGAATGAAAACAATAAATCATGTCTCTCAGAACACTCCATTATAAGCTCAAACCTGTCTGGTTTTAGACAAAAGCACAGCACTGTTGCAGCGAGCACTCTTGTTTTAAACAGCATCATTTCAGCCTTAGAAACACTCTGCAGCTCTTTTAATTCATTTTCCCAAAACATTAGACAAAGTTAACCATGCAATGCTTTTAAAAAAGATTGAAAACATTGGCTTTGATAAAATGCACCCAGCTGCCTTACGAGTTTTCTGATGGAAAGACAGTAGTGTTTCATTTTGGGAGTTGTAAAATCAGAACTGGTTCAAACAAACGGTGTTCCACAAGGTTCCGTCATAGGTCCTGTTCTTTTTATGCTTAATAAAAATGATGTTGTGCCTACTCTACTCCACTCTACTCCACTCTTAGTTGTGACTCCATAGCGGTCTCAGCCATCTTCTATTTCAGAACTGACTGAAAAAACTGGTGAGGAAAGCTCGCTCTGGTCAGGACTGCCCTCTGTAGAGGTGGTAGGGGAAAGCAGGATGATGGCTAAGTTATCATCTACCATGGACAATGTTTCCCACCCCTTACAGAGACTTGTAACACTTCCTTCAGTGACAGGTGTCTTCACCCGTGGTGTGTGACAGAGAGATACTGCAAGTCCTTCCTTCCTGCTGCAGTCAGACTGTTTAAGAAGGCCTACTTCCAGTAGTCCGGGTTTTTTAGCACAACTAACAAAGATTTGCTAAATAAGGTATAATAACTCAAATGGTGTGCAATAACATGTCCAATTCTTTTTGTTCACTATTATGAACTGGTTTTTTTTTCTGTTGTTGCTTTTTTCTAACCATTTTTATATTGGTCTAAGTTACATTTTTTTATAACTATCTGTACACTGTGTGCATGAGTGTACTTGTTCTTCTATGTTTGTTATGCTGATCCTTTGCTGCTGTTAGCCCCCTGTGTGATGAATAAAAGTTCATCTTATCTTATCTTTGTACAGACATGCTACAGCTGCAAACTTAAAACCCTTGATGGTGTTATTCCTTAAGCAGTCAGGCATATTACTGCCGCTCGTCACCACACCCATCACTACATCCTGTACAGAAAAGTTGGTGACTATCTGTTCATTTATCAACAAAAAAAAAAGCTTCAGTTTTCTCAGCTCTGAGGATTCATCTCCATTTTTCTTTTGAGTGACAGTAAACCGAATTTCATTCAGTTTTAAACATTTTTTGTAAATTTTAGAGTAAGTTCATATTTTTCAGATATTTTACAGAAAGAAAAACAACAGTCATATTGAACACAAAGTCTTGAGTCTTCGGCACAATTCTTTGCTGTAATAAACATGACTCATTCAAGCTTTTACATACTGTTAAAGCAGAAGAAGCTGAGACAGTAAAGCAGAGACAGTCGGGTCTAATCTTCCAGCTCAGACTGAGGAGGTGTGGAGAACCTCCTGATAATCCCATCAGAGAGATGAGAGGATTAAATGACACGTCTGCAGCCTCACTCTTTCAGCACTATTTTTGCCAACACATGACAAACATCACTAAGGAACTTCAGGGTTAGAAATTAAAGCCGAAAACTTGTCAGACTTCCCAGAACCAGACTTCAGACGGCTCCTGGAGCATCTTTCATCAGGAACTTTGAGGTAAATATAGAGAAAAACGACTGCTTTTCTTTTATAAGGAACACTTGCTCTGAGGTTTGGATGCATTGAAACAAGACCGAGACGGATGAAAATCATTGTTATTCGCTGTGTCTATGCTTACAGTTTTACCAACAAATGCAGAGAGAAAGCTGAGTATATTATTAGTGTTAAATAATGCTGCACAATATATGGTTTGGAAATCACAAGTGCAGATTGTGCATGCGCAATAATCACGTCGCAGGACTAGCAATATGTGTCACAAAACCTGAATCCCATTATGCTGTCACCACTTCCTCGATACCCTGGATTTGTCTACGATAAACATTATCTGAAATCACTTTAATGCAGCCCCCACGAAGGGAAACTGACCGCTGTGCAGACAGTGTTTGGATCTGTGTGACATGACTGTAGAATGTAAACATACACATGAGACCACACCTGAAAAAGAGACACGTTTAATAAAGTGTTGTCCCGATCATGTCGGTGCCCATTACAGGGTTCCTATACATTTTTTAAAAATCGAATTAAAAGATTCAGGACTTTTTAGGACCCAAACAATAAAAAATCTAAACCTTCTTTGTGCGGCAGAATAATGGTTATTTACACAGGTGAGTCATAATAAACGTACTTTAAATATCAAACACTAATACTATCTGATTATATATTTTTAAGCTTAAGTTTTTCAGCTGTTTTACAGTTAGGTGCATTTATGTGCCAGGAACTTCACTGTTTTAGCAGATGATGCTGGAGTTTGTTTCATTTTAAAGCCAAATACTTTCAATTTTGTGTGTTTATTTACGGGAAATTGTCACGTGAACAAGGAACTAGTGAACAGGGAAATTTAAGACTTGTGACAAGTGAAAGTAAAACTTTTCAGACATTTTAAGGGCTTTAATTTTATGGACTGAATTCAAGACTGAATTTATTATCCTGTGACTTGGGTTCACTTTGGTGCACACATGGAAACACTCCGAAATCTTACCTGATTACCTGAATTCCTCTCAACATTCAACACTAGGGGCCGATGCCCATTATTGGGGGGGGGGGGGGTCTGATTATGGTCTGATCAGCAAATTTTTACAGTATACTATATGATGTAGATATACTGAAGGCTACTGCTCCTGTATTTCACAAACTGGTTTATTTACATTTGAGGCGGACCACTCTCCTCCGTGCGTCCCTGAGCTTCCTGCTTCAGATCCGTCAATGTTCTGGGCTGTGAGGTAGTTAGTGAATGAAGACTGTCACGAGGTCGCTGCGCCATCTACAGGATAAGTCGGGGAACTTTTCAAATGGCGGAACATTTTTGAAGTGAAACCAAATCTCATTCTTCGCATTTTATTTCTGAATATATCGGCGACAATCTGCGAGTTTTTGCCGATTACCGATTAGTCTCAAATGGGCTGCAATTGGCCAATTTAATCGGCTCACCGATAAATCGATCGGGCCCTATTCAGCACTGTGCCATCAAACAGGTAATAGTATTTTGATGGGCCTAAAATATTTATAGTCATCAGACACAGTATACAGGAGCCCAGTGAAGCAATGAGAGATTTAATATGTGTAAAATTAGTTGGAAAAGCGTTTATGATACAATTAGCCATGCCTATAATTTAATGACAATAACAGAATCAAAACAAGGGTAAAGAAAACAGCTTTTGTAAAATCATCAAATAATTTGTGGAGACTAACTTGCAATGCTCAAACTCAGAAATACTTCTGAGGAAATAGAAATACGTGACCAGAAGATCTAAACTTTGACTTTTATAATGCAGCTGTAAACTCAATCCACTGTTACTCTCTCCGCGTGCTTCACCTGTCCAGTCCACCTGTTGAGTAAATTACTGATATGTCATTGTAATGATGCATCTTTTGGCACACTTTCCTCTTATTTGTGTATTTTTAGTCATCTAAACCCTACATCTAAAGTTATTAAACATTAAAGCTCACTATAAAAATCAGACAGCTCCTACTGTTTCAGCTTTATTCCTCAGTTACATTCTCCGAGCTGACAGTAAACACAACAACAGCAAACGGAAACACGAGACACTTCAATCGAAGTCCACTTTCGATGTCAGGACCAAAACAATTCCGAACACCCGCGACCCGACCCAGAAGCTAACGCTAAAGCTAACGCTGTGCACTGGGGTTACACGTAGACTGGCTAATGCTAAAGCTAACAGGCTAACTCTGAGAGGCGGGGTTTAACACAGACACACAGGGCTGTTCGGTCACAGCGGTGGTTCGGCTGGTTCCGTACCTGTCGTTTGGAGCACAGCAGGAGGTGTTTCTTCTATTAACCATCACAGACACACCGGAGGACCGGGAGGGAAACGACAGCGGTAGACAATTCCAGTTTACCGACCATCATGCACTACAGGAGGCGGGGCCGCGGCAGCTTCTTCTTCTACTGTCATAAACTTCGATGCCTGCCACCTGCTGGACATCCGGCAGTAGCGCTATAGAGATTTCTACTGTTTTTGTTGCGTGTTCTTCTTTGTTTTATATCTGTAAACACTTATCATTATTAAACTATACCCCCAATGAGTGTACTATTACTGCTGCAACCTTCTCTATATGACCCCCTACTAATTTAACAATATTTTTGGTTATCATGGACCCAACAACCTCTGCTCTCAAAATGGAGAGGACCATTTAGCTTGTTAACAGCACACACTTTAAAGCCGGTTTCCCTGGTGGTACAGGCAACTTGTTTATCTATGTAGTTCATTTATTAGGGACAAGCTGTTGACAAAATGATAAACACGACCCTGCAACAACGATTTGAAACATGCTGCCAACAGGAAATTTGGAATATACTTTTCTTTAAACAAATCGTTTTAACATTTGAAATGTCTTTACATTATTTCAAATTCAGTAAAGGCTTTGAATAATTTGCAAAGCATGTTTTTATCAACATTTTATGGAGTGTTCCAGCTAATTAGAAATCAAAGATGTCAATTAAATCTTATCTTTTAAGATGTTTCACATCTATTAAGAATTAAGAACTTTATTGATCCCCGAGATGAAATTCAATTGTCTGTTGTCTCACATAATATGTCTATAAAAGTTATCTATTATTTACATAAAAGTTATAAAGTCTGATGGCTGTTGGTACAAAAGATCTTCTGAATCTTTCTGTCCTGCAGCGAAGAAAGAGGAGCTGTCCACCACCATTGGCCCTTTGGTCCATTAAGGTGTTGTGAAGTTGATGATCCATGTTCTTAAGAATAATCTCCACCTTCCTCAGTGTAGATCTCTCCACCACATCCTCCACTGAGTCCAGCTTGAGTCCAACCACAGAGCCAGCCTTTTTCACCAGTTTGTTAAGATGTCTTGCATCTTTGTGTTTGATGCTTCAACAACTTTCTATTGTTGTCATTTACGCTACCAATTTCACATGAAACCTTTTTTTTTCCAACAAACTGGTTATATCTGAAGACAGCTACACAAGAAAGTGTTTAACAGTTTGGCCTCAAGGTGGTGCTGCAGTACGGTTCATCAGTATGTTTGTGTTTCAGGTCAAAGGACAACAACTTTCAGGTTTCCAAAACATGTCTAGTATATTTGTTGAGTTATGGTACAAAATTTGTATGAAAGTCAGGTGATTACAGTGGCCCTGAAGGTTCACTGGACAAACATTTTCTGATGTTAAAAAAACATTCCTCTGCTTCCCAAAAACATTTAATCAAATAAAAAGTTCCAGTATTTCCCCAAAACGTCAAAAATTCACAAAATATTCAAAAATATTAGAAAACCTTCAACACTGCACAACTCCCATAAAACACTTTTTTCAAACTCAGAAACTTTCCAGAAAAGCAAAAATATTTCACCAAATAAAAAATAAATCCATAAAATAAAAACATTTTATGAGACAAAAAAATTCACCTTTGCCAATATTTTTGTGGATGTTTAATGATTTTTTTTGTTGTTTCAAGAAAATGTTTTTGCATTTGCAAGAGTTCTTTTAGATGTTCTGTGATTTTTTTTTCTATGTATTCCTGTAAACATTTTTGCATTTTGTTTTTTTCCAAGTTGTAATAAATAGGTTTTGCTCTTTGTGAAATTATTTCACATTGCATAAAATATTTTTTGTGTTTCATGAATTTATTCTCATTGAATTAATTCTTTTAGCATTTAATGAAATGCTTTTGTGCTTTTGAAATGTTTCAAAAGTTCAGAGGCAACAAACAGTGTTACAGGAGAAAAAAAACACTTGATTCCAGTGAGATGGAGCAAATACAGAAACTTTCTCCCTTCTGTACTGCGATCAGACACCTGAGAGAAAAACAAGAAAATTAAGAGGATACACTCTATTCAATCAAAGGAAATAGCCTTTTAGATTCATCTTAGCACTTCAAGGGGAAGTCATCTACTGGAGAAAAACCTCAACTTTTTATACTAAGTATGATAATAAATCCAGGGTTTGAAAACACTGGTGTCCTCTATGAGGTGTTTTTTAAGGCACAATGAGACAGACATGAGCTGTTGGAAATATCTATGGAAAACAGAGCTGTTAAATCCCACACTGATTTACAAAAAGATCCCCAAGGAGGTCAGAATAAATAATAAAGCATTCAGACAGGATCACAGTACTTCTGCAGCAGTCCATGGAGATGTTTCACCACCTTAGAGGAAAACGGAATCAACCCACGTATTTAAAAGTGTCAAGAATCGTCCTGTAAAAGTATCAAATTTAAGTTAAATTAAGTTAAAAATTAAAAATAAAGGTCCAGAGCCTGAAGTTCAGTCCTCAGAGAGGTTTTAGTCCAGGGGGCTTTGAAAGATCAGTCTGACACAGCCGGACTCTCCACTCAACAGCTGGATGCAGAATGGGCAGATGGCGTGGAAAGTGTGCGTGCCGTGCGGCAGCGGGATCTGACTCCAGTAGGCCGCCGTCTTCTCCGAGCAGACGTGACCACAGGGGACAAAGGCGTGGGTGGGGGGCTCTGCGTCCACATAGAACCCTGCCTCACAGCCCAGCCACAGCGGCACATAGGGGCCCCTCGATCTGCACATAGGGCACTCCCTCTCCTGACACTCTGCCTCCACCTCTGGATTGCGGCGCCCGCCCCAGCTGTGGTAGCCATGCACGTGTCCGCAGCTCATGTAAGCCCATGGCTGCTTTTCATCCAGGACGTCCTTTCGGCTGAGGCTGGGGAAGGCAAGAGTGTTAAAGCCCACGGGGCACTGAGGTCGCCCAGCGTTCAGCTCCTGCCGCAGCGCCTCCAGGTGTTTGACGGTGGGAGTGTGAGACAGGCCTTCGGCCGTCCTCCACAGCAGGGTGGTGCCGCACAGGTCGATGAGTGACCCGTCCATCAGCTTATTAGACTCACAGTCCACCTGAAAGACAGACAAGTCAGCAACATTACAAACTAAGAGCCTGCAATCAAATAATAATCAAAGGTACCCTGCAGAAGTCTTTCATTTTCAGAAAGTCGAATCAGGAATCTGACTGAACTGATTGAACAATAAGTGCACTCGACCTAATAAACTTAATGACTTTACATAATGATTTCATTCTTATCACATAACAACTTTGCTCTCATATTATATTAACTTTATCCTAGAAGAACATGTTTTTATTTCAATAACAACTTTGTTTGAGTCACATAGCAATTTTATTCTAGAAACAAAAAGACTTTATTCTCATAACAACATCCTTCTTCTTCTCTATATTCTTATAACATAAAGACTCTAAACTAGACAACTTTATTCACAAATCATACCCACTTTTTCTCATAATTTTACATCTTTATTCTCATAATGTAACGGTTTAATTTTTGTAACATGAACACTTTATTCTCACAGCCTCTCAAGTTATTGAGACCCCTATTCTCTCAAGTGAGAAACATGAGAAAACTCCAACAGAAGCTTTATATTCAGTAAAACCACAGTTCTCCTCAAGTGTAGAGGGTCACATACCATCCTTCCCCTCTGCTGAGATGATCTGGTCTCCCTCAGCGTGAAAACGTTTCCACAGACAGAGATCTCCCTCCACAGACCGGGTTTGGAGTCCTGGTTGAAGCCATGATGTGGGTGCATCACAAGAACGCCATTTGTGGTCAGTCCGTCCATTTGACCATCCTGCATCCTCCACTTGGCGGCTTTCTCCTGTAAAAAAATTAAAGTATTTGAGTTCAGTGCAGAATTAGCCATTTGTACTTTCAGCCTCAGACAGCAGGGATCAGAGCAGCGCACCCCAAGAAAGATGTTCTTGGAGGAGTCGAAACCAGCGGCGTAAATCCGTGCGGAGTACGGCGGGTTTCTCTGGCAGATGATGCGGCAGGCGAAGCGAGAGATGGTGCTCTGTACAGCCTGACCATCCACCTGGTCCTGACCTCCAGGCAACATGTCCGTCACCACGAAGTCAATAGGAGTCTCAGTGGAACGACCGATCTGTGACAAGAGACACACGCAAGATTTACGTTTCCAAATCTGGAAATTTCAAGTTGTCACCTGTAGTTTTTCTTCTAGTTAGAAAAGTAGATTACAATTGTTTTGGTTTAATGCACCCACTTTGAGTTGGTTCAAATTGTCTTGTGTGGATTTATATCAGGGTGGGAAAGAAGCATGAAAACATACAGGTCACAATGTGTGGAAGTTCTATCAAAGCAAACTGTGTGCAGTCGTGTTGATTCTCATTTCCTCTTCTAATTCCTCAATTCTGAGAGTTTTCCGTTCCTAACTGACTCACCACAGCCATTTATGGGTCGAGGAAATTCAGACTATTATGCAACAGGAAAACAGACAAAATCAAAGCTCGAGTTTTATGGCTTTGAGGTTGAGATACATGCAGAAATTTCAGACAGTGGAGATTTCCCAACAGAGAATTCCACTCAAAAAGTGATGTGATCCACAGATAAAATAAAATCACCAAAAATAATCTGGATGTTTCAGACCTGGAACATGTCCGTGTTGCAGTCATGTGTGTACTCCACCACCACCGTCTGAGCCCGGGACAGAGTGTAGGAAATACTGTGCTGCTCCTTGTTGCTTATAGCCTTTAAAAACACAGACAGATGACCATTATCTCTAAGCTCTTTTTGTTTGTTGAGATCCTCTCATTCATGCATAGCCCCTCAGCCACATAAAACCCAGCTCTCTCTTCCCATTCAACAGCATCTTGTGGCTTTTATCACAGCTCAGAGGTGAGGGGATTGAAGGGAATCAGAGGAGCAATAACTGACGATACACAAGAGCAGCCTTTCTGAAAATCTTTTTGATTTAAAGTCGCCCCAGTATTGTGTATCACCTATTGATTGGATGCTTAAGTGTATTGGAGCTCACTAAAACATCACATAATCACTGGAGTTAAAAAACAGAATAGATGGACCTGAAAATCATCAGTAAGGGGAGCCTTGAAACAGATCTCGAGGTCTACTGCTCTATCTTTTGCGCTGTGTTTGATTAGCCTGTTTTAATTCAGATATCTTAAACTGTGTGTGCAGCTCTCACCTTTGCAGCCTGAGGTGTGCAGGAGGAGTGGACCGTGCTCGGTTTCACTCCGTTGGCTTTGTTTCTGCGACACAAAGCAAAGCGACTTTTCCTCCTGCCCTTGTCTCCATTGGGCAGAGAGCCGTTACACCTAAATACACAAAACACGAGGCGGAAAATCTCAGAAAATATTCAAAGATTCATAAAGGTTAATCACGGTTTGAAGAAATTTGCACAGCTTTGTTGGAGCATAGTTTGACGTCAATGAGTAAAGCTGTCTCATGTCTAGTTTCAAAACAACAGTAAAAAATGTGTGAGAGTTTTAAAGATTATCACTTCTCCACAGAACAACAGAAGAAATAGGCAGCTCACAGTCAACCTTAACAGGACAGAAACAGTGTCATTGTTATAAAGCAATAGTTCACAACTAAGTCACTGACACCGGCAGGCTGCATTGATGAGAATCAAAATATTGCAAAAAGTTTCTCAAACTTTGCCAAAGTTTTTAGAATACTGCAAAAGTTTCTGAGGATCTTACATACTTTACCGGGGACCTGGCAAAACTAGTAAAAATCTAGCGAATATTTCTCAAAACCTGGCAAGAGTTGGCAGGCTCATGAAGCAGTTTCTCAGACCTCATTGTTCTTTTCATTTCCCTGGAACTTGCAAAAGTTTCCCTGGGTCTTGAGGAAGGTTTTCAATGTCTTGCAAAAGATTCATCTTGATCAAAAATTTGCCCCAAAAATGTTTCAACTCTCTGAAAAATACTCTGGATCTTGCAAAAGTTGATGGGCTAAAGCAAAAATTATTTTAGGATTTTTGCTAACATGTTTTATTTTTCCATTTCTTGGGGTTTTGCAAAAAATACTCTAGTCCTCGGAGAAGGTTTTTCACAATTCTGCAAAGGATTCTCAGAATTTGCAAAAGTTCCTCAGACTCAGAAATATGTGGGCTCATGCAAAAGTTTCTCAAGATATCTTTTTTTTTTTTTTAGATGCTGTTAAGATTCTCATAATTGTATAAAAGTTTCATGAAATCTTTCAACATTTCTCAGGATTTTGCAAAAGTTCTTAGTGGTCTTATGGATGTTTTTGTGATCTTACAAAAGTTTGTTTGAATCTCAAAAATAGTTTCTTGGTAGTCAATTTCTATGATCCTGTTTAAGGTTTTTAGAATAAAAAAAAAGTTTTTCTAAATTCGGCTTTTTTGTAACCTTGTAACCTCTTTCATAACCTTGCAAAAGACGTTTCCCCAGTTCTTGAAAAAGTTCCACTACATTGTACAATAACTTCTCTTAAAACTTTTTAGGATGTTCAAAAAAATGTTTCTTCATGTTGAAGTTTCTCTGGCTCTTCCAAAAATTTAACAGGTTTCATAGAATAAAGTTTTGTGTGAAGCCACTCAAGTTTTTTCCTTCAAAAAAGTCACCTCAGACACACTTTATTATTCTGTTTAATGGCAGTGTTAAAACAAGTGTGTATTCAGTGTGTATTTGGGGATATGGGTCACTCAAGTTAGCAAGTTAAAACATCTTCATCTGCCAAACCAGTTGCTGTCCAGCTATTTGTATTTGTTTAACTTTAAGATCAACTGATTTATTCTAAAAATCACATCTGATCATTTTTCTTTAAGTTTATCCAGTAAAATCTTGACTTGTGGATCTTGTTCATTGTCCAGGAGCAACATGGATCCAGTTGAGTAGAAAGTCCAGAGCAGAGACTTCAGCTGACTTCCTGACTGAAGGCCTTTCACTGCAGAGACAATAGAGAGCCTGTGGTTCAGGGATCTGGGCTGCTGTGGTTTCAGACCTTTTGTTTGCTTTTGTCTTGGTGTTTTCGGAGCTGGCATGAAGCTGTGTGGAACCTGAGACTGTCTCCGTTTATGTCAGACGAAGTATAAACTTGTTTGAGGTGATAAAGAGTGAATACACTGGCTTGAAACTTCTCTAATTAAAGACTTAGCTTGAGGTTTTTGCCCCGTCAGTGGAGGATTTTCCTCCATACGTGATTTCCGTTTGAGATCACTTAAATGCAGTCTCTCATTTAAAATACACTCATTTTCTCTGGAGTAAGTTCCTGTATTTTTCATTTTGCAATATTCATCACTAAAATGAAAAAAACACTTCATTCTGTTCAATATCATTCAGCCCTACTAAACATGCCATTTATCTGTCTGCCTAAAACCACCATTATTCATCATATTTTCTGATATTATGAGCTACATTATGACCATTTCTTCACAGTTTGAACTCCACGCAGGATCCTCTCAGAGGGAGAGAAATCACCGAGTGAGTCTGGACTGAAAAACAGGAAGCCGTGGTGCTAATTTGGTTTAATTTATCCACTCGAGCCATCGGGACGCCGTTAATTACAGCTTTAACTGACTTTTACAAAACGTCATGTATTTGCAGAACGCTATAACCGCTGTGGTCGGCAGTAAATCTGAATAGAAAACTTCTGAAGTCAAACGCTGTCTGACCTTTGAATAAAAGTCTGGAGGTTATCTCTGAGCGCAGACGAAGGTCAAGTCAACAGCAAAGTTCAGCTCAACACGGAGCCATTCTTTCAGGGGATAATGCAAACTTCCTGCATTTATTCAGATAAAGTGACCTCCTTTCTTACACAAACTCAGACTGACCTCTCTCCACTCTGTCACACACAGCACGACCTCTGTTTTTACAAACTCCACAGCTCTTTAAAATTAGACCCTATGAGCAGAGTAATTGTGGGTTGTTGGGCCTCTCAGACGGCCTAACTCCACACGAGGACTTTCTAATAGAAAAGCAAACAAAAGATCTGAAACCACAGCAGCCGAGCTCCCTGAAGCACAGAGACAGGCCTCCAGGCAGGACGTCGGCTACTTTCTCTGCTGGGGTTGGGCTTATCTGTGTGTTAAACGTCTCTGAAACAGAGGGTTACTGCTCCTGGGGAGAAAACTTAGTTGTCGACCTCTTATCCGAACCAATGGGAGATGTCATGTTCGATGACAGATGCATTTTCACCAAAATAAAGTGGATCTTTGAGTCCTAGAAACTACTTTTAAAGATTGAAAAAGGTTCCTTCAACAACGTTTTATCTGTATATCCACTGAGATTCAATAACTATGATGCCAAAGGCAACAGAAGGTCATAAGCAACAATGCAGTTACAATTCCCTTGCATCTGCAGTGCAAAATGATTAATATGGTGATTATTACTTCAAGGAAATGATAAAGTAATGATCATAAATGTTCTTCCTTGAGCTGCGTCCCCCCACTGGAGTCTGTAATGGATTGGCCCGAGGTCTCGCTACAAACAAGCGGCTGCTGGAAGAGAGTAGGTGAGTTGTGTTTAGTCTCTTTGCTAAAAAAAATTAGGCCAATCTAAAAAGATGTTTGGTGGCTAGTACTATGGCTAGGACCCTATATGTACTGTTGATGAAGTTAGGTGCTGCTCTGAGCATTATTTGTGGTTATAGAGTGGCGTTTTGGTTGAGGTTTGTTTATGGCTCCTTAGACCGCTGTGTATTGCTATCATGCAGTCGTTACTAAAGTTGGTATAACTAGAGAAGCAAGCGGTCTGCAACATTCATCTCTCGAGGGGGTGTCTAACTCGGTGTTATGGTGTGTTTGACCCTAAATTAATTTTACGCTGGAATATTCCTTTAAGTCAGGATTTTGAAAAACAGTACTTATTCTGAATAAAGCGGCCAGTGAGGAACCAATCTGTAATGGCCCAAACCATCTCCATTTGGAAAACATGCTGCAGTTTCAAGAACACATGCTGAGTCCCAAACCAGCGCAAAAGAGTGCACAGTCTCCCTCATTTCCTCCATCAATTAGATGCTTCTGCTGAGCACCCCTGCAGGTCTGGAGTACTTCATTTCCTTTTATTTTTCTGTTGCAGTTATTTTAGTTTTCTTTTGTTTGTTTTTTCCTCCACACCAGATATAAAATAAACATAAGGTTAAAACAGCAAATCTCCATCATAACCACAATCTCTTACCCAAGCACGATGAGCTCTCCATATTTGACGGGTCCTTTGTTGGAAGTCGGGGAGGTGGGGATGTTGTCCTGACTGAGAGAAAACATCTCTGCAGCCTTCGAGAAGGAGAAGGGGCAAGGACCGTCCGTGTATCTCCCTCAGAGTGTCTCCATCACTTCAGGTTCACTCATCACCTGGAGGAAAAAACAGAAGACATATTTGAATAGCAGTTTAGCAAAAACGTTGACAGAAAAAGCATCATGAAGCTGTAACTAGAGCACTATAAATGACTACATTAGACCCAGACTCTCTTTGTACTGAGGGCAGCAGGGTGGGACAATGTGTGTATTCAGTCCTGCACACTGAGCTGGGTTGTTAAGTGTAAAACATGGGGGTGACTCACAGGGAGTCATGTTTTAGTGTGTTGTACCATGAAGAAGACAAGTTAAGCATTCATGCAGAAACTCAACTCAGAAATAAGGCTGCCAAAGACGACACAGCATCAACAAAACCTACAGAGGACCTCTGTTAGGTCCCCAAGCTTTGAAAAGGGCAATTCCCAGCATCAGCACAGTTCAAAGCCAGCATCCCTGATAGTATAGGGATCATCCAAGTCCATGTCATGGGTAACTTCTATGTCTGTGAACGCTCCATCAATGCTGCACTATACTTACAGGCAACATGTGCTACCATCCAGACAACGACTTTTTCAGGGAAGACCTTCATATTTCAGCAAGACAGTAACAAACCACATTCTCTCTTGGCTCTGTAGTAGAAGGGTCCTCCTGCTGCTAGACTGGCCTACTTTGGCACCTATTGAAAACATTTTGGGCTGTTGAACAGCTAAACTTGGTAAAAAACTCCAGAAACTGGTGTCCTGGGTTCACTTACATTTACAGAGTGTTTGGAAAAGAAAAAGTGATGCAACAGGGATTACAGCACTTTTTACCATTGCTACCTGGTTAATGAGGCCAGAGGTGACCTTAGATGGATGACACGTCTGACAGAGGGAGGACTGAGGGGTGAACAAATGCCAAGTTATGTTAGTCTAACTCTGATGCTCACACCTCCTCCTCTTAGTTCCGTGGGGAAACCCTGCAGCGCACTCTGAGATGTTTATCAGCTGAATTCAGAGCTGATATCAGCGAGCTTCAGAGGGACAGAGACTCATTCACTGCCTATAACAGAACGCCACATGTAGAGGTCGACCTCTGTAGTGACTTCACTCCTCTGGAATAAGTGCCCTTTTGTGCGTCTCGTGCCTCTTGTGGTAGAGATAAAGGGTTTGGTTTGACACAGAGGTGAATCACACGTCCTGCTGGTTTATCCCTCATGTGACTCAAATGATCTCACAGATTGTGACTGACCAGAAAAAGCGAAACCAAGATGGCCATGTTTTGACCACAGATTACAGGGTTTATTGTATGCTAAAATGCCTTTAGGTCTGACTCATACTCATATCAACAGGCTTGCCTTATTGCAGCATTAGGAGTAATGAAAACATGATACCAGACTGCCATGAACTCATCATAGGTCGATCAGTGGCATTTCTTTATTAGCTGCTACCTGCCAATTATGAAGCAATTATGATAAAAATAATAATTTCTGCTCTGACGCCACCTTTAAATGACATTTCCAACCTTACCTGGAAACACCAGAGTAATGCCCATAAAGAGGCAGATCGCATTTATGGAGTGAAGGATGTCAGGGACAGATGGCAGACTGGTACTGACATCCTTGGGCGATATAGATGAACAAAAAGATGGACTGATAGGGTGATGGATGGATAGGTAAATGGATATATGGATGGGCTGATATACTGACTGATGGAATGAGTGACTGGATGGATTAATGGATAAATGGACAGATGGATGAATGGGGATAGTAAAGATAAATTGATGTATTGATAGTTGAATGAATGGATTGATGAATGGGCTGATCGATGATGGAGGGATGGACTGATAATACATCCATGTTTTTTTGAAGAGCGTTTATTGATCTGCATGGTCCCTTGTATATTCAGACTGATACATTAACCCACAATAATTAAGAACAAACAAGTTAAAGTAGGTGAACAGAGTTAAAATAAAAGCATGAGGGTTTACATGTTACCTGAATCACTTCTCAGCTCCGTTTAGCCTCTTATTTTTGTCCGGTACTGACCAAACTTTGCGCCCAGTGTGTGATTTTGAACATCAGCCATCAGGAGAAAATATTCACAAAACCCTTGATCAACACACAGGCCAAAAAAAACAACGCACAACTAAGCCTGTTTACCATGGTATCAGACTGAGATAAAAGTGCGACAAACACACCAAATTGTGTCCTTAACAAGAGGAGGAGTGTGAATGTGTGTGAGAGAGAGTGAGGGGGGAAGGGGGTCAAGGAAACAAAACAATCAGGACTAATAACTCAATTAGCAGCAGATTAGCGCGACTTTGGTCTCATTGCTGAACCATGTAAACAATTTAAATGGATTATTTCAGACATGTTAAGACAGAAATTAGGGCACACTAAACCAGATTAACAATGCTTAATGACAAAAAAGTACCAACCGTTTTTTTTTAAGATGGATGAGAAAAAGTTACCTCCACCAAACTCTATTTGAAAAAAAAACAACAGGAATTTCACTTATTAGAAGAGGGGAGTTGCTGATCTACCTCTGCATGAACAGGTTAATCTGTTTGTGTGACTGTTTGACCACAGAGCTTTTACAAATTCAAAGAGCTTTTCTGTCATACCTGCTGCCAGGATAACCATCATAAAAACTAATTGTAGTACAACCTCTAATTGGTCAACAACCACAACAAAGATGGCAGGTTTCCATTAGCATAGCCAACTAATAACAGAAATAATATTTTGCTGAAATTTACACATAAATCATGACAGAGTACTTGTATTCTCAAGGGATTGGCTCCAGATGGTCTCTGAACACTTTCAATGATGTTATTTAGCAGACACTAATCATACACCAGTGGAGGACACACACTGGAAGTGAGGTAGGTGTCTTGCCCAAGGACACGACGTACAGACTAGGGATAGGGGGGAGTAGAACCACCAATCTTTCAAATGTTGGATGACTGCTCTACAACCTAAGCTACTGCACTTATCTTCTCTGACAGAAACACACAGTTTAACACCTGAAAGATGTGGGGCTCACAAAGCGAGTGGATTTGACTCTAAGTGGGTTCACTGTACTAATGTATTTATGGAGCGGATAATGGAGAAACAACAATATGAAGTCCTATACAACAGCCTTTATGACCCTCCTGTCTTTTGTCCACCATTAGTTGACCCGTTGGTGGTCGTTTGCAATGACTGCATCCCAACATTTTGTGATTGTTTTCTTAGTGTAAGAAAGCTCCAAGATGAAAATTCAAACCAGATCAGATCTGTTCTTTTGCGGAGACAGTTTCATAAAATATAACTGATTTTTTTCTCTGTTAGCAAAAGCTGGTAAAACCAGTGTTTTATCCAGTGAAATGGTCCATCAAACCTTCAGTCTACAACAAAAACTCCAACAGTGACCATCACTGTGGCTCAGCTCTGATTTATTCCAGACATCATTAACAGTCTTTATGTTTTATAGGTCAACATTTGCGTGTGCAGAGGGGTTGACATGTCCTCCAGCAGACAGTTGGACAAATAGGACCAACTTTCAAGTTTGACACGAGGGAACAAAAGCAGCGTCTGTGGGGACAGATGCTCCGGAGGATGGTGCATGTTAATCAGTTTGAGCCGCCCAAACAAAAGGGAGCAGCTGGGCCACACAGAGCCGGACAGACCCGCCTGACAACCACAACTATCACTGGAGCCCTGCCATATTACCACACAACAGAAACACACTGTGGTATTTATACATTTAAAGCTATTTTCTATTATACCACTGCAAAAAAAAGTCAACTTTAAATCAAGATATAAGAACCACAGACACTAAAGTTTTTTAATTAGTAATGCCAATTTTTTTTCCAACAGTCGATATGCTACTGTTGATCAAAGAGCAGGTTGACCAGTGTATGATGCTGATATAATGATGAAAACACATCGCTATCTTAACCAGAAGGTCGATGGTATCATCAGCTTGTCTAAATGATCAATTTTTATTAAAATCCATCTACATCATGTTACTCATCCAAATAAGCAAGTGTTAGTTTTTTTATGTGCATGAAGTAATGAATTTATACATGATGCAATATTGACCAAACATATTGACATCAGTCAACATTCACTCTCGGTATCAGCTGCTAAAAAACAAATAACGGTCAGCAACCAGAAAAAATATTAAACTGACCTTTTTTATACTCAAGATGCATTTGTTTAGGATGAGAAAAAAACCTGTTAACACTGAGAGGACGTTAGCATGACTGAACAGCAGCCACACTCAAAAGACTGCCTGCAGTGTCTGCAGATATCATTTGTTTTTCATGGTTTTAGTCTGCCTCATAAGAACAGGAACGCGCAGAGGATTATATCACAATGACCGGTTAATCGGTCCATCTGTGTACTCAACAAATTTGAGACATATTTCTAAGAACTATTATTAAATTTATAGGTATTATGTTACTAAAAGAAATAAGCACAAAATTAAACAATAAACTAGGAGTATTAGAATGATTCCAGTGATTTAAACCGACTTTGAACAGAATCAATCGCTGAAAAGTTACAAAGGTTAACAGTCTGAAACATAATTATGAATCACATGAAAGTGTTAAACCATACACATTTGCGTATACATTCTAAAGGGAAAACAACTTTATATTTTCCACATAACGCTGACTTTGACGGATTTTTGCATTGAAAAAGCGATATTGTTAATTTTTGCTGTATTAGTCACGGTTAGCGAGTTAGTCAATAACACGAATGGTAAGATAAACTAAACTTGTGACACTACTGACATAATTTTTGAGCTCTGTCGACGAGGAGTACAAGAAACGCCAAATTAAAGATAAAGAAAACTTTTTAGGATCAAACTTACCAAAGTCAATCGACCTCCTGAAATGGTTTAATCTCTCTATTTCCATAAGACGCGTTTTTACAGGTTTAAAAACTAAAACTGTGGAGTTTAAGTAGTTTTCATTAGTCTAGAAACGTTAAAAACTAGAGAGCTTCAGTGTGATCCCTCACCGGCTCCACACTCAAATATGAACCGCCGCGACCGGAAGTGGTGCTTGCTGAAAGTCCTTCAAAATAAAAGTGAGAAATTCAGCACTTTGGTTCTACAGGTGGTTGCTCCACAATAATGAGCAATGAAGACTACTGTCTGAGAAAGGTGTTGATGTTAAGGTTTTTTATACACTTATCTAACTTATGGGAACAGGTTTATCATAGTTTTGAATTTTCAATAGGCTACTAATTTTTTGACAGTTTTCACTCTTAGTTGAATTTTATGGAGATTTTAACTCTAACTTGTATATTTTTGTAGTTTTATGTTTTTTATGGTTTCTGTTGGTGGTTACAGATTCATTTTGGCTCAAGGTAGGACCATGATCTGAATCTGATTAAACATTCTATTGTAAAGGATGTCAGCAGTAGAGCAAACTCCAGCTGTTAAAGTGCTTCCTGAAATGTATATAGTTTTGCTCACACCATTTTTTTTCGAGATAGAAACAGGAACCAGCTTTCATTAAATCCAAGGATAAACAGAGGCATTGAAAAGTAACCTCGAGTCATCATTCATTTACAAACCTGCAGTGTACAAACTCTGAGAGCAGGACTAACCTGCAGGTCTAGTTTGAGAAGAAGATTATCGTCACTCCAGGGAAATGAGTCACATTCAACATCAACATGAGGTTGACATGCGTCACACTTTCTGAGGGTGTTAATCAGTTAAAATCTCCTCTTACTCACTCAGTATGAATCTAAATGTTTATTTTATCATTTTAAAAAATCTACATTAAAGTTCCAGTAAGAAAAGATGATGTGTCCTCCTCCTTTTTTTCTCGCCTCCTTTTCTATAAATAATCCCTAACACTCTACATAATCAGAATAATCCACTGTGATATAAACTGCACAACATCCATTTAAAGTCATCTAAAGTGAGTGAGGCCATCTAGTGTTGAAGCTGCAAAACTGCATCATGTAAGGCAGGATGGGCAGTATTCAGAAATTTCATCTGGAGAGAAATCAATCAATGATACAGAAAATATGCATGTCTTCAGTGAGACAGAGAGAGTTTGCAGATTCAAGTATTATCATTGTCAGGCAGAAACCTCAAATCTTCACATTTTATCTTTTTTTGTGCATAAGTCAATGCTCTTGAACTCCCTTTAAGTCTGTTTGTTTTCCAATCTTAAACATGTGCCAAGTATTCTAAAAGCTAGTGGCTGAAACTTGTCAATGTTTTTCCCAACAGTCTCATAGTTTTTCATTTAAGTTTAGCTTGTTGGAATAAATCTGGGGAGTTCCACATATGGCACTTACCTCTGCAGGTTTGGCATGAAGTGATTCAGTCTCTGAATCCAACAACAGTTATCGGCTGTCACTGTTTGATAATTTGCATTATATGTCTCTTGATGCCAACTCTGTAGATACTTCACTGCAGCCAAAAGTTCAAGATGAACAACTTTGTACCGGGACTTCTTTTGTCCCAATGGTACAACGATGATGTCTACAGCATAACACTGTCATTTTTTTTTTAACTCATCACATAAGCTCCATCTCTTTCATCATTTGCTGCCTCTGATAAGTCCCAGTTTCATTGTAAATAGTAATTCAACACAAAGACCTCTCTTTGGCCAACTTATGGACTTGACAAAGAGGAAATTTTCTTATGATTTCTTGTAATAAACAGATCTTCAATTTGCTAAAATAAAACATGTATTCTGAGTCTCAGTTTCACTGTAAATAAAGTAAAACAGTGGTGAAACAGTGGCTTACATTAGTGGCATAAACCTGAAAAAGAAACTAATTTTCTTGTAAATGAAAGGTCTTAAGTTCCCAAAAGTAACATAATGATGATGTTAATGTGTCGTGAGTCTCAGTTTCACTGTAAATAGTAAGTGTTAATAGTAAGCTTTCCTCTGACCACTTCAACTGTATGACACTGACAAAACACAAAGTTTACCTGATTTTCTTGTTACTGATGAATCTCCAGAAATAATAACAACAATGATGCAGATATCTTATGAGTCCTTGTTTTACTGTAATTCAAAATTCATGCAAAGGCTTTGCTTCTGCTACGACTTATAGTTGTCCTGTCGACAGATTCTCCCACTTGAGCTGTGGATTTCTACAGCCCCTCCAGAGTGACCATGGGCCTCTTGGCTGCCTCTCTCACCAGTGCTTTCCTTGGTCTCGGTTTGTCACTTTAGGTGGACGGCCATGTCTTGGTAGGTTAGCAGTTGTGGCATTTCATTTTTGGATGATGGATTGAACATTGCTCTTTGAGATGTTCAAAGCTTTGGATATTTTTTTATAACCTAACCCTGCTTTAAACTTCTCTACAACTTTTTCCCTGATCTGTCTGGTGAGTTCCTTGGTCTTCATGATGCTCTTTGTTGACTAATGTTCTCTAACAAAGCACTGAAGCCTTCACACAACAGTTGTATTTATGCTGAGACTAAATTACACACAGGTGGACTTTATTAACTAATTAGGTGACTTCTGAAGGCGATTGATTACACTGCATTTTATTTAGGGGTATCAGAGTACAGGGGGCTGAATACAAATGCACACCACACTTTTCAGATTTTGATATGTTTAATTTTTGAAAACCATGTATCATTTTCGTTCCACTTCACAATTATGTGCTACTTTGTGTTGGTCTATGACAAAAAATCTAAAAAAAAATACTTTTAAGTTTGTGGTTGTAGAGTGACAAAATGTGAAAAAGTTCAAGGGGTATGAATACTGTTTCAAGGCACTGTATTTACTTTCCCTTGGACCAATGACTGAACTACAGGCTTTCTATCCTCAAAAGGTACGCCCTTTCCGGATCACATTTCCTGGTGTACTAACCGCCGTGGTAGATACTCGCGTGGCGCGCCCGCCTTTCATTCATTCATCCTCTGAAACCAGACCCGGACCAGTCCACGTTCAGACCCGCTCCGACTCCAGGTGAGTTTTGTCCACCTTTTAATTGTCAGTTCGACCTTAAATCAGTGATTTCCTGGAGGACGTCTGAACGGTTCATCACTCTAAAGTTTACCTCCTGTCCTGTCAGTCTGACTTTGAAACAGTGACGCACGTTGTGCCTAAAAAGGCGCGTTAATTCAATATTTATAAACGCACCAAAACTGTTCAGTTGATTATTGTCATACCTCGTTATAAACCGGACTTCTTGACATTTAGACTGCTTTACTGTACTGTACTCTAAGACTCACCTGTCGATGAAGTCAAAAGTATTTTATTGTGTATTTATAGGACGTACATAGTGCATGCTGTTGCAGGCGGGAAATGTGTTTACTAGTGTGTGGTGTTATCAGATCCTTTGTTCCCATATCCATCAATAAGAAAATGAAATAGTTTGCTGAATTATAGGCAAAAGACAAAAACTAGAATAAATAGCAAGTCTTAATGGCATAATGTACCTAATTAATAAGAATCAAATGTGTGTTTGGTTAGAGAGTCGTCCCGTTTTGCTTTGTTGAATAATTCAAAAATGTTTTTTCATTTTTTAATGTTAATTTCTACCTTAAATTAGAGCCATTTGTGTAAACTTATACTTTGTTTAGGTGTTCAAGGACACTAAATAGAGGTACAATTTAGATGCAGAAATCAAAATACTATGATTAATGTCACTATATTTAAAATTGTACTATTAGTATCATAAAAAATAAATATATATGAGCAATAAAGGTCTGCATTAAAATGACCCCAGAGCAAAGAAGATAAAGGGTATTTTTTTATCATCATCTAAACATCTTAAAAAGTAAACTGGGTCAAATTATCAAAACAAAGGAGTAAAAACTTCCTGCCTATTTCATCAGACGGCGGGAAAACAGGCCCAATAAAGTCATAGTAATCTGCAATCCATGAGTCACTTCCTGTCACTTTCTATTGAATAAACACCTTGTGCACATGAAAAGTCAAGCACGTGTGAATAATGTAACAACTGTTCTTTAGCTGTTAATCCTGGTCTGTCACTTTCTTTCTTTCATTCATCTCAAACTAAAAGAACAACAACAACAAAAAAAAACTAAAATCAAAAACATCAAACAAGATAATACATGTGTACACTAAACAACTGTACATGTCAAAGATAAATTTACAATCACATATGTCAAAAACGAACAGTTTGAGAAGGAATGAAGCAAAGAGCTCATCTAGTCCTGCCTCTTCCTTGCAAATCAAATCTGAATAATGAATGAAATAAAAAACTAATTGTACAAATTACAAAGATCTGTATATATATCCACATATTAGACAAAGTTATCTGCTCCGAACTAAATTGTATGTTACTCAATATAACTATTCGCATATATTATTAATAATAATAATCAGTGTTACGATATTCAGAATTAATATTACTTCAATGCAATCAAGTTAATTTGGCATAAAACCTTTAATTTCTCTCAGGAAACCTTCCCAAAAGAATAAACAAAGTCTAATCTAATCTTTACCTTCTTAACATATGGACTTAAAAACATTAGGACTGTAATCTTTTAACAATGACTCACAGTGAATCATCCAACTGTTATGGCTGTGTTCTTACATTATCATCCCATAAATCTAAACTCTAAGTCCTAAATTGCTGTTTTCTTGTCAAAATCATCCTAAAATAAGAGACGATCATTTTGCCATGCCTTCTTATGTAACAACACTCTGAATGGACACACCCATAGCTCACCTTTACTGTATTTGATCACATATTTATTCTGAGTCTTCCTTGACTTGTTCACAGAAACGCAGCAGAAACAACAGGATGTCAAGCGAAAAGGAGCAGACTCCCCCTGCTGACCAGTGTGTATAGATTTACAGATTTGAACATTTAGTATGAAAAAATATGCTGTTGGTGTGAGAATGCCTTTTTAAAATGATTTTTCTTAACAGTTGCCATGCTGTTGGCCTCATCATCTTCATCCTTGGTGTGGGAACTCTGCTGCCCTGGAACTTCTTCATGACAGCCTCTCAGGTTTCACTTCTTCATTTGCTTCCTTATTTCATGATTAAAAAGTCATCCCATGTATAAAAACTGATGAATCACGTGTTCTGGTACACTTCTGCTGGGTTTCCACCAAACGATTTTCACAGTCCCAGACTAAAAAACTGAAAGTCTTAAGTAAATCTAGGAGTTTTACTGGAGTCACAGCACGCTCTCATCATCTCTATGGTTAGATTTAAAATGGTAATTTACGCTGTTTTATATCAGTCTTTTCCTAGTCTTGGGTTTGCAATAATGTCAAATGTGTTTGATATTATCGCAAATCGCAGTGACTTAACACAACCAGCAACCAGTAAATGAGCTCTCATCACTTTCACTTCAAACAACAGCATCACTTCAAGGCTGCAGGGTACACTCCAGACCACAACTGTTACCAAGCTCTCTGTTGTGTGCACTCTCAGATAAATCTTTTATTGACATTGTGGATATCAATAGTAATCGTCTACACTACAATATTGAGGCAACTATTTAAATTTGATACAATTCAACACATTTATGCCGACATCCTGCTGGTTAAGCAGCAGTCTGGTCTGAATCAATCACTGTGAATCCCAATGGTTGTGTTGAAATTCTCTCACACAATGACTGTAGGAGAGATGCGTTTAAAACCAGGTCTAAACAGGCTCAAAGTCCCTCCTGACTCGCTAACACAGCTGCTATTTGAACATGATGAAATGTTGGTCGGGTTTCTCCTCTTAGTACTTCAATGGACGCCTGAATGACGCCAACATCACGGAGAATGGGATGACTAAAGACTACAACTATGACAGCTGGATGGCCTTGCTTTCCCAGCTGCCCCTGCTGATGTTCACCCTGCTCAACTCTTTCCTCTATCAGTGGTGAGTGGATAACTTTGCACAAAATTAAACAGAAACTAAAATCTCAAACACGAAGAAGTGAGGTTTTATTGGATGGCAGAGATATGGTGACACAGTAGGGGTCAAAATCAAAGAATTATGACGTCACATTTCTCTAATTAACTCAGCAGATTGATCCTGGTGTAACTCAATCATAAATGGATGGATAAATGAGATGTATTTCTATCTGCAGGGTGAAGGAACGTTTCCGTGTGGCCTTCAGCCTTGTCCTCATCTTCGTCCTCTTCTCCCTCACCGCTGCTCTGGTCCAGGTCCCCATGAAGCCAGACACCTTCTTCTCTGTCACCATGGCAACCATCTGGTTCATCAACAGTAAGTCACATTGTCCGTCTAAAAATCAGTTCCAAATCAAGACTGATTCCACCTCGTTTGACATCATTTGACTTGATGTTTAGCTGTTCCTTTATCGATGCCTTCCAGCTGAACATGTTTTACTAAACACAAAAGAATAAACAGATCAGCTGACTTTTAAAGGCCGAAGTTATCTGTGTATCACAGTTTGAATCTTCTTAATTTATACACGTTTTGTGTTTGTGTGTGGACAGTGTGTAGTGCAGTGCTGCAGGGCAGTCTGTTCGGCGTGGTCGGTCTGTTTCCTCCTCGGTACAGCACGCTGTTCATGAGCGGTCAGGGACTGGCGGGGATCTTCGCTGCTCTCGCCATGCTCCTCTCCATACTAAGTCAGTTTAATTACAGTTCATAATAATCGACTGATAACCATAAGTTATTATGATCTCACTTGTTATAAATCTGTCTGTTTATCTCTGCAGGTAATGCAGATAAAAACGCTGCTGCTTTGGGATATTTCATCACTCCCTGTGTGGCCACTCTGGGGACTCTGCTGTGTTACCTGATGCTGCCACATCTGGTAAGAAGACACACTGGAACCACTGACTGTGTACAGACAAGACGTTGTGCATTTATTTGTCACCAGAGCTGTCAGTCACGACATTACATCTGCACTTTTTAAAACTAAAGAATAATTCAAACTAAACTTGTCACATAAATGAACATTTAGGCATGAATCAACGTGGTAACAGCAAAATTTAATGACAGAATAAAGATTTAACATGTATTTTAATTAAACAGTGTGACTCATGTTTCATATGTTAACTTAAAGGAGGTGGGGTTTATGACCTTTACCAAAGCCAGCCAGCAGAGGGAGCTCTAAATCTTTTGGCTTCACAGTCAGTGAACACAGGTGGCAACTGTGACAAAAACACCCAGAAGGAGGCACTGTGAATGTAATATCAACAAACTCTGAGGAGGAAAAGGGGCAAATTGTTACATTTGGGGAGAAATGCTATGAAACATTTGTAACAGAAGTCCTTTTGAAATGCTTTGTGTACCAAAATAAATGAGTGAAACATATGAGAATCTCACAGAGTTCCTAAGGTGTTTAAAGACAACTCCCTGTCTAATTTAATCTTTATATCAATAATGCATTAACATTTTATTTGAGTACTTCGGGGCCTGTGAAGAACCAAACTCTGACAGGTGTGTTTCCGTTTTGCAGAAATTTGCTCGTTTCTACCTAAACAGAAGTCAGACTGATGGTCTGGAGACGGCCCTGACACTCCTCAATGACACAGGTACCTGCTTGTTAGCAACATGCTAATGCTATGTCTTTGATGAAGCTTGAATAACAGTCTTTATGAAACAAATGAAACATGACTTCTAATAACCATGCCAGCTTTCTACTCTAAAGCTAATCTTTTTTCTGGCCGCAGTTAGCTAGCAGTGACAGGGCATGAATATATAGAGATCCTTTAAACTGTTCAAAGTTCAAATGATCACATTATGAGCTTGCTTAGTGAAACATCTTTGTTTATTTTTCATAGTGGAGAAATCACCAAACCAAAACTCTAAAGAGGTAATGGCCAAAGAGACAAATCAGCAGCGTTCGTCAGTCCTGGCTGTCTTCAAAAAGGTAAAAAAAAATTCTCCTATTTGATCACATTTTCCTTTTTTCATGCATTTAATTTCACATATAGTATAAATAATTTTTTTGTTTACCTAAATCTACAGATTTGGCTGATGGCATTTTGTGTGACGTGTGTATTTGCCGTTACTCTGTCGGTGTTTCCTGTGATCACAGTCCGTGTTCAGACGATCTACACCGAGAACGAAGCCTGGAGTGAGAAATCTTTTTCTATGAAGTCTATTAATTTTATCACATGTAAAAAAAACTACTGTCAACTTTGAAGTCAGCTGTTTTTCTAATCTGTTTTGTCGTTGAGACTGTTTGCATTGAGGGAAAGGTAGAGAGTAAAAAGACACAAAATAGACTAAAATTTACCAAAAGTTTTTAGATTCCTGAAAAGTTCCCTCAATATCAATAAAAATTTTCTCAGTATAATTGAAGGTTTCTTTGGATCTTGCAAAAGTTTCTTGCGACACAGTAGTAGTCTGGGGATCTTGCAGTGAAATTGTCTTGAGCTCTTGCAAAAGATTCTTGGACTTATGCCAAAAGTTAAGCATCAAGTGAAAAAATTCCTTCATTACATTAAAAAATGGTTCTTGTAAAAGTTTCCCATAAAAATACTTTGGATCTTTGCAAAAAAAAGTATTTTTGTTAATGCAAGAATGAAGACTGAAGAGTGCTTTCTTTATGCCAAATGGGAAGTTTTGAAAGTTTAAGGAATTATAATAATTTCCATCATTTTTTGAGCTCCATGTTGCAGATGTTATAGTTCTCTCCTCCTCACGCTCACTCTGTTCTCTTCTGCTGCGTCTCTGACAGAAAAAATCTTCACCTGTGTTTGCTGCTTCATCGTTTTTAATGCCATGGACCTGCTCGGCCGCAGCGCCCCGTCTTTTGTCCAGTGGGTGAGTGTTTTTCTTTGTTTGAGGAACTTTTATTCATCTTGTGAATTAGTCCTAACCAGCTCTGTTGATGTTTTTGTGTTCAGCCTTCGGAGAGGAGCCTTCTGTTTCCTGTTGCGGTGCTGCTCCGGCTGATCTTCATCCCTCTGCTCATGTTTTGTAACGTCCAGAACTCCAAACTCCCCGTCTTCTTCAGTCATGATTGTGCCTTCGTCATTATCATGGCTATGTTCTCATTCTCTAATGGATACTTGGCGAGCCTCTGCATGGCCTACGCTCCACAGTAAGTCCCTACCACACAGTCAACCATTTCAAATTTTTAGGACTTTATGGAAATATCTTCTGGTCGTCAGTGTGCAGATCTGTGTTTTTTCTGTGTAATCATGTTGTAACTGAGTGTTTCTCTCTGCCAGGTTTGTAAAGAATGCAGACCGCGAGACAGCCGGCTCTCTCATGACCTTCTTCCTGGTTCTGGGTCTGGCGGTGGGAGCCTCCTTCTCTTTCTTACTAGGACGTCTGGTTTGACTGAGTGGAATAGACAAGTAAACCATGTGAGACTTTGTAGAACTAACTGCGAACCATGAAAGATAAATTAATTTTTTAAGGTATTGGAGTGAGGATACAAAGCAGCTTTAAAAACAAACGTTTCAGGGCACCACTGGCCTGGCAGTCCAGTCACACCCCACCTACAGAGGTTACACTTAAGCTTAAAGCTCAGGCTCATTTCCATCTGATTTTCTATACTTTCAAATTAAGACACAAAAAGCCTGATAAGAAATTCAATGAGAAGTTTACTCAACTAAAAGAGTAAAAAAACAAACAAACAAACGAACGAATGTCCACACACAGTGAGACAGTCTGAAAGTGTAGTTAAGACAGGGAACAGCAAGAAGAGTAATAGAAAGTAGCACGATGTTGATGCATCACTGAATCAGCTGTGTTCTAATTCATTTGAAGGCCTTATGTATCACAGCAGTACGTTGAAAGGCTCAACCAAATACTGGTGAATGTGTCCTACTTTACCTGGCCCATAAAGGCTGCATCAAGTCCCACATGTCCTGTGGTCCTTGGCATGCCAGCACTATCAAGATTGTAGACTTTCAAACTGCTGAATGATGTGCTGTTGAATAAAAGTTTATAATAAGTTTGAACTGAGAATTGAGCTGTGAAAATACTGAAAGAGATAGAAGCATTAAAATATAAAGTCATCCTTGTTAGTGATAACGCAAGCTGGTTAACCAAGTCGCCACTTGGTGCTTGATGCACGAATTCAACAGATTAAATAAACTGTGTATATTTTGTGTTAATTATAATTTTTTTAAGTTTGTTTGATGTAATTTATTTTTTATGCAGTTAACATTTGTACAGCATTTTTAAAAAAGCATTTTTTTATATTTTGGTAATATTTGTCCTGCATGTCTGACTGTTGTGTTTGTTCTTCATATTTTTCTGATATTATAAAAATTGTAAACTGTCTACAGATTTTTAACCACTCACCATGAAGCTAGTGAAGGGAGTAGGGCATTGAATGCAGCACAAATAAACATTAAAAATCAAACATGTTTCCTTTTTATTCTGTTTCCTGGGTGTTGTTTTATTCCAGGTTTATAATTTGATTAAAACTTTGTTGTTGTTGTTGTGAAAGTTTATTTTGTCTGTTGATTCATTTTACACCTCAGTGCTGTATTTTGTATTGCATGAACGAGTCAAAGTATGAGAGCCACAAGGAGAAAAAAAATCCCAAGATGATAAAATCATAAATTTACTGGAACAACTATACTAACACATAGATGGACCACAGTCTTGTAGTAATAATGAGCTATTTTTCTGATAAATTTAAAACTTTTTAGAAGATTAATAATATTTTCTCCAACCTAATTATGTTAACTAAATATTCTCAACAGTCTTACAATTGGCCAAATTATATTTGGTGGTCAACAGATGCACTTTTCCGGTACATTTCAAATTATGCCAGGAAAAAAACATTATTTTCCATCATAAGAGGAAGTTAAAAGTTGGTTTATTCCTGACTTATTACATATTGACTTAAATGTTTAAAGCACATTTTTGTTTTGATTTTCATTATATTAGAATTTTATTTTGACTATCTTTTCTAATTTGAAAAAAATGTGTTTGTGTAACTTTATTTTTTTTAAACAACCACACTGATACTTTTGTATAACTTTTGACATATGTATTACTTAAAATGGTCAGCATTATATTTTTAAAAGGACTTTGGTGGAAGGAGATGATAGAAGGTAGTTGTTTTGTACCAGACCTTTTTATGTCTGCTATCATATCATAATATACGTTGCTGAATGGGGCTCTATGGGGATCGACTCAGTTTTGGAGCCAGCCCCTAGTGGAAATTTGGAAAACTGCAGTTTTTGGGACTTCTGAGTTGGTTTGACTTTTTGAAGCACTAAGGTTACCACTTCTTTAATATATTGCCAAAAATTGCCAATAATAAAGTTTTTAAAACAATGAACTCTAATTAAAAAGCTCTTTTGATTTTCATAGTTGGTTTTAAGCTTATTAAAAATTTTAAGTTGGTTTAAAAATTATTACTGAAGGAAACATAGTTACCCTACTTTAATTGTTTCACAGCAATAACAAATAATCAAACAGGAGAGCACACATAGCCACTGTTCTTCTTCTGCTGCTGCTGCTGTTCAGGTTTCCTCCTTTTCCTCCAGCTTCAGCCCTTTTCCTCTGACCTCATGTCCTCCTGCTTCCTCCCATTCTTCTTCTCTCTCCATGGAAAATAAAAGTTACAACAACACAGTGAGCTTTTTCATAGGTTAATAAATCACACTGAAAGAAAGGGAAAAGCAGAACTAAAGTTGGAGCGTTTTTAGATGAGGCTCAGACGCAGAGTTGTGAGGGTGAGTTTATTTGACCTTTTTCTGCTTTTTAGTTTAGTGGTGTGAAACTTTTGACCAAACAAGTCCCATGGAAAGATCAAAGCAAACTGACTGTAGTGAAGGAAAGTGGTGCTGAAAGCTGAATGCTGACGTCCCCAGTTATGAGGCAGACATTGAGGGCTCAGATACAGTAAATTGATATGATGTGATGTGACTAGATCATATTCTATAACTTAATTCAAGACCTTGCTTACAAAACAACTACAACACATGTTGCACACTGCCAAAAATACCAATATATGGGAGCTTCATAGACCATGGAGGATTCATGAGGCAACCCTGGGGTTGAAAAAAGATTCAAAGATAACTTTATTGATTTGAAAATGTCACAAAGCTACAAAGACCATCATTATTCTCAACTCTCGACGCTGGTTACATAAACTAAATATAGATAATGTAGTTTTATGAGAACTGTTGCGGAAGACAACATAAGAAAACACTCTGTGCTCTCTTAGAACAAACAAATAGGTCAATATGTGAATTCTGTGTGTCTTCACACACCACTTACACTGCCTTTAAGTGCCAGTTTGATGTCTTTTTACTAATTGAGGGGTTTAGTCTATCTCTGCGCTGAGAAAATCTTCAGTAACAGCAGCACAATAGGCACTCTTGTTATTGACCTGAGAGGGGGAGGCACGCAGGGGCAGCTGATTATCAGAGCAGTGTGTGTGTGTGTGTGTGTGTGTGTGTGTGTGTGTGTGTGTGTGTGTGTGTGTGTGTGTGTGTGTGTGTGTGTGTGTGTAATGAACCAGGTCGAGGCTGTTGTTACGTCAGCAGGGGCTCGGCCGACAGGAGGCGGTTGAAGCAGACAAACTGAACCTGCAGCTCATTTCCCTGGAATTTGTTTCCCTCAGAGGAACCACGGCGTCATGGCTGAAACACGGAGAGTGACAGCAGAGCCAGGCAGGAAGGTGAGCTTACACACACTCATACACACACCTGAGCGAAGAGGTCAAAGGTTAAAAGTCAATCAGAGAAGAAAGAAACCTCATCATCCTCCGACTGCTATAGCTTCACTCTATTCTGTGTTAGTTTGACTTCTGAAGTTGGTGTTTAGATTGAAAACTAGTTTTTCCAGCTGACTAAATTTTGGAAAGTTTGCAAGGCTGAAACAATGTGACTTCCTGTCATTTCCTACAAAATAAGAGACATCTTTAGCTCCATGTTGCAGCAGTATTTGATTCAAGGAATCTTACTTTTATTTGGTTTTAACTTGCTCAAAGAGCACAAAGCTGGAAAAAAAAAGAAAAAATACATACAAAAAAAAAAGAAGTCTAAAGCAGACATGCAACCACATGTTGTATTTACTTTGACTGTTTAACTAAGAAAGAGCTGATTCTGACTTGATTATATGGTCTAAAACACATGGATGTAGTAGCATCAACCATTAAATTCTGAAGATGACCTATTGCCCAAAAGGTAGACGGCAATGTAATGGAGTTATTATAAATGTTTTGTTTGTTAAAAAGGCACCATAGATAAACATATCTGTTCTTACAAAAGATATTTAAATTATGATAAGTCAACAATTAACAAAATCCATCATCACACACTATTAAACATGAGGCCAAAAACTGCAGTTCCCTCAGAGGCAGACCCCAAAAATGGGTCATTCAAAAACAATATTGGTTCTGTGAAGCTTTAAAACTAGTCAAATTAAAAAGAAAAAAATGTTAATCTACTTTAGTAAAAGTGGACTTTTTATGCAATAGATCAAAGGTTCTGTTATACCTATACATTTTTTTCCCTAGAATATTAAAGTCGACTTAGATGATGTTTTGTAAGTGCTACTTTCAGCTGTGACCCGTAATAAGAAATGCATTACCATGCAGTGATTCTCAGTTCTGAAGTACTTTACATGAGAATTTCTCTGTTTAACACACTCAAACTTCATCATGCCCTTGAAAAAACATAGTCTCACCCGAGAAAGCATGTCCAGGTATGATGCTAAACATTACGAACCAAGCTGTCTGTACTTGGAGCAACTTGGCTAGTCCTTTCATTCATAGGTGGTTGTGTTCCTGTTATTGTTCCTCTTATCACGGAGTCTAAAAACTTGAACTCTGTAGCATGTGAGTTTAAATAATGTTAATGATGTTTCTTAAATAAACATAGCCTAGCAGAATGCACACCCATGTATTCTTAATTCCAAAAAGTAGTTTGAATACTTTAGTACTTAAAGAATTTATTACTCCAGTAATTTAACCCAAGTAATAATCCAATTAAGCAACTTCCACTTGTATTTGAGTAATATTTGACCAGGGGGATATATACTTGAACTCAAGTAATTAGGTTATGAACTTTGTCCATCACCGATAATCTTATTTTTTTATTATCAGATAGATGTGCAATAAAAAACATCTGAACCTGCACAGCATGGACAATTAAATAAATAAGTTACATACCCCAAATTATGTATGAACATGTTTATTTCTACTCTTAAATCAGGTAGAAAACTTTCCCTTTATCTTGATTGTTTAAAAAAAGTTTTGTTAAATATATTAAGAAAGAAATTAGTTGATATCTTGAGGAAACAACTGAGTGTGCAGTAAATATAATGTATGATGCATGTCCAGATATAGCCTCCATACTGTATGAGTAAATGGATGCTTATGTAACCATTATAAATAGGTTTACAGGTGTGTGTAAGTACAATATGGTCTTAGAGGGTCAAAACAAAATGAAAATTGAGGGAACGAAAAGGAGTCTGCATATAAATACTGAAGCATAAATTTATCACACCAAAGATCTACTTCCTTACCACCATGATCGGTTAATGCTTTTTTGCATTCGTTAGTTTTGTGTGCTTTTATTTTGAAGGCAAACCGTGACGCGTTGATTTTTGTCATTCAGACTTTTGACGCAGCACGTGCTGGTCACGGGTCATGTGACACAGGTTGTGTATTGTACTTTAGTCAGTGCTTGTAAATACCAGACTCAGCCCAGAGATTGTACTGAAAACACGGTTGGAAAATGATCTTATCTTTACTCTTTAGACATATTGATTGTTTATATTAGGTTGATCATTATTACCTTCATTTTTTTTAAATTCTAATCACAAACAAAATCTTTAACTGACAGTTTAAAGCAACCTTTGTGACAATATGACCTTGTCAATAAATAAATAAGGAATAACAGAAAAAATTATTAAGGATAAAGGAAGAGCGGTCGGTGCACATGATCAAACCAGTTATAAATGTCCAGGCTACAAATTCAGTTTCTTTCATGTTTATACAACATCACGTTCTCATAAACAATCCTGCGTCCTCCTGATTTTTCTCCATGTGAAATGCACCTATCCTTATGCTTAGCCATCACAAAAAAAAAAAAAAATAGTTAAGACATTTTTTTGACAGTTTTCCTTTTTTTCAGGATTCAGATTTTTTTTTTCAAATTTCAGAATAATGAGAAGGAGGTAAAAATCTAAGAAAGATTTAGAATTCTGAGATTTTAAAAAATTGGAAATTTGATTTTAATCTCAGAATTCAGTGATCAAGAGAATTCTGGGGAAAAAGTCAGATTTTTATCACAGAATTCTAACCTGAGTCTAAAAATTCTGATAAAACAGTCAAGATTCAGAATCTGATCTTAAAATTCAGAGATTAGAAAAGTTAGGATTCTGTAAAAAAAAAAAAAAAAGTCAGACTCTGAGCTCAGAATTCTAGTGTGTCTACCTGCATCTGTTCTCACCCGCTATCTTATTGGGACTGGTCTGTGTCTGTAAGGAGACGCTTTAAGATGTGTGTTTTGTTTTTAAAGACTCAATAGTTATTGCCAACTAGAGAACAGCAGCAAACTAGGTTTATAGAAAAACCAAGGAAACCAAGGAAAGGATTGCGATAAACTCAATTGTTAACAGACACCTGTCCAGGTGAGGCCAGAAAAGTGAGATGAAAATCTGCTAAAGTCAACAGGGCTGTAAGCTGACGATCATGTTTGCGCCATAGACTGTATACACTATGGACAACTTGGCTCCACCTTCCATCATGATACAAATTTAAAGACGAATTGCTCTTGGTATTTCCAGGATTTTCCCCACTTCCTGGAACCACCACTTGCGCAGTAGCTGCGCAATCTTCGTACGCCCATAGGCTGTATAAAGTGTTAATAATAGAAAATGTGAACCCCCTAATAACTTTTATAAATGGAGCTGCACAGAAAAAAGAGGACTTGAGCACAAACTAGTCTTACAGTAACTACATGTCAACATCGCAACCAGGGGGGAGAAACATTTAAATTCTGTGTAATAAATTTCTAAAGTTTGTCCACAGCCCCATAGGGATTGCTGGAGGCTGGAGGAGGCGGGAATTTATGACCTATACTGCAGCCCGTCACCAGAGGGTGCTGTCCTTGCGGTGACTTTACCCAGCAAGGAGGCAGATGCCGTCTATTCTATATACAGTCTATGGTTAGCCCCTAAACAGACTTAACCACTGAGAACGTGGTTACATGGGTGGGATCACAAACACCTATGACATTCATCCTCAGGTTCAGGACTCTGAAAGTCTAAGGTGGGAGATCCAGTTTAAGTGTTTCTTTTCTACTTTCAGAAATGGGTGTTCCCTCAGAGAGGTGCTGCTGCTGATGAGAGTAAACAGAGAGTTGATTCTTCTGACAGAGATGCTCACAGAAGTTTGGTAAGATCCAGCCCACGAAACCACAACACAGACTCACACACTTAGTCCCAACAATTCCACCAAAGATCCACCAAAAATGCAGAAGTAAAAGATAAAAACTGCTCTTTAACTCAAAGACTAAGTCACTTTTGAGGGACTTAAGAAACTGCTCATAGGTGCCTTTTGACAGCAAGAAAGACAATTTCATTTGCATTAGGTTAGTTTAGATGAGCTACAACTTTATTCATCCTTTCAGCCCTGACCACAAACCACTGCATGTATTCAGATGCAGTAGTTTGTTTATTTGATTGTGTGTATTTGTTTGTGCTGTGTATGTGCAGGCAGTTCCCTTCAGAGGCCACATCAGTGGTGGGATGTGTGTAGGGAAGAAGTTGGTGCTGGTGGGTGTTGTGGACCCTCGTCCTGACAGGTAAAAATCCCCTTCAGATATTTGCTTTCTTTTAATACTTACCTATCCTTTTGGACTTTTTAATGACTCATTATTTTTATTTTCACTTTTCCTTTCGCATTTCCTAACTGTTAAGATGAAACTGTAAGTACATTTACTCATGAACATTTAAAGTTATCCACATTTTACAGCTTCTATGAGATTTTTTTAAGCTGCTTGGAAAACAGACTGAAATTAATTATGACGCCTCTTTATGACCTAAAAATCAAACCAGACCATCACCAGCATGGCTGACTGTCTCTGTTTTTATCTTTAATGTCTGAGCTCTAGTCTCAGGGAAGGTTTTCAGAAAACTCTAAGGGTACAGTTGGTAGAAATGAGAATATATAGTGAAATTGACAAAACCTTAACAGTTTTTTATTTATTTAAACATTTAAACACACATATGATTTTTTTTTCCATTCCCACCAAGTCTGTTGTGTTAATGCTGCTATTCACTAACCCTTTAAGAAAATTATGCTTTGAGGAAGAATGTTACTATGTGGTTCTGATGAGTGTGACTTTTATGAATGTGGTCAGGTCTTAAGACTGTATCTGTTTCTCCTCCAGGTTCTATGTGGCTCTGACTTGTGGTCGGGGAGTAAATGAGGAGCCTCCAGTTGATGTAGCTCTGGAGCTCTGCGTGCGATTCAAGGACCGACAAGTCCTACGTAGAGCCTGTGTGTTGGGATCATGGGGGGACATAGACAGAGCCGTGCCTTTCTTCCCCTTCATCAAAGACCTACCGTTCAAGGTACCAGCAAATATTCACAAACTTGACAAACTGACTGCTGCACATTAAAAACTGCTGGGTAACTATTGGACCAAACCAACGCTCGGTTAATTTAACCCAGGAAATTGAGTTGATTGTTTAACCCAGCAAGATGGGTTAATTCTTCTATTTATTTGCTGGTATATGTCAACCACTATGCTTGGTTTATTCTACCACATATATGGGTTGATTTTACCTCATCAATGTAATACCTTTTATGAAGTAAACAAACAGTGAATAAGCAGTGGGACTGCCCTTGATTTCACTTTTAGAAGACTGCAACGCGTGACATACACTAATATGGTCCATGTGTTGTACTGTGAATATGTCCGACATGTAAACCTGAGTCTCATCTCTCCTCTCAGATGGAGCTGCACTGCGAACATGGTCGTTTTCGCGTCTTTGTGGATGGACAGAAGCTCTTTGATTTCACCCACAGATTGACGTCACTGGAGAAAATCGACACATTGTGGATCAAAGGCAGTCTGACTGTCAACAAACTGGCCTAAAAACCCACTGATGAACATTTTCGTTCATTGAAGGCACAGATCTGGGCTTTATTGGGCTTAGACTGCCAGGACTCATTTACAGACTGTATATGAGGTGGAAATAGCCACAGGGATGGGTTTGAGGGTGACTATTTTAAAGCCTCCATGCTTTGGCCATAACCAGCTTGGTTTTATGGCGAAAGAAGTGACCAAATTAAGACAAGAGGATGTAGTTGGGGTGAAGTGACGGATTAACTAATGCACTACCATGGTAAGTGAGGTGCTTCCAGAAACACATCAACTGTGGTTTTAATTTGGATGTAAACTTTGATTGGCAAAGGAAAATTTTACTACCAAAATACCATAATAATAAACAGCCAACCCCCTAGAGTGTCCTTAAGCATTAATGAAAGTTAAACATGACATTTTTCAGGTTTCTGTAAAGTGACTTGTCAGACTTAGTTAGCCCCTGTCTGAGCCCTCCCCTGCTCTCAGGTCTCTTTGACTCTGAATGAGTCCATAAATGACAGGATGAAGAAGATAATCGTGTATTGATGATCTGAAACCAGAGATTGAGAACCTCAACTCTTTAGGAACATTTTAACTGAGATATCAAATCAGCTGAGATGCAGAAAAGTTTTCATAGACTTCTACAGTATATATCCTGTCAATAGAGTTGCCTCCTGCTGGCCATCAGGAGGACACACGTGTACATGACAACGTAGTGGCCTCAGTTTTTAAACCTGAGGGTAGCATTCACTTCTTTTAACCACGCTGTAAATTAGATTTATATTATGGGAACTTGGTGTCAAATGTGTATTTTTTACTGATAGAAGAAGAAAATCTGTACTGTTGTTTTTGTGACTGCTAATACTACGCTGCACTACTACAGATGCTACCACTTAGCGACCACTTAGCTACTACCACTTTGATATTAAAACAAACATTGTGCCTGATTTTTCAGCTGTAACCATCTGAAAATTGGTTTGCTGTTTTTTTTTACAGGGTGTAAAAACTCTCAGGAAAGAAATTCAATGAGACAAGAATGGATAAGGGCCAGAATTTTTTTTAAGTCTGACCTTTGTATTTCATCCTTGAGCTCAGACTTCAGATTTTCTTTCCATAGGTTCTGACTTTGATTTCAGAATTCTGACTTTGATGTAAAAGTCTGGCTTTGCTCGTAGAATTTTGATGTTGATTTTGGAGTTTGTTGAATTTTAAATTTTGACTTTAAGTTCAGTACTTTGATTTCAGATGTTAGAATCCTGACTTTGGTCTTAATATTCTGTCTCAGAATTTTGACTGTGATCTTAGAATTATGTGATCACAGTCATGATTCTGCCTTCAGACTAAAAAAGAAAGGTCAGACTTTCTAAAACATAGTTGCCCCAATCTGTCCTTAATTTATCACTTTGCAGTTGCCTGCTGAACGTTAAAATGAAGCTCTCATCTCACAGTTATTCCTGGATTATACATTATATATTTGGACAATTCAGTTATGCGTTTGTTAATTTGAAAGTCTGTGGATGCCTTTTTTTGTTTCGCTGTAAACAAGACTTGATGTTCAAGGCATTTTATAACCTCTGTTGGCACAGATGATGACACATTTTGGTTGATTAATTAATCTGTATGACTGTTACTGTCACAAAATGGTATTTGACAGGACTTGTATTGTTCTGTATTTAAAATACACATTGCTAAGTTGTCTGCAGAACAGTCCTAAAATGGGCAGCTTTTAAATAACAGAAGGACAAGCACTCAACTAATGTAAAATACACATTAAAGCAGTAGTGATATAGTTTTACAATGTTAATAAACTCAATGTACAAAAAGTTTTCTCGCTCCTGATAAATATGCGCCGACTACCTCAAATCAAACAGTATGATGTTCTGCTGTTGTCATCTGTGTTATAAACATGAATGAGAAATAAATCTTTTTGTCTCAACTCAGTAATTTCTTTCAGTGACTTCTGCATGGGTGGGATGAAGTACCTGTAGGTGTGCACACACCCATGAATAAATAGTATTTATTTGTCCTTTCTATCTTTACTAATCATATTCACCATGGGGAAGTGTTTGTGAAGACTACTTAATAACACTGATCTTAGAATTTTGACTGTTATTTAACAGTTAATGTATAATTAATATTTTAATATACTATATTCCAGTCATATGTTGTGCACAGATGACAGACCCTTTCATAAAGGGTGGTGTGGTTTGATAGTATTTTGATCCAAAGAATGAAGCTGAAGTTATATGTAGGCTGTGTCAAGGGAAACATGATCTTATAAACGAAAAATCTGGTTATGAAGTTGTAACTGTGAATGCAAAGGTCCAAATAATGACATCCAAGACAAGATTGCAAGGAATACAAAGTCAAAACTATGAGATTCAAAGTCAAATTTATGGAATTTACTGTGATTTTATTGCATGAAATGTCTAAATATTTAAACACAGTCTAAAACATCATTAAGCTTTGGGTACAATTCGGATATCTCCCAAGTTAGGAGGAACACCCAAGTGGCAGCCTCGGGTCTGGAGAAATGAAGCTGATGTGCAAGTGCTGTGATTGTAAATAATAACAGATATATTTCAAAGATAAAATGTTATTTTTTTTAGCCATCTTTTTTAGCATATATTCTTCTAAGTTCGGCATGGCTGTTTAATTGCATTTGCTCTGTATGATTTAGAGACCTAGTCAATGTAATCCACTTAAAATGATCAATTCTTTAGGAAACCTTACCTGAATAAATGTAGGCTTTTTCGTGTCTGGGAGATGAACTCAGTGACACACAGAAATTTACTCCAAGCTGAACTGATGCAGGACTTTGTTGAAGCATGCATTTATTTTGTTACTATTTGATAATCCTATTCATTAACTTGAACAACTCTTTCACATCGTTTTTTTCTTTTATCTCGCTATAAGGACTCACTGTTACATATATTAACCAACTATCTTAAAATCATCTTGATTTAGAATTAAAATTAAAGAATTCGAGAAAAATATCTTGAATTTTCACTTTTATCTTATTCATATCACTTTTACATCATATTCTTTTTTTTTTTTTTTAGCAATTGTTACCTTTTCTATTTCATAATTATGGCTCTCATTCTCAAAATCCTGACTTGATATCTCATAACCATGATTCTAAAATAACTGCGGTTCATTACATCATAATGTCATAAAAAGAAAGATTTTTTTAGATCAATCATTTCAACCAAACTGGTCGAAATGGAAAATTTGTTTCATAAAACGAATCAAAATTCTGAGTTAAGACAGATTTCTACCCTAAGTCTCAAAATTCTGAGGAAATGTAGAGTTGAAAGATAATTTGGGATCTTAATGTTGTTTTCCTTTATGGCCTTTATTCTCTTCCTCAGGGCCTGAAATTGGCTTCTACACAGATTATGGGTGTCCTTTATAAAGAACCTTATCTGTGGACGCACTTACCGAGTTTATGGGTGTTACTCTTATAATTTACAGTGTTTGAGTACTTGATATGGTTCGTGTTGTATGGATGCACCTGTGTTGATCCACAGAGAACAAGTGTACCTGTTCGATATGTAAAGTTTCTGAACAACCAGCAAACGGGAGACCTATCATCGCGGTGCATGCTGGGACATTGAGGCAGGGCAGCAGCAGCAGCAGCCGGCTGACTCAACCTTTCAGTTAGAGCTTCATTTTCAGCCGTCCTGCGCTGTTCCGCCGCTTTTACCGAATCAAGGGACAGCGCTGTCTTTAGCAGAGTCATGGAGGCCGGTGGACAACATCTGACGGTGAGCTCACCTATTTATTTTGGTGACTAAAACACCTGCTGTCAAACCGACTGAGGGGGAGCTAATGCTAATGCTAAAGCTAAAGCTAGTCTGACGTTCGGGGGAGATGCTTGTTGTTGACGTTAGCTAGCTGCGTAGTTAGCTCAGGTAGTTGACTTCCCCCATACTTATATCTGATGGTGTTGTTTGATAGCCTTTCTACATCCAAAATAGATTCATGTAGTTCTTGTAAACCAATATAAATGTCCCGTTAAAGTGGCAACAAAGTAGTGACACATTCGTTTTAAGTTAGCTTTCCCTCACCAGAAAACCAAAGCGAGCTGAGTTAGCTTCTGTTACAGCCCAACTCAGCGAACTCAGGCGGCCTTGCACTTTAATTGGATGGTTTCAGTTTAATGCTGACGCAGTCTTTGGGAGTCTGTACGTTAAATAATGCCAAGCTCTACCCAAATATCTCGGTAAGCTATAGACTTTCCACTGAGCCAACGACATTTGCAGGTGCGTGTCCTCAAGGGTGGCCAGGGGTGGCCCTTGAAACTGATTGGCTGCTCCAGGTGTCAACCAAAATTTTACAAGAAGATTGTTGCTATTGGTCTAAACAAGGGCGGAACTTTATGTGAAAATCCACTCTTTGGACTGTGCTGCAACAGGCTGGCAGTGGCTCCCTATGTGTTTTAGAAAATTCTCTCTTATTTATACTTGATCTGTTTTACACATGTGTTTGTTGTGTCAGATATGCAAAAGAGGGATCAGGTTAACAAAGCATGTCAAAAACATTTTATGCAAACTCTTGCAAACTGTCTAACATCCAGGGTACAACACACAGTCACACATATTTAGCCACTCTTATTACATCATGTTACTCCCTCAAAGTCGTACTCTGATACTTTTTTTACCACTGTTTTTTAGCCAAAATTGCGTTACCTGTGTCATTTTCAAGGACTTATCTTCTGCAGAGCTCCAGTAGCTCATTAGCAATTCGCCTCTGAGTTGTGGCTGGAGTGGAGACAGTGCTACTTTGCACACTCTTCGTCACGCTAGCTTGTAGCCTAACATTGCCGGTGTAGCAGAAGAAGCAGGTAATATAGGAGCTATTAAGCTCTGAGACACTAATGTCTTTAGGGGGATGATGAAAGCTAATATCATTATTAGCATTCTTACAAACCTTGTAATCCACAACCGCACACGCTTGTTCCACATTCGTCCTCTCTATTTCTCCCAGTCTGGCCTGCATAGTAGGGCTCCGGGAGCAGAGCTTGGATTTGTGACATAGGAAATCTCACTGTGTCTGAACCTATTGTTCAGGTCTGCCGGAGATTCACAGCAACTTGAATGCAGAAATACTCAGAAATGCAATTTCTCACTTATTTTTCTAATATGTTCTGTAGCATCAGAAAAATGCCATATGAACATGTAAAAAACAAGAAAAACATTAACTGTTATGGTGGTAAATGTAATTATTTCGGCATTTATTGTTTGATAGCTCTGCATGGCTGGATTTCTAGAACATTATCAAGCAGATTGAGGCTAAAAAACACTGCTCATGATGAAACACTCAAAACATGACCATCAATAATGTTGGTTTCATGATTCAGTCATTTTTCAGTACTTGATAGTTAAAGTGTAAATTTTTCCACCTTGAGGAGGCAGTGAGTCAGTTTAGGAAAGGAATCTGCCTAGATTGATATACTATTTTCAAAGTTAAATATATTTAGAGACTAATTTTGTTTCTCATTGGTTGGAGCATTAATATGTTTCCCAACCCTTTTTTTGTTGTGTCATTGTTTTAAGTCAAGGATATTCACAACACAATGTCATTTTTGAGGTACTTCAATGTTATCATTCACTGAGGAAGTTATTGATGAAGACAGACTTTAGGTCACCCTTGTTTATGTCAGTCCCCCAGCTGGACCCCTCAGTTAAAAAGTCTAGACCCACCCCTAATTGTTCACCTGCTCTATCAACCCCCAAACTCCCCTTTTACCACCAACACCTGACAAGCGTGGAAAACATGTAAAACTTGGCAAACTCTGGAAAGATCCTGTGTCTGTGAACAAGAGAATAAACAGCTGTTAGAAGAAGCTAACCTTGTCATAAGAGTGACTGACAGTCAGTATTAATAGATGATTTATTAGCTGCTTCAGCTGATACATTAACTCACTTGGATAAATAAGATGATCAACAGCTTTCCCTGAACAGCTGCTTTTACTCAACAGTCACCTTTACCATGTCTTGTTTGGATTAAGCTATTAAGATGACTGTCTGCAGAAGAAGTCATCGAGTTTAGCTTTCAGACACATTATATGGATTTAAGGGGGTAGAGCTGCAGTCGCCAGTGCAGTTTCCAGGGCAATAAAAGTATAGACAGAAAAAATAGTCATGTTTATTCTTATTCCTTCATCGCAAACTGGTCTTTCTGGACTTGCATGTCCATGTCAGCTGTGCCTGAGTGGAAACTACCTGCTCCCAGGTATTCAGGGAGATAAGGCCAACAAAGCAAACATGTTTAAGTTGCCGCCCACCAATCTGGCTGGTGGTTGTGGTGGAGAATGCAAACAGAGTTCCTCTTTCAGTTGGTCAGAGACACCAGCTAGTATGCCTCATGAAAGCATAGTTTACTCATCAGAAAGCTGCGATTTCTGAATACACTTTGAAAGTCTTTATTATGTGGCTCTTAATATGGCCTTAAAATTAATGCAGTTTGAAGAAGTAAGAGGAAGGAAGGAAGGACTGCAAAATACTTTACTTTTACCCAAGGTCTGGTCGAAAAAATAAACATTGGCCAAAGCTGATCGGACATAATTTGACAAAAAGGTAAGAGATCATAAAAATAAACACACAGATAGAATATTGGACACAGTTGTGCGCCACTGCTGAATGTATGTAGGGGAAACACAGTCTAATCAGAGCATGAACAAAGTAAATAAACCAGAGATGTGGTTTTAGGAAAGCAGGTATAGCAATAGAAGGCTGAAGGAGAAGCTTGGACCTCTCTGTGTGGTTATTTCTGATTTCTTCAACTCCAGGCTGGGGGGGATGAATTCCAATCACTATTATGGCTTCAAATATAATCAAGAATGCGTGGTTGCTGTGCTGTCTGTTTTGCTTTGCTTGTTTTGTTCGATGCTTAGCGCTCAACCGTCCATCTTTCAGAGCAGAGCATCAGCGCCTCAGCTCAAACAGGTCCCTCTTCAGTTTGTCTTAAGGCTAAAGAGGAGAGGGAGCCACACCCAGGGCTGGCAATCCAGCATCTGTAGCATTTTACTAGTGGGTCGATACACGTAGAGGTCAGTGGGCTGTCATATGTCATCATCAGTGGCCCAGATTGATTGACCAAGGCATTGGCCTCTTGGTAAGCTGACACACCTGGTCGGCTGTGATATGTCATTTGGAGATGCTGCCAATGCCCTACAGTGTCTCAATTGGGAACCCCTGTATCCTCAGCAGGTAAAGCTACAGCAGAACTAGCTGTCAGACAGGTGGAGAGAGGAGTTGGAGGAGGCAGGTATGTGTGTTAGTAAAGCAGAGGGACAGAGTGAGCATGCTATAGAGAGAGTAAATAAGCTAACGATTGCAAGGCTAAACAGTGAATTACATTTGTTCATATCATTACTATTACTGAGTAGGCCTTTGTCAACTTATAATCAACTAATGTTACAGCTGATGATGTTGTCATTGCGGGACAACCAAAATTAATAAACTGTATTAATAATTAAATCGATAAAATGTGTCTCGTCTCGATGCTCACAGTCATCCTGCCTCTGTTAGGTGAAGCTCTCATTTCCTCCTCCCATTGTTGAAGTCTTCTAAGCAGGCAGTTTCTTTGCCCTCATGTTGCCCTCAGGTTGACTGTTGTGTGGGTGTGAAAATCACATGAACTGAGGCATCTGCAAATAGAGCGGGTTGATGAGAACTGTTCAGGGTTGACATGGTCTGAGTCCTGTTACAGTTGATAAGTCCCACTTCTGGTTTCTCATTGTCACTCTATTACCGTCAGTTTGATTCCAGTCAGTCTCTTCGGGTGCTGCAGTAATTTAATTTCTGCTGCAGCTCAGGCCAGACTGGAAGCTAATTGGTCTTGGAGCACCAATGAGAGCAGACCTCATTAACTTCTCCTGTTTATGGAGTCAGACTAAGGCTAGAGGGCTGACGAGGATGAGTTTGAATAAGAGCCTTATTGCACATTATGACCATGTCAATTTAGGTCCTGTTCCAAAATAAAATAATTCACCCTTTAGCTTTGAGGAAATTGGCTTACTCAGTATAAATGCAACAAAAAAGACAAGGTCCTCTCATCCTCTTATTACATCAGGCTTAGAGATAGAAAGCTTTTCTTCACGCTGAGAGTAATCATCCCTTTCTCCTCAAGAAAAGTCCACCTCTAAGTCAGCAGATACAGCAGTTTGTTTCTCATCTTTGAATATTGCTGATTTTTTTTTTCTTTTTTTTTAACTCAGAATGAAAGAATTCCCCTTTTAAAGCATAGATTTACTACACTGACTGATTCCTCTCTGTTCTCTTGCTGTCTCAGGTATAGCCAGGAGGATTCGTTGATCGCCAGAGCATCATGGAGCCAGATGTCATCCGCATGTACTCGTCCTCTCCGCCCCCGATGGAGGACGGTGCAGAGGAGGACGAAAACGAGTTTGGAGACTTTGGCACCTTTGCCGGCGTCCCAACCAGTGTCAGCTTTACAGAATTTGACACCCCGACCACTTTCAACCAGACGCAGGCTTTAAACGCCACCTCCCCGCCAGAGCTACTTAACAACAGAGGGGTGGTGGGGTTCAGCCACAGCTCCTCAAATGGCACCCATGGCCCCAGTAATGAGCTGTCAAAGGCTAATGGCGTGGTGCCAGCAGGCCACCTGGGCAGCAGCACCTCGGAAAGAACTGAGATAAAAAAGGTCCTCTCCAGCCCTCTGGATTTCTCAGTGAGCAACACAACTGGCAGTGAGCCCGCTGACTGTAATGGCGGCGGCACAGAGGTGCTAACAAACGGGTTTGTATCCTTGGACATTCAGGGAAGCCCCTCCTCACAGAATTCTGTCCACTCTCACACAAAAGGAACGTCCACTGAAGACAACGGCTGCATCCCTGCAGAGAGTTCAGAGGATGATTTTGCCGACTTTGCTGCTTTTTCAAATGCTGACGGACACCTCAGCCAGACAGCAAATGAGGACTTAGACTTCCCCATGGGGGGCTGCTGGCCGGCAGAGTCTGCCCGCCACGAGGAACACTGTAATATAGCACAGGGAGTGACTTCAGAGGACAATGACAGGGACACAAACAGAACTGAACCCGACACATGCAGCTCTGATTCCATATCTGTCCCCGCCGAGGCCCCAGACGGCTCATGCAACACGGACCGGGGCTCGCATGCAGATGCTGACTCTCATCAAAGGGACATAGTCTTTGCCTCAGAGGCAGTTTGCACTAACGAACCCCTCCACCTGAACGGGGTAGATGTAGCTGACAGGGACGATTCCAAAGACGCTGCGGGCTGCAGTGAAAACGACCTCTCACCAGATGCAGCCATGGACGGTGAGGCTGGACCATCAGACTGGAAGGGCTCTGGTAATGAGACTGAGACAGAAACCGAAACGGAGACCTCGTTTGGTCGGCCACTATCCACAGATGCTTTGGAGGAGTATGGAGACATGAGCACTACGGGCTCAGTGCCCTCACCACCTCTTCAAGGGGAGACCGCTACGCCTGCAGACCACAGCCAGCTGGCTGAGGACGACATGGAAGAAGACTTTGGGGACTTTGGAGACGCGGGGTCGTTCAGCGGTCAGGGCTTCGCAGATTTTGAGCAGCTAGATGTCCAACAGGAGCAGAGCAGGTTGCACAGCTCTACACCTACAGAAGAAGCTGCAGATACCAAGGACGAGGACGACTTTGGTGACTTCAACTCCCCAAAATTCCACACAGGTGAAAGTGAGGTGGAGGACCAAGGTAAATTCGCAGACTTTCCTGTCAGCGACAGTTTTGGAAATTTCAGCTCAGCAGTGGAGGGAACAGACGATGGGGCGGATGCAGGGTGGAGCGCCTTCGGGGAGCAGCAGCAGGAGGCGGAGGGGGAGTCATGGGCAGCGTTCAGCACCGAGCCAACTGTCGCTCCTCCTGCAGACAGCAAAGAGGAGGTGGAGGAGGAAGAAGAGGAGGAGTGGCATGACAGTGAAGCTCCTGCAGTCAGTGAGGAAGCCAGCAGGACAGACAAGCAGGCGGTAAGCTCTGTGGGGAACTAACCGATCACGCATGGAAACTTAACACCTGCTGAGTTAATGAACTCATATCCTACAGTTCTGTAAGAGTTTGTAAGCTGAGGAAAATGTTGATCCAGGGTCCGATGGAAAAATGTTTTATGAAACTATAGGCTCATTTTGAATGTGATACCAGCAACACAGCTGAAAAAAGTCAGCGCAGGTTCATGTTTCCTGTTGTGTTGCAGCAGTTCAGATTCTCCTCCGTTCTGTTTGGTTTCATGATGCACAAAATGTTTTCAATGGGGGACAGGTCAGGACTGCAGGCAGGCCAGTTCATCAGCAGGACTCTTCTACTACAGAGCCATGCTGTTTTCATCTCTATAGTAGGGTCTGACCGATTAATCGGTGAGTCGATTGAATCGGCCAATTTCAGCCCGTTTGAGACTAATCAGTAATCGGCCAAAACTCCTACAGATATACCTACAGTATATCTATAGTATACTTTATACTGTATATATCTACAGTATATATATATTTTTTATAACTTTATAAAAAATTTAAAAAATCGGCCGACTAATCGGTAATCGGATATTTTGCCCCCCTAATAATCAGTATCGGTATCAAATGATCAGCTTGTTATCAGGCTCTGTAATGGCTTAATAACGAGCTGATCATTTGAATCAGGTGTGTTGGAGCAGGGGAATATCCAAAACAAATGATTTAAATGATACTAACCATCAAATTCTGCTTTGATCAACATTTGACTCAGCGTACAGACTCTGAAGGAATTAAAGTTGTTTGACATTTTTAAATTCAGAATCAGAGGCAGCATGAGCCAAAAGTCTCACAGTCCTCAAACCAAAATCAGGACCAGATTTAAACCAGTTTATCTTCAGTCGCTCTTGTTTTTTTTTTTTCTGCTGAGTCACAGCCCTCATACCAGCATTTTCAACATGAACTGAGCTGTTAATTAAAAAGGTCAGATCACTGAGAGGGAAGGTGGTAGCTTCCTGAAATTATCCGTGTGATCAGACGAGCTGTGCTGACGTCTACAAATACAGGTGTGGAAGAACAGTGACACGTGCCCTCTGATGCATCTGAGACACTCCTGCAGGCCCCGCCCTCAGGAAGTGACTCAGTCAGGTATTTGAGCCTCAGAACATTCCTGTCAGCTGAACACTCAGACTCTAATGAGCCTCAGTCATGATAATTTTCCTGTTTCATCATGCAGTGTTCGGGTATATCAAACAGTAAGAGGAGGTCTTTCCATCGTGATGCTCTTCTCTTTGTCAGCCCTTTGGTATAGATATTAGGTTTACAAAGCACTCCTATGACGGCGACACGGAGCAGGAGGTTTGGTCAGAAGCTGTCTGTTCAACCGGAATCACCACCAGCTGCATAAAATTAAATTCTATCAGCATATAGTTAATAAAAAACGAGAGTTTCAATGCCACACACAGGAGCTGATGGTAAACCTGTTAAACTTAAAGTGCGTTCATGACGATCGTTTCAGTGACATCCAGCCAATTAGATAATGTTGTGGGCGGGACACACCAGCAGCAGCAGAGGAAAATAGTACACTTTAAAAAATAAGTTTGATTGGCTGTCTGTAAAGTAAAATACAGATTATCAGCCAAACGGCAAAATAACCGACCAAGACAGGAAATTGGCCGATCTCTAATCTTGATTCAGTAGCTCCCATGGGATGTGCTGGACAACCAGGTCTGATCCACAGGAGCAGAGTCGGCAGTTTTTCCTTTCAGTGGTTATAAGTAAACAGTTGCTTCTCTCTCTGCAGGTGTTGCTCTCCTTTCGTCTGGAGAAGCTGTTTCAGAGCAGCTTCCCTCTGACTGCTGCTGTCCCCACAGTGAAGGATGTGGCGGTATCATCCCTGAAGGACCTGCTGGAGCCTCTAGAGGAGAAACCTCAGCAAGGAGGCGAGGAGGAGAAGGAGACATCACCTAGGAACAGGCAAGTCTCTAGCTCCTTTTTAATATATATATATATTAAAAAAAAAAACCAGCAACTTCGAGCCACATGGTGAGATTCTGTCTCGTCATTATCTGTAACTCTGCTGTGTCTTGTGTCGGTGCAGCTCTGTACACAGCAACAGCGTTTGGTTGCAGCTTCAGGACATCCACGAGGCGATCGGTCTCAGATACCAGTGGGGGGGCTCGCACTGCAACAAAGTACTGCTCTGCTGCCTGGGCATTGACACCAGGAACATCGTGAGTCCACACCACACGCTCAGATTTACTGTCTGATAACAGCTGGAATATAAGAAAATTCTGAGGCTAGAGCACAAAAAGTTTGTCATTTAAACCTCAAAACAGTCATTTTGTGGGCCTGCACACAGAAATACCCTCTTATCTGCAGGAGGTTATTTTGAGAGGTCATTAAATGGTGCATCAGATTATCTGTGACCTTTAGTAACCTCTGACGGCTGCCTTCAGGGACTGTAATATTAAACCTTCTTTTTATTTTATATTCACAGAACTTTGTGCAGCAGCATGTTTTTAGTTTTCTAACTTTACGTGTGTTTATGTCCTCAGTTATTCACCGGACAGAAGAAGCAGCCGGTCATCGTGCCCATGTATGCCGCCGGTCTGGTGAGTTTCCTATATGTGAAAATAAAACTCCTTCATTCAGAACTTCGCTTATGGATCCGTAGGTCTTATAATCTGTGTTCATGTACAGTGGGTATTAAAAGTCTACACACCCCTGTTCAACTGCCAGGTTTTTGTCATGTAAAGAAATTAAATCAAGATAAATAATTTCACATTTCTGCCACCTTTTAATGTGACCTATAACCTGTACAACACAATTGAAATACAAACTGAAACCTTTCAGGGAGGTGAAGTAAAAATAAACAACTGAGATCATGTGGTTGCATAAGTGAGGGTGAGGCTGTGTTCAGATTTTGCCAATAACATTCAAACTCAGGTTAAATTGGAGTCAGCACACACCTGTCATCAATTAAAGTGCCTCTGATCATCCCCAAATAAAGTTCAGCTGTTCTAGTAGCTTTTCCTGACATTTTTGTAGCCACATCTTCCAGCACAAGCCATGGTCCGCAGAGAGCAGAGAGCAGAGAGGGATCTCATTATTCAAAGATAACAGTCAGGTGAGGGCTACAAAATAATTTCCAAGGAATTAAATATACCATGGAACAGGGTAGAGACCGTCATCAGCAAGTGGAGAAAATATGGCACAACGGTGACATTACCAAGAACAGGACATCCGTCCAAAATTGATAATAAGACAAGAGGAAACTGGTCAGGGAGGCTACCAAGAGGCCGACAGCAACACTGAAGGAGCTGCAGGAATTTCTGGCAAGTACTGGCTGTGTAGTACATGTGACAACAATCTCCCGCTGTCTTCATCTGTCTGGGCCATGGGGTAGGGTGGCAAGACGGAAGCCTTATCTTGCAAAGAAAAACATCAAAGCCCGGCTTAATTTTGCAAAAAGACATCTGAAATCTCCCAAACGCATGTGGGAAAACGTGTTATGGTCTGATGAAACCAAAGTTTAACTTTTAGGGCATCATTGCAAAAGGTATATTTGGCACAGAATCAACACTGCTCATCACCAAAAGAACACCACACACACAGTGAAGCATGGTCGTGGCAGCATCATGCTTTGGGGCTGTTTTTCTTCAGCTGGACCTGGGGCTTTAGTCAGGGTGGAGGGAATTATGAACAGTTCCAAATACCAGTCAGTGTTGGTACAAAACCTTCACCTAGCCTTCTGCTAGAAAGCTGAAGATGAAGAGGAACTTCATCTTTCAGCACGACAATGACCCAAAGCACACATCTAAATCAACAAAAAAATGTCTTCACCAGAATAAGATTGGAATAAGATTTGGAATGGCCCAGCCAGAGCCCAGACCTGAATCCCATCGAACATTTGTGGGGTGATCTGAAGAGGGCTGTGCACAGGAGATGCCCTCGCAATCTGTCAGATTTGGAGCGGTTTTGCAAAGAAGAGTGGGCAAATATTTCCACATCAAGATGTGCCGTGCTGATAGACTCCTACCCAAAAAGACTGAGTGCTGTAATAAAAGCCAAAGATGCTGCAACAAAGTATTAGTTTAAAGGTGTGCATATTTATGCAAACAGGTTATTTTGACTTTTCTATTTTTTATTTTTCCCCTTAAAGGTTTCAGTGTGTTTTTCAATTGCATTGTAAAGGTTAAAGGTCACATAAAAGGTGGAAAAAGCTGTGAAAATATTTATCTTTCTGTCATTTTCTTACATCACTAAAACCTGGCAGTTGAACAGGGCTGTGTAGCCTTTTTATATCCACTGTATCATATAGAATGAAAATAAAGCTGCATGATTTAGTTAAGTGTCTGTCTTAGGGTAAATGCAAAAGGATGAAAATTATGCATTCATGGCTGATAATTATATCAATTATTATTGCTATCCAATTTTATTTCACCATTAAGTGAACTTTTGAGACCAACCCATCATTGTCAATATCCTCAGAGTGTGTCTGTGTGCTGCTAACTGTAGGGGATGCTGGAACCAACCAAAGAGCCTGTGAAGCCCGTCTCTGCAGCAGAGATGATTGCTTCGATAGCCCAGGCGCCTCCAGCTGCTCCAGAGAAAACCCCCTGCACTGCAGAAACTCAGCAGGTGAGACTAGAGGAAGTTATAGACCCACAAAAAACACTCAGACACCTCAAGCTAGAGCTGAATATGTCAAAGGAATATTCATCATATTGTTCAGGATCTAACTTTTTCTTCAGATAGCTTCACTATGAAGGGCACAAGTTACTTCTCTCACCAAATGCACATGACTACAGATCCTCTTGATCCTTGATCCTCTCCCCTCCGAGCTGCAGGAAGGGCTATGGGACACCACCTGGCATGGCGGTTCTGTTACTGCTTCTGGTTCGACCAAGGATTGAGAAGGCAGTATTTTAGGGAACTGTAACACAAGGATGGACTCTCTATAAAGTTCCTCTCTTTCTCTTCCAGCAGGAGGCGCTCCCTCCCATCCAGTTCGACTGGAGCAGCAGTGGCCTTACTAACCCTCTGGACGGTAGGTCGCCTAACACCTCCACCCTGACCTCTCTCTGTCCTCGCTCCCTTCTGCTTCTTCTCTGTTTCTTCACTAACATTCACAGGGTTTCCCAAAAGTCAGGCTCCACGTGGTCTGTCTGATGTTTTTAAATCCTTACCGATAAGGTTAATGTCCGATTATTAAGAGGGTTAGGGTTTACTCAGAATAAACCTTCTGATTAAAGGAAACATCCACTCTAAACGCTTTTATTTAGGAGCTTTCAAACAAAAATAAATTCATCAAAACTGTCTCATGAAGTCTGTTAATTTAATAAGATGGTGAATTCTGAGTGGAACTTTCCTTTTGTCTTTAAAAAAAAAAAACATGGCTGCTCTGCATGAAGACTTTCCTCATCAAACATTTGAGACATGATCTAACGTTCCTCATGTAGCTGATCAATCACTGACACTGCTGCATGTCTTTGCTCTCACTCTCTCTCTCTCTCTCTCTCTCTCTCTCACTCTCTCTCTCTCTCTCTCTCTAAATCTTTCTCTCTCTCTCAATCTCTATCTCTCTCTCTCTCTCTCTCTCTGTCCCTCTCTCTTGCTCTCTCTCTCTGTCTGACTCTTTGGTTGTTAACCTCAATCGCCCTCTGGCTGTGCAGCGAGCGGAGGCTCTTCTCTGTTAAACCTGGATTTCTTTGGTCCTGTGGAGGACTCAGGCTCCACCAGCTCAACCTCCATCCCAGGTCAGAAGCTGCTCCTGCCTCCTCCTCCTCCTTTCCTCTGTCGATCTTGTCTTTGAATTAACCCCTTCATCTCAGCCTGTCACTTGATAACTCATACAATTTTCCTGTGGGGGATGAGTGGATTGATTCAAGTTCATGACTTTGTATTAAAGTATGTCAAAGTCTTCAATCTTTGGAAACCTGACAAAAATCTGACCTATCTGGAAATTATGGACACTGTATCTATCCTGTTTGTCGCTGTGTTCACAAATGCATGTGAAAACTGAACCTCCCAAAGAGGAAAACATACCTAAAACCATTTAAGATGGACTGAGGGTAAGTGAGACACTGTCCTGTGGTCTGACATTCCTTTTGGAAACCATGGACACCATGTCCTCCAATCTAAAGAGTAGAGGGACCGCCCTGCTCGTATCAGCGCAAATTTTAAATTTTTAAAGTCCAAAGTTTACAGGAAACTTGCAAATAGATGAAAGAAAGGCAGCTCTTAGACTGTAAAATGAAATCTAAGTTGAATATAGGACTGGGCGATTTGGCCAAAAAGATGATCACAATAAATTTTGTCATATTGTCTGATCTCGCTTATTATCCCGATTTTTTTTCTAAACTGCCAGTTTTAAAGCAGCTGTACTTAAAACTAAAAATAAATAGATAAATACTAAATAAGACGTTAAATAAGTTTTCTTCTCAATAACAACATCTTTGGAGGAAGTCATGGCTGACATCTGTTCTACTGCCCTCAAGCTCCACGTTCGGTTACTCTGTTTACTTGTCCAGCAACTTACAGCAGTGAGCAGGAAAAGCTCGACTCTGATTGGCTGTTGTGATGCACATTTTCGCCATGTTTGATCGAGTAAATATGCTCACAGCTGATCACCGTGATCGAACTGAAATTTATCCCGATCATTAATCCCGATCATACAATCGCCCAGTCCTAGTTGAATAATCTGGAATAAATGAATGTTGGCAGTTGTCAGGGTGGTAAAAGAAAAACAGTGCGACTACACAAAGATATCAAACATAATTTTAGATCATCAGTGAAGTGCTTTACCCACAGAACACATCAGGGGAAGATTCATCTTAACTTAAAAAAAAAAATCACCATATTTAAACCCTTATCAGCTGAAAATAAAAACAATCATTTAAATAGAAAGAGCTTCAGTTTTCCCAGAGGTGCAGATTCATGAGGTTTTCAGTGTGTATTCACAGCAGCCTAATAGGAGCAGAGGTGCGCTGTGATTTTGTCTGTTTCCTCTTTTTACGTTATGCACTTTTCCTCATCTGGTCCTCAGGAGTTGACCCCGAGCTGTACGAGCTAACAACGGCTAAGTTGGACCCTGGCAGCTCTGGCAGCCGGGTGGCCGACGCCTTCGCCCGCCTTATGTCCACCATGGAGAAGACCAGCACCTCCACCAGGTCAGAGGCCACAGAGCAGCAGAATATGATGCGGGTGTTAAGTTTTCTGTTTGAGACAAGAAGTGTGTTGAAGAAGGAGGGCATCCAGAATGCTCATTTTTCTAATTTATTCAAAGTTTGAGCATCAGCGGCACTTTATTACTTTTAACCTACAGGTAACTTTTGGTATTTTTTTCTTTGTAAACAGTTGTGGGATCAGATCTGTGACACACTTTCTCTTAATTTTATCCCTCAGGAAACCGAGGAGAGAGGAGAATCTGAGTGAGGAGGCAGCAAAGGTGATCTCAGGTCTGCCCGATCTGTCCTTCATGCAGGCCAAAGTGCTGATGTTCCCCACCACGCTGACGCCGCTTAGCTCTGCAGCCACCACAGACTGAAGCCCCTGCCCCCCCAGGACTGTTCGGCCCTTACACACCGGATCGATCCAAGTCTTCATCTTTCTTTTTTTTATCTTTGTTCTTTTCCTACTGCAGCTTAAGCTCCTCCCCTTCACCTCTTTCTTTCCTTACAAGTGATCGTTTTTGTCTTTTTAATTTAAATACAAAGTGAAGCATTTCTCCCGATGGGAAACAGCTGGACGCTCGGCCCACTGCCTGCACATTTAGGAGAGTAGGAGACTAATTTATAGAGCTGATCACTAATTTATAGAGGAAGGTTTTAGACCTGTGTGCTGTTCATAAATAGGAGAATCATGGTGTATATAATCAGGGATTAAACCTTAATTTTTCTTCTGTTCTTTTTAAACTCTGGCTGATTTCTGAGGATGATTTTAGTCTCTGTGGTGGGAGTGTGTTTGTGTCTATCTGTGAAGGAAACACTGGCTGAATCAAACTGAAGTGGTATATATGTGTAAGTTGAAATTAAAACATTTATATACATATATAAATCTATATAAATCTATAAATCTATATTTATCGACTTGAAACCACACTGCCTGCAAAATCCAGCTGAATGTTTGTCCCCTCGTGTTTTGAAAAGCCTTAGTTTTTACCTTTAGTCTGTCGATTTTAACCTTATTTTCTCTCTTTTTTTTTTTTGTAATTTAACGTCACTTTTAAACATGAATTTTGTCTGAACTCCCTCACTGTCGCTGCATTCAGTAATGTGTCATATTTTTCGTTCTTTTAGTCTTCATTTTGGGGAAACCTCCACCAAGCAAACGCTGGTGAAGTTAGATTTTTATTTCCTGTTCTCAGATCTTCCAGCTGCTTCGTTTGGTGCATAAAAACAGGTTTTCCCTTTCGTTCATATTTCCTCTCTCTCTGTTTGTTTTCTGTGTTTTTCGGGGGTAAAAACGGGACCTTTTCGGTTGAAACCACTGAAACTGGATGAAAGTTTCCGGGCAGTGAAGGTCGACTCTCATCAGAAGGGAATTAAGGGACCAATTGCTTCTTCCACCTGTTGAGTTTGTACACTGTTCCTGAAGATGAAGTGCTTTTTGTTTTTTGTTTGTTTTTTGGCTCATACTACTGTCGGCCCCGTCTCCCAGGAGGATTTTGCACATTGTAAAGATGAAATGGATGTAATCATAGTTCACTGTGGCTTTAGACTGTGTACAGTTAAACTATGGACTGTAAAATGTTTCGGGGAAATTCCTATGGAAAAAAACTGAATCACTTGAAGAGCCTGTCGAAAGGTTAGCGTGCATGCCCAGGTTCTTTTCAGACTTAAGTGTGTAAATTTGACTTTTAGTGTACACAAGAAATTAAAATAGTTATCTTCTCTGCTCGTGTCTCTTCATTTTATCCATAAAAAAATTTAGATCCGGCTTGATTCCTGTTTATTTGTAGACCTGGAGCCTCTCTCCTCTTCTCAGTTTACATTACTTACAGACAAAAATGTGTTTTTTTCCACAGAGACTTTGATCTTTGGAAGCCCATTTCTGCCCGTTTGAAAAAGAAATATTAAAAACTACAATTTTTATAATAATTTAAAAAATATATATAAAATAAAATTTGCCACTGAAAATAGAACAATATTTTAAATCCTTATGAGATAAAAAGTCTTGGTGGCAAAAGTCAACAACTTTAAGATAAAAACTGCACATTACATGAAAGTCAAACAGAAATATTACAGAGGGAACTTTGATAGTCCAATTTAAAAAAAAGTACATTTTCAAATTAGTTTTCATTCATCGAAGACGCAAATCACGAACTTGTAACAAGGTAAGTCAGGTGGCACAGTTATCGTTTAATACGGATTTTACTCTCCATTATTCTGGGAAGTCAAACTGAAATGCAACTAATTAATCAGCCTTAGTGGACACATTTAATGGGAACTACAGTTATAATTTATGATTATGATACCGATTATTATCAGGAGAAACGGATTCTGATCGGCCCACCTTAGAGACAAATAAACATAAAACTTTACATTCACGTACAAGTTTTAGTTTGCTTATTTTACCGCAAAAGCTCAAAATCAGGCAAGATTCTTATCCCTGGTCTCATTACTTATTAAGCCATTACAGAGCTTAATAACGAGCTGATCATTTGAATCAGGTGTGTTGGAGCAAAGAAACATCCAAAACATGCAGGACAGGGGGCCTCGAGGACTGGACTTGAGAACCACTGTCTTAACCCATTGGCAGGTATTTTTCTTTGAACACAAATTCTAGGTCTTATTTTGGCTAGAAGTATGACATGGACTCGAAATTGTTGAGTGATTTTGGCACATATTTCATCTAATTAGACATTTAGAGGAAACATTGGGGGAAAAACTTGCTTTGAGTTTTGTGGTGAAATAAGCTGGTCAATATTTAACCATGAATAAAAACATATTCAGTTGAATGTGAATGGAGGCGTTCTTGGCAGCAGAGTCAGAATGACTGCTGTTTTAGCTGAATGAATAAATGGTTAGGTGGGTAGTGATTGGGATGTCAGGTCTGGAACATCCTGCCTTTAACACCTGTTCACTAACAGAGAGCTTTCAATGTCTTTAAATGTGTGTTTTTGAACTTGCTGTTTCCCCCTGCTGTCAGAAGAGTGAACTGCACTTTGGAACAAAACTTTTATTTCATGTCTTACATTTAAATGACAAAAAAGGGACATAAAAGTGTGTGAGGTTGAGGAAGGCACTGATCAACGATTATAATTTTCTCATTAGTAAAAATGTTCACAAACAATAAAAAGTTGATTTTGTTCCTTTTTTACAATCTGGGATAATTCATAAATTTATTACCATACTTCACACTGGTTTTACTGAAGCTGGAGTTCACCTGGAAGACAAAGATGAAGCTCCTGTTTAAGTTTCTGGTCATTACTGAGAGGATGTTTTTATTTAATCCCCAAAGCAAAAAATGCAAATGCATAAATAAAGCACCTTTGCCTAAAGTTTGGACTCAGAGAGGGAGTATTTTAGATGACTGTCACATAAGAAACCAACGTGATGCATTTGGTTGTCTACCAACTTGCAGCCTCAGAGTGTTTGTGGGGGTCTATGGAGGCTTTTTAGAGTTTATATGTTGGTTAAATGTTGGCTTTGTTCGATGAAATAAATGTCTGCTGTCATATTGAGCAGCAAAACTTTGACTTTAACAAGCTTTTCTGTTCGTTTCGAGACTTGGCCATGACTTGATCTCACAACTCTCAGCATTTTCTCTCTTCCCAAAGACAAAGACTCCAGAAAACAGCCACAGCGTAATTGTTTGTGCCACTTCACTGCTTTGTAAACAGAGGCCAGTACCTCAGTTAGTACAGGCCAGATTTGGCGATTCCATCTATTAAAACCTTCAGAACCACAAGCTGGGAGGAACACAACAACAGCAGCTAATGTTTGATCCCGCAAAAATCAGTGCAGCTGAAAAGATGCTTTGCTCCCAGCACTGCACACCTCAGCAAAATCTGAACACTCATATTTTTGGTCCCTTGCCGTTATTCAAAGGGGGAAAGTCCGCTGTTTAGTGCCTCTGTAGGTATATGCTGATGCCCATGTTATAAATTGGTAGCTAAATGGTCATTCACAGCTAACCTGGGTTACTTACTGTGGAAGCACAACTTTGTGGTCAGTTTGGGACTACATGGCTGTGTAAAAAGTAACCCCTCAAGCTGATACTGATACCAGTTATAAGCAGTTCATGAGACCTACATTTGGAAAGGATCTGCATTTACAGTAAAAATGAAAATCTGTCCAAATTTAGAATTTGAAAAATTTGAAAAAAACACTGGTCCACAACTTTTTAAATCAAAACGGGGTAGGATATTGGGTGCTTTTTGGATTATTTTATGTTTACACAGCCGTGAAAGAAGTAACACTCCAAGCCATGTTGAACTTTCTGTCAGTGGAAAAGCAGCTCAAACAAATGAGGGTTTTTACAGCCCTCAGTAAAAAATTTTTTAACTGCAAATCATGCAAATGAGCTCTACAAACGCCTGACGCCAGACCGACAGAATGAAAGGTCAAAATGAGGATAATAGGTTATCCTGTTTGTTTTTAAAAAGTGTCAGCCCTTAAACCTGTTCAGGTCATAAAGGAACCAGCAGACTTCTTTCTTCCAGACCCTGAAGTTCAGCCTGCATAGTTAAACTGCTTCTTTATCGTTTAAAGGGTTTTAAAGTTCTTTAAGCAGCAGATTAGATCCTCCAGAGTAAAGCCAGTGTGAAGTCTGAATCTTAAAATCTGTACAAAAAATCTATAAAAAGTTCTAATAAGTCGCCCTCTTTCCTCTCAGCTGCCGACCAGGACCTCCATGATGTGGTCTAGTTCTGCCAGGTCCATTTTAAAAGGCGGGTTCTGACCCCCGCCCCCTGCTGCCCCGTACCCAGACATCACCACAGGGGACATCTTTGTGGGCGGAGCTCCTGAAGGGGGCGTACAGGGGCCGAGGTCGTACATGGAGGTGTCAATGTCTGTGAAAAGGGTGTCGTCCAAAGTGAAGTCTGTGAGGAAGGAGGACGTGGAGGATGGCGTGGGAGGAGGAAGAAGAGGGGGTGGTTTCTCCAACCTCTTTTCCGCCTCCCTTAAGTCCCATCCCTTCTCCTCCTTCTCCGCCTCTTCCTCCTTCATGATGACATCAAATGTCTCCCGAGCAGGAGGAGGTGACGGAGGCCTCGAGGCTAAAGAAGAGGGACAGAGCTCTTCAATGTCCTCCAGGGCGGAGGAGAAGCTGTCTTTAGGTGATGGTGAGGGAGGGGGAGGAGGTGGGGGCGGTCTGGGGGAGTGATGCAGGTGGAGGTGTTGGGAGGAAGACGAGGAGGGCGGCAGGGTGAAGAACATGGGCAGGTCCTCCTCCAGCAGGGAGTCTGGCGTCAGGCAGGAATCAAGCGCCGTCAGTCCCGACAGAGATGAGGAGAGGATGCTGAAGGTAGGTGGAGGGGACGGAGCTTGTCTAGCTTCTCTGACAGCTGAGACGGCAGGTCCAGTGGAGAAGAAGAGAGCGCTTAGGCCTCCTTCCTGCCTGAGGTCGTCGTGGATACGGCGGATGATGTTGTTGATAAGTACTCTGCGCTGCAGGCGAAGGTCAGTGCTGAGACGCGGGTGGTACAGTTTCATGAGTGACATGTTGAGGACAGTTTGACGCTGCAGCGTGAAGGACGCCGGAGACATGACACCCGCCGCCGCCGCCAGAGGACGCAAGCCTTCCTCCAAACCATCCTCGCCCTCGCCCAGCTTCCTCTTCACCCCGTTACCCAACATAAATCTGAGGAGGAGAGACAGACACAGGTCAGAGGAAAGTTTTGACTTATGCATGAATGTTCAAAGTCACACAAACTTAATTTCAACTGACATTAAACAGACAGGAGCATAATACAAATTAACATGGAGTGTACCGCTCAACTGTGTCCAGCAGATGGCGCCTAAGTTACACAAAATACTATTCTCTGTGTCAACAAGTGATCACTTTATGTGCAGTTTTCACCTGCTCAACCAGGAAAAACATGATAAAAGTAAAAGCTTTTGAATGCATGATAACTTATCACAGAAGATAAAAGACAACTACTGGTACACACAACCCTGATTTGAAGAAAGTTTGGATGCCTTGTAAAATGTTGGTAAAAACAGAAGTTGATGGTTTGCAAATCATAAAAAGCCTATATTTACTTGGAAAAAAAGTCACATAAGACAACATATGAAATGTTCAAACAGAAACAGAAAATCCTATGTTACTCTTGATGAATTATATTTGCTAATTTTAAATGTGAAATCACTGCATGGGCTCCAGAAACCAGTGTCTATGAACCCAGTTTATCACTGTATCCTAAAATGCAGGTTTAGACTGTAACCAGCCATTTTTCTAGGCCTGAAGTGAAATTCAGTACATCAGAATCCAGCGTCATGGGTAGCTTCCACATCTGTGAAGGCTCCATTAATGCTGAACAATATCTAAACGTTTAGTAGGAACATCTGCTGCCATCCAGAAAAAAACTTTTTCAGGGAAGACCTTCATATTTTAGTAAGACAATGACAAACCACATTCTGCAGGGATTACAACAGCATGGATCCGTAGTAGAAGAGTCATGCTGATAAACTGACCTGCCTGCAGACTTGACTTGTCACCCATTGAAAACATTGAACAACAGTCTTATGATGAGATGTATCCTGGTTTGAAACCGTCTGACAGCAGCCTTTGAGCAAAAATGAAGTTGTTCACATGTTGAAACGGACTCTGAAGGCTTGAGTACCGAAACAATAAAACTGAAACTGATGGAACTGACTGAAGGCAAAGGTTAATAAAACACCACAGGTCACATGACTGATAACTCTGTGTTGTGTTGTGTTGAGTTGGAGGAGTCACAGGTTTACTGTAAGCTGAGCTGCTTCCTCACAAACTGGTGATCTCTCAAAGTGTGTGTTTGTGTGCGTGTAGGTTTGTGTGCTCTCAGTCAGCTGACCCGCTCCCATGTGAGCCTCGGTCAGCTGGTTGGGTGGGCGTTCGACACCTTCTGACTCCCAGAGCAACAAAACTCAGGAAACCAGCAACTTCCACTGTCAGCACCACACACCGAACAAAAAACACACAAACACACACACAGACTGGGGCTGCTCCAAATATTACACTTGGCTTTGTTTGTCCTCAGAGTACCAATAGATGTTTTAATCTTGTAAAGTAAAAAAAGCTTAAATTTGACTTTCCTTTCTTTACACCAGGACACATTTCTTTGGATATCTTGAGGTTTCATGACTTAAGGGTAAATTCATTAGGAACAGATTGAATCTAAACATAAAAAAGCCCTCACATTGTTCTCTTTAAAGCCGCAAAACTCCTGTTTTATATTTTTTTAAGTACACAAGAGTTGCTGGTCTACCTTTGCCTCAATTTTCTTTATTTTCACTCATGAATGAAACACATATTTTAAAGAAGTTTTAAGAAGTTTCAAGAGCAATTAAGCATGTAGGATTTAGACTTTTTTCTCCACAGAACTCCACAAACAAATTCAGCAGTTTACCTCAAGGTACACAGGAGTTGGTGCTCTACCGGTGCCTTAATTTGTTTAAAATGTTATGAAGAACTCATAACTGCTGGACTTAAGTTCAAGAGTAATTAAGCATTTAAGAGTCAGGTGTTTTTCTTCAAGTGTATATTTCTTTGAAGAAGCAGCTGGCCGGGGTATAGGTAGAATGTCAACTCCTGTGTTTGTCAAAGCCAGTAAGAAGTGAATTTGGTGAAGTTTGGCAGCTTAAAAAAACACAGCGCTCTAATAGCTAAAAAATACAGCAATTTATCTTGGGGGAATACAGGAGTTGCTCGTCTACCAGTGCCTCCAGTTGATTATCATTATTGTAGTTTTATTAGCTAGACAACTTGTTGGCTCTAAACGTTAAAAGTGGTTGACAAGAAAGACAAATACTTTCTTGGACCTGAAATAAAAAAAAGTTACTTGAAACATCAACGTGGAACAATATCAAAACCACAGGAGTTGCTGGTCTACTGCTGCCTCCATTGGCATAAATGTGTGTCACATAGGTATTCTGTTGGCCTAATAAAAACCATTGAAAAACAAAAATGTCACAAAATCATAAAAACAAAATAACTTGTCAAGGAAGAGGTAGGCCAGCACCTCCTGTGTTCCTCCAGGTAAAATTGTTGTTTTGCGACTGGGGTTTGGTGGAAGTGATCAAACAGAATTTTTTTTTTCTCTGAAAATAAAGATTCTTTGTTCTGTTGCCAAACACTTTGAATATCAACCTAATTCTGTTGACAACAAAAACAACTTTTCTTCATGTTGTCAACCCCAAAACTTTAAAATATGGCCCCCAGGTTTAAAGATAATTCATTGCGGAATCAGGCCAGTCTGTGGAAGCCTGTTTTTAATGGTCCATATGTGTGTAGGAGTGCTGATGGAGGCAGCTGTTTGGTTGGAGGTTTGTGGTGTCGGTGGAGGGGATCTGAACCCATGACCTCTTGATGACACGGCCAACATGCGGCTGAAAGTGCTGACAGGGAGTGACTCAAACACACTCACACACCTTCTTAAATATGATAATCCCTCCACTCTCTGTCCTCCCCCTCTCCACTCTAAACTTATATGTGGGGCCCCTCAGAGGGCCCATCTGCTGAAAGGACAGGGTGAAGAGGTGACGGACGAGAGACAGTGATAGAGAGAGAGACAGAGAGCAGGCAGACACAACAGAAGGATGCACACTTGGATACTCAACCTCTATTAAACTGAGCAGTAACACTGTCATCAAGAGTCCTCACCTCCATCTACATCCTATCTTGTGACAAAGACTGACTCTGGATCAGCTGGCAGAAGGTTAAAAATGTCCCCCTCCCCCTCCTTTTCTCCCCAATCCTCCCCCTCTGGCAGCTGTCCCTTGGTTTTTTGGACACACACACACACACACACACACACACACACACACACACACACACACACACACACACACACACACACACACACACACACACACACACACACACACACACACACACACAGATAAGCACACACCTGCTCCTCTCCCTGCTCTCCTCTGTCCAATGTGACATCTTCAGGTGTCTTATTTTGTACGACTTAAAGTGACAAACCTGATAAGCGATCAAGTGTGTATTTCAAAGTGTGAATGACTCAGACACACCTGTGAGTTCAGGGAGAGTCAACCTGCAGCGTGAGAAGATTAAATAAAACGATGGTTTGGTATGTAGGTTAAGAACAGTTACCATACTGTACAGCAGGTAAAAAAACATCAGCTGGCAGGACAACAAACTCTGACAAACTTCACAGAAGTCATGTGACCCTGGTGTGAGACAGCTAAACACGGATAAATTCATCAGCAGAGTTTTTTAGTTTAGAAATATTACGCAGATGTCATTTTTATGGATCAAACCTGGGACTTTTCAGTGTTTCTGCAAGAAACAAAACAAATGAAAAAACCATTCACTTTCCTCTGTCCCCACCTTGTCTTACCTGTTCACTGACTTTGCAAAACTACCAAGCTACCAAAATATGTACCAAAACTATTGAAAATTACACTAACTATCTCAAACAAACTCTGCTTTTCCTTAAAGACACAAGAAATGAACAAATGTAAAAAAACAAAACTCATTGTTTCATTAAAAGAATCAGTATAAATGGCTCTTGCCCTAACCCTTTGAACTTTCTCAAACTTTTGACTTTTGGTTGATTAGCTGACCCACTTTCTCATAAATCAACATTTTTTGGCCAACTTTCTCAAAATTTTTACTTATTTTTTAGGGCTATTTTATCTTATTCTTATAATTTTGACATACATTACTTTTGATTCTTACTTTTTGTCTCAAATAGCTGGCTTTTTCCATCGTATATTGAGCCTTTATCTCAATTTTCCTTTTTTATCTCATAATATTAAGTTCTTTCTGTCTTTAAAATGCTTTTTGACACATAGTTATGACTGTCTTTCATATATTTTTGACTTTTAATTCCATAGTTTTAACTCTTTATCTCATAACTATGCTTTTCATATCCTTAGGATGACTTTTCAGACTTGTATCAAAGAGTCTCCAGATGGATTTCTTGACTTAAGTCTTTCACTGTCCATGTTTCTTTATTTCTTTCTTTCTTTTTCTTTCTTTCTTTCTTTCTTTCTTTGCCTGACACTGATCCTGATCTTGCAGAGCTGCATGCTGTGTGATTTTCACTCTCTCTCTGCAGCGTCAGTTTGTAGCGCTGCTCTTATTCTCTCTGTGTCATGGTTTCAATCGACTGAATCCGGGCGTGTTTTAACATGTGGAGATCAGATCCAGATAACAGACAAAATGCACTTAACCTGATTTTTTCTTACATAAACTCTGATAAACATCAGGTGAACTCCTGATTCCAGCTCACTTTGCAGATACGACACGTGGCTGGAAATCCCAAGCAGGAAAACTTCAGATTCTTTGGATTTGATTCATTGCTTTGGAGTTTTGTTTTTATGTAATGATGTGACTCTGAAGCTGTATAGATAATCCACCTCAATCAGTGAGTAGGTTATAGTGTCAAAACACAACAAAAGTCATCACAAATTTGCAGTAATACTGTATCGCTTTCCTATCCACATATAAACAAGCACAAATGTCACATGGTGTCTTGTAGCACAGTGTGGTTTGCCAGTATTTTGATCCAGAAAATGGAGATTAGGTCAAGTAAGGTCTGCATTGAAGGGATTGAAGGCTGATTCTGCTAGCTCTGCTAGTGTTAGCCACACTTAGCAAACAAGTTTAGCATTGTTCACCTGCAGATTCTCTGTTTAGATGTCTTTGATAAAGGAAAAAAAGTGACATTTTCAGGATTTCCTGTGATGCTTTAATTGTTGCAGTATTCAGACCAGATCTCCGTCAAGTCTCACCTGATGAAGCACTCTGCAAAGATGGTAAACGCAGAGACAAGAGTCCCACTGTGTTCTTCACCTCAGTCTTTCCCACTGCTCCTCAGACTGACTCCATCTATCTGTGACATCCACTTCTAGCATACCTGCGCTCTCTAAACTGGTTTATTTGGTTTCGTCACTTCATAGAAACAGTATAGACAGTTACAGTATAGAGACACGTGTTTTCACTTTTGAGTCGTAGTGTGTAAGCTCTGACACCTGAGCTTTACTTGTATCCAACTTCTGACACCTGTGGTTACAACTGTGTTTCACAAGTGTATGGTAATGTTTTAGACAGTCCATGAATGAGATATACAAAATGTGTCCAACAACGTAAAACTGTGAGCAGTAGCTAGAAGCTGTAAAGTGTAGTTTCAAGACTAATAAAATCCACTCTCTCTGTGAGACCGATAAGTTTCCAGGGATAAACTCCGTGTATATGGTATTATTTTCTTGCATCAAAACTTTGGTGTGTGTTGACTTTGGCGCCTCCTGTAGACAAAGCAGAACACCTTATGCTTTTGCTGACCTTGTCCTGCGTATGTGTCGCAGTGGTTTGAATAAAATAAACACTTTTTTCATTATGACTCTGGGGTTTGTTTTTCTAGGTCATAATGATGCATCAGCATTACTTTCACAGTGTTTCATAACTAAATAAAAACTCACTGAAGGAGCTTGGAGCATTCTGCAGAGAGGTTGGTTCAGAGTGTTGCCTCCAGACAGTTTTAAACTATTTCCTCCCCCTCTAACAGCTCGTGTGTGTCTGCCCTCAATGCTAAGCCGGACATGCAAAAACATGTCGCTGCTGACTGTCTAAAATTAAGCTTTTATTCACAGTTCTCAGTCACAGGAAAAATTAGATAATGAATTTTTTGTTTCCAGTCAACTTTAACCTTTAATTCTGGCTGTTCCTGTCACTCTAAATAAAGCTGAAATGTATTTTTAATGAGCTGAAACTTAGAGGAAGAAGGACTGATAAACAGGTTTGTAAATGGGTGTGTGTTGATGGTAATAATTCAGCCGATGAGTGTGTTCCTCATCACTGCCGATAACTGACCCGTGTCACTGAAGGGAAACTGACACTATAAGAAGTGAAGAAATCATGAGTCTCTTCTGCAGGTTTCCCTCAGTGAGTGAGTGTTTCAGTTTATATAATTGTGTGAAACAAAAACAAACTTTTGCATCATTTTGCTCTCATCGTGTGTCACAGTGGTTTTATCTCTCGGTTTCTCAGAAGAGTCACCACTATGACTCATCCATCAGTCAGTTCATTTCTGTTGTTGACACTTAACCTTAAAAAATACGTCCCAGGACTTATTGGACGCTTACTTTTTCCCCTTCCAGGCTGGCAGAAAAAAAAGTCAAGTGGTTTTGTTTAACAGTAAAGAAAGTGAAACTAAAGTTGGCTTTACACTAGACAACTGAGCTTGACCCAGTTTTGGAGGAAAAACCAATACGGCCATGTAGCCTCTGTTCTCCACTGCAATAGAGCAGCTTATCCTGAAATAAAAACATCTACTATGCATTGTACAATAATCTGGCCTTACTCACTACAACTTTAAATGAGTCACAGTGTCAAACCTGCAGTTCCTTAAGTATCCACTTGAGGCTGTCCCTAAAGGTAAGTCAATCCCCATGTTAAATGTCCAACAACGTAAATGAACAGGTTCACAGCCAAACAATTTTGGTCTCTGTGGCTCATTTGAAGGAATGCATAATTCTACTGCAGATATATTCAAACATATTCTGACAAGTACAGATTGAACTACAAATATATACAGTCCTTTTTTTTTCCAAGGTAGAATATCCCTGTTACTCTTATTGTTAAGGTCCATTCAGTAAGTATTAAACACTTAATGTGTCACTTTTCTGGCAGATAATGTATTAGCAAGAATTTTCATGCATGCTGATACTGATAATTAACCTTTTAAGCTATTATCTGCCACTACAAATACTCCCTTAATAATGTCCCTGGATCATTTTTCTCCAACATATATATTTTTTAGATTACTCACCTGTTTGAGTTATACTAAGGCTTAAAATTCTGCATTTTCAAGGGCATGGCTTCTTTGACTAATCAAAGCTTCTAGCTATTGGCGAGGTGCTAATTTAATGGCTGGACCTCTGGTCTCCTTGTGCTGAGGGTTTGTTGATGCAAATATCAGATGAATAATCTGTTTTCCTGTACAGTTTATAGGACGAAAATGCCATTAAACAGGTCTGAATAACAGTCTTATACTCTGTCTCATCACAGTTTTGTTTTATCCATGTTAGCACCAATTAGCAGGTACCTGTGTGTAAGCTTACTGTAACTGATTGACTAGCTATTTGGTTAGCCTTGATCACAGACTGCTTTGATATTTGCTGACCCCTCACTACTAGCAATCTCCACCCACTCACCCAAATATGGTCTACCCTGGCTTTAAAAAACAAGACAGACCACTAAAAGGACTGGGATTGATTAGAGTTGGCCACGTCCACTTTTGTGTGTTCTTCATGTGGCTATCAGCAGCACAGACAGAAATACAACAGCTGAACTCTCTCTCTCTCTCTCTCTCTCTCTCTCTCTCTCTCTCTCTCTCTCTCTCTCTCTCTCTCTGTCTTACATTTGACTCCTGGCCTCGGTCAGTAAGCTCTGGTATCAGCATCGAGTGTAACTGGCTTCATGCAGAGAGTGTGAGTTCAATGTGGAGGCCTTACATAACACACACAAAGTGCTGATTGTATTGAGGGCAGAGTGAACGTCTGTCAGTCTGCTGTAACCCTCACTGGCTCCGCCTGCTCCACTTTTTAAACTGCTGCTCGACCGCATTCTTCTTCTTTCCTTTAAACCCTGATTCCACACCAGGAAGCATACAGGACGCCGACCTTCGACCCCTCCCAGGCTTCTGATCTCTCATGACAACACAACCTGAGAAGCCTTGACTTCACAGCCCTCAATATACTGACAACTATAAGTTCCTTTGTCAACTTTTAAGGTGGCTTTAAAAGGTCCTTTTTGTACAAGATCACTAATAATTGATGGAATTTATCAGGTTAAACAAAAAAAACTCATTTCAAAGTAGCACTCTAGGGACTTTTGCGTAAAGCTTTTCTTTACTCCTATGCCTAAACAACCTGACAAGACTGGTAATAAATAAAAAGAAGGTCAAACTACATTAACTAACAGTTACACCTGATGTTATTACCTGATAATCATATCATAATCGTTATTGTCACGGCTTGAAAGGTTAAAGACTAAAGTTTAATAGAATTTGCCTTATTTTCAATGGTTTGAATGTATCATAAAATCTAAAAAATAGGAGTTATTTACATATATTTCATTTTCTGATTTAGTTTCAGGTTTGGAAAGTGTAAAAAATTTAGGGGGGATTCAAAAGTCTGTAGTATTAATATCTCACTTATAGCAGAACCATGTACCACTGTACCATGATGTTATTGTTATAATAGGCAATGCATCAGGCACCAGATAACAGAAACTACCTTTACTCATAAAAGCATTTTGTCCCTCTGGTGGCTTTGTTAGTAGCTGAACATGGTTTAAAGCTCAAAAATTTATTTTCTTTCTCAAACTTTTGTGTCTTTGTGTCTTGCGATTGCCTAATTAAGGCACTTCAAAGTGACTCAAGCAGCCTCTTCCACTGTTACCATGCAACAAAGTGGTCATCACAGAACAAGCTGGTGTTTCCTTATTTAAAATGACAAACTTTAAAATAACGCTACATCTTTCCAATTATGAAACTACCTTTCTTTATTCTGTTTGGAGCAAATCTAACACATTTTGAAAAGTATCAAAATCCGTCATTTCCTCAAAAATCTAAAAAAAAATCAAGTTTATTCAACGATTTGAATATTCTCCACTTCGTCTCAGTGACTAGTACAATCAGAAAGTCGAATATGATGGCTATGCAGTGAACCAAAACCTTCATTCAAACCCACTTCGGGAACTTTGAAAGAATATTTAAAGTTGTACCACACGGTTAACAGCCGACACTAATCTCCAAACACTGTCAGTGTTCAACACAACAATGCTTAAACTTTGAATATATGTTCTCAGCTCTTCTCTGCTCGGTATTTTCTGATCTGACGGTCGGTTCACGGTGAATAAATCACCGCGGGTGACCCGGTGGCTCAGCTGTCAAAGCAGCAGCTGGTTTGCAGATCCTCCGGGAGCTCAGGCCACCGGCTGCTCCCCACCACCTGTCCCGCCACCAGGCACCCGCACCCGGCCAGAGCCGTCACACCAGACTGCAGTCAGAGACGGTTGTAATCTTTAACAATTCAACAACAAACTTCACTATTACCGCTGTCAAACCAGAGTCAGGTCTACCGACATTAGCAGGGTTCTTTCTTCTGTCTGTTACGGGACCATAATCCCGTTTTCGCAGAGGACTCGGGGCTTTAAAGGTTTCTGTCACTCACCACATGTAGTCAGTCCCATCCAGGGTCTCCTCTGCTGCATGGGTGTCGTCGGTCTGAGAGGCCGGGAGTGGAGCTGCGGACAGTCAGGAGGAGAAACCGGAGCAGAACCGGAGCAGAATCCGGACGTTAATACGCCTTTCTTGCTTGTTTGTTTGTGTGTTTGTACTCCGCCGTCGTCCGCGCAGCTGCCTCCACCACAGCGCTCACCGAACTAAACACACACACACACACACACACACACACACACACACACACACACACACACACACACACACACACACACACACAATGGCGAAGCAGAGCGGCAGAGGAGTCGGGGAAGTGTCGCCGAGTCACGCGCGTCAAGGTAGAGAGAACTGCCGTTAACAGCACTTCCGGTGACACACTTCAAAATAGAATCAGTTTATAGTCACTAATCACGTTATTTTATCATTTAATTCTTTAATTAGGTAAAAATTTTGAAATAATAGTCATGACGTATTAGACAGTTTCCCCTCAGTGATAAGGCAACAGACATCAAGAGGTCAAATTTCAAGTTTCAATAAGGGATTAAGGTCCTTTCACATTGGTCGATTTTTTTTAAAGTTTCGCACACTGTGTGTCCACTTCTGACCAATCAGATTGCGTGTTGTTGCGATGTCAGATTCACAGGTATATCCAACATGGCCGACCAGCTGATTGTTTACGTGTGAACAGTGTGCTTTTTGATAAAAAACACAAACATTACAAAGATACCGACCTGAAGGACAACTTGTGGAGAGTCATAGCGTCGGATCTCTCATATGACGATGGTTTGTGTGCTTTAACTGTTTGCTAAACGTCTTTGTTTTAACTTTCATCTGTGCTAACGTATGCTAATGGTTGTTACCATAGTTTCATGTGCTTATCTTATCGCCTCTGATTGGCTATAAGTGCTGACCATTTGGCTTGAGCGTGTAATGACGTTTCCAGCTTTTCCAGCTGCGCAGTTGGACATGCGTTGTTAATGATCTCAGCTAGGAATACCTAAGACAAAGGCAGGTCATATTTCAGCACTTGCCTTATATTCGGATGAGGCAAGCGCTAAAATAACTTTCCTAGATGTAGCCATCTTTTTTTCCACCTCCAATTTAGCTTTTTTTGGACTCTACCAATACGGTGGTAACTCGGGTGTGAGGTCATTTTCAGCTCTGACTTTTGACTTCCTAGGTAACCCGAACGCACCAATACATCAACACTGCCGCCATCTTGGAGTGGTACCAGTGACTGCTGGCAAGTAAACATGTAAACAAATACTGTTGTCAGGTAAACCACAGGCTTCCAACACCAAAACCGTTGACAAGATGGCTCCAAGGTGGGAGGGGTTTTGAAGCATCTAATGTTATGATATATCTATGGTGTCCATGATCTCATCAAAAAGTCATTCTTTATGTCATTTTTGCAAACTTTTAAAGTTGAGTTAAGTGAGTTGCTTTTTTAATATTCAACAAGAAAAGCCTATTTATTAAGGGGATATTCCAGCGTAAATTTAAGTTATGGTCAAACACACTGTAACACCAAGTTAGACACCCCCTCAAGAGATGAATGGTGCCGACTGCTTGCTTCCCTAGTTATGCCAACTTCAGCAACAACCGCATGATAGCAATACACAGTAGTCTACGTCTCCACATGCAAACCCCAACCAAAAAGTCACTGGTAGCCACAATTAATGCTCAGAACAGCACCTAACTTCATCAACAGTACATATAGGGTCACAGCCATAGTACTAGCCACCAAATATCTTTTCAGCTTTGCCTGTTTTCTCTAGCAAAGAGACCAAACACAACTCACCCATTCTTCTTCAGCAGCCAGTCGTTTGTAGGGAAGCTCTGATGAGTCGATCACTGTGTGCAGCCGATCATTTCCATGAGGGAATGATCATCATAATAATCATTTTGCACTGCAGACGCAGTAGTTTTTCTGCCTTAGTCTGATGCGTTTCCATGAAGTAAGTATCATGAATTTTTCACTGCACTTGGTGATCGACTCGTCAGGGCTCCCCTTTGAGAGATGGGGAGGATTAAATTAACTAAGAATCTGATTCAGATTATTAATTTATGGGATACAAATGTAATAACAAGACAGACAGTAACTCGGGATATTTGTTCTAAACATGATCAAAGTTTGCTTTAGCAAACCCCAAAAATCTTGGAATTTTACTTGTGTATAGGCTCATCCAAATAAAATTTTATGGAGTATTTTTTTGGTTCTAGTTGCTCGAGATGCCAAAGTGCAAAACAAAGCTCAAAGCAAAGGTTTTAGCTGCACACTTCAACATTTTAAATTTTAAGTCAGCAACTAGCTCTTAAAATCCCCCACAGAAAGTTTCCTAGTTGCCAAAACAGAGTTTTCCATCTGCCTCCAGTTATGAAACTGTTTTTACTTCAAATGAAGCAGAAGAAGTTCCTAGAAGCAGCATAGCATTAGTTTCACTTTTTTTTTACTTCCTCAGACAGTTTGGAGACAGAGCAAAGAAAGTTGTGCTGACTCCAGGCTCTGGGCAATTTTCACTGCTTCACTATGATTTCACACAACTGGCTGAATTGCTACGTAAACAAAAATGCGATCAGGTGTTTTTTTTACTTTCCTTCTGCAGCTGAAGCAGGAAAGTAATCAAAACAGTTCAGATCACAACATGTGTTTGCTGTGATCTGCAGAGATGTTCTGCAGAGCCCAGACGGTACCCAAAATTTAAACTTGTACCTTTCAGGTTTGAAAATGAATCCAATGTCCGTCAGGGGGTGGTTCCACTAGTTGATGTCTGATTGTACTGTACTGTATTGCAAGCCTATGTAAAGGTAGATTTATTCCTTCTGTAAACATTTTCCCAATGAGTTTATAGTTCAAATCTTTAGTTTTTAGTCCTCTTCACTCTGGCTTAAAGGTTCGTTTTGTAAATTGTGGTCCACTTTAAATGGAAAGTGACCAAGTAGTATTTACTGTTTCAAACTTGTTTTTCTTTCTTTGCAAAATTTGCATATCACACTTAACTTAAATTTTAAAATATGGGGAGTCACGTGGGAAAACCTGCCATCATATTTTGGAATAAGTTAATAAGTCAATAATAAGGAACCTTTACTTAGTCAAAAAGATTAGCAAACGCTGTGGATTGAAGTGAGAAAATGAGTCAACAGAGGCAGACCTTGCAGACACGCTTTATGCCCACATCCGCTGCCGAGGAGCTTAACTCAGCTCATCCAGACAGAAACAGAGTGGAACTTTATTTTGAGGGTATAGCGAGGATGGAGCTTCTGGGGTGCTGTCAGAACCAGGGCGGTTGAAGGAGTGAGGAGACGCGGCTGTCTGCAGGACTCACACTGACCAAAGCTGATGAACTACAGCCAGTGAGGCGCTTCACACAGTTATGTTTGTTTCAGCAGTTACAGACATTAAAAACTACATTACAGAAAGCGCCAGTTTTGTTGATGGGCTTGTTTGCATTTAGAGGTCATAAAATGACACCCTGTTATTATCAGTCTCTTTTATAACTATTTAAAAATTTCCCACTGGAGCTTTTGCTGTAAGCACTTCCAATTTTTTGCCTGCAGTTAGCAGAGAAAAAAAAAAATCAGAATTTAATTAAATTGAACTCTGATTCAGAAATGTCTCTGATTTGGCAATTAATAGGATAACAATTTAATAACAAGACAAACAGAAACTCGGGGTATTTGTTTTAAACATGATCAAAGTTTGCTTGTTTTAATGAGACGGTTTTTGATGATGCTGTGCGCAGAAATATGTTTGAATTGAAAATTCTTTAAAAACATTGCTTCATGAAACCTCTGCAGATTTATCAGAGTATCTGTTTTTCTTACAGGGTTGTCTGCAGCTCCTCCTCTCATAGTAACCCTCGCTCTTGGCCTGCGGCTCATTGTAGATATAAAACAGAGTTAAGAGAAGTTCATTTAATGGAGACCTGCTGCTGTGTCTGCTGCCTGAATGTCAGTCAGTTTATTCCTATGACTATTGTCTTCTTTTCTCCTGCTGAGTAAAAACCACAAATATGTGAGGCATCCCAGTTATTCAGCATCAAACATCACAGTAAGATCCAACAGAGAGAAACTCTTTGACTGTAATCTACACACATAAAACTCTGCACGGTTTCCACTTCTCAAAGCTGGAAAATCCAAGTTATAGAGACCAGCCTTTTCTGGATTAAGGGCCTGTCTTCAATCCAACATATTATACCTCATGCTCTAAAACTAATCCGACAGATTCTTCATCAAAATGTGGAATCTGTACTCACTGGTCTGGATTTTCAGCTATCAGCAGGCTTTTTTTGTCTGAATGAAAAACAGCCTGTATGGAGAGCAAAAGCAGGCAGAACACAGTCCACAGTTGTAACATCTCAGGTCCCATCACCGGTAATCTGAGGAGGATTTATCCCCTTATATATATATCAATATATCTGCCTGAAGTTCAGCTAACAATCTATTCTAGATCAGAGATTCACACTCACTAGGTTTACATTATATCAAGAAAATCTATCCAACGCCTCAATCCAAAACTGGTCTTAGTATTAAGCGAATACCCCACAGTTTGTTTTCAGGCTTGGACATGGAAGAAAAAAGGATAAATCTGTAGAAGGGAGATAGGTATCAAATTAAACCTTGACAGAAGAAGTAAGGGGCATGTAAAAGAGAGAAAGTTGTCGTCCTGTCTGTATGAAAGGTACAGAGCTCTGTAGTCATTATTGTTGTTTTCAGTGTTCAACATAAAACCTGTAGGCCTCTTGCTGATTTGTTTGTAGATTGTTTTGGTATCCTATCCACTCCAAAAAACTGAGCAACCCAAACTTTATTCAAGAGACTGGATCATCTGATCTAAACTGATCTGGCAATCCTTTTTGCTTTTGAATGACCTTGAAGCTCCTGTAAGGAACCTTTGGTTTGTGTCACTTTTGGTGACCCCTGTGGACCAAGCAGTGTTGGCTAAGTTTGTCTTCTCTGTGCTTAAGTAGGGTTTTCTGGCAAAAGAAAAATGTTACTCTGCTGACTTTTGACAGTCAAATGTGTCATTTATTGTGAATATTTTATGAGTGGACGGTAACACAGGGCTGTTTTTACAGCTGTTCATCTTACACCCATTAAAAGTTAGCATATGAAAAATCACGTCTTGTTGCTGAAGTTTTTACTTGCTTTGGAAAATCATAGAAAGGCACCAATATGAATTTCATTTGATTTTAAATATGTCAAAAAGTTCTCACAACTGTAATCTGATGAGATTACTTTTGAACAACCAGGCTCAGGTTTCAGAGTGCTAGAAAACAAAGTAGATTTCCAGCCCAAACAGCAGGTAAAGTCCTCTTTCATTCATTGTGGTCATCTTTTAAGTCTGTCTGCTCTCTGTCATGAACACCACATTAACCTCCTGCTCTTACAGCAGTGTGTGTGTGTACACTCTCTAAAAACCACATTGTGTTACTTCCTGCCTGGGCAGGGTCTCTGTGGAGAAGTCAGCTGTTTGGGACCAGGGGTGTCCACCACTTCATTACCTTTATTTTGGTGGTTTAGGTCCTGGAAAGTCGAGGTTTTGGTATCCATGGCAATGAGGTAAACATCAAGTGTTTGGGTTGGTGGTTAAGGAGCTGAGAGTCTGTCATGTGGAGAGGCTGAGTCAAAGGCACAAAAAGTGTTTAATGAATAAATAAAGGAGGAGAAGAGCAGAGCCAATTGCACTAGACTTGCTTATTCTTAAGTACTGACCTTTTTTAAAATACATAAAGAATCAAAAACATTTATTAACTAAAATTGAGCCATCTTAAAAGATTTTTGACTATAAATTAAGTAAAATTATGTGAGGCTACTTTTTCTAAAATTCTAAAATCAATCCCATAATTGTGACTTTATCTCACAATTCTGAAGTCAAGCTCAGATATTGAAATTTATTAAAATGTGACAGAATTCTGAGATTCAAGTTTAGAATTTTGAGATAAAAGTCAAAATTTTGACTTTAATCTCAGTTATAGTTCTGTGATGATATCTCATAATTATAAAAATCAAAACCAAAAGATAAAAGGTCTTTATTGTGACAGACAATCATTTTAAGGTAAATAGACTTTTATCTCATACCAATGATTTTCTGTCTCATAATTTCAGCACTTCTTTCTCATAATTTTGACTTTCCATCTCATAATTTCTCATTTCTAGTTATATCATTTAGCTACTGTTTTATTTCATTTATGACCGACTTTTTTATCCCATAGTTTTGAATAATTTTCCTATAGTTATAACTTTTTTTTATTTTTACTTTTTTTCATAGTTTAGACTTTATTCCATAATTATGACTTACTATCTCAAAATTATGACTTTCTTACTCAAAATCATGACATTTTATTTCATACTAATACTTCATGTCTAATTTTTTTGTTAAACAGTTAAACTAGTTGGATGAGTTTAACCAAACCAGCAGCTGTTTCTCCTCTTGTCAGAAACAAACACAGAGCTCCAAGAACCAGGAAATAAAGTTTCTTTGTAGGTCTGACAGTGATGGTGATGCTGCAGCTGGCTGGTCCTGAAAGAAGCAGAAAGACATAACTACAGACAGATGGTCAGAATAAAAAAAACAGAAGCAGCTGATCTACCCTGAACAAACTAACGATCAAACAGATCAGCCTCTGAGGTGTTTCCTGTCATTCAGATTTCCCTTTACTCAGAGGGTTGAAGGTTTTCCTAATGCAGAATTCCCACAAACCACTGACAGCTCTGCTCAGGTGCAACTGTGACCAGTATGAATGTGAACCAGCTTCTGTCAACTCAGTTAGCTTACAGGTTCATGCACCATGTTGGCCATGACCAGGAAAAGGGATGTGTGGAAGTAATTTGGAAAAAAGGATGACAATTACAAGCTGTGCAAGTCTCAAGTCTGTGCTCTGCAGTCTCTAGAGCATTTGCTAGCCCTGTTTGCAGATGCTGGTGTGATGATATGGTGTGAGGTGTGAGGAAGATGAGCGACTGGAGATAGGCTCCCATCCCATTGTGTTTGAGGAAAGTGGAAGGCGTCCGTGGGCTGATGCTGTTTGGTGAACAGGCCACCACTATGGTGGATGACGGAGAGTGGAGAAATCCACTATAGTGGCAGAGGTTCAAGCATATTAGTGTCTCAGTGTAAATTTCGGGATTCTTTTGCTCTCCAAAGAGACTGTTTTTTCAAAGTTTTCTGACACATTTTAGTCAATACTTCTCAAGACTACAAACAGAATAGATCGAATGCAAGACTTTAACCTGTGGCGTACTCTCACAGCACTTTTTTCCTCAATGAAATGAAACTCCGTCTTTCACCGCTGCAGGAAGGAAAAGTTCTCTGAAGGCGTTGTTTCAAACAGCACTTTGTGTTTTTTTCTTTTTTACTACAAGCCTTCAGACTGATCAGCTGCTGACTGAGACTGAACTTCACACATGGACTCATTATGACCTCCCCCCTTCCTTCCCCGTACTCCTCCTGCAGCAGGCGCAGCAGAGGCGGGGTGAAAGGATGGGGCCTCCACAGCTGTCACACACACACACACACACACACACACACACACACACACACACACACACACACACACACACACACACACACAGCCGTCACCCAGCAACCAGCTACAAAACGAAGCCGGCAAACAGACCCAGCCAGCCTCTCCCTCCTCCTCCTCCTCTAGTTCACCCAGAAGCAAAACATCTCTCTCTCCTCTGTCTGCTCGTGGCTTGCTCGCCCTCTGTGTGTTTTTGTTTTGCAGCTGAAAGCAAACTGGGGGCTCGGGCCCAGACGAAGAGGGGGGTGGTTGTTCTTTTTTTATATTTTACGATGCCTAATATACTCAGAGTGTTGGCGCTGAGGGAGGATGGGCGAGCAAACAAAAACCCTGTTCATGAACACAAAGACGACCAGGTTCAGTTTTTATTGGAGCAGGATCGGAGGAGTTCAGGAACTTTACTGCTGCAGAGTGAAAACACTCCACTGTGATTAAAAACATCAGAGATTTTTTACCTGCTGTCTCATTTTGAATTGACATAACTAAAAGGTTTTCTTGTTGTAGTAGTTTAAGTCTTTAAGCAGAAAATACCAAAATAAGTTCCTTGATCCCTTCTAGTACCTAGAAAATAAAAGGAAAAAAGTTTTTCTACATGCTCTTTCTATGTAAAAATAAAGTGAACTAGTGCCCTCTCAACACACTTCCAGTTCCTTACTCATAAACAGTGCACTCTGCCCTCCCATTGAGTGGAAAATTCATGTAGACCTGTCTTCTGGATGCAAGGCATAAAAAACGGATGCCCTTTCAATATATAAAAGTGAAAAGTGCCATCTGGATGTTCTTCTAACCCATAAAAAAGTAAGCCCTGGTTGCCCTTCCATTATGAAATTCCCAAAGACATTCACTCGATCCGGCTCTAAACTCAAAGGTGCTGTAGTCCCCTGACCTGTTTCACAGACGTCTATGTAAGCACAAGCAAGAACTTTTAAAAAACAAATGAGGAAGACTAAAACTAATTAAAGAAGAAGTCTGGGAAGTGTTAATAAGGTAGTCCAAACATGTTTTATTATCTTGGGAGTTTTTTTTAGTGTCTGATTTAAAAATTTAAACCTCACTTCAAAATCTGGTGACTAGACTAGACGAGGTGGTGACGCTGCATCAACAATGCTGCCCTCTGCTGGTGTAAAGCTGTGAGTACAGGTTGTGTTTTACTGTTTTTGTGTCAGCCTGATCTCTTTGAACATGGTGTAATGACAAATAACCTGCTCTGAACTGCTGTATCAAGAGGCAGAGGAAAGAGGAATGTGAAACCACTAAGGTTTGGTCTGTTATTTACATCAAATCAAAGAAATATACTGATTCTAAAAGCCTTTTTTACCAGATATATATGTTCTATTACCAAAATACTGTGTTTTATGAAGTGAGTCTTACCACACATTATCATTATATTTATCTTATACTTTTTTTTCTGTTTTACACCACGTTTGGATGATCTGCTGTTTAAATTACACTGAAACTATGTAGAAAACTGAGAGAAAGTAGCTGCCCCTTATTTAAAGTACCCTCTGGTTGACCTCCCAGACCTCCATCCAGAGAACAGGACCACCTGATTCACTCACCTGGTTTTAAGAAAAGTGATCTGGAGCTTCAGGAGGAACTAAAGATACTCATGAGATCTACAGGGCTTCATGTAGGACCGTGAAAAAAGAGTGTGACACTAAAGTCACACTGAGACGGCTGGCTGAGAATGAAGTCCAGTCAGAAACAGACAGCTTTATGACGGACAGAGGAAGAGTTTGATGTTCCCTCTAGATGCCCCTTTCCTATATAAAAAGTGCCCTCTGGATACTCTTCCAGTACTTAACATATAAACAAGTGCACTCTGCTTGCTCTTTGAATGGAAACTTACTCTAAACCTGTCTCCTGGATTTCCATGATTTGCATAAAGGGTCCTCTGAATACTCTTCCAGTATGTGACACATAAAAAATGGAGCCCTGACAATCAGTCAGCAGTACCTGGCCACTGTGAGGCTTCTCAGGGGGAAGTTGCCTCTGAACTAAGTGTCATCAGCAGGTTGCAAACGAGACACAGAGAGACTGGAAGAGTCACAGAATGGTGTAAAGGTGGATGTCCTCTGTCCACATCCCAAGCTGATAACTGCTTCATGGTGAACAGTGCCCAGCAGAGCCAGATGATGAATGCCACTCAACTCCAGGCTTGTTTAATGGGGGTGAGAGGCACCCAAGTGTCACGTCAGACCATTCAAAACTGCTTACATCAGCATGGTCTGCATGCTAGACGACCTGCAAGGGTACCTGACCACACCATTAGGCACAAACATCATCGTCTTGCATGGACACTGGACGAGGAACAGGTGGGCCTCAGCGCTGTTCTCTCATGAAAGATGAAATGATGTCCATCACAACGTTGGAGATGTCAAGAACGCCATGCATCAGCCACTGTTGTCACCAGACGAGCCTTTTGGAGGTGGTGGTGTTACAGTCTGGGCAGGTGTATCGAGTTAATACCAAACTGCCCTAACACCTTGACAAGCGTATACTACCTGAACAACATCATTTGTCCAGTCACTGTGCCTCTGCATGAGCAACACAGGCCTGATTTCATCTTCATGGATGACAGTGCCCCAGGTTGTATCGTCAGGGGACAGCGGCTGGAGGCTGGGGTACCTCAAATGGAGAGGCGTGCTCTTTTTCCAGACCTGAATCCCATAGAGAAGCTATGAGATCAGCTGAGGTGTCACTAAGAGAGTCATTGCGCAGTTTGTATTTAGTACTTTTTCAGAAGTTATTTCTGTCCTTGTGTTGCTGTTTCATCTGAATTTCTCCTCTGGGGGTCATGAAAGACTTTTCTTCAAATGAAGCTGCAGTCGTCGGATATCAACACAAGAGTAAGGATCTTTTTATAGAAACAAAAGAACAAAAAGGTTTTTAGAGCCAAATGAAGACGTGTTTTAGCTTTAGAGAGCATTTACGACTCTGAACACTGTAAAGCCATGTTAATGATGCTCAAGATTTTTAAATCAGTATCTAAAATTCATCAGTAATTCAGATTTAACTCAGCTTTTCAATAACCTTTTGCCTTATTACTACTTTTGAAAGGGCAGATATGGATAGAGAAGGGTATGGGGAGAGTAGGAAAGTAGCTGAAAGTCGAACTTGAACCCAGGCTGCCCACTCGAGGACTATGACCTCTGTACATGGGGCGCCATCCATCCAGTGGTCCCCCATCTCTTTTAAATCTGACTTTAGCCCCAAATTTCTGGGGTTGATTTCATAGTTTAATAACAAGCTTGTAATTTTGTTTTATGAGTTGTATCTCGTAAGTCATTTTGCAATTTCACTTTTTTGAAACGTGACTTCTGTGTAGTGTAATTTTTCTTTCTCTGTCATAAATACAATGTACTATCTCATCATTCGACTTTTTTCACATATTCTTGACTTTCAACATCAAAGTTTTCATTATTTTTAGGTTATTGTTTCAATTATTGTTATATATTCTAGATCTTCTATCTTTTAATCTCGTCATTTTATCAAAACCTTCAGACTTTTATTTTAAGACCAAGACAAGCCATTGCATGATTTGGGTTTTTAATCCCAGAATAATACCTTTTCATTTCACTGTCATGACTCTTTTATGACTCTCACTTTTTATTACGTAATTTAAATTCCTCATCTGGGAATTTTGACTTTAAGAGAAAAGTTATGACTTGCCTTCCTGTAATAATGACCTTTACTTAAACAATTCAGACTTTATAGTTTCAATTTTGACTCTAATTTATGTGTTTTTATGCCACAATTTGAATTGATAACCACATAATCTGGACTTTTTATCACTTTTATTTTTGACCCAAAGTTTTCCTTTTTTATCTTATATTTTTGAATCATTTTGTCAGTTTGGGCTTTTCATCGTCAGAGTCTTAACACATTTTCTTTTTTACTGGCAGAGATGTTCTATCACTATTATGAAAAATTCTTATGTATGTGAATAAGGCAAAAACTTTTAATTAAAATCTGATCTGGGCCTGTCGAAGTCAAATTTTTTATTTATTTTTTTTGCGACTCCCTCCTTGCAGCATTTTTTATCATCATTTAAAAATAATAAAGAAATAAACTTGGTTGTGTTGCTTGACTTTGTTTGCATTTGGAGGTCATTAAAAGGCATCACTGTAAATTTCAGTCTGTTTCATTACCAGGTAGAAACTCCTCACAGGAGTTGCAAAGGAAGAGGATATTTTGCATGTATTTTTAACCCCATATGTAACTCTTGTTTTAGATTTTGTCTTAGATAAAATTGGAGAAAATCTGAAAGAAACAGGTGTTTGAGTCGCTCATTTTTATTTCTCTTCCTTGTTCTCATGTGTATCTGCTATTTGCGGAAAATCTTAGATGTTGTTAGTGGAAATATTTTGTGAATTTCAAGCACATTTGTTTAGTTTTTCCCATAAACTCAAGCTTACCCGCAGAGTTTAGAGGATAATCTATTGACATATGACTGACTGAGGAATTTCTATTCATTTCTTTTAATTGGAACCACCAAAGTTATTGGTGCATAAAAGGCTGAAAATCGAGGGTGAAATTTCCCTTTAAAAGGCCAAATTAAAGCCAAGTTGAATTCTTCTACATGGATTTCGCAACTTATACATGGCTTTTATTTCACATTTTGTCTTGGATGAATGAAACTCACTGAGCTTGGAAAGAAACAAATCAAAGCAGGTGTTTGAGTTGATCACTTTTATTTCTTTTTTTGTTGTTTTCATCTGTTTCGGTTATATATGGAATATTCTGGAACTTCAAGCACATTTCTTTATTCTGTCGCCCAGAGATTCAAGCGTATCTCAAGAGTTAAACTGTCTCATAAGAAAGCTGGAAAAACCTTTCACTATTGAGGCATTTTTCTAAACTGGAACAAATAAAAATGACCGAAAGTGTCAACAGCTTAAATTTTTAGGGTGAACTCGTCCTTTACAAGCCTGTAATAATGCCAATAAGTTAGTGTTGGAGGTGAAAATCCGAGCTGCAGCCTGAGAAATGTAGGCCATAGATCATCATTCCTCTCAGCTTATGTTGCAGCGGAGAAATGGCTCGGACAAAGGTTGCACTCAGACTGGACAGCGAGTGTGAAAAAGTGTGCGGAGTGGGGAAAAAAAACACACTGAGAGGACCACTAGTTATCAAAGATCTCCTTCATTGTTTTAATAGTAGACATTGTGCCACAAAAATGTCATGTCCGCAGCCACAAATCACGTGCCGAGATAACTAATTCCAGCTATTTATCATGTCATTCGCTTCACTTGCTTCTTCTCTACACAAATCACTTCTTACATTTATGTATAAATATATACAGTTTATAGATTATTCTCGAGCTGGGATGGTGAATTTTTTTTTTTTTTTCATTTCTCCTGTTGTGGTTGTGCTGTTGGTTGAGAAACATTAGCAGAGAAAAAAAACACACGGCTGATGTCACGTCTCCCAATGTAGCACATGCTTATTGAATCATGGACACCAGCAGAGCACACACAGAGCCGAATAGAGGAAGGTTTATATACAGGAATGTTATCTGCTATCATACAACTCTTTAAGAAGTCCCCACTGTGGACAGAAGAAGAAGAAGGGGAAAATGCCGACAACACAAGAGCACCGAAGGCATAAATGTCGTAAATCTCCTGCCGCAAAGGCACTGGCACATCTTTTTTTTTAAGCGGCGACACTGTGAAGTCGGAGCGGGTGACGTTAGCGTGGGTGCAGTTTGAGCCAGTCGCTTCATGACTGCAGCTGATCACATGCAACCGAGGGGGAGCATGTGATCAGCTCTAACATGCATGGTGCTGGTCTAAGCATGTGCTTCATTTGAGGTGCTCGCTAATTCAAATACATGGAGGAGATTTTTTTTTTTTTTTGGAGGGGTGGGGTGGGGGCTGAAGCGGCGCTGTAAATCCACAGCTAAATAAAGACAACTTTGTGTTTCTTTTATAACAGTTTTAGAAAAGTGACTCATCTAACAAACTCAAAACAATAAAGAAGGAAGAGCCGGGCAACAATAAGAAACAAAAACAAGAAGAAAAGCTGTATAACATGTGATCTTTCATTGGTTAACTTCACACGCTGTTAAAAATTGTTTACATTTTTTTTTCCAGTATGAGTGTGTTTTGGTAATGTAAGAAAAGAAAGAACCGCCCAGTGTGTCTGTGGGGATGGGATGGGGGGGAGGGGGGCTTACCGTCCTATTGCTGACTTTGAAAGGTTTTAGGGGGGATCTGGTGTTGTAGCTGCACACACACACAAACCGGTCCTCTCAAAGTCTTCCTCTCTCTCTCTCTCTCTTTCTCTCTCCCTCTCTCTGGTTATCTTTCTCTGTGGAGCATGGTAACATTGAGACTGGTCGTGGGCTCGGGGGTGGATTCAGGTTGTGGCTGTTTTTCAGGTCTCAGCAGCAGCCTCCGGACGAGGTGTTGACCGGCTTGCTCTGGATCTTGACGTTGGACTTCTCCGAGGCGCCGGCCGTGGCCCCGGGACCCATCCTCTTCTTGATCTCGGCAGCCATGGTCATGAAGGCCTGCTCCACATTGGTGGCGCTCTTGGCGCTGGTCTCCAGGAAGGGGATTCCCAAGTTGTCGGCAAATTCCTGGTAAGCGAAAAAGGGAGGGCAAGAGGAGTTAGATGGTTTAAATACTTCGATAACTGTTCGAAGAATTTGCTGAGACAGAGCAGAAAAGCTGCTGCAGAGATGGTTTCTATGGTCAGGAATTTACAACTCCAATCATGAACACACAGAGCTGTGGAAAATGTTAACACAGATTTTTGGTGGTTTGTAAATCATTTAAAGTCTGAAAATAGTGCAAAGACGGCATCTCAGATGTTCAAACTGTTAAAACAATTAAAGGTAAGATGTAAGAAGTTTCCAGATTTACATCAACGTGACAAAGATAAAGAGAAGACGTCACAGCTAAAGCCTTGTTCAGCACTCCTGAAAACTTCTCAAAAGGCAGACTATTTCGACCTGACTTCGCCCAGACTTTTCCTGCCACTAAAATTCCTTCTTGAGGTTTAAGTTTTAAGGTTGCCCAATTGTTAAAAATTCACCCACTGTTGTAATAGTTTAAAAAAGGTTTAATCAATTAAAAGAACAAACAAACAAAAGACCTGTCGTCAATCAATGAAAACATGGTGACTAAAGATGACCTCGTCCCCGTACCTTAGCTGTGGTGTAGTCCACCACCTTCTTCGTTGTGAGGTCACACTTGTTGCCTACAAGCAGCTTGTTGACGTTCTCGCTGGCGTAGCGATCTATCTCCTGTAGCCACTGTTTGACGTTATTGAAGGACTCCTAAAAACAAGATCAGACAGAACGGTCAGGTTTATGTTTTTTTAATGAACTGTAAACCACAAACATCAGGACGTCACTCAAAAAGGACGGAAGATTTCATTTTGTATCCACTTTATAGAAAATGTTTGAAAGTTGCCCTTTACGAAAAAATCTGTATAGTTGCTTCAGTTTTGCGTAATTTCCTTTTGGTCTTATGCCTTCAATCTTTTATTGTTTGATGTCTTTAAATTATTTGTAGTGTTCAAATAATTCAAACATTGAGGTCACTGACAGAAAGTCTATTTTCGAGGCTGCTTTAAATACACATCCACCTGCTGACAACATGGATGTATGGGTGTGGCTGAAATGTAAACAGGATGATCGGCAGTGACTCTGCTGTGATAAGACTTTTCAAATTTGCAGAGCTCGGAGGGAACCGCATCCAAAATACTCCCTCGGTCTGACGTTGGATAAACTGGGTGAGCTTTCAAACTTTAACTTTTGCCGGGTGAGGTTTGTTTCCACAGATCATGTACTAGGAGCAAGAATCGAACAGAATTCAAGGATCAAATTTTCTACTTTGGAGAAGTTCAGCCATAAAGTGCTGTGGGTGTTGGATTTGGAGAGTGGGTCCAGAAGGTAAAATAATAAAAAGCTGCTTTATTTTGGAGAAGTTGATGTATTATCTGCTTCAGTAGAGGGTGGGTTTTTGATGTTGATGTAGGTTACACAAATTTTATTGGTCATATATCATGATTTCCTTTTGCCTTTTGCTCCGATGATTTTTGTGAAGCTCTCTAAATTGCTGTTGAGTGAGTTAAGTTGAGAACAGCTCACAATATTTATAAAGGAAATAAAAGAAAGGAAAATAAACTACCTTCAAACTCTTCAGGTTTAATCTGTCGCGGTAAAGGAGTTTCCCCTGTGTGGCTTTATGTGGTTCTATTATTTGAGAAATATTATCTGAACCTTTTCCTCCCACAGTTTCATCATTTTCATGCTACCTGACTTCACTCTGCAGCCCTGATCTACGCTGAGGTGGGGAGTATGTGTCGGTCATGAGGGACTCGACTCTAAAAACTGACTCTAGGAGCCGTTTGGGAACCAGAGGGGCTAGTTCTCGCAGAGCCGATGATCCAGATCACTAAGGAGAGCCTCAATCTCCCTTATTTGTAGCGTTTACTCTGACGTAGTTTACCTGAGGAAGAAGGAGGATCCAAACCTGCTCTAACATGGTACGGTGGATCAACTTGAGCAAGATCAAACAGGCTTTGTCAATTTTGAGTAATCCGTGGATCTTGATGGATGTAATTTTGTCTCCTTTTCATCCGGCTGAGAGCAACTTTCAGTTCAGGGAGCAACTATGTTGAATTAGAAACAGTTGTTGACTATCCACCTTGGATACTTATTTTTTCTGATATCCACGACTGCTCTAATCTAGGAATCATCCAAACAGATCTCACAGGGCCCTTTAGGTGTAACTGTAGAAGACGCCAACATTAAATAAAACATTATTCCTCACTGAGAAACACCGACCTGATCTGTCACATCATAAACTACAATGATGCCGTGAGCTCCTCTGTAGTAACTGGAAGTGATGGTGCGGAACCGTTCCTGACCAGCTGTGTCCCACTGAAAAAAAACAGAACAAGCTTTTCAGTCACTACTTACACACATGTTAACAACCTTTATCACTTCTTATCTGCTCACAGCCAGATTACATCACACTACGCTTACAATCTGCAGTTTTATGGTCTTCCCGTCCAGCTCGATGGTCCTGATCTTGAAGTCCACACCAATGGTACTGATGTAGCTCTCTGTGTACGTGTCATCCTGGAATAAAAACACACGCACAGGTGAGTCTGAGAAGTAGATATGTTACCTGAAGAGCTATAAAGCTCCACAGAGCTGATGGGGGGGAAGGAAAAACAGCCTGTTATGTAAGAGCAGCTGAAAAACAGACACTTACTGCAAATCGGAGAAGGAGACAAGACTTTCCGACACCAGAGTCCCCGATCAGGAGCAGTTTGAATAAATAGTCACTGCAAAAGAAAAAACAAAGAATATTAATTCAAAATTATCCTAAAAGCTCCAGCGTAGGCTGTCAGGAGATAATATCAGGCTTTTTATTTAGATGTAATCAGAGGTCAGTTGAAACTCTATATTATTACTCTCTTGTTTACAGAAAAGACTGGGCCCCAGCTGTCAGTCAGGGGCGTGTCCAGACTTATTTTGGACTCAGGTTGCTCAACTGTAGCATTGACTAATGCAGGAGGTGAGACAAACACACAGACATATTATTTATGCGAGTTTCCCTTTAAAATCTTAACTTGAGCCACTAGAATCAATAGGCCAGATGTGAAATTCTTGTATTTATAGTTAATATCTGACTGACTCTTGCACTGCTGAGGAGGAAGTCTATCGGAACCTTTAAAATGGGGATGTGTCAACATGGGAAGACCATATGAGCGCCCTCTGCTGATCGTATTCACGACAATTAAAATCCAAAGTTTCTGAAAATTTCAAGTTTAAGAGTGTGACGTTTGATGAAGTTTTGGCGAACCCCATGGCGACCAGTTTCACATAAAAATAAAGAGAAGTATCTAAAGGGTCCGCAGTTAAAGAAGCAAAAGTGGAGGAAATTCGTTGTTGACTTTTTTCATTATTGATTTTTGTCGACAACATCAACCAATCGTTGGGGCCCTAGAGTGCAGCCTGTACACTGTAGTTTGATTTACATCAGCCACCAAGAGGAGCTTCAGCAAATCTTAATCTAGATCACTGACAATGTCGTTCCACTGCGTGGCGTTTCAGCAAAGAGAAATTATTTTATTTCAGTATTCTTTCAACTGTGTTCCTGTCTGTTTACCAAGTCTTTCATTTACACCACTTCACAACTTTACCAGTTCCTTTTGAAGGCAGCACAAATCTGTGTAACATGACTGTAGAACTAACGCCACTACATCAAAGATGGCCAAAAAGCGCTTGGCTAAGAGGGACGGGGTAGACTGTCATCTCTCATCCGTCTTGATGCTAGTGCATGTTGGAGGCACGTGTACAGACTGAGGACATCAGAATCTCAAAAAATTGACTTTGGAGAGGAGGGGGGGCTTTTTTCAAACTCTGATGGCAAGCCCTTCTGCGGTGGGGGGACAACATGACTCGGCAGCATGAAAAAACAAGAAACATTGGAAACACTGGACATAGATGCTCTTCCTGTCTCCTGCCGGTATCTACTGGTTTGGGCGATTCCAAAATGGTGAAAACAAGGGGGATGTTCAGAGACAGGCTGTTTGTTACCTGTGAAATGGGGTTGCTCTGAAAACATCCCCATTAGCACTTGGTACGTTCCTCCTGATGAAATTAACCATAGACTGTAAACTGATGTGGAAAAAAATCGAGTCAACCATTTTGGTCGACTCAGCACATATCGACCAATAAGTCGACCTGTTGACTAGGACTTTACAGCCCTAGTGGCCACAGAAAAAAACAGAAACACAGGGTTGAACCCACTCTTCTATCTTTGTCTTTTATTTTTTCATCCACAAAATAAAGACCAAATACTTAAACACTGCGTTTCTCTGATGTTTTGATGTCATGATTATCCGCTCAGTGCGGCTTTACTAGAACATGTCCTCCAGTTTTGTAGAATATGAATGAGTATTCTGTATTTGTTCACTGAGGCTTCAAAACTCCACGTCAGAAACAAATCAGTGATATCCATGTGTTATTAAGTCTATGGGGAAAACCAATCTGGAAATCTATTTTGCACTTAACGGGAGTAATTCTTATTTTTCTCTTGAGCTATATTTTTGGGCATTTGTTCTCTTGAGTGTCAGGTAGTAGATGTCAGCCAATCAGCTGGAAGTCTCAAAGTTACTGAGGCAGTGTGAAATGTAGAGATGGTCAACACTTCCTACTGCGATACTTCACCTACTGTAAAAATTACTGATTTAATTCATATATAAAATAGTAAACAGACTATGTTTATATAGCACTCTCTGTGGTCTTCTGAAGCACCCATCATTTTTGACTAATACCATTCACACACTGCGGGGTGCAGGTTGGGGTTGAGTGTCCAGGTCCTACTTTCCGCATGCTGAAGGACGCTTTAGTTTGTGGACAGTAGGACCTGGGATCGAACCCTCGAACCTTGCAATCAACAGATGGCCGTCTCTATCGCTGAGCCAAAGCCACCCCTGATCAGGAAAAATGCAAGGCAGCAAAAGCTACTCAAATATAGTAACATGAGTAAATGTAATTAGTCACTTTCTACTCCTTCTAGCTATGAGGGATGAGTCAAGATTTGTCAAACAAATATTTGTGTAGTTCCTGTGTCTACTATCTTTACAATGTATTTTTTAAATTGTTTTAGGCACCTGGCTGTAACAATGTCCAACCACTAGATGGTGGCTGTAGAGCATCTGAAAGCTGTTTGTTTGTAGACATTAATGAGGGGTGGGGGGTTGGGGTGAGGAATGTTGCGCTTTTTCACATTAACAGAAAAGGCAACGTTACAATGTTTGAATGTCAATTTTCAAATCCGAGGTAAACGTATGTTGTTATAATCCTAGCAGACACTCAAAACGTTTCATTGGGAGATCACACAATATCTTAATAAGACTCACTAAACTAATGACATCACTGCAATAGGCTCTCCTGGCTCTCCTTATGAGTTTATCTGTGCTTCTGGCACAACGGAGCAGTCTGCCTCCAACAGTGTGCGAGAGTCTGAAAAAAATGCATAATACCCCCTCCTTAAATAACTGAAAAAGAAAGCAAAAGTACCAATTGTTGGTAAAAGGGGTGTGACACTTAGACTCAAAACTGGATACAAATGCTGATTCCTGCAGAAGTCAAAGATACTGGGAGGTGGGTTGAGGGTGGGGCTTCAAAAGAATAAACATAAAATTAGGTTAAGTGTGTAAAGTGCAGGTAAAACCAGCACATCTATATCACATACTATAACCAGCATTTCATCTCAACAGCACACAGTCATTGAATTGGCCATTGTGTCTCCTTATTTCTGCAGGAGGGGGCTGAGGGATCATTCAAATATCTGGTCAACAGTAACTGCTGACAACCCAGCAGTGTTTTGGCTTAAAATATACAGTACTAAGAGTAATTTTTCCATTTTAACACCAACTGTGTTGTTACACCTCATATTCATGTACTGTCAGGCTAATCTGAACAAGTTTACGAGTTAAAAAATCTTCTTGGAAGCCTGTTCAAGTCAGGACACAACACCTAGGAAAAGTGTTCAACCCACCTTTTTTGTTCACCACTGCATGTCGGTCAGTGTAATTTGATAATCTAGAATAATATTTTTTTTTTAACCAAAAGTCATGTGTACTACCACACTTTAAGAGCTTTGGCCTAATTTTGGTGATAATTATCACTAAATTTACAAGATTTCTTTCGCAATTAAGAATTTTTACACTGTGCAATAAAAATATGTATTTGATCTGACAAATCATTCAGTCCTTTCAAGCTTTCACCTTCTTTAAAACGTCTAGATTTGGGCTTGTACTTTATTATGATTCAGAATGATGTCTCTAACTTGTAAGTCTGGCCGTTACCAGCTCTCAAGTGCTCATGATTGTCCCTTGGCTTTTCAGACACACAAACACAAATGCACCCCCCCACATACACACATCTGCCCCCTCCTGCTCCTCTACCTGCTCTCCTCTCTTCCCCTGCCTTGCACCGGTGTTGCACAACATTTTGAAGACTCAACTATCCATCATTAATCTTTTTAGCTCTTAGTCACTGAATTCATTCAGAGGTGTGACTTAGCAGAGATTGCCGCCTGGTCATTCCCCTCAACTTCCTTATCAATTTGAAAACAAAAATGTTTGAAATATATTTTCAATACTTTAGTTTCTAAAAATTCGGGTATAACATTTAATGACCTTATGCAACTTGAAAGCCTGTGAACAGACAAAAGTTCTTCAAAATGACACACAAATTAAAAAATTGGAACCACTGGAGGAGCACCTGAACATAACATTGTTGATTTTCCATGAGCCCCACCTCTTGTAAGATGACGGCCAATCAAAGTTGGGGAATTTGGGGTGGCACCTCAGGTGACCAATCACATTTCAAGGGGGGCAAATGACACCCCTGGCCACCCTTTTAGATGTGCCCCTGCCAAAATGCAACTATTCTTTGACTGTAGCTCTAAAGCTGATAAACCACAAGTGGGAAAATGACCTAACGACTTTACTTTGGTAGAAAATGAAATTCTACCAAATATTCTATTCTGAAAATCCTGTTTGGAGAGCATAAGTCTTATTTTTCTTAAATTATACCGACAGAAAAGATCTTAAACACCGTAATAAGATGTTGTTTACACAAAGGACCGTGTTCCCAACTGTCATCCGGTCTCAGAGTCAGATCCACCTCAACAACAAAATCCTCAGTGTCAGGTAACGCTACGTAGCTATCCGGTTAGCCATTTAGCTGTTAGCCGCTTCGTTTTAGGTTACCAAACGGGATGTTACGAACATCTCAGGCGAAATACGAATAATCCGTCGAGGAAATCGTTGTTTTATAAATAATAAAATGCTTAGAAAGATACGTTTTAGATTCGACATCAACGCTGTCACTAGATTGTCCGTACACCCTACCACAGCCCTTAGCTCGCTAGCCTAGCAAAGAAGACAAAGCAGCTGACGTTCATTTTGTACCCGGGTCCGCCGGTCCGCCTTCACAGCTAAGGCTAGCCCAGCTTCCCCGGCTAACGCTGACAGCTCACCCGGACCTGTCAAAAACGACATCAAAATCCATACTTACTATTCGGGATTCATGGTTGACTACAGGTGATAGACTGTCGTTACTGTGAATGCTGCTGGATTCTGTCGCAGATTGAGGTGGAAGCTGGTCTCGTAGTGAGGAAAAGACTCCGTTTATTTGTCAAGAACTGGCTAAACTGGTTGTCGCAACCAGAACAGCATAATCGAATCAAATATGGCTGTCAGCAATACCTACCCGGAAATACCAGAGCACAGGAATCATGGGTACTGTAGTCTTTAGACAATGGGCGTGTACGCTGTATTTGAACGAAAACAACATGATCTGAGTAATGTAAGACGAAAATATAGCTGTGAAAAATTAATATCTCTAACCAAACAATGTGAAAATACACCTCATACCTGTTTGTTTCCACATATTTAAATATCGCGTATTATTGAGTAAAATGTCGACAGAAACTCAATTTGATGGTTTGGAAATCATTCAGAGCCTCTATTTGAGTGAAAATAGAGCAAAGATAATCTTGTAAATGGTGAAACAGAAGACTGTATTGTTTGATTAAAAGTATATGCTCATTTTAAATGTGATTTTTAGTATCCAAACTTGCCTCTTTCTCAACAACATCACTAACCTGTTGCAAATTAACCTCATCGGTTCAGAGATATTCCACTGGGAGAAAAAAGAGGGTCAAAAAAGTGAAACATTCTGGAACTAAATGGAGCCCTGATACTAATTTTTATTTGTTTTGTGACAGAAAATGTCTTGACTGAAAGCAATGGCTATAATGTGATGCCTTTATCTTGACTAAAACTGGCCTAAAATGTTTTACTTGTCATAGATGAAACTACAAAGGGTTAAAAAATAACTTAAATGTTACTAAAACTGTAGAACATATTGTCTAATTTAGCTCTTTGTGTCTTGCAAAACAATGACCCATTGTAAAAGGCAGTCAGCGCAACCAAGTAGGTAATATGGGGCACAGAAAATGGGAGCAGTCCAAATCATTATTGTGTACAACACAACATAGTCTTCTTAACAAAATCAGTTCTACAACAGCACAGACATACTGTAAAATCCACTGGCTTTGTGAGTCTGGCAGCTTCTCAGTGATAAACAGTGTTTCTGCTTTTCTGCACTCTCACTGGCCAGATCAAATACATCAAAAATGAAGATGATTTATGCATAAAATTGAACAAAACGTTATTTTTGTTGCTATGTTCTCCAATTTTTTAACTGCCACCTTAGTTTTGGTCTGTAGACCAGTCAGAGGCTGAATCAGAATCTGCAGTTGGTTGATCTGTAACAGCCCAATCCGAAACCAGGTTTTTCAGTACTGAGGATAATAAAGCTCAAAATAAAACCTATTATTGCTTACAGTCTTTTCTTAAAGACCATCAACAGGAATCGATTAGGATTCGGATCGTACTGGTATTCAAAAAAGTTTCAGTCCCATCTCAATTTATAGAGACCCATGATTGCAATGGAAAGTATAGCATCAGTGATTATGAGTGAAGTACAATGTGATAAATGATCATCAGCATTAGAGAAAGAAAAAACAAGAGCACATTAAGTTATCCCATAATCACATTATTTTGATTACTGTTTTAAGCTTACTAGTGAAATCAAATAATTGGTCTACTTATTCTGGGTGGGACTTGAGATGATCAGGGGTACAGAGTTCTCCCCACCATAATTGGGGCAGGGACTGAAGTATAGGTAGAGTTCCTCAGTGAAAGAGCAGCCCATAAAAGAGTAGATCAGAGCCAGAGCATTCACTTCATAAAATGAGACCAGACCTCCATTGCAGTCTACAAACACCCCCACCTTCTCAGGCCGAGACCTCAGTGAGAGACAGATGGGGGGTGCTGTATTTATATCATACTTGTTTCAATCTCTCAACCACATGTCCCTGTCCAAACCTTTTTTTGGCATTCAGAGTATATATGTTTTTTTAGTTTCACATTTGATACTATTTTTTAACTACTTTTAATTGAGTTTATTTTTGTAATGGTTTAAAAAAAACATCAAGATATTTTTCATGGACATTTTACACAACATCCCAAATCTTTTGAAACTGTGGTTTTCCTATCCTCTGATTCAAACACTAATGCCGGTTTTCTGTTGAAACGCTTTGTTGTGTAATAGACAGGGTAAATGATTCATCATAGCACTGGTTTTCATCCCTTATGGCAGTTAAAACAGTGTTAATAGTTAAAAGTGAAAGTAGTTCAAACTGACATACAGAGACGATTTTAATTGACTGAACTTTGATGGTGTAAAGCAGGTAAGTAGACAAACAGTTCAATTTAACTTTAAACAGTTTGATGAGACTTTTCTGTCTCAGTAAATAAAGGTTGTTAAAACATTGTGGTGTGTGCTATCAGCTGAACTCACTATAGTTTGGAAGCTGCTATGTTGTTCAGAAAAATCTGGCAAAAATTATTTTTCTTCCAGAGGGAAACTGGTTTGTCCTGCCTGATGAGTGGCTGTGGTTCACTTTCAGACTTTTATTTTAATGTACTCAGACTGGCAATTAAACTCCTCGAGGATGTCACTCTGCCTCAACCTTCAGTTTTTGCGAGGTTCCTGTTTCTTCTGTCTGATTCACATGACAGGATTTGTTCCCAAATGCCCCTTCAGCAAGTTTTATTCAACAATCACACATTTTCCACTTATACCCCCTTAAATTTTACTTAGATTTACTTTGAAGATGATAGAGTTTTTTCTATTGAACTGGGTGCCATTTTTCTGCGGTTGCTGGGACAGGACTTATCCATACCCCATCCTCTCTTGAAATAATGGACCTTGTGTACCTTGCTGGTGTGCAATTTATCTCTGGTCGTGGTTTCCACACTTGCTGTTGTTTTCCACGGTGGGGTAACTGACATTCAGTCAGTGCTTCAAAAATTTGACAGGGACTATGAGTTTAACGGAAATAAACTACTGGTGGTTAAAGCTAGTGTTAAAACCCATTGAAATTCTCCAATGAAGAGGGTCCATGCAAATAAAATACTGAATCCAAACCCATTTTCTCTGTAAAAATCTCTGGTACCAACTTGCTAAGCTGGTAATAACAGATAAAAAAAAATGTAACTGCCACTTCGGATATAACAAACTCAAGTGAGCTACTCCACAGAGATTAAGATGTTTTAGCTAGCCAAACATAAAAACGCGGTGAGCTTTAATAATTCTATCACAAGGCCAAAAGTGCCATCAAAGTATTTAATTGTAAACTTTGAAATTATCTTAAACATACCACATGAATAAATTGTACTCTAAACAGGACACAAGTTTATTCTGTATGTTTTGGTAAAGTTTATTGTGAACATACCCACCATGGAGACTGATACAGCAGATTGGTAACAGTACACAGGCTGCACCACCCAAGTCTGCAGGGGCCTAGCAGAGGATGCTCATGGTAGCCTACGTTCAAAACACCAGACACAGTGGAAAGCTAACAAGATTACATTACAGATAGTTTTACACAGTTTAGATAGCAAAACATGAGAAACTGTGGAAAATAATGGCAAAATGGTGATGAATTCAGTCTAACTGAAAGAGGAGGTGCCAACCTGGAAACCCCAGTGATTGTACGGCTGTCCATCTATCCCATCCATCTAGGAAGAAGGGGGCAGATGGAAGCCCAAATTTATGCCAGTTAAAATAAACGAGACCTGATGTTAATGAGGGGAAAACGATCCTAAATTTACTGTCAAGATCATAAGAAAACTGACATAATTTTGGGATAATAATCATCATTCTAATAGTTCATGTTGTAATAATATGACTTTGAGTTTACAATGACGATCTTTCAGTCTCATTATTATTACTACATTACATTTCATATGTTATGAGTGATGACTTTCTCTTAATTTTGCCTTTTTAACCCTTGATTGTGGTTTGTATGTCATAAACTCGACTCTTTTATCATCTTAAGTGTTATTTCTTCATTTGAATTGTTACTTTATAATTATGACTCTTTAACTTATGATTTAGCCTTAATATCTCCTGGTTCTTTTCCCTCACAATTATGATTTATTATAATGAATTTGACTTTATAACTCATATTTGTGACAATGAATCATATAAATATGACTTAGGATTTTATAAATTTGACTTTCTATCTCATAAAACGTGACTTTCAATTTCATATTTAGACTAGTATGTCATGATAAGTGCTTTTTGGTGATGGTGTCTTTGCAAATATGGAACTATTTCACGCTTAAAGGGATATTCCGGCGCAAAATTAACTCAGGGTCAAACACACTGTAGCACTGTGTTAGAACCCCCTCAAGAGATGAATGTGGCCAACTGCTTGCTTCTCTAGTTATACCAACTTTAGTAACGACCACAGATAGCAATATAGAGAGCCCCACACTCAACCAAAAAGGCACTCTATAGCCACAAATAATGCTCAGAACAGCACCTAACTTCATCAACAGTACATATAAGGTCCCAGCCATAGCACGAGCCACAAAACATCTTTTTAGCTTTGTCTGGTTTCTTTAGCAAAGAGACTAAACACAACTCACCCTCTCTCTTACAGCAGCCACTTGTTTGTATGGAGACCTCTGGGTGAGTCCATTGACTGCAGCGGGGTGACGCAGCTCAAGGAAGAACATTTATGATCATTTCCTCATGGAAATGCAACCAGACTGAGACGCTAAGGCAGAAGAACTACCGCATCTGCAGTGCAAAAGGATCAATATGGTGATTATTACTTCAAGGAAATGATAAAGTAATGATCATAAATGTTCTTCCTCGAGCTGCGCCCCCTCTGCTGTGTTTAGTCTCTTTGCTAAAGAAATAAGGCAAAGTTAAAAAGATGTTTGATGGCTAGTACTATGGCTGGGACCCTATATGTACTGTTGATGAAGTTAGGTGCTGTTCTGAGCTTTATTTGTGGCTATAGAGTGGCTTTTTGGTTGAGCACATGGCTCTCTGTATCGCTATTGTGCGGTAGTTACTAAAGTTGGTATAACTAGAGAAGCAAGGGTGTCTCTCAAGGGGGTGTCGAACTCTGTGTTACGGTGTGTTTGACCCTAACTTAATGTTACGCCGGAATATCCCTATCAAGCTGCCAGTGCAAAAAATGGCATCTGTCCACCTGGCACACCAGAGCTCCCCCTGCTGACCATCTGCACAAAAGCTCACAAACTCTGACTCCCCTATGTGAACAAATGAGACGAGTCAAACTATAAATTTAAAATACAGGTCAAAGAAATATTTTTCTCACACAACTCCTGATATCAAAGTTAGTACCTTTCAAGTATTCACTCTCAAAATGATTTTGCATGTTATAAAATACTTTTGTGGGATGTTTGGAAATATCACAAGGCAAGGAACGTCAATTCACTCTATGTTTTAGCAATACACAATTGTGCCTCGTCTGCGGAAATCAAAGAAGAGAAAGAGCGTGTGTTTTTATTTTGAAGGATACTCACATGACGTATTTCCTGCTCTCCTCCTGTGTGTTGGCTTGGCTTGATGTTAGTAGGTGTGCAGACAGAGGGAGGATTCTGCTGATTTCAGGGAGCAAACATGGACAGTCAAGGGAGAAAAGTGGTGGTTTGTGACAACGGCACCGGGGTAAGTTTGGGAACATGTCCTGAATCTGACTTTGAGCCGCTTTACCCTCTCCGGGGGTTCAGTTTGGATGCTAACCTGCTAATGTTAGCCTGTCTGGGTGGGTAGAGTCAGGAATGTGTCTGTCAGCTAGATTTCATCTGAAACAGTTAAAACACTCACAAAACCAGTCACCATCTCTGGGAATATTTATGCACAGCACTGTCAAAGAAAACACAATATTTTTATATGTTTGATGTCACCATTTAGCGTTTAAATTAACCGGCTCTGCCCTCTTAAAGTGAGATTACAGTCACGTAAATCTTCACAGAAATGCAGATTTATCAAACTCAAACAGATCAGTAAAAAGATTCTATAAAATTGCCTTAAATACTAAGAATAGTCTTTAACAGTAAATACAGCTAAATCAGGAAAAGTGAAGTGGCACTCTGCACATGCGTGTCACCCTGATTGCGGAAGTAGAGTCGGTTCTTCCATGTATGGCAACTGGTCAGATCTGCTGATGAATTTACTAACATGAAAAAGAGAAGTCTGTGAGGAGGGATGGTCAGTTTATGAGAAACTGGAGGAGTGTGAGGCAGATTGGCAGACTTTTATCGTCTGCTTCCTTTGGTTTTTTTTGGAAAAATAAAGTTACATTTGTCAAAAAGTAAAACGGCTAGAAATATGAAAACTACAAGCCCCACCTCCTCAAGTAGTAGAACAGGAAACGTGGGTTAACAGCTGAAATAAAAGGAACTGGGAAGGCTAAAAAAAACGACAAAAAGCGTACAGAGGAAGAAATATAGTACAGACAGGAAAACAAAAGAGGAAATGCTGAATTAGTCTTTATGAACCGTGAGAGTAAGCGGAGGAAGTTTGTCTGCTGCTGCTTTACAAAAAAAAAGGAAACAATTATTAGGATTAAAAAATAATAATGATGCATTTCACTCTGTGTTTGTAAAGTGTGATAATATTGTTCAATGATGAGATACTGATATGATGTGCAACAGATAAACTCACTCTGAAGACTGTTTGGTCACAGTTTGAAGTAGAGCTGCTTGATTAGAGAAAAAATCCTAATCATGATGATTTTGATTGATATAAAAAATGATAACCTATAGCAGGAGTGTCAAACTCAACCACAGCAAGGGCCATAATCTGGATTTAGGTCTAACCTGAGGGCCAAACAGGGTCAACATTTCACCAAAACTGTCAACCTCCTTTTAAAAAAATATGCAAAACGAAAACAGCAATGATTATAAATCATTTAGAAATTCAAAAAAAGATAAAAAGATAAGTTTAACGGCAATCTGAGATAGAAGCATTTATTACATTTTTTATTCTATTTTTATTTATTATTTCAAAAGATCAGAGCATGATATAAAAAATAGAAAAATAGTGCTTTTAAAGAGCAAATACACGAGGAGAACGTTGAAATCAGGTGTAAAAGGTCAAAATATGACATAAAATTTAAAATTGGGATCTAAAGTATAAAAATGACATTATTCTACTGGAGGAAATCTGCAGACTTCATACTGGTGGGCCAATAATAAAACAAATATGATATGATCTTGTGGGCCAGATATAATTGTTCCACAGGCCAGATTTGGCCCCCGGGCCTTGAGTTTGACACCTGTGACCAATGGTATGACATCTGCATCACACGTTTTTAAGCAACTTAAAACTCTTTAAACATTAAAAAATCATTGAAAAACACGCAAAAGAAGTTTGCCTGCCCTTTTTGTCTTTGGTGATTACACTCGCTAACTAAAAGGCCAGTTTTATCTTGTAAAAAGTATTTTGACCCTTTGAAATTAAACAATTAAAGGATTTGAGCCCTTTACCCCTCACATTTCAGCACAGCCTCCATATCTAACAAATCATCCAGTTTTTTTAAGCTGTGACATCCTTAAAACCTCCAGACTTGGGTTTGTATTTAATGACAATTCAAAAATATGTTTCTCATTTATCCGCCCGACACTTGTTTGCTCATTTGCACTTGTGATTGCTACGGCTTCTCTCCTGCCATGCTCACTCTGTCCCCTGGCTTGGCAAGAGCCCAATCTTTCTTGGGCTTCATTTAACGTAAATATAATGTAGATCTTACATGGGCAACGCAGCAGATGGCGCAGTACTGGTCAGTCTCATATTTTTATCATTATGTGGAGCCAAAATCAAAATCATGACTGAAATCTGACTAATCGTCTAGCTCTAGTTTGACGGCTGCTGAAGATTGTAGATCAGGCGTATTAACATGATTACCCATCTATTTGACAACATCTGTATCATGCACAATGCACATCTCGTAAAATAAATGACTCTTTTAAAAGATTAATATTCCAAATTACCATTTTTAAAAAGACATACATTAATACTCATTGTGTCATTTTAAATTTCTTTTCCTGTCCAGTTCGTGAAGTGCGGCTATGCGGGATCAAACTTCCCTGAACACATTTTTCCTGCTCTGGTCGGCCGGCCTATCATCCGCTCCACAGCAAAAGTCGGCAACATTGAAATTAAGGTGATTTCCTCTTTCTTTGGAGTTTTGTCTCTGATTTCTTCTTTGATATGTCATGTTGCATTTACATGCTCCTCTGATGGTTGCATCTCCTGAACTCATCAGTTATTCTCTTAACTTTTAAGTTCTGATGTAGGAAGAATGCAGAAACTACCATAAATATTAACATAATTTTTTATGACCTTTATGTCACTATATTTGGACATTTTCCAATGGTATCCACATGGGATGTGCTCAAAAAACGATGTGATGTTGCCTCTGGCAGGACCTGATGGTGGGGGATGAGGCCAGCGAGCTGCGCTCCATGTTGGAGGTGAACTACCCAATGGAGAACGGCATCGTCAGGAACTGGGACGACATGAAACACCTCTGGGACTACACTTTCGGCCCAGAGAAACTCAACATCACCTCAAGGGACTGTAAGATCCTCCTGACCGAGCCACCCATGAACCCCACCAAGAACAGGGAGAAGATCATCGAGGTGAGTCGTGGTGGAGAGTCAGATCCAGCCAACCAGATGTTAAATTTGTTTTTGTTGCATGTCCCTTAAGTACCAAGACAAAAAGCCTCTTTCACCAACATCTTCTTAAGATCCTGTAACAGCCTGATCCCTGAATTATAGAAACCTATCACTCTGTGCAGAAACAGTCACTTGTTGAGCCAGAAAAGTTTCTGTTAGAGACACCTGTCATTTTGTCTTTTGACCTAATAATAGAAAAGTATTTAAGGAGGGCATGATAATGGTAACAATAGCAATAAAAGATAATGTCCCCCACTCACACAAGGACACCAGACCATAGGGACACGTCCACAGATGTCCCACTGAATCAAAAAGAGAAGTAGAAAGATATTTTCCAACATTTGAGATGTTGTCTTTGCAACATTGGTAAAAAAAAAAAAAAAAAAAGTTTTGAATGATTTGCAAACTGATTTTGCAATTAACCAACGCTTTCTGTTTCTCCTCCAGGTGATGTTTGAAACGTACCAGTTCACAGGAGTTTATATCGCCATCCAGGCTGTTCTCACGCTCTATGCCCAAGGTTTGCTTCCTTCCTTTTTACCGGACTAAACCAAAAACCGCTCTGATGTAAATCCATATGCCACAGAAATGATACTCGAAGGATACATTAAGATGCAAAACAACACTATGCAATACAATACTATAATGCAACATATGTTCACTCTCAGTACATTATCGCTCTGTTCCCATCAGGTCTTCTAACTGGAGTGGTCGTGGACTCCGGCGATGGCGTCACTCACATCTGCCCGGTGTATGAAGGTTTCTCTCTGCCCCACCTGACTCGACGTCTGGACATCGCAGGGAGGGACATTACACGCTACCTCATCAAGGTATTTCCCACCTTTTAATCTTCTAAACTAAAAAAATTGATTTTGTTTTGCTAAAGTATCCTGTCCCTGTCCGTCCACCAGCTGCTGCTGCTGCGAGGTTACGCCTTCAACCATTCAGCAGACTTTGAGACAGTGAGGATGATGAAGGAGAAGCTCTGCTATGTTGGTTACAACATTGAACAGGAGCAAAAGCTGGCACTGGAGACAACGGTGCTGGTGGAGTCGTACACAGTGAGTCGCGATCAGAGTTGAATGTATTTATCTGTTAGGTCTGCAGTAGGAAGAGTAAACGTGTGTGATGGTGTTCAGGTGAAACTCTGCTGAGTGACAGCATTTTTGTGTCCACAGCTTCCAGATGGCCGGGTCATAAAGGTGGGAGGTGAGCGGTTTGAAGCCCCGGAAGCGCTATTTCAACCTCACCTTATTAATGTAGAGGGAGTGGGCGTGGCTGAGCTGCTGTTCAACACCATTCAGGCTGCAGATATCGACACCAGGTGAGCTGACTGAACCGCTCGTCTTTTAGAGTCATGAATAATAAATCAGCGATGCATCACATGATCATGTTTCTGTGACAGGGCGGAGTTTTACAAACACATCGTCCTGTCTGGAGGCTCCACCATGTACCCTGGCCTGCCATCCCGCCTGGAGCGAGAACTGAAGCAGCTGTACTTGGAGCGAGTGCTGAAAGGAGACGTCGACAAGCTGTCGGTAAGTCAGTGTTTCTGGAAACCAAAACACCATAAGACGAGAGAGAAAAAAGTCAGCGGCTCAGTGTTTAATGCCAGTGCTAAAATAAATTTCATAAATCAAACTGGAACTCCTGAAATGTGCAAATTCTGTTGCATTAACCAGAGTTCCGTGGACAACAGCGAGTAAACAAAATGATCTCAGAAAAACTACACACCGTGTTGACCATGGTTTTGCACATAGTTTTTGCACTTCTATAGAAAACCCGGAGAAATGTTTAATGTTCCATTAACCAGGAATACTTGGACGTCAGTGAGTGATCAAATTACTCTCCTAATATTAACACTGGTTTAAAATGTAGTACTCATAATAGAAACACTGAAAAGCGCAATCACTGCCACACTAACAAGGGATCCCTGGAAGACATTGAGTAATCAGTGAGTAAGAATGTTCTTAGAATAACACCACCATTTGACCCTGATTGGACATTAAATATATGCACTCCTACTGGAAACCCCAAAAAGTGTAGGTTTGGTTGCATTAACCAGGGATCCCTGGACAAAAGTGAGTGAACAAAACTAGGTCTAAAAAAATGGTACGTCATATCTGCACTGATTTGACATCTAGTACTTGCACCGCTTCAGAAAACCCTTAAATGCAAATGCTGCTGCATCAACCAGGGATCCCTGAATGTCAACAAGGATAAAGAGAATCAAATATTTCTCTGTGCAGCCTTAAATTTGTGCATTTTATGGTGAAAATGTGTTTTCTCTATTGGGAGAATAGTGCCTTTTTCTGGTTCTTGTCCAAATATCTGCTTTTTTGAGCAAGTTCCTGCAGTACCTTCATCCACCAGTAGAGAGAGCTAAATCATCAAACATATTAAAGTCTGTTCTGCTGCTGAAACATCTTTCTTCTCTCTTTGTCCTGGTCTCATGTGGGTAAGGTGAAAATATGTTGCTGAGAGGAGCCCAGGAAATCCTTCCAACCTGTAATTAAAAGATAATTTGAGTTTCTCGCAGAGACCTCACAGGGTGATGAGGATTTCAACATGTTTTCGCTTTCTTTTCCTCTGTTGACACTCACTTCTCCTTCTACCTCAGAAATTCAAGATAAGGATAGAGGACCCCCCTCGCCGTAAACACATGGTGTTCCTGGGCGGTGCTGTGCTAGCTGACATCATGAAGGACAAAGACAACTTCTGGATGACACGGGAGGAGTACCAGGAGAAAGGGACACGCGTGCTGGAGAAACTGGGCGTCACTGTCAGATAAAACGGAAACAAACAAACAAACAAAACACACTTCCACCCAGAGTCCCTCCATCTGCCTGTCAGCTGAAATCCACACACTGCTTCCCCCCGAGGTTTACCAAGAGATACTCTTTGTTTCTTTCAAAAGAAGACGGGAAAGGACAGGAGGGGGAAGTGGTGGAAAAAGGGATGAAGGATGTGAAGTGTTTGACGGTGAGTTTCTTGACATGCAAAACTCAGAGAAACGTGCAATGATACCTGTTTGATCACTGCAGAAAAATTCAACAAAATTTAAAGGAATAGCTCAAAATTTTAGGTCCTATGCACATTAGATTATAAGACAGAATTGCTCTTATGGCTTGAGAGGATTCAGCTAGGTAAACATTAATACCAAAAGCAGGGGAAACAGCCATTAGGGTTTGGCCAAACTAAATGAGAAGCCTCACCTTACGTTATAAATGGTTAATTGTTAAACCTGAAAAGGAGGCTTTAAGGTGTCTTTAGCATATTTTGGGGTCTTAACGACAAATTGTGCAAACACAATTACCAAAAATGTCCCCCTGGTTTTCTTCATGACTCTTCATGGTGGCACTATTTTAATCCTGCAGTTTACCTTTCAGGGGTATTTTGTCTTCTTTGGCTAAAATGATATCTCGTACTGTCATTATATGGTCATCTTTTAACTAATCAATGCTAATACTAATTCTATCATTTTCATGGGCTATGTCCAGGACTCATGGTATTATGAGTCATAACAAGCCGTTCAAGTGTTTTGTACGGTGGCCCAAGAGGTCAAAAGCACAGATATTATATGACCCCCTCAAAAATCAACTGAATGCCAAATACATTTGACCAAAAAGAAAATAATTCATATAACAAAAACATTTTTCTAAGTGCAAAAAACATCATGAAATGTCAAACATTTGTGTTTTGTGAAATATTTTTGCATTTTAAGAAAAAAAATGTATCAAATACATTGTGGGCATTTCATGATTTTTTTTTCCATTATGTGAAATACTTTTACATTCCATAAAACTTAGGTTGTTTTTTTTTACGAGTAACATATTTTTGCATCTCAGTTTTTGAATTTTGCTAAAATCTTTTTCCTTTTCATGAAGTTCTTTTTTAATTCATTAACAATTTTTATGTTTCATGAAATGTCTTGGCACTTCTTAAAATATTTCTGCATTTCCTAAAACATTTTTGCATTTCATGGCATTTTTTTCTTCCTGCAAAATTTTTGGTTTCTGTAAAAGTTTTGAAATTCTCCAAAACGTTTTTACATTTCTTAAAAGATTTTTGCATTTCATAAATTGCTTCTATGTTTCTATACTTTACTAAATTGTCATAGCATTTCATGAAAATTTTTATATGTTATGACATCTTTTCTTGATAAGTGGAAAATTTTTGGTGTTTAGTGACGTTTTCATTGGTGACACCTTCAAGACCGTCGTAGTTCATAGATATGTTTGGACAAAGCCAGGTCTGCTCTTTCCCCTTTTTCTGGTCCAAGAGAAGCTTTACAGCTTTTTACAGCAGACACAAAATAATTATAAAAATAACTATTTAAAAAAAAAAAATCACCTTTCAGGCAAAACTACAGCCCACGGTGTTCTCAAAAAATACATTAAAGATAAATAAGATTTCCACTTTGTGAATAATGTGTCACCTGAGCTTCCTTAAACAGTTGCTGGCATTAAAAATAGTCACGATAAGGTGGGGCATTAAATTAAATAAGAGTTCTGAATGGATAGGTAATCACACACACTATGAAAATAAGAACTTTAATTTCCTTAAAGACTAGAGTGTTTTCGAAGCACCTTGCTATTCTTTGGCCTCTTTTTTGCTTTTTGAATACCTTAATTATGTTAAAATAGGTAGTATTTAAAAAATGAAGATATTAGAAATATGAGGTCTAATATGAAGGAAACGTCCTCAGTTTATAAGTTTCAAATCCTCATGAATCAAAGTTTGAAGAAGTTAAAATTCAAGAAGGTGAGAAGGATTTAGGTCTGAAACAGGTTTGATTTTGTTATTTTTTGTTTCCAGTTTAAAAACTGAAAAACCAGAGATCACTAAAACAGATTTCATTATTTTATGATAAAAAAACACAAAGTCATTCCTGAAGTCAAGATTGAGGTCTGCGGTATAATGTATTGATATCCTGCTCCTGGGCCCAGATTTCCAAAAGTGATCTGGTCAGATGAAAGTTTTCAGATTGGAGATACTTTTCTCTGACTGACAAATCAAGGTGTCAAGAGTCTTTAAATTTGCCCAGTTTGTCTTTCTTTGTGTGTACCAATATGAAGATATGAAGAAAATTAAAATTTTCGGAAAAACAAGTAAGAGACAAAGTTGTGACTTGACAAGGGAAAATCACATTTATAAGAGATTTTTGATATAAATAAAAAAAGTCAGAAATTGCTAAAAAAAATAAAATAAATAATAATAATAATAATTTGTCAGAAAAAGGCTGGAAAAAATGAGAAAAAGTTGCAAATTTACAAGAAAAGGTAAAAAAAAAAAAGTAGAATGAAGTCTCAAACATACTTGAGCTAAGTGGTAAATTATACCTCCCAAAAAACTTGTAAACATATGAGAATAAGGTCTTGAGTGAATTTACATGAAATAATGGTGATTGTGTTTTTTTTAATTAAAATTTTGCCGAATTTTGCTTTTTTAGGTTGGGATTGCTAAAGAAAGACAGGAAATGTTGGGAGTAGAGAGAGGGGAACGACATGCAGTAAAAGGTTGTGGCTGGAATTTGAACCAGTGGCTTTTGTGACGAGGACTATTGCCTCTATTCATATGGCTACTAGAATGCAATGCCACTGGCTCACTGAAAAATTGTACATCAAAAAGTTAGTTAGTAGTTAAAGAAAACTACTACAGGAGAAAAGTTTTAAATGTAAGAGAATGAAGTTTAAATTTGAAGAACAAAGTTGAAAATTTAAAAGAAAATGTTGCAAATTTACCAGATTAAATTTATTGCACAGTAACAACAGAGTAAAGATGTAAGTTCTTAATTCACTCCCCTAAAAATGTTGGTTCCCAAACATAAAGAATAAAATTGTAAATTTATCAAAAGAATTTTAAAGTGTATTTGAATGAATTCCCTAGTTTATACAGGTTAAGTTGTTGATATTGGGAAAGAAAAGTTGTAAACGTGTAAGACAGAGTCCCAAACTCACAAGAGTTACTTCAAAAAATAATAAGAAAAAAGTTGTAAATGGAAAAGGAGGAAGTGGAATATTGTAGAAAAAAGTTAAAATTTTAAGAAAAGAAGCTAAAAATTGAAGAAAAAAGCCATAAATGTATGCCAATGAAGTTGTAAACATTCAAGAGTAAGTTGTAGATTGAAATGAATGAGAATGTAGTTGTAATTTTGTAAAAAAAACAAAACAAAACAAAACAAAACAAAACAAAAAACAGGTGTTATTAAAGGCTGTTATTGATCATTAAAAGAGCAGCTGGCTGCCTGCGCCACTATGAGGTACATCTTTTCCAGCATCCTCCCTTTAAAGTGAGTTATCAAATTTACAACTTAATTTATGTTCATTTTTGACTGAGTTCTCAAAATCTCTTATCTTTCCTTCATCACTCGGCCCTAACGTTCAGTCTTTGTCTGCTTCTCTGACAGAATATACGTTTACTCTGTACTAACATGTCTAATGAAGTGCTCAGTGACTTAAATGTCTGGGATCAACAGGACTGTGGTCGATATGATTAGACAGTCCTGCACCATGTGACTGTAACACACCTTTTTGCCATGATTCCTCTGCTAGCTTCCTTTGTTTTTTTTTTTTTTTTATAAATGTGTCTTTTTCCAGTATATTTTCAAACATTTTTGTACTTTAATGTCACAGACCGGGCTTCAGCTCGTTCTGTGGTGGACAGTCAAATGTCCAAATGTTGACCTGGATCATTCCTTCACATATCTTGTGAGTCTTATGGTGAAGCGCTGTGCTCTCAGCAGCTGGTTGGTTTGAAAGTGTGCTGAACAAATTAGCTGATTGTAAGTTAGATGTTCAGGGCCAAATGAAAAAATGACCTGTATCCAGACAAAAGACGTCTGTTAATAGGAAACGGTTCCATGTTTTGTTTAAGAAAGAGAAGAGGAGGTGTGGACAGTAGAGACGAGTGTGAGCTGATGGTGCAAACAGTTCTGCAATCAGGAACAACCTCATTGGTTGAAATTAGGTTGTTTTATAATCCCTCCCAAACAGCCACTAAACTCCTGAAAATTTCCAGACTTTTTCTGGGTGGGCTGCATGTGTGAACGCAAACAGACATATTTTTTTATCCCAATTTATCCAGACTTTTCTGACTAGTCCTGTTGGCAATATGTCTGCAAGAAGTTGGGGTGAGTTAGTTGGCGAATGCAGCAGTTGAAAGTCATAAAAATTCAGGACAAGCTGAGATGACGTCACTTTGTACTCCCTATTTGTCTCAGTAGACTGTATTAGCGTTCTGCTGTTGCGTTTGCACTGAAGAAACCTTTACTGGACATTCCTTACCTCATCCAGACTTTATTGTGAAATAATATCAGGGGGGCTAGCAGGAAACATTTCAGGTAAAGTCAGGATGAAAAACTCAGCTGTTTTGTGTTCCCACCACCAATTTTTAGGAAATTTTCAGGAAGTCTGAAAGGGGATCCAGAAAAAGGAATGTGCACCTTTTTGTGCCCTGTGCAAATGACACACTTAAACATTGTCTCTGTGCGCAGGTGGGTTGTGTATATTTAACAGAGCCATTGTGCATTCAAATATGGAAAATTGGCCTTTTTCTATGCAAATGAGCCTCATGCAGATTGCGCTAGAGTAGTAATAGAAGACGTTACACTGTATGTGGACAGATCTGAGCTCTGTGGAGACGAGAGTGGAGATGCTAACGGCTCATCCCCAGTCAGATGCAAACCAGAGTAAACTGCACAGAGCTGCAAAACCTTTACAGGTGTGCTTGAATATCATTAGCTGATTCGCTTTGTCAGTTAAATTTTGAGACAGAGCATATAGTGAGGCAAATAATGCACAATCTGATTTTAGTGAACTTCCTCCCTCCTTGCTCTTTTAACTTCCCTGGAGTTAAGAGAGCAAGTTTGAGCAGCAAATTCCTGTACATATCAGTACCTGAATCTCCATCCTGTTCATAATCAGCCTTCTATCATCATGATTGGTGGAAATATAACTGCATTTTAAAGGACCATTTACGATATTTATTCAAACTTAGGTTGTTTTTTTCCCATGTGACTCGGCATTCCTTTCTTTCATGGCTGACCCCCTCCTCTCTTTCTCCATCTTTTTTGAACAGAAGATAATTTTTGGTTGTTTTTTTGTTATATAAATAAGAATCTGGTGTCAGGAGATGGAGACCATGTAAAAGCTGGTATTTGTGGTTCTCTGTCTGGGTTCTTCTGTGTACATCAGAGGCACTTGAGCTCATATATAATACAAATAAAGTGTATGATAACCTTCTGATTACACAGCATCAAGTGCCAAGTATAGTTATACTTGCTGGGTTTTATTTTTGTTTGTTTTTTTCATTTTGTTTGTAACATTACTGCCAAGCTCGCGCTGATTAAAATAAAGCAAAATGATTTATAGACGCCTGCTGTTGCTGAGTCTTCTTGTCTCAAATAGCGATGCCTCTGTCCTCTGATAGATGGGATTAGAGGGGATATTTAGATGGAAGCAGTTTGTCTATTTTTGTGTTTTAAAGGATTTCAGGATCTGACAAAGACTTAACCAACTGAACAGGCAGAAGATGGAAACCTGCTGCGTCAGACACTTAAAATATCAACCGTTTGCATATCAGACTGGATGAGTGTGGTGATTTTTCATTATTTGAAACATATTGAAGGTATTTTTAAACAGGTAAAAACTAATTGAAACCAGCAAATATTTGTCAAAACTGACTCCAGATAATTTAAAATCACCTTGATTTTTTTTAATTCCCATTGTAACCAACTATTGAGGCAATAATGGCCTGGCTGTCTGGGGGCCCAGACTAGGAACTGGTTTGACTCCCAACCACAACCTTTTGCGTCATGCCTTTCCCCCCACTCTCTGAACCTTGCACTTTATGTCTGTCTTGAGCTGTTAAGATCTAAGGATCTAAGATCTAAGATCTAGGATCTAAGATCATAAGATCTAAGATCTAAGAACACTAAAATTGAGGTCAGAGTCCTGGGATTAACACCAGAATTTGAAGATTAAAGGCAGATTTTTAGGATAAAAGTAAAATTCCAAGATTTCAGTCAGTTTTTTTTTATATTACAGCTACAATTCTACAATCAAACCAAGAATACTGAAATCTAAGGCAATACCCTGAGATTTGCCAAAATACTGTGATTAAAGAAAAAAATTTGAGATTATGCCAAAGTACTAAAATCAAAATCAGAATTCTGATTCAGAATTTTCCAGAATCCAATGGAAAAGTCAGAATTCATATTAAAATCTCAAAAAACTGAGAAAAAAAGTTAGAATTCTGCATTGAATTCCTTAAATAAAAAAATCACTAAAATTAAATAAATATCACAATATTTGGTCAGTTAATTCTGAGATCAGAGTCAAATCCCTGGATTAAATGTCAGAATTCTGAGCTCAAAGCCAGACTTTTGAATTTAAAGTCAGAACTCTTCTGAGTACTGCCATTTTGGGGATAAAATCAGAATTATTGAAATTAAAAAAATTAATTAAGGATCAAAGTCAGATATTTTGGATTTAAGACTAAATTAGACTGAAAAAAAGTTCTAAGAATTCTTAGATTGAAATTAGAATTTGGACTAATCATGTTTTTTCAAAATGTTACTATTTTATTTGATTTTATTTCCAGATTCCTAAGAGGAAAAAACATCATGATAAAAAATTCTAGATTGACAATCTCTTCATAACTTCATAAATTACTAAACCTTTTATACAGTATATATATATCAAACCTTTGTATTTTGTGGGCTGTTTTTGAGGGCGTATGTCTTAAGTAGGATCCTGTTAACTTGGAGGTTGTTTTTTGTAGGGTCCCTTCTGTGGTGTTGTCAGACTCTTTAGGAGTCACAATTTAAGCCTTTCAGTAACAGGAACTTTCAATGGACCGAGTTTGATTTATTGTGTTTTCAGCAGTCATTACAGCCTGTTTCACTTCAGAAATCTACTAAAGCATTTCCAAACTTTTAATGCCTAAAAGTCGTTTATACCCCAAAACATATGAAAATATGGATGGATGGATTAAAATGGATGAAAAACAACAGAATAATCATTTGACTTCACATCAATTCTTTGGGGTTTCAAAGTGTGATAAATGGACTTTTGTGTTCAGTTAAAGCTGCAGGAAACAAACAGAACTAAATACACTCATGACTCTGTGTTGGAGTGGGATGGGAGGGTTTTAGTGTCTGCGGAGTTGGTGGTCTATCACGGTCACATTTGTTTTAGATTTCAGCCCAGTAAACAAAGTGAGGCAGGCAGACTCACTGGGGCCTCGCTAAATCAGGCCCAGTCCAACGTCCCAGCCCGTCCCGGTGGATTCCTCACTCTCTGCTCTGCTGGGAGGCCCCACACAAAAACACATAGACACAGGCACAGAATCACACAGAAACACACAGAAACACACAGATACTCACCCCGGCGTAGTGTCCTTACAACTTTTTTTTAAAGTTTGTTGATTTGTTTGTTTTTATTGTCCTTCAGGAACCCATCTTTCTCTCTGAACTGTTTTTACTTTTTCAGGGCAAAGTCCTCTAAACACTGCAAAGTGTCTGCAAAGTCACACTGCATTTCTGGATCTGCCATTTTAAGACAATTGCTGTGCATTTGATTGTCAAGTACAACCATATTGGAGTTTAAAATAGACATTTTTATAAGACTTAATATTTTTCAATGACCGACTGTAACCCTAACTCTAACTGTCACCACAACACAAGGGCCCTAAAGATGCAGTCCTGAAACATGTCAATATTTTTTAGTGGGTGGGGCTAAGCTGGAGGCAAAGGGCCTTTAAACACATAGGGCTCTATTTCCGTGCCTCACCAGCAGCATGGCGTAGGTGCAGCATAACTCAGGTCCGCCGTGTCGATGAGGCGTGCCAAAGCACACTTTGGTTTTTGGTAAGCAGCACAGCCCGGTGTAAGTATCCCCCCTCCCTAACTTAGCTCCTCCCAGCGGCATAAGTAGGAAAGATGGAGAGTAGGTTTAACACAGCCAAGTTCTGTTTTCACCAATTACACCAGCTTCTCTCCTCACCTTTAATCTGCCACAGAAGAGACATATTGCAATTTTCGTGAAACAGTCGAAGAGACGACTGAAGACAGCAACGCCACAAGATGGTGACAGGACGTAGTCCCTCAACAAGTGTCACTGAAAGAGCCGCGGAGGGCGTCCTCCATACTCTCCCAAATAAACACAGAGGGATTTGGTGTGTGTAAGGTTGTACCCACTGGTAAGACAAACATCCTTTTCCACAAATAAAGAAACTCACATCAAACTGCATGTATTTAAACCTCACGTGACAAAGGTGGATTGTGCGCACAGATCACAACATAAACAAATTCCAATAAGGGCATTAAAATCAGAACCACCTGTGTGTAAAGGACGCATTGCGCTCCGTTGCCTGACTGTTTCTTTCATAGATGTTGGCTTGAATTTGGCTCATGCTACTGAATATTATAATATTCGTATGTAGGCCTAACCCCCAATTTCCACCACATCCGGCCACATCCAGCTTGGCGTACCTCAGTGCGCCTCAGTCTGCCGTAATACCAAACTGGCTGTGTGCCGGGCTCTGCCAGACTAAAATACCACTGTGTGGAGTGTGCCACCCTACGCTGCGCCACCCGGCATGAAAATAGAGCCCATATTGGCTTTTGTCTACAAAAGAGTCACCAGAGAAGTGAGAAGCCCAAACAGCAATGTTGTTGCTGTTGTCCCAAATATACCAAAACATTTACGTTTCCCTCCTTTTAATCTCATATTGGTGTCCGTGAAATCCTCATTTCAGCCTCTAAAAATCTTTCCTGATATAAGGTGAGACATAGTTTGGTAGTGTTACTTTTTCCACAGCTTTGGGGTGACAAAATTACCTGAAATATCGGAGGCTTATCTTTAGGGCTCAATTCACATTATTTTTGGCCAAGTTGACATATGTAACCCCAATTCTGTTAACTTGATTTGACAAAAAAAAAATCCTGAAAATTGCTGCAAATCAGTTATTTTTCAACATTTAAAAATGTACTGCGGGTCTATTTTGTTTGCGCCATATCCTACTCCAAATCCAAAGACAATAGACTAAAAATCTGCCCCTTAAACCATCACCAAGTTTGATAAAGAGGTTGGTAAGTACCAAAGATATAAACTTTTGCATTCAGAAGAGAAAGGTTCTATCTGTTACTTTGCTGAATTAATGATGATGATAATCCCAGACACAAACAGACACAGACTTAAATTTTCAGGTTCCAGAAGATGTATTTGTCTTTATACACGTCTCGTCTCTGTTTTGAGATTTTCATCCATCATATTAGAAACAATAAAAAAATAGAACTGAAAATGTACATCATACACTAGATACATATACATTTATATATATATATTCTGTTTTTACATAGGTAAAAATGTGAATTATATAAAAAAGACAAACCAATGACTTCAACCTTTAATCTTTTTTTTTTACAGTCATTATTTTCTGAAATTCAAATCAGGACAGGGTGAAGAGGAGGCTTCAGGCACTTCCCTTAAAAAGCTGAAGTGAGCGCAGTCCGAAGACAATGCACTCAACAGACACACGGCTTCATGTTCACACTCTTCACCACAGAGAGAAAAAGCTAACACGGGAATCTTTACAGTGGATGGCAGCGGTGTAAAGACAGAAAGCACAGACACAGACAGCTTTTCACAGAGGACTTCAGTCTTGATTGCTGCTTCACGTCTCCATTTGAAGCTGAAATTAAAAGTTTTTGTTCAGAACTGTCACTTCTGCATGTTTTAAAGTATGTTGAAGTAATGTTGAAGTTTCAAATCACAGCTAATCACCTTCCTAACTCATTGACTCGACAGCAGAGGGACTGTTTTAGTGTATTCAAAAGTGGTGCAGAGGTAATCATTACTGATTGTAATGCTTCGGTATGTCTTGCACATTGAGAGGAGCCCGCTGTAGATTTCAACATTACAGCCTATCTAAGATCCTGCCAACAGTGCCAAAATGTTGAGTTTTAAGAGTCACGCCCCGGAACTCAAACCCAGGTAGTACTGGCCGTTGTTGATGATAAAGCTGTTCCTTTCTTGAAAACATCTGCGCTGTTCTCTACAAAAACTTGACCGCCTGTTACTTTTGAATATTACACTCTCTTTACAAATATCAATAGAAGTCATTACACAGCTTATCAAAAATTAATGAGCTTATATTGTGATTTAATGCATGTTACTCTTGTATGTCTGCTCTTCATGAAACACTTTTTAGAGGTAGACGAGAAACTGGCCGTGTTAAAAACTTTGAATAAGTAGGTCGGGGGACGCGTCTGTGATAAAAGTCATAACTGAGACTCCAAATCTGGACAAAGTGACAGTTTTCTTGCTTTTGTGTTAATATTTTTTTCAGTAAATTATAGTTTTTCATTTCCCACTTTCTTACAATCTCAGACAAATTTAAGAGCACAAACATGAATTATGATCCTCCCTTTTTCTCATAGACACAGACACACACACACTTACTCACACAAACACAAACACGCTCAAGTATCTGCTGTTTTCTTGTATAGCTTTACCCTTATTGTTTTTTGTTCTTTAACTCAAACAAACTTCTCAAAAACTAATCCAGTCTGACCAGTATGCAGGACAGCAGTTTTCTGTGTCACAGCATAAATGAGCTTTAAGTTAGGTCATTGTTTAGTGTCCATGATTTCCAAAAAGAATGTCAGATTTTGATTCTTCAGACAATGGGGGCAGTTTTTCACTTCACATCAGTCTTTGGATGGATCAGTTTTAACCTGCAGTTGTGGATGTCATGATGAATTGTGTTCACAGACAATGGTTTTTACGAGTGATTTTGAGCTCATGCAGTGATTTCCACTTCAGAGTCCTTTCTGTTTTTTAATGCAGTGCTGCCTGAGGGTCTGCAGATCAGGACAATCCAATAATGGGTTTGGTCCTTTGTCCTTATAGAGATTTCTACAGATTCTCTGAATCTTTTAATAATAGTTTATTCAGTAGATGATAAAATCTACTCTTTCTTTCACAGTTTATACTCAGGAACATTATTCTGAAACTGTTGAACAGCCCACGCAGTCTCTCACAAAAGTAACTAATCTGTTGCAGATTAATTTTATTAGTTAAGATGTTAAAGGCAGCTCTGCAGATGAAACCGCCTAGTAAATTCTCCCTGTGTTTCTTGCCTAGTCAGGGCTGAAATCTGCCATGATACTGGTCAGCCAAACTGGTTTATCAGTTCAGTTTGTTGTGAGGATTTCTGAGCAGCTTTCAGAGCAGTTAAGTGCCCCTGCAAGAACCAGAGCTGGCTGAGATACTGCAAAGCATTCACCTAAGATATGAGACAACACACATAAATGGAAAAAAAAATCTATAACCATTTGAAAATGTGAAAAAGTGCAGAGCAAGTTAGCCTTGTTTGGCACCACCACTGGATACAAAAGGAAAGAGTTAACCTTGCTCTGTCCAGACTTTGAGGTACCAACAATTCTGAAAGCTCATGTGGGGAGTTTGTCTCTTTATGACCAACAGAAGCAAACAAGACCATCATCATTAGTGCTGTCACTTTTTAAAAATCATCAAACGATAAATTATGAAGTAATTGAATTAAGTGGAACATTTGATTATGTAAATAAAGCAGTTTAAAGTTCTCAAATACTATCCAAGAGCCATTCTGAGTACCACTTTGTTGACAGGGGGTGCCAAAATCAACACAAACAAAAAGCACCACAAAGGAGCTTTAAATTCACTGATTGAGAGGTTGAATCTAACAGATGATGAACAGAAGCCCAGTTTCACCTGTTCTTAATGAAACAGAAAAAGTCCCATATAAGGTCATAATTTTGAAATGAAACGTCAAAAGTCTAAGTTAATATACTATAATAATGAGGTAAAAAGTCTTAACTATGAGACAAAAAGTGATGTTAATCTAGAAGTTATAATTAATAGTCAGAAATATGAAATTATGAATGACTTTCTCTCAATTTCTTATCTACACCTTTGGACTATTAATTTAATATTTATGACTTTTTGTGTGAAAATATGACTTTTCATCTTGGGCTTTGATTATTTTACCTCATATGTATGTCTTTATTAAATCTTTATTTTTGAATTAATGCTTCATAACTTTGACTTTTTATTCAATATTGCCAACTTTTTATCACAAAATTTTGACTAAATTTTCTGTTATTGACTTTTTACTCTATAGTTTTGGCTCTTTCCTCATAATTATTACTTTTTATTTCATGCGTTGGACCTTGGTCTCACAATTATGACTTTAAACCTTAATTTCCACTAACTGAATAATTTCTTTGACCTTCACATTTCATATTTTCATAATTTTATTTCATAGATGTAACCAGAGTTACAGGATTTTTGATATCAAGGCCTTATGTCCTCATTTTCTTGAATCAATAAAAACATTGATGTTTGTCTTATAATCTAATATTTTTGCACACACAGTGAAGGTGCCTTTTTTCACTCTGACAATAAATTGAAGGTGAATTTATTTCGATTTTAAAAACTATTTGAATCACGTCTCTTTGAGGTGAAATTGTTTTGCAGTGTGTCAGCAAGCCATTAACAAACATGAAGACATTCATTCTGACAGGATGCTTAAAAAAAGAGACATTCAAGCTTTTAAAACACATGAGTGTAAAAATATAAAGTACCTGTTTATATATATATATATTTATATTTATATTAATATTCATTTATTTAGAGCTCTATATAGAAATGAATATTCTCTATTCAGTCTTTGCGAGTCTTGAGAGGAGTGAAAGCTGTTTGGTTTCCAACGTCACTAAAAATGAAAAAATAAAACAACAGGAACTTTTTTTCCCATCTGTTCAGACTTCTTCTCCTCTTTTAGAAATCATTGACGAGACAAACAACAACAAAAACAACAGAAATCCCCCTCCCTCTTTAAGTCATTGACGTCTCCATGGGGGGCAGGGCCTGTAACGTCTCATCCTACAGCTTTGTGTTTCCCGCCACAGCAGTGGCAGGCCACGCCGCAGCGGTAACACACTCTAAGGGGAGCGTAGCAGCACATGCAGGGTACCAGCAGCGACAGACCCACCAGCGCAGTCCAGCGCAGGCAGAAGCGCTCATCGCTGGTGTCACAGGAGCACGGGTCTGAGTAGTCCCCCTCGGGGTCAGACATGCAGTGATACAGCAGGCTGTCTGCACACCACATAAAGCTGGCACGCCTGATGCAGGTCTGAATCGGGTCGGGCGCTTCCTGGCAGCGACCCCGCCCATTATCCTCGTGGTTGAACATGTCCTGACAGTAAACGCAGCGTGATCGCTCGCCGTCCTCCTTTCGCCTTTTTCCTTTAGACTGCAGGGCTCGTGGCTGCACTGTCACCACTGCCCGTTGGCCACCACCCAACTTCAGGCAGCCTGGTTTTTGGTCGCAGACCCGCTGCACATCGCAGCTGAGCGGGTACGGGTAGGTGTAGTTATGTTTGGGTGGCTCGCTCTTAGCAAAGTGCACATATGCGTCCAGGTGGTCGGGCTGTGAGAGTTTGTCCTGTGTGGAATAGTCGAGGCGGTAGTCCCCGTAGCCTGTGAGCCAGGTCCGCTCACGTGGGCCAATACGAACAACTTCCTCCTCCTCCAGCTGAAAGCTGACATGGCGAGGGAACATGTGCACAGCCTGCGGACACGGAAACAGTTAAAAAAAACTTGAGTCTCAGGAGGGATACGGACGGAAACACACCTGCTTTTTTTCTGCAAGCCCTTGTGGTTAATGGATGTTTTAGCATAAGCCAATTTGATCAAGTTAAAGATCTATGTATAAATGTACAGTGGCTGGCATGCTTTGCATTTGAAACATCTTGTTACATCTGAATTTTATAGGGATTTATCATTTTTAAGGGTTCATCTCCCTAATACAGATGTTATCATGAACTAGTTCAGTAAAATCAGGGGTGAAAATCTCTCTGGTTCACTTAGGTTTTGATTCTGGTCAGTTCCACCTCTGAGTCTTGTTCTCACTCACATGGTCCAGAAAGTAGTGGTCAGAGGGCCGGTGGTGTTCGTAGAAATGTCCTAGGATGCAGTGGTGCCGGCGTGTCTCACAGAAATGGGGCGGAGCCAGAGAGTGCATCGTTGGCTCTCTCTTCTGAGACGAGTTTGACGAGCTGTCGGTGGCCGTCTGCAGAAAGAGACAAAATCCATTTGTTACAACTATTTGAAACAAGAACCAGAAGAGTGGCATCCAGGCAGGTGTTCTGTACGGTGGCCCTGAGGGTCAACCACAAAAATATTTTATACACACAAAAAACACTTGGCTGGCATATGTATAATAAACAGGACAACACAACTGGAAGTACTTTTGCTAAAATATTGCAGCAGCACAACTCTACTCCTGCTGTGTATACAGTCTATTGTGCATACCTGTGGCATGGAAAGTGTGCACACACACTTGGAAGGGTTCAGAAAAGCCCCATCTTGATCATGTATGAGACATTTTATCAATTTTAGAGTAATCTTACTCCCCGCAACTTTCCATGAGTGGACTGAATTTAGCATTGCCTGGATTAGAGCTCACAGTGCAGCTCTGAGTAGACAAGTGGAGATACTGACAGTCAATCACAATTAAACTAGAGCAAACTGCATGGTCTGAGATTCAGTTCACTCACTGCAAGGACGGTGTGGCTGCTGCCTGATCATTGTGAACTCACCTGTACGTTGTTATCCATATTATAGAAGTATCAATAAAAGCCAGCCATTATTTGCTCATAAAGTTCATGACGCTGACCATAATAAGGTAGCTTGACTATGGTCTTTATTTGAGGATTAACAGGACACTGTTCATATAGTTTTAACTATCATGTACATGATACCCTTAAACTACATCAAAGTATAAAAAAACTTTTGAAAAAAAAGAGGCAGCTCAAACCCTCCATAAATCTGTAGCCTCATCATTTTTTCCTAGTCTCTTCTAAGATCTCCTAGGATATTCAGGACCCTTGACAGGAAGTATTGCATCATGTCAAGGAAGGGTTTTTATTTACTCCTGTTGAAGACTGATCTACATCCTCATTGTCCCTTAGGCCTCCTAAGCACCTCTGAGACACTACAGACCTTTCTCTTTTTCCTCCTCAATCTGCCCAGGTTTTTACTCTAACTGAGTCCAGCTATAAAAACAGACCGACTTAGAGATGGATGCTGACAGCCCTGAGTCTCCTTTACAGCACTGGACATCCTGAGGAAGTGATACACCCTTTATTCTTTGAACTGGTAGAAAGATTGAAACTAGGGAGCGGGGTCTGGTCCCCTCATCAGGCGGAGGATGACTTTGTTTTGGTTTACCAGTCGTCCTCCTGTTTGTGTGCTTGGCTTCAATGTTGGCAACACATCCCAAACAAGACTATGACATTTGTCTGGCATTAACATCCCAGGACACAGAGCTCCTCCTCTTTCTACACTTCATATCAGACACACCCTGGCTGAGACCATCACTCAGACACATTATAGATCACCTCTCTTAAACTTTACATGTGTCCTACTCAGAAAATAAGGGGAAGACTTTCTCACCGTGAAGACATCATCATCGCCAAGCTCTGCCTCATTCTGCAGCGTGGACGAGGATGTAGTCGATCCTGCAGAGCACACAGGGAGATCAGCACATTTCACTTATCAGCTGCTGTCAAGTCAAACCCTGTTTCACTCCCTCAGCACAAATAATGACAGCTTCTGCCCAAACTGAACACTTACAAAGCTAGGTACGAAATACGCACAACACAACTAAATGTATGCTTTATAAGCCACACAGTATGGAACAATGAATGAACAAGCTTGACTAAAAAAAGCTTCAAAATTATGCAGCAAAAAGTAACATTTCTTCAAGTAATGAGCAAAGGTTATGTGCTACAGAGAAAAAACATAGTAAAACCATACAAGCTTAAATGTAACACATTCCAATGTAACATTCTACAATGTAACACATTCCAATGTAACATTCTACAATGTGACATTCTACAATGTAGCACATTCCAATGAAACATTCTACAATGTGACATCTACAATGTGATATTCTACAATATAACACATTCCAATGTGACATAAACAATGTAACACATTCCAATGTAACATTCTAAAATGTAACACATTCCAATGTAACATTCTACAATGTAACACATTCCAATGTAACATTCTAAAATGTAACACATTCCAATGTGACATTCTACAATGTAACATATTCCAATGTAACATTCTAAAATGTAACACATTCCAATGTGACATTCTACAATGTAACACATTCCAATGTAACATTCTAAAATGTAACACATTCCAATGTAACATTCTAAAATGTAACACATTCCAATGTGACATTCTACAATATAACACATTCCAATGTGACATTCTACAATATAACACATTCCAATGTAACATTCTAAAATGTAACACATTCCAATGTGACATTCTACAATGTAACACATTCCAATGTAACATTCTACAATGTAACACATTCCAATGTAGCATTCTACAATGTGACATTCTAAATTGTGATATTCTACAGTATAACACATTCCAATGTAACATTCTACAATGTAACACATTCCAATGTAACATTCTACAATGTGACATTCTAAATTGGGATATTCTACAATATAACACATTCTAATATAATACTCTACGATGAAACATTCTACAATGTGACATTCTTCAATGTAATATTCTATATAGAAACATTCCAGAAATTAGGGGCTACAGTGTTTTGAATTTTAATGTGCTACAAAGTCATCGCCCATAAGGTTACAGCCTATAATGCTACAATTTACAGAACGCAAAAAACATTCAACAAAGTTTTGTTTTATGAGGGCAAGCTCTTCAAGGTTCAATTTATGACTTACAAGAAACATTCTACAAAGTATCATACAAAATGAACAAATACGATAATTGACAGTTGACTTTGCTAGTTTTCACCAGTTTTATTTGCTGAGGGTGTGTAATAATTCCTACCTTCTGTCAGGTCTTCAAGCGCCTTTCTCACCCCACGGTCAAAAGCTCTGGCATCGGCTGGACTCTGGAAGGTCAGCCCGCACTTTTTATTATCCACCTTCCAGTGGTGAAAAGTGGGAGTGGCCTTTGTATAAACCAGATCCTTTCTTAAGAAGCACTCCAGAATCACCTGGAAAAGAATCAGAAAAACAAAAATTGAAAAAGATTAGACACAGACATGTGGTATAAAAGGACGTGGATGATTAAGAGTTTTTAGAGTTTCAAGACGAGATGACAACATTAGCTAGGTTTGTCTTAAATGTCCATGGTAACTTTAAGCCTTTTAAAACTTAAGTTAATCGGAGTGTGCTTAGTTTTGATGTAACATCTGTCTAAGGAAAAACTTTAAAAACACTGTCTATCTGTTAGGTGCGACTGGACTGACCTGTCGATCTTTGAGACGTTCGCCATGAATTAGGAAGGTGTTTCGCCCAAGCAGTTCAGCCGGCAGCAGCCTGCATACACCCACTCTACTCAGACAGCCATCCTGAGCCAACCAGCCGCCGCTCGAGTCATCTCTGGTCATCACCACCGCTTTGACGCGCACAATGTAACTGTCACTGCAACACAAGAGAGAACCAAAGCAAATCAGTGAACAAGCTAAGTGGTTAGCGGCTAACTAAAAGTGAGTGCTATGTTTTCTTTTTACAGTTTTTAACATCTTGAACTTAAAACATAAAGTTCCAGGAGGCCTTTGCCCTTTGGGGAAGAGACCAACAGCATGTTTTAATGTACAACCTCCTCCATGTGGTGGCTAACTCTGAACTTTTAACTATCTCCAGGCTCCTATTTCTGCAGCTTCTGAAATAATCCCATCACATCCTCGTTGACAGACCAGCCTCTATCAAAGGCGCTGACACAGTGTTGGGCTGATTTACCATTTCTTGAAACTCAAAACCTCCAAACCCCAGCCATAACCTGTCACCACTGGTGTTTCCCAGTGTTCTATTGTGTGCCCCCTCTCCTCAATCATTTATCTGCATCCTCTTTGCCATATCATATGTAAACTTAATATCCATCTTCATTGCTATGCAGATGACAACCAGTCCTGGTTCCCATGCAACTTTCTTAAATAAAACATTGAAAAAAACAAGGTTACCCAAAATGGTACCAGTCCAAAAACTACTCCCAAAAAATTCTTCTGTTTAAATGGGCTGTATTATTATTACTATAATTACTATTTTTATTATAATAATTCTTTGAAACATTTATTGCTGTATACTTGTTTTCTTCAAATTACTATGTCTGAACATCCAGAGGAACAACACTTTGACAGAGCCAGCAACCAAACTGGAACTTCTAAAAAGTGCACATGATGCCACATTAACCTCGAATTCCTGGATGTCAGTTGGTGATCAAAAGATCCCACAATAACTGAGTTTATTACTGACACTGATTGGACATTTTGTCCATGCACACTTCATATTATTTAATTTGTACAAGCGTTATCCACATAAGAAATGTAAGAATAACACGATTTGACTAACTTTACTCAACAATCTTCTCTTCTCATCTCATCTTTTGTTATCTAAAGGACATCTTTAGGTCAAGACATTGTAACCAGTGATTTTAATTTCCATCATGGGAATAAATAGCTTCCTAACCACAGAACCTGTATGAAACTACGAAAGCAGTCAAAACGGAACTCCTGAAAAGTGTGAATGCTGTTGCATTAACCTGGGATCCCTGGATGTCAGTGAGTGTTAAAATAATCATACTGACACTGATTGGACATTTTGTACATTGACTCTTGCATATTTACTACTTTTCAAATTCTTAAACTTTAAATTTGGAAAAAAATAACCATGTATTTGAAAGACTAAACACTCAGAAGCTGTTCCCTCATGACTTCCTCTCAAACATGTTTCAGATTACACTGGTGGAGCAGCACAACATTGACTTGAATGATAAATCTAAAAGTCAAGATCATTAAGTATATTTCATTACATTAAATTGAGTCACAAATCAAATCAGTAGACAAAAAAGCATTTCAATTTATGTGGATGTATATTAAAATTTTATAAACTGTATAATAGTAAAATTTGAGATGTGATTAACTATGCGATTAAATGAGGTTAAAGGATTTTACATTGGAGACAGTCACAACCTTGTGGTGACTGTGTGAGTGAGCGTAATTGTTATTAACACTCTAAATAAATCCCCATTTTTCAGTTTTAAATGTCTTACTATTTTTCAAGACAAGTGAAGCCCCCTGGTTTTGTTTCTTTTGTTGGTCAGTGCAGCAGCTTTTTGCTTAAATATACACGTATACGCAAAAAAATTGTCCTTTAAACTAAAACAAGATTACTCTTAAAAATAGAAAACAATAACATGATCCTGTTCTTGGTTTTTCTTCTCCACCTTGCATTTTGTCGTCCAATTTCTCTGGTACTTCCTGTTTTACACACACACACACACACACATCGCATCACAACAGGCCGGCTGCGTCCCTCCACCGTGTGATTCAGCCTGCCTGTCAAACAGATGGTGCTTATGTGTGTGTGTGTCTAAAATGAGTCATCGCTGTATTTGCCAGCAGCATGCAGCAACACACACACTCATGTATGTATTTTAACACATCAAATTGAATTTTTCAGCCTCCATCGGTATAACACACTTCAGTCCTAACATGGAGTCCTAACAGGAATAATATAGTGAAGGTGTATTATTAACCAGATACTGTGTGAATAAATAAGTTATTTTAGGGTCGTGCACTCGCTATTCCATAATCATTTGTCTTTGCTGCTTCACAGTAACTTATCCTTCCATTAGATTCCAGCTTATGTTTCCATCAGTGTTTTATCACAGGTGAGTCCTCAATCTGATGGAGATGTCCAAGCAGAGAAAGTGTCTGACTAACACGCTGAGATCAGAAAAGCACAATCGAGAATAAGTAATTTTAGGAAGTCATGTGAAGCTTCACTCTGGTCTTGCCTTTCCTGAATTTGACTGATTGTTTTGTTCCTATGGTTGCATTTTGTCCAAAAAGAGTGGATAAGGGCCACTGGTTGAGAGAAGTGACACAAAGAAAGTACAAATTAGCGTTGTTAGTTTTGGTCCAAACAGTTTAATGCACCTGCAGACTAAGTTGAACATGTTTGCTTGGTTCCTGCTGTGGAAACCGTCAGCACATGGTCGGACCTCCCTGACCTCAAACAGCCCCGTCCTCAGAGGATACGGTAATGAAACGGCTGCTTAGAGCACTTTAAACACACACACACACACACACAGATCTGTGGGAGCTGAACAGAGATGCAGATAATAGCCTCTGGTGGTCTGTTTACTCCATCATCATGACAGACACACACACTCACACACACACACACACAGTGGATAACTACACTTATAATGCTCCCACAGGAACACACGTGTTGTCAATCACACACACATTCTCACCGGGCTGATGACATCACCCTCATCAGCGTAGAGATTGTGGTTTCTCTGAGGTCTGAATCAGCAGCACAGATGGTGTTTGGCTCTCTCTCCGCCAAACTTCTCAATGACTCCCTCGCTTGCTCCTTTCACAAACACACACACTTTCTTTCCTTTCTCGCTGAGCCCATCGACATATCAGCAGCAGCAGCAGCAGATGCGACCTTGCTGACCTCTAGCCGGGAGATGTTTTCATGTTTGGGAGTTTTTTTTGTTGCTTGATGTGTGAAATGTGAGCGGCAGGGAGTCGATCTACAGCCCCGAGAGTCGACCTGAAAGGAAATCCATCTTCCATTAGTCCAGTCACGTTGCAGGTCAGACGCCTGCTGTCAACTGCCTATACAACTGTCAGAAAGTCCCTCTTAAAGAGACAAAGAAGAAACATTAGGTACACAGTTGGCAGCGTCATCCCTGGACATGTTTTTAAAGCTGTAACGTGACATCAGGCTGTGATGTGCAATCAGAACCCTGCTTCCGATAGAGCCCACCCAGCAGCTCTAAGACATGCCCACCTGGAAGCTTCACAGTCTCTCACCCTCATCTTTTCCTCCACTCTGCACTTTGTTGACTGTGTCTTAGAAAAGTGAAAGAAATTCACAGCTGTTTAGCTTTCAAAAGACAAAGAAATTTGAAATTTGCAAAGTCTTTGTGGTTTCAGGACAATAGCCACGTCGTTGCTGTTTGTTCTTGCCATTTCACTGATGGCTCCTTCGTAAACAAAGGCAAGTACCAGCTGGATTTGAGTCTCAGCTGAGACCTGGTACTATTCATCTGCAGGCATGACTAAAAGGTTGTCCCATTACCACAAAGCTGTGTAAAAAGTAGTACCCACAATAATACAATAAAAGGTGAAATGAATATTCTGGTGTCCTTTGAAAACTACGCCCTCATGTTGACATAAAGTTGTCCTGGTCTTGGGATGTGGTGTTTCAATAGGACAAAGACTAGATTCCCCAGCTTCCGTAAAAGGCGCTCATCATTGCTGTGTGAGCTATTGAATGTAGGTCTTCCTTTTTAGCTTTAATTTTCAGACAGAAACATTCATATGTGTCAAACTGAAGTAATTTGTTCATTTTCAATCCTCTGAGATTATCGATGATGATAAATTTGAAATATCTCTCAGCTCTGTCAAGAATTTTCCTCTAACTTTTATTTGTCTCTATGTTGATGACCACCAGACCACTCACATGGGGGGGCAGCACCGATATACAATCAATACCTTCCTGTGTGGGCGGGGCTGGAGCACCATGGGACACCACTGCATGCGACCTTACCTCAATGTCACTGACAGTCCTCCCCCTCCCTCTGGCATTATCAACAACCCTCTGACGGCTGGTTTTGGTGGCATCGGTTTGCCCAATCGATAGAAAACTCCCCCACTAAAAAAAACCCTCACCAGTGAGGAGAAGACACCAGAGCCCTCCACAGAAACACTTAACCCTGAAAAGGGGAGTCTAGGAAGTTTCAAAGCCGACTGAAAAAAAAAGTTTGCTAACTGAACTGACTTATGGTCACATTATAAGTTCAAGCTCAGTTGCTAAAATAACTGCCAGATAAAAAAATAAATAAATTAATGATGTGTTTATATGTTTTATCTTGTGAAAGGAATTTAGATCAGCAACATAAAATACATTTAACAGAAGGAATTACAACGTTTTCTGAGCACTAAAGCGAGACAAAATTGGGGACTCATAATTACAGCTTAACCATACTGGCAGCTAAAACATGATAACTGCAGATACCAAGAATAACCTTTTCAAACTGTAATCTGCTTCAGTACATCATAGAGATATTAGTTTCTCTGAGGTCTGAATCAGCAGCACAGATGGTGTTTGGCTCTCTCTCCGCCAAACTTCTCAATGACTCCCTTGCTCGCCCCCTCACTCAACCCTTTTACAAACACACACAATCTCTCTCTATCCTTTCTTGCTGAACCCACAGACATATCTGTTGCAGCAGCAGCAGAGACGACCCTGCTCACCTCCAGCTGGGAGATGTTTTCACGTTTGGGAGTTTTTTTGTTGCTTGATGTGTGAAATGTAAGCGGCGGGGAGGCTATCTACAGCCCCACGAGTTGACCTGAAAGTAAATCCATCCTCAGTTAGTCCTGTCACGTTGCGGGTCCCACAATGCTGGGATTCAAGCTTTTTAAAACCCAGTGTTCTGGTAACTAGCTACCTGGGGCTAAGCCATCTGGAACCCAAATTTTATCATCCCAGCATTGATGAACATGGCTTACTTGAACCCAGCATTCCAGAACCGACATTTCTTGAACCCAGAGTTCCAGAACCCACTTTTCTTGAGCCCATCATTCCAGAACCCACTTTTCTTGAACCTAACATTCCAGAACCATTTTTCTTGAACCCAGAATTCCAGAACCCATTTTTCTTGAACCTAACATTTCAGAACCATTTTTCTTGAACCCAGCATTCCAGAACCCACTTTTCTTGAACCTAACATTTCAGAACCCACTTTTCTTGAACCTAACATTCCAGAACCCACTTTTCCGGAGCCCAGCATTCCAGAACCCACCTTTCTTGAACCCAGCATTCTAAAAATAACTTTTCTGAAACCCAGCATTCTAGAACCTAGTTTCAGCTCAGCTTTCTTTTGGCCTGCATTCAAATACCATTATTTCTGGAACCTAATTTCTGTAACCCTGCACTCTTGAAACCTCCTCCTCTGTTGCCATGCTTCAGAGTTTTGTTCTTTTCCAGCTTTTTAAAAATGTATTCATTGTGGTTACCTTTTTCAGCCTTAGTTGTTTATGCTTTTTTTGAGTGTGAAATTGATATGCATAAAAAAATCTGAAAAACGTTCAATAAACTGTATCAGTGAGCTGTATTTGAAATGACAAATTATGAAATAGGGTCGGCTGTATTTGACCCATAATCAGACTCAGAAAGTTTGGGAGGGTCAAAAACCCTAAACAACACTACCACAGGTTTACCTGGTTTACGGTTTTTAGCCTATACTTGTGGGTCATTTGAGGTCTAAAACCAGGAATATGGCAGGTTTGATTAGTACCTTTTCATATCTCAGTGATAAAAAAGTCTCAGTTCTGGTAATTTAAGGGCAAAATGAAACTTAATTCACTGGGTCTCAAAATGATCTCTGCTCTTCAGTTGGCAGGTTAACTCAGCTCAAAACCACAAATCTTTAATTTGGATATTAGCTAAACTGAACCAAATTGGATACAACAAGTTGAGACAAAAATCTGATTTTGATTCTCAACCCCGCAGGTAAAAACACCTTTGTCCTGAAAAACACTTTGCTACCTGCTTCTTTTCTGCAGAATTTCTCTGAGTAAACAGTGAACGGGTTGAGTCTATTGTCTGTCTGTTGTATGAGTCATGTGTTTACCTGCAGGGTTGTGAACAGCACAAGGCTCCATCAGGTTACCTGCTGCCTACGCTTTCCACCCGGGACAAAGAGCCTGATCAGCTGAAAACTCTGGATCAAGAACGGTGGTGCATTCAAGTACAGCATGCACAGAGTAGTTCATTCAAACTCTGCAGCTTTCAAACTGTGTTAAAACCAAACACCTCAAAACACAAGCCTGAAACTCCTGAAGGGAATACAGAAGTACTTCATCGGTAGTGACAACATAGAAAGGGGAGGCGAGGGAGTACCCAGACTAGTGGTTTGTGTACAAAAGGACAACTCTTCCCCATCTTCAACTGCAGACTTAAGTATATGCATGTTCAATATACAGGAGTCCAGTTACCTCTCATGCTAGCTATCCCGTATGTGGAGAGATTTTTCGCAAAACTATTTACAAATATATGTCCACGATTTTCATGTGTTTTTTAATTTTGTGTGTGCATTTAACATGACATGTCATTTGCAAACCTTCAATTACGCTTGTGAATTGTTAAAAGTGTGTTTGTGGATCAACTGGCATGCACATTCATTTTTGAGACAAATATCATGCAGTTTTCAAGATATCCACAGACACACAAGTTGAAGATAATTACATGTGTGGAGAACACTGCCACCCCATCCACTGGGCGGTAGTGTTGCTCTCTCTATTGAAGACTGCATGTCATCTTATTGGGAGTCTGGCCCCGCTAAAATCTAGACCGACCATGGCTGAGCAAGGTGGACAACCGGCCACGAACGGGTTGCTGTTGATGTGCCGAGAAACGCATGCTCGCCGAGAACTGCATATACCTCGCAGAAACACGTTTATGGTAGAGTGGTCCACGGAAATGTACAGTTTAAAACCCGGACAACCTGTGCTGACTGCATCTACAACATCACCAGAAAATTCAGTTCTAGTATGGAGTCCAGGTAAACCATCGCCTCTTTTGCAACTTGAGTTATAAAGAAGAAAGTTGAGAGACTTTGACCAAAACAAACTACACTTACAGAAACAAGCAACGTCAAGGGCAGCTCAGCTCAGCTCACAACCCCTGATTTTATAAGAGTAATCAGTAAATGTTTCTGTTAAAGAGGGATCAAATGAGTGGAGCCAAGGGCCTCTAAAGTGAAAGTAAACTCCTGTGAGGAATTTGCAACATAACAATGATAATCAGGATGTTTATGGCAGCTCAGCTAGCAGCCCCCTCCTAACACTATTATACAGATCTATGTCCAGCAGCCGTATTATTGTCCTGTGTAGCGTCACAATTTGTGAATTTATGACATTTTCAGTATCGGCACCATCATTCTACTCCTACTACTTCGGAGGGCAGGCATCCCGTATTCTCGAACGGTTTCTTTTTTTCTTCTTTGCAGTATTTGCAGTATAACTAACCACTGCTTCACATGTACGAGCTCCAACTCCAACATAACATGCTCAGATTCAGTCCCTTGGGTTTCATAAATGAGCAGATATTTAAACAGAACTAGGAACTGGCAAAATGACAAGCATTTTACAATTATAGCATAGCCTACAGTACAACGTGCTCATGACAGCATAACAAACTTGACACGTCTAACTGTTGTAATTGTCCTAATGAAGAAAAAAAGGTCAAATTTAAGCAAGTTAGTTCTCAAGATTCTCAAATGTACCCTTGGCTTCCTAAAGCTGCCAAATAACTAGGACATCTAGACTGTGTGCTTTATAACGTAAATCAATTTGATCGACATAGTGTAAAAATTGAGTGTTTTTTTTTTGCTATGTCACCCAGCCCTACCAAGAGTCTTGATTCAGTTTTAGTTGATTTTATGTTTCTGGGCCCCACAGATGGAGGGAATAATCCTGCTTTGCCTGAACTGGTCTGAACCTGCAGACATGTGCAGCCTGATGATGAGTCACAACACACAGTGGCCTCCATCTAAAGGGTTATGATCATAGACCAAGAACTGAAGCTTTACAGGAGCCTCATCCTGTTATAACTGATTTTATGAACGGAGAGCAACATGCAGGGATGCAAAAAGACAGGATTGAATGTGTCATGTCAGTCCTGCAGAGCCCCTCTGTCTGCCCCCTCCTCTTCCTCCTCTTCCTCCTCCTCTGTTATGACTGAATCACATCTGCAGGAGGCTGCACACGTTTCTCCCTCCTGTGAAATCTGCCCGACCTCAGCCAACCTCCCCAGGAGGAGAAAGATCAGGAGAAGGATGATAAGGAGGGCCCCTGCACCCCCTCCTCACATATCAACATACCAGTATCAGTGTGTGTCCATGTGATCAATGCAGAAGGCTGAGCGGCGGCGCGCCAACACGCAGCCAATCATGACAGCAGACACGGAATAACATCGATAAGATGGGGTGTGATTATAGGTGAGAGATGCAGGGGTACTCACTCGTCTGGGCGCGTGTCCTCGCTCATTTTTTTCCGATTCACCTGCGGTAATAACAAGCTCCCGCCGCGGCAGCACGGTGCGGTGTCTTCATGTTTCCTCGCCCTTCAGCGGTAGCGGCAGAAGCGGCGGCGGATTCGGATCTCTCCCGCTCTGCAGCTCGGTTACCCCAACCCTGATGTGTGTTTTGAATCTCCTTCTCCTCCTCCAAAACCACCACCTCCTCCTCCTCCTCTTCCTCGCTGACTTCTTCTCCTTTCACTCCTCAATTACCGGAGCACATCTCAAGAAGCATCATATCTCCTCTTCCACCACCTCCTCCTCCTCCTCCTACTCCTACGCCTTGTCGTCCTCTTCTTCTACTTCTTCCTCCTCCTCCTCCTCCTCGGCCGCCTCCTCTTCCTCCTCCCCCGCCGAACCGGACTGGATCGCGGTGACCGGGATAGGAGCGCTGGTGTCGGTGAGGATGGCCCCGGACGAGCCCCATCTCCTCCTCACTCCATGTTGGATTCAGTGAGCATAGAGAGGAGCGGGTGAGGAAGAGGAGCAGGAGGGAGGAGGGGGCGGGTGACGTCAGGCCCGAAGGACTGCAGAGTCACGTGCTGTTTCCATATCGTAACAATAGTTATAAAAACCACGATTATAATGAAATAAATGCAAGAAAATGGTGCAAAGACAACGAATGAAAGGTCGAAACTGAAAGACTTTTCTTGTGTTGTGAAGAGTATGTGCTCCTCTCAAATTTGATGCCAGCAACATGTTTCAAAAAAAGTTGTAAAAGGAACAACTAAACCAGGGGTGTCAAAGTCAAATGGACGGAGGGCCAAATAAAAAATTTAGCTACAAGCCGAGGGCCGGACTGATCGAATGTTCATTGAAATTTTTTTAAATGACGCATATAGTCTAGTTAACCTAATTGAACCTACTGAAAACCTAACAAATATATTCCAATATGATCAGATAAATAAAGCAATATTTTCTTATGGCTCTGTCAGTAATCTTTAATTTTCAACAGACACAAAAGACAAATTTCCTTTATATAAAAATCCCCATAACATGAACATTAAATGAAATAAACCCGTATTATTCAAGGCACCATCAGTAGCCTATATTTTCTATTTTAGCAAAAGTGGGCTAAATTTACTTCAAAGAAAAAAATAAAAATAGCAATTTTCTATCATCCACTCAACTGAAATATTTTTAAAATATAATTGGATTAAAATACAATAAAATAAAGTGCAAAAATCCGCGTGTTTCGTTTCATAATGTCGTCTCAGATTATACTCTTTCAGTACCGCCACACTTTCTCCACACAGAAGACACACAGGTTTTCCAGCTACCTCCGTGAACATATACTCCGACTCCCACCTTGTTTGAAACCCCCGGTTCTCAGTGTCCACCTTCCGTTTTGCCATTTTTGATGGGTATCTGAAAGTTAATTTTACTGTTATGCTCACGACTGCTGCTAATAAATATTGAAATGAAGCAGCCTACTGCTCGGTGCGTCACCGTTGCATTGTGGGAAATGTAGTATTGGTGCGTGTAAAAGATCTGCGGGCTGCCGGCTTGCTGCGGTCTGCGGGCCGGTTCTAATAATAAATCAAGATCATCCCAGGGGCCGTAAAAAACCTTCTCGCGGGCCGGATGTGGCCCGCGGGCCTTGACTCTGACATATGTGAACTAAACAGATAAAAGTTGTGTAATGCTACAAAAAACAGCTGAGGGAACATCTCCAGCTAATGAGGTTAATTTCCAACAGGTTAGTACTATGACTGAGTATGAAAAGGACATTCTGAGAGGCTGAGACTGTCAGAAGGAAAGAAGTTCACCACTCTGTGAGAGACTGCGTGAGTTAATAGTTCAACAGTTTTAGAATAATGTCCCTGAGTGTGGAATGTGAAAGTGAACCTCTGTACAAAATGGACAAGAACCAAAAACAACACTGTACGGTCCTGATCTTCAGCACTGCATTAAAACAGACTCTGTAGTGGAAGTCACCTCATGGGCTCAAAGTCTCCTCCAAAAACCAGTCTCTGTGAACATAATTTGTCAATGCATCCACAAATCCAAGTTAAACTGAACCATGCACAGTGGAAACCAGATCAAAACATGATCCGGAGACACAAGTCCATATAAAATGGAATTTGATCCGAAGAGTTAAAATTTTACATTCTTTTTTGGAAACCATGGATACAACATCATAGGGGAGACGGACCTGCCAGCTTGTTATTAGCTCACAGTCCAAAGCCAGCATCCCTGGTGATATGAGGATCATCAGAGTCCATGTCATGGGTAGCTCCCACACCTGTGAAAGTTCTATTAATGCTCAACAATATGTACAGGTTTAGTAGCAACATATGCTGCCATCCAGACAATGACTTTTTTCAGGGAAGACCTTCATATTTCAGCAAGACAATGAAAAACCACATTCTGCAGGTATTACAAAAGCATGGCTCTGTAGTAGAAGAGTCCTGCTGATGAACTGGTTTGCCTGCAGTCCTATCTTGTCACCTACTGAAAATGGGTGGTGCATTATGACACAGCAGCTGACTTCCCTTTGGAAACCAATCTTGCAAATAATTTCACAGTATTTATTATTATATCTTTGTGTGTTCGTTTAAGTGCATCCATGGTCCTTCCAAAGTATGGGGCCTTAAGTATTCAGTCTGTACTTTGGAATAACCAGTAGGGTCCTATTAGAGGGTTTAAGGCTGCAAGATGGTTCATAACGTTCAATATTCTATGATGTAAAACAACACTAGACTCAGCCAAGCTCTTAAATGGATCTCAAAATAAATTCTAAAATAACAGGGAGCGAGTGAAGGAGTCAAGGATAAGGTTGATCTAAAGTCTACTGTTAACACCTGTACATTTGAATAAAAGCGCCTCTCCAGATTGATGTCAGCAGAGCATCTCTGTAAATGTAAAGTGTTTTTAGTGACACCCAGTGGTGGAGTCAAGCTACTGCAGCAGCACACATCTGCACCACAGCTGTTCTGGCTACAATGGTCTGCAGTGTCTGCTGTTTATTTAATGTAGGGCCTATTTAATGGTGATTCTGTGAATTTGAGCCTGTAGTTGATCTCACTTTATTTTGATAGTCCATTGTGGATAATCAGCTTCCTGTTCAGTGAATTTAATGTGTAGATAATAAAATCCACAGAAGTTCAGGTGATATTTTGTGTTTGGAAACTCTCTGTGAGGTTAAAAACAGGTGACTCTGGTCTTTACAGCACATTGAAAGAAGGAAAATACTGGTTTTATATTTTTCAAAGTTTATATCTAGAAGAGAGTATTTATCTCATGACTGATTTTATGTATTTTTAAAGAGTTTTTTGGCACATCAGGGTTGTATTTTCACGCTACAGAGAAAAGAATATGAAAAATATATGAAAAGAGGTTAAATGATTGAAATAGAATGTATTGCGAATGGATTTTAAAAGTATTTGACTAAAAGAATGAAATATAAATTGAATAAAAAAGCATCAAATGAAAACACTACGAATTTCAAAATAAATCGACAAATAATATAAGTATGATAAGTAATACTTAATAAATAATAACATTCAAAAATAAATGAATAAAATAAAATAAAATATGATGAAATATATATAAAAAATAAATGCAAAAATAAATTAAAATGAAATAAATTCAATTAAAATAAAATGTATTTTTCATCAATTAATCAATATATAAACTTATATATAATCATTACAAAGAGATCAAATCAGTGAAAACCTATTAGGAAAAAATTGAGTTAATGCACTAAAGATACTTAAATGCCCTGAAGTCAGTCAAAGGAAAAAGGTAAAGACATTCAAGTTAAATAAGTAAATAGAAAAATAGATATGGCAATTAAATAACTCAGAGCAACAAAATTACGATGGAAGTAAAAAATTATTGAAATCTTTAAGCTCAGAGTGGCATGTAGTGTGAAACAAAATAGGATGAAAACATTTTGAAAAAATAAAAGGCAAAAAGGGGAGGACATCCAAGCTGAAGCCTTTATGGAGAAGCTTCTTCTGATGGTCAATGTATTTATAATCCTCCTCTAAACCAAAACAAACAAACTAACAAACTAACTAACACCTATCTCCGCAGGAAAAACGTCTGTTATGTCTTTGCTTGAATCTAGACAAAGTCTTCCTGAATCATCCTCACTGTGGTCAGAGATTTTAGCTCTTGCCTGTATTTACACCTTATAAACACTAGATAGTGCAAGTTACCAGGATTTCAGCGGCAGTGAAGTCAAGCACTGCTTTACTTTTTTGGTAATCTTCTCGTGGGTTTTAATAGTTGTTATTGTGATGAATTTATGTAGTTTCATGTTGGGGTTGTTTCATTATTGGACGCCATCGACTTGCAGTGAAACAAATCTTCTCACAGGCACAAATAATATGCAACAGTCCAATGATGTAGGACGTAAACATCCCTGAGGTATGAACTGACGTATTCTTAGACGAGACAGTTTTTGAAAAACCCTTGCTGGACACCCTGTCAGTGGTGTAGTGCCATCTGGAAATGCTGGACTTGCTCTTTGTGCTCTTTGGATGAACTTCCAGAAATAAAACGAGTAAAGGCTTCTCTGGAGGCCCGTCCTGTATAAAAGGCAAAAAAAAAAAAAGAACTTTCCCTTGCATGTTCTACCAGTGTATAAAGGACTTAGGGTGCTCTCTTAATACCCTTCCAGTATAAATGGAATCCAGAAAAAAACCCTAATTTTTCCCGTATTAAAAGACATAAAAAGTGTCCTCTTTATGCTCTTCCGGTATATAAAAATGCAAAGACCTGCCACCTGGTTGCCATCCAATGGACTTGAAATGATCTTCATGGATACACTTCCAGTGATTATAAAATTAAGAAAGAGTCCTCTGAATGTCTTCCTGGAACTAACATACAATATTTGTCCTCTGTATGCCTGCATGTATTAGCCATTGAAAAAGTGTCCTCTGTTGGCCTATGCCTTCCCAGTGTATAAAAAGTACCATCTAGATGGCCTTTAGAGGAAATAAAGTGCTGTGTGGCCCTTCTAGTAAATAAATAAAGAAAACAGCCCACTAGATTCTCTTCCAGTGACTAAGATGTGGAAAATGTGTCCTCTGGATGCCTTCAAGTACATAAGTCATTGCAAAAGCGTCCTCTCTGAGCCCTCTCTTTATGAGACAGTTAGAGAGTATCCTCTGTATGTTGTTTCTGAGAATGAAATACAAATAATGTTTTAATGTGCCCCCTGAATGTAAAAAGTAAAACAGTAGCATCTGGATGCCCTCCAATCAATTTGAAGAGCTCTATGGAGCCCCATGCAGTAAATATAAAATAAAGAAGGAATTCTCTGAATTCTCTTCCTGTAAGTAAGGTCTTGAAAAGTTCTCCTTTGGATGTCTTATAAGATATAGCAAAAGTGCCCTTTTTGTGCCCTTCCCATGGACCACAGTGATAAGGTGCCCTCTGGATTCTCTTCCTGTTTATAACACACAGGAAAGTGTCCCCTTGATGTCCCTCCATTATATAATCTCCCCAGCGTGTAACACATGTTAAAGTGCAATCTGACGAGGAATTTTCCTGAAAACTGTATGGACCACAACCAACACCGGTTTGCCATGATTTGACATTCTTTTTGGAAACCATGGACCAAAAGACACTCCACTTTTTCATTCAGTACATTATTTAAAGCCCTTCTTAAGCATCACTTTATCATCTGTACTACCTCCACTCTTTGACTCTTCCCTCTTGTCCAAGTAAGACCACTAAAAACAAAGACAACAGGGGGATTCAAGACTGAAAACTTCCCAAAACAGAGAGAGACATCAACCACACTCACTTTTTATACACAAGGAAACTCTTAGCTCCTCTCATTATACTTTACACCATGTTTTAGTGGTGTGTACAGTACTAATTAACTAACACATTTGCAGGTAATTAACTCACCACAAACTAATTGCCACATTGTAAACCAAAGTACCCCTGAGGGTTCCCGAGGGCTCCGCTGCCGATTTGGGTCAGATTTTTCTTTGCTATGATTTTTGAACCTGTTTTCTCTCCTTTAAAGGAGTTGTATTTTGTTGTGGTGGTGAAACATGTTTGAGTTAAACAGCTGGAGGAGCTTCACTTAAATATACATCGAACATATTCAGCGTTTGAGTCATTTCTTTGCTGACGAGAAACCCCTGAATCCTTTAAATAATGCCCTTCGTGCTTCCCTTCACCTCACGGGGACGCACATCGAGTCTCTGCTCCTTTAAGCGGGAGAAGAAACTGGTCGTTCACCCTCCTCTCCCCCTCCCTCCCTCCCCTCACACCAGGCCGGCCTGCTCTATGGGAGGAGGAAGCAGCTCTGCCGGAGCTGCGATGGGGATTTGAACGCACCTCCGCGCAGAAGAAGCGCCGCACGGCTCGGCTCAGAGCCGCGTCACGGTAACCCCCCGGTTTGGAAGTAACCTGATCGGATCGGGCCTGCTGACTGTGCGCTTGCTCTCTTGTTGTTGTAGCTCCTAGGCCGGGAGCAGGTCAGGGTTTCCCCGGGACTGTAGCGGACTGGAGCCTCCGCGGACCTGCTGCTTCCCTCGCGTGTTTTCGGAGCGTTTCTCCTCGCGGTTGGACTCGGATACACACGTTGGACACGGGATTAAGTGATTAGCGCTCCGGTACCGGGGGTTGGATGTGTGTTTTGCCCCGCAGGAGTCACCTGGAGTCCGGGCGTAGAAGCGGGGCTGATGGCGCAACGGGTGCGTAAAAATCAACTTTGATTAGAGCGCAGAGGGAAGGAGAGACGGTCTGCTGCTCAATCCAGAGCATAATGTTTGATGTGAATCAGATCCAAAAGACGGAGTTTGTTTTCAAGAAATCTGAGAATTACTTTTCTCTAAAGTGACACAAAACAGGATGAAGTCCAGAGCGATAAAGAAAAAAATCACACTTTTTTTGTGGGCTTTAACATTTTAATCGATATTTGAGCTGCTCCTTAAAACCGATCAGTAATGAACTGTTTGAAGTCCTCAATTTAGTCACGGTAGTCTTTCTTTTTCGTCGAATTATCCTCAAAAATTCGCAAGAAACTAAACTGCAAGATTTTTTTTTTTACTACTTTAACAGAGTTCAACTACAGTGTAACACATTTAGGCTAGTTAAACACGTTTCCAAGCGGAACTTTATGTCAATATTAGAGCAAAGTTTAGCACCTTTTACGCCCAAATGTAAAGTGTAAGTATATTTACAGACTACTTTTGTTTTAGCTCCATAACTCAAGCCTTCATTTTGTAAATTATAACAGTTGGGTTGTTGATGATTTGGTCATTTTATTCTCTAAAAGAAAGGTTTATAAATTAGGTTCAGCAAAGATGGTGAAGTTACGGATAATGTGAGTTGTGTGCAACACGTACCCAGCCTGTTTTAATTCACCTTGAACTTAGATTTTTTTTTATAAACGCAGAAAATGTGTTAAAATAACCCAGTTAAAAAGTTTGAAAAGAAGGAATAAATATTTAAATGAGAACAAACAAAGTTCTGTCTCTCCATGTTTGGATGAACTTTGAGTCTCCAGACTGATCTGGAGTCAGTGTGTAACACTTCACACTTTATAAACCCGTATAAACACATCATTAGTCACACGTTCAGCACTGTGTGTGTGTGTGTGTGTGTGTGTGTGTGTGTGTGTGTGTGTGTGTGTGTTCAGAGGCCGTTTGTGCTCCAGTGGTGAAGAATAAAAACCTTTTCTGTTGTTTGTTTCTGATCGACTGTAATAAAAAATCTTGTTAGATTGAGCTAATCTAGGATTTAATAAGGACTTTTGGTTAAAGTTTAAAGAGACATAAAATACATAAATCTACCAGCTAAATTTAAACAATAAACCTCTGAGTTCTCGCCATTAAGCGGCTTTTCTCTGGGTCAAAGTGTAAACGCCATTTGTTGATCGCTGATCGCTCACATTGATACACATAAAACACAAATGACACGCTCTAATCAGGACTTTTTTGTTTACTTTTTAATTTTTTTTAACATTAATATGTGATAATTATGAAGGTCCTACAGAGGCCACCTGTAGCTGCACTCGAAGTTTAAGAAAATCTGAAAAAAATAAATAAACAACGAGAAGAAACAGCAAAAAGGGAGCTACATTTCAACAATCAGCCCACTTTAATCAAATTTAGGGAAGTAGTTTAGCTGAACATGAACATTTGGGATTTTAGAAAACCTTTTTGTTTTCTTTGAAGGTTTTATGACAGTAATCCCTAAAAGTGTTAAGCCAAGCAATGTTTTTTTTTCCAAATAAGGTCAATATTTTTACTATGCTGGCTTATTTCTGTCCTGAGTAAATTTGTACAGTCCTTAAATATAAAAGACAGACAACTTTTATTTTTAAAACATATACATTTAAGACAGTAACATGAGCACAAAGGGACGCCTTTTCTTCATAAAGACTTCAAAACTTCAGTGTCTTTTACGGAACAAAAGTCAACATTTCCACCTAATGTGAGTGTAAAAGTTAATGTCTGTTGTGCTAAAACAAAATCACCTTAAACTTCGACCAAAACTCTGCTCTGAGGGCATCACAGACATTGAACGTGTGAAAGTTTCCAGCCTGCAGAGAAGAAATCTTTTCATACATCCTGAAGTCAGTTTGTTTAGAGGTGGGGGAGGGGAAGTATGAAGATTAGGTTATTAATATGAACAGCTGCACACAGCTAAGTGTTTAAAGGATTAAATCTATATTTTAAGACGCTGTATTTGACTATAAGTTTATGCTAAGTTGTTTCGGTAGAGTTTGAGTTCGCAGTATTTCGTCCTCTTGTAAAGAAAACAGAACAGAGAGAGAGACAGACACACTTCAGATGGGATGTTTTAAGAAATAAGAGTACGGATAAACTTTAAATGATTTTCGCTGAAAATGGAGAATTAAACATTTCCCTTTTCTGATCAGATCTATCCTCACAACTTTGGATCGAACCCTAAACTCTTAGTTTTTCCAAAAACGTCTAACATACGTTTTTTTTTAAACTTTAGATTAAATAAACATCTTCACTCATTACAGAAAAATCCACAAACCTATAAAACTATTTTGAGTTTGTAAGAAAAGAAGTCAAAGAAAAACTGAAAACATAATCAGTTTTCTGAGGTGGATCAGGGTTCGATTTGAATGTAAAAATGTAGTCAGTCGTAATCAATCGTATCCTTGTGAGAAACAAACGCTAAACGAGGAACTGAAAACAAAAGCAAAAACCTGATGGTCATTACTGAAAATCTTCGGGAGCATAGATACACTTGTTCAAACATGTTTTAAAAAACACCTCTGTTGAATTACTATTTTTAATAGTTAGTTTAGTCGTCATTGTTAAATAGACGTTTTGCACAATGTACTCTCATGCGTTTTTTAAAAGTGAGAAGTTCTGAAAACATTAAAAGTTTAAGTAATTCTTTTCCCCAAAACATCACAGCTTTCGCCACATTACTGAAATTAAAGAGGGGTCGTAAACAATAATATCTGAATACTATCATGTTACTTGTTGACTCTTTTTACAAGGGTTTTGTGGTTTAAAAATTGCTCTATTGTTACTATATTTTCTTTTTATCGTTGCAGAATTTATTGAAATGATCCTAAAATATAACCAAATGTCCACTTTGTGGCTGTAATTTTCTTTACAGACTGTGCTTTTTTTTTTTTACTTCTAATAACACTGTATGACAAGACTAAAAAAATCTATTTCCAAATCAGTTTGGTTCTTTTTCAAACATTTTTCATTTGAGTGCTCTGATCTTATTCTTTTACTTTGATCTCTTATTATTGTTTTCATGCCATTTAATTTCTTTTATCTGTTTTTATCTGTTTGATCTCATTTTATCTCTTTGATCTATTTAGACCGCTTTTATCACATTCAATCACTGGTTTATAATTCGATTTAATTTTTCATTAAACTGCTTTCATCTCGTTCTATCTCTTTGATCTCATTCTTTTTGTTTATGTCTTTTTTGCCTTGATCTTGTTTTATTTTCTTATTACTTTATTGTTTTCATTTCTTTTTCATATTTGAATCTCTTTTAAGTGTATATGTTGTCTCACTTCGTCCCCCTTTTTGGTTTCCGCTTATTTGTTTTCTTTCTGATTTTAGGGGTCCTTCTTTTTCTTTAGTACACTTTCTTGCATGAAAAACGCCTTGTACACCCCTAGTTTTGAAGGAGCTCTACACATGAAATTATTATGATAGCTTTTTTTTTAACAAGCATTTTGAAAATTGACAAAACTCTCCATCACTCTTTTCTTGGGGCTGGTCTTTTTGGGGTTAATATTTATTTTCTTTGAGGGATATTTGCAGCAGTGTGAAATGCTTTAATGGCTTTTTGTGTCAGTTGTGATGTTGCTGCTTTTGAAAATCGTTGCATCACAAATTTCAAGAGTATTTTAGCCTCCACTGAGCTAAAGCAGCTCCTTATGGCACAGCACAGGAGGTCGAAGGTCACACATCTCTTATATCTGTTCCAGTATGAAGACCTGGCCCACTATGGGCTGGATGGAGTAGGTGGAGGAGTGTATGGAGACCCACACCACCACCACCACCACCACCACCATGCTGCTGCTGCTGCTGCCCGCTCTCTGCAGGCCGTGCACCTGGCTGCTGCCGCAGCCGCTGCTGGGGGCGGTCCATACCCACCACACCAGTACGCCCAGTCCACCCACACAGGCAGCAGCAGCATGAACGCCACAGCTGGGGACGCGATCAAGAAAGACAAAGATGATATTTACGGGTGAGATCAGTTAAAAAAAACACAAACAAAAAAGTTACAGAACTCATGAGGAGCATTCTGAGGAGTTTTCTGCTACTGTAAAATAAACAAAAATCCTTTAATCAGTTTTATAAGACGTGTCTGTTTATCTGTTTTTGAGTTAAAAGCCGTTAGGAGCCCTAAAGGAGGTTAAAATATACAACCGTTAATTCAATAGTTGACATGGAAATGATTTCAGCCTCTGTACTTTATTAAGAACAGAAAGACCACAGTGTACAAGCACTCAATTTAGCATACAGTCTCATTTTAGACGCAGTAAAGCAGAAATCAGTACAAGCAGCAAATTATAAACAAAGTACCTCTTGTTTAACTCTAATCTATCCTGAACATTGACTCTAGGTACTGTATGTCCTTATGTCAGCTCATATTATTGTATTACCAAGACTGCAGTTTTGCCAAACTTAGCAATCACAGAAACGATAGTTATAACTATTTGAGCAATAGCTTTATATGCAAAAAAGGGGCATATCCAGAGAGGTGTACAGGGGTGGCATGGACCTCTCAAAAACTACTTGGCCCCCCTATATCCTAACTTTGTATTTTAAAGACCCACTCCGATGAAAATCATGTTTGTCTTTTTTTTACATGTTCATATAGCATTATTCTGATGGTACAGGATATATCATGAGAAAAATAAGTGCTAAATAGTGTTTCTGAATATTCCTGCATTCAAATCACTGTGAATCTCTGGCACACCAGAACAGCAGGCTCAGACACAGTGAGATTTCCTACATCACGAATCCAAGCTCCGCCCCCCGGAGCCCCACTGTGCAGGCCAGACTAGAAGAAATAGAGAGGACAATCACGGAACAAGCATGTACCGTAGTGGATTTCAAGGCTCACAAGAAAGCTAATATGATACTAGTTTTCACCGTTGCCCTAAAGACATTAGTGTCCAAGACCTGAATAGCTCCTATGTTACTTTCTACTCCCACTACACCAGCAATGTTAGGCTGCAAGCTAGCGTGCACAGAAGTGTGTAGAACTTCACCGTCTCCGCTCACGGCTCAGAGGTGAATTGCTAATAGGTTACTAGGGGTCTGCAGAATAAAAGCCCCTGAAAATGACACAGGTAGCATGATTTTGGCTACAAACTTCATAATAGCAGTTTAAAGACCACCGATAACACTTTAAGTAGTAAAAAAACAAACAAACAAAAAAAACATCAGAGTGGGACTTTGAGAGCGTAAGTTCACCAGAAAAACATGAAAAAGTAAAAATAATTAATTGCGTTTTTTTTTTTTTTTTGCTGCAAGAACCTCAAACTAAGCTCCACACACTTTAAGATTTCTATTTTTGGAAATGTTAGAAGAAAGAATGTTATAGTCTGAGCTGATACCCCCCCTCCTCTCTTGCAGACATCCTTTATTTCCTCTGCTTGCACTGATTTTTGAAAAATGTGAACTGGCGACCTGCACGCCGAGAGAGAGCGGCGTGGCTGGAGGAGATGTCTGCTCCTCGGACTCCTTCAATGAGGACATAGCTGTCTTCTCCAAACAGGTAGGTTACAGAAACAACCTTATCATCAACATGTCAAAGATGATACAAAACAGACTCTGGAGGAGTCTTAAGGGCCAGGGCTGGATTTAACATTTAGAGGGGCAGTGGGCAAAATGAAGTTGAGACCCCCCACCCCACCCCACTTCTTCTTTCTATGCATATTGAGCAGAAAATTGAGTGAAAATTGAGCAGAAGATGAATAAAGTATGAAACGTTATTGATCCAGACGATGTGTTTGTGTTGTACACTTAAATCTGTATGTTTGTGTCTAGATCCGATCAGAGAGGCCTTTATTCTCATCAAACCCAGAGCTAGACAATTTGGTGAGTTGTTTATATTTTAGGTATTATGACTCTAAAATTTAACATTCATATGTTTGGTGGAAAGCAGCGATTTCTTTGTGCCAAAAAACACCTAACTTTCTGTTTGTTTTTCCCTCTTTAGATGATTCAGTCGATACAAGTGCTTCGTTTTCATCTCCTGGAGCTGGAAAAGGTCGGAAAAAAAAGATTAATTTCAATGACCTTTGAGTTTTACTTGTTGTTTTCACAGTCCAGTAGCCGCTAATGTTTGTAATGTAATTCAAAGAAAGAGATCAAAACCAAACATGGAAATGTCCACTTGTTGCAAACCCAAGCTTTTTCCAAAGTGTATGCCTAAACTTGGAATTTATATTCTCTAGGTTCATGAGCTCTGTGATAACTTCTGTCATCGATACATCAGCTGTCTGAAAGGGAAAATGCCAATTGATCTGGTTATTGAGGACAGAGATGGAAACAAATCAGATAACGAGGACTTCGTCAGGTCATCAGGGAACAACATAGATCAGGTGAGCTTGCTTTACCTTCAGTAAACTGATGCACACTCTAAATCCTGGTGTTCAGGTCAAAACAGAAAAGCTACAAAAAAGGGATGTTGGTGCAAACACCAGACCAACCGTCAGAGAAATGATCTTTATCCTCCCGGATTTCTTCTCTGTGTGCAAACATTTTAAAACCATTAACCTGTCTTTCATCCTCTTCTCTGCAGATTTCATGGAGCAGAGATCATGATGATGCAGCATCGATACGATCAGCCGGGACGCCAGGACCATCGAGTGGTGGGCACACGTCCCACAGTGGAGACAACAGCAGCGAACAAGGTGACAGTTGTAATAGTTGTAATATCAACTGTTACATTACTACAACAGGAATATTTCTATGTACTTCAAAGGTCTTTGCGAATGCTTCTGTGTCGTAATGCAGAAAAGGTGTCAGGCAGTAGGTGTCAATAATGTGTAATCAGTCTGTCACATCAAGCATCACAGAAGAACATTGTCTGCATACTTATTGAACATTTTCTCGAGTTGGTGGCAAATCTACAGTATCAAATAGACCTTAATAAACTGGAAGCTTGCCATGATTGAAAAAAAATACAGCCAGTGCCGCACATAAGATGAGGTAATGATGACAGCATTTCCCCAAAATTTCGCCTAGTGTTAGTTCAGGCAAGCTATTAAGTCATGCTCAGCCCCCAGTGCATCAACTCCTCCTAATTATGCTGTGCCTGATTTTGACCAGAGTCATAATCCTGAAATAGTCCCAATATTATCACTGAAAAGCTGTCTGCACTGCTATTCAGTTAGAGTCTAGGTACTGTTACCAACATGAGTGAGCCTGATGTATACGTGCACATGTGACAACGTTTATGAATGGTGACAGAGGTTTTCGAACATGTTTGACTTTAAGAGAAGTTGAAAATAAAGGGAGAAGGTTGGGAAAAAAAACAGGGGGAGTGATGAAGGTTGACGGACGACGTGAGCTTTGAGCAGAGCTGTAAAAAAGGGTGCTTTATGTCCGCGAACACACACACATGCATTCAGGGAAGAAGGAGTAACACAGCACGGAGCACATGCACCGAAACATGCCTTAACTAAATGAACAGGTGGAAATTAAAAAAGTATAATCACACAACACAAATTGAACAAGCCAGAAAAGGCAAAATAAAAAAATCTAAATGTATTCCCAGCTATGGAAATAGTATCTTAACACTTCTGAATCTCTTAATACTTGGCTCATAAAGACACTAATAAATAGGACCTTTAACCAAGATGGTGGATTAAATAACTAGAGATATTCTTGAAAACGCTCAGACTCCAACAATCATGTTGGAAGCAGCATCTTTTACAGTTCCCTTTGCACTTTTTCTTTCTTTCTGTGAAATAAAGTCTGGAGAGTATCAACATTAACTGAATCTGCAACAGAGTTTCAAATGTCTTGTAAATAACCTTGTGCAATGCGCTGATTTAAAAGTCAAATTTCAGACAAGTTAAGAAAGAATAAAGCCCTCTTCATAATCTAAGAAATCTGAAAAAAAACTAATAAAATAGTATCCCTCATCTCAAATTTGTCATTTATCCTTAAATTACCGGCAGATGAAGGAAAATGTGTTTTGTCAGACTTTAAAGGCATAAAAACTTGACAACAGTAACTGCTTTTATGAGCTTTGACAGTAAAACCAAAGTAAATACAGTCTGACATCAACACACTCTGCAGGTCTGGCCCAGTGCTGCTGGTCCTGGTCCAGCCTGTTCTGGTAGCATGCGTCTGTTAGCAGGCCAACTGAAATAGACCCTGTGGTTTCTTTAGCTGCTGCCCACATTCACAGTTTTACACCGCTGTGGGGGAATCGCTGCCGGGTTCACCTGTGAGTGTGACCTTCAGAAAATCAGCAACCACCATGACTGAGTCAGATTTACTCAGAGATTTGTTAATCAAGCATGAAGAATTGCAACATACATCAGTCTTAATGGTGTGATGGATTTTGGCTCTCTCAGGGTGTTGGCTCTTTAAGACTACTTTGTGTTTCAGGAGCATCAGCAAGGCTATGAAGTCTCTCATTAAGAGTGTTTTTAATCTCTGTTCTGGGGCAGCTTAAATGCTCCTGGAGTTTTCTGCATTTCCATGATTAATGACAATGTTGTACGAAAGAGTACAAGCTAGCAGCTAAAACAGTTACTGATTAAGGCAGTCATTTTTAAGTTCTCATCAATCTATTCTTGACCCTTTTGTTGTTATTGGGAGCTATATTTATTCTGTAATTTCAGTTTGGCTCTGAACAAGATGGAGCACTGCACCAGTACTCTTGGTTGGTCTGCTCAGTTTGCTGATAATCCAGGAGTTTCTAGTTTTTATCTTTTGGATCGTCTGCTAGTTGGTTGGTAGGATGTGAAGTCTTATGGTTGGTCAGTTTTTGAGTTGAATGGTCCCTTGAATGGTCAGTTTCTTTAGGTTGATTTGCCTCTTGGTTTGTCTCTTGATTTGTCAGTTGTTTGGTTGAGAGTTTTTTGGTTTGTTGGTTGGTTGTAGATTGATGGTCTCTTGATTGGTCATCAATCAAGTTGAATGGTTTCATTGCTGGTTGGTTAGAGAGGTGTTTTGTTTTTTGATGGTCAGCTGCAAAGTTTCTTGGTTTCCAGTCTGTCTGTTTGTTGGTTGGTCAAATGGTCTCTTGATTGGTCAGTTGGTTGGTCATCTTGGACAATGTGATGGTCAGTAGGTTTGTGGGTTGGTTGGCCTCTTTCGTGGTCCATTATTTGGTTGGGTGGTTATTCTAATGGTTGGTCCTGACCTTGGTCAAATCCTTTCAGCCATGCTCAAATATGTATTGGGTCGTGTGGACACTGTTGTTTAATGCTGTTTCAGTGTCCATATACTTCTGGCCATATGGTGCATTCAGAGGAATTCATGTGTGTTTAAAACCTCACAGCAGGTTACACTGTGTGCATTTCAGTGGTTTGATTCCAGGACTAAGCTCAGCAGTGAGCTCATCTTTGTAAGAGTGTTGGATTGGCTTTTATTCATGTAAACCCTCCCACCATAACCAGCAGAGAGGCAGAGAGGGGAAATGGTCCGTAGTGGAAATGTGCTGGAAAATAAAGAGTCTCTCCCCCTCTTTTTCTCTTTCTCCACTCAGCGTTCGTCCAACAGAGCACGGATAATAAAAATCTGTACAAACAGTTCTTAAAGAGCTCAGCAATGGAGGAGGAGGCAGCACAACTGGACTTCTTGATGTGTTTAATGTATGTCTTTTCTGTACAGAAGAGAGTTCAAAGCAAACTTGAAGATTCTTTGGAATTTTTTTTGATGTTTATTGTTTTGCTTCAGAAAAGTTCTGGGAGAATCAAATGTATTTTGAAGAAACAAAGAAGCTTGTGGTGAAAAACTGAGTCATTCTTCTTGAACCTAAACAAAGAAACACTTGGAATCACAGCTGCATTTTCCCCATTAGGATTTTTTTTTCTTTTTGCCACTTTATCACTTGGTAGATCAAACTGGCTTTCAGTGTGATGGTGCCAATCAGCAATCTGTAACTCAGAGGTCATGGTGAAAGCATTGCTATCAGGACTGCTAAAGGGGGAACATTGCCAATTTCAATCCCAGGCCTTTGCTTTTGTTGAATGTATGTTTGCTTTTCTTGAATATATTTGGTGTTTAGATGGAGACAGAAATCAGCTTCAAAAATATTCAGAAATGATCAGAACGCACATAAGATATTTGAATAAAAACAAACATTTATGGACGTTGACATTTACAAGAATATCTGAAGATGTTTTATACAATCTTACTTTTTCTTACCACTTTTTTTTTGGTTTATCGTCTGGTCATCATTTCTCGTATGGTCTGGGGTTTCATGTGCAGCAGCTTTTAACATCTTCCTTCCTTTCGCCCACAGGTTGTTGTTGAAGTAACATTGTCAGATTCTATAGCAGGTGGGGTTGGACCCCTTGTTTGTCGTCTCCCTGAAGAGGGGTAGGACAGAGGGGAGAGTGAGTGGAGGGGTGTAAAGCAGCCTTGGGGAGCTTGTGGTTCAGCCTAATGAGGCTGAGAGCTTGTTTATGGAGTTACGCATCATTTTTATGATTATTTCCACCTTTTCGGGCTCTGTTGTGCGGCAGAATCCTGCCTCTGTTCGGGCTCTGTGAGGCCCTGGTCCTCCACCGCTGATTCAGAGTCGGGCAGTGGAGGCCTGGAGCTCCTGCTGCAGGCTGTCGGGGACCGACGCCCTAACCTTGGCCTGGCGCTGTGAAAAACACAGAGGAGAAAATGAGCCTCATTAAACAGGCAGAGAAAGCGCAGTAAAAACACAGAGCCCGTCAGCTTTTAGTGCTTTTCAGCTGAAATGCTGCATTATGGGCTACGATTCAAAACCTGCAGGAGAATTGTGGGGCACATACAGGGTTAGAGAGCGGGGCATGGCCATGGCTGAAGGGTCACAGGTTGGATCCACTCATCAACTGTGAAAATGTGAGCAGAGAATACATGAGTAAATGCATGTGTTTGTAACCAGCCTGTAATGAGCAGAAAAGTGCTGAGAGGCCAACGGTGGAGAAGCTAATGGTGACTAGCTTCATAACCAGAACTTTGCAACCACAGTGAGTCACAAATCAATTCAACATTTAGACTGTCTCGGTACTCTTTAGACTGTTTCCATCCAGCTTCATAACTCACGATCTACCATGGGTCACTTATATTTCAAAATTAAAGCACAGTTTTACAATACAGGAAAAAAAGCAGCACGACAAACAATCTTAATATGAGACGTTTCAGCTTCAAGGTGGTAGATGAAATGTTTGTTCCTTAGTCAGACTGTAACACTAGTTTCGACATGGATCCTCGTGTCTCCTTTGTTTGTTGATCAGGTGACTGTCTGGATAATGGCATGGCCTCCCCCAGCACAGGGGACGATGACGACCCCGACAAAGACAGACTGCACAACAAAAAGAGAGGAATCTTCCCCAAAGTGGCCACAAACATCCTGAGAGCCTGGCTTTTTCAGCACCTCACAGTAAGGAAATTAACATTTCTTTAACACTGTCAGATTTACTTCTTTGGAATCAGGCTTCTGAGGACTCACAAGAGCTGAGAAAACAGAAAGTCTGATTTGTTCCAGGGTTTTAGTGTGTGAAATCTTTGGTATCATGCTAGCACTTGAAAAAATTAAGTCATGCTGCTCTTCGAAGCGTTGTCTACTAACTTACACACGGCAGTCTGACTTTATTCATTATTTCTTCAGTGCGTTCAAGTCTACATGGTCCTCCATGGTGTGCACATACAGACAAAAGAAGAGAGAGAAAGCCTTGCCCTTTTTTATAACTCTCAGTTTTATTCCGTGCCAAAGTGCATTCTGCAAAATCCCCGATAAAAACTTGGTCTACAATTAAATGTGTATCCTCCCAATATTAAACACAGACATGGATCATTTCTCTCACAGTGAGAATCGGCCCATTAAACCACAGCTCTGCATGTTGAAGGCAACACAAGCAAAGTCATAGCCTGCAAGTTTCATCTGTGCAAATCCACCTGTGCCATTTTTTTGCATCTTAGCCCCTACGACCAGAGAGGCATGGACAGATGCAGGGAAATGATTGGGGTGGGGTGGGGGTGTATTTAAGCATGGTTAGACATCCAGTCCTCTGAAGCACCACTTGAAACACAGGAATGAATGAATTTATGGTGGATTCACTTACATGAGTGAAACCAAGGAGTCAATGTCTGCTTTAGAGTCTTTCTTTATTCTGTTGTCAGACTCTCTTCTACATCCTCTTTCATACAGTTTCTCTCCTGTCTCCTTGATCCTCTCTCCTCTGATAGCCCTGACTGTTCGGCCTCGTAAAAGTTGACAAAATCTCATACAGTTTGGGGTTGGATCGGTACGCTTGTTACCCCAACAGGAAATTGCAAAAAAGGTCAGATGGGTCTGTTATTTGGCCAGGTTTTCACAGTTTTTGACAACAGAAACACAAATAAATGCACACTGCGCTGAACCAGACTCCTTAGTGGAAACTACTTTATTACTAATGAGACAGAGAAAAATCAGACACTGAATTTGTTGTTTGGATGGGAAAGCAACATGTTTAATGACTGAGTTACATTTAAGATTACTTTGATGATGGGTGAGGAGGCATCCATTTTTCTTCCTTTGTTCTCAGAAATAACACAAATCCATACACCAGTTAGTGAAATTGAAATGTTTTTAAGTTATTTGATGTAGTATATGTGCTAACAACAGCCTTATTACCTTCAAAAATATTAGATTCTATTGACTGCGAAAAAAAGTGACACACTCAGACTCTGATAGATATTATTCTTCAGTGTTGTAGCTCATGTGGTCGAGTTAAAACCTAGCGTGATTCCTCTTTAGGATCATGAGTGACTGTAGAGGCTCAGGTCTATTTGCACCACTTCAGACTGTCTGAAGGATTACAGTGAAAGGAAAAGTTCCTATTAGTCAGTTTTAGGACATTTATGTTAAGTGTGAAGACTAGATCAGTTTCTAATCAGTCTTATAACTGAGAAAAAAGAGTGTTAAGAGAAATGCGTATTTTCACCAAGCTGAAATGAGCAGGAGGGTTGGTTTAGTACTGTATATCCCAGTCCAGACTGACTCATGGTTTGGATTACACCATCAGAACACCCAGACTCCTATCCGCCCCCCCTCCCTCCTCCCCCATCATCACCTCCTCCTACTCCTCCCGCCTGCCTCCAAACACGGCAAGGCTAAATCGGTCCTCGCTCTGCAGGGGTCGAGGCCGCTGCCAGGACTCAGAGCTGAACCTGGAGGACAGTGAGTCCTGCAGCAGATGGGAGGTGAGAGGAGGGGGGAGGGAGGTACCTGAGAAAGGGAGAAATAAAGTGGGTTAGCTGTCGGAGAGTGAGGTTGTGTGAAGGGCAGCAGTGCAATTAATGTAGGAGAACTACAAAAGATCTACAAAACAACACAGAGGCTGTTTGACTGTTCAGAAATTAAATGACTCAACACCTGGCACAGGGTGTCATGACTTGATAATGAAATCGAGCTTTGTACATTCACATCTCAGAAAAAGTAAAGAAGCTTTTATTTTGGTACGTCTACTAGGCTGCTGTTTGAGTTTGCATATTAGATAAATACTGAGTGTCACCAATCTTCACATTTTAATATTAGCATCTAATGTTTAGATGAACACTTACCATTTACAATGACAAAATACCGCACCGGGAAAGGTGACCAATTAGAACAACAATTTAAACCTAAATATGATAACTTTGGTGCAAACTAGGGTTTGAGTCAGACAATCCAGGAAAGAACCACCAGCAGTCACATGATCAGGCCATGCAGGTTGGAAACAGTGCAGCAGGTAATCTGGTTTAATTAAATCACTTTATCACGTCATAGTGAAAGTGATCGCACCAGGGATGCTTGTAGGGATCCCTGACCGCCTGATTGGAAAGGAAAAATGTGTGATCAATAAATCATTCATAATCGTAGGCAGTCAAAGTAGAATTATGAGATCAAAGTCATTTTATGACTCGAGAAAACAGCCATAATGTTATAAAAAGTACAACATGTTTGCTCATCCAGTATCCCTCTTCACAACAACTAATCATTGCCTTAATTGACATTCTTTCTCATAAGAAAACTATTTTATTCTCATAACTAAACTTGATTCTTGGAATATAATGACTTTATATGTATAGGGTAACAACTTTATTCTCATAGTGACTTTATTTTAATAACAAAATGACATTATTCTCATGGAGGCTATAATCACAAAATAACTTCACCACCAAAAAGGCTTTAACCTCATAGTGACTTTGGCTTTATTTTCAGGGAGGCTCTATTCTCATATCATAATCACTTTGTCATCATAATGACCTAATTCTCATTATGACTTCATTTTTATAGAGGCTTCAATCTCATGATGACTTTATTCTCATAGGACCCTTGTTACCATAAAATAGTGATTTTATTTTCATATCATAGTTTTATTTCCATAACAATATTGTTCTCATAATGATAATGACTTGAATCTCATAATGACTGTTCTCATGGCGGCTACAGTCTCATAATGAGTCTATTTTTATAACATAATGACTTTATTTTTATATCACAATTTTATTCTCATAATGATTTAATTCTTTTTACATAACTTTATTTTCATTACAACTTTGTCCTTGAAACATATTTCTTCTTACAGTGACTTCATTCCCAAAGTGACTTCAACAAAAGACTAATATCATGACTTGGATGACTTTATGCTCACAAATTGAGTACTTAATTTTCACAGCATGCTATTCTCATTAAATAATAATTAAGTTCTTCTAATGGCTAAGTTTTCATTACAAAACAATTTTATCCTCTTAACTTAACTCTATTCTTGTAACATTACGACTTTATTCTTCCAGCATTTAAACATAATTCTTACAACTCACTGACTTAATTCTTGTGACTAAACAGCTTTTTTTCCGGTAAAAACTTTTACATACAAGATTTTCACGATATTCACAACGAACACTTGCAATTAATATTATAATTGTTGTAGAAGCAACACCTATAAATAAATGTCTTAATGAGAGAGTCTTTTTGAGAAATTTACTAAGTTTATTAAAATGATTGCGAAATTATAAACCTTTTGAAGTCTGCTGACCTGGTGCAGTGTGTGTGTGTGTGTGTGTGTGTGTGTGTGTGTGTGTGTGTGCCTGCATGTCTGAGGGTGTTCTGGTTCCATGGCTGCCTCCCCTGAAGTCAAACAAAAAATCCTGCAGCCTCCTTTGAGCCACAGCTCATAAAAAAGCCAAGCCACAAGCTGCCATGCTGTTTACACCACACACACACACACACACACACACACACACACACACACACACACACACACACACACACACACACACACACACACACACACACACTGCTTTCCTGCTTTTTCAGGTTTTTATTTTAGAGGATGTTTGATGTAAAAGAGCAAAAATCGGCCTCGCTCCTCTTGACGTAATTAGGGTGTAATTTTGCTTCTTCTCGCTCACAAAATGCGGTTCTCCTCCTGAACGACTTATCTTGACAAACCTCGAGCACAAACAGGTGGGGGAAGCTGCTTGTTTGCTACCATTTGTTTACAGTCAACCAACTCGTTAAAGAGCTCCTTTGGTTTACAAATTACACATGACTCCATCTGAGCAGCTGGAACGACTTTGCACGTCCGAGTGCCTCTGAGCACGACTTCGACCGAGTGTCAGAACCTGTAGAAAACTCCAACGCTGCTATGAAGGGACGAGAGACTCCTGAACTTCAAAGCCAGCACCACAATTACAGAGCAGGACTTCACCCCAGCGGAGGACTGGGCCTCCTGAGCTGGGCGGGACATATGAGTTAGCAGGAAGCCCCGGCGTTGACCTCACTGCTCCCCCTGCCCTCCAACCATCAGGGGTCAGAGGTTAGCGGGACACCTCCATCCATCCATCAGCAGCTGTTTACAGCCTGAGAGCTGCAGATGTGGTTGACGGCGAGGCCACAACGACCTGCAGGCAGCAACACGTGCTCAGCTGCCTGCCGCTGCCCAGCAAAGGAGGAATAACACAATACCATTGGTTTGGTAGTGCACTGAGATGAATCTGGCTTAAACATATATTTTTTTTTATTTTGCCTCTAATCTATTATTCAATTTTCCTTCATGGATCAATAATGTTCTTCTTCTTCTTCTTCTTCTTCTAATCTATATACAGTCATGGAAAAATTATTAGACCACCCCTGTTTCCTTCAATTTCTTGTTAATGTACAACTAAAAGTGCAGTAGTTTGGACAAATATAATGATAACAACAAAAATAGCTCATAAAAGTTTAATTTAAGAGTTGATATCGAGCCATTTTCCATGTTTTTCTTGATAATAACAAGAATCCCTTGAGTTCTTACATCAATAGCTATGGCATTGTTCTGCCAAAAACAAAGCTTTAAAGCATTCCATGTTTTCTCTTCTGCCTGTTGGTCACATGATACACACAGGAGTTAGTACTTGATTGGATAACTATTGTTCTTGATGACTGCAGCCATGCGTCTTGGCATGCTCTCCACCAGCTTCTGACATTGTTCTGCTGCCACAGCAGCCCATTCCTGTTGCAAAATTTATACCAAATCTGCTTTGTTTTTGGGCTTGTGGTTCTCCATTTTGAGTTTGATGATGTTCCACAGGTTTTTTAAATTGGATTTAGATCTGGTGATTGAGCAGGCCAAGGCATAGTTCGAATGTTTTGTTTCTCCAATCAGGCTTTAATTGAAGTTGCCGTGCAGCAAGAGGCATTGTCTTGCTGGAAAATCCAGTCATTCGAGCCAGGAAAGAGTTTATCAGCTGATGGAAGAAGACTGTTTTCAAGAGTAGCCCTATACGTGACCTGGTTCATTTGCCCTCACACAACTGCATTTGCTCTGTTCTACCCATACTGAAACAACCCCAGATCATCAACGATCCACCCCCATATTTTACTGTAGGGGCAAGACAGTCTGGTTTGTAGGCTTCTCTAGGCCTCCTCCAAACCAGTAAGTTTGGTGGAGTGGGCATCAACTCAAAATCGAATTCATCACTGAGGAGAACCTTAGCCCAATCATCAACAGTCCTACCTTGTGATCCCTTGTGAAGAGTAACCAAGACTTCCTCTGTCTTTCGTTGATGAAGGGCTTCTTTTGTGCCCTGTGTGACTTCCGACCAGCTTCAAGAAGTCAATTTCAAACTGTCCTTGCTGAACAAGTCACAGTCCCCACTCATTTTTAAGATCCCTGTAGGTCTGACGACAATTCCTAACACAGGAACGGATGAGAACACTGTCTTCTTGTGGGGTAGAAAGACGTTTCCTGCCTCGACCAGCTAGCAATTTGGTAGTACCATGTTTGGCTTGCTTTTTCTTGGACAGCTGTCTTGGAGATCTTAAGTTTTTTGGCTATCTGTCTCTCACTCATGCCAATGTCCAGCATTACCAAGATGGCTGCCTTTGTGGCTTCACTCAATCCTGTTGTTTTTGGCATTATGTTAGAGCTGACAACTTCTGAGTTGTGCTATGGCTTGAATGTAAGCGGTAAACAACTCAAGGCCTTTGCATGTTAATGACATTACAATTAAGCTTAAGCGTGTCAAATAGGGCATGAAATATTATGGAATAAGTTGCATTTTCAGTTACGTTCATCGTATTTTTCAGGTCATAACCTTGCATAACCTGCTCACAACCTTTTAACATGTGATGTGTCATGTTATTTGTAACAGTTCTTTAAATGGAAACTGTACCTTGAAAAACAATTGTGGTTACATTGTCCTTTGTTATTGACAGGTTTGACGCAGGAAGTTTGATTGGTCATGATCAAGAAGTGACACTGATGAGCAAAGTGATTTCCCAAAAGTTAAACTATTTTATATTTCACAAAGAGATGACAAACAGCTGACTCTGAGAGCTTCTTTATGCACTGAACATGCAAACCCACACTAAGTTTCACTAGAAACTTGACATTTCTAGTGTAAACAATGCTGTCAGCCCACACGGTACCTTGGCTTGTGTATTTTCACTTCCTTTGCCTTTAGTAACAATATGCATTTGTAAACATTGGTCATTTTTTTATGTTAGCTCCATAAAATATGAATTGCTTTAGTTTTATTTCAAAGCATAAGACCATGGTATGAATGAGATAACCCTTTGTGTCATCCATTGTGAGGAAAAATTTTATAAAACAGAGTAAAACAAACTTTTGTGCACTTATTGACTCACAGGAACTACTGCAACAGATTTAGAGTCCCTAAACTATTTTTCCTGGTGTTTTGATTTTGTTAAAATGAACTTCTGCTCTGATTCATACATGAACACTGACACTGAGGTTGTTTTGATTGCTTTATATTCTGTATCATATGGATGGTAGGTGTGGTTTCTATTTGATCCATTTACAGGCATTTACCATACAAATACCTGCACTTTTATACTTTCTCTTTATTCTTTGTAGTTTTTGTATTCCCATATGAAGAGAAAATAAATCTGAAACCACCTAAACTGGGAAAAGCAACCATTAAACTCAGTATTGTATTCTTCTCTTTGTGTTTGGTTCAAAGTAAAGGCGCCTGTTATCAATCGTTCATCTCCCTGCAGAGTGAGGGACCGCTCCTCGCACTGCAGTGAAAACATCATCCATTACCTTTGTGACAGGTCCCCCAAAGACCCCAGGGCCCAGCTCTCTGTGGGCGTCACCTTTATTGACCTCTCCCCCCTCATCACACACATACACACACACTTCATATATACACAAAAAATGTCCAGCATGTGGTCACATACATCACGGAGCAGCCTTTTCTCTCTGACAGTGTAAATGAGTGTCCGTCAGATAATGAAGCAGGCAGGCGATTAAGCGACAGATGGAGGGAAGGATCCCAGGTGTCTGAAAAACTAAGTGCAAGAAAAAAATAGTGGAATAAAACCTTTAAGTTTTTTTTTTCTCAGGGGTACTGAAAAAAGCTTGCCTAAACCTTTTCCCCTGACACATCGAGGCTACAATTCTACAACTGCTTTTTGTGTACTTGCATTTTGTTGCTGCACCCTGCTCAGCGGATTTTGATTTTAAATTAACTTTATTTATTTTATATTTTATAATGAGTGCACAATTCCAGACTAAAAGACAGAGCAGAAACCCTGAAATTAGACTGTGAGGTGGACCAGCCCTGAACCAAGCAACATGTGTTTTTACTTTGTGGGTTCAAACTTTTAATTTTCTTACCCAGTGTATGTGATGGGAGTGAAGAGGCACTGCTGGAAGGATGTTCCTGATGAGAGCTTGACTGGAATAGGAAGTCATCTGTACACCATTGTGTGGTTTGACGATGGTTTAGCTCATGTAAAACATTTTAAGCTGCCAGATAAACAGTCTGAAGGTTGCTGCTGCTCTTACCTTGTCTTGTATTGTTTTGTATGAAATCATCTGCAGGACAATTACAGTTACTCCCTAGAGGAGGCTAGGGCTCTGAGACTGAAAATGTGAGAAAACCGCCTCATGATTATTGCTCTTTGTGGCAAATTAGATGCAGTTTAGCTCAATTACCTGCTATCAGATCACAGGGGAAACGCTATGATGGGCAGGGTGGGAGACATCCAAGACTTTCCTTCCTCACCACAAAGAGAAATGTGGTGAGTCTTCTGGTTGTGACTGGAGGTTGTTTGATTTGCTGCTGATTTAAATAACATTTTAGGATTTAGAGTAAAAACAGGAGGTGGTGAATGGTGAGAAACTTCCCATATGACTCACTGCCTTACTTTGCTTGATTTCTAACCATGACCAGATGTCAGAAATGATAAAAACATGTTACACATTAAGCTTTTATTAAGTGTTCTTTTTTTCCATTGTTGGTTATAGTATTATTTTCAACACTGACTTTATCTTGACTTATTATTAAAATATAACAGGCTATTTCTACTAGACCTGTAAAAGTAGAAAAAGTTGCGTTAAGCCCTTGCACTTGCAGAGTAGCTTTTACAAAAAGATAAATGTTTTTCTCTTAAAAAGTCTATAGGAAGCTCAACTTAATACGTAAACATGCAGTAAGGGCCTATGTCCACTGACTGCATTTTCTGCACTGCAGTGCAAAGGCTCAAAATAAAGCACGTTTTGTCTTGTTTCCAGGAAAAAATGGGCCTTTAGGCTTGATTTAAGCTACATATACTCAGTCATTCCAGAAAAATGTATGGGTATTTTTACTTACTAGAACTAATTCAGTTTTTTATTTCTGTGTGCTTAAAAACAAGTCATTTTATATAGCTTATGATAGCCACACAGTCACTATTAGTATCTCTTCAATTTTTAGTTGAATGAACCTCCATTGGTCAGTCATTGATGACACAAGGGCTTTTGTCATCAATCAGTTTCGACATGACCTGTACAAATAAAAAAGTTTCACAGAAAGCCAAATGTTCTCTTCTCGTAATGTCACAAATGAAACTACTTTCCAGTCCTCCGACCAATGTGAACACACAATCCCTCTATGTGTCCGGTCCATTAGGATGCTCTGCTCAATCTCTGCTGACTCGATGAGTCTGAACTAAAGCTGTGGTGCATGTTGCATCAGTGTGAAAATAGCTCCATAAAGTGCCGCTATCTGGGTCAGGGATGGGCAGCAACGTGCCGCAGAGGATCGGCAGCAGCTGGTTTTAGTCGGTAGATGAAGAGGAAACTCTCTCTGGCTGTCAGCTGTTGCTTTGAAACGTTATTTATTGTCCACAGTGCTTGGCTTAACTTTACATGAACTTTCTTTTGCTGTGCACTCCTGCACTGTTTATTTAGAGCTGATACCAGAGAGGCCTAATCTCCTAATATACCTAACAAGATAGCAAACACTGAGTAGATATAGAAAGCAACTATCTTTGTAAGTTTTACTAACTCCTCTTAGTTTCTCTGACTTTTCAGAGTTAAATGAAAAGATATAAAAGAACACACTTTGAATATCCATACAGGTCATGAGTACCTGCAGACAACACCTTTCATAGCCTGAAAGATTTATGGTTGGAGGACTGATTTACCTTCCACTCATTTAAAACTAAACTAAAAAAAACTAGCTAAAATTTAAAACTACAGGAGTTTAATAAATGAGGGACAATTTGTTTCCATGTTCTTGCAATTATCCCCATAAGAATAGATATTCAAAACAAATGTAAATATTGATTATTGAAACCAGTCATAAAAATCTTACAGACAATATCTTCTATACTCTGAAAGTCTTTTAGAATCTTAAAATGGGTTAGTAAAATTGGGAACAAAAGGTTGTCAATGTTCTGGCCATAGTCTCCACAAGAAAGATATACAAGTTTGATCACACACACACACACACACACACACACACACACACACACACACACACACACACACACACACACAATATATATATATATACTCATAAACAAATGCCAACAGCACAAACACACTTGGCAGACCCCAGGGGTGTGTTGTGCCACCTTAGGTCTGTTCTGATCCTTTCGTGTTAAAGAAACAAGCCTGAACGCCCCCTGAATGAACACACACACACACACAAACACACACACACACACACACACACACACACACACACAAAGTCTAATAAACAGGGCTCTCTCTTCGCTTGGCTTCTCTCTCTAATTGGCTCACCATTTCTTCCTATTAATTATGCTCCATTTCATTCCTCTTAATGAGTCTAGCCCCACCCCCTTCTTTAACACTGATTAGCATCTTTCACCGACACTAAAAATAAAAACAACCTTGTTTTTTACATAGTGTATTAACATTTTCATATTTTGTCCTTTTGCAGCACCCATACCCATCGGAGGAGCAGAAGAAGCAGCTGGCTCAGGACACCGGCCTCACCATCCTGCAGGTCAACAACTGGTGAGTCTGTGACATTAGCAATGCTGCACTCACTGTTGTTGTGTTTGGGAAGCACACCCCATAGAGGCCGCCTCCAGCTAATGATTTGAATGATTAATTCCCATAAGGTTAGCATCCTCAGTAACAGCAGGAGGTTGTTAATTGGATGGTTGAGGGAGGTAGAGACCTGTAGGATGAGTTCAGGTTTGTTGTGTTTACTAACACCCAAAGAAGACATCATCTGATTACACTTATTTAACACACAGTAAATACACTTTTTAAGCTGCACATTACAGAAAAGAAAATTCACAAATTTAGATGGGGATTACGGATAATGATTAGGTTGTTACACTAGATTAGATTAGATTAGATTAGATTAGATTACTGACATGATGCTACTGTCATTTTTCTGCTTATCAACCAGCCACCAACAGGAATAAATAAACTGACAGAAATATTTATTTAAGACTTTTTATTTTAAATTTAAAATAACTAAATTATTGGATGATAAGGTAGAAATCCGGATATTACAAAGGTTAAAGTGTTAATGGAGTGAAACCTTGCAAATCTAAGCACCTGGTACAACCTGGATGAGAATTTCTGGATTAAATTAGCTCAACTTGAAAAATCTTTTGACTGGAAAAAAGACAAAAATAAAATGACACTAAAACTAGACTTTTTATTTTGTTGTCTAAAACTGCATATAAATGAAAAAAAAAAAAAAAACGACGAAAATGTGACAATGAAGACATTTCTGTTCAATGGTTGAAAGTCTGGTGTGGGGAGTTGTTAGCGTTTATCATACAGGTTGAGGGATCCAGCCCAGGAACATGAATTAAACACGGAAAACAAATATATACTCATAAAACTAGAAATGTTGAGCAGCAGTTTTTGATGATAGTCCTAGGTTGAAATCTGAGTGTTCCCCTTCACACCGGGAGCGTTTTTTTCGTGCGATTATTTCGGACGTCAATATTTTGTTTGAACCTGTATCCTGTCAATACAAACGTTCACATCAGTGATGTTTTCCCACATTAATTTTTTTCGGATCACGGTCGATTTTTCTAAAGTTTTGCATACTGCGTGTCCACTTCTGACAATTTTCAAATATTAGGCCGTTGCTATGGTAACAGGTCTGCAACATCTACAGTATTGTTCTTTTGGCTTTGTCAGTAGATTCAGGAAAAAAAAAGTCCAGTGTGTTTTTGCATAAATATACAGAGATGATTGAACTACACTTCTATAGGAGTCATCTTTCTATCATTTTTCTCCTTCTTTACCTGTATTTCCTCTCCTTTTCTCCTAACCTTGCTTAATTTCTTTTTCACGTGTCCTTTCCGAGTCCTTACCTTCTGGTCCGGCCTCACTACAACCTCTCCGTTGTACTTTTCCTCTTCTTTTATCTGTCTTGATCTCATCTCACCTCATCTTCTCCTTAAAATGTAACCCTTAATTGTTTTTTCATTTGAGTTAGTATCAACTTTTACTTCAAGACTTTTCTCCTTAAGTCAAACTTTGTGTAGGATGGTTTATGAGCTGCACATGTGTGTGTTTGTGTATGTGTCAGTTGGTGTAAATGGCATTTTCATGGCAAACAGCTGGACTGGTTTATTTAAACACAGTTATTGTGGAGGTGAGGGTGTAAGGGGGAAGGAGGGGAAGAGGGGGACTGACCTGAGAGTGACACTCTCAGTGGGCGGGGCTTAGTTTTACTAGCAGTGGGGTTTAGGTCTGTGTGTGTTTGGGGATTGCTGTGGTGGTGGCGCGGGTCTGTTTGAAACACAGCCGCCCTGGGGCGTCAATTGTAAGGTTATTATTATTGGAAAGAACAACAGTTTTAGTCCATGGTTCAGTTTTAACCTGCATTGGTTGATGCAGGGATGTTCACAGACAATGGTGTTAATAATCGATCTTAAGCCCACCAGAGTCATGTCTGTCTAAGGGCCTGAAGATCAGGACCACCGAGTATTGGTTTTGGTCCTTGTCCCTTTTGTACAGAGATTTCTCCAGACTCTCTGAATCTTTTAATGATAGATAGATGATAGATGATGAAATCCACTCATTCTTTCACATCTGAGACTCAGGAACTTTATCCTAAAACTGTTGTTTTCTGTGAGAAAACTGCACAGATATTATCAGCCCAGAAAAGGTCAAATATTTTACTCAAAGATCCTGTCCAGCTTGCTGTAATATAGCTTAAGATCCTGTTGGAGCAAACAGATCCTCCCTGATACCCTCTAAAAATTCTTCCTCCCCTCTACACCCCCCCCCCCCCCCTTCCTGCTGCTTGCCTTTTTTTACTCCTTGAAAAGGCCGCTGTGGCTTTTGTATTCCTGAAAAGGAAACAGGGTTGTCCCCCACTTTCTTCTTCTTTTTTTTTTTAACCCCCCCTCCTCCCTCTTTTCCGAACTAGCTAGAATGGAACCATCCCTCCCGGGGGTGAGAAGGTAGGGTGAGGGTGGGTAGGGGTAGTTGTAGGGGGACATAAATCAAGTGGGGAACCACAGAGCCTTCACTCCAGGGCAGGTCAGGAGGGGCGACAGGCGGTTCAGAAGGCTTTCAGCTGAGGAAGACCAGATCGCTCCTCTCTGCTGAGGGAGGCAGCAGGGGAACACGGGGGAGTTATGGGAGGAAAAGGGGGAGTGGTGGGGGTCACAGAAGGTGTCAGGTCAGGGGTCACGCATACCAGGATGATGGCTTTCAAGAGTGTGCTTAGGAGGGGACATGTATGAATGCACCACTGCTGAGGGCCCCTGAAGCCTGATGCTGTCATAGACTGCAGTCTGAGTTCACACTCTTCTTCTACTGTATTAACCTGGTTCAGAGACAGGGCAGTAACATCTGTGTTAACCAAAGTAAGACCGTCAGATGACTCATTTTCTAAAATCCTGTTTTATTGCAGGATTTTAATAATTAATTACAAGTAATCACATTTTTTATTGCATGTTCATTCCATTATTTTGCATTTCAAACCAGTCTTTAAGTGCATAATATTAATGTAACCTATTCTTCCAAATGTCTGATTTGTGAATCCAATGAATGCAATGAAATTTATTTTATGATCTTGACTCCTGAAAATTTATTCCAGTAAATGCTGAATGCTATGTCATTGTGGTCTAAAACAGTGACTTAGAGAGAGTACATAAGTTCATAAGTTCTTAATTGTCATATAACAAGTTTATTATTATATCAGTTTTAATTATGATTCCCGGACATTTTCGGAAATACGCAGGAGTGCACGCACAAAATGACCAACCAGAGTCAATATTTTTTTTACAGTTATTCTGATGAAATTCTAAGAACTAATATCCAGTAATTTCTGGTTAATGCAACTGAGGAGCCCCATTTGGTTGCTTTTTCTAGATGTGTATGTTTACATACTGCCATTTTTAGATGGGATGTTTACCCCCCACTTATTCTAGTGTGCAATGTGTATCTCACTGAAGGATAATCCTCAGTAGCAGAATTGAGGGGTAGGTGGCATTGTGTAGGGTCAGCGCTGGCAGGGCGGAACAGTGCTGTGTGTAATCCAATCACAACATACAGTATCAGTTATGTTGTATCATTAAACATTGTATCATTGCATTATATTATTTCATCTTGTATCCCAACATACTATACTATAAATAATGTCATATTGCATCACATCATAACATACTGTACCGTAAAGTATCATATCCTTAAATGACATAGTAGCATAATGTAATATATCATAAATTATCTTATCAAATCGTGTTGTATCATATGATATCTTATTGCCTCATGTGTTTTTATATTGTATCCTGTTTTGAGGTATTGTGTTGTATTGTGTCATTTTATATCGTATCATATCATGATATAACATGTCCTAAGATATTGTATTGTATTGTAAAGTAGTATTGTAAAGTGTCAAGTAGTTTTGTATCATATCATAACATATTGTAGCTTATCATGTATATCATATTGTCTCCTATAGTATCATATCAGAAATTACAGTATCAAAATATCTTATCATATTATATGATATTATATCTTATCATTTCATGTCACTTCACAACATAATTATTATATCATAAAGTATCCTTTTATCATGTTTTATCATAACATAGTGTATTGCATAATAAAGCGTTGTATTATATTATGTTATGTTGTAGGGTACTTTGTGGTATCCGGTTGTATAGTAATTATTGTATTATTGTATTTTAAAGTTTATCAATTTATACAGTATCAACTCTTATTGTATCATGACATATCATGTTGTTTCAGATCTTATAACATTGCATATTATCATGTGTACTGTATTGTATCCTATCATAATACAGAGTATCAAAACATAATGTAGCATATTGTATCATGTTGTATCATATCGTATCATATTATAATATATCTAATGGTATTATCAAGTATTGTATTGAAACATGTCAAATAGTAACAAACATCACATCTCATCCTTTTTTTGACATATATCATAATATATGGTTTCATACTGTATCATGTTGTATCAAATGCTTTTGTGTTATGTCATGTCATATTGTATCGTTTCAAACCATATCAGATAGTATTGTATTGTATCACTTATCTAAATGGTATTGCTGACAGCCAAAATTAAACAGTATCAAAAAAGCAGTGGAAGTTAAGGTTACACCAGGCAAACAAGGATAATGATGTTTTACATTGATGCATGAAGATTTTACAGTCTTTCTCCATCACATTCAAAATATCAGGAAGAAAACATTTTAAATCTTAGAGAAACTGGAGGTACTCTGCAAGCAGTGAGGCATTCAATGTCCCACTGTGAATCAGAGCCTTGCCTTTCAAAGCACAGAGGAGGTTGTGTTTTCTCTTCAGCCTCTCAGATAAAAAGCTGAAACCACGCACCATCAGCCCACTTCATTATTAAACTGTCATTGTGTTTTCACTCTTTTTGTCCACCTCCTCATCTTTCTCTCTTTCCCCTTTTTCAGGTTCATCAATGCAAGGCGGCGGATCGTTCAGCCCATGATCGACCAATCCAACAGAGCAGGTAAATTTGATGTGTCTATTTATATTCATCCAGCAGTGCAGATCTGCATCCAACAACAGCAAGTGCTTCAAATATTCATAAATCAGTTGAAATACATTCAGAAAAACTGACCTCATGGAATAGAAAGTGGAAAATTAAATCTCATTATTGGAGAAATGAGTATGCTCATTTTACATGTGATGCCAAAATGTTTCAAAACAGGGTCATGTGTGTCACCACTCCTTTGCTTACCAACATTCTGCAAGCATTTGTGCACCCAGGGCTCAGGACTGCAGAAAGACCAGTTAATCAACTACAGAGTCATGCTGTTGTAACCCCTGTAGGATGTGATTTGTCATTGTCCTGCTAAAAAAAAATGGTCTTCGCTCAAAAAGTCATTGTCTGGATGGCAGCAGATGTTGCTACTAAACCTGTAGGTATTGTTCAGCAATAATGGAGCCTTCACAGATGTGAAAGCTACCCAATGACATGGACTCTAATGATCCTCATACCATCATGAACGCTGGCTTTGAACTGTGTGCTGATAACCAGCTGGATGGTTCCTCTTCTCTTTTTGGGAGGACGATGCAGCATTTCCAAAAAGAAAGTCAAATTTTGCATTATCAGACCACAGGACAGTTTTTCCACCAATCCTCCAACCGTCAAACGCTCTTTTATTTAATCAATGATATACACCGTTGTGTACTCAAGTTGTAGAGGAAATAAAAACATGCCACCACTGATAAATAAAAGCCAACATGAGTTAAAAGACAAAAAGAAAACAAACAAGAGGATTCCAGTGTCTTTTCCAGTATTTAAGGATGGGTGTTTGTCCTCATTTCCTGAACCAGGATACGATCCTCTAAATAAGTAACGTGCATGTAAACAGGCTGAATGAAAGGCTGAATCTGAGCAGGAAAAAACTTAAGACCAGCAGCTTCTCAGAGTCTTTTGCTCTCTTGGCTCCTCGGTGTGTTAAAGCGAACAGAGAGGCTTAAACTCCAGGATTGAATTGCCTCTAAACCCCTGCGGGATTAGCTCCAGACAAAGACGCTAATCGCTTTGACTGACCACTCCATTGAACATTTTAACCTGGGATTAAAACAAATAGGAGCCCTGCTAAAGCCGGGCCAAAGCAGCAATAGCCTTTTGGCCTCTGAGCTTTGTTAGCATTAACCCCGGGCTGACTTCAGCACAAAAGCTTTGACACACATGAGAAACTGTTAAAGACTCGGGAATGTGATAGAAAAACTTCTCTAACTTATTCCTGAGAAGAAACTTTATCAAGCTAATTTCCCCAGGAGGAGAAAAGCGTTTTATTTAAAATCGTCTCATGACTGATTAATGACCTGTTGCCTCCTCTGCTTCTCTTCCTTCCAAAGATCAGATGCTCCATGAGGAAAAAGGAAAAATAAAGTTATCGTAAACAAGCAGAGATAAATCCAGAGTGCACTGAAACACACGCGATTTTTATCCTCAGACCTTATGTAGAAATACAATAAATTTCATCTATAAACATGAGTCACAGCTGAAAAACAGAAGAGATGAAGAAAACACAGACTTTTCTAGAGCTGTTTTGCAATTAATGATATCAAAAAAAGCTGTTAAACCAAGTTTTTATCAAACAACTGGAGCAAATAGTGTTTTATTTTAGGGACTAGTTTCTGTTGCAGATGAATACACATTTTCTGCTCTATTTGGAGCAGCATGATGGTTTATGTTGGACTGATGTCACCAAGACTTGAATAGACATAAGATTTGACCAGGATAGATAGATAGATAGATAGATAGATAGATAGATAGATAGATAGATAGATAGATAGATAGATAGATAGATAGATAGATAGATAGATAGATAGATAGATAGATAGATAGATAGATAGATAGATAGATACTACTTCAAACTAATCGTCTGCTACAGAGCCATGCTGTTGTCATATGTCTTTGTGTTGCTTTAATCAATGTGAAACAAAGACAGAGAAAACCACAGAGATGTCTCACTCTGACCCAAACTGTGGGACAGACTTTGTGTAACATCCTCAGGTCTGACAGACGGCGACTGTCAAACCACTGTGAATGTGAGAGTGATGTCATCACTGTGAGACAGCAGGCAGCCAGATAATTAAAGAGAGTAATCTCCCGTCATGTCCGCAGTGAGCCAGGCAGGACCGTACGGCCCAGATGGTCAGCCAATGGGAGGCTTCGTTATGGATGGACAGACACACATGGGAATCAGACCACCTGGTAAACACACACCAGTTTTTTTCTCACTCCTTATGTTGTTGTTTACTGTTGTTGTTTTCCTCCCCAACTGTGTCATTTAAACACAAATTATTAATATCAAAATAATAAGAGATTGACTGAAATCAGGCTTATCAACGGTATTTAGAAATGATCTTGAGACTAACAGATCAGTGATGTGTTTTTGTCCTGCAGGACCTTTAAGTGGAGTGGGGATGGGGATGGGTGTGGAGGGACAGTGGCACTACATGTAAAACCACCAACACCAGCCTGCAGGCAGAGGATCCGCCCAGAGTCCCAGGAAACCTCAGTGAGTAGCAGAGTCGGATGTTTAAAGGGTCAGTTCACTCAAATATACAAAAAAAAAAAAAAAAAGAAAGAAAAAAAATCCATCAGTGGTACAGTGTTGGTAAAACACTGACGAAGTTGGTTAACACTAAAAAACAGCTTGATGAACATCTCCAAACTAAAGAGGTAACAGTTGATCAGTAACATGACTGGGTTTTAAAAGGACATTCAGAGAGGCTGAGTCTCTCAGAAGGAAAGATAAGAAGGAAGAAAGTTCAATAGTTTCAGAGTAATGTTCCTGAGTGTCAAATGTGAAAGAATGAGTGGATTTCATCATCTACAGAACATAATATCATTCAAAGAGAATCAAAATCTCTGTACAAGAGGGAAAAGGACCAAAACAAGACTGGATGGTCGCGGTCTTCAAGCTCTCGGGCAGCACTGCATTAAAAACAGACAGAACTCTGCAGTGGAAATCACAGCATGGGCTCAAAATCTCTTCCAAAAACAGTCGTCTGTAAAGACGGTTCATCAGTGCATCTATAAATGCAGGTTAAAAGTGAACCATGCAAAGAAGAAACCAGATAGAAGCATGACCCAGAAAGACCAAAGACTTCCCTTAACTCTCCTAAAATTCTTTTTGGAAATTGTGGATGCCACATCCTGTGCTCTAAAGAGGATGGGTACCACTCATTTGCTCTTTGAGGGGGAGGGACCTGAACCCACTTATGATGGACTGAGGGGAAGTGGAAAACTATCCTGTGGTCCAATTAATCAAAATTTGACGTTCTTATATGACTTGTCACCCATTGAAAACATTTGGAGCATCATGAAAAAATAAGCTGAACATTGTGCAAAGTCCTTCACAACTCCATGGCGTGCCGAGATCTGTCCAAAAGTGGTGAACCATCAACTCTTAAACGGAAAACTCTGATTTGACTTAGCTCACCTATACAGACCAGGTAACTTAGAGAACGGCAGCAGAGAGAGACGTGTTTCCTGCACAAACACAGAAAACATGTCTCTGGGCTCCTCCTCACTAATTAAAGGCACTTCTCCAATCTGATTTAAAGGTCAATTAATCCCCTGAGATCTCCTCCACACTCTAACGACCCGATCATTAGAGAGAGACGCACAACGCTCTCATCTCTTTATTTGATTACACCGAGTCCAATTACTCCGTAAGCAGTTTTCATTATTAGAAAGGAGGGGAGGGGGTCAGTGAACGCAGCACTGGGAGGGAAGATTAAGAGGAGTGTGGGGGAGGAGGGTTTATTGAAATGAGTCCTTCTTCCTTTTGACTTTGCTCTCAGGAAACAATACACCTGTCAAACATAAACATACACATATGCTTAGGAAATGAAAACCCTGATGCTCTTTAGTCTCCTTTTCTGAGACTAAAGTGAGCTCTTGTTTACATCATACTTTCTGTTTCCTCTGCAGGACCGCAGACATCCTCCTTGGTAGGCGTGGAGCCGGACCTCACGCCTCCCTCACCTGTCCTCCTCATGGCCCCGCCTCTCTGTGCTAATCCCTGGCCTGATTACTGACACACCTGAGCCTGCTCTGTGACTGAGAAGCGACCAGCTCAAGCACAAATAAAAGAGAAAATCGGGACAAACAAAGGGATAAACTGATAATACCTGGGGGGATCTTTCTGGATCACATGTTGAAATGCTGAAATAGCACCTCTGGATTTGGTCCGTTCCACTTTGGACTACAGAAACCTCAAGGGGATTTTTGACCCCTGTAGAGTGTCCTTTCTCTTTTTTCTTGCAGATGAACCAACGCTTGTTTCTCTGGAGAATTTTTTTCAAACGAGACCATTTTTTAGGGAATGATGTTCTGATTTCTGGACGGCAGAGACTCCCAGAGGACGAGAGGCCAGTTTTTAAAATGATCCGCTGCTGCCTTTTGGACAATAAAACCCAGTTTTTACAGAAAAGGACTTTGACTTTTCACACTGTGTGTGTCTGTCTTTTTTCATAGACTCCTACCTTACTTTGATCCCCACAAACCTCTGAGTTCTGAAATAAAAACAGAGAACTTTTCTTCCTCGACTCTTCTTCGTTTTATTATCGACACCTGGAGGTTTTGGCTCCGCAAACTTCACGAATCCTTCACTGGATTCAGAGGGAAGGATTTGTTTTTGGATGGTGGCTTTACTTCAACGTGATTTATTCTTAGTGCGATTTTCTAGTTTTACCCCAAAAGGTATTTTTTAAATCTGTTTAGCTCAGCACCCCTAAAAAACAAACAATAACATATTTTTAATATCCTAGAAGTCATTTTGAACAAAGTTTAGTGAATTAAATTTATTTGAAATCACACCCAAAAAAGACCCCACCCTACAGCTGGTTTCGCTGAGCTATAGGAATCTAAAGACTGCAGTTCTTCAAGTGTCCACAAGAGGCTGGAACTAAAAAAACACTCTTTCAAAATCATTTCCTACATAAAAAAAGGTTATTTGTTTTTATGAAAGATTTTTTTTAACTAATCAGAAATAAAGTAATAGTATTTCATAATCTAAATTTCTTGTTTCTAAATAATGAACCTCGAATGTACACAGTTTTTTTTATTATTTTATCATTCAAGCTTAATGATAAATGATATGGCTATTTATGCCATCTGTGCATTTTTAAATCCATAATTAATATCTCTGAACTGAATTGGATGATAGTTTTTTGTTTCTATTAATTAAAAGCTGCATATTATTAAACATTTAAAGGTCCTCTAAGAAACTTTGGCACCCTCTGAAATAGTGCGGTCTCACAAAATAATCTCAATATTGCTGATTTTGACACTGAAACGTGTGATTTTTGTGAACAATTATCGGGGCAAATCTAAAGACAGGGATTTTTCATAAGCGACTATTCTCGGGTTTCAGGTGTTACAAATCACAAAATAAAAATCATAAATCTTGTTGCTGATGGTCTTGTTTGCTGTTTGGGTCTGTTTCATAAATATAAAAAAATCTCCTCACTGTAACTTAACAGGAAAATATGCTTAAATGGGATTTTCAACAGGCCATGAAGATGAACAGAGGGAAAGCTGAAACTGCATGTGTGATTTCATGTGTCACTTTTTCAGACTCGCTCTGGTTTGAGGAGGAAAAACACTCATGTAAGAAAACAGCCCAGTCATGCCAACGTAAACTTGCCTTGCTGTCCACACTGCTTTGAAATAATCCCACAAAACAAACCGTCACTTCAACACATGCAGACCTGAGGGCAGTTTTCAGGAGCCGCTCGCCCTCTGATCAAACCCCTCTCTAAAAAAATGTGATTTACGTAAAACTGCTCTGAAGTCTTAAATGCAGAGATTAGTTCCCCCTCACGCTCCAGTTGGCCTCCTCAATAGACAAGCTCTCCCAATCCGCTGGGAGTTTCCTAGATACACCTCATTTCAAAGCTGGAGGCCTCCAAAGAGATCATTTATCTCCTTCTTAAAATCAATTATAATCTGTAGGAGAGAGCAGCTCTAAGGCCAGCTGTTGACTTCTGGAAACAGGACTCCTTTCTCCATCCCACTGACATTTTTTGTCCAACTCTGAGACTCTTTTTGAAGCAGAAAACTTAAAGCAGACACACATCCTCGTCTCTCTCTGCTGCCCTCAGAGCTGACTGACAGGCGCCAGCTTAACTCCCTGGTTTGACCGCCCTCTTTAGGGGATTCAGGAAACTGCCTTCATGTCTGTTTTTAAAGATGCTGAAGCGCCAAATTAAAAATGCACAGAGATGAGAGAGTGAAAAAGAGACCGCATGTTCGGTCCCCGGGGACAGCTGCGACAAAAACAGACACAGAGAGTAAACAAACAAAAAACTAAACTGAAGGGGGAAGTTCCAAGATGCTGTAATTTCCCGCTGATCACTTTGGCATGAATGCGTCAATTTTGACTTTTTAGTTCTGATCAAATAAACTGACATCTTTGTTTGTTTGTTTGCATTTCTTTAAACATCCACTGTCAGGCATAAATACAGAAATACGTTTGTGTATTTTTAAAATATATAAAACACATAAATGTAAATATAAACATAAATCAAAATCAATATTTATGAACAGTATAACATTTACAAATAAGATATATTCATTTGAACATCTAATATACATTTCTTTCTTTTGTATCACATTCTAAAATGTTAAATGATACATTCTTGCATTTATAAAAATGTGCAATTTCAAACTTTAATCTAAGAGTGAGAATTCTGAGATTATAGTCAGAATTTGAGCTTTAATTCAAAAAGTCTCACTTCTATCTTAAAAAAACAAGACTTAGAATTTAGACTTTTTCCTTAGTAGAAGAAGAAGAAAAAGAAAAAAAGTCAAAATTTTGAGGCAGGAGTCTAAAATGTATCAGAAAAGAAAAGGTCTGGAAAAAGTTTGCATTCAATTAGTTAGAAACGCTGAAAAAAGTCAGAATTTCAACTTTAAACAGCAAAGTTCTATATAGAACAAAGTAAATCTTGTTATTTATATATTTATATATAAATCTATGTTCTTGAATGTGTTGGCGTTGGACCTCCTGAGTCTGTGACCTCTGGGCTCGAAAAGTTCGAAGCAGAGCTGTGATGATGATAAATTAAAGCCGAAGAGCAGGGGTCTCTGGTGCCATGATGTCGACCTTCTCTGGCTGGAGGCGGCCAGGACGCTGAGAGAACAAATGTGTCCAAACAAACCGGCTCCTGATTTAGACCTGAGCTTAGACATTAGCCTGAGCAGACCTGAATTCCTGAGAGACATGAATCTGCCTCCTCCAGGTCTGATCCTGTGACCCGCTGCTCCATCATGACTCACCCGCCTCGCCTGATTCCCTCTCTGCTCACTGTTTACAGCTGAGCTGAACGCAGTTGGATAATTTATTGCCTTTAATTAAATACTCGCTGCAGGACGGATTAAATGAGTTTACTCTTGTGCAGGGCAAAAGGGTGAGGTATTCTGTGACAGACAGAGGATCCAGAAAGTCAGGGAGGAGGGGATTATGGTTACCTGGAAAGAGGAAGTTGAAGAGGTAAAGAGGGTAAGATGGAGGAGGGGAAGAAACTCATTCCCTCAACAGAACTCACTTGGCTTGGAGAGGAAGTTGACCCTGTTTACTGACGACATCTGCATCATCTGCACACCTGAAAATGCAGGTAAGGACTTAAGGGACTGATAACCGTAAGTATAAAAAGAGAATGTGTTTTTTTTATTGCACATAATATGGTAGAATGGAAAAAAAGTATGGCATAAAACCTGAAAGTGCTTGAAATCAGAAAACCAGGAGGTAGATCATAATGATAAGATACAGAGTCATTAAAATCAGCCAGAAAGTCATGACTTTGATATAAGGATCAAAGTATAACAATGTCATTTTGAGATTGGAAGTCAAAATAATGTCATGAAACATCATTGTTAATTTGAGATGGACGTATCTATAGAATGAAAAGTCATTATTAGGAGATATAAAGTGAAAAGTGATCATCTTAATGTACCTCATAACTCTGACTTACTGTCTTATTATGACTTATGTATAATTCTAACGTTTGATTTACAAAGTCTCTGTCTTTTTATTTAGTGTTGGAGAAAGGCTTCCACATAGCAGAAATCCTCTAAAAATAGTGTCAGACACGAACAATTACGATGTTAGCCTGCACATATAACAACAGCATGGTTCTGTAGTAGAAGACTCCTGCTGCTAAACTGACCTGCCTGCAGTCTTCACATTTGGAGCACCATGAAACAAAAACTACGGCAAAGGAGACTCTTAACTGTTGAGCAGCTGATAGGGTTAGACTGGGGTTAGATAGACTTTGGGTGTTATAAAAACCACTTTAACAGGACAGGGGATTAACCACCTGCAGTCGTAATGTTAAAAAAAGACTGAAACACACTCCTTCTTCTAACCCGGTCCCTTCTCATTAATGTGAATTCATCTAAACTGAACTGAAAATCAGCTCTTCAGTGAACAGCTCTTCATCTGTCCTCAGAGTCCTAGAAGTTAATTCCCATTAACTTTTTACTTCCCCCTGAGGCCTCACATTTCCTCCTCCTCCTCTTCAACCTTCACATAGTTTGTCTATAAAATAGATCCTCCCTCTGTTCGCCTCAGCTATGCGACAGATATTTCACAGAGCGGGTTTGAAAGTCTCCACTCGGGTCAAAATGAAGCCGGTTATTGCTGAAGCAGAATAATGTCAGGGTTTCACTGCAGCGCTGTGACTGCACGCCGATCCCAACAGCCCCATAAAGCTCCTCCATAAATCTGAACAGTCCTGGTGTTTGGAGCGGTGGAGGGGATTTCTGAGGACTCTATGAGCGGCGTCCAGGGAACGAGGAGAGAATGAGAGCAGAGGACAGCGGCGCTGTTAAACAGACATTTAATATTCTGGGGCTCTGGACAGATTGAGCTGACGCAGGCCAAAGAGTACAGTGATCCTGGGAAGAATGAAGTTTGTAAACGATTATGTTCCCTAAGAAGTCCTGCAAGATATCAGAAACAGCATTTCTCCTGCTGTTTCACAACATGTTACCAAAAGCTGTGTACTCCTCAAACAATCTGACCTTGTCTTTGTTTCATCACCTAAATAGACTATTATCGAACTGAGCCAGACCAGTTGGTGATGAGGATGTGAAAACAGTCTGTCATGTCAAAACACTGAGTAGCATTTTAAAACCGTGTCCTTTAAGCTGTTCATAAAGTGGCAAATAAACTTAAGTTAATTTCTTACGAGAATAGAGTCATTGTAAAGTCATTCTGTCATGAGAACAAAGTAGTCGTCAAAGAATTTTTTTTTTTACTAGAATCAAGTCCAGGAAAAGTCATCATACCGCGAAAATAAAGTCATTTTTAAGTCATTATATTCAGAGAATGAAGTCCTTTTTAAAATAATCATGAGAGTAAAATTGTTGAAAAATCATTCACAAGAATAAAATTGTGGTAAAATCTTTTTCTCTTGGGGATAAAGTCATGAAATCATCTTCTTGAGACAAAAGTTGTCGTAAGATAAAGTAGTAAAGTTATGTCATGAGAACAAAGTAGGGAAACCAAGTCATAATGATTTGAGATAAACATGTATTGTTACAAATCCTGAGTCGAAGTAAAGTCATTACACCACTAGACTATAGGCATCATGAAGTTGTAGTTTTGGTTTGCAGTGAGCAGACACTTCCTATACCAAACTGAGAAGCATGGAGTGTCTCCGAGTGTATATTAACAAACTTTCAGGATTGTAATCCATAGTTGCAGATAAGCACATTTTTTTTCTTCGGCCTGAAGGGTTTATGTGGACGCCCAACTGCTCATCCATGGGTTTCCCACTGAAGCTGTGGCTCAGGACTCCACTGACCCATCACACACCACAGGAGTTGGTTTATAATGAAGCCCATGCAGCCTGTTACAGAGCGCACTAGTATGTTTTTCAGACGAGTGTCACTCCACCACTTACAGAAGAGGCAAACATGCTTCTTTAAATCTTTCCTCATCCAAAATAACGTAAACTTACACACCTGAGAGGATCTTCTTTAGCTTTTTCTCCTGCTTGCCACTGGAAGCAGATATCCACACCTCCCTATATGGAGGTCATTGTTAATTCCTGAGACAGGATTTATGCCGATCGCTGACTAGCCAGAGTGCACTGTCAATCCATGATTGATTGGCATCAATTAACTTATTCACAAGCCTATGATCAAATCGAAGTTTTTTGGTACTTTTAGATTTTTATGTGCAAATCTTCACATAAATTCATGAATATTTTACCAACGAGACCTAGTGAAGGTGCATTTTCAATCTTCACTTTCTTCCGGATGCCTCAGCAGAGGGGCCCAGGTGTTCGCCTGAGACCGATACTGAACCTTCACCTCTCCTGAAGTGTAGTGGTCCATGTCAAAGAGGAGCTGCTTTGTCTTTGCAGGTCCTGCAGAAAGCCCATGCACTTTTGTCTTTTCTAGAAAAACATAGAGCTGACACCATCTGACAGAGATCACAAAAGGCCAGTCAGAGGGAATAAAAGCAGCACTGAGTTGAGCTCAAACATACACACGCTGCACACTGAGGCGGGCACTTTGTGGGCGACGATTTGGATGGCTTTCAAATGGATGTGACGGAGCCACTTATTGTAGAGTTACAGGCCGGTAATGAAACAGTAACCGGAGTCGTTTGCACGCATTAAAGCCGGTGTTGAAGTGGAAATCTGAGTAAGGCTTAGGGAAACATAAGACCTGAAGTGTGGCGAGCGTTAAACTGTGTTCTCCGGTCTCCTCATTGCCTCTCTGGCAGCTCTGATGAGGAGCACGTCGATGGGAATTCTTGTGAAACTGGTGATGGAGGAAATGTGGTCCATCTCCGTCTGTTGACCGGCTGTACATTAATGACGTCATGTCTGCCTCACTGCACTTTGCTTCATGTGGGCTGTTTTCATCCACTTTGTCTCTTTAAATGTGCTAAAAATACTTTCCCAGCATACTTTGTCTTCATGTAACTGAGCCACATCTGCTCTGTTTTGAATCAGACGTCCCATGTTGTCCATATCAACCCTGCTGAACTCTTTAAGAGCTCTTTTTGAGGAAAATACGCCTGAAAGCACCAGAAACAGGAATTTATATTCACGGGGATGTCTCAGCCAAACAGCTTCATATTTCATGTTTTTATCAGTGCTAATGCTCACCCACAGCCCATGGGTCATTTAAGCATAATAAGGTACAAATAATAAGAGGACAGTCTGCACATTTCACACTCAGTCCTCAGCAAAATTTAGGGATGAAAATATAAAGAAAACACAAAATAACCAACTTATAATTATCCAAACAGCATAAAGCTCTGTTTCTAGCAGGATTTGATCCATTAGTTTTCACCTATAATTGTAAAACTCAGTGACCAAATGTAAATCAAAGAAAATAAATTAAACTAACACTTTAATCAAAAAAGACATTGAATCGTAAACTTTGCATATCACTTAACACAGTGGTTCTCAAGTCCAGTCCTGGAGGCCCACTGTCCTGCATGTTTTGGATGTTTCCCTGCTCCAACACACCTGATTCAAATGATCAGCTCGTTATTAAGCCATTACAGAACTTGATAACGAGCTGATCATTTGAATCAGGTGTGTTGGAGCAGGGAAACATCCAAAACATGCAGGACAGTGGGCCTCGAGGACTGGACTTGAGAACCACTGTCTTAACATATATGTTTCAAAGAAGGACACTCTATTACACTATCCATTCAGTGGCGTTCATAGGGCTTCTTTTTAACCTTAACTATACTGGAAGAGCTCCTAGAAGGCACTTTTTCAGCTTAAGTATCTTAGAAGTTGCAACCTAAGGACTTTTTCTTTTACATTTCACATATAATTAGGGCATCGAAAGAACATGTTTTAGATTTCATATACTGGAATGACAATAATACTGGAATCAACTTAATCACAAAGGAAACGGGTGGGAATTGATGAATAAAACAAACAGAGGGCTATCTAGGGGACAGGAGTTGATGTCCAGCACAAGACCATAAGCTGAGGTTGAATGATGTTTCCTCACTGTGTAAACAACTTTTATTGTTTCCTTGATTCACCACCTTTTAACCAACACTGCCACTGTTTTTAAATGCAAAGTCTTTTTAAGCCTAAAAACAACCAAACTGCATCTGTTTTTGTTTAGTTTAAGCACCAAAGTATGGTCAGGTTTAGGAAAATGACATGGTTTGGTAAAGTGACACTTAAATGTTGCTGTCTGGTTTCACACAGGCAAAAAGAGAAGAGCGTTCCAAAAGAAGCATAAAAGTCACATGGTACGCATGATTTGGTGTCAGGACCGTGCAGTGTGGTTGTGTTGCCCGACAGGTTTTCATAGTGCATGACATAAATATACTTTTAATTGAAAAACTCTGAAAGCTTGGAATGTCATCAAAAAAGCCAAACTGGAGTCACTAGGACTGAACCAGTAGATTGTAATTTCAGAGCTATTTTAAAAACAGCTGTGAGACCAGTCCAGTGTATCTTTATGATTGTAAGAGAGCACACTGGATCAATCTGAAAATGTCAGAGAAAGCAAACCAAAGGGTGCACATTTATGCATGATTTATGTTAGACTGATGTACAATGCCAAGACCCCAGAAAGTGATTTTTGACTCATCCTCCGATTCCAACAAAAGGTCCAGAAGTTTGGGTTGAATGTCTGATTTAACAGGGTTCATCCTTGTCTGAACTTGCTCTAAGGCTTTTTTCTCATTAACCCCAACAACTGTCAGTGTGAAGGAGACTTTTGATGACTTAATAATGACGCCATAGCAGCTTGTCAAACTTCACTATCTTGCCATGAAACAGGAAGTCTATATGCTCAATCATACAACCTTCAGTCTCTATGAAATTTTATTCACATGATTAAGGTCCATCCATCAGCATATGTATGCACTGGTATTTAAATTACTGTCATAGCGCCATCCAGGGGGAATACCTGGTACTAACTTTCACATACAATATCTGACCATTAGCCTACCAAATTTCACAGGTTTGGTTGATCGCCCCTGCCTTAACTGATCTACATAAACATTTTTTGTCATAGTAATACTGCCACCTATAGGACACAGGCAGTATTCATTCCTGTAATGCATCACTGAATAAGCCTATACACTTATTTAATGCACAATTATGATTTACTAAACTTTATAACTTCCAATCCAAACTAATCCACTTTATTTATATAGCACATTAAAAAAACAATCAAAATTTAGCAAAGTGCTGCACAGTGTGGTAAAATAAGTTAAAACACATAGAACATAAAACGCTGTCAGAGAGTAAAATAAAATGATATAACAGGATCTTAGCAAACCCATGTAAAAACACTTAAAAAAAAAATTATGATAAAAAAATAAAATAAAAACACTGTAAGACCAAATAAAAATCCTAAAAAAAGAACAGAGACAGAGACCACACAACTCTCATGCTGGATTAAAAGCCAAGGAGTAGAGGACTAGGCCACCCCTGGGTTTTGGCCTCTAGGGAACCACAAGAAGCTGCTGTCCTGTAGACCTCAAAGACCTTGCTGGAGTGTAGCTTTGCAGGAGGTTGGATATGTATTGTGGTGCTACTCCATTTGAAGATGTAAAAACAAACAATAACATCAAAATGAATCCTAAAACGAACAGGGAGCCAGTGGAGGGAGGTGAGGATGGGGGTTGTGTGCTCTCGCTTACAGGTGCTAGCTAAAAGCCAAGCAGCAGCACTTTGAACTAGCTGTAGGCGGGACATGGAGGCCTGGTTAACGCCTACATAAAGAGCGGTCCTGCAGTTGAGTCTAGTTGAAATACAGAATATACAGTATCACTCTCTTAAAATCATTAAAAGGTAAAAACAATGTAATCTTAGAAAAAGCCTCAAATGGTAAAAACAAGATTGGACACCAAAATTTATCTATTTATCTAAGTTAACATCACTATCCATTATGACACTGAGATTGGTTACTGACTGTTTTATGGAAAGTTGCAGGGAGCCCATGTCCAATATTGTGGCCGTACAAACCGGACTTGATTCAAAGATAATGATTTCAATCTTTTTTTCATTTAAGTTTAAAAAGTTTGAGGACATCCAGGCTTTCATGTCTTTGAGGCAATTAAGTAAAGGCCCAAGTGAGCTTATGTTATTTCTCTTTACGGGCAGGTACATTTGGGAATCATCTGCATGAAGATGGAAAGACACCATCAAGCCCAGAGGGAGTAGGTACAGAGAAAACAGGATTGGCCCAAGAATAGAACCCTGGGGGACCCCACCCCCAGAAGCAGTCGAAGATACAGTGTCTAACTTGGTTAGAGTAAGAGTCCCATCTGGTAGTAAAAAAACATTGCTAAACTGACAGTACCATCCAAGGGTGCACTGTTGCACATGCTGCACAAGCACAACTTTTCCACACCCAGCTGTTGCAATCACCCATTATGTGGACTAAGGTGAGTCATCTGTTTTTTTGTTTTATTTATTTATTTTTTCTATTTGAAACAGCTTTGGTGACTCTTCATTTTCTCCTTGCATTACCATTCGATGTTTGTTTGCTTCTTGTTTATATTTTTACTGGCACACTTAAAAATGAGCAAGATCCACCTATATTACTCCAGGGCGGAGAAGTAGTTGATGGATTAATGTTTTTTTTTCCATTACTGGTATCTGCATCTCCTTTAGCTGCAGTTTTGTTCCTGCAGTTTGCCCTCTGGAGGCTCTGTGGCAGTTCTAAGCAGACAGTGATAGATTGGTGCGATTACAGAGCAGAATATCTGACACTGCTCTCTGATCTGCCAGCCTGAAAGCGCCCAGACTTTTTCTAACCAGAGTCCTGGATCACATTTCAAAGACGGACAATGTCTGCTGGGAAAAAGAGCCATTTAGCCTGCTGCCACTGTAATGTAAAAACCAGGTATCTGCCTCTTTGCTTCCTGACAGCGCTGCTAAGTTTCGTCCCTCAGTGAATCCAAAGCTCAGTGTTTTCTCCAAAGCAGCAGGGTTTTTTACTCGAGTGCACGGGCCTTGAAATATGGTGCATATCTGTGTTTGGCTGCAAGCCAGGAGGAGGGTCAGCATGTTGGCCCAAATGGATGGTGATGAATCTCTCAGATTCCACCTCAGTCAACATTAATCCAGCTGGAAAACAAAGCTGCTCTTTTTAAGAGTACAGTTATGTTTTGTTTTAATCTTCATATATATTTACACGGATTGTGGGTGTATTGTGTAAAGAGAAAAAAAGCCTCAAGTAAGTAGTGAGTGGAAAACCTGACCAAACCTCTGTTTCTGGTTATGGTAGCAGAGTACTTGACCTTTGAATATAATTAGAAGAGCAGAGTTTTTCTGAGTGTAAACATGGCTTACGTACAGTGGTACAAACATAAAAAGGGAATTGATTTTCTTATGATTTCCTGACAATAAGCAGACTGGAGTTTGCTGAGATTGCAAAATCATGTTGCAGATGTTTTGTGAGATTCAGCTTAATTATTAAGTCACATAGTGCTTTCACCTTGGCTAACTTTAGCATAATAATCCTGAAAAGGGAACTGATTTACCTGGGATTTACTTGTAATTAAAGGGTCCAAAGTTTCATCATCATATCATCATGATGCGGATGTTTGGTAGGTCTCAGTTTCACTGTAAATTGTTACGCAGAGGTTACCTACTGGCTCATGTTGACTGAATGATCCTTAGAAAAGAAACTGACTTCCAAGTGAAAATGGGGCTACATAATGTATTTCTTTGCAGCATCAACTAGAAAGAAACAGTTTTTCTTGTGATTTACTGTTAATTACATGTTAAATTTTTTTTACAAAAAGTCAACATTGTGATGCAGATGTTCTGTGTGTCTCAGCTACACAGTTAATACCCACTGAGCAATAGACGGCTATTAGATGTCTAGTTTTTTGTTTTGTTTTTTGTTTTATCTCCAAGTACTTAACCAAAATAATTATGATAACCATTGAGCAGGATACAGTTTAGTATAGATATAGCCCAGATTTAGATTGAGTCTAAACTTGTTCTAAATTTAGACATCCAAAGAACTTTCATTTTTAGACCTGTGTAAGCCTGATTTTAGACCAGTCATCTAGGCTACATTTAGAAGTCTATTAGACCTCTTTTAGACTAAAAAAATGCTCAGTGGGTAGTTAAACTAAAGAGCAGCTGCCTGTACCAAGATTTTTAAATCATGAAATAATCCTGTAAAATAAAGGTTTAACAAACAGCAGCTAAAATAGTGGCATCAAATGCAATGATAAGAATTCAGGAAATCACTGGTTGCTTAAATGTCCTACACATGAGGAGTCATTTTCAGTCATTTTGAAGTCAGTGCTTTTCCCCGATGCATGTGTGTTATTTAGAGAGGAACTTGTTTTAAGCGTGTTGGTATTACAGTGTCAGTCCAGTGGGATGTGACATGTTAATCTTCCTTTGGGGAAACGTTGGAAGAGGAGGAGGAGAGCTGCTGCTGACAGCTTCACAAACAACCCCTGCTGCTGTCGTCTGCTGATGGACTCACTCTAAAAACACTCCACTCTGTTTGATAAATAAAGACTGAGAATCTATTAAAACTCAGATTTACTGCTGCTCTGAATTTCCCATCTTCAACCCTGATTATGAGTGGATAACAGATTGCAAGAGGTTGTCCTCTAAACTCTGCCCCGTCAAGTCAGCCTCCTTGTTTTTCACTCAATTTTCAACAAAAAATCATGTGATACATCAATTCTGGACTTCCTTCATTTGAGAACATGACCACATTTGGTTCTGATGGGTCAAAATCCTGTCACAAAGAAATTTGTTTTCAACAGCAGAACCATTATAACAACCTGATCACACATGTATCAAACCAATCCCTTTAGGGACTGAGGTTTGCTTACACAAATCCATGTTAAAATACAAGTCAATTGTTTTGTTGTTTTCGAAAAATATATTTGTGTTTTATTTTACTAAATAATTCAGATTCCAGTAAGCGTATATACGAATAAAATCCGATATTATCGTTTTGGTGTAACAGCGCTTGCGCAGTATCCGTTCCTGCTCCTGAACGCACCGCCGAAAGGAACTCTGGGAGAGGCAAGATGGCGGGACGTTCAAAACCTCAGCTATCAGGTCGTCTTCACTACTCTGTAAACTGTGAATAACAAAACTAACTCCGATACTAACACACAAACGGTTGACCGGGGCATTGGCCGTTGTTTCACCGCCGGTATGAACGCGGGCTGGAGGAAAGTTGACCCCCAGTCCGGTCCGACAGGCTCCTCACAGGCGGCAACACCGAGAACAAACCGGCTGAGGAGAAGTCACAGACATACTCAGACAGCGGTGGGGATCGAGCCTCCGAAGAACGAACTGACAGGTCCGTTTGTATATCCTTGATAGTTAACTCTGTGTTTAGTGCAACAGGTATCTAAAATAAAACCCCACAGCTGCTGGGACGGGTACTAGCCCTGACAACGTCCCTGCCCTACAACTTAACGCCGAACTACGTTAAAAAAATCATACATTTTTTAATTTCTTAAAGACCTATGATACATTTTACAATTTAAAGTATAATTAAAGTACTTTTTGAAATCCTTACTTTTCATTCTTCAATTCGGCCAACATAATTTTCACCACTTTTATTTCTAGTCGTATAAAATGTCTCATGTATCTGCTGTCTGGCTGGACAGGTACAAGTCCTGACAACATCCCGTCTTTCCGTGGTACACATCGCGTAGCCAAACTGCATTGAAAATTCTGGCAATTCTGTATTGTTTTGAGGAATTGAGACAAATCTTACATGAAAAATGTTGACAAAGAAATGTAAAAGCATCCACAGGTCTAAGTCTAAAATTCGGCATTAATGAAATTTACTACCTATGATTGTAAAAAGTTAGGATGTCCAGTGTCTCTGCAGTCTCTGGTCTATCTGTTGTAGTGACACGTAGAGGACCCCTTTCAACGTTATACCAGACTGCACTGAAAATTAGTAATTTTAAGATTTTTTTGGATCCATGTCAAACACTACAAGGAAAAGAAGAAATAAATGAATTTCTTAAAACCATCTTCATCCATATTTAGCCAAATGGATGAATATGTTTTCAAATGAAGTCATATATACACTCTTTCAGCAGTTGATATTGCTGTTTCTGAAATTTTCTCCAGAATTTAAGACCCCGACCAGAATCCCAAGGCCCAAAACAGGTGGAGTTTTTAGCGTGGAGTCTCCATGTAATGACTCTGACTTTCAGCAGGACATCATCTGGGACGCCACTTCTCCCTCACCGAACAGACCAGGTAAATTCAGACTTCCAACCCTGACTGCAGGTCATCTCCCTACAGTGGCCTCAATATTATCTTAAGCCTTTATTTGATTGAAAATAGTACATATACTACATAGTAGATGTTGAAACTCAAAGAAAAAATCATTTTCCCATGTAAAATACATGCTCAGTTTAGATTTGATTCCAGAAACAGATTTCCAATCAGCTCTTGTCATGTTTACCATCGTTTGTCATCAGCTCTTCGTCTCCCTACACTCGGTAAACATCAGTGAACCCAGGAGACCATTTTCTGGAAGTGAAATGTCACTCAGTTCATGCCCGATAGAGGATTTCAGCCACTCTACAGTTCAGAGTCTTCTTTGTTGAATCTTTAATTTTATGATTTGCCAAATGTTTTCAATGGGGGACAAATGAGGACTGCAGACAGGCCAAATTGTCAGCGGGACTCTTCTACTTCAGAGCCATGCTGTTGTAATCCCTGCAGAATGTGGTTTGTCATTGTTTTGCTGAAATATGAAGGTCCTCCCTGAAAAAGTCATTGTCTGGATAGCAGCATATGTTGCTCCTAAACCTGTACATACTGTTGTTGAGCATTAATGGAGCCTATACAGATGTGGAATTTAGCCATGACATGGACATTGATGATCCCCATAACATCAGAGATGCTGGTTTGTATGTTGTATATTGACAACAAGGGTTGGCAGCTGGGGTGGATCCCACTCTTTTTAAAATGGGAGAATGTGACGTCCATGATTTCCAAAAAGAATATCAAATTTTGATTGATCAGACAACAGGACTGGTTCCAACTTTCCTTCGGTTCATCTTTAATGGGGCTCAGGTCCAAAAAAGTTGGTGGTATTTCTAGATTACGTTGATATTTGGTTTTCTCTTTGCATTGTACAGTCTTAACCCGCGTGTGCAAAAACTAAGATGCACAGCTGAAGACCACTTTAGAAACATAAACTAACAGCAGACCAAAGAGTGCAAAGGACTTATGCAAAATACTGGCATCAGGTTTATTATGTCCTTTTGCTAACCATTTGCAAGAGTGTGTAACTAGGAAACAAAGGTCATAAATAAAGCATAAAGTTGGCTGTCCTACAAATCAGGTGCTGATTCATTGAGAAAAACTGAAACTAACAGATGGTTATTAATTAGTCCTTTCAGGGTCTGATTAGTGAATGAACTCTCCACTCCTGAAAGTAAATTATAAATGTAAACCTCTAAGCCCTAGTATGATTACTGAATGCTTTTGCTGCACACTGATTCTGTTTTCGTTCACAGGTAAAAGAGGAAAAAAACCTACAGGAGTCGTGAACATCTCTGAGATTGTCAGCAGGATTGCTCCCAAAGTAAAGGACGAATTATTATTTTTTGTATCACTCCTCAAATCAGATCATCAGATGCAGATCCACTTTCAATCTTGCTTACCGTCTGGTTGTGTTGTGTTTGTGCAGTATGGCAGACCAAAGGTTGTGGAGCCGTCGTTACAGCAGTGGATTGGAGACACCATTCCCTGCACGCCAGATGTTCAAGTCCCCAAACCAAAGAAAAGATCACCCAGGTAGTTTCAGATAAAGAAAACGTGTACGCGGGCCAAGATCAGTTTCCATTAATCCTCTGTGATCATTTATCTATCAATCAAAGCTTTGGGTATCTTGAAAGGCGCTATATAAATGTAAGATATTATTATTATTATTATTATTAATCTTTTAATTTGTTCTTTGTCTTTATTGGAGTTTAATATGGACGAGCCTCTTCTGATTGTCTTAACTTGGTTCACTTTTTAATGTGCACCACAATAAATTTTAAGAACTAATAAGAACTTTATTTGAAATTGAATATTTATTTTCAAACCCTAAAAGAAGTTTCAGGAATTTGGTTCTCTCAAATGAGATGAGATCGTTTATTTATATGAGCATTGGTGTGTATTTAAACTGTGGGAACCCCAATTTAATAAATTTACCAGTTGACCTCAAAAATTTCAAATATCTACAAGGATGTTCTGAGTATTCTTGAAAGCCAAAAATCATTATTCGTCATAAAAGTCATATAAGTGAGATAAAGTCATGATGATTTTGTTGTTAATATCGAATAAATATCAAATATCAAATAAATGAAATAAAAAAGCATAATTATGAGATTAAAGTTGTAACCCTGAGCTAAAAAATCTTTTGTGCACTAAAAGTTTCTTCTGTGATTTAAAAGCTCATTATAATGAGATACAGTAATTCACAAGATATGAAGTCCGATTGTGAGACAAGAAGTTATACTTTCAGGAGAAAAGTTCATAACTTTCGGTTTTAAGTTTTAGTCATAATTATGAAAGAAATAATCCCAAATAATAAAAAAGTAAGTTGTAAGTATGAGAAATAAAAAGTCATATTACTGAGATTGAGGAGGACAGAAACCTGCTGAGATCAAGAGTAAAATTATGAGCAAAAAGGCAAAATTATTAAATAAATAGTCAAAACGATGGTATGAAAGTTATGAGATATTTATAGCATCACAGTCGATGAAGGGCAATTATGGGAAAGTAGGTGATTATTATGAGAGACATTATGAGAGAGAGGTCTTATCACAGTGAAATAAGTCAATTATAAGTTGTGAGATTCAAAAAGTCAATAAGATATACAAAGTTAAATGTCATTTCTGCAAATTTAAGAGAAATCATAATTCTGATGAAGAACTTTATTGATCCCTGAAGGGAAATTCAATAGGAGTCATCATTAGGAGATAATATGTTAGATATAAGGTAAAAAGTCAATAATATTTATTCAAAAAGTCTTATTTAAAAATTAGTATAATAATGATATAAAATCTAAGGTAAAAGGTCATAGTTCATATTAAAAAAAAGCATAATTATAATTTTTTTTGTTTGTTTGTGTCTCGCAGACCAAACGGCGTAGATGACCTGCTGAAGCTGGCCCAACAGTTTGACTTCAACTTGTTTCATCAGGGTGAGGAGGAGGAGGTGGAGGACCTTCATCAGCAGAGTCTGCAGCTGCTGCCAGACGACAGCCTGGACTTTGAGAACGACTTTCCCCCTTCAATTAAAAACCATCAGCCTGACAAGAGGATCAAACACACCCAGCCAGATCTACAAATGGAAGACGACTTAGACTTCCTGTTTGATGGACCTACTCAGCAAACGAGCAGAAACTTCAGTCAGGTGTCACAAGAAAAACTTCCTCCCGGTGTGTCAGCGAATGAAGCTCCAGTGAAGGCATCAGAACCGTCACACAGAGCGACAAATGTTAAAGGTGTTCCTGCAAGCAATGAGTTTGAGGATGACTGGGAAAACGATGATATCCTGAATGACTCTTTGGTTTTGGAGATGACTCAGAATCCTCAGATCTTTGCTGCTCCGAGACACTGTTCAACCCAGAAACCCCTGGGCCAAATAAAAGATAAATATCCTACGAATATTCCTGTCAGTGTGGGCTCAAGCTCAGCTAAAGTGGAAAAGAAAAACGCAAGGCAGAGATCGACCTTTAAATTGACGTCTAATCCTCATTTCTCTCCTAAAAGAAGCCAGACAGACACTTGGACAAACTCGAAGGTGGATTACAGCTCAAAAGCAGCAGGTAAAGACACTCAGCAGGACAAATTTGGCGCTCTGGAGGGGAATGGATCTCAGTGCAGCTGGCAGAAACCCAACACAGTTAGGTCAGATCCACAAAAAACACAGTTTAAACAAAGGACTTCTGTTTCAAACGTCAAATACAGCACGACATCTGCTCCAAAACCAGCTCCACGCTTCCCACAGAGCCCTGCAGTAGCTTCATCCCGCAGTGAGGCTGCAGTTTCCGACTTTCTCGACGAGGACCTGAACTCTTTCTTCTCGTCCGACCCGATCTGGGACGACCCCGCTGATGACGACCTGCTGTGTGAGATGTGTGAAGACGTGGAGAACCAGGTCCAAAAGATCCCCACCAAACAAATTCCCCCCATATCCACCTCTAGAGAAGCTCTACAGCCCACCGTGAGGACCAGGGACAATGGGACCAAACTGCCGGCCAATCAGAAACCTTTTACCCAGAAACAAACTCATCAAACTCCTCCTCCTTCTCTTGCAGCCAGAGGTTCTCATGCGCACGGTTTTGTCTCCAATGCAGCTGCAGGTGTACAAATAAAAACAGACTCTTTTAGAAACACACAAAATAAAAACACTTCAGGGTCCATGAATAGTTCAGCAGGTCTGCAAGCGAGTAGCAGGGTTCTGTCTTCACGGGCGGGTAACTTTCAGAAAGACCAGTTCACCTTTAAGAGGCCAAGCAACCTGGTTTCTACAGCCAGCGATAAAGGTAAGAACACCTTCAGTGAGAGTAAAAACCACGATAATCGAGACTGAACAAGAGTTTTGGACATGGTAAGAAAAATGTGGACTCTTCCTTTAGACCTTTGTTTTTCCTTTTGTGTTTCTCTGCAGTTTTGGGCAAATGTTCGGCTGCAGAGATTGAGCTGAAGAAGCAGCAGGCGATGGAGAGGCGACGACAGAGACTGCAGGCTGCGCAAAACCCCTGAGCTCCTACCTGAAGGGAAAAAGGACAAAGAAAAGCCCGTGAGACAACGTATAAACAATATCTAGACTCACCTTCATGAAGGTTAAACTGGCTGTTTATCAGCTCTGTTCACCTCTAACGACTGACTCTGAAATATTAAATATTTTCATAAACATTTCTCTCACATTAATGTTTCTGTAAGATTTAGCTTAGAGTTTATGTTCTGGTTATCTTTATTTTTTGCAATCACACCATGTCTTTCTGTATTTTAAAGAAGGTTGGACATTTTTGGAGATAAGCTCATTTAGTTCCTTTAGTCCAAAGTATCTTTTCATCACTAAGTTTTAAAGGTTTTAGGCGAGGTGTTTCCCTTTATGCTAAGGGTCTGGTAAGAGAAGGCACTTCAATACTAATACTAAAAAAACTGCTCTTAAGTTTTTGAAAGTACTTACCACCTTCTAACCCCTCACTCAGTTCCACTTTAAAGGTCTGTTTCTAAAAAGTGAGATAGCAAAAGCCCGTTACTGCCAACTAGAAACTACAGCAAAGACTTCGCTCCCCCCCAAAAAAATCATCTTTTAAAGAAAAAAGTGTTTCAGGAAAGTAAGTTTTGATTGTGTGGTAAAATCCCAAAACAAAAGCCAAAAATCTCTATGAGGAGATACAGTTGTGGTCATGAAATGAAACTTGTTTCTTTGAGGTACAACGTTGAATTTATGTGACTCTGACTGCTGTGACAAATTCTTAACTGTGATTAAAAATCATTATTATGAGACAAAAGAGTCAATATGTGGAGAAAGGTTAAAAAATGTGATAAAAAGTCCTACATTTTAGTGTCAAAACTCACAACTGTAGAAATATAAAGTCAATATCAGAGCAAAAAATGATACTACGTAAAAGTCTTAATCAAACATCTTAGAAGTCAAAAAGTCATCTGATCAAAATTCATATTATGTGATTAAAAAGTCTCGGTTATGTGATTGAAAAGTTGTAATTGTTTAACAAACAAAGACACATTTACCATGTTTTAAAAGTCAATGAAAAAAGACTGATCAAAAGTTGTAATTATACAACAAACAGTCATAATTATGTGATAAAGTAGTTGTGTGAGAAAAACTCATAAGTTTGTGCAAAAAGTTGTAATTGTGTTTTTATTACATATTCTAAACTTTTAGACAAAAAATCGTTTTCACAGGATATAAAGTTACTGTTATAGAGGGAAAGTTGAAATTATTAGACTATAGATTTGAGATTTAAAAAAAAAAAGAACAAGAATTTTTTCTTGAAAATTTTACTTTTTCACTTTTATTCCCCAACATCTCATTATTGGTTGGTTTTTCTCAGTATGGCTTTTTATTTTTATATTTGACTGTTTGTCTCTTAATTACCACTCTTAAAGTTGAGATGTTTTTCATCATGATATCAGTTTTTTTTAAATAATTATGACTTTCGATCGCAACTGTTTGTCTCATCGCTACAACTTTTCATCTCATAACTGTGACTTTTCATCTCATGACAGTTACTTTTTTTCTACATTATTGTCACTTCTATATGCTAACTATGACGTCCGTCTCAATTCTGACTTTTAGTCCACTAATTATGACTTTTAATCGTAATTCCGACATTTTATAAATAACATTTGACTGTTGCGCCCATTATTTTGCTTTAATCTCAAACTTACGACTTTGACTTTATCTCATAAGTATGACTTTCAGGCCCATAACAAAGACAATCAGGTAAACTGTTTTTTGGGCACATATTTAAGACTAATTGTCCCGACTTTTCAAAGATTTTCACTTGATCTCAAAAATTGATTAAGAATTGCTTAAATCACAAAGTCTCCGTTTCGAACCTTTATGATGTCACTTTAACCTTTTGTTTTATGATCGTGACTTGCCCACACTTTTGACTTTTTTCTCATGACTTTAATCTTGACTATTTCACATTGTTAAACCTTTTCTCAATATATTAGTTAAACTTTTCCCCCTTTTTTTAACAGAATAGTTTAAATTTTTGTTGTTTTTATCCTTTCCAGCAGAAATGGGCTTTCAGGGAGAATATCTTTAAACAGAATAATGAATGAATCCCTCTGAAGCATAAAATGAAAATGTGACTGTTGATGTAGCTTTTATGCTAGGCTAATGGGGAGCAGAAGACTCTCCGAAAAAACAGACTGTATAAGATATTAAAGCTTTAGCGCTAAATATTTTTGTTTTAGTTTTTGATCAAGAGTGCAAGTCTGTCCTGACTTCATTTTGCTCTCTGTCTCTCTGTCTCTCTCTCTCTTTCAGCGTATGTTCACTGATGCACTTTAACTGATTTGTATGTTTAACCAATAAAGTTCTTACTGTTGGTGTCAGAGAGGGTATGACCTGATATGTTCAATTGATTTTTTCATTTTTTTTATCAACACTAATGCTCAGTTTTTCCGTCATTAATGCCTACTTATAAAGATTTGCTCTTAATTATGACTTCTCTTACAATATTGACCTATAATTAATCTCATACTTATGATTCGAATGATTTCACCCGAGCACCTGTAGTTTACAGTAGACTTGAGTTGCACACCTGTTTGTTGATAAAGAGGCTCAGTTTACCTGTTTTGTCAGACAGCTGAGTCGATGAATCCTGTTAGCTGGTCCTCATTTAATAAGTCAGGAGTAAGACGAGTTAAAGTGACTTTTCCAAAGACTGAATAATAATAAAGAGTGAAGTGACCAGAGTAATGACCAGAAAAGGAACAACACCACATGAACAATTATGTTAGAAATGTTGTCTGCTTCATCTGAAGTCTTCTGCCCCCTGGTGGCCAAAAGTCCACTATCCCAGCTTTAGCAGGATACCTGTTGAAACATTACCTCAGACAGTTTCAATGAATTTAACTTGGGAAAAAAAAACTTTGTTTTGAACCAGAAAGCCTCTCCCTGTAGGTTTTTTTGTGTTTTGTGTGTCATATCCCCCGCCCGTTGCTTAACACATCTGAAAGTGTGTACAACAGCTCCTGTTACCCTCTGAAGCCAACACTCCCTGCAGGTGAAATGAAGTTACCTGAGAGTCACACTGAACTCTGAACGACCCCGCCTTCCTCTGCTCCATTAATTATTTCGGGGCCAATCACAGAAGAGAGTGACACTTGAGACATCCACAGTGATCCTGCAGGGGACGGGTTTCACTCTGAAGAAGTTTACTTACTGTGGGTTAACATCACGGCAAACTGAGAAGTGGGTCAGTGGTTCTGCAGACTTTCAATAACGCTTACCTTCACCGTTGAAAAAAATTATGAAATAATTATGGGCTAAAAAGTCAGAAATCTGAAATAAAAATATGACTCATTTTCTCACAGTAAGGACTTTTCATCAGTGTTGATTTACTCATTACTGGACTTTTTATCTCATTATTATGACTTTCAAACTCGTGATCATGACCATTACTCCATTAGTATGATTCACTTTCTCATTATTTTGATTCTTTTATTAAATAATTTTGATTTTTGTTCCGTAACTTTGATTTTTTTATCTCATACTTTAAGTGTTTTTAATTTTTATTACTTAATTAAATCTCAGATTAACTAGTTTGTTTCTCACATTTTGTCATCCCATTAATGATACTTACACTCCAATAATCATGAAATCTCATCTCAAAGTCATGACTCTAAAACTTGTACTTTTGTATTATAACAATGACTTAAAATTATTCTTTTCCTTTTACTGGTGTAACAGGGCTTCTATAGACTTTCATTTTGGCTGGTGTGAAAATGAATCTGGAGTCTAAATCACAAACACATGAGCGTTATTTTCAGGTAGGTCAGAGAATGAATGAGACTTTTAATCGATAGTGACAGCAGAAACTCAGTGCCTTCTTTCACAGCTGGATGAAGACTGCATCCTGAGTGGAAATGACCAACGCAACCCCTGTGACAGCTTCCTTTGGTGTTTATTCTGCTGTTTTCAAGTTCTGAGTTTGTGATGGTATCTGTGATCATACTTGTTCAAAGGCGGTGAAGCTTCAGAGCGATTGAGCGAAAGCCTGATTACTAAAACTGAAATAGATGCTCCAAGACTCCGACACCCAACTAATCCTACACAGCTTTAAATCTAGGTTTGATGTGTACAGGAAAGTGTTATAAAAAAATCAGCCTGAACAATCGTCATCATGAGGATCAGAGGAAGAAGCTACAGAGACTAAAACTGTTTTTATAACCAGGCTGTAAACTCACAAACTTCTGCTGTACAGTTTTACATTTTAACATGAAGGTTTGCAGGCCCTGAATGGCAAATACATAAACATTTGATGATGTAAGAAAAGACATTTTATGGAATGCTTTTTTTTTTATATACCTGGAACACTATTCTCTGCAGCATGTTTTCAATAAGACACAGACACAGACCCTCAAATGGGGAGTTTTGATATTCAGCACTTCTGTATCTCTTTGTGGCCTGACAGTGACACCGGCTGGTAAGAAAGAGCGGTACAGCCTGAATTTTATTAGCAGATTAATTCATGTACCTCTGGCTGTGAGTACATAAATATTTTTACTAATTCTTAAAAGTAAGTCTGTACTGTGAAACCACGTTGTCACACATTTTAAGGGTCTAAGCAGCCTTTCGATACAAAAATATTTACATAAAATGTGATTCTGGATCTAATTTTTTTCTTGACTTTGTTATGTAGCAACTTCATTCCCATGGTCTCATCCTCGTAACTTTATTCTTGATTTCATTATCGTAACATGACTTAATTCTCTTAACAGAACGATACTCTTGTAACATAACTTTATTTACTTAAAAACTGAGTATTTGTATCATAAAGATTTAATCCTCAGTCATTTTTTTATTCCTCATAGCCAGCTCCACATTTCTTATCAAAGCAAAAAGTTGACAGCAGAAGTAACAACTTTCAAACTTTTTATTTCTCATTTTTTGGTGTATGAAGTTTCAAGTGATGCAGCAGAGATGAAAACAGGAGTACAAATCTAAGACTGAATAAAAAGAAAGAAAGAAGAAGAAAAAAAATCGTCCCTTTAAACCAACAGAAGACATTTCAGCTCTGCCCCGAAATCAAACCAGCAGGAAGCTCCAACAGAAAAGAAAAAAGAAAAATACAGAGCGTGTGGCTGAGATAACAGTGTTTCAGAAGAGTAATAATACATATTTAAAGTATTTATTGGCAACATCCACGTGCTTGAAACGTTTATGTTTTATTATTTATCATTATTATTAACATGTAAACAACACGGTCTCACCGGATTTCATGAAATGAGCCAAAACTTCTAAAATGCAAAAAGGATATAAAGAAAACAAAGAGAAAATATGTTCAGATTACTGATCCTCACCATGAAACACATTTTATATAACATTTTATCTGATAATAACACAACCCTGACACCATTTCACATCTTTAAAATATGAAACTATTACAGCTAAAGAAACAACTCTGTGTAAGGGATATAGAAAGTAGCTAGTTGATGACTTCTAACTATTAAACATGCATATTTGAGAGTATAAAAATTCAAATATTCTACCTCACAAAAATTTATCTCGTCAGTGCAAGTGCTCACCAGTAATACTATCGACATACTCTTGCATGCACAGGATAGATTTGTTTGCATCTGCAAGACATTTCGCTCATTTCATTAAATGCTATGACCCCCCTGGTAAACTCGAGCTTTGAAAAAAAGAGCTTTAAGAAAAGCTGATCTACATGCAAACAGTGACAGGCAGAAGAAAAAAAGAGATCAGATCACACATCATGCAAACACATCACAAGTCGTCTGTTTCAGGTAGAAAAGTCTCTGCAGCGCGTCACAAAATAAATCAGTCTGACAGACGCCCTTTTTTTTGTTTCTCTCCTCGACGGCTTCGCAAAGAAAGTTTGAGTATAAAGATGAGACAGTCAAAAAGCAAGAGGAGCTGCAAACGCACACATGATCACAGAATATGAGTCCTGTCTCTGCCAACTCTGCCGTCTCTCAAATGAAGAAGCTTTTCATGGTATCTTACAGGAGTAAAAACACGTGCAGCCTGTTCAAACTGAAACTGTAAATTAGTCTTTTCAAGGGGGAAGGATTTCTGCGTGTTGTTCAATGATCAGGGGCGTTAATGTGTGTTCAGACCAAAAGTAAAGATAATTTTCCTGACTTTGCTTCAAAACACCACCAGTGAAAATCATCCCTCAAAATCTGATGGAAAATAAAAAAGTTCTTAGCATCATCCTGAGGCACAAACCGATAGTTTCCACTCCTTTATCATTAGCTGTGATGTTAAAGATTAACCGTCAGTCTTGGTTTCACTGTATCTCTACCTCCACTGAATCTCAGCTTCACAGTACCTCGACTGATCCGTGCTGAGCCTCAGTTCCTTTATAATTTCATCTACCTCCATTGAGTTTCCAATTCACTGTATCTCCCCCTATCCATGTTGAGATTCAGTTTCACAGTAGCTCCATCTGACTTCCTAAAGTCCAAGTTTCACTGTATTTCCAGCCTTCCCTACTGAGTCTCAATTTGGCTGCTTCTTTATCTAGTCATGCTAAGTCTCAGTTTCTCAGTAACTCCATCTGCCTAAACTGAGTCTCGGTTCAATTCCATTTTTATCCTTTCCCCGTGAATCACAATTTTACTGTACATTCATCCGCCCCCACCAAGTCTTAGTTTCACTTTGGCTACCTCTATTTAGGCTAAGTCTCAGTTTTATTGTATAAATTAACAATTCTGTGTCATAGTTTTACTTTATCTAGCAAGTCTTATGAAAATCTGTTTTACAATAGCGCTGTTAACCTTGACCGGACAATTTATAGGGATTTAACTCAATGGATTCTGGTCTACTGCAAATCTACCAGTCTTTCTTGAGTCCTAGCTTCACTGTATCTCACAAGTCACACTGAAGTCCATCTTTCTGCAGCACTATAAACCCTGACAATACAAATTTCACTTTAAACTACATGAAACAAATTCTCCTGCTGTAGCTCCATCTTTTACGCTGAGTCTCAGTTTCACTGTATCTAATAAGTAACGCTGAAATCTGTGGTACTGCAGCCCTGAAGTAGATTTCACTGGAGATGTTATTACAATGAACCAGCTGAAACAACTTCGCAGTGATGCAGGTTTATAAAAACTGTAAATTCAGGATTTGACAGGTCTGTCTGCAAGAAAAAGGAGAGAAACTCTTGAAATGTTTGCTAAGAGAATGGGGTTGAGTTTTTTTCATGTATATACATCAGAAGTCAAAGCTTTGTAGGACACACATTTTTTTTTGCAAGAGTTAGAAAAAATCTGCGATGATTGACTAATTTATAGGTAAATGAAAAGATAATGATTCACTCAATTTAACGCAGATTTTTCTGATCATTTGATTCACTTATTCAGCAGCATTTTTAAGGATTTGTTGCTTCCATTGTCTTAATTTTGAAGTTATACTGCTTTTCTTTAACATAGTTGATTGTAAATGAAGAGTGTAATGAAGCTAGAAATGAAAACTTTTTTAGGTTCCCTTAACTTTTTTTTCACATTTTTGTAGACTTAAATCACAGATTAAACATAAAATAACTGTAAATATAACTAAATCATGAATTGAATATTGCCTCTATACAACAAAAAACATGTGACCCTAGTTTTACAAGACTGTGTCACTCCTTGTGCTAACCTCATGTACATATTGCCTTCACTTTTGGTCTGAACAAACTATTTTAGTTTTTAATCCTCCATTGGGTAAAATATGGGCTATTGAAAGGAGCGGGAATAGTTTTTGCATGTTTTTGAATCTAATCATTTCAAATTTACTCATAAAATGATCAAAATGGTTGATCTGCATCCTTCCTCTTAATGCGATGAGCAAAAAACTGAGTTTCTAACATGTTTGGGGAATTTGTTAGCTGCACATTTTTCACAGATTTCTGCAGAAATTCAACAAATTTATGTCAGGTTTTCACTTTAAATCAATCATAAGCTCCTCGTCTGAGTCCAAGTCTGTTGTTTAAAAAACATGCAGTGCACAATCTGCCCGTTTATTCCTGACGTTTTTTTTTTTCCAAAAGTGAAGGTAAAATGAAGCTGATGTTCAAGTGTAAATAATGCAACACTCCGATAAGATAAATGCGTTCAATAATACGGTTACAGCTCTAAAATAAGGACACAGATTTCACTTATAAGTAAACTGCATGTCAGTAAATGTGGTGTTGGCACTTCATGCTCTGTTTCTGAACTCAAGTAAAACATCACGGCGAAACACACTCATCCACTAAAGTTTACTTTAAAGATACTCTTCCTCTGATTCTCCAAACGAAAAACTATGACACCAAAATAAATATAAAAAACCCACATACCTTGAAAAACCAGCAAAACATACAGAAAATACACACGCTCTCAGAGACGGACAGACAGACACACACTCGCACACATACACACTCCAGCTTTCCTCCACTAAAGTGAAACCGCCGCTCTGCGTTAAAACGCCGTCCGTCCGCTGTTAAAAGTGCGACGTCGAGTCACTGAGAGTTCCTGTTCGGTAATACTTGGAGAGAGTTTGGCTTAGGGGTGGGGGGAGGGAGGGGAGGAGGAGGGGGGAAGGGGGGGAGAGGAGGGGGAGGATTTTCACAGAGAAAATACTGAAAAAGCAGAGAGTTAAGCTGGACGACGTCTTCAAGCAGAACTTCAGTAAACGCAGCGAGACACGAGGTTGTCAGACGTCCACCACCATCTTTTTGTGAATGTCTAATCCACCCACCACCTGTAGGAGAAAACAAAAAGTGACCTTATGCCTCTCACGATGAGAGAATAGACTCATTGTGGGCTCAAAATTTCTCTGTGTGTGTGCTTCAACTAAGAGAGGGGCAAAATTCTCAAAATTTCTCAGCAGTCAGCCCCGTCTACTAAAAACTGTAGCCTAGCTTGCACCCTGTTTCTCTCGTCAGTTTCTCATTAAAGGGGCGGAGCTGCCAAACATCCATTGTGGCTAAAGCACGCAATGGATGACGTGACGCTTCGCCAAAACTCACCGCACAGAACTCCTCGAAGGATATCCTCCCGTCTCCGTCTTTGTCTGCGTTGATGATGGTTTTGTCGACGATCTGTTGGAGCTGGGTGTCCTTCAGGTTGTTACCCACCATCATTTTGAGGACCTGGAAGAGCTCCCCGTTGGATATGTAACCGTCTTTGTCCATGTCGTAGATCCTGAAGGCGACTGAGGTCAGAGAGGTGACACAAAGTCAAAACTTGGAGTATGAATACTGGAGGTTTGTCCGTTCACACTGACGGCAAAGAGTTTATTTCAAAGGCTCTATGCAAACCTCTTCTCCCTAAGGATCTTCATGTTACGCTTTACCATATCAGGTCAGAGGACATTTAAACATTACCTTCCTGTTTAACTCATGTTTAAGTTTAGCAGCAGCGCGAGTATGAGCGTCAAGTTCCATGACTTTTGTTGACATACGACTCTTGAATTTGATAAAAATTTAATGTCTTCAGTGTATGCTAGATACTTACAGCGCAACTTCTGCTCCTTGTCACCTTTCACGCTGAACTGGGAGACGCCTTCAATAAACTCTGCAAAGAGACAGAAACCGTTCAAGTTAGAAATCTGTTAATATAATTTAAAAAAAGTCAGAGGACCACTGAAAATGGGTTGTTTTGGAGTTTCTTGATGCAGATTAATACAAAGACAACATTGAGCTGCTTTTCAAAGGGTATATGCACAACGAAATCCCCCCCAAAACTGAGGCGCTGTTACGTGTTGAATGAGAAAACTGATTTTCATGGTTTGAGAATCATTTCAGGGATTTTACAAATCAAAACCTGACATTCTCCTTGGAAACCATGGATGCCATGTCCTCCACTCGAAAGAGAGGAGGGTCCACCCAGCTTGTTATCAGCTCATAGTCAAAAGCCATAATGTCATGGGTAGCTTTTACATCTGTGAAGGCTCCATTCATGCTAAACTACATATACAGGTTTAGGAGTAACATATGCTGCCATCCAGACAATAAGCAAGCCAGACTTGACTTTTCACCCTTTGAGATGAAAAACAGGGCAAAGGAGATCCTGAAGCGCTAAGCAGCTGAAATCCTATAGTAAAGGATGGGACAAGAACTGGTCTCCAGGATTTAAACACATTTACAAAGTGTTGTTCAAAGAAGAGCTAATGACGCACACATGAACCTATACTGACTTCTTTTTAAACATGTTCTGGTATGAAATTTAAAATGAGCATATATTTTCCTAAATTGACAACATTTTTTAGGTTTCAGTGTTCAAAAATTGCCAAAAAGGTTGTTTATAAGTAAGTAGGATAAACTTTCACAAAGGAGATGAAACTTAACTTGACTGTGCAGGATTGATGTGGATCATAGTGGTTTATTTACCTTTAAAGTCCACTTCTCCGTTCCCGTCGGTGTCAAATATATCGATGACTCGCTGCACGAGGGGATTCTGCTGCAACTCTGGTAAGGACATAAACTCCTCCACGCTGAGGGAGCCGGAGTTATCTAGGTCAAGTTTCTTAAATCTTTTTCCTAGTCTCTTAATCTCATCAGCATCAACTGAAATGAGAAAGAAACAGAAGAGAGAGAGAAAGAGAGAGAGAGTGTCGTTAAGAGATGAAAACTGAAGTTTAAACAGGAGAAAACAACTTGGACAACCACGGTTAGTTTGTGCGATATTTCTCCCGCTAGCTTTAGGTGCACTATCATAAAAACACCTGTCGTCCACCTGTGCTGTGTTTCCTCTCTGCGAGGAATCGTTTCCCTGACAGCCTCACCTGGTTTCTTCTTGGCACTGGCCATAGTTTGTCAAGAGCTGCTGCTCTCTCTGCACAGGTCTGCTTGAACCTTGTGCCGCCGGACCTCCTGTTACCTCGCTCTAAGCCCTAACACGGGGTCATGTGACACCTCTTTCAACACTAATCACTCTGCTAAACACCATGAATCAGCGACACACGGTGCAGGTGGGGGGCATAATGCGTCTGTGCTGCAGCTATGACTTTGCAGGACTGAGTAGTATAATGTCCATGAGCTCAATGTCTTTGTAGATCTGCTCAGACTGAGACTGTCAGCCTGCATGTTTCATTTACAGCACATACTGTAGATGGTGTAGCGGCTGCTTCTACCTGTAGTGGTGTAATCTTTGGGAATCTTCACAACAGTGCGGTGATGATTTAAGGCTAAGTCAGATGAGCTGCTTCTGTCTGATTGGTGTCATGATAACTTTGACAAAAATGCATGTGGATGAGCAGTGGCGGTTCTAGACCAAATTACTCCCCGGGCGACCCCCCCCCCCCACACACACACACAAACACAAAAAGAGATAGAATTTTGAACAGATAGTTTTGTATTACTATGTAGTATTATTATTATTATAACAACAAAAATAATATATTTCTCAATTGCAGAAATCCTTCAATAGAAAAAAACACAATCCTGAGGGCCATTTTGAGAAGGGCCCCCAGATCCTGAGGTTTTCTGACGTGTTAAGGTTTACAAAAAAGCTGCTATCTCGGCCTCTGTAGTAGATAGAAACAAAATTCAGAAAGTATTTGAGAGCTTAAACATGTGGCTGTCAAGAAAGCTCTCTTTTAGTTTTGCAAACCTTCATCACATTTTTGAAAACCTTGAACAAACAAACTCAAATGAAATAAAGTGGCTGTATAAATAAAAGTAAAGGCTCTGCACTGGAGAATGACAAATAATTTGCTTTCTGTAAAACAAGTGGCAGTCATGATAAAGTGTCCATTCAATACAAATGTAAATATAGAAAATAAGGTGTTGAAAGGGTATACAGCTGCCCCAGTATAGTGCCAGTACAAAAGCAGAACTAAAAACTAAAAAATGAATAAATAAATACGTGGCTGACAGTGTGTTCATCTCTGTTCTCACCCAAAGTCATGCAACACCCAGAGAAAACGCTGATAGTGTGAGCCAAAGCACTCCCTATGAAGAGGTTGTTCACACTGCTGGATGTTTCTCCTCTGAAGCTGCTCTCTGCCTCAGTCATTGTTTACTTTACTCACGAAGCTCATCAAGCACGTAGCAAGATCCGAGCATGAACCCGAGCGCTTTATTCGCCTATCAAAGGCAGACGGGTACGGTGATTTCATTCACCGCGACTCCAGAAATGATTAAAAAACTACAAAATGACGTATCCGCGCTCCCGCTGATATGCTGACATGCGTACACAGAGCAGAGCTGTCCCCCCGCGACTCTCTCCCCGCCTCATCGCACACAGTCTGTCAGCCTCTGTGCAGCACTTTCGCAGCAAGCAGGGGCGCCTACAGCAGCGGGGGGGGCGCCAATTTGACAACAAGAGTTAATACAAAACCGCTTTGCGGTTAAGATTCATTATTATTATCTTTTATTTTATTTTTTTGGAAGTGCTCGTGCCTCCCCCCATGAGTCATGACACAAATGCCGCCCCGGGCGGCTGCCCTGTTCGCCCGTGCCTAGAACCACTACTGTGGATGAGTTCAGGCCGGGACCAAGTTTGGTAGAGATAGGACATTGAATGTGACAGTTGGCACCATATTGCTATGACTGTGGATGAGAAATGGGCACACAGACATATTCAGGGACGGACCTTGATCATGTGGATGTGATAAGAAACTGAACACTGTATGAAGGAGTTACAACAACTTCCAGTTTTATAGAATTCTGACATGCAACCACAACTGCCTTTGATTTTCTTTCACTTTGTTCTTGGTTTAGAGTTTGAAACTTATTTAATACACCGACAAGATGATGTTTCATATTCACTTACTATCATTAACTTCTATAGTCAGAGCTTGACTCTAAACTTTTCATCTATCCATCATTTTTCATTATTATAATCTGATCAATATTGCATTTCAGTTGTGACATAATGTTGACGTTTTTTAGACAGACAGATGGACGGACGGACAGACTTTATTGATCCCAAACTGGGAAATTCCCATGTTACAGCAGCAAAAAACACAAAATAAAATTTTATATAAGAAGAAGTTTGTACAATACAGACTAAATATACTAAATACAATAGTATTCCAGGTAAACTGTCTTAAATCTAAATTAGTTTTTTTTGTACAAACTTGTTAGTAGTGCCCTTTGTAACAATGCAAAAATGTCTCTTATATTCAATATCAACCTAAACCTTTTACCACAAATTCAAATCACTAAACTTTACCAGAACTAAAACACACACACACACACACACACACACACACACACACACACACACACACACACACACACACACACACACACACACACACACACACAATAAATAAATAACTAAATAAAAAACAAGACATCTTTAAATCTACTGTAGGGTTTAAGGGATATCATCAGCCTAATAATAAGATTTTATTTTTATTTTTTTTTTAATGTATTACTATTATAAGTGGTCGACCGATTTGAGTTTTTTAGCAGTAGCAAGTGTAGCAGGTTAGCCAATGACAGATAAATATTGCTGATATTGTATTGTTTTTTTTTTTGGCATTTTACTAATTATAACAATTGTAATTAATAATAATTAATAATAACAATAATTTGATGTGCATCAAAATAAAAAAAGAGGAAAAAAGCAACAACAACAAAAAAACTAAAACGAATTGGACATGTTATTGCACATTATTTGAGTTTCCCTCTGAAAAATTGAGGTATTTACAATCGTAATAAATATCTGGCCTATCAGTATTACACATAGGGGCAATACTGTGTTATTGTCTATAAGTTGTGCTAGAAAAACCTGGACTACAGAGAGCAGGACTGGTTAAACAGACTGACTGTCACACACAGCAGGTGAAGAAGCCTGTAATAGAAGACGCTGCCCAGTGCTGTTACAGTGCTCCGAGTTTTTATCGTCAGTTTAAGATGGATTTTAAATTAATTTATGATATGAAAAAAGAAATATATTGGGCTAAGATATATTTTATTTATGCCAGATGCTATCCTCCAGTTAAGCACTCCCTGCTACACTGCATCAACACCAGGCCTCGATGTAGACCTCTTAACCACTAGATGGAGTAATGATACATAGAAACAAGGAGCCATAATTTCTGCACCACTGTCACATAAAAAAAAAAAAACTGCTTATAAAAGTAAGTGACTGAAATAACATCAACTGTCTTTGTTTTGTACAAAAAAAAATACAAGTTGTATTTCACAGCAGTCTAATAAATCAGAAGAAAGTAACAAGACTCGACCAACAGAGCTGCAGTGGGAGGAGGAGGAGGAGAGGCTTGATGTCATTTCACAGAAGTGAAAGTGAAAGTTTGTCAGTGAGTAAGCTGCATCGAGGTCGAGACGTGTCTTTATCTCTGAAACTGATTTAATCAATTGTTGTCGACAACACAGCAGAGCATCTCCAAACACGGTGAGTACAGCTGATCATACTTACACTCCTAACAACCAGGATCAACACTGAACCACAGCTCTGTGTTTGACTCTTTTTTTCACAGTCATGGTTATGAAACAGTCAAACTGTGGCTTTCGGTTCGCATGTCACGATCCTGTACAGGGTCACTTCTTAGGACCTAAAATACCTGTTAGTCTTAATGATACAGAATTTTGTCCTCTTCCACTTTTCTGATATTGGTGTAACCTGATCTCTCTCTATTTTACTTTCACTCATCGAACACTTTTGCTCAGAGGGACATACATGTAGGAGCAAGTTAGGGTCAAACTAGCTGGAACCGGTTCCAAGAGTCTCTCCATTACACTACAAGGTTTATTTGAAGTGACAAAAGAGGTCATAAGTCGTCTTCTCTTTCTCACTCTGTGTGTAGGTATGGCTACTGCAAACTACTCACGACAGGAGGATCAGTTTCTGTGTCCCATCTGTCTGGATGTGTTCACTGATCCTGTCAGCACACCCTGCGGACACAACTTCTGCAAAAACTGTATCACTAAACTCTGGAATACAAACAAAAGTGCCTCGTGTCCCATGTGTAAAGAAGTTTTTACCACAAGACCTGATCTGAAGGTCAACACTTTCATCTCTGAAATGGTGGCTCAGTTCAGAGACGAAGCTCAGCAGCAAGCCAGCAGCAGCTCAGAGGCAGGAGAAGTCCTCTGTGATATCTGCACTGAAACCAGGCAGAAGGCCCAGAAGTCCTGCTTAGACTGTCTGGCCTCCTACTGTCAGACTCACCTGGAGCCTCACCTGACAGCGCCACGATTGAAAAGACATGAGCTGATAGACCCTGTGGAGGACCTGGAGGACAGGATATGTCTGAATCACAATAAACCTCTGGAGCTGTTCTGTAAAACCGACCAGACCTGTGTCTGCATGCTGTGCTCTGTTTTAGACCACAAGACACACGAATTTGTTCCTCTGAAAACAGAATATGAAGAAAAGAAGGCCGAGCTGGGGAAGACAGAGGCTGAAATAAGGCAGATGATCCAAAAGAGACGAGAGAAGATCCAGGAGATCAAACACTCAGTGGACCTCAGTGGAAAAAACGCAGACAGAAAGATGGCAGAAGGTGTTCAAGTCTTCAGCGCTCTGAAGAAGTCTGTTGAGGTTGGCCAAGCTGAGCTCATGAACTCCATCCAAGAGAAGCAGAAAACAACAGAGAAACAGGCCCAAGACTTCATCAAGGAGCTGGAGGGAGAAATCTCTGAGCTAACGGTGAGGAGATCTGAGCTGGAGCAGCTCTCACACTCTAAAGACCACCTCCATTTTCTCCAGATAGTCCAGTCCATGAACATCAACCACCTACCATCAACAAAAGACTGGACAGGAATTAATGTCCATCCACCTTCATTTGAGGATTCTGTGATCAGAGCAGTGGCTCAGCTGGAGGAGACTCTCAGTGCAGACATGAAGAAGCTGTTGGTTCAAGCTGAGCTGAAGAGAATCCGGAAGTATAAAGTGGATGTGACTCTGGAACCTGATACAGCAAATCCCTGGCTCAACCTGTCTGATGATGGAAAACAAGTTTATCTCAGCAAGGCAAATAGGAATCTTCCAGACAACCCAGAGAGGTTTTCTGGTTGTATTTCTGTTTTAGGAAAGCAGAGTTTCTCTTCAGGTAGATTTTACTATGAGGTTCAAGTTAAAGGAAAGACAGGCTGGGATTTAGGAGTGGCCAGCAAGTCAATCAACAGGAAAGGAAAAATAAAACTGAGTCCTGACAATGGTTACTGGACCATATGGTTGAGAGATGGTCACGAGTATAAAGCTCTTGCTTGGCCTTCAGTCAGTCTCTCCCTGAAGTCTCAGCCTGAGAAGGTGGGGGTGTTTGTGGATTATGAGGAGGGTCTGGTCGTATTTTATGATGTAAATACTCCAGCTCTGATTTACTCCTTTACTGGCAGCTCCTTCACTGAGGAGCTCTACCCATACTTTAACCCTGGTCTGAACGACGGTGAAAACTCTGCACCTCTAATCATTACTCCCGTCAGTATAAAATAACTTGTCTTGAGTGATTTGATGAGGTTACCTCAACAGGTGCGTTACTATCAACAACAATATATTTCTAGTAGGGGTGGAAGAAAAAAATCAATTCACATAAGTATCACAATTTTTTGTTTTACAATTTTTAAATCACTCAATTTTTTTGGGAAATATGGTTCCTGGAATAGTCAGTAGACAATCATAATCCTTCAACTGTTTCACTGCTGTTAAAAATGCAGACTAAATATTTGAAAATTGACAATATCGTAGAATTGCAATCTAAATCTAATTGGCATCCAAAAAATCGTAGAACAATCGAATCAGGAGAAAAGCATATTTTCCCAGCCCTTATTTCTAGTACCTGTTTCCAACTCTTTGAAACCGTCATGTGTTGGTTCTAAAAAGCCAAACGTTTTGGCTTTTTATTGCCAAAAGGTTTTATTGCCCACTTCTGGCCCGTCTTCATTAGCCTTAAAATGTAAACATGAATGATGTTTACAGGGGTATACATAGGTATTTTTGAGGAAAAGTGGGCAACCAGCATTTTTTGAAAGTTCAAGGTGTCCCAAACTGGTTTAGACTCATAGTCAGGGCACCCTCAGTGTTTAATAATATCAATACATTTTATTTGTAAAGCGCTTTTCTAGAACTCAAAGATGCTGTACATGAGTAAAAGCAAGAGCAAATCTAATAAAATCTAATCTAATCAAATCTAATATTGTGTTTGATGTCATTTTAAAGGGAACATTTGTAGCTTTCATTCAAATCCAATTATGAACCTTTATGAAATACCTACAGGGTCACATGATTCTGAAAATACAGCCCAGTCTAAGATGCCTGTGAGGAGCTAGTGACCCTTGGCTACACAACTGGATGCAGGACAGCCTAATGCGGCTGTAAGCCAAACCCATGCACTGCATCTTGTCAGTGCCAAAAGTCAAGTGACCTTCGCGTGAAAATGTAACGCACTGAAGGGAAAAAGAATATGATCACAAAGAACTGTAATGCTTTTTTGATTCAATCATTACTATTCATACTTGTAATTAGTTGCTATGTTCAGTGAATTTTACTGATTGATTGAAAGGAAAAATGTCTACCTGGTCGTTGATTATTACTGAATTGGTATTAGTAATAATATCATTACATCTAAACAATTGGTGTGGGGATTTTTTACATAATGCTGGTTCAAAGAATGAATGGAGGTGAATGGGCCTGAGCCGGTTACTGCTATTTTAAGGCTCACAGTAACCTCTCACAAAGAAATAGAATGGATGATCATACATTTCCTGAATCCTCAAAGTCCATTTAATATTGAGATTGTTGGCTTTTGGGTCCTTGATATCCCTTGATCCAATAGGGATAAAAAAAACTATATAGTCTAGGTGAAAACTGTGGGAAAATTGATAGCCATTTCTAGCATTGGGCGATATATCAATAATTACGCTAATTATATATATATTTATATTTATATATTTTTATCTGGTGATTTTGACGGAGCAAAGAGACACAGAGCAGAAATGGAGCGATCTCTTGGTCTAAAGAACCCTTCACTGGAAGAGCAGAGACTGGAGCAGGAAAGCAAAGTGGAGCTGATGGAGGCAGAGGAAAAGGTTCATGATGAGTGTCACAGACGGCGCATGGAAGAGATTAGATCTTTTGGATCCGATCAATTAGTATTATGGACATAAATTTCAGAGACCATAAGTGAAAAGAAAAACAGCAGGTAAATCTATAGATACAGTTCTTCGATTTGGACTCTAAAACGGCTCATGCTGGAGAACTTTGAGCCCTGAGTTACATACAGCATAACATTTAAGACCCAGATATCAAAATTGAAGACTTTTTAAAGTATTATTTCCAAATTCATAAATTCAATGCTTATAAGACTTTTTAAGACCCCGCGGGAACCCTGTGTCTGACCTGAGCTGCCAGAGTGAGATCTTGCTACCTTAAGGTCCAGCCCTTAACATGAGCTACTTCCACGGTCCTAAAAACAGGCTCTGCTCTGGCTTATAGATTTATAAACAAACATTCATAAGGCTGCTTTCTGAGTCTGCTCAGGTCGTAAACCTCCCCCTGCTGGGTCCCTCCTGCTCCTCACACCTTTTATTAACAGCTCATTAGGAGTGCCACCCACTCAGCACACTTGATGTGACTCTGACACCAAGTACAGCTCACACCTCTGTCATCCTGAGGGGGGTGCTACACTTTAGAGTCATTATTTTCTAATTAAGCAGCAAGTTTTTCTCTCTGGAGGCAGGGGGGTTGGAGCGAGGGGACAAGCTAATTAAAAATGGGATATTGCTGCGACCAAAATAAACCAGGTTTTCCCAGCAGCCCGACACTGACCTTTGCAGAGCGTTGAGGCATTTTTAGCCGAAGAGTGTCAGGAGTCTGGGTCACACAGAAAAAGGAGGTGCAGCATGTGGTGCTGTTACCATCCATCATGGACCAACCATTACCGGGCAAACCCCACTGATGACTTCTATCCATCAGCACAGAGAATTGGGTTTTCTGTTACTGTAACAACTATGATCCTCACCTGTTTCACACTCAAAATAATGGTAAAGCTGTGTTTGGTTCGTTTGGTATGAGATCAAAAAGGGGCCCTCAGCATGCCATAAAGTGGGATGGGTGTGGACTGCTCTATTGTTAAAATGTTGTGCTGCATCACTACAAACTATCAGGCAGCCAAAGGTGGAGGGAGGAGAGCAGGGAGAGGAGCTGGAGGATGTAGGTGTGTGTGTATGTGCCAATGTGTGCCTGAAAAGCCAAGGGACGGAGCATGAGGACAGTTAGGCCGTAGTGATCATGACAAGCAAAAGCTAACATCTGCCAGACTGAACAGTGACTTAAGGCGGAAAAACAATAAGATATAATCACAATTCTTCATGTTCTTCAGAGTAAAGGTCCTTACACACTGGGACCGTTTTTTACGTGCGATTATTTTGGACGTCAATTTTTTTTTTTCAAACCCGTATCCTGTCAATACAAGCAATCACATCAGCGACATTTTCCCGTCCTGCGATATTGCAGCATTAATTTTTTCGGATCATGGTTGATTTTTCTACAGTTTCGCATTCTCTGTGTGTCCACTTCTGACCAATCAGATTGCGTGTTGTTGCGGCGTCTGACTCACCGGTATATCCAACATGGCCGACCGGCTGATTGTTTACGTGTCGGAGAACAGAGTGCTTTTTGATAAAAAAGACACAAATATTACAAAGATAACGACCTGAAGGACAAACTTGTGGAGAGTCATAGTGTTGGATTTCTCGTATGACGAAAGTTTATGTGCTTCAACAGTTTTGCTAAACGTCTTTGTTTTAACTTTCATCTGTGCTAAGTAACTTTAGCTCGTAAGCTAACCTGTTCAGATACAACATACCATATGTATTTTCACTGTCTCAAACTCAATCACATTGCTGTCACAGCACCATACGGTCTCGATTGTTAGCTTACTTTTATGGATTATAGTTTAATGTGCTTATCTGGTACTGGCCCCGACTCAGTACATGCTATCATGAAAGACAACCATCTCAACACTAGTGTCTAATCAGAACTGAAAAACAGTCAGTTCGCTGTTGTGTCAGTCTTCTCGCTTCCACCCGGGACGCGTCTTTTTCTCCCCGGAGAGTCGCAAAATCACATCAGGCTTGATGTGTATAGTCAGGCGCGTCAAAATTCTCCAAATATTTCGTAATTTTGCGTTCTATATTTGTGTCAGCCCCGGGGTGTAAGGACCTTAATACGTTGGATCTGTAGCTTGAGATAAAATGTGAGTGGTAGCATACTGGTGGCAAATCACTGTGGGGGGCTGGCACACCGAAGTTTTTGCTGATCTGTATTTGATCCTCATATTTGGAGAAGAAAAAATGTTCAATCCCAAGCACATGAAAGGATATTAAACAGTCAGGAGAGGCAGTGATTGTTTGTATTTGAACACTGTTTCTTCTGATAGAATGAGTTTGAGTCTTATTTATGGATACTTACAGTGCGAGCACATGTCCAGGGCGTAACTTGCTTCATTTCCCTGAAAAACAGAGAAGACTGGCTTTAAAAAAGGATTCCCAATTTAGAAATCTAATAAAACACCAAAGAGAAAATCAAACACTTTATATATAGGATACAACAGAGCAGGATGGCGGTCTTCTGGATCTCTCAATTTAATAAGAGGAGATATTTATAACATGCGAAAACCTTCCAGAGCTTTCAAATAACTTGAATATGTTCTCTTTATAGATTTCTTTTTTGCCCCTTGAAAATGTGTTTATAGACCTAGATGTGAAAACAAAAGATGAATTTTCCTTTGTCCATTCTTGGCTAATCGTTGCTCTTTTCATTATGCATGAGTGACAGAATGATCTGGACTCTGAAAACGAGGTCAACGTGCTGCCTTGATTCGCCTCGTCTCATCTCTCGAGGACTTACAGAAATTGAACGAGGCTGCTCGAATGAGGCCACAGCTTTCCTCCTAGGCCGGTAACGAGGGCCACATTAGCTTTGAGGCACATTAACGGGTATTATGAGAGGTTTAAACTGCCTGACAGAACGAAAAGCCCATTATGTGATCTGGGCTTTGACTAGGTCTCTCTTACTGACTGAAGAGGACACTTTCTTACTCTGTTGCACCTTTTTCTCACCTTTCAAATGAAGTGAATTACTGATGTTTTAGCTGGATCTTTACTAAAAGTTAAATACTGATTCTCTGTTATAAAATGAGATTTTACACTTTAATGCTGTGGAAGAAGTAGCGCTATTACTAATTTAAAAAGCATTTAAAATCTACAGGAACTTTAGCAGAGACAACCCAAAGCTCCACAATTAGAGGGAAATTCAGTGGATTTACAGCAATTGTGACCTACTATTTTCCGAGGCTAAAGGCAGTGGATGAACTACACAGTTTCAAACACCATATGTAAAGAAATCGACTGAGCTTGGGGTCCTAAAGCTACCATTAAAAAGTAGGGGTTGATGAAAGCGTCTCTTTGGTACAAAGCTCTATCTAAAAGAGTCTATCTATAATGTACACGTGCACTGGAACATCACGTTTAACACCAGGTTTGAGTTTCCTGTTACTGTGTTGGTAAAAAATAAACAATACAGCATGTAAGCAGGAAAAAAACACCTCCATAGTGCTTCGGTTCAGGGTCTGTGGCAGGTTTTATTTCTGCCTCACTTTATGCTGCAGCTTCTACACCCTCTCCGCCTCCGTCTGAGGGTTAGGTGGATGGTTTGCTCTACTCATATCCATCAGCTACCAGCCTGAATTATGTTCATGTTGCAATAAGGACATAAGAGTGATTCAGAGTGCTTCCCATAATTAAACAAATACATTGACGCTGTTATGTGTGGCTATTTACAGTTTCCTATTACAGGGCAGAATCAGGATGCATGAACCTGCATATTTCATCTGAACAACAAAGCCAGGTGATATTATTTGTGAGTTATTGGCTTGAAAAAATGAGGTTTGTTTATGTTCTTCCTGTCAATCATGCACAAGCTCTACAGTGGCTTTATCATCTCAGCGCTGGCTTCATTTACACACTGAATTATTTTACAGCACTCATCCTACCTCAGCAGTTTATCTGCCAGATTATATGACTGACTGATTTGGCTGCCCACTTAAGTTATTGATTCAAATCCTCTGCTGAGAAGACCCTGATTGCACTTGAAAGTGCCTGAGGAGTTTTTTTGTAAAAACAAAATGTACTCTTATAATGTTGAAATCATTATTAGCATACAGTAGGTCTCCTTTTTGCGAAAACAAAATACACAATATACAAAACCCAATTCCAATGAAGTTGGGAAGATGTGTAAATCCTAAATAAAAACAGAACACAATGATTTGCAAATCCTTTTCAACCCATATTCAATTGAATACACTACAAAGACAAGATATTTAATGTTTAAACTGATAAACTTCATGGTTTTTTTAAAATAATTATAGAATTTGATGGCAGCAACACTTGACAAAGAAGTTGGGAAAGGTGGCAAAAAATACTGAGAAATTTTGAGGAATGCTCATCAAACACCTATTTGGAACATCCCACAGGTGAGCAGGCGAATTGGGAATAGGTGGTTGCCATGATTGGGTATAAAAGCAGTTTCCCCAAAAATTCTCAGTCATTCACAAGCAAGGATGGGAGGAGGTTCACCACTTTGTGAAGAACTGCGTGAGCAAATAGTCGAACAGTTTAAGAACGTTTCTCAAAGTACAATTGCAAGGAATTTAGGGATTTCATCATCTACGGTCCATAATATCATCAAAAGGTTCAGAGAATCTGGAGAAATCACTGCACGTAAGCTGGCCAGAAACCAACATTGAATGCCTGTGACCTTCAATCCCTCAGGCAGCACTGTATCAAAAACCGACATCAATGTGTAAAGGATATCATATCACCACATGGGCTCAGGAACACTTCAGAAAACCACTGTCAGTAAATACAGTTCATCGCTACATCTGTAAGTGTAAGTTAAAACTCTACTATGCAAAGCAAAAGCCATTTATCAACAACATCCAGAAACGCCGCCGGCTTCTCTGGACCCGAGCTCATCTAAGATGGACTGATGCAAAGTGGAAGTGTTCTGTGGTCTGATGAGCCCACGTCAAATTGTTTTTGGAAATAGTGGACATCATGTCCTCCAGGGCCAAAGAGGAAAAGAATCATCCGGACTGTCATCGATGCAAAGTTCAAAAGCCAGCATCTGTGATGGTATGGGGGTGCATTAGTGCCCAAGGCATGGGTAACTTACACATCTGTGAAGGCAACATTAATGCTGAAAGGTACAGGTTTTGGAGCAACATATGCTGCCATCCAAGCAACGTATTTTTCATGGACACCCCTGCTTATTTCAGCAAGACAATGTCAAGCCACATTCTGCACATGTTACAACAGCGTGGCTTCGTAGTAAAAGAGTGTGGGTACTCGACTGGCCTGCCAGTCCAGACCTGTCTCCCATTGAAAATGTGCATTATGACACGTAAAATATGACAACGGAGACCCCGGACTGTTGAACAAATGAAGCTGTACATCAAGCCCCCCCAACAAACCCTTTGCCTTCCTTCTCCTAGTATACGTAGATATCATATACAGGTGACAGTTTCTCTCAAAGACAGTGGTCACTAGGACTAGGTGATAATATGCTTGTGATTAATGGGTGTGATAAATTTCAGTTTGATCACGGTGATCAGCTGTGAGCATATTTACTCAATCACAGTGGAAATGTGCGTGACAACAGCCAATCAGAGTCAAGCTTTTTCTTGCTCACTTCTGTAGAGATCGGAGGATATGACAAAATATATCGTGATCATTTTTTTTCCCACCAAATCGCCCAGTCCAAGTGGCCACTCACTCACCGGCAACCTCACTCTGCCCCTCTGCTCCACCATGACACCCCCTCTTCTCCGTCACCAGTGGCCTCACTCTGCCCCTCCGCTACACCGTGACACTGACACACACCCTTTCTCTCCTCCACCGAACTGTGACTTTTGTGTACTGTTTATTAAATTATTAAAACCAGCAAAGATCCCAGTGTACGCCATGCAGGCAATACCTGGGCAGACAATCCAAGTACATTTGCCAGCCTTTTCCATATATCCAACCCATTTCCTTATTTTTACATCCTTACAGATTCAGCCCATGATCTCTCATGTCTTTCTGCCCTTTGCATTCCACCCACACTTGTCACATGCTCTACAGGTGATCAGGGAGGAGGAAAAAGAGATTCTTCAGGGCTTCCTTCTTGTTAATTATGAACTGACTGAAGGGCAATGTGTCACATTAAATATGAACCTTCTCATACCAGTGTTTTAAGGTTATGTGGCGGTGTTGTCGGTTTACTATCACAACTTAGCTTCGTACCAAAATGCAAAGTCATGAATAAGTCCAGCCCACACATGACTCACCTATCTTAACAAAGAAATAATGAGTGGAATATTTTACTAAAATAACACAGCTTTCAATGGGCTTCCCCTCATAATTGATAAAGCCGATTGCTTTTGCATTGTATCATATCATATCATCTCACATCGACTTGTGTCATATATTATTGTATTGTATCGTAATATACTGCAGCTTACTGTATTGGACTTAAAGTTATCTCCTGATTAACAACCCTTCTAAAGACAGAGGGCTGTATCAGGCCTCCAAACATTATTTTCTGGCTCTTCAAAAAAGGTTCAATCCTCCTCATCTGCACTAAAACATGAGCCCAGCATTTTCAAGCATGCACCATCTTTGGGAAGCAGCTTTTCGGCATGAAACCCCGCTGCTCAGTGTGTGGAGGCCCTGAGAGGAGAGAAAAAGATGTTTTCCAAATTCGGCTAGCTCAGTGTGGGAGTATTCTTGCTCATGTCCACACAATCCCTGATCCATCAATCCAATTTTAACCCACATTAAGATGTTAACTCTGGAGTGTTATGTTCACCAGCAGCATACAGTTTGACCTGCTTTACACCTGGTAACACCTGGTCGTACGATCCTAAGTCATCAAATACAGTGTGCTTCTGTCCTAATTCCCACAATTGATTCATGGCAACTGTCCAAAAATAGCGGTAATTACATCATATTTGCTTCCTGGACAAGCACATCCCGGCTCCTGCAGCCTGACTGCTGTGTCATGTTCAGATTGAGCTTCCTAACATTAGTTAATGCAACATGTCCACTCCGCTGTCCTTAGGAATCCTAAGCTGTCTGCTATCACTAACCATTATTTGGACAAGATAACACTCGCATAAATCTGGAGGTGGACACTTTGCAGAGGACTGGAAGGAATTTCTTATGACTTGTAGGTCCTTTTTTTGAGCCTGGAGAGAACAAATCGTTGCTTGAATATTAAAAAAGTATACCCAGTTGCTGGGTTTTACTGACTTTATCCAAACTCCTATTTTAGGCAGGTAAAGAATAAAAGCCAGGCACCCTAAAAGGAGCAGCTTTGTAATTCTTAGATCCCATGAACGGGCGTCCAACACTTAAATCAATGTTAAGAGACACAATGCACATCACATCTTCATCCTCACACCTTTTCCAGACATATTTGGCTAATTCAGTTTTATTTACACAAGCTGTAAAAAAAAAGTAAAAACAGATGCAAAAATATTCTGCAGATGCAAGATTAATGGGGTTGAAGCAAATTATCAGTTAAAATGTAGCATTATGAGTTTGGATTTAATCAGGTCATTGTATGTCTGATAATATCCCTCTGCTCTGAATCAGAACGCCTTTTATTTTTTGGCTCAAACTTTAAAAAAATACACTGCCACATGAAATTACTTGCAAAAGGACGATCTACACGTGAGGCAGCTGTAAAAACCTTCAAATTAGTCTGAAAACATCCTGTCAGTAGCTGTGACAGTTTGATTCAAACACCGACATAAACCTCTGACAGAGCCCCACATTTCCTCCTTCAACAGTTCAGCCCTTCCTGTCAGTATTTACAAAATAAAACACCCATGCAAAGCAAAGCCTGCAAATACGTTGTCACCTTTACTTTGTATTGCCTGATTTTCAGATGTTACAAACAGAAGGGGGGCAACTGTGTTACGGAATACAATCTTAAAATAACATTTACCAAAAGTGTAATATTATCTCAGGATGATTATCATGCTTACACAAGATAATTGCCAGCGAGCAGACAATTATTTCATATAATCAAGATAACTGTAACGTGTACAAGATAATTTTCATGTGCTCACAAAATAACAATCTAGATTCTAGATTGCACAAGATATTAATCATGCGAGTGCACATTTTATTTTGTGGGAAAAATTTAAAATAATTAACTTGTGTACAAAATAATTATTGTGTACAAAAGATAACTTATCCTGATCACACAAGATTTATAGCATATGCAAGCAAGACTTTGTGTTATCTCGAATGAACGTGATAAATATCTTGTGCTCTTAAAATGATTATGTATGCAGAAGATAATTATCACGTGCATGCAAAACACTATCATTTGGGGTAAATATAATAATTAGCTTGATCCCTAAAGGTAAGTTTTATTTTGATTATCAAATTTCCCCTCTAGAGTAAATAAACTTCTTCTTATATTAAAGCTATAGTGCGTAAAATCTATGTGTCTGTATATATCCGTCTCACCCAAGCCACAACAAGAGAAGATGATACAACACTGATTAAGCCGGTCGGCTCCTCTATCAACTCACAGTATTTTTCAGGATTTTTTTCTTTTTGTATTTGGTGTCAAGGGGCGACATTCCTGCACTGGCGCAAAGGAAATGACGCATTCTACGTGGAGGTCCGTTGTTTGTTGACAAACGTAGAAGACTAACTCAGATTTACATCGGTGTCGCTTTTCCTCGATGGAAAGCCGTGAAGGAGGAGATTGGACTGAGATTCAACACTGATGTTGCCTTGATACTGCTGGATAAGTGACTCTGTTCATTATGAGCAGGATGTGTTGCTATCCCATATACTGGAGTACTTTATTATTTTCTTGTAAATGATGCTATAAATGTAATGTATCATAAACAGCCTGGTATTCGCCACATTGTGTAACATTAGTCCTAATGAGCAGTAAGTAACAAGGTGTGTTTAGCCCATGTTGCTGTGTGTAACTTACTGCTGGGAGTCTGTGTGCTGTGAAGAGTAACTTTAGTAGCCTACATGCTGTGCAGACAGTTACAGTCTGTGTACCATGACGAGCAGTATGCGGTGAGTCACGACTGTTACTCCGTGTACCGTGACGAGATGTACACATTGTGGTGACAGTTATAGTCTGTGTACTGTGGTCCATGACCAGCAGCATGTGGTGTTACGCTAGTGTTTCTCTGTGTAACATGACAAGCAGTACACATTTTTTAGCCAGTGTTACTTTGTGTACTGTGACAAAAAGTATGCCGTGTTTGGTGAGTGTTACTGTGTGTGATGTGCATACGTCATATTGAGGTGCTGGCCATATCATTGTAATAAAGTAGAAATTCTTTAGGGGGCGACAGAAGTTAGCGTCAATGCATATTATCTTGAACACATGTTAACGATACACGTGTGCACAAGATATCTTGCACTCATGATATATATTTTGAGGGATCATCAGTAATTATCCTGTTTGCACAAAACAATATCATGTGCACAAAAGATGCAAGACATTACATTTATAGGACAGATAATTTGCACCATCATGATTGAGATATTTATCATGCATGAACGAACAAGACATTACATTGCATGTTCATGGTAAATATCTTGTGAACAGAGAAAAACGTTTTGTGGACATGAGATATTTAACACTGTGATATTTAACACTTATTCGCACAAGCTTTTATCTTGTGCATACGTAGCTATTACGTGTGCACAAGATACTATTTGCTTTAGTTTTACATTATATGCACACTCAATTTATCATGTCGACACAATTTATCATCTTGGCTCACAGGTTTTTGTCATGTCATTGTATGCGCACAATACAGAAATATCACATTTCTAGGTCTTTAGGGGCTTGGTTATTTTCAATGATGGTGGAGTCGATGGTCAAATCATGTTGCAGCACTTAGCTGATGAGAAAAGACAGGGTTCAGGAGACGAGACTTTAGCAGTATCTTTAGGAAAACTTTAATTTTGAAAGAACTGACTGGAAAATAGTTTTAAAAGAGAAAAGACACAATGCCAAACAGCACAGGTCTATTTAAAATGTTTTCACTAGTCATCGTTTGGACATGAATGTTGAACCAGTTCTGCTTTCTGACATAGTTATGGAGTAAAAGATATGACTAGTCTGTAAGCACAGAAGAGTCTCATCATTCACATGTTAGTCTGATGAGGCTTATAATGGACACAAGTTTACTTGTTCACCCATGCTTTCATTTTCATGAGCTTTTAGGTTTACACATAATATGGGCATTCACTGTCGACTGCAGAGACCAATACTGAGTTCTCCCCTAAAGATATATCAGCTTTTTTTTTTAAAATACTGTTCCCAGGTCTGAGAGCTGTTTACAGAACCAGACTGTGGCCTGTAATTAAGAGCTTTTACCGCTGTGTCTCTCTCTGCCACAGTGACTTTTTGTGGCGAGAACAACTCCTTAAAAAGTTTATGTTCTTTTATAATAAATCTGTATATACTCTTCTACAAAATGTGTGTGTGTTGGATAAAGTGAATGTGAAAATGGATAAATAATATGTACAGAAAATAAAAAATAAGACATTGAATCATGGGGTCTGGTACTGCTCAGTCTGACGTCTTTGTTAACAGCAGTTTCATTGGTTTGCTGTTGCACCATCATTCAGTCCTCCAAATCAGTGTACTGATCTCACAAGACAGTTTATTGCCTCTAAAGAAGTTCTGTAACCCTTTACATCACAAGATATCATGGATAAATTCTGGTCACGCTCCTGACCGTAAACACAACCTGATTTTCATCATTAGAAGCTATTCCGCAAGCCGTGCAACAGTGAAGTCTATGTGCAGTATCAGCAGGCTAAGACTTACTACAGTGGCTTCTTTATACTTGAATAATGAGCAATGGAAAATAAATAATTATTGAATTATTCAGCTTAGCTTTCAGTTGTAATCTAGATTTGATCAAATTCAAAAACATGATAAAGTATTAGTTCTACATTCAGAAATAAGAATTACAATTTTGAGATTCAAGTGATTATGTTACAATCACGATGCTAAAAGAATAAGTCACTAATTGAGTCAACTATTAGCAAAACAATGCTGTTCTGAAGTAAGATGTCACAATGCACAATCTTTTTACGGTCTTGATTCTCCAAAACACTGATTACTATGACAAGAAAAGTACAATTCAAGAGACTCCATGTTCTTCATTTTGTACGAGGCAGTGGGTTGCTTACCAAAAACAAAAACTATGACTTTATCACGACTTAAATCTTAAATTTTGTCTTCACTGTGACTCTATTCTCTTCAAATTACAACTCTATTGTCTTTTGACCTTATCTCCTTCACAATTTACAATTACCGCCTGTTCTCTGACTGAAAATTAAATACTGAATCTTGGGGTACTGATGAGAAAGACTTCTGCATGAGTATGTAAAAAAAAATAATAATTAGCAACCTTGTTAATTTATTAAGTCAATATTACTAATTTCGGTATGAAAAATACGGGCTTTTATTTTGGTAACAAAATTACGTCATTTCCTCTGTTGAATTGTAGTTCACTTGACGCTCTTCCAGTTAGCTTGTCTGCTAGCAAAACCTCTACTATCCCTCTATGTATTTTCTTTCAAGCTTCAATTATGATCAAATTAGAGCGATTTATGCATCTGTGTTAGATTTTGCGTAAATGTGTGGTCATATCTAAGGTGTAATAAGCGTAAATGTGACGATATCAAAGCCCTAATGATTGAAATAAACTGCCCCAAACGATTTTTTACGTCAGCTCTGTGCTAACAGCGGCTAACAGCAGGTTAGCCTAAAGCTAGCAGTGCAGTCGAAGGAGAAGCTGTTTTTACAAAATGAGGATTGACATTACACTTTAAAAAAATATTAAAAACACATTTTTTTTTTACCATTTTGCCGATGCGTAGTCTTCAGTTGGCTGGAGAGAAATTTAAAGGTCCGTTAACGGGCCGACAGGATGAGATAACAGCGACGCTTGAACGCGGTTTGTCACTTTTCTCGGCCAGATAGCGAGCACCGGCTGTCTGACTTTACGGTTTCTGACAGCGGGGGAGAGATTCACTGCAGCGCCAGCAGATAGAGCCGCAGAGGGGGGAGAGAGAGCGAGAGAGAGGGGTGAGCTGGTGAGGAGAGTGAAGAGGGAGAGAGGAGGAGGAGGAGGAGGGCGAGGGGGAGGATAGAGGAAGGTGCAAACCAAAGCTCGTTTATTAATAAGATGTCTCACTCGAGCTTCAGCCGCGTGTTCGCCTTTGCAAAAACACTGTTTGCACAGCTTGATCAGGGAATTTCTCTTTTTGTCTCCATGCACAGGGATTTTTCAAGCCATTAGTTTTTTATCCTTACCTTTTTAACTGGATAACAGGCTAATCAAGTGTTTACTTTCGTGAAATAAACAGAAATTAAACCCAAATATTCAATGGAAACAAAATGTTCTCAATGGATACCTGCCCCATTTTCACGCATTTGTCCTGAAAAGATGAAGCAAACTTAGACCGTCTCAATTTTCCAGAGTAATTACTCACAAATGTCTCTCTCAATGTGATGTTTTCCCTGTCAGGTAAGGTCAGGTATGGAGGCCCTCAAGGTAAATTCAACGAACATTTAATGAACACGAAAAACACTTCACAGAGCATTAGAGATATTCTGAGAAGTCCCAAAACATGTCTTAAAAAGCATACAATTATGCCTTGAAACACCAAAATCAAAAGTGAGGATATATCTAAACAAGGAGAACAAATATTTCATGCTTGAAATAATAAAATTTGTGTCACATTAAATGTTTTTGGCATTTTTTCTGTCAATATTTTGCATTCATTTGTAATCTTTATGTTTGTGAAATGTTCCAATTTTTCACCAAATAGATTTGCATTTCATTAGAAATTTTTCTTTGTTTTCAGGATTTTTTTGGATTATTTTTATGTATTCTGTTTTTTCATTTAAAAAGGGTTTTTTTTCTTTTTGCATTTGTGAAATGTTTTTGCAAGGCCACCAAAGCCATGGTCTTAGGGGCATGATATGCTGTTAAAAAAAAAAAGCTACAGTCACTATATGATGTTTAAAATTATCACCAGGATTGAGAATTGAAGCAGTCAATTATTACTTTACTTTCAGTTTTTAATGCTATGTGTAGTTTTGCTTCGATTTTCCTGACTCTAACCACCCAGATTTTTTTGCAAGACAATTAAGAGAAGTCCAGGAAAAGTCAAGATGAAAACTTTGGATGTTCATTTAGCAATGTAGAATGAAATAACTCTTGTAGATACAGTATGTCTCAGACATACACAACAAGGTTACATGTGCAGATGTTGTGATCTCTCTGCTAGAGTGATGCATTATCTTAAACACATACAATCTTTGTAGAAGGATAGTGCAGCACAAACAGGTTCTGTGTCCATCTCTGAAGCTCCTCTCTGCTGAGAGAAAGCATCAAGGATCACTAGTAAAAACAAACATCCATCTCCATGTTTGCAGTGCAGCACGCTCCTTTTAAATGCATCTACAGTAAGAAAAAATACTTCTGTTAGGCTGAATAACAAATTTCTTTAAGCATTTGTTTCATACATGCAAAATCTTCAGCTTTTTGTTTGAGATAGCTGCCACAGTCAAATAAAAAACAGAATATCTGACATGTTTTAAAGACAGAGGGCCACAAAACAAAAAAGATACAACTAGATACATTCACCTTATTATGGATACAATCTGTTCTGTATGTTGCATGTATTATATGGCATGTTTTGCTCTATTGCTTTCTTATGGCAGCTTCAGCTGGTTTTGATGAAGGTGATCTTCTAAATGATAGTTATTCTAAGGTTGTCAGCATTAACATGGGAATCAGAGTGGGATTACGGTCAGAAATTAATTGTAATTTCTGAAAATTGTGCATAAATATCTTAATATTGTCCCCTCTGTTCCCCCTCAGAGATAAATAAGGTTCTTATCTCATCTTAATATCTATTTGAATACACAACTGTCATTTATATTTGTATTGTTTCATTAGCATCACAGCACAGAGACACCTCTCCTAAGGGTCAAAAGTAACCCTCTCTGATGCTGGCAAATGTTCGGCCCTTATTCTTGTAGACCTATGAATGGCCTTCAACTTGCTCAATCAGCATTTCCCTAATCTGCTCTGAACTGCTTTGTTTTGTCATTTAAAACAGACAATTTACCATCTCAAATGGCAACTTACCTTTCACACCAGAAAATAGAAACGTGGAGTACCCCAGGGCTCAACCTTAGGTCCTCTTTTCTTCAGTCTCTCCATGCACCCATGCATTTAAAAGAATCATCCAAACTCACAACATCCTTTTTCACTGCTATGCTGATGACACTGAAATCTACCCTCCCATCAATTCTGAAAACCTGACCCACATAACCCGATCATAAAACTATCTTCAAGATGTCGAGGGTGGGTAGCTCAGAAAGTCCTTCAGTTAAACTACTTTCACATGATTTAATATGTCTTACACTTTCTCCAGTGTTGTAAATTCAAATATTCAGATCAATAAAGGAAACTGTAACTATGCAGTAATAACGTTTCAGTATACCATTTTATTCACGCAGACACTTTTCACTCTTTTGTTCAACACATAACAAAAACAGCAAAGGTTTAGGCATTGAAATATCAACAAAAACAAACAAACAAACAAATAAATGTTTCATATTTGGCAAAATTGAATTCAGCCATGCGCTTTTGCTGAAAACAGAGAAAAGGGGAGCTGCAGCATCACTGTGAAACACAACGACACACTTGCATCCTTCGATTAGCACCTGAGTCAAAAATAATAAAGACAAAACATTTTTTCCTTTTCCAGTAGAGGGGTGGAGTTCAGAGACGGACAAAAACGTTGGTACGGGCTGAATACAACTGTCCAAACTCTAAATGTGTAGACTGGGTAAATTGCTGACATACAGTTAACTTTTAAGATTAAAGTCAAAATTTAGGTACCAGGATCACAATTCTACGATTGAAAGTTAGAATTCTGAGGTTACAGTAAGAATTCTGATTCCAAATACGAGTTCTGAGATTAAAGACAAATTCTAGTATCAAAGTCAGAGCTTCAAGAGTCATAAATCTAAGAATTCATTCAGAAATCTGAAATAAAAATTGGACGTCTGAGATGTCAATGCAGAGTTCTTAAATAAAAATCTAGAATGCGAATAAAAGAGCTAGAATTTCTCAAATGAAAGAATCTGGCACCATATTCATATGTCAGAATCACTGGCCAAATCACAGATTTTTACCTCAGAATTTTGGGATAAAAGTCAGAAATTTAGCCTGACTTTAAATATGTAAATCTAAGATTATAATCACAATTTAAGGTCCAAGGTAGAAGTCTAAGATTACAGCCAGAATTTTGACATTTTGGTATTCAGGTATTTGTGTCCAAATTCTAATATTAATGTCAGAATTCTGACAGAAAGGTTAAAAGTCAGAATTCTAGCATTTAAGTCGGAACTCTGAGATTAAAGTTAGAACTCTGGGATAGAAGCACATCAAAGAATTTTGACCTCAAAGTCAGAAAAAGAAAAGTCAGAGGGCTTTACTGTTTTGAAAGAGACTGTTTATCATTTGATGAAACAGTCAATGCTTTCAACGTGCTGACCCTGACACTTCTATTTTTGAACTATGTGAACATGGACCCTTTGAATTTATTTACTGTTCTTCTGTGATAGTTTCATTGAGGTGATGTCCTGGAGATCTTGTTTTGAAGCTTTCACTCATATCCCCAGAGTTTTAAAGCTCAACAGACACTGACATAGTCTTAACGTACCACATAAGTGTGGCTGATAACGGCATGGCATGTCCTGGTCTGGCCTATCGCAAAGACTAGACTATCATTTCATTTCTTAATGGTCAGAAACCCTGTTATCATCAGAGAAAAAGCTTTGCCATGTCGAAATCGAAAAAAAACAGTTGTGTAAAAAATAACACATTATCAAAGGAAACAAAGCAGATAGAAGAATAGATGAATGCCCACTTAAGACTTATGCATTTGTTAAGATTTTTTAGTTGATAATTATTTAAACTTGATGTAAAAATGACCAAACATCAAAAGGACAAACAGAATAGTCAGTTCCTGTACCCCAAACAGAAATGTAACATTCCTTCACTGCTACCTGTTTGCAAATTGATAAATGACAATAAATAACACATTTAAATAGTCAAACCTATACCAACAATACACTCACTCCCCTTCTTTTCTCACAGTCACATTCACACATTGATAAATAAGGTCAAACACTTCTTACATCAACAGGTGTCTTCCATCCTGGTCTTGAGCTAACATTGTGCTAGCTGCTAAGTTGCTCCATCCTGCCTTTGTGCTGCAACATATTGCTCATAGTTTTAACCCTGCTTCAGAGGAACAGTGAGGACATTTTGAGAATATCATTTCTGTGATGAGATTGGTATGAGCTTCAATTCATGCCTTTCTTTGAGAATCACATTGCTAATTACACCCCTCACAATACCATTTATTTGGTTGTGGTGAGTCTCAGTTTCACTGTAAATAGTAAATTACAAAGAGGCCTTACTCTGGCTAACTTTGGCAATATGGACTTGAAAAAACAAAACTATTCTTGTAATTTTTCTCAAATTTTATAGGGGCAAATTGTCAGAAATAACATCATTGGTGGTTAGTCTCAGTTTCGTTGTAAATAGTAAGTAAAACAGAGGCTTCACTATGGCTAACTTCAGCAGTATGAACATTGAAAAGAAACTGATTTAACAATATCTTTATGCAGATAAATAAAGAGGGAAAGGTCAGGCTTTAACAGGTCTGGCCTCAAAAGAAGAAAACACCTTTTAAAATGTAATTTGAATGGGGGTCAGGTCATAAATTCCGATGCGTTCAGGGAAGTCAGGAAAATCTTGATGCTGATTGTCTTTAGTGACACAGCATAAGATGAGTGTTTTGAGTGTGAATGTTTGACATCTGTTTTCTCAGATTGCTGCTGATATGAGCCAGGATGAGTCCCGCCTGCTTTTGCCCTCCATACAGACTGTTTTTCTGCAGACACCTGGTTGATCCATACCTACATGAATCTTCAATCTTTTATTTTCAAATTAGAGGCACTGAGATAAAATTCACATCAATCTTCCTTCTAATTTTGAGAAAGATGGTAAACGATTCCACAAAATGTCCCTTTGTTCCTTTGCATCCCGGCTTTAAAGCTTCACTCGGCAACTCCAGCTTCTCCTGACGTTTGATAACTGACTGGAAACCCACCCACACAGAGAGAGAGAGGATTGAGACTCTAGAGCAAAAAACAGCGATAAAAGTGATCCCTTTGGAGCGGAGCTGCACTTGAAAGCCTCAGATCTTCTTCTTCTCTTGTCCCCTCTAGAAAACATCTTAAATGAGCCCAGTTTGTGCAGTTATCCTCCCTCACTGCATAGGATTTCTGAGCATTATTAATGTTTCAAACTTTTGCCTTTCTGCTGTCATGTGAAGCTGCCAAAAAGCAGAGTGTTGCTGAGTGTAGCTTTAAAACAAACCTCCTGAAAGACCAGCATAGCAAACAGCTTTTTTCACTCCTCATTTTCTTGAAAAAACACAAATACCAGACCCTCTCTGATTGATGCTGCCTGTAAGACACGACTGTCCTTTTTTTCTGTGGTGCTGATGTTTAAACAAAGTCCTGACATGTCCTCTGTGTTTGTTATGCGGACTTTTGAAGGACCGTTTGACTCAGTTGAACGCCTCCTTGTTGATCCACATGAGGGTCCTCGTCTCATTGGGCTTGCATTCGTACTCGATGCTGGTGAATTTGTTGCCGAACTGGCAGTGCTCCCTCTTGTAGTAGTTGTAGTACTTCGCCTGCCAGACCGTCTCAAACGTCCCAGCTTTGTTAAACTGCACAGAAGGAGGATCAGCGTCACCAAAAACTGCGGGTAAAGTTAGCGCTCTGTTTTTACAGGATCTGACAGACTGAAAATTGAACCAAGCTTTCAGCTGCTGCTGCAGGCCCAAAGTCCTGCATCTGATATTTCATCATTTAAACTATAAGACCTAAACCATTAAATAATTTAAAGCAAATCAGGAGTGATTATATGGGCAGTCTTTATACTCTAAAAATAGCATTAGACATCTCATTGCAGACATGGGTTTGTTTTTTATCACCTTTAATTTAACTGAGATTTATTTCATTCAAAGATAACTGAGGCTTTATAACAGGACAAATATTAAGAATAAAGTCTGAAATTTAATTCACAGGAATTTACAGGAACACACATCATAAACTGTCGTGAATAAAAGTAATACATCTGTAAGAAAAAGTCTAAACTGAGAATATTCACATCATGCATTAGGAGAATAAACTCAAAAATCATTAAGATCAAATTGTAAATGTAAGGCAAAAAGTAAATTATGAGAAAAATTTGTGAGCATTTGTACATCAACAAATACAGAAGTTTTAACTACATATTCCATTTAAACCTTTCAAAAGTTTAATTATCTGTAAGGGCTACTTTGCTGATGATATAATATAATGATTGGCTAAATCCTCCTATTGTGATGATAAGAAATTTAATTCTAATACTAAATAAGTTAAATGAAGAAAGGTTGATTTGTGCTGATATAAGAGTATCAGCAGCAGTTCTCCTGTTTTTCCTCTATATGAACTTTGTTTTTAACACCCTCTTTTGCATGTGTGTCATGAAAGAGTACTCTGTGCATGCCTTCTGCCCCTTAGTGGATTATCTGTGCACTGCATGTACCTTTTTGTATTCCTCAGGTTTTCCAGATGAAAAAAATAATCCCACTGACGGTTCAGAGGTCTTTAAAAGTTGAGTATGATTCACCTGTTTACTTTACTCTTACTATCGTCTTACCTCCATGCTGACTTGGACAGGTTGCCGGTCTCCGCTCTTGGTATGCGGGACACCCTCTGTGTCATACTGAGCATGATAAACCACCGACTCCTCGTCTCTGGACTGCTGCTCCAGAGGGAAGATGATACCCCCAATGTTCATGGTGCTGTGAGGAAGAGATTTGTAGAAGAGCTTTTTAAACCTGTACTCTGTTCTAATGTGTTTTGGGATACAGCCTGCAGCAGTGAAACACGCTTTGATGGCTGAAACATGTTGCCCTGCGGTTACAGAGTCCATTAGGAGCCTATTCAGATCAGGAAGGGTCCTGAATGAAGTGGCCCAGGGGTCTTTGAGTGTGGGCCATGATAAGAGCTGAGAGTCAGACTGGTTCAGGTTTAACTGCTGTAACATTTTAACGAGCCCCTATAAGATCATCAAAATGTGGGTACAAGATGCTTTTTTTGTTGCACAAGATAATGACTTCTGGGCACAAGCTGTTTTCTTGGATGTACGAGATAATAGAACTACAAGTTATTACCAAAAAATAATTAGAGAAAATATAACTTATTTATTGCACAAGATAACGGCAGTGCACAAGATATTTTCTAAGGTGCAAGAGACTATAAGTTGAGTGAAAAAGAAAAGTTTTTTTTCTATAAGATACTCACAATTTGCAATTTTGTTTGAAAAACGGTCATTATGTCTGTGAACAAGATAGTTTCTTGGGTGCACAAGATTATACATGTTTACATGATTACAAATTGTTTCCACAGTATAATTATTTTGTAAGTTCATGATATTTTCTAAATTGAACAAAATGAATTTTGCACAGTTCTTCAGTGCACAAGACCATTCCTTCAGTGCTCAAAATAATAGCTTGTGCACACATGGCATTTAATTAGGTGTGCAAGATTATAAATTGATCATTTTAATTTATATATTAATTATATTGTACTACTTTCACAAGATAATAACAATGTGCATACAGGTTACTTTCCAATTTGCACATGATAGCCTCTGTGCACAGGATATGTAACTGAGTGAACAAGATTATTCCTTTACTGAAGAAGCCAATTTGTTTCAACATAATAATCATAATGTTGAAAGTAAATAAAGTAATTCCCTAGTTTAAACGTCTAAGCACAAGATACTCTCTTTGAGTGAATGCACAAGATGACAGTTGTGAAAAAGTCATTCTCTGAACTGAACGAGATAATAGCCACTGCACACAAGATAATTTCTTGGGTGCACAAGATTCTTCATTTTTTCCACAAGATAGTTCTATTTTGTGTGCAAAGCTACTTTCTGTTTGCAGATTTGTGAAATAGATATTTACTAGGCTACAAAAGATTATGAGCTCAGTGCAAAAGATAAATAATGATAACAACATGCTAACATAATAAGCCACGCTAATAATCTTTCTCTGTGTAAATTTTTAATTTTACGGTTACAGCTCATTTTGACGTTTATTAATGCCTTTTTTTTACGTTTTATACGAATTGTAGTGATTTTTTCTCGCCTTTCTTTAAGATATTGCTGTTTTTAACCAGAGCAAGACATGTTAAATAATCTAAATTCACATCTCACCCTCTCCAGCGTTGTTTAATCCTCTGTGAATGGATCTTTGGAGGCTGTGCGATAAGTTGGACTCCACCCTGCTAAACCTGATGCCACTCATAGCACCTCCAGATCAAACATGCACTGTGTTTGTTTCTATTCAATAGGGGGACAAGCGACGCTCCCTGACACCCTCAGCGATGAAAAAAACAACGCTCCCCTTCCACCGGTCATCATTTATTCAGGTGGATATCAGACGCTGCAGGCCTGCACGAGGCCGCGGAGCAGACACAGGTACGGGTTATACTGCCTCATTTTCTCCTAATAAACGGGATTAACACATGTCAATGGGAGCTTAAATATCCAGTTATTTTCATATTTAATTGAAATATGAGGAAATTCTCGCTCTGTGCCGCAGCGTGTGACCCAAACATGGAGAAAATAATTTAAAAAACATGGTTATAAACGAGTTTCTTCTTACGTGGCCTCGACGTTTCCAGGCTTCACCACCACCTCGATCTTATATTTAGAGCCTGTGAGCAGCTTGATGGTCCGGCTCTGGCCGAAGCGGGTCCCGTCCACCTTGAAGAAGACGGGCCCCTCGTTGGGCTGGATCTTCAGGGAGATGGAGATCGTGATGATCGGAGGGACGTCGTCCATGGTCCGGCCCGGGTTACAGCCTCTCTATGGGGTCAGTCTGTGGTCCAGAGATGGGGGGAGGACGGCGGTGGATGATGCGGTGATGCTGAGGAGCAGGAGGGAGGGGCCACTGTCCAAACGAGGGTTCACGGCTTCCGGTTCTTTCATAATAAAAGCGCATTTTGGGGAGCTAAACGGTTTCAAATCAAATAAGCTACTGTATGTTTTACGTGATTTATGGAATATCTATATTTTTTGTGAGAAAGAAAAGACAGTTGTCCGAGATTACTTAAAAAACACTATTTTTTTTGTTTTTTTCCTACCGTCACTTTTATTTATTTTTTTACTTGCTTTTTTTGGGAGTGATCAATTAATCATTTGAAAACCAGTAAGTACACTGAGAGAAAAAGAAAATAAGTTCTTTAGTTTTTTGCTTAAAAGTTTTACCCTTTTTCATTTACTTATCATCAGTCATATAAGTCTTTTTGTGTTTAAACTGTTTGAACATCTTGGATACTATTTCATTTCCGATTCCACTTCTACCATTTTGTTTTTAAGCTGACATGTATGGAAGAAACTTAATGTTTAAAAAGTCAGAGCTCTGTGTTTGAAGTGTAACTTTAGTCAGTTCAGTTCAATATCTTTGATCTTTAAGCTTTGGGTTTATTTTTCTCATGCAACTCATCTGCACATTTTAGTTTTAATCTTATAATTCACAGAGGAGCAGTGTGAGAGATGAGTGGAATAATTAGTAAATATCTTAGAAATTAATGTAAATTAGGTTCAAGAATTTTTTTTATGTCAAATTGAAAACATTTGAGCTCCTGTTTGTTGGATACTCTGAAACACTTCTCATTGAGCACCATTTTAAAAGCCTGTAGATGTAATCGTCAATCAGTGACTCAACTAAACAAGTGAACTGCTGCCCCCCTTTTCCTTTTTCTTAAGTATTCTGCAAAAATATAAAGTTTATGAAGACCAGTAAGCGTCAAAACATGACCCATTATTTCCTGCTGGAATCCAAACTCTTGCACTTTGTTTTGACATAAACATTGAAATAAAGTTAAAAGCAGCTGTTAAAGGATTGAAACACAATACATTATATTTTTAGAAGGTATTTTGTCACAGATGAATGTGTTTTTTTTTTCTGCAGGTCATCTGAGTAAAGAAACTGCAGTCTGTGAAACAATGAGTTCTTTGTCTGAACACAATCGCAAACTTCACATCCATGTGATTTATTGCATCTGAGCCGTGTTTACATCAAAACAATGACAAAGCTTATTTTCAAAGATAATTTCAGCCAATAAAACACTCCATGATCCTTTTTTTAAAAAAAAGTAAAAAATATATATTTACAGTTGTTGTGTAATTACTCATTAAATACAGCATGAAACGTTTAAAATAAAATAAAAAAAAAATCAGACAGTCAGCGTGCTGGAGGTGCATATAAAAATCCTTAAAGAAGGTCCTGATCATCATCATCTGTCCAGCTCGGCCTGCAGGATCTCCCCCCAGGTCTCGGCATCCAGCGGCGTCATCGTCCTCCCCATGAGCTCGTCAGCTGAGCGTACATGGCTGTATTGTCCTCTCAGCCAGTCTCTCTTCACACAGCTGAGAGTGTAGTTCCTCACCAGAATCACCTGCAGGAGAGCGGACACAAAGATTCAAATTTGTGCTCTCAGTCAGGGTGAAATTTCATGGTGTGAATCTTTTTTTTTTTTTTTTTTTGAGTGCACAAAATTACAAAAATTTTCTTCAAGATAATTGCAGTTGTTTTTTTTTTTATTTTTTTATTTTTATCTGCACAAGATAAGAATCTCTGGCACAAGATGTTAATTTTGTTTCACAATATTATAAATTAGATTTAAGGTCATTTTATCAACTCACCTTCCAGGACAGTCCATCTCTCCTGTCTCTGTCCACCTCCCTCTGACAAATGGTTCCGACCTGCAGACACTGACTCCTCCACAGCTGCTCGCTCTCTTCAATGATGTGATGCCACAGTTTGCAGGTCTGCGAGGCGCTGCACAAACTCCCTGCATCCAGCTCGCCAAAGATCTTCACGCTCATCTCTGTTGGCAGCGTTTCGACAAAGTTTTGAGTAGGCATGGCAACAGCAGGTTTCATGGCTGGTCTCTTTCCACAGATGAGGAACACGGGTGAGGTTCCCGTGGGGTCATGCTGCATAATAGTTCCGAGTCTGGCAGCCAGGAAAAGGCTGAAAGAGAACATCACAAAAAAAAAAAAAAAAAAAAAAAATACAACAAAGACTAAGAAATTATTACATCAGACCCGATCATGTCACACAGACTGATCACCTTCAGATTAGTTCAGTTACAAAAACATACCATACAACCATCTGAAAACACCATGTCACAGACAGAGGGACATACATAAATCTTATAACATCAACTCAACTTTATTTGTAAAGCACTTTAAAACAACCACAGCTGAACAAAGTGCTGTACATAAATAGACAAAACAAGGCAGACATAAAAACAATCAAAAACAATGGATAAAATAAAAGCAGATATTAAAGATTTAAATATAGTTTCAATTAAAAAAAAAAACTAATTTAAAAACATAGAAACAAATAACTAAAAACAAACCATAAAACACTAAAACAGGAGCCGAGTCTCATGCAGGGTTGAAAGCTAATGAATAAAAATGGGTTTTAAGACGATTTTAAAAATGGAAAGTGTGGGGGCTTGTCAACATATTAACTTCTGCAGATTTTCTCAGTCAGGTTTATCAGCATTTAGTTAATCATTTCCATCTGCCTTTCTACAAAACAACTCTCTGTTTCTAAGTTTGTAAAAGATCATTTACAGTTTTGAATTCTGGCCTTTTGCTCTGTTCTGCAAACATGATAGCTGTTTAAAACCATGTCACTCTTTAGGTGGTATATCCACATTTTTGAACAATGGTTAATCTGTCACATGCAACACATGTTCATCACCCGTAAGTCCAACACAGTTTAACATGTTTTCACTACATAATTCATATGAATTCAACCTCGACATTTCTTAAATGATAGTTTTTGTGGCAGTACATTTCCACATTTTGACATAACGATCTCTGACAGGTGAAGTAAAAATCACTGATTCACTCTTTACAACATTGTCGTCTGTCAGTACGTAGGACCAGGCAGCAGGTGAACATTTTATCCTTATATTATTTAATGTGCTGAAACAGTAAGAGAGAGTTTAGTGACTCTGACTGTCTCTGCCTGCAAAACAAAAACATTTCCAGTCCAAGCATATACCCCAAAATAACAGCTTTCGGCTTAAATTTACATCATTAGCCATTTTGTTGGTTGTTGAGCACGTTTAACTCTATATTTAAGTGAAATTTCATTGAAGCTCCATTTTCCTACGTTCAGAAACATGGGTCTGATCCCCACCCAGCTAACAATTGTAGCTAACAGCGGCGAAAAACGCTGCAGCTATCTGCAGTTCTCAAGTTAAACATTATTATTTCTTTTGCTGCAATATTACGCTCCAAGTAAATGCCAACCAGAACACTAACAGATGATGAAGGTGGTGTTTAAATAAGAGTTTCTTACCTGGCAGCGAGCTCGTTTCGTGTCTGTCTGACAGCTGACTATTTAAATGTCTCAACGGCTGTTTACACACACATAGCTGACGTCAACGCGTTTTTCAGCCTAGTGCGCATGCGTCCTTAGGGGACACTGGCATGACACGGAAAATAACATGGCTGGTGTCCTTGCTCTTCAAAATAAACTTCTGACTTTTTTACCCCTCTGCATTCTTACGGTATTTTTTTTTATTTGTCTGAACATATAGACAATTAATTGTGGTCGTTTGAAAAATATGTGTATTTATATAATAATAATAATCTCACCAAAATCTCTATTTAGTGTGTCACAAAATGGCACACAGTCAAAAAGTCCGACTTTTATTTTGAATCATCTAATCGCGACCAGACTAAAGCTACTTTAAATAATTGAGTATTTTATTTGGCATGAATATGATATATATTTTAGAGTGAAAATTTCTGTCTTGTATTTATTTGCATTTTTACGCATTTCAAAGCATACAGTTTGAACCTAATCTAACAAATTGACTTCACTTGAGGTATTTTGCCAAAGTTTTATTATTATTGTTAATCACTGGGAGACGGCGTGTATATTTAAACAAAATATGTATTTAACCTTTTTGCTTGCATTATAGAGACCCATGTCTGGTTTCTACCTTTATATATTTGGCTACGTTTTAATGTGTTTAAGTTCCCTCTAAATCTGGCTCAATATTGTAAACAAAAGCTGACAAAATCATAAAAACCACATCGTCAAAAACCACATAGTGAACTAATCTGACAATGATCAAAATTAGGAAGTTTAAAAATGATAGCTTGCTGGCTCTTGATTGTATGTTTACAAAATTAACTACAATGGATTGCAGAAAAACTGAAAACCTCTTTACTTTCAATCTTCATTTTTTAGTGTACTCAAGTTTGAATTTTACTTTATTGTAGTTAATTTTTTTGTCTGATCTGGCCCCTGACAGGTACCCCATATATGAAGGAGTTAAATTAACAAAAGGAGAGTAATTTTTAATGATTTGGGATTTTTTTAATTCTGTGGAAATGCATTCGTGTTACATGTGTGACAGGCAAGCCGAATTTTAGAAATTACGTCTACTTGGTAGGAAAAGTATTGAAATTTCATTTATAAGGTAAGTACTTTATTAAAACAAGGATTTTGTAAAAAATATTTAAACAACAGACTTCATTGTGGGCAGAAGCGCCACACGAGCACTGCGCATGCTCTCCTTCCATCCCGGAAGTTTTGAAATCTGTTATGGTCAGCCCAAACTTCCAAGTGTTTTCTGTTACATCTGTGCGCGTGTTTTCATGTCCTGGATATGTCCTGAATCTTATCTTTTCAGTCCTGAGTGATTTAACAACCGATCGGCTGTCACAGCAGGTAGGTACTATGCCCAAACATGTCTAACAGCATGGCTTGTTTTGACCTCAGCTGAACTTTCGCTTCTGTTTAATTGATTAACTAGATGAAAAACAGTGGAAACGTCGTGTAATCCAGATTCAATTCCCCAGAATAAATCCCCGTTATTGTCCCCTGGACTGAATATTACCATCTCGTTCCTGTATAATTACCAATAGAGCCCCCAGTTGCCCGGGTGAAGTTTCCTCCAGTCCCGCCTGCTGAGGAGATGTCCGGCTTCGACCTGGTCCCGGTGGACGGCGGACAGACTATCCACCTGTCGCCGGGGGAGAACGTGCTGGGCAGGGGTCCTCTCTTGGGAGTGAGTCCATTGCTTACTTTTCTTAAGTTTTTATTGACTCCCGGTTCATTTAATCCAGACAGTATCGATTAGAAAATAAACGGGTCTGTATTTTAATTATTACATATATTTAGCTATGTTTCTACCAAATCCCATCTTGAGTATATTTAATTTAAGGTGTTTGTTTGTATTTCTCTTTTTTTTTTTTTTTACTTTAATAAGATAAATCTTCAAATGTTATGTGAATGAGTTGGTATTTCTTTTTAGTTCGGTTATCATATGGGGCATACATTTCCTGATTTTAATGTGCAATTATGTCTACATTTTATTTGATCACACGGCTTGCTTTGGTTCCTCTGTGATCCAAGTGATCAAATTGTTTGGGTTTGATTGAATAACACTTCGAGACCCCTGTGTTTCTTTTATTTATGGTGATTAGAAAATAAACTTTAAAAAAAAAATTGGTCAACTTAGATTCTTATATGGCAAATCCCACATGACAGGAGCATGAAATTAATTATGGATAGTGTAATTCAGTCCAAGCTAGCGGCAGGAGTACATTTAAGCTGGAAATGAAACATATACAAACGTAAAACTCCAGCAAGTACTGTCACTTGATTGGAGTTAGACAGGACATTTGCCAAAAACAGCCTTTGTTTACATTTTCTGTCGCATACTTACAGTGATATATTGGACTGTTTTTAGAAGGCGATTTTTTTACTCTTAACACAGAAAAAAAATCAGAAAACACAGCCAAATAATGAGATAAAAGATATCACAGTGTCCTCAGGGTCTGGGATGTTGTATTCTAGACTTCTGAGTTATTGAATGCTTGGTTCCAGAGCGCTTGCTTCAACAGTCCTGTGTTTTGGATTGTTCGATTTTAGAATCCCTGGTCCTGTAAGCTTTTAGAGCACTGGATTCCGGATTGTGGGATTCTGAAATGCTGGGTTCAAGAAAGGCTGGATCTCGGACTGCTGGTTTACAGAATGGCCAGCTCCAGAATGCTGAATTATTGAATGCTTGAGTCTGAAATGCAGGCTTCCAGAATGCTGGATTTTGAACATTCATACCACATCATAATCATAAATCAGTTCTGCACAGACTGTGTTGGATTTTCCTGAAATTGTGATTCTTTACACAATTTTTTTTTTTTTTTTTTACCAACATTTGCATTGGAAACTTTTTTTCGCAGCTTTTGTTAGATAAAGACAAACTGGTCAAGATCTTCTCACTTGGTTTTTATGTTCACATTCATTGACAAGACAACTTTCTTAAGACAAGCACAGAGGTTAACTTGGAAGTGAGCAGAGGAGCTGCAGATCTGCTTTCAGACCACCGGAGGGACTCTGTCACTCGGGTTATAAGGAGGCAGCTGCACTGGTTCTGACAAAAGATCTGGGGTTTAAAGGTTCACACAGTTATCTTTGAAATACTTAACCATCAGAGCTGAACTCATTGCTTTTTTTAATGTACATCTGAGTTTATGAAACATCTCTGCTTCTGTAAATTAGGCCCACTTGTACTACCACTCTCATCTCATGTAAGAAGTATTTGTTGGATTGAATTGATTTGCATTTGTGCTGTTAGTGTCATGTTTTATTCTCCATATGCTCTCAGATCAGCGATAAGAGAGTTTCCAGAAACCATGGGCTGCTGGAGAACCTCAACGGTCAGCTGCATCTCAAAGCGGTAAGTTATTAAGGCCTGAGCATGATTCTGTCTTTGTTTCCGTCTTTCTGTCTTTGTTTCTTTCTCTCTCTCTCTCTCTCTCCCACCTTTCTCAACAGGCATGCAACATGCAAAGGACTATAAGCTCCGTTTAAGGGACTGTGCACTATGAAGTGAACTGAACTGCACCCTATCAGTGTTTCACTAAAACGTTTGTGATCTTTCCCTACAAATAATTTCAATAGTGAGACCACTTTTTCTGTCCTGAGGGCTGATTTTGTCAATATGGTCAGAAAAGATTGCACAGTGTTAAAGACATGAATCATAGTTGGCTCTGCTAATTATCCACACTGTGTAATTAATCAAACTAGAAAATCAATTCAAGCATCAACATGTGTCAAACAATCTTTATAGAGTCGTCAACACTTCTCAGTCACAACAATTCTTTCATTTTTAAACATAATGTTGAATCAATGGCACCAAGGATGTGCTGCCCTGATTTAAACCAGAAAATTTAGCAGCACCGCTGATATTCTTCACACAGAAGCCTGAGGATATAAGGCCACGTCAGTGCTTCACTCCTGCATTATAAAACTAAGAAAATCAAAATCCTGTCAGGGTTTCTACTTTTCTTGATACAGACATTGTAGCTTCATTATCTGAAAGTCTGAGTAAACTCTGAACGTGCTCTCTCAGTATCTTATGGTGGTAGCTTGGCTACAACTGGAATACTTTTCTGGTCTCAGTTTACAAGCACCTGGCAAGAATGGACTCACTGGCCAAATATGGCCCAGTGAGTGATGGTATGTCCCCTTTCAGCTCATTACTACTGGGTCATCTCCTGGTTGACCTTTTTACGTCATACACCAAAAAAAAAATGGATGGAATATGCAGCTTTAGAGCAACACATTTATGCTGTTCAACTTCTGCCAAATGTCCAAATAAAAATGAGGTTATCATGATAAAAAAGGAAGACAACACTTTGCCCTTTTATGTAATCTTATAGTTCAAATTGGGACTAACTTGAAAGACTTAGATTTGTTATTTTTTGGTTCTTTTAATTTTCAGACCCACCTGAACCCATGCTTCATTCAGCACTCTCTTACTGATGACCCCCAACCTCTTAAGAAAGGCTCGTGGTACCCTCTTCATCATGGAGATTTTTTCTCTCTGCTGCCTGGACAGTTCATCTACAAGGTGGTGGCTGTGGGTGAGGGAGACAGCACTCCCAGGTAAGAATGCTCTTTTCATCTTAATACTACTCTCCAAGATCAAGACGTGAATCTCAATCAGCGCCCACAATGTCCCTGTGAATAAAAAGATGGAGGAGGCTGCTCTCCGCCGTTTAATCAAAGCCTTATCTTTTATCTGAGCAGAGCAGACAGTGCGGGGGTTGGTCAGGAGAGGGTCTGATTTAAGTGTTTTCCATTGGCCCAACTGAAAGCCAACTTTAGGGATAATGCTGATTGTTGTAGCGTTTGGGCTATTCCCTTATTTATCTTAAGGTTACTGTCCCGTCTGTCCTCCTGATGGGGGCTCCTTGTTTGAAGTTCAGATCAAATAGACAGAAAAGGAGCCTCCAGATGATAAGCAAACCATCAGAGACTCATGTTGAATTTAGAACAAACATGCAGTTCAAATCAAAGCTGCAGAAACACATTTTTATGGGCTCCTGGTGCTCCTCTTTACATTCTGGGCTTGGTTACTTATATTAAATCATATTGGGTCAAAACTACCAGATTAAAGCTACTATGAAGAGTTTTTGATTGATGCTGAAACAGAGTGAAACTAAAACAGATGCCTCTAGACGAGCCGCAAAAGCAGATCAAACCATTGCAAAGAATTTAGATTATTTCTACATAGTTAATATTCATGCCTGAAAGCACACAAGTGTAGTAGCTTTGTGCGATTTACAGCTATTAAGATCTCCTTATTTAGCTTATTCAAGCAGCTGTGAAAACCCTCATCTCAGCACTATGTAGCCTCCGCCTGAAAGGCTTTGTTTTGGCTGATTTTATTCTGATATAAAGTGAGACACAACTTGGGGTGTTACTTTTTACACAAAGTAAAAAAAAAAACAGATTTATGCCTTTACAAAAAGTTAAAGGTCTTTCAGGATTTCTAAAATATTAACTGTATACAGACATAATCGGTAATTATTATCATTGTAAAAGGAAAAATTACATTGTTCAGTATCATTATTATATATTCAAAGTTTTGAATGTTAATCTTCAAAAATCAAATTACTTATCCATGGATTGAAGAAAGTAGAATTTCAAATTTAAATCATTCTGATTCAGATCAAACCTGGTCCAGCTTGAAATTCTAGGTTATTACTTTGTCAAACCCCTCTTCCTCCAGAAACAGTCAGATGTTAGAAGAAGAAGAGGAAGTCCCTGGTCCACCAAAGCCAGATGATGAGCGACTGCTTCCTCCTCCAAATGACAGAGACCAGAAACAGAGTTCACCTCAGGAGGAGTCAAAAGCATCAGTGCCAACAAACCAGGAGGAAGATAGGAGTCCAGCCAAAAGTTTAAACAAGGTTTGCAGACTTTAAGGGATATTCGGCGTAAAATTAATTTAGGGTCAAACACACCATAACACTGAGTTAGACACCCTCTTGAGAGATGAATGTTGCTGACCGCTTGCTTCTCTACTTATACCAACTTTTGTAATGGACGCACAATAGCAATACACAGTGGTCAAGGGAGCCACACACAAACCTCAACCAAAACGCCACCTCAACCACATTTCTTCATGGAAATGCAATCAGACCGAGACGCTAAGGCAGAAGAACTACCGCGTCTGCAGTGCAAAATGATTAATATGATGATTATTACTTCAAGGAATTGATAAAGTAATGATCATAAATGTTCTTCCTTGAGCTGCGTCCCCCCACTGCAGTCAATGATGGACCAGTCCGAGGTCTTGCTACAAACAAGGGGTTGCTGGAAGAGAGTAGGTGAGTTGTGTTTAATCTCCTTGCTAAAGAAATCAAGCAAAGCTAGAAAGATGTTTGGTGGCTAGTGCTGGGACCCTATATGTACTGTTGATGAAGTTAGGTGCTGTTCTGAGCATTATTTGTGGCTATAGAGTGGTGTTTTGGTTGAGGTTTTCGTGTAGAGACATAGACCGCTGTGTATTGCTATCATGCGGTCCTTACTAAAGTTGGTATAACTAAAGAAGCATGTGGTTGGCAACATTTATCTCTCGTGGGGTGTCTAACTCGGTGTTACGGTGGGTTTGACCCTAGATTAATTTTATGCTGAAATATCCCTTTAAATCTAAATATTTAAAAGCAAAGCGGCTGTTGAAAATATTTGTCACATAACCAGCATAAAACAATTTGCGTTTATGTTAAATGCAGGCAGACTGGGCTCCATCCAAAGAACTGAAGAGTGACCATAGTGATGGTGCTCCATCCATACAAAGGAAGAGAGTTTTACCTGCATGGATGATTGGGGCTGCATCCTCCTCCTCCTCTAGCCCTAAAGGTATCATGTTCATGTTTCCTGTGTGGTATACCATAAAAAAGAACAATTTGGTTTTTTTGAGCTCTCCTTAAAGTTATATTATTCCTGTTTTAGCTCAGACACCTGTAAAGAAAGGTAAAGCATTAGCTGCAGCTTCAACCAGCACCAAACAAGCAGCAGCCAAAAAGGCAACACCTGCTAAAAAGGCCACACCTGCCAAAACCTCTTCACCTCAGGAGGCGGAGCTTAGCACAGAAGAGCAACCAAAGAAGAGGAAAAGGAAGATGAGTGATGAAGAAGAAAAAGCTCAGTCTAAAACAGTTAAGTACCATCATGAGTGACAAACAGACACAGCTGCTACATCACTCTTTACAAACGCATCAGACTACACTGAGAATAACAGAACTAACAAAACATGCGAGTCGCTGTTCCACAGATGTCCCAATTTATTTGTGTTATTGTGTGAGTTTTGTTTCCGATATTGGATGTATCCAACGCAATATTCAAGTAACATAAAATACACATATTTTTAAGTTTCAATATAATACTCTTGTAACTTCAGATTTCAGAAAAAAAAGATAGGTGAAGCAGTGTTAAACCAACAACTCCCTTGTAAAATTGGATAAACCTACTGCTTTTGTAAATAGAGTTTATTGGCTCTGACGATGTGGATGATATTTGTTTATCTTTAAAAAAAACAGAATCTATTGAAAAGGTTGGATGGAGTTTTCTAAAACAAGGGAATTGCTGGTTTACCTTTGTACAGAAAATTGAGTTATTCAGCCTCACATGAGTATTGTTTTATATCTGAAAATAGCACCCCACAATAACCCCACAAAACCAAAGATTCAAGGCAGTGGTAGACAAGCCACTCCTGTGTCCTGCAGTTAAAATTACTGTTTCAATAACAGAGTTTGGTCGGGAAAAGGAACCTACTTTCTAACAAGAGGTTTTTCTCTGTAGGGATCCTTTTGCCAAAACCCCAAAATACTGCCAAGATAACAAGTATACATGGGTCTTCTTTTTCCTTAATATCAATCAGGCTTGTTCTCCATTTGCTCTGAAAATTGTTGTTTATATATTTTAAATCCTTGTAAAACTCATCAAGGGATCATTCTCAACATATTAGAAGAAAGAATCTATAGGTGAGATATTTTCAAAATGTTTGAACAATATGGTTGAATGAATTCTGTTTGCGTTTGGTTGTTGACTCAGCGGCCCTCTGCTCAGCTTCAGACTGAACGTAAAGGGTCAGAGGTTAGCGACGAGTCTGATGGCTTCACCATGGAGGTGGACGAGGACGGACAAGGAGGGAAGGCATCTACATCTTACACAAACACCGTGACTCAGACTGCAACAGTCACCAAGTCTGAGGAAGAGGACAAGAAGGTGAAGAACGGAGGACAAACATGTGAACGAGCAGAGTCTGCGGGGTCCAACAGCAGCAACCCTCCCCTCAGAACGCCATGTCCATACGGGAAGGACTGCTACAGGTACGGACTCTGCACCCAGTGGGAAAATTAAGTTGAAGGATGGTTGGTGGTTTATTTCAAGTCCTGCCAGAGAGCTGTCCTTTGATGTTTTCATATAAATTCACTCAAAACAAAGATGGGATGAAGGGCTCTTGAGCTGATGAACAGACCCTCAATCAGTTTCTCAAATCAGCCACCTTCATTTAGACTCACTGCTGCTTTAATGCTCTCTGATTTAGGATCAAAGGAGGTTCTGCTTAAATGTCTTAAACTGTCTTTGTTGTAAAGCACCTTAAACAGCTCAGTTAATATGAATCAGCAGTAAAGCCGGTTTAGAAGAGATCAGACTTACCTGCCTTGATTGATTGAGCTTGATTGATTGAAGATCTCTCGTCACCCCTTTGTTTTGTTTCTTAGGAAAAACCCACTCCATTTTCAGGAGTGCAGTCACCCTGGAGACACCGACTATGGAGAGGAAGAGGAGGCGGACGAGGCAGATTTACCAGAGTGTCCCTATGGTACCGACTGTTACAGGTAAGACATCACAGCCAAGGCTTCATTACAGGCTGATAAGAGACAGAAAGGCATGATGGGAAACCTGATGAAGCTCATGCTAACAGCAAAGAATGTTGGAGTTAACCCTAGGACGTTTGTTGCAGCTTTCTCCTGTCATTTCCTGGCTTCTCTCAGATAACAGATTTTTTTAAGATTCCAAGATCAAACTCAGAGTTCTGACTTGGATCAAAAAATTCAAACTCTGATCTAGATGCTGGCTTTGATGTAAAACTTGTGGAAAATGTATGTAGGACACAGCAAATCACAGCGACTTCATTGTACAGATGTAAAAATTTGTACATCTGACAAACAGAATTTAGACCACAGTCTTTAGAAGCGCCCCCAAACTCTCCTTTCCCTCACTCTTTATGCTGGGGAGAGTATTCATCAACATAATATGTGTGCATTTCAAGTGTGAGCCATAATACATATGAATCAAAGATGTGAGTCTCGTCTCCAGTCCCATGAACATGATGTCTGGGAAATCGTCCAAGAACATAATATCTCACAATGTTTGGAGACAATGTGACATTAACACTTCTGGGAATGCACAGTCAAACTTTCCTGGTAACCACCTGACATTACAAACATCCATACTTGGTATAACCATCAGGACAAACAATTGCACTTTCAACCACAAACTCTGACTTGGTTATCCGTTTACTGAATTTGCTCAAGTACTCTGACTTTGATCCAGAAATGTAACTCTGATCTTTACTTAAGACTTTAGTCGAAAATTTCTAAATTTCAGCTGCCAATTCAGACCAATTCTTAATTTGGTCAAAAATCTTATCCAGAATACTGACTGTGGTCTAGAATTCCGATTGACCCTGAGCTCTGACGTTGATATTAGATTTAAAATTTAATCTAGATTTTAACTTTTGATCCAGAATTTCCACTTCGATTTAGAGTTCTGTCTTTGTTTAGAGTTTCTGATTTTGTTGACTTGCATCTTGACTTTAATCTTTGAATTCTGACTTTGAGAATTCTGGTTAGATTTAGAATGCCCACTTTGACCTGAATAGTCTCACTTTGATGATGATCCTGGAATATGGCTGTAGAATTCTGACTTGACCCAGGATTCAGACTTTGATGTTTAAATCCTTTATTGAGCACAGAATACAGACTTTGATGAAAGTAATCTGTGCTCAATCTTACAATTATGAAATTCGATCTAGACTTACGTGTTTTTGAGTTATGGCTATGTTCTGGGATTCTAAGAATTTTTTTGAAAGAAACTGTCAAACCTGGTTTAAAACGGCCTCAGAAGACACTTTTGAAAATTGTCTCATGTGCATGAAGATGTGTCCTTTTGATTTCCTGATCACTTTCCTACTCCTCAGAGAATCAAATCTTCTAATGATACATATATTTGAGGACACAGTTTATATCTGTACTTCCACTTTTCTAATTAAACTTGTTTATTGGCGTAAATATTTTTACACACCTGGTTGTTTTGACTTGTTTCTCCATTACAGGAAGAATCCTCTTCACAGGAAGGAGTACAAACACACAAAGAAACCAGGTAGATAGTTTTTGCTCTCTTTTTTTATTCATGCGAGCTATTGGTATCTTAGCCAACCCCTAAGTGGAAACTGCAAGGATATTTCAGGACTCTTACAGAAGAAACTACGAGGAGAGCAGACACACAAGCTAGGCTTCAGTTTTCTGCAGACAAGGTTGACTCTACTATGTAATTTAGCCAATTTTGAGAGACCCTGACCCAAGCACTCAACTGATTTCAGGTGTGTGTTCTACCAGGAAGTTTTTCATCACTTGCAATCACAGAATTTTCATCACAGAAAGCCCATTTGTCTCTGCACTTTGATATGGGCACAACAAAGGAAAAGGGTGAAATATAACAGTAGCCCAGCAGAGAGCCAAATGAAGAGCTTTACAAGTGACTTCATTCACTTGATAACTTTCAAGGATATACCTCCAAAATTAAAGTGTGAAAACAGAAAGTAACAGTTGTGATGGAGACGTACAGAACCCCACCCCCCACAAACACACACACACACACACACACACACCCTCCCCACTCCCACAAAGGTTCAATCTGGGTTCTCTACAGCACAAAAATTACATTAGTCTTGGAAAGAAAAATGAGAATACTAAATGTCTAGAAAGAGATTTTAGCTTTTGAATATCTCCTGTTCTTCCAGATTAAGCTGCATATTTTTAGCTGCTAGACACCACAGCCTTGTAGTACCACAGTCAAAATAAAGAAGAGAAAGACATTGTAGACCTACAGCTCAAAGTTCTTGTTTGTGTGACTGACAGAGAGAAGGTAATGCTTCATGATCAATAGTTAATGTTGCAGTCTTAAAAGCCCCAGACTCCATTGATAAGACAGTAATACAACTTTGTAAAGCATGGGAGTTACTGGTCTACCACTGCCTGAATCTATGTTGCATCTGCATGAAACTATAGTCTAGCTTGTGTGACAGTTCTCTCTGCAGTTTCTTATGAAGTGGGCCAAGCTGACCTGCATACTTCCGTTTCTGACACAAAGTCCTCCCTGTGCTGTCATGGGTGGGAATGTTAGAAATCTAGAGCAGAAAGAAACTGTAAAAATGACCAGGAATCACAGTATCCCTTGCACTCTTTCCCTCTCCCTGCCCCTAGAGCTGTTCAGGAGCTATAAACCTACCAGCAACTTATTGATTTTGTCGTAAGCAGGTTGTTTATTATTGTCCAGGGGCCCTTTTAGGACATTTACACCTCCTGGTGTAGAGGAAATGACCTTGTAACCTAAGCACACACACTTACATAGACACATGTTGTTTGAACCTTAACTACATCTTTCCCCTCCGGTGACTCGCTCTGTTTCATGAAATCGTTCACATTTTGTTCTTTCTTCCAGCCCACATGACACAAACCCGCCCCAAAAAGCGCGCCACTGCCAATGATGAAGAGGATGAGGATGAAGATGAATACGAGGACAGCTTCATAAATGATGACAGCGAGGAAGAGGACGTGGAGGGAGGTGATGACTCAGACTACGTCCCTCCTGTCTCGGATGACAGTGATAAGGAGGACATCAGAGCACTGCAAAGAGAGGCTCAGGCCTTCCTGAAGAAGAGGAAATAGACTCTGCCTCACCTTTGTTGTTTGTTTGGAGGTTTTAGAGCTGCAGAGGAGACTAAATCACTTGCATGAGCCACAGGAGGGAGAGCGACCAGGACACACTCAAGATGACAGGTTACAGGTCTAAATTTGAAAACACCTTTTTGATATATAATGGCCTGGATCATGTCTGGTGGATTTTTCTAAGTAAATCTGACAACCCTCATTCACTCTACTGAATATCTGCTCTTCCAGGGAACTCAAACCTGTCAGTACAGGATGAAAAACAGTTCTTTAAAAGCTCTGAAGTCTGGGCCAAACGGCCTTCACTTGCATTTTCTCAAGGAGTATAGTTTTAAGTGTCATAGTCTTGGGCAGCTTCTAAAGTAAAGCACCCAGTCGAATAATGCATAAAGCCTTTTTATGTTTTTATGGTTGTTTATCTGTCTTTTTTCTAAATAGAAAATACGAACTCTACTGAGGAGAAAAATACCTTTTAGTAACACTTGAAAATCCAAAGGAGCACTTAAGAGCATAGAAAACAAAACTCAAAGCTTTTCTAGTCCTATATAATCAGTATAAGTTGCTAAATTTTTTCTTTACACATGGTGGGGGAGAAAATTTTAGTAGATATTTCCACAAATTCTGAGGAGCCTAAATGATGTAAGCCTGACTGGATTGTTTGGGTTGGCCTGCTGCAATAGCTGAGTGCTAAAATTTCCTCTCCTTAACCAGGTCGTCTGTGATGATCCTAAAACACCCGAGAGCGATAAAAACACTTTTCTCTCAGTTGCCTAACTTCTGTTTACTCTCATCTTACTCACACATTTCTGTTAAACTCTGGCATCCTGCTGCCAGTGTGCGAAACACTGTCAGATTTGCAGGTGTCACCATGGCAACCTTGATCACAACAACCCACTCACACTGATTTACTCAGATTTAAGAATCAACAAAGAAATGAAAGACTTACTGAATGTTCCATGGGGTTACATTTGATCATCTTGTTTTCATACGAAGCTCATTCTTTCTTTTTTCTTTGTAAATATGCCATATGTAGAAGTTAATTAGAAGGTCTTTTCTACCTTTATTACTAACATTGCTAAAATACAGCTGGTGAAAACCAACATTTTTCTCTCTTGCCTTCTTTGTGTTGTAAAAATATTTTTTTAGATACACTTTGACTGTTTTTAAAAAAAGCCACCAAAATAAACAAATTTATCAGTCCTATTTTTTCCTTTTTTAATTTTCTATTTCCCTGTCAAAAGTTTTTCAAGTTTTTCCACTTGACATTTACTCAATTATTGTTGATTAAAAATGATTTTAGCTCAGTTCATTTGGTTAAATTTGTTCCAAACAGTAAAATAAAAACATAATAATTTGCACACTAACAACTTCTGCTTTGCTGTTTAAGTTTGACCACAACTTCTTAATATTTTATTAGTTTGCATAACACAGTGGTCCTCTTCGGTGGCCCTGAAGGTCAAATGTGCAAAACATTTCATTAAATCCAGTCATATATGCAAAACACTTGAAACGCTTTGTTTGTCACAAAATCACTGTTTTTGTTTTTGCAGCCTGTAAAAATGTTTTGGCATTTTACAAGATGATTTATATATTTTATATATATATATATATATATATATATATATATATATACACTCACCGGCCACTTTATTAGGTACACCTGTCCAACTGCTCGTTAACACTTAATTTCTAATCAGCCAATCACATGGCGGCAACTTAGTGCATTTAGGCATGTAGACATGGTCAAGACAATCTCCTGCAGTTCAAACCGAGCATCAGTATGGGGAAGAAAGGTGATTTGAGTGACTTTGAACGTGGCATGGTTGTTGGTGCCAGAAGGGCTGGTCTGAGTATTTCAGAAACTGCTGATCTACTGGGATTTTCACGCACAACCATCTCTAGGGTTTACAGAGAATGGTCCGAAAAAGAAAAAATATCCAGTGAGCGGCAGTTCTGTGGGCGGAAATGCCTTGTTGATGCCAGAGGTCAGAGGAGAATGGCCAGACTGGTTCGAGCTGATAGAAAGGCAACAGTGACTCAAATAACCACCCGTTACAACCAAGGTAGGCAGAAGAGCATCTCTGAACGCACAGTACGTCGAACTTTGAGGCAGATGGGCTACAGCAGCAGAAAACCACGCCGGGTGCCACTCCTTTCAGCTAAGAACAGGAAACTGAGGCTACAATTTGCACAAGCTCATCGAAATTGGACAATAGAAGATTGGAAAAGCGTTGCCTGGTCTGATGAGTCTCGATTTCTGCTGCGACATTCGGATGGTAGGGTCAGAATTTGGCGTCAACAACATGAAAGCATGGATCCATCCTGCCTTGTATCAACGGTTCAGGCTGGTGGTGGTGGTGTCATGGTGTGGGGAATATTTTCTTGGCACTCTTTGGGCCCCTTGGTACCAATTGAGCATCGTTGCAACGCCACAGCCTACCTGAGTATTGTTGCTGACCATGTCCATCCCTTTATGACCACAATGTACCCAACTTCTGATGGCTACTTTCAGCAGGATAATGCGCCATGTCATAAAGCTGGAATCATCTCAGACTGGTTTCTTGAACATGACAATGAGTTCACTGTACTCAAATGGCCTCCACAGTCACCAGATCTCAATCCAGTAGAGCATCTTTGGGATGTGGTGGAATGGGAGATTCGCATCATGGATGTGCAGCCGACAAATCTGCGGCAACTGTGTGATGCCATCATGTCAATATGGACCAAGCTCTCTGAGGAATGCTTCCAGCACCTTGTTGAATCTATGCCACGAAGAATTGAGGCAGTTCTGAAGGCAAAAGGGGGTCCAACCCGTTACTAGCATGGTGTACCTAATAAAGTGGCCGGTGAGTGTATATCTTTCCAAGTCAGTGGTTTTTACATTGGTTTCACATGGTTTTTGTTTTCAATTAAATTGATTTTTTTTGCATTAGGCTATTCATAAACATATTTGTGTTTCATTATATAAAAAATTATAGGGTTTTTAGTTCAACATTTGACATAACAGGCAAAAGTAGTTCCATGTTTTATTTGTTTTTAACATACAGAATACAACAAAATGTAAAATTACTTTTCACATTACCAAGTTTTCTTTTTGTTGTTGAAAAACTATAACCTCCAAACCACAACCTTTGCAATAAAGGACACATTAAAGTGACAATAAAGAACTAAGGTTACAGAAAACAAAGAGGTCTCACCCGTTCACATCTGCTAACCACATACATGCACACACACATTTACACATTATTAGTATGAGCATGTACAGATGGTCAACCATTAAAGCATATACACAGAAAACTGGAATGTGAGGAATGGACATTTTTTTTTCCCCTCCTGTGGTGTTTTAGGTAAGCCCTGCCTGTCAAAAAGGAAGGTCAGTGTGGTGTGGTACATATGAGGGCATGGATGTAATTTTTCTTCACTGGACAGATCTGGACAGATCAAGCCCTGGTGGGACTGAAAACGCGTTGGGCCCCATCACCTGTGGTAACACCTCTGACATGGACGTGAGCGGGTCATTACTGTCTTCACTACCTTGAGGAAAGCTTAGGATACAGAGATCAATTCTCCACAAGAGGTTTTTAAATTTGTTAATGTGATCCATAAGTGCTTGGTGTTGGGACTGAAATGTTTTAACCGTGGCCTCTGCAGCAGCTACCCACTCAAAGTCATTGCCAGCCACTGATTCCACATGTCGTTGAAAAGAGTTCATGGTTACTTGTAATCAATCCAACTAGAGGCTTTAATGATTCTTGTATCAGAAAAGAAACATCCTCCCTGAGCATGGTCCTCCACAGTGGCAGTTTCTTTAGATGCTTTTGCTGCTGGCGGCGGATTGCTAGCTGCAAATGCTACTAGCTTATCTGCAGCGCTAGGAGCTGTGCGTGTTGCTGGGGTGTGGGGGATTTTATCTTGTCTGTTGCTGTTTGAATTGCTAATCGCATGTAAAACTATTTACTATGACATTAAATTAAAAAAAAAGTGGCAAAAACCAGTCGGTTAGGTGAGACAAAGACAGGATTTGATGTGTGTGGTCTAGGAGTCCTCTTTCGCTGGTCCTGTTTTCTGCATCGCAACTGGAAGTCCCCCACCAGTTTCGACACTTTTGATATGAAAAACACTAGAAATAAAGCTGAAACAAAAACAAGAACATTTTCATGTGAGGTTCTGGTGTAACCTCGGAGTGGAGAGACTGCACAGTATGTTTGAAACTGGTGTAATTACTTCAGTGTTAAATCCTTCAGTTTGGTGTTTCTGCTGTGATCAAATTCAGGTGACATGTTGAAGCAGAAGCAGATCTTCAAACATGGACTCTACCTGATGTCTTTCTCCATGTTTGTGCTGTCCATAATGGTTAGATATGACTCCTACCTCAGCCAAGCGTGCTCCCCGTCCTCTGTCACACGCAGAGACGACGTCCGTGTGTCCCCTTCATCCACAGACCTTGTGGCCACAAAGGTCACCAGCTTTAGTGGAAACTTCCCAGCCTTTTTCAGGCGCTTGTTGTTGCGAACGCTCATAAAGCAGAGGGTGTTGATGACCCCATTGCTCATGGCGATGCACTCAATGATGTAGAAAGCCACTAAGGAGTTCCTGTCTCGGGATATGATGGTGGGGTAAAAGTCCCGCAGCAAGGCAAAGCTGTAATAAGGTGCCCAACACAGGATGTACGCCACCAGCACCAGAATCAGCACCACCACTGTCCTCCGACGCTTCTGGACCTTCTGCCGGATCTGCTCCGTCTGAAAACCCGGGACATCCTTGAACCAGAGCTCCTTGGAGATGTGGGTATAGCAGATGGTCATTATGGTCACTGGGCCAATGAACTCCAGAATGAAAGTGAGGAGGAAGTAGGAGCGGTAATAAACCTGCTGGTCCACAGGCCAGATCTGGGCACAGAAGGTCTTAAAGGTTCCATTGTCAGTGTGGGAGTACGTCGTCTCAGAGGCCATATAGGCGGAGGGAATGGAGATGAAGATGGGGACGATCCAGACTGTCAGGATCACATAGTATGCTGTCTGGTACTTCATACGAGGTCTCAATGGGTAGAGGATGGCCATGTACCTGCAGACAGGACGACAATTTGAACAACTTTTTCAGTACTCCTGAAAAATAAATGGCTGACTTCTTTAGATTATTTTAGCAGGTAAAAAAAGACAAACTTTGTCTCACAACAGGGTCGTGTTTCTGCATATCTGGTGTTTCTGCACCATGATTATGTCAGGTTCCCTCTTAAGGTTCAGTTTTAACCTCATTTGTGGATGCAGTGATGGACTGTGTTCACAGACAATGGTTTTTGGTGGTGATTGTGAGCTCATGCAGTGATCCCCACTACAGAGTCCTGTCTACTTTTAATGCAGTCCTGTCTGAGGGCCTGGAGATCCAGACCACCCAGTATTGGTTTTGGTACTTGTCCCTCTTATACAGAGATTTTTCAGGACTCTCTGAATCTTTTAATGATATTATCTTCTGTAGATGATGAAATCCACTCATTCTTCCACATTTTACTCTCAGGAACATGATTCTGAAACTGTTTAATTATTATTAGCTATTTTCAAATTAAATTATGTGCAAACTATAAAAAGTATGTTTTTGAGGCGTTCCTCATGGTACCTCAAGAATGACATCTTCAAGTATAATATAATGCTGGTGTCTCTTTTATAATGAGCAGTAATAAGGTGCAGTTGGCTAAAGCAGAAAGATTTTGACCTTTCCAGAGGCCAAGAAAGGCAGACAAAACCAGACCTCTAGAGGTACTGCTGAGCTTTATGAATAAACAGGTGGGCTCAGACTGCTCTAACGTTCCAGGATATTCATGATTATCATCCTCTCCGTAGGACCTGTTTCTACATGACAGGAGAGGTCAGCCATGATCTATGTAACACGGTGGGCTGCTGGTCCCACAGTGTGAAGTTCTCCTCATGATGGATTTGATTCAGAGGCTGTGGGAAGACCAGAGGCAGTTAATAATCTGTGATCTTGTCCTCAAAAATAGGAGAAACACCCTGCAGTCCAGATAAAAGCAGCTGCTACTGTCTGCTGCAGGTTTCACATTGACAAAGCAGAATTGATACAACAATCAAAAAATATTGAGCTTATTTTCAGACATGAATCTGTTAAACAAATGCTCTCCTCAAAAAAGTCATAAAATCTTCAGACAGGTTGCAACCGTGAATGCAAACAATCAAAGTTTTCACTCCAACTTCATTACATTTTTTTCTGCCAGCCCTCTTGGTAAAACTTCTACAAGATGTGAGACAAGCCAATGAGGGGAGAAACATATGAATAAAATGGTTCAGTTTTAGAAGCTCTGAGTTTCTTGGTGTAAGAATAAATGCAGTCCTTGTGTCTGTGAAGATGTGTTTGTCACTGACATAATTGAACACTGAGGTGGACAGTCACCTTGAGCGGACCGGTTCATGTCACCTGACCACACCTCATCTATATCACATGTTTATATTGACCCTCATCTTGTTCGTATTCAGAGCAGCTTCACCACCAACTGATGGACTGATAGGTCGAGGTCATGAGTCTCACACGTGTCACAGACAAGGACATAGTCGCAGATACTCTCTGTGCTGACAGACTGGAGCATGTGAGATTGATCAGAAGATGTTTGAGTGCTTCTATTCCAGATCAGAGGAGTTATCTCAAAATGTGCCTCACAGAGCTGCTGAAGGATCTTTATTCCTTCAGAGAGTTTCTAACCAAACAGAAGGCAGGGATTAGGTGACAGAGTCACGGTTTTGGCCAGATTTAAAACCAGAATATGTAATATGAATAAGATCAACTGAGAATAAGATTTTAAGAATGGGAGCTGAGCTTCTCAATAAAAAATTGACAATTGGTGTCAGAAACAGAAACAGAAACTCATTATCTGTTTAACATGCTTTGCTGTATAAGACTCATTAATGAGAGAGTACAGAAAATCCTTAAACAAAGACCAGTACTCAATCTGCAGCCAGGATTTAAAGCGTATTAAATGACTAAAGGCTGACTTTTGATTATTGGTGGGGATAGCATAATATTTCTAATTTGGAACAGTGAATTATAGGAAACAACTGACTGGTGGTTTCACAATGATCCCGCACAACCATTTGTACATCCTGTCCAATTTCGCAAACTATTTTGTTGTGAACTACATCACAGACCAGTTTTTATTTGGTAGTGACTGAGATTATTGCTGCCTGTCAACATCTCCACTTTCTGCCCAGAACTGCACTGTGCACTCTCATCCTGACACCACTAAAATCAGAGTTTTCATCAGTGCACATTTCAGCACCATTGAAATGCCTCAGTTTTCCGAAGAGCTTCAGAATGTGACTCTCCTGGAGCTCTTTGGAAAACTCTGCCTTCCACCTCCTTGTAGCTAACTTGATGTGATGCTGCAGGTTCTATCAGTTAAACTTGGCTTTCTGAGGAAAAGTTGCATGCCAAGACTGACACATGCACAGTTTAGTGTAAAGCACTGGCTTGCTGTGCATTAGAGATGTTTTTATTTGTTAAAACAGCAACAACCTTAGCAACAGCATGTTTGACAATTGTAAGACAAATCATTGTCTTTATTTCAAAGCATGTAGCATTGCTTTTAGTATTTCAATTAATTAAACTTGTAGAGGGATCATCCAAATAAGGCCTATTAGTGTTTTTCAGGAGTCTGGATATTAAAAATGGGACGCACTAAATCAAATCAGGACATCTGTTCACACAAAGCCAGTATGTGCCGTGTCTAAGTTTTTTGCCTTTTTGAAGCAGTCATCCTTGGAGAATTAGCATAGCTTTCACTAAAATGGTTGTTATTGTTGTAAGTTAGCAGGCTGTGCACATGTCCATGCATTTAGGTTTAAGGCATGTCAAGAGTTCCAAAGGGATGTCCTGTTAATTATTTTTCTTGTAAGTGCAAGCAGGCAACAGTTATACTAATTTACTTCATGGATGTAGGCTCCATCTGCACAAAAACTTTATCACCCATTCTTAAACCGTTAACGGCATTTTCCACCAGATTTCATCCCAATCCCATAAGTAGGTGCTGAGATATCTCGCTAACAAACACTTTAAAAATCCCATCCATGATTTGGGGTGTAATGTCTACCTCAATTTATTGGAGGAGCTACAGGTGGACCTACCTATCCACAGCAATGGCCAGCAGAGCATTGGTGGACACATAGAGCGACACGGTGCGCAGGTAATTGGTGGCGGCACAGAGCAGCAGACCGTGGTCCCATGACAGCTTCTTCACCACATAGTAGTCAAGCAAGAAAGGACAGCACACAATCGCCACCAGCACGTCTGACACGGCCAGATTTGCAATCAGCAGGTTGGTCAGGTTACGGAGCTGCTTGTACCGAGCAAGGCTGGCTATGAACAGACAATTTCCCACTCCACACACCAACATGATGCACACTAGCACCACAGCGATGATGATGGTGGCCACAAAGAAGGCCAGGCCCTGAGTGGTGTCTGGAATCTCATCCTCGTAGTCCAGACCGTCAGTGGCAAGGAAGTAGTCAGTCAGAGCCCAGCTGCCGTTTGATGAGTCCCCCATTTTGGATCAGGTCAACATGATCAGGAAGAAGTGTCTATGGGAATTAAGAGGAAAACAGGTCAACTGAAATAGACCTCTTCTCAAAGCCACCAGACCCTTCTATTAAAACATTTACTTCATGTGGGAGTTGCTGGTCTACCAATCCTGTGATTCTAGCTTGTTCAAGCCATCAAGAACTTTCAGGACTTTCTAGCAAGTCCTTTTTATAATACAAACACCTGATATATTGGAACATATAAGCCTTGATATGGTTTTTAGGAACTTGCCAATCTCACATGCATCTTACATGGAGAGATTACAGGGATTCCTGGACATTATTGAGTTGTTAACAGGGTCTTAAAATAACTGCTCATTGTATTGTCAATATTTAGATATTTTATACATGCACGTTCACTTGAAAACATGATAAACAGCAAATGTTGTTGCATTAATTTGGGAACTCTTGATACCAGTTAGTGGTTAAGGTGATCTTAGAATAACAATGACTGGACATATGCACTCCTGCATATTTCTTAATATGTAACAATTCAGATTCAGACTACACTGGTGGAGCAATGCAGCAATTAAATGAATTGCTTTACATTATAGACTTAAAGCCCATTTCAAATGCAAAATAGGGGAATTCGAAACAAGCAGTCAAAAGGGAAGTAAATCCCCAAAATCCTCATAAAGATTATACAAACACATACTTGCTAGAAACTGTCATGCCTTGTGTGGATTTTTATACAATCAAAAAATGGTAGTAATGCTTGAAGAGTTTTTTCAAAGTGGACTCTTTCCCCCAGCAAACACTGAAAGTATCACCATGTTAAGGCCTCTAACACAAACACAAAGACTGTAGATTTACTGTCAGACACACATGCAGCTCTTTGGCTTGTCAGTGTAACTTCAGAAATGTTTGGATCTGAGTCTTTAGGAGCTTCATGTTCATCGTTTGGCTGTTGGGGTCTCCAGGCGACTGTCCTTGTGAAGTCTGCCTGTTAGATTTGTTCACAGGTTGGGGAATGTCTCGACTCAGCTCTGACGTCTGAAAAAAGCCTTTTTCTGCTCAAGTACAAGTAACAGTGTGTCTTCTGTACTGTGATTCCATGTCTTGTGTTTTAATTTAGGTTCAGTCCACAAATGACACATGACATTGTTTCTGTGCACAAGTCTGGCATGTGTTATTCAAGTCAGGCATCCAAGAAATTTTCAGAATCAGTCAGGAATTTCCTTTCCTTATCATGTCGAGGTACAGATCTAACAAAGAGTTCTGTCCTCATTTGAGGCTTAATTATCATAAAATGACATCAACTGTGCAGTTCCTAAAATATCATTAAATATGAATCACATTGACCCTAACCCTAACCCTAACCCCCTGGATTGGCTCTGAGAGATGTTGGGGTCCCTTGACCACACTTAAAGAACCATCTCTGGATAATGGAATAACTGAAGAGACAGTAAAATAACCTGACTTTCAACCACATTTGAATAGAACAGAAATTCACGAGTAAAGCTGCAAAAACACAAGTAATAATGGAGTTAAAATGATGATAAATACAGCCTAAAGAAAGCAAGTGTTGCACAATGCAGATGAATAAACATATCGTTCAAACTGTGTTTTTTAAACACTGAAATAACCGCGAACAGCTAAAAAATGTCAAATACTAATGAGATTGTACAGCGAAATAAACACTTATCCAGATCAATCTAAAACCCAGTACAATTTCTGCGCTAAATAAGAGAACAACAGAGAATGATAACAGAATAACAGAGAAAAAACAACACTCGCATACACATGAAAAACAGAGAAAGTGCGACATTAATATGAGACAAACCTGAACCTGATTCACCACGCGCTCCACCGAAGCGGACTATTCTGATGGGTCGAGCGCGAGGTGCATTCACAATTATACGGAACACACACACACACACACACACACACACACACACACGCGCGCGCGCGCGAAGATTAAAAAGACGATCACACAGCTTAATAAAAACACTCTACTCAGACAACCGAGGTGCGAGACGGTCAGTACAGAAGTCTCTAAACTGGTGCAGAAAGCAGATTTAAGCTCCACGCGCACAGTGGGCAGGTTTTTCTACTGGGGCATCGTGACCAGTGGTGTGTATTAGGGGGGGGAAAGGGCGATCGCTCCACCTGGTGTCTTAAATCTGAAAAAAAAAAGACCCAAAAGTTCAGTGCCTTTGTAGAGGATAAAACATAGTGTAGTACCTCTGTGGTGCCCTTGCAGTAGAAGTCACTTGAAAATCACTACCAGGCGCACTTCTTGCAGGCTACAGTGAATATTAACAAAGTACCCTTTGGATGTCCATATAGAGTACAAAATGAGTGCCCCCCTTCGTTTCTTTTGTATGGATAAAATGTAAACACACCACCCTCTAGATGCCATTCCTGCACAGAAAATGTAAACTGAGAGCCCTTTAGATGCTATTTCAGAGTAGAAATGCAAACAGAGTGCCATCTGGATGCTCTCCCGGTGCATAAATTTGTACAGTGCCTTATGGATGCCCTTACTCAGTGTAAAATGTTTACCAAGTGCCCCCTTTGCTCTATTTGCGGGTAAAATCTTACAATACTAATATCTTTATGCCATTCAAGTAAATAAAGGGTTCCTTGTGAACACCCTTTCAATGTACAAAATGTGGTCAAAGTGCCCTGTGGATGTCTTTATGGTGAATGAAATGTAAACTGAGTGCCCCCTTTGCTGTATCTGAGTTAAATGTTAACACATAAATTGTCCTTCCAGTGTATAAAATTGTTGACAGAGTGCCTGATAAATGCCAGTGTAGTGTATCAAATGTAGATTAAGTGCCTTTTAGATGCCTGCTTATGTATTAGACAAAGTGCCTTATGGATGCCCATCTAGTATGTCAAATTTAACAGTGTCTCACGGGTGCCCTTTTTGTGTATGATTTATGGACAAAATGCCCTGAGGATTACCTTACAGTAAACAAAATGTAAACTAAGTGACCTATGGATGACCCTTCAGTGAAATCAATGTAAACAAAGTACCCTACAGCTGCCATTTCAATGTTTAAAATGTCAATCCATTGCCACTTTGGTACAGTCATGGGTTTTAATGTAAAAATGTGACCCCAAGATACTTTAAAGTGTATAACTTTAAAAACAAAGTGCCCTGCGGGTGCCCTTCTAGTATATATTTGTCTTTAGGAGTTGAAAATGTGAGGAAAGTGCCCTAGGGATGCCCTTTGGTATACAAAATATAGTCAAAGTGTCCCCCTTATTATTCTACTCCCACTTATCAGATATAAAGAATCAACATCACATGAGGAAATACCCTCTTTGACACCCCTGACAGGGATGAAACATGCTATAATGCAAAATTTTAACCCCTTAGAGTCTTCATTGTAGCTCCTATTACTGTACCCTCCATATTTTTTTGTAGACTTCACTCAGATAAATCAGAAGTCTTCCTTTGCTGCGTCAGTGAAAACAGAAGCAGCAGGAGTGTTTTGATAAACAGCAGGGCGAGCTCCGATCTGAGGTCAGTCTGAGTTTACTCAGCTGTGTCCCTGCTCTGCTAGTGTGATTGTTGTGGTCAGGATTGTTTTAGTGCAGAGGAATTTATCACAGACTGGACGCTGGGAACAAATAATATGTTTCTTCCAATAATCAGCCTTTGAAAAGTTGATGTTTACTCCTGATTCTAATGGAAACAGTGCCTCATTGTAAAATTGCATCATAAATCAATAAAACCAGAAATGACACTGAAAAATGCATGTTTTTTTAATTTAATTTAATTTTTTTTAGCAATATTTCTCAACCTTTTTGCTTGAGACCTTTTAATAAACTTGCATGGACTGTTCTGTTGTCAGGTTCTTTGTTGTTTTCTGAATTAAGTTTTTGTAAGGTTCTTTGTTTTGGTTTTGTTGTTGCACTTGGTTATTTTCAATTTGTTGTTCTGACAGTTGTCTTGTTCAAAGGGTTCTTTTTTTATTTGTGTTATTTTCTGTTGTGGTTTTGGTTGTAGTTATTTGGGTTTTTGTTGTGACAGTTGTTTTGTTCCCTATTGTAACTCTTGTTTTAATGTTTATTTGCTTTGTTTTGATTTTGGTTGGTTTGTTGTTCGGGTTCTCTGTTTTCTTTTTGGCATCTTTGTCAATTGAGTTCATTGTTGTCATGGTTGTTTTGTTGTTTGGGTTGTTTTGTTATTTTGATTGTTTTTTGAGTTCTTTGTTGTTTTGTTCACATCAACTCTGCTGTTTAATGGTTTTAAGTCTTTGTTTTATGTGTCCTTTGTTGTAGAAGTTGTTTGGGTTCTTTATTTTATTTTTTGTCAGATAATTTCCTTGTTACTATACTTGTTTGTTGTTGTTTGTGCTCTAGCTAATTGAGTTCTTTGTTTAGTTATTGTGTTGTTTATGTTGTTGTTTGGATTCTTTCTTAATAAGGCCTTTTATTGTTATGGTTGTTTTGTTCGTTTGATTCCCTTTTTTGTTTTAAGTCTTTGGTTTTTAGGGATCTTTGTTGTTTTGTTCTTTCATTGTCCGGGTTCTCTGTGGTTTGGATTTTCTGTATATTTAGTTCTTTGTTGTTACAGTTGTTTGGGTCTGTTGTCTGGACCTAAATTAAATTTCATCAATTGGTTAAGTTTCTGGAAATATCCTTTTAGAACTAGAAAAAAATTAGACATTTAGAAACTGGATTTTCTAATCTAACTTTTCTTAAAAATATTATTCTGATTCATTCATGTGTATGCGAAATTTAAATCTGTATCCTCTGTCAGATGTAGCGTTTCCATAGAAACAATACTTGGACTAAATTGAGAAAAAAAATGCTGAAAACTTGATGAAATGGCAGCACATCTCACCTCTGTCATCTGTCCTGTAATTACCAGTCCACAGAGAGCTGATAAATCAATAACTCTCCTTAGGTCTTTCACAAGAGCTGAAAACCTCACTGATGTATTTCTCAGCCCCTCGGGTGAAGTATGGATCTCAGTGTTAAAGATAAATAAACAATATTAATCAGGTCAAATTACTCTTTACAAGCTGCAGAGGGAGAAAGAAAAACCAGGAATTCAATCTAATAAATGCCACTTTTGGCTAAATTGTTTTGACAGATTTTGGTTAAAATACTCATTTTAGACAACATGAGACCCTCACCCTTGGATACTTACCCTTGTAGTATCAGGGAAGCTAGTTTTAAACTTTGAGATGATATCAAGCTGGATGGTTCAGCATGTACAACTCTAACAAAAGACTTCCAAATTTGATTTGTCAGACCATAAGACACTTTCTCACCTCACCTTAGAAATTTAAAGATTGCTTGCATTTCTAGACCATGTTAAATTATATTTTCCTCTTTAAATTCAAGAAATAAAAAATCCTTTAAAAAGCTAACTACATCCTGATAAAGTTTTAATTCTTGTAAAAAAAAATCTAGTATATTCCACTTTGCTCTTAAGACATCATAAACAAAAGTAAATTAATGTAAAAGGCTTTTATTTTACAAAAGAAGACGGAGGTAAAACATTTATTGCTCAACCTCATGACAAAATTTACCAAACAAAATTTCTTTTAAAAAACTTCCAGAAAAACAAAACAAAACAAAAAAAAAAACTTATGCAGGATTTACAAATATCAGACGATCTGTTGCAACAACGGAAATCCAGGGACTGCCCCACCCCTGCTCAGTCTCTTTGTGTCACATGATCAAACAGGAACTACTTCTTGGCGTAGGTGATCTTCATGGCGCAGGTGGCTGTGATCCTGAAGCCCTGCAGAGCGTCTTTGGCCACGCCTGCCTGCGTGTCGCTCTCGAACTCCACAAAGGCGATGTCATGTTTTCCAGGGACGAGACGCACCTCTTTAAACCCAGGAAACCTGAGAAGGATGCAAACACACCGTCAGCGAACGCACACACACACACTGATACACATATTACAAAGAGTGTTGGTAATGGACTGACTGGTTGAAGAGCATGGAGAGCATCATCTCGTTGGTCTCTTCAGGGAGGTTGTTGAGGAACAGGATGTAGTTTGGAGGATTGTCAGGCACCTGTGAGAGAAAAGCATCCAGATCATTAATCATGACCCTCTTCATGCCATAGGTTCCTCTGGATGCAGACTTCTTGCTGCTGTGGACCCGCCTGCTTTCCTGCTACTTAAACTACATGCATCAGTCTCTCCTCTATGCATCAGTTTGCCCTTAATATCAGGCACAGAAGCTTTTTGCAAGTATTTTCAGCCAGCAGCAGTAAAACAGGCTGTCATGGAGGCAGCCGAATCCTTGTGGAAAAGGAACACAAAGTGCGTCTTCTAAAAGTTCTTGTTTTTGTCTCTGATAGGCTCAGGTTGTTATTCTGACCGTCTGTCATTTCTGAAAGGGTGCCACAGAAAAAGAGAGAGCTCTAACAGCTGTTACACCACTCACTACAAAACCACAAAGAAAATACAATAACAGTGTCTCGGTATCTCGGCTCTATCATCCCTACCCTTTAAATCAAATTTAAAATAAATGTGTTGAAACATGACTTACCTGGACTGCAGGGGAGTGAACCGGTGCTGCTGATCCCTGCAAACAACAAACACAAGGAGAGATCATTTAAAAATGTAGCAAAGAACGTATAGAACTGAATTTACAGAAGAAGAAGCTACAGTCTGAGCCATACAAGAGCTGTAACGTTAAAAATAGGGATTGAGCCTTTGAGAGCACGAACAGAGCAGTTTATATGACCACCTGCTGACAGCATCAGTCCTTTATCATGAGAAGCATCAGGTCACTGCCAACTCATTTCCTCTCAGATGCTCACAGTATGTGATGATAGTGATAGAGGAAGGATTGAGTATTTTCTTGTGTCAAACAGGGCTGCTCCTTTATGGCAAATGAAGAGCTCAGATTGATGTGCAACAAAGTGTGAGTTTGTGGAAGGATTGAACTGTCGACTGTATCATCAACATGTGCCACAGCAGTTCAAACTACCGGGCAGCTGTAGAGAGGGGAGCAAGGAGAGGAGGAGGAGGAGGCAGGTGTGTGTGTGTCTGAAAAGCTATGGGATAGCTTGAAGCACGGTAAGAAAGAGGCTGTGGCAATCATGAATGGGAACAAGCACAAACAAGCTACCAATCCAGAGGTTAAAAAGTAAGAGGCACTGGTTTATGGTATGCACAGCTAATCCCACAATCATCATCATCCTCATCACACAAACAGCAGACAGATGGAGAACATGAGCTTAATATCCAACACTTAAACTTCAGCTCTCGTTCATTCGTTGCAGGTCATTTCTTTCTGACAGAAACTCACAGCTGCTGGTTTCTTTGTCAGGCCGGCTGCAGGCTCCTGAGCTTTCTTCTTCTTCTCCTTCTTCTCCTTCTTATCACCGTACGTGCCCTTTATTTTTGATATAACCTCAGAGTCTGTTTTTGCGTACTGTATCCTCTGAAAAAAAAAAAAACCAGACGGTTCAGTGGAGTTACAAACATGACAGACATGACCAAAAAAATAACAAAAACCCAACGGTGGACCTACCATGGGCTTGTTGTAGAAGGGGAAACCCTGCAGCTGCCTCAGAGCGTTGGTGGCACCAGCAAGCTCCTTGAAGACGACGAAGGCCTGACCCCTCATCTTCATGGTCTTCATGGCCACGATGTCGATAATCTGACCGAACTGAGAGAAGAGTGCATAGAGCGAGCGCTTCATCTCTACAAGACAAAGACGACAAGCAGAAAGAGCTCAACAAAAATTACATTTCAAGAGTTACAAATGTTTTGTTGTGGGTCTGCAGTGCTTTAAGAAACATCTCACAACAATCTAACTAACTTCAAACATAAATAACAGAAAAAATATGGAAAAGTTTCTCATTACAAAGGACAGAGGTAGAAGTGATGAGCAAAAATCAACAGTAACAATAATGACGATATTTTTTATTGCCTTGTTAAAAGCTTTCAACACTGAGGATTTATTAAACAGATCACAGAATGCAGGGTAAGAGAAATCCCCTCCAAGTTCTTGAAATGAGAATTGGTGTGCCTCAGGGCTGCGTCCTGGGACCACTGTTGCACATAAAACTTATACAGTTTGACACTGTGCAAAGCACCTTTCATGAATTAAAACTGATCTTGAATCCTGATTAAACAAAACTTGTGAACTCAAAACGGATGTAGCGGCTGGCTGCATTCGTGATTGAATCACATTAAACTAACTTCAGGCTCTGAGTTTCAAACCTGCAGATGATTTAGGGTGATTTTACTCAAACTAGGAATGCAAATTCAATGTACTTTCAGTCAATCTTTGTAAACATTAATCATCAATTTTATATTACTCATCAAAAGAAAACAGATTTTTTTTCCCATGATAAAAACAATAACAAATTCATTCATCTGCCTAGATTGAACAGTATGTTTTCCACAGCTTTGTTCAAAATATACTTGATAAAATGGTGGTATGACATAACTATAGAAAATATAGCAGCTTAAAATTGTTTGATACACCTAATATTTACATGTGGAACTGCTTCTTAAGGGAAATATGGACACATAGACCGAGCCTAGAACTGCCAAATGTGGAACTGATGCCACAAGAGACCTGAATAGATCAACAGGCCTGTTTCAGACTCTTTGTCCAGTTTTCTGCATACTTGTTCTTATTGATTAAATAAAAGCAAGTCCATACGGTTGAGTGTTTATTGGAAGTGCAGCAGGGTTACAATCAGTCTGATGGCAGGAAACATGCTTAGGGGAAAGTACTTATGTTGCTGGTTTGCAGAATGAGAGAAAGATTTCACAGTCTGCAAAATCTTTCAACTGTGACTTTTCCCCAGTCTGTTGGGTTTGAATCAAATTAAAGGGCAATGTCCTGGTGAAAAAGCACCCAATATCTGTGTGGCTGTTGTGTATTGTTCATCAAAACGAGTCTGCAGAGACCCTGAGCACAGCTGCACCCTTCAGCTGAGCAACTTCCTTCTGCACAACACCTTCAGCCAGTTTTTAAAATATCCTTGTCAACAAGACTCTTCTAGTTTAATAAATAATTTCATAGAAACATTTATTGCTTGTTGTAACGTCCACCTACCTTCTTTCTTGACTTTGTCATTGATATTGTTGATGTAAATGGTGTGGTTTGGTCGAATATCCATGTTGGAGTCTAAAGAAACAAACAATCAAACGGGTGTTAGCTTCTTTGTTTTCAAGGTTAGATTTCAGCTACTGACAAACGCTGACAGACAATGATATTTTCACAACACTGAAAGGAAAAACAAAGCAGAAATGTCTTCATTTAAAAAAAAAAAACCGTTTTCTCATAACTCTGAGATAATTAGCTCACTAATTCAGTGTAACAGAGTGGTTTTTCCCTCCGTATGAATACAATACACTTCTCTAATAATGGCCTAAAGCTCCTACATGTATGAATATGAACTTTAAAATATCAGAATATTCACTTGTAAATTTGAAAAGATAATAGAGATATCACTGACGCCAATATCATGACGATTACATCAGAATGTCAATAATTGGCTGACTGAGTGATCGTGATATCTGTAGTTGGTTCACTGTTTTTCCAGTCAAAAATCAACTCAGGAGACTTGCTGATCATCTTAGTAGAGATGCTGATCTCCTGTTTCCAGTCAGACCTGGCACCTGCTCACAACAACCAAAACTTCTTCCACTTGTTTTACTGCCTCTGCTACAACTGTGCTTGAACTGGCTTGACCCGAAGCCTACAGAGAAGCTGTCTGATATTTATCAACATATGGATGAGAAACTACTACAGTTATCTGTAATGCAGGCTTATCCTACCCCACGACAACTCAGTGCTCATTTCTGTGCTTTTTTACTTAACTACGATTGTCTTATAAATCTACCTATTAGCCCTGTATTGCTACTTTAATCGTGTCTGTAAAATGTGGAGCTTTTTGATTCCATCTGAAAGCCAGATTTCTTTTTTAAGCTTACTTGGCTGTGTTATCACATCAAGAAACTCACAGAGAAAAGTTGGAGCACAGTTAAGAGACTATTCATGTTTCCTCAGTCAGCTGCTCGGGGTCATTATTATAAACATACATGTCTGTAAAGAAAGATTTCTGTGCTCATGTCATGGTAGTTTTAGCTAACGTTTACTGAACGTTCATTCATACTGTTAGCTTTAGCAGCATTAGCTTTTCAACAAACTGCAATAGATGCGGGATACTCAGGGGTTTAATCAACTAACCTCTCGTGTAAACGGAGCCAAAATGTTTCTTTGACATGCCCTCGTCTTTTCATATATTAAACAACACAAGAACAAGCACATTAAATATTCAAGTATCAAACTCACCTCTTTTCCTCTCACACCGCTCATGTACAACCGGGGACACACGCTGAAAGCGCCCAAAAAATGGGCTACTGTTTTGACGATTTTTGATCACCATCGCCACCAGCAGGTCGGGAGGGGAACTGCAGTCCCATCAGAGTATATTCTATTCGTGTCAGAAACTTAATGAAAGAGGTTATTCATTTTTCTTAATGAGTGAAGGAATACAGAAGATGGCACTGAAAATGTACATCAGCACGTACCTTAATAATAGCCACTCCCCTGTATAAAAACATTAAAAGATACAGCAATGAGGACTTTTGTATGATAAACAAGATAAGATAAATATACAAATAAATATAAAAGATAAATAAAGATAAATGAATAATACTGAAATCCTACAAAATGTGTAATTTTATAGCAACCAAATTTTTTCCTATTTTGAACTTTTTGAAACTTTTCTGTTCTACGCTGCAGTCCGGCAAAAGGCAAAATAATTTATGAACAGTTAGTTGTCCCGATTTTCCACATTAAATATCATGTAAATTCGGAACAAAGGAGCAAACTGTGTCTCCTTTGTCAATTTTTTGTCGTGACTTAACTGTGACGTTTATCCAGAAAAAAATGCAGATTTTTTTATTATTCACAAAAAGGTGCTTTAGTGATTTTGAAACAATTATAGCTTTTATTGAGAAAGATGGGCATAAAACTATTTCACAGGTCACACTTTATTATTGTTATTATTCATGCCAATATAGTTTTCTTTCTCCGGTTAATTAGAACCCTTTTTTCACTCAGCTTTAAGTGTTTGGCTTTTTGTCCTCTTGTGTTTTCCGTACGGGTGTAATGTTATTATCAGCTGATGCCTCCCCGCTGCAGCCAGACAGTTTTTTGTCATATGAAGCTAACAGGCTAACAGGTTTCCTACACGGACTATGGATGTGAGCAGCCGGTTCACACCGGGACGGCGACGCGGTGTCACCGGACCACGATAACATCTGTCCGCATTGGCGGCCCTCTCTTCTCTTTGGTATCTGCTCTCCTTTGTGAATTTTGTGTTCAGTCAGCCGGTTATCTCCCTGACTTTTGCCCTCTTTATCCTGCTCTGGGTCAGAGTTGCCATCGCTGTTAGCCTGTTAGCTAATTAGCTAATATAAAGCAGCTGTGATTGAGGCTAACTGACTCACTGACTTACTGAGCGGACCGGCTACAGCGGGATGTGCCATGGCATCGGTTCGGGTGGCTGTCCGGGTCAGACCCATCAACAGACGGTGAGTTACAGTCACTAGCTCCACTGTTTCATGCTATACTTGATATTTCAGCAGATATTCAGTGTGAATGTGGAGATTTTTTGAGCTATCTGAGGTCACTGCCTCCTGCAGATGTAGCTGCTGGCTAGGTGGGTGTTTAAATCACATGAACTGCTATAGAGCTTTCAGTTCGTACCGCAGATGTTTCGGGGGTAATTCCAAAAATGAAAAAAAAAAAAAAAATTTGTTAATGTAAAAAAAAAAATAGTGTTGAATGCAGTTTCAGTTCCTCTGCTTTTAGTAGCAGGTGTTAATTGAGTGTGTTTGGCAGAGTTTGGCAGCTGTCATCTGTGTAGACAAGCTCAGACAAAAGAAACCAGATCACCTCATAGAGTATTTTAAATCACTTAGAGTAACAACCCCTCACTTAAAATGCAACCTTAAACATTTTACACCCCCCTGCCACAATTTTTCTGTCAGATTAAGCAATATGTTGCTTTTAAAAAAAACTTAATGTTCGTTTTTTTTTTACTGTATTGTAGAACCAAAGCAAAATGTAGTGAGCAAAGTTTTAAGTTACCCCTTTAATTTTAGCTCCACTACACCAAAGCTACTTCCCAAAGACAAATAGTGAGTAAACCTACTGCAACATGGCACAAACAGTATAGCAATAATAAAGCTGACTTCATATATTGTACTTATTTAATAAAATTTTAGCCATGATTATGAGGATAATGATTATTTATTATTGTTGGTAAAAGTAGTATCATATATTGCTCAACTTAATTCAGTCATCTTTTGTACCGAGACAGCTATTGTCTGAAAAAGTTTACTTGTTCCCACTAAAAGCAACTACACTCAAGTTGACTACAGAGAGGTGACTTGCTCTTCTTTTAGTAGTGACTGTTCAGCATCTGGTGTTAGCAGGGGTTTGCAGACTAACCTGGTGATATTTATCTTCATGGGCCGATTATGTAGCTCACAGGGGAGTCATCTATATGTCTGTTTAGGTGATTTGTGCTCATGATGACTTAAATCTTGGAATTCCTACTTTGATCTCAGAATTTCAACTTCGATCCCGGAATTCTGACTTTGAACTCAGAATCCTGCCTATAATCTCAGAATTCCAACTTTCATCCTTGTATTCTGCCTGTAGTCCCAAAATTCTGCCTTTCATCTCAGAATTTCAACTTCGATCCTGGAATTCTGACTTTGAACTCAGAATTTTGACTTTTATTTTGGATTTTTGCAAGGAATCTTTAGAATTCTGCCTTTAATCGTAGAATTCCGACTTAAAGCTGGGAATTCTGCCTTTTAGTATAAGAAGTCTGACCCCAGTGTCAGAATTCAGACTTTTTATTTTTATCATCTGGCTTACTTTATTATAGTCATGTGTGTTTTAATGTTGACTTGTGCCAATACTGTTGGTGCACAGTACAACCATCTTGAATTGTAAACTCAAAGTTACTAAAGTTCCTCCCAGTTTCTGGGTTGCAGTTTAGACTTCAGGGGGTGTTGCAGATCACTCAGATCAAGTGTGAGCCACATTTTTTTCTGCACCAAATAATTCTCTAAAAATTTAAAAGTGGAGATCAGAATTTGAGAATTATCTGCATGATATTGGTAACGTAGCTTAAAAGCCTTATCTGTAGCAGGAAGTATGAAAATTTCTGCTGATCTAATTGACACTGGTCTGTTGATTTTGTGTTACCCTCCATTATATGACGGGTTCATAATGGCAGAGTGTAGCGTTATGTAATATGCTGTTGAGTTACTGTTTTACTTCGAGATAACAGACACCCGTGTGTCCTGTTACTGCTGACGTGTAGAAGTTTGAATGTAAAAAATCTTCATGCTCAGACACGCAGACTTTGTTTTCATCCTTTGACTCAATCACTGAGGGTGGAGACGACCCGGAGAATAAACTGGGGTGGAGACAAACAATGATACATGACTAAACAAACACATCAGCCTGCTGGCACAGCTCAGGTGTAGTCACATGGGGTTTATTGATGTCAGCTGGTGTTACTGGATCATGTTTGTATATGGTTTTCAGTTCAAACCTGCATTTGTGGATGTATTAAAAACAGTGTTCACAGACTGGTTTTTGGTAGTGACTTGGAGCCCAAGCAGTTGTTTCCACGACAGAGTCCTGTTAGTTTTATTTGACTTTTCTTGAATGGTGCTTCTTTCTTTTTTGCAGTGTATGAAGTTTCTGCATTCCAAAAAGGGTGTCAAATTTTGAAATGTCCGACTACAGGACAGTGTTCATCTTCAGGAATTAATTCTGAGTCCATGCAGTGATTTCCACTATCAAGACATGCCCATCATTTTAAAGTTTCCTGGTCGGTCCCCCTTCTCTCTTTGGCACAGAGTATGCAGGCTCAGGGAATTCCAAAGAGAATGTCAATTCTGAAATGTTTGACCACAGGACAGTTTTTCCACTGTTTGGATGAAAGTGATTTTGAGCCTATGCAGTGATTTCCATGATAAAGTTATGTCTCTTTACATTGCTTTTCCTGTCTGGACCTTCTCTTATTTTGTACAGAGGATGGGGCATCCATTATTCCCATAAAGAATGTCAAATTTTGAAACCGACTACATTGCATTTTAGGAAATGATTTGAGCCTATGCAGTGATTTCCACTGCGGTCAGGTCTATTTTCATGTAGTTTCCTGTATGGTACCTTCTTCCTAATCTCAGTGGATGAGATTTATGAATTCCACAAAGAATGTCAAATTTTGAAACCCCAAACTACATGAAAGTGTATCTGTTTTGGAAGTGATTTGAGTCCATCCGGTGGTTTCTACTTCAGAGTCAGGGTTATTGTTATGTAGTTTCCTGGATGGCCCTTCTTCTCTTTATTGCAGAGAATTAAGGGGCAAAAACAGTTAATAGTGAAAGGTAAAAATTCTGTCAAGAATTACAAAAATATTCTCAAACTTTTGACCGCATGCTGCTCTTAAAGAAAAGATTTTACTTTGATGTTTGATAATTTATTGAAACATGATGTGCTTGTTAACCTACAAAGCTCACAGATATCAGTCTTCACTCTATTTACTTTATGGTTGAGTTATTAAAAAAAACAAAAAAAAAAACCTTAAAAATTTAAATTTGTCAATCTGCAACAGGGAGAAGGACCTGACTGCAAAATGCATCATCCACATGGAAGGAACCAAAACCACCATCACGAACCTGAAGGTAAGGTACACTGAATGCTCTGACATGGAGTCATTGTTATCTGTGAATATTGTAGCTGAAGTCTTGTCGTGTTGTTTCCATAAGCTTCCTGAAAGCATAGCTGGAGATTCTGTGAGAGATCGGACAAAGACTTTCACTTACGACTTTTCATATGACTCCACCGACAGTAAGAGCGCAACCTTCGTCTCCCAAGAAAAGGTAAACAAGGCTCCCAGACTTTCCTCTGTCCTTCCTTGTTCCCTCCCTGCTTCTTCCTTCCAACCTTCCTTGTTTTCTGCCGGCTTCTTCTTTCAACCTTTCCTTGATTCCTCCCTGCTTCTTCTTTCAACCTTTCCTTGTTCCCTCCCTACTTCTTCCTTCCACCCTTCATTGTTCCAGCCATTGTTCCCCTTGGCTGGACCCACTATACCCACAATTCTGTTTGAATTTGTGTTTTGAAGTGATCTCTTCCCCGCTGAACATTTATAGCATGGTTCCTGGATTAATCTTCATCTGTCACATGACCCTTCTGGTCACTGTACCTGGAGCTCTCTGGTTTGAACTGGCATTACGACACCTCTGTGTCAGGCTGAAAATACCAGCCTTTGTCTTGTGTATCTGTGCAGTAGGAGGATTATAGAAGACAAATTCTATGCAAAACATGAGCTGAGACTTACATGAGCTGCTGTATGTTTGCAAAAGGGCAAAATTCTTCTACAGTTTGTTATCAAGGTTTAAATGAATGCAGTGACTCCAGCGTTTGGACTTTAGTAGGTATTTACTGGCTAAAATACTGGCACTAGGTCACTGTATAATTAGGTCATTTTTACTAATTTCTGTGCATGCCACCATAAGTAATCTGAGTCATGCGGCTGTGAGAGACTTAATGCTGGTACTACGATTCAGTGTTCCTGTTTCTGACAAAATCCTCATTTTAATCAGAAGCCCAGATTTCAGCTCGACTATAATAAGACTGCTTTGATACTGTGTTTCTTGTGCTACTTTACTGTATGCTAAAGAGAAATGAGTACAACTTTAGATGCACTTAAACTGCCTTTTATTCATGGACTTGGACTTGTAGTTAGTGTTCAAAGTTTGCCAGGTGAGGACATGTTGGGGAGGTAATCCAGTTTTTCTGCTTTCAAGATCAGCCAGTCACCTGCTGGAAAGCTGATAGTAAATCGTCTGCTTTGTCTCTTCTGGACTGTTTAGTGTCAACTCATAAGGTTTGGTTTGTGGTTGAAGGGTGGAGGGTTTATGTCACTCTAGTTTGTGTTTACTCTGTACTCATGGGCTCCCAGATCACATTTCGGCTCTGTAATGTCAATACTGAGTCATGTGAGCCTTAAATCTGGACAACAGTGTTTCACAACCTCCTAATATTGAGTGAGTCAATAGAAGCCTGAATCTGGTCTAAATATAAATAAAACATGATAATAATTATGAAATGTATTTTTTTTCCTTTTTTTTGGCAGGTTTTTAAAGATTTGGGCTCAGATGTGCTGAAGGCAGCGTTTGAGGGCTACAATGCCTGCGTCTTCGCCTACGGACAGACCGGCTCGGGAAAGTCCTACACCATGATGGGGAATCCTGTAAGGCTAAACTCAGGGCAAACTAAACACTCTCATTGTAGACTCTCCTGTCCATGCGGAAACCTTTACAGGAGACTGATAAAAGTGAAAAAGGTGGAGTGATTGATCAGCTCCCTGAAATCATCAGTGGAATTCATCTGTGTTAATCTGACCGTGTCTCGTGTTTTAAGAGCAGAGAAGACAACACGGCTGCAGCTTTGACTGTTATCATGGTCAGATAATCTGCTCTCTCTCCCCATTAAAAGGAAAGTGGTATTCTTGATAACCTTGGCCCTGTTGTCACATACTTTAGGGTCCAAAGCTCTTTTTAAATATTAACATTAGCTGCGAATAAATATACTGCAATGAAGCGGTAAAACCTGACCACGACTGTGGACTAGAAGGTTCAAATCACATACATGGAGGAAAGTTTTGTTTTTGTCTTCATTTGATCTTGTTAAATATTTATAAATCGAAGAAATACAGCTGCAAGAAAGATCATGAAAATAAAAGAAAAGTGAAACAAATGTCGATATGATACAAAGTATAAGCTGATAAAACTGAAACAGAAACTCGGTGTTAAGAGAAATAAACTAATACAGACAGAGGTCACACTTTGTTCAGTTTGTTAAAATGGCTGTTTTCGTCAGTGGGATTTGGTGGGTTCATACAGAGAGCTGAAATGGGTGGTTGTGGTTTAGAAAATTTGCCTCCTTCTTTCACAAAAATATATTGAAGCTCATTGTGGCAGGAAACAAGTGTGTCAAATTTTTCAGTTTGAGAAAAATGAAAAACAATCCAGAAAAAAATCATTATGAGACCAGAAGTAGAAAAAGTCAGGTAAAATGCATCAATCTTAGTCAAAAGTTAAAATTACAACCTCAGATGTCGATTTTAGGAGATACAAAGTTTCAATTTTGAAATATGTCGTCATATTGAAGAGACTAAAGGTCAAAATAATCAAATAAAATCAACTTATTAAAATGTAAAATAATGAGATATAACTGAATTTTGGAGTGAAACTCAAAATAACGAGACAAAAGTCATAATTTGGAGATATAAAGTCAGAAATAGGATATAAAATGAGACAAACCAATACAGTTTTGTGATTCAGCATCCTGTGATATTGACACTGATAACAAAAATCTGACTAATTCATTAACTTTTGTACCCTGTCATATGACTCACCTTTTCGACTTTTACAGCATCCTCCTGTTGCTCTTGTTAATTCCTGTTTTGTTGTGTAGGGAGATGCGGGTTTGATTCCGAGGATCTGTGAAGGTTTGTTCAGCCGGGTTGCTGAGGCGACTCGATGGGATGAAGCTTCATTTCGAGCAGAAGTCAGGTGAGACCAGGCTTAAAATCTTTTAGCCTCTTGCCAAAATCTTTGTGGATTTTTTTGATCTTCGTTTGAAGCTTTAGGGTATTTGATATTTGATGAAGTGTAGTTAGAAAGGTGGTCATTGCCGTGGGATCCAGAGCTCTGATTTGGGACTGAATTATCCTTTAGCTACCTGGAGATCTACAATGAGAGGGTGAGGGACCTGCTGAGGAGAAAATCAACTCAGACCTACAACCTGAGAGTCAGAGAGCACCCAAAGGATGGGCCATATGTAGAAGGTGAGACTGACCTCAGAGCACCACAGAGAAACGAAATACCATCTCTTAAGTTTGATCACAGGCTGCAGATTTAACAAATCTTTTAGACTTTTCAAGCTTATATATAACATCCTGTAATAGTGCCAAAAGTTGGCCTTTTTTTTTTCTTTTTTCCAATTTGGAAGGATGTCGCTCACACTCTTACCCAGCAGTCGTTACATCGTTAGCGCTACAGCCCCTCTCTTGTTGTGCTCACTCTGTCCCTTGGCTTTTCAGACACACACACTGTTGCACACACCTGCCTCCTGCTCTACTCTCCCCACCTGTGCAATGTTCCACTTTCAAGCCTGTTTTGTACATGTTGGTTGACAATCAGAGAGTGTTGGTCTGTCATTAATGTCCTGTAACACCACCCCGTCTCAGATCTGTCCAAACACCTGGTGCAGAACTACAGCGACGTGGAGGAACTGATGGAGGCTGGGAACATCAACCGCACCACTGCCAGCACGGGGATGAATGATGTCAGCAGCCGATCGCACGCCATCTTCACCATCAACTTCACGCAGGTCAGACGCAAGTTAATGACCCAGGATGAGTTGATGGACTCCCAACAAAAAATACAAACTTCAGTGTACTGACTGACTCACGAAGAATACATCCATTTTGTCAGTACTGGACCTGTGTCATACATAAGTGTTACTAATGGATGCATTTTGTTTTGCACAATCTTGCCATAGACCTCTTAAACTCAGCCAGTCTGTTAGTTTTACACGCTCCTTCCCTCACTGTGTCTTCGTCTGTCAGGCTAAGTTTGATGCAGAGATGCCAAGTGAGACGGTCAGTAAAATCCATCTAGTTGATCTTGCCGGGAGTGAGCGAGCTGATGCCACCGGAGCCACAGGCGTACGGCTGAAGGAGGGAGGAAACATCAACAAGTCTCTGGTTACCCTCGGCAACGTCATCTCCTCTCTTGGTCAGAAACACAATGCAGTCATAGACTAATTTATGTTTTTCAGTCAAAGTTTATGTCCTTTTAATTTCTGCTGATCTATTTCCAGCCGACATATCGCAGGAAGGAGGAAACACCAACCTGAAGAAGAAGTCAATGTTCGTCCCGTACAGAGACTCCGTGCTGACATGGCTGCTCAAAGACAGCCTCGGTGGAAACTCCAAGACCATCATGATTGCCAGTGAGACGCTCAGCCCCCCCCCCAACATTTAATAATCCTAGAAAGAAACAGTCTGATGTATTTTATCTGATTCTGTTAAAACATCACCTCTCTCCACAGCTGTTTCCCCCGCTGACGTGAACTATGGTGAGACGCTAAGCACGCTACGATACGCCAACAGAGCCAAAAACATTATCAACAAGCCAACCATCAATGAGGACGGCAACGTCAGGCTGATCAGAGAGCTGAGGGCAGAGATCGCTCGGCTCAAAGCTCTGCTGGTTCAGGGCAACCAGGTAAAAGAACATCAGCAGAGAGCAGAGATGGAGGAGCGATAAGAAACAAGTTTTGATTTTCCTGCTTGTCCATGGAGGGGATTCTCCCACATTTTGTTGCACACTGATGTGTTCTCGAACTGAGAGCTATTTGAGACTGCCCACTAGTCTGAGTGTTTTTGACTCTGTGTTTTTGTCTCAGATTGCTCTCCTGGATTCACCCACCGCCCTCAGTATGGAGGAGAAGCTGCACCAGAATGAAGCCAGAGTGAGTCGAATATCTTCATCTGTTTTAAGGGTGACGTTATCTTGCTGAGGGAGGTCAAAGACGTCACATTTCTGCACCAAAAGTTGCTTTGCTGGAGAGTTCCTCTCGTTTTTTTCTGGTTTCTATGAAGCACCTGTTGTTTTTTGTTGATTTGTACTCTTGTGTTTGCAGGTTCTGGAGCTGACTAAAGAGTGGACAAACAAATGGAACGAGACGCAGAATATTCTCAAGGTAAAGCTTGGTTTACTTAAAGCTGCTGCAAAGAGTTTTTTAAAGGGTAATGAAACCGAAAATTCTGTTTTTATGAAAGCAAACCAGACCACCGGAGATAAGACTTATCTTATACAAAACGTGTTGAACGAGAAAGTCAAAGAGCTGAAGCCGATTATTAACTAAGAGAAGCAAAGAAATCAGCTGCCCTCAATCTGAACGATGATAGTTTTACAGTGCAGTCCTAAATGTCTGCAGGAGGAGACTCTGGCTCTGAGGAAAGAGGGGATCGGTGTGGTGCTGGACTCTGAGCTGCCTCACCTCATCGGCATTGATGACGACCTCCTCAGCACTGGCATCATCCTGTACCATTTAAAGGTCAGAGGTCACCTGCTGAAAAAGAGCTTAATTACGACAAAAATGAATTGATATGAATTCATGTTTTTTTGTCTGAAGCAGGAAATTAAATCTAGTCGTCACAAGTTTCAGAAATGGTTCCCCAAATGACTTCTTAGATTTTTGTCTTCTTCAGGAGGGACGGACTTATGTTGGCAGAGAGGACGCGTCCGCAGAGCAGGACATCAGTGAGTAGATCTTCCGAGTATTTTCCTCCGTGGAAATCAGCAGAAATTTGTTTTTAAAGCTGCAGAAGCAGAAAAAAAATTGGGGGGTGTTATCTAATGAGGTTAAACAAAAGAACAATGTGGTCTCCACAGATATTTAAATAAGCGCCCTGGTTCACTGATTCCCAACTTGTTTTAACCCGTGACCCCACTAAGACTGCAGTTCATGAGTAATTTAGTCATCTAGTATTAAATCAGTCATTTTTTTACACACTGACAGACAGAGGACTTTTCTGCTTGTGCTAGCTTTATGAAAGGAAATAAACACCAAAACAGAAATGAAAACTAAGTGCTTTGACTGTGGTATTTATGGTATGACATGAGCATGATAACAGAGAAAACATGTGGTGACATACAGGCTGTCAGTAAACACGGGTGAATGGTTTCTCCTTCTCCAGCTCAGTGCAGCAGGCTGACACTGTCTCTCAGCACGATCATAAAAATCACTTCAATGATGTTTGTAATAGTGGGGAAGTGGATTTTCTCGCAGTGGGGTGGCATCCATGAGTCTCATTTTGTCCTTCTTAGTCCTACACGGTCTGGACCTGGAGAGTGAACACTGTATGTTCGAGAACCAGAACGGCAAGGTGACTTTGGTCCCGCTGGGTGGAGCTCAGTGTTCAGTAAATGGAGTCCAGGTGACGGAGCCGTCACAGCTCAACCAAGGTTAGATCTGGAATGACACTACTCAGAAGTCCGGATGTCTCGTCTTTCAATCTGCACTGGTTAAAGGTAGATACATCCTCATTTTATGTTCAGTCCTGTTGAGTTTCGAGTTTTTGTTTGTCGTCCAGGTGCTGTTATTCTGCTTGGCAGGACCAACATGTTTCGCTTCAACCATCCCAAAGAGGCGGCAAAGCTGAGAGAGAAAAGAAAGGTGAGGGCGATTCTCGATTCGAGGACTTTATCTTCTGAGGGGGCATCCTTTAAAGGAGAATCTGAAGTTCTGACCTTTTTTTCCCCTTAGAGTGGTCTGCTCTCGACTTTCAGCCTCTCCATGACAGATCTGTCCAAGTCCTGTGAAAATCTGTCCACTGTGATGCTCTACAACCCCGGGTGAGTTCAACAAAACCCTGATGACTTCAACTGCATGTGATAATCAGCTCAGACCCTGCAGTGCATCTCCCCTCTGCATCAAAATGCCCTGAAGACTATGAAATCGTTTCCTCTGTCAGGGATTTAAAGCTCCTGTGAGGAAGTTTTAACCAGTTATGTAACAATGTGGAATTTATATCCCTGCCACTGTATGAGCTAAAAATACAAACAAGAAGATAGAGAAGCAGAGTGACTTTTTCTGAACCCTAGCCTCCTTTGGACTCTTTTGTCTGGATGAAAGTTTTCTGATGCCAAGCTTTTTGGTTGACCCTGGTCAAAAATGAGTCACTTCTTCTGAAAAAGTGTCTGAGCAGCAGCCTCTTCTTCATCTTGGAGTTTCATGTGTGCAGACTCTATGGTTGCAAACAGCTGAGATTAATTGTCTGAACCCTGTCCTGTTGACAGTCTCTTCACTGAGAAGGGCCCCGTCTTCCTCAGGTAGACTCAGATGCCCGCTTTCTGTCTAACTGTCCCGTTTTTTGACCCAAAGAAGTGGTGTGACTCGTCCTGTCTGTCACCCTGAACCCTCATTCATTGTGTTTTTTCTTCTAATTTTGCACGTCATCTCACTGCTTCTGTCTCCATTTGGACGACCTAAAAACCAAAATGTTGTTGCTCTTTTACATGGCTTGGCATTTCACATAAACTCTGTCATGTGCTGATTTTACTTGCTGCACTTCACCTGTTGTGCTGTTGAACATTTTTATGTGTGTTTTCAAGTGTGTGTGTGTGTGTGTGTGTGCGTGTGCTCTTGTGTTATGAGGGCAGAGCTGATGATGATCTTTTTATTGACAGGTTGGAGTTTGAAAGGCAGCAGCGAGAGGAGCTGGAGAAACTAGAGCTGAAAAGGTGCGAGTCTGTAATTTCTGAAGTTATCTGGTAGTTTTGTTTTAGTTGGATTTATGACTTCCTCAGAGTTTGTATGTTTTAAAATGAATCTAAATACTTTTCTGTCTTTTTATTTTGAAATGCCACATTACATTAGAAAGCAGCAGTGAAACAGACTGTAATGGCTCCATCTTTAGGGCAAATGTTCCCAATCAGATTCTGTCCTCTGGAAGTTCTTTTGGAGTATTGGTTTTATTCCCACAAACATCATAAATTTAACCTCTGTGATTTTTACTTCCACATTCTGAGGGCTGCCAGGCTGTAGTATGTTTAGGCGAGGGAAAATGTTCTTCGCTATATGGGACCTTCAAACAACTACATGTGAATATGTTCTTATTTTTGCAGGAGACTGATTAAGGAGATGGAGGCAAAGCACCAAAGTGAGAAGGCAGAGCTGGAGCGCCTGCAGCAGGAAGTGGAGTCACAGAGGAAGGAATCTGAGGAGGTGCGACAACAGATCCTCCAACAGGAGGAGAACCTTCGCCGCCGCAGTCAGGACATCGAGAGCCGTCTGCGGGACTTCCTGGCTGAGAAAGAGCGCTTTGAGGCAGAGAGACGCCTGGAGATCCAGGGGACGGACTTCCAGAGGAGAAACCCTCTGCAGGAGTGTGAGTCAGAGGAGGAGGAGGAGCAGAGGAGGCAGCAGGAAGCTGCCGAGCAGACTGAGATCTACAGAGAGCTGGAGAAGCTCAAGAGGGAGCGCGAGGAGCAGAAGGTTCGCCTTGAGACCGAGCGGCGGCGGCTGGAGGAGCAGGAGAGGGAGCAGCTGAGCCTGGTGGGGAGGCTGGAGGAGCAGCTGAGGGAGAAACATGAGGCCACCTCTGCCCTGCTGACCCTGGAGGACACCCGCCGCCTGGAGGACGAGCGGCGAGCACTGGCTGAGATTAGAGAAGCCCTCCTCCGTGCTAAAGAGGCAGGAGAGCGGCCAGGAGTGGAGGACGCCAATGAGGAGGCAAGAGCAGCCCAGACCCGATACAAAGACTTCAAGGAGGCGCAGGTGAAGGAGCTGGACCAGCTGGAGGAGGGGCTCCGCCAGCAGAGGGAGCGCCTGGAGAAGGAGGTGGCTACCGAGCGCAGCACCCTGCTTCTCCTCGCACATGGCCTCAGAGAGCGGCAGCAGCATCTGAAGGAGGCACAGGAGAAGGGTGCACAGGACGCCTCGGCTGTGGGCCAGGAAGAACAGCTAGTCAAACAGGCAGAGCACAGGCTGCAGTTCAAGGAGCGCCAGCTGGCCAGTGTAGCTGACAGCCTCCTCCCTGCTCTGGCCGAGGAGAAGCAGAGAGCGGTGGAGATGCTGGAGCGCAGTGGAGGAGGCAGGAATGGGAACTGCGACAGTCCACCGGGGCTGGACAACACGCTGTACCAAGTGGAGAAGGAGCTGGAGGACAAGGAGGAGAAACTGAACCTCCAATGGCACAGCGCTCAGCAGTTGCAGCAGCTTCAGGAAACCTACGAGTTCACAGCCAACGTGGCGAGGCAGGAGGAGAAGGTGAGGAGGAAGGAGAAGGAGATCCTGGAGTCAAAAGAGAAGCAGCAGAGGGAGGCGATGGAGCAGGCGGTGGCCAGGCTGGAGAGGAGGCACTCTGCTCTGAGACGCAGCGTCTCCTTGGAGCCTGACTCTGAGGAGCAGAGACACAAGAGCTCAGTTATCAGGAACCTGAGGACGGGGGCGGAGCTAGACCAGCAGAGGTCTGTTAAGTCACTGTCAGGAAAAAGCTCTTTTGTTGAATCATTGTTAACCGAGGGGGAGTGTGTAAAAGTCGTGATTCTGCGCTGTATTTTATTTACATCTTCAAGTTTTTGTCTCTGCAGGGTGGAGCGGGAGATCCAGAAGCTGAGGAAGAGGATCAGTGAAGGAGAAGACAACAACAGGAGTCACTCAATCAGTAACGATGAGAAGTCGAGCCACAACAGCTCCCCAGTCAGCCACATCCAGAGTCTGAACCCACTGCTGCCTCTGTCAGATGACAGGTACCCCTCACACTTTTCTGCTGCTGGATTTACAACAGAGCTCTAGTGATTTTTACAGCATTTGCTTGTCATCATCTCTGTCAGAATAAATGCGTACATCGAAGAGGAAGTCCAGCGAAGGTTACGCAAAATGAATCTTCTGAACGGCAGCAGCAGCACCATGGATCTGTCTCTGTCCTGTGAATCTCTCAGGGTAAGAGCTGAACCACACTCAACATAATGAACTTTATTAGATGCGTCTGATTCCACTGAGTTTTTGTGACAAAAACTAAGCATACTAACAGTTAACGTGTGGCCACATATATGACACATACAACAGCATTACAGCAAGGGCTGTGGAATACAGCCAAAATGTAAAACATCAGATTTTCTTTCAGTGTACATCCATGAATGTTTTTTTCCTCCCCAGAGAAAGGACTAACAAGAAATGACACTGAACAAGTTTTGCTTTTGTACAATAATATTCAAAAAAGACAAACTGAATTCACCTCCTTCGTCTCAAAGTATAAGCTGTAAACCTGTCTATAAAAGTGGACAGTGTTTTTCACACAACAGGGCTGAATAGCTTTTCCACTGGGTTTATTGGCACTGTATCTTTATGTGATCTGCAGTGCTACTACACTAGGGTCTTCTGTGCAATGAAACCAAAATATGATCCTGCAAATGTTGGCTGCTTCTTAGTAGGTATTTGTAGATTGTAGGGGTCTTGTGCATCTCTTTGTGGGACACATTTCTCACCTCTATTGTACTGCAGCAGCTTTTTATCAAACTTGGCAGAAAACTGTGGTTCGTCGAAGGTCTGATGCAACCAGCTGCGTGTCTGCAGGAAAGTACTGAGGTTAGAGTCCAAGGGCAGCTTCGAGAAAATCTAGACTCTCAGATTCCAAAACTGTCCCAAAACCAAAAACATGAACAAAATTAACATAAAGCTCAGCACTAGAGACAATCTTTAATACCTGAATACTTCAAGACTAGGGGGACAAGTTGTGAGACTCAGGCCCAGCTTCCTGGTCTGTTGGACTCTAAATGGGACGAAATTTACATACAATAAATTTACAATAAATGTCATGCTGTTTTGAAGATGAACTAAAGCTAATGATCGGCACCAGAAGCTCAAAAAAATTAGAAAAATTGCATTTCCTTACAGAGAACGTGTGGAAATACTGACAGCTGAAAAAGCCATGCAGAACTGCTAAAAAAGGGGAAAGTATAAATGAAAAAACAGTTGAAAAGGTGGAGTAGAAGAAGAAGAAGAACAAGAAATTGCATGAATGGGAAAATTGAGGTATAGCTGAAGGTAAAGAATTTGTAGGAATGTAAAAATTGTAGAATAGCTTAAGTAAAAAAAAAAAAAGTAATATGACTTATGTGAGTAACGGAAATGATAATCAGTATAAGTGATTTGGAAAAACAAATGCCTGAATATTCATGTATAACAATGTCCCCATAAACGTACAATACATTTAATGGTGAGAAATAGAATGGTAAAAATAGCACATAGTGGGAAGGTGTTGAAAAGGGCCAAATATCGGCATAATAATAACAATGATAATAATAATGATAATGATAATGATAATAATGATGATAATAGTAGTAGTGATAATGATAATAATGATAATAGTAGTAGTAATAATCATAATAATGATGATGATAATGATGGAAATAATAATAATAATAATAATGATACTAATAATAATAATTGTTATTGTTATTATTGTTATTATTATTGTAGTAGTAGTAATAATGATAATAGTAATTATAATGATAATAATTATGATAATAATAATTATGATAATAATAATAATTATAATGATGATAATAATAATGATAATAATGATGATAACAATTACAATGATTAAGAAAATTGACTGTCAGGAATCTCAATAAGTGGAAATGCTGTGTTAGCATTTCCACTTAAATAGTTACTATGGGAATAAATGAGCTGAGAAGTGAGCTTGTTTCATTGTAAACTTCTTTGCATTCAGACCTTTTTGTAATGATCATAGTTGCCCCCTGCTGGACAGAAAAGAGTTACATTTTTATAATAGGTCTGCAGTGGTATCGATTCACTCACTGGGGCTAGGTCCTTTTTTTTTTTTTGATACTGTCCTCAGTCTTAAACTTGTTTATTTAACATTTTATTTATTCTCTAAAACTGGTAGAAGTATAAGCTGTATCTACTGAAGATTCTGAAGCTCCCTTTTCTGTGTAGAACTGATATTTAGCTCTTTGACTCTGCAGGATGAGGAAGAGGTTAGCGACTGTAGCTCTGTTAGATTAACAGATGAGGTAAGACCAGGACCTGCCTGCACTTTATGTCCCAATAAGACTTTTCCTGCTCTGTAATCTGCATGATTTCCTTTGATTGAGCCACTTAATCACCTCTAATGATCAGTTTGATTCCTCTGAAACTCAATCTACCCTGGTTTCGTATGATTTGCTCCTTCTCCCTGTGATCAAGAAGTCTGCATAATTTTGTTTCCAAATGAAGGATGCTGCCTTTCCTTAACAGTTTGAGAAAATTCAGGCTCTGTTTTCATGATTACAAGATTTGTAGTTGACTTTAAGTTTCACTACCGTTTCAGGATGATGAAAAGCTGCAAAACGTTAATCCAAGGAGGCTGAAATATGAGGTAAGACCGAGACCTTGTTCTCATTTTCAGATCATTTTATCAAAATGTCAATCATTAGAATCGAAGTAAGGTGTGTCCAAACCAACTAAAGTTTAATTTTGCATGTTACAAAATTACTCTAAAACATAGGATTTAAATCACTCTGGAAGTTAAGTTGCAGTATTAGGGGGTTCCTCTAAGGGGAAAAGCCTTACTATTTTCATGCATGATCTTTTCACTATGTTCTATCACGTCCACAATGTACAGTTTTTGTGTAGCTGTGTAGCTCTTTCTTGCACTATGTTTGCGATGTGGAGTTGCTCCAACTTACCCGTGGTCTCCACTGGTCATGTCTTGGTGTTTGGTCTGTACACACCTTTTCTTGGCAGGGCATAGGTAGTGCCAGTTTCCACTCATGCGTGCAAAAATTTCACAACGAAAATAAAAAAAAGAATTTTGGAAATAATTTCATAAATTTGCCGTGAGGGGGTACTGGTTCAGCTCAGTTGGTAGATCATGTGCCCCATGTACAGAAGCCTCCATTGCACTGGTCGTGGGATCTATTGCAGATCCTGGCAATATTTGTTGCATTTCATCCCTGACACTCCCTCAACATTCCCTTTCTTTCCCAAGCTGCCCCATCAATTAAGGAAAAGATAATTATAGGACTGTAGCCTCTGTCATGAGGTCCAAAGCAAAGTCAAAGCTGAACTGATACCCTAACATGGACATCTTGGATAGAATTTGGTTTGACCTGATCCTAGGCAGTTACAGAATTTTAAAAGTTAAAAAGCGAGTGTAGTGGCTTTAGTGTCAGCAACTCTTGTCCCATTTCAGGTGTATGTTTCAGGGAGAATATTTACAGAACACCCATTTTAAGTAAAATAGGCCCCTTCTTGATTATGATTGGTCAATGATCAAGAAGAAGAGCACGGCAGGGTCCCAGAGAGTAAATTATTTTCACTTGACAGTGTTGAGAGTGCAGTGACTTAAAAAAGCTTACCCTGAATGCTTTGTTTGTGCTCAGGAGGCTTAGCATAGAAAACAGTGAACTCCATGTAGTTTGAATAGCAGAACAGTGCTGCCAGTGCAAAAAACAGCATCAGTGCACACAGCACACTAATGGTGTTGAAAGTTTCCACGAAAAACCTTGTTGTACTAATTTGCATGCCAAACTTCTTCACACTGTTAATTTTGAATCACTTACAACTCACCTCTGCACCTGGTGTTGGACGGCTTGTAATTCTCATTCGGGTGGATAATGGATTTCCGTATAATTATAAAGAACCTTCAGCACCGTGATGACCATGTAGTCATGGACTCCCCCCTTCTGCACACAGAGAGCCTCTGGGTTGTGGTCTAGCTTCCTGCCTGCTGACTCACCTCCTCATATCTTAGAAAATGTGTTTGGAGAACTGGAGAAGGACTGTGTAAGGCTTCAGAGAGAAGACAAACTACCCAACATGGAAGTCTTGGTTGAAAAAGAGAAAATGCCTCACAAAGATGGTGACAACACCAAATGGTGGAAAGAGGAATACCAGCGAGGGGAAGCATGCAGAGAAATTTGGATGCTTGATCGTGGCAGCATTGGGAAAACAACGTTTTTATCTACCTCAGCAAACACATCAACCAACAGATTTGATGGGAAAAACAGTACAACTGACAAAAGCAGAAATGATTCAGGTTGCTGTATTTCAGATGATGAGAAGAGGGTTGAAGAAAAAGCAAATGAGTTGTGTGTATATGAACGCCGGGATCTTTTCTCAAATGAAAATGTTCAGCACCAAACATGTTACGCAGAAGCAGTTCAAGATGTAGGTCATACTGGGGAACAGTCTGCAAAGTCGGAGAATCTTTCCAATGGTCCTGTTGTCTCCAATCAGAAGATAAAGATAGGCACTCACAATCAACTGGAACAAGAGTCTGAGACATCAGCTGAGAAAGGAGCAACCAGCAGTGGTTACTCGTTGGGTTATTTTGCTGGAAAGCTCTCCAGTATGTACAGAGGTGCTGGTAGAGGGCTGCAAAGCACACAGATTATGATACAGGGAACACGGAACACGAGACATCATTAGTAATGTAGGAGTCAGAGAAATTAAGGATGTACTCACTCATTATGTGACCATGATGTCTAAAGAACTTCCGCTGATTCATCAGATGCAGCTCAAGCCAGAGCCAGAACCTTGCATCCCTGTGGAAAACAAGGCGATGTTACTTGATTTGTCAAATGGTCGTGGCCCTAGTCGTCCCCAGAATTACAGCATACCTACAATCCCAGGCATATCAAGATGGCCCGAAGGTTCTGTGTCCTGTCTTAAAAACACATGCCCTCAAGTGTTTACTCAAAGGCTGGTCCAGTTCCCACCGGTTTTGGCCCAGCTACAAACACTTTCACCCCTGAAGATTTTGCAAAGGTTAAAACATCTAGTGCCTAAAATGGAAGTAAAGAAGCTTGTGAGTGTCTTTTGGCTCCAAACTGCCACCAAAAAGCAACCGAATCCAAAGCCTGGATGCTTGCTGTTGTCAGAAAACCACCTGGTAGTGCTTTCGAGTGGAGCAAACTGGGATCCCTCCTTATCGATTATCCACCATCTCAAACTCCTGGAAATCAAGAAAGTCCAAATAAGCTTGGCAGGGCAGCATGTCCGTGTAATCGGATGCACTGAAGACACAGTCTTGGCAGTGTTTACCCACAGCAAAGAGCTTACCCAAGAGTTCTGTAAGGCTTTGCTCAAGGTCATTGCCCCTGAACAGTTCCCTAAGGAAACTAAAGATCACCCTCTGCTCTCAAGGGACCTCATGACCCTCTCTTTGGACTGGACATCAAATGTCCCTGATATCATCCTGGACAACGGCCTCCATGTCACCTCCAGATTCAAGAGGATCCTGGCGGATTTGCTCTACATCATCCACGGAAACATGGACAGTCCTGGCAGGCCGTCTTTGGCCAACATTAGTCCTCTACTCTACACCAGTGTTAAGGTCATGAACTCCACCCGTGTGCATCAGGACACCATCTTTCAGTTCCTTTTGACAGACACCCACGTAGCTCTTCTCCGTGAGGATGGCATCTTTCATCCTGTGCCACGGGGCACCAGTCTGGTTCCTTCCCAGCCCCAGTTTCAGGGTCTTGAACTTCGAAGGCGTTTAGACATTGGATGTGTTTTTGTGAGGCAAAATGGCGACTGGCTGGTCATAGAAATCTCATTTAAGAATCAAAAGGCACAAGATAACAAGTGTTATACAAGGCACGGTCCGGCTGAAGTGCACTCAGTCTCTGATCAAGGTAGCTGTTATGATTCCTGGAAGTTATCTTTTGGTTGTACCTCCGAAGCTTCGATCTTGATCAACCATCTCTGTACCTGAGGTGTAGACCTCCTGGCATTGCCAGCCTTCATTGACAAAGACAATTACTTATCTGGATGCAAGGTAAAGAAAATTCAAATCAGGAGACATATACAGGGCAATCACCTTATTTCTCTGAGGATGTGTCGACCAGGATATCACCATTTGATGGGAAAGAAAAATCAGAGGAGTTGTCTGAAGAGATGGCTGTTGATTATGTTAAAGTAAAATGAGCATATGAATGTATTTTAAAAATTTTAAACATTTTATTAAAGTTGGAAGTTTATTGTTATTAAAGTTTATTGTTCAGTTAGGCTGTTTCTTAATGTTTTTTTCCTGGGAAAGGAAGTGGAGCAAAGGGGAACTCTTAAAAAGTAAGTTTTAAATCTGGACCCTACTTTTTCCGTACTTTGAAGTCCTCGTGACTGATGGGTGCAAAAAGTTTGGAACTAGCTCTGGTGTATGTTTAAGCCAGCAGCTTTAGAATAGACTGTCATAGCTGTAATGTTTATTGATCAGGCAAAGTGTGCGAGATGCCATCACGTCCACTCAAATGACTTGTTATTCTGCCTCATATTGATTCAAAAATATCTGGACATAACTGACAGGATCTTAACTGAAGCAGTAGTTTTTGCCAAGGTAAGAAAGATTCCTTTTTTTTCCAAATATGACAGACAGTTGACAGTCTGACTACACCTTGACGTCACCTGCTGGTCCGACATGCTTACATGACCATTTTTAACACTTTATATAATGTCGTGGGGACAAGATATGTTTTGTAAATGTTGGTTCAAATTGCAGCCATTTCAGTCCGTTTTATAACTATTGGTTTTCCATACAGTCAGAATTCCTAAATGCGTGACTTTTTCAGGCATTTAGACCCCAGAATTGGTAAGATTAGGGCCTAAGTTAAAATTCCCCTTTAACCATGTCGACAAATCTGTTTGCATCTATAAATAATAAAGGTATGAATGTTGTTTATGGCCTCTTCATTGATTGTTTTAAATTGTTGACTTGTTTTAGCTTTGGTCATGTGCTGTTCAAAGGAAGAACAGTGCTTCACTGTAACACAGAGACATAAAAATTTCAGCTGCTGTTGATAAAAAAATGTTGCTGTCTTAATGATTTCATGCTGCACAATGATGGCTTACTAAATATGTACAGTATATAATTGAACTGCTAATGTGTCATGTTCCTAATGAGTTTATGTTGGCATTTTGTAAATAAAGGTTGAACTTTATATGTTTCTTGTCTGACTTTATTCGGAAATCATCAATTTATCTTAATGAAGTGCTTAATTGTTTCATGTCAACCCTTTACCTTTCATCTTTTTCCTCTTGTATCTCTTTTTCTTTTTCCTGTTACCCGGTAACTTCCTCTGCAGCACCTGGTCTCTCGTCCTCCGGGGACAAGCGCCGATAGTCTTCAGGAGCCTGTTAAAATTAGCATTCCTCGTTACGTCCTCCGTGGACAGGGGAAGGATGAGCACTTTGAGTTTGAGGTGAAGGTGAGTTCTCCCAGCTGTTCGTCTTCATCATCCATCACTAATGTTATGACCCACATCTGCTGCCTGTATGTGTTCTTTTGTCTTTTGGCTGTTTCTTTTTAGAATGGAGGCAGTTTAAAGTAATTTATCATACGCTATAATATATTTGTAGTGCTTTTGTTGAACAGAAACAAAGTGTGAAAGGGCAAATAAAAAAACAAAATACAGAAGTTTCCCCAAGTGTCCATGAGAGGCTGACCCAAAAAGTCAAAGAATCCACATTAGGTATAAAATGGCCCAGTATTTAAGCAGTTTTTGCTGTTTTGTGTATTCATTTAGGCTGTATGAGAAGGATTTTTTTTCACTTTTACACACCTGTTTTGATTTTTTCAGTGGTTGATAGATGCTGGTAATGCCAGGTCAAGGTGGCCGATTTAGTATTAGTTATAATCAGAGTAGAAAAAATACGGGGTTAATAATTGGGTTCAAAAAGAGTAATGTTTAAAATAATGTTTCATGCATATTTAAGTCTAATATATATGAATATCTTGGCTTGTAACATGTTTTCAATAGATTAATGCAAAAGACATGTATGGGGTCATGCTGTACCTTTTAGAACAAAAATACAGTGAAGGCTAATGGTTTTGCATAAATTTGGCAAATTTGAAATATACTTCCAAAAGGCTTCTGGTCTTATGAAACAAGTGAATTTTATTAGTCAGCACAATGTATCCTTCTATTCTTAAAGCAGGGGAATATCTAGTCATGTATGGCAGTGATTCGGCCCTTTTGCTTGCACTGACTGCCTCTCACAATGCGTTGCATCATTGTTTTACTGGACATGTGGTGCTTAGTGGAAGACATCAAGAAGGGAGCAATTAGGCAAAGAGTCTAATCTGAAGCCGGTTCTCGACTTCCATCCGTAACCATTATAGCTTATTAATGAAGCATGAATTTTACTTTCAAATAGACTAGAAATATGATGAGTAGACAGCAGGGGTAGATGTGCAGCAGAGGGTTGTGGCTGGGAATCTAACCACTAACTGCTGCTGTGAGGACTCACGCTGACTGCCAGGCCATCGGTGCCCAGTTTTTGTCTTTTCATTATTCATCTTTTGATAGCTATGCAGAAATTGGCAAATGTAAAGTTTGCCAACAAAAAGCTGCAGAACTCACGATGCGAGTGGATTTTAAAGTTAGTTGATTTGTTATACCTTTCTGTTTTGAAAGTAGATGACATAAGCACAGGAATATTTGGTTATACGATTTGTCGTTTGACTGCCTGTTATTTTGTAATTTGTTTTCTTTGATCAGATCACTGTGAATGATGAGATGTGGACCGTTTTCAGACGTTACAGTCGCTTTCGGGAGATGCATAAGGGCCTGAAACTAAAATATCCAGAGGTGAGAAAACTCATCTTCTCATGTGAACTTTTACATTTTTTCTAAATCCAAGGTTGAGGTTCCAAGATGCTACCTTTAACGCTTGATGCTTCTGTTCAGCTTGCAGCCCTTGAGTTTCCCCCCAAGAAGCTCTTTGGAAACAGAGATGAGCGGATGGTGGCTGAGCGCCGGAATCAACTGGAGGTGAGACATTTTAGTAAAATTAGAAAAAAAAAAAAGAAGAAAAATGTGCGCGTCTAGGTCTAAAAGCTGGTGTTGTTTGTGTTGCTTTCTGCAGCGATATCTGAGAAACTTGTTCCGGGTGATGCTGTCGTCTTCCAGCTCTCCTCTCAGAGCAGACGCAGATGGCGGCTTCCATCTCACCAAACATGCTGTCTGTGAGTTCTCGCCGTTCTTTAAGAAAGGCGTCTTCGAGTACAGCAACCACGGCACTGGCTGACGAAAGCAGCCGAGACTTTCTCCGAACCAAAACAGGACGTGAAAGCAGGAGGCCTTTTTTTAGGCCTCAGAGGGTCAAGAATAAAAACTTGAAGGTCAGTTTCATTTTCAGCCTCCTGATAAGCGACTCTGGGCTGTGAGTCCATGTGCAAACTTTATCATGATAAATGTTGAAGTGGGAAATGTAGCACTCTGTTTCAAGAGTTTCTTTCTTTGTTGTATATTAACAGAAAATATAAAAACTTTAAAAACTCTGTAATCATCCGACTTAATGCTGTCTTCACAATCTTTACATTAGAGCAGTTTTCCAGTCAGTGATGAAAAGAAAACTTTTTTGACACAAGGCACTGCACACTCTGGCAATAAACAGCTATAATATGTAGATTCACACCAAGCTATTGTGATATTTTTGAATAAGGTGTACAAAAACAGTTAAATAAACTTGAACACTATTTGGTTGTGGGTTTGATTCCCTGAAAAGCTGCATGTTTGGCTCTCTGTTGGAACAAAAACTTTATCGAAATAGTTTGCTGACAAAAAAAAAAAGATTTAGGATCATGTTTTATTGTTACCAAACTACAGTCCAAGTATTACTGGGTTTAATGTCACAGACTACAGTTGTGGTAGGGTTTTCTTACATCGGCTTTAAAGCTCCTGTGAGGAAGCAGGATAATACCACTGCTGCTGGTATTAGGTGTCAACCTGCCAGCTACTAAGACAACCTCTATTTTCTGATTCTCCATATCAAAGATTTGTTAAAAATGCAACTATAGGACTAAATCAACAAAGAGAGGGCTACAGGGGCTGCAAAAGTCATACAAGTTAAAAGTTTCTCACAGGAGCTTTAATTTGAAAATATTTGGGGGTTTTAATGACTTATAGGAATAAAAAGCTTTTGAACTTCAGCTGTAATGACTCCAATAAAATCCTGCTGTTTATGTACCAATAAACAAATAACTGCCACAGTAAGTATTTTCTTACCTCTAGGCAAAACACCACCATAAATTTGCAATATTATTGACCTTGTTTATTTTGTATTGTCCACTCAAACCCATCTCTGGACTCAGTCCTGAAGTCTTCCACAGTCTCACGTCTTGTTAGCAGCTGTATAAAACAGGTCTGTACTTGACTTTGGAACTGGTCTTAATATTAACTCTGCATTTTTCTGAAGCCATATTTTGTGTATAGAGAGTGTAAATAATCATGTGCATAGTTTTTCTATCCTGTATGCTTATATGCAATGTAAACTATTGACACTGAATGTCAGTAAAGGGAATGTACAAAAACTTTCAGACCCTGTCCTTTACTTTCACATTTAAAAAACAAAGAAAACAGGAAATCACTAAAGCCTCAAGGTCAGGATCAGAGACATTTCTACTCACATCAGCCCAACTTCTCCTCATGACGTTACATTTAGCAAAGAATTCAAACACATATCATGAAGCAAATGTAACACATTTCACACGTCTAACATTTAACAAAAGCAGAGACGGCCCTTGACAGGTCAAAAAATTAGTATCAAAAACTTAATATTTCAAATTTAAGTTTCTTTTCTGTTTTGTTCTTGTTTCTTTCCTGAAATAATTTTACCTTTTAAGAAGAGCTTTACTTTTTGAAACACGTTTTAGTAAAAACTTCAGATGAAACATTTTTACCTTTTGTAAAACACTTATGTTCTTGTGAAGCATTTACACATTACATGAAACACTTAAAACTTTTGAACACCACTTTAAAGTTTTTTTTTTTTTTAAATTACTTTCTTAAAAAATTTTTTTTTACCTTTTGTGTAGAACATTTTTACCCTGAATCACTTCTACATTTTGTGACACATTTTTGTGTATCATAAAACACTTCACATTCTGTGAGGTTTTTGTGCAGTTTATGCAACATTTTACAATTGCTGTCTCTTTTTTTGGTGTACTTAAGTTATTTTATGTTTTGTGAGTTTCTAGGTGTGTCAAATAATTTTTTTCTCTGGAAAATATCTAATTTTACACATTCACATTTTACATGTCACATACATCAAGGATCTGTGTGAAATGTCCAGTGTCAAATCTTTTTTGATGTTTTCTTAAATTTTGTTGTTAGTTTGATGTCTTGTTTTGAACTGTTGTTATTTTCATTTTGATTTACCTGTTGATCTGCGTTTCAACCCTCACCTGTGGTCATGAGCTGTGGATGGTGACCAAAAGAATCACAGACACAAGTGACCAAAATGAGTTTGAGAGCTCAGCCTTAAAGACAGAATTGGAAGCTCTGAAATTTGGAGGGAACTTGGAGTAGAGCTGCTCCTTCGAACCAGGAGGAGTCAGATGAGGTGGTTGGATAAGGATGCCTCCTGGACTTCTCTCTTTGGAGGAGTTTCAGACAAACCCAACCTCAGGGTTGCCCAGAGCTCTCTGGAGGGATTACATATCCCATCTGGCCTGGGAATACTTTAGTATCCAAGAGGAGGAGCTGGAAAGTGTTGCCAGGGAAAGGTAAGCTGGGTCGACTTGCTTAGACTACTGCCCTGTGATCTGACCTGGATAAGCGGTGGAAAATGTAGGCTATGTGTGGGTGATAAAAGTCGGTGGCATCAGCAAATTTCAGCTGATCTCATTAAAATCAAATGAAATAGAAGATTCTTGAAATCATCCATTTATTTCAATATTCATGTCAAACTGTCCTTCTGGACTATGTGTTACAGGTTTGGATGTGAACGTGTAGCTCTGCTAACAGAATGCACCGCTATAGATGGTTACAGCTAAGTGAAGGAAACATGCAAAGTGGAACAAACAGCGGGAGGTGTCAGTTCCTCATTTTATCTCGGGGATGTTCAGACCATCGACTGTTCGTACATACTAATAATGAAAAGAGGAAGGAATTCAGAACAGAGTGTCATCTTACACATCAGTAGACAAGTCTTCAAGCTGAACTGGGAGTGACTTTCCAGTGTATACTGTTTAGTATTTTCCAAGCTGCCTTTCTAATATGTTTGGCCCAACAGAGATCAGCAGGCTGACAGTGAAATTGAGGGCAGCAGCAGCAGGTGGATTTGTCCTCTTCCTTCTCTCTTTGGCAGGTAACATTTTTATTTCTCGAGATTTACCAAACTTGTTGAATAACTTGGTTTATTTGTTTGTAAGTATTCAACCATTTATAAGTCATTTGATTTTGTTGTTAATCAATATGATGTTTTCTGTTGATACTCTGCAACATCGGAAATTTTCATACTCTCAAATTTGAAATTTCATCTCACTTGGGTGTTTCAGTCCTTTTATCAGCAAAAAAGCAGTCCAATTTGACCTGCTGTGTTTTATTTTTACTTTTCATTGAACTGAATGCACATCTAGACTGCCTACATCATGTATCAGCTGACAGAAATGAACATAACAGGTGACCGTGTCATTTTATGATAACATTTTAGATATCTGAGTTAAAGTCGATTGAATGCTCTCATCTGACTGAAAATCTTAAAATAGCAGAAATCAGCCTGATTGTTTTCATTTTCATAACCTCAACTTTCCGGTAATATTCCGTCAAAACCCCAAAAACTGACATGAGACTGGTCTGGCACTTCTTCTGTGACTCTAACAAGCAGATATAGGAGTTTCACATCCTGTTTTACATTCCTCTGTACTTTCACACTCCTGATTTGATCTCAGATCAAACTAAAACCAAACATGCAAATTTAGCCTTTTTTTTTTTTACAAGGCACACTCTTCCAACAAATAGTTTTTCATTATTATGTTGATCTTTATATATGGCAGCTTATTCTTTTTCAAGACCAATACTGTAGAAAAAAAACTTTCTGAGGAACAAATCCTTTTGTATAAAGGAAAAGAATAATTGGAAATAATTATTAAATGGACACACTAAATAAAAACAGAATAATTAGATATTTAAAAATATGTACTTTTAGATACATACATCTTATCAATTAATCAATTCATTTATTTCAATGTATGTAACCAGCAAGGCCTCACTGAACCCTGGTCAAGACAGCAGCAGCTCATTCCAACAAAGTTACAGACACACAAACACATCATTTAAAAGATTCTGAGAAGATATCTGGGGTCATGAAGCAGAAATACCCAGTCAGTGCATCTACAGCCTCATGCATCGTCCTCCAACACCTTCAACGTCCTTTTAAAACATTTAGAGAGAGCAGGGTCTTTCGTCTACCACCATTGGCCCTGTGGTCCATCAAGGTGTTGTGAAGTGGATGATAACATGTTCTTTAGAATAGACTCCATCTTCCTCAGTATAGATCTCTCCACCACATCCTCCAGTGAGTCCAATTTGAATCCAACCACAGAGCCAGCTTTTTTTAATCAGTTTGTTCAGACGTTTTGCATCTTTGTGTTTGACGCTTCCTCCCCAGCAGACTGCAGCGTAGAACAGAACACTGTAGACACCACAGACTGATAAAACATCTGCAGTCTTACTACAGATGTCTATTGATTGGAGTCTTCTCAGGCAAAAGAGGCGGCTCTGCCTCTTTTTGTAGATCAAGTCTATATTCTTAGACCAGTCCAAAGAGTGAAGACTGTAGTTTCTGACATTTTTCACATGAATTATATTACACAAATCAGAGGGGAGCAAGTTAAGAATTGTCTCCTAAAAAAGGACATGCTGGTGATTTAGTCGACAGATAGACAGTGTTGACCAGCCAACTGGATCATCAGAGAACAGCTATGAGTTAGAGACTTCAGATTTGTAATGAACCTCAGAGCTCCATGGTAAACAGAATCCAGAGAGTGGAGGCTTTGATTTGATGCATGCATATAAAAAACCTTGTCAGTGCCAGTAAGAGGTAAAAATGAGACTTATTTTTCAAACTAAAGCCCAGTCTCAACTTCAACTTCTTTACAAGCTGCTGTCCTTTGTGTTTAAAAGACAAAGAGTCATAGAGTCCAAGGTATTTGTAAGAACGTGCAATCTTAATCACATGACCTTGAGACATAGTCAGCAGGTTTGTCTTCAAGTTTTTAACATAATTTTAGTTTTATTGGGATTTAAATTCAATTTCAACTCATGAAAGGGGTCTTAGACAGTATAAAAAGCATCTTGTAAGTGACAGAGAGCCTGATACTGTGTTAGAGCAGAACAGTAAAATAACTGAATCGTCTGCATATAAATGTAAATTTGCATTAGAGACATTTTGACCAATACTGTTGAACCACTTTCCAGAGTGCTTTAAAATCAGATTAGATCAATTAATACAGTCTTTGTGTACTCATTTCTGGACATTACACCCTGAAAAAGAGAACTAAATGGGAATTAATTTGCCTTACTGTGTTTTTTGTGGTGCTCTGTGTTTCAGCTGTACAGGGTCAAAACGGCTGGAGGGTGAGCTACTCTCGTGTTAGCATCTGTGCTGTAGAAGGATCGACGATGGAAATAAGCTGCACCTTCACATATCCAGCAGTGGTTAATGGTTTGTCCACTACAGTTGAGAGAGCATTCTGGTTTACCAAACTGAAGGATGGTGAGCCTTTTGACCTGCGGGCCGACTCTGAGTATGCTGGTCGAGTGCAGTTTCATTGTGAGGGGGATCGCTGCACTCTGAAGATCACAGACCTGAGAGAGAGTGACTCGGCTATGTACAAGTTCAGGTTCATGACAAACCAACCAAGTGGAAGTTATTCTGGTGAGAGAGGAGTCTCTTTGTCTGTGGCAGGTAAGAAAATACCTTAATAACAGCATATCGTCAGTATACCTCTGTCTGTTGGTCATTGTTTTGTTGTGAATCCAGGTTTTCAGGTACAGTTAAAAAAAAAATCATCAGGATGCATGATCGGAAGCTGCACAAAAAACAACTATAGGTGTTTCAGCAGATGTTACCTGCCTGGTCTGTCTCCCTACATCTGGTACAAGAATGGAGAAAATTTAAAGAAAAGTGACTCTTCTCTCTCCACAACCTCTTATTCTGCGGACGGGTATTCTTGTGCTGCAGAAAAATATGAAGACACCCCTTCACCTCAAGTCTGTGAGTTTACCCAACAATGTGATACTGTGGTTAAGTTTTTGATATTCTGTATGACAACTACTTTTATTAATTAAAACTTGATTTTCTTCCCAGGTGGCCATGGACATTCATGCCACAGAGTGATGTACACGGACAGAAAAATCTGTGCATTCAAAGGATCGTCAGTGAACATTTCTTGCACTTACAACAGTAATGGGGGGACCACATCCAAGTTTTGGTTCAGTCCCAACCATGCTCATCATTGGTGGTATCATTTACGACCTGAAGACTTAATCAACGACTTTCATTATGCTGATCGTGTTCAGGTTTTTGAAACAAACACAGGACTCTCCACTCTGAGAATCTCTGACCTGAGAGACAGTGACTCAGCAGAATATCGCTTCAAATTCAGAACAAGAGATTTTGAATGGAAGAGCCAATTACCTGGTACAACTCTGACCGTCAAAGGTAATCTATAAATGATTATTTAGTTATTGTGGATGATTTAATCTGGAAAGTAGTGTGTTTGTAAGGAGATAATGAATTTTGATGCGGGAAATGTGATGCTACCCTGCAAACCAATCACAGGTGTCGCTCAGTTTCTGCAGTGTTTAAATATATAGTTACATTTTTTTAAGGAGTTGAAAGTTAGACCTTGGATTTTCATCCTTTTTGTAGATACTCAAACTTAAGCAGCCTAAAAAATGTGGGCAGGTTTTTTCCATTGTTCTTGTTGTATAACTGTTGGCTGGGAACTTGTTTTATATGTATATTTTATTAGAGCTGATTTTCAGCAGCCAAAAATAAAATCCCAATCAGGAAAGCTCTAACGTCATTAACTTAAAGTTTACCTGTCCATCACTGTTTTCTTGCCAAGGCTTAAATAGGAGTAGGTGAAATTACTATGGCTATGTCCTCTTCTTTTATATGTAGTCTATGATAAAAACAAGTTATTGCATGGGGTGATTAAATGTGTCTACAGCTTGTTGTTGTAGCTTCAACTTTAAACAGGGAGTTAATAGGACTTTTCTCTTTGTACAGATCCAGACTTGCAGGTGCAGGTTGTCTGGTCTTCCACTGGTCCAAAGCTGATTTGTCACAGCAGCTGTATCCTCGGTGGTCGTTCTCCCTTTTTTTGGTTCAAGAATGAAACAAGAGTCATGGAAGAAAAGTCGTCGTCTTACAGAGGAAATGTTGACTCAGCATATCTTTATTCCTGTGCTTATATGGGTTTCCGCTCCATGCCAGTGTGTAAGTTATTATAATACTTAGTCTGCATCAGTTCTTTTCACACCAAGGACTCCTATATGTCCAAAAACTTGCCAAGGGATTATTTGAGAATGTTTTATCCATTGTGTCAGTCAAACTAAAGCTTGACTGTTAAAACACCTGGAACAATTTTAGCTTGACTAAACTTGGACTTAGTGGTATAACACAAAATTGGACTGATTTACTTGTTTTTTTTGCCACGTATTTTCTTATTTATTTATTCCCTTTACATAGCAACAGGAAGCAACAGGAAGGATACAATCAAACAGAAAATAATAATGACAATAATAATAATAATACTAATGATAATAATAATAATAATAATAATAATAATAATAATAATAATAATAATAATAATAATAATAATAATAATTAAATAGATAAAAACAAATCTACATGAACATCTGCATGTACATTTTATGCTCCCATACACACATAAACTTTGGAAATTTCATTTTTAAAGTTTTCACAATTTCAAAATTCATCAGCTCAGAAAGAGTTTAATCCGCCTCATCTTTTGTGCACAAGAGCAAGAAAATTGTCCCATACCTCATTAAAGGCCTTTGGGTTCTTCTTCAAATTATACATTAATTTTTCCGGTGGAATATAAGAGGAAAGCTCATTCAGCTTTCACTTAACTGCAGCTATTAACGCCATTTTAACAAATCTGATATTATATTCAAAATGTAAAGGTAGTATGGAATCATCTCCCAGTCATACTAACCTTGGATTTAGAGCGAATTCAAAATCGATAACTTTTTCAATAGTGGCTTTGACAGTTTGCCAGAACTCGTTCAGATGAGAGCATGACCAAAATGTGAACAAGAGAGCCAGTCTCTATTTTGCATCTGGGGAACAAAGCCGAGCGATCGGGGTTCATTTTACTCAGACTTTGTGATGTTTGATATACTGGATCAATCAAATTAAGTTGTTGCAGTCTGTGATGACTATTAAACAAAAATGTCAGGCTCTTTCGACAGATTGTTTTCCACTGTTTATCCTTAATTTCAATCCCAAGGTCTTGCTCTCATGGAGGCTTTGGCCCTACTGGACCACAATTAGAAGACTTTAATAATATTTTGTACAGAACCGGAACAAATTTCTTTACATCTTTACCCACTGTGTTGGCGTCCATTTCCAAAGGGTATAAAGGCATTACTTTTCCACCTTGCTGAAAACTTATATAGTCTCTGACCTGTAGGTACTTAAAAATGCCTGAGATCCAGGTAAAATTTTGATCTTAACTGTTTAAAAGATAATAACATCCCATTATCTAATATCTTCCATATCTAATAAGGTGAGAAGAAAGGGGGTTTACCCGACGGGAGCCTTGCAGGAAACATTCTGGAACCACCACTTCACAGACAATCATTAAACACTATAAAAGCAGATGAGCAAAAACTCTATGTCGTGTCTCTATCTTACCTTTGTTTTTTCATATCCTCGCCCTCAGATGCTCCAACAACTCCCTTGATGCTGATGAGTTCCAGTGGAGACATTTTGAAGGGCAGTTCAGTGACTCTGACCTGTAGCACTGACGCTAACCCGGCACCTAAATACACCTGGTTTAAGGGAAATCAATCACTGCTCAGTGAAGAACCACACATGAACCTCAACTCCATTCAGTTATCTGACTCTGGAGAGTATTACTGCATGGCTGAGAATGAGCTGGGGAGAAGGAAGTCTAAACACATGTTAGTTGATGTGAAATGTGAGTAAAATAGCTTTTCTATAAGTATGAAAAGATTTGGAAATGGCAGGCTGATTAAATCCTGTTAATAACAGACAGGCTTTGCAGATCACACTCTCTCTCTTTAGGGGATGCTGCAGTAAAATGTATCATAATGTTCAGGGGAATTCCAACATCACTATTCCACACAGGACCTTTCAAAGTTACAGAAGCTGCTTTATACCTAATTTTAATGTGAAACTTTTTCTTCCAGATGGTCCAGAGAGTGTGACTTTGTCTGTGAGTCCCTCTGCTAACATAGCGGAGGGCAGTTCAGTAAATCTGACCTGCAGCAGTGATGCTAACCCCTCTGCTACTTACACCTGGTACAAGGAAAACCTAACACTACTCCAAGGACCAGCAAGCATTTATAGTTTTCCCTCCATCAGCTCTGACGATATTGGGACCTACTTCTGCACATCAAAGAATGGATTTGGACATGTGAAGTCTTCGCCCCAGTTTTTAGATGTCCAGTGTGAGTTTAACAGCATTAGCAAACAATTAGATTAAAAGGAGGGACAATAGCAGAACATCTTGCTATGCTTGGCAATCATTTCACATGATGTTCCTACATGTTAAGATAAGATGTTAAGGCATGCATTGTGTATGACTTTATACTTATTTTCTCCAGATGCTCCAAAGCTTCCCTCTGTGTCAGTGAGTCCCTCTGCTGAGATAGTGGAGGGAAGTTCAGTCAATCTGACCTGCAGCAGTGATGCTAACCCAGCTGCTACTTATATGTGGTATAAGGAGAATGAAGATGCACCAAGAGCTTCAGGACAGACCTTCACCATGACTGACGTCAGAGCTGAACACAGTGGGAATTATTACTGTGAAGCCCGGAACATGAGAGGGAGTCACAAATCCTCCTCACAGTTGCTTGTATTAGCACGTAAGTTATGGGCTTTAACCTTTATAAGAATTTACTACTTCAAATATTTTTGATGAAGTTCAAACCCGATCAAAACTCTATTTAATCAACTTAATCATGATGTCAATCCTTTATCCTGTATTTGTTAACTTCATTGTGGAATTCCAGGTACCAGGATTTCAGCAGCTATAGCATTGATCTTCTGGATTGTTCTCCTGGTGATCATATTCCTTGTTGTCTTCCTATGGCTCAGGTCAGCAATTGTATCCACCTCTTATTATGTTCAGAGATGCATCATGAGAGCTTTCATGCCCTCCCTGAATTTACCCATTGAATAATTCAGTTGTTTATCCTCACATCCAGAAAAAAGAAGTCCCCCACGAATCAATCTAAGGGTGGAGAGAGACTCCACATCAGAGAACAGGTGAGAAAGCAAGAGGTTGAGTCAAACATCTCTGTCCAAGATTTATACAAAAGCTTTTTATCATTTTTGGGAGTTAATTTTCATAAGATGGAATTTCCCAAAATCACTGAAAAGGATCGATAGGTTTTGGCATAATAATTGAGTAAAATGCTGGTCAGCTTACCCTCTTTGTTGTGAAACCAGCTGCAGAAACTTGGCTGTCAGCTGCTGTCGATGGGGCCAGGTTTTCCAACGTTAAGAAACTCAAACCCAGACACTAAGGGGGCTTTCACACCTATGTCTTTGGTCCAGACATAGAACTTTTCTGTTAAGTCCAAACCAAAATGATAGACGTGAAACCTCTCTGGGACCTTGGTCCGACCAAAGCAGGTGGTCTTGGAAGACTGTAGGCTAATGCTAATCAATGCCTTCCTTGACCTGCAAAGGCTTTGAATGTTGGGTTGGGAGATCTGCTGGTGATCAGTAGACATTGCAAGGGAAAAAAATGGAATCTCGTATCTTCATCACATCTCAGTGTGCGTCTCCTCTATTTGCTCTCTTAGCCAACCATCACTCCAGTGTATGACAACCTGTCAGCTGCAGCACCGAGAAAAATCCCACAACAGCCAGAAGCTCTTCGTAAAGCCAGTATTCGCCACTTTCAGAACCAGGCAGATGTTGTTTACTCCAACATCAGACCAGCTTGGCCTCGCAGACAAACACAGAAACAGTACACTGAGGATAGTGTCAAGTACACATCTGTTATAATTAACTCTGCAAATAGACCTCCAGGGTGAGTGGCTAATACTCATTTAAACTACTCATATTCAAATTTAAAGTCCTTAAACCTATCACACACTGAAATGTGACTGTTTTCTTATTTTTTCCTCTATCAGAACAAGAAATCAAAAGGCTGAAGAGGATCCCTTCTCTCTGTACAGCACAGTGAAACCCAGATAAACATTTCTTAAAAACTGGGTTGTGTGCAGCATCCAAGCATGCATGAAAGACAGATATGTGTGTACTGTTTGTGTAGTTTCTATAGTTTTCTATATTTGTTGTGAGTTTTTTTTTAATCCAATTATGAAAAAGTGTAGACTGGATCCTAATAACTATGTGTACTCAATGGCATGCATTGGGTGAAAAAGGAATATTACAACGTAAAACTAATTAAGGATCAAACACATCGCAACACTGAGTTAGACACCCCCTCAAGAGATGAATGTTGCTGACCGCTTGCTTCTCTAGTTTTACCAACTTTAGTAACGACCGCAGGATAGCAATACACAGCAGTCTGAGGAGCCATAAACAAACCTCGATCAAAAAGGCACTCTATAGCCACAAATAATGCTCAGAACAGCACCTAACTTCATCAACAGTACATAAAGGGTCCCAGCCACAGTACTAGCCACCAAACATCTTTTTAGCTTTGCCTGATTTCTTTAGCAAAGAGACTAAACACAACTCACCTACTCTTTTCCAGCAGCCGCTTGTTTGTAGCGAGATCCCGGGCCAGTCCATTACAGTGAAAATGTGACACTCCTTTCCATATTCTTCAAAATTTTCATATTATCACTTTGTATTATATCTTTGTTTCATATTGAATTTTTGCTTCTTTTTCAGCCACCAGCAATTATCACGATTAGTCAATAGTTTCTTGTTTTCTCAAGAAACAAATCTATTTGTAACTTTCTGATTGCCCTGTCTTTACCTTGCATGTCCAACCACAAATCCCTCTTCTCTTTAGGTTTAGTCTGTACAGCAGAGCTGTGCAGTAATATTAAAACTAATCCATCAGTCAAGACAAAGAAAGAACAATAGTGCCAGAAAAAGACATTGAAAAACCTCTGTAGTACCTCTGACAACGCAAATTAGAGACACGTGAACCCTGACAAGCTGAAGATGAAGATGAAGCTCACTTCTGCTCAACTATATCTTCTGTTTTACTTTTACTCTGACCTAACACTTGAAGAAATGTGGTAAACCTTGTCCCACAGTATTATTTCCTGATTATTTCCACATTTGTTTATTGTTTTATTTGTATTGAATGGATTTCGAAATAAACTAGTTTCTTCAGGATTAAACTCATAGGTTCTTATTGAGGGTTGTGGCGTGTCGTGTAAGTGTTCTTATCCTCCACCTGATGTACTTGCTGGTTTTAGGCTCAGTATCTGTGTTGTGTGGGTAGCAAGTTAACTCAAGGCTTAATGCTTGTGCTTGTGTTGGTCTCAAATAAGGTGTTGTCAGATGCACAGATCAGGCATTACTATTTTAAGGAAGCAGAAACAGACTTACGGTGTGAGGATGTAACTGCCCACTCTCAGTCTATCTCTGCGGGAAATCACAGTTGGCTCGTGTGCAGGAAGAGGGTGTCGGGGGCAGCTTAGGAGAGAGGTTCCATGTCTACGTTGTAAGTGTGTCCTGGCTGGGGGTCATTGGATCAACATGGTGCAATCTATCTTGAAGAGCTCTCCAGCTCTTCCTGTACACTCTTGGACTCTGGCTGACTGAAAACTCGGGCTCTGTCCTGCTCTGGTTTCTGTTCTGGTTCTCCCTGATACCTGGTTTCTCCTGTGTCACTCTACCTATATTCTCAAACATGCTGTCTCACACATACACTCAACACTACTGATAACATCTTAGGTTACATTACCTTTTTTTAAATTTTGTTAATCATTTTTTGTTAATGTCAAGTCCTGTTTGTTTCCATTTCCGTCACAATCTATGAGCCCGGATATGACGCTAAAGTAAGATTTTCTAGAAATAGTACACCACGCTATTATGATTAAGATTCTCCATCAGTGTCAGTTGGTAACTAAACTCATGCATATTAATAACATAAAGAGGAAGGAAGCTGGACTTTCTGTAAAGGTGCTTTCTTCTGACGAGCACAGAGGGAAGCTTTCTGCCTGAAGAGACAACATCTTCTCCTTGTAGGTACGATTATTCATTGAAATGGTTGATATTATCAGCTGAAGATATCCACAGGTCGTGTGTAATCCTGCTGATTTGGTTAATTTTCTCTGAAGTCCCAAATCGATGAGGGGAGGAGACATGAGTTTGAAAGCAGCAGCAGCAAGTGGTTTGGTTATCCTCTTTCTCTCTCTATCAGGTACAGTAGATCCTCATTCACATTGTTGGACATAGTTTTAGGGGTTATTGCACTTATTCATGAAAGACTGAAGTTTTCTAAATTTCTTAGCAGTTGTCGATATGGGATTCAAATCTGTTTAAGATACTATTTCTGTTTTAGCGAATGAACAGTTGAATTACTTCCAAGTAAAATCACCATCCTTTCATTTGAGTGGTTTGAAACGTTACACTGTAAGTTTAGTTTTGTACTGCTTAATTTTTTTTTAATAGAGGATCTGGAGGATTCAGTAAGTGAATAAATACGCTAAAAATGTCAGTATTTCTTACATGGACTCAGAAAAAGGAACCAAATTGCAGATGTATCACAGACGTCAGTGTGATATTTCCATTCCCGCTGTGGTTATGAGTTAACAGGTTTTCTAAGAATAGTCGTAAAGTGTCTTTTCAAGCACATTTGCTCTTATTTTTTCTTTTATTTATAATTCAACACTAATCTGACCACAGAGTGATCAGAGACATCTAAACTTACCGCTCATGTCCAGTGAATTCATAATCTTTGATCAAACAGTCAATGTCAGCCTTTAAATTTGTTCTTTTTGTCTGTTTGCAGAAATTTAACAGGAGTAGAAGAAAAACAAAACCTTTGTAAAGGAACATTTAGATTTTAGATGAGTCTGTTGAACAGTTTGCAGTGGGAATTTCAGCATTGGTGTTCTTTTTGTTTCAGTGATTCAGGGTCAAAATGACTGGAGTGTGACTTACCCAAAGACTCAGATCTGTGCCTTAAAAGGATCAACAGTGGACATACCTTGCACCTACACATATCCATCAGTAATAAATTGTCAAACTACTGAAGTTCAAAGCAGATGGTGGTGTACCAAAGAAAGTTGTTGCAAACCTATGGAACTGAGATCAGACTCAGGATATTCCGATCCCTCAGGGTATTATTTTCATGAGAATGACTGCACTCTGAGAATTAATAACCTGAGAGAGAGCGACTCAGCTGAGTACAAGTTCATGTTCACAACAAACCAACCATGGGGAATTTATACTGGAGAACCAGGAGTCACTTTGACTGTCACAGGTAACACTTACATTCTTTTTTCTTATACATTTCTTTTCTATCCGGGAAAAAAGTATATGGTATTTGTGTATTTGATTGATCTTGTCTGAGATGACATTTCAGTTCTTTATCCATCCAGACCTGCAGGTGGAAGTTATAAGATTTTCGTACAACCAGGCAGAGCTGAGGTGTACCAGCAGCTGTAGTGTGGCTGATAATCCTTCATATGTCTGGTACATTAACGGACATAAAATGGATGAGGAGACGTCTACTTTGACAGTTTCTGTGAATAACAACAAATATTCCTGCACAGTAAAAGGACAGGATAAATATGGCTCTCCTGCAGTGTGTAAGTTTACACACTGTAACACTTGTACTTTTGTGTTTATTGTTGTAAAAACTGTAACTTTAAAGTCAAAAGGGTGGACAAATGTCTTCTCTGTTGGTCTGTGATACTACTACAAGTATGAAAGTTTTCCCATATGTTGACTTTTTCACCAAACGAAAAGTGTCTTTGCACATGTCTTTGGTACAGATGCTCCAGCTCTTCCCTCTGTGTCAGTGAGTCCCTCTGCTGAGATAGTGGAGGGTAATGATGTGACTCTGACCTGCAGCAGTGATGCTAACCCAGCAGCTACTTACACCTGGTACAAGACAAATGTCCATCAACCTCAGACTAAAGGAGCCCAGCTGGTCTTCAGAAACATCCAGCCCTCTGACTCTGGAGAGTTTTACTGTGATGCTGAGAATCAGCTTGGGAGGAGGAGATCTCATAGCATCTCCATTAATGTGAAATGTGAGTTTGACTTCTTGTTCATTGTCAGCAACAATTTTTTAGATTATGTTTGAACTTGTATCTCTTAATTGTGTGTCCTGTCCTCATATTAAGCTGTTGTTTCTTGTATAAACCAGTAAAGATGAATCAGATGAAAACTCTGAACACTGTAGTTTGGTCCATGAGATTTATAATTACTGTAAACATAAATCTAACAATAATGAAGCTTTAGTTGTCAGTTGTTTTAAAATATATCGTCTCTTGATAACATCACACTGGACACAGAGACCATTGAAGTGAATTATTTTTCATTTCCTCTCCTCCAGATGCTCCAAAGAGCTGCTCTGTATCTGTGAATCCCACTGGTGAAATCAGAGAGAACAGTTCAGTGACTCTGACCTGCAGCAGTGACGGTTACCCAGAACCAGAGTATACCTGGTACAAAGAGGGGGGTCATGGACATCTCAGGAAAGGATCAGAGCTTGTTTTTAGATCCATTCAGTCCTCTGACTCTGGATACTATTACTGTAGAGCAAGTAATGGTCAAGGGACGGTGAGGACGTCTCGGTCCACTTCTATTGATGTAAAATGTGAGTGAAGCAACCTTCAACATATTTTTAGTGTTTGTCTTTATTTGCTGATCACCTGTCTGCTTCCTTCAGCTCTGTCTGCTTTAAATTTACAATCTGTGGATATTAGACACTGAGCACCTACAGTAAATGACAGAGAAGTGCTTTTATATAAAGTTTGACCAGTTAATATAGAGTTTGAGCAGTTATTGTATCTTTGTACTGACTATTCAGACAGTTAAATGTCTATGTGGGTTTAAAACTCAGATGTTTTCTCCTTCAGATGCTCCAAAGCTTCCCTCTGTGTCAGTGAGTCCCTCTGGTGAGATCGTGGAGGGTGATTATGTGACTCTGACCTGCAGCAGTGATGCTAACCCAGCAGCAGCTAAACACAGCTGGTATAAAAAGACTGGACATAGAGGCACACTTGTCAGCTCCAGAACAACACTTTACTTCTGGCCCATCAAAGCCTCAGACTCTGGAGAGTATTACTGCACAGCTGAGAACAGGCTGGGCAGTAGGGTCTCTGAATCCTCTGTCATTGATGTGAAATGTGAGTAAAACAGCTCATTGAAAACCTTAAAAAACCTGATTTATAGACGGAGGTCTGGATGTAAGAAAACTAATTAAATCTGTGATGCTGAAAGTCTGAGAAAACAACGAAGATTTGCATCATTGCTTTATGTAGTTGGCAGGATCATAAAATGTTTATTGTAAAAGTTAAAAAGGCAATATTTAAATATTATATTACCTTTGTGATAAAAAAAATCTCTATATTGTGGTTTAACAAACACCTTTTCCTTCCAGATGCCCCCAAAATGAAACAAATATCAGTGAGTCCCTCTGCTGAGATAGTGGAGGGTAATGATGTGACTCTGACCTGCAGCAGTGATGCTAACCCAGCAGCTACTTATACCTGGTACAAGAAGACTAGATACCAGCCATATGGATATCCCAGAAAAGGACCACAGCTTGTCCTCAGGTCCATCCAGTCCTCTGACTCTGGACAGTATTACTGTGAAGCTGAGAACAACCAGGGGACGAGGACATCTCAACTCGTCTCTATTGATGTGAAATGTGAGTGAAACAGTTTTCATTAAAAGCTCCATTAAGATGATGACTGTGAGGATTTTGAGGCTCTCTCAGCTGGTCACACACACACACACACACACACACACACACACACACACACACACACACACACACACACACACACACACACACACACACACACACACACACACACACACACACTTGTTTTATGGGACTTGACCAGATCTGGATTAGAGTGTTTATTCATGACTTTAAATTCTTTAAGTTTTTAATCTTTACCTCTTAATGTAACGGGGTGTCCATGGTAACCCTGATGAGAAAGTGAATAGTTGTAAATGTTATCAGGCGGCTAAAATTCTTAATGACTCACATAAAAGCCTTACTTAATTGTTGAAGCGATCGGATTTTACAGCACATAGAGTCTTAAAGGACCTTCAGCCTGGTCAGAAAATAATAAGAGATACACGTTCTTACAGGACATCACAGCTGTAAAAATAAAATGTATTTCCTGTATTTTACGAGTCATTTGGACATCTCATCACTCAAACGTCTAAATGTTATTTTATGTTTTAACAAAGATTTTTATTCCACTCGTCAGATCCTCCAAAGCTTCCCTCTGTGTCAGTGAGTCCCTCTGCTGAGATAGTGGAGGGTAATGATGTGACTCTGACCTGCAGCAGTGATGCTAACCCAGCTGCTAACTATACCTGGTACAAGAAGAATGAAAACCCAGACCCTCAACCTACAGGAGAAGGACTACAGCTCCTCTTCGAACCCATCAAGTCTCATGACTTTGGACAGTATTACTGTAGAGCTGAGAACAAGCTGGGAAAGAGGACATCTAAATACATCACTGTTGATGTAAAATGTAGGTAGAACAGCTCATTTAAAGGGACATAAGTATGATCAACATCACTCAACCAAATATCGTCCATAGCTCTGCCACTCAATAATCTTGTAAATCAAATCAAATTTGTTCATCTTTCTCCAGATCCTCCAAATCTTCCCAATATAACAGTGAGTCCCTCTGCTGAGATAGTGGAGGGCAGTTCAGTGACTCTGACCTGCAGCAGTGATGCTAACCCAGCTGCTAACTTTACCTGGTTTAAGGAGCATGAAGACTCACCAACAGCATCAGGACAGATCTTCACTATAAACAACACAAGACCTGAACACAGTGGGAATTATGTTTGTCTTGCCCAAAATGAAAGAGGACGTCATAACTCCACAGTTCATCTGACTGTTGAGGAAGGTAAGTTGAAGACAGAACTTCACATATTCTAAAGAACATGGATCACTCACTTCATAACACCTTAATGGACCAAAGGGCCAATGGTGGTGGACGGCTCCTCTCTCTTCGCTGCAGGACAGAAAGATTCAGAAGATCTTTTGTACCAACAGCCATCAGACTTCATAATTCTTCTGTAAATAGTAGATGACTTTTTGAGACATGACAAATAAGACTACAGGCAGTTTAATTCCCCTTTGGGGATAAATAAAGTTATTCTCATCTTATCTTCTTACGAGTCTTAAGATGTCAACTGAGTCAAGACAAATAGTTCTCGTCAAACTCTCTGGTTGAATTTGAACAGCTGTTCAGTGTGGAAAAGAGAAGGCACATTACTGTCCCGTCATATAAAGATTCACTGGTCTTTAATAAATCTTAAAAAGTCTTAACTGTGGTTCAAAAAGAAAAATGTGCGGATACCCTGTCCATCATGGCAGACTCTGACTACATGATTGACTGACTATCACCAAGTGGAAAAGTTATTTAAAGATCAAATCCTGTCCTATGATGTCTCACATATATCTCTTTATTTCCAGGTATTAACTTATCTTTAACACTGAATATCATCAGGCTAATTCTGTTGGTCCTCATGATGAGTCCTCTGCTTGTCCTGACTCTGTGGAAGAGGTAAAACCACATGAAATCATCATTTTTCATGAATTTTCCACCTTAAAAATGTTGATTTGTTGACTCAATCCAGGCTGAGGAAGAAAACCCTGAGCTCCACTCATAAACCACATGAACCTGCAGAGATGATAGAGGTGAGACACAGAGAGTTGATGAGAAACAAAATCTCTGTTTCTCTCTCAAAATGATACTCTGAATGTGGATCTAGATCAAGCAGGAATCAAAGTTTTAGAGAAATATGACAAGTGGAAACAGGTTTCCTTCTTTTCAAAACAAAACTCCATTATGAAAAACAAAACACTGAAACACATCATCTGTCCTCAGCTGGACTCTGATCCTGACTATGAGAACGCCTCAGCTGTTACTGCAGCACAGACTGAAGACCCAGAGGATCAGGAAGTCACGGTGTGAAGTCCAGTCAGGTTCAAGTCTCCTACACTGAGGGAAACAGACTGACTTCAGATTTATGCTCACAGTTACAAGAGTGGCTCTAGTTCTGTACTGTTTTCATATTTTCAGATGCAGTGTGAGCAGAGGCTGTGGAGGAGCCGTTTACCTGAATGCATCACACATTGAAGCTTTTTTCCTGTCTTGTAAATTCTGAAATAAGTACCAGGGGTTTCATGAATGCTTAATTTTACTGATTGCCAAGTTCACAAAATAATCGTTAAATTTTTGAGAAAGACAGAGACAGAGTGGTACCAGTGAACTATGAAAGTTATATTGCCTGCACACACAGACTTTGATGGAGTTACCATGAACTGTGTTAAACATTGACATAATCTGTAATCTAAATTTCTATCTGACGAAACAAAAAGGTGGAGCTGAGACAGGTCTTAAGCTAGGGTGACCATACGTCCTCTTTTACCCGAACATGACCTCTTTTTTGGGGGCTGGCTTAATATCTTGAAAACTACTGAGTTAAAAAAAGAAAGGGTGAAGACAGAAAAATGAGCTTTTCAGACCAAAAACTTTTATTTTTTACCAGGCTGTAATCATGTTTGTATTTGCTGTTAAGATGGGCTTTTAGAATGGGTGTGTATATGGCTCATGAAGTCAGCCTCAAGTGGACACTGGAGGAACTGCAGCTTTTAGCACTTACGTATTGACTTCATTTCTGGAGACTGGAAGTTGTCACTTGGGTGGACCCTGCTAGCTGTGACTATCATCTTCACATATGAACTCAGGTCACAGAATATTATACACCAACACAATATCAGGGTTTTTCCTGGCTCCACATGGATCTGAGGTGTTGATCTCCTACCTTTGTGCACACAGCAGCACACGTGCTCAACCAAACGCTTTTACAAAGGACATATTTGATCAGTTTGAATCACTGTACAAGCAGAGAAAAGACAGCCTCACATTAAAGCATGTTCTGTATATCATCATTTTTAAGACTTCAAATAAAAATTTTGTCTGGAGGACATTTTGGTGTATTCTTATGCTTTAATCTATCAGGACATTATCTGTAAAGTTTTGAAGGAGACTTATTCCATTTAAATATGTGTCTGTTATGTTCTGCATGTTTATCATTCATATGTAAGTGTGGTGATAGTTATTGAAGACAGAGATCCATGTCTTCATCTAAATTCAGCTCTCTCACCTCTGGGAGTTATAAATCATCTTTATTATTATTATTATTATTACAGTTGGAAACCTTTTTGGTTTGTTGTTGTACCGTAGACTGCTGCCTTGTAATATCATCCCCAGGTCTGCTCTACAGTTTACTGATATGTAGCCTCAGCTTCTCTTTCTTGTAACATCTTACTACTTTTTCATCCTTTTATATGATCAGTTTCTATTTTTCCATAATATCTGTACACTTGTACCCTTTTTTCCCTTCTCTAAACTTCACGTAGTCTCAGCAGATGACTGTCTAACATGAATCTGGTTCTGCTCGAGGTTTCTGCCTGTTAAAGGAAGTTTGTTCCTCTCCACTGTAACTTTCTAAATTCTGCAAAGCCTTTCACTCCTGTGGTTGAAAATGGGAGTGGGTCTGATCTTACAAGATGGGGCTCAATCTGGTCCCATCTTCACTCTGGGTCATTGTAAATAGAGTCTGGTCCAGACCAGGGTTTTCCTGTCAAGTTTGTTGGGATAACACTTGCTGTGAATTTACGCTGTATAAACAGAGATTGATGGATTGGTTATCTCCTTTTGATCCGTCATATAAACAATTAGATGTGCTCTGAATATCAGCTGATACAACTCTGTTCTTTTTTATTTCTAGTGTTTGAGATACAATCTTTTTAAGCCAGTGTAAGTGATTGCATACAAAAGCAGGTGTGAGCTGCCTTAACCCTACTTCAGCCTGAGGTCCACCCTGCATATGTGCAGATTGTTTTTTGTCCTGAGTGTCAGTGGTACTTCTGTTGCAGCTCTGTCTTTTGACACCTACAGATCCACACAGCTCATTGGCGTTTGCTGCAGCTGCTGCATTCACTTATTTTCTAACTGCACACCCAAATATTTTTTCTATTTTTATTCCTTCTTTGCAATAATTACAGTTTGATGTTCACTTCACTCATTTCATTCAATAATTGTGCTCCAACCTCACTCCTCTAACATCATCAGAGCCGTATTTTAAATGTACAACCCTCCTCAGATGACGTCACTGTATTTATGAGATGAAGAAGAAGGAAGGTGGATCAGTTTCACTGCTAGACCTCTTCCTGTTGAAGACCACAGAGGAACATTGTCTCCGTAGAGACAACATCTTCTCCCTGCAGTCAGTAAAATTATTTATTGATATGATTGATATTTATTTGAACAGATTATGTACTGTCCTCTTCCTGGTGACATTTCTTTGCTCTTTAGTCGAACAGAGATGAGAAGAGCAGCTATGAGTTTGAAAGCTGCAGTGAGTGAATTGATCCTCTTTCTTCTCTCTGTATCAGGTACTGTATATTCTCAAGATTTTATTGCACATAATCTGGACAGGACTCATTTTTATCACATGTAAGAGTAGATTCCTCAAGTGTACAGTTTTCAAGACTCAATGTTTAAGAGGTTTGGAGTAAAACTAGTCATTTGTGGAGTCATAAGCGGAGCTGTTGTTTGTATATCTAAAGGATTCAGTCGTTTTAGAGTGATGGTGTCAGTATTTCTTTATCGATTGTACAAAACAGCGAGAACTAGAGAAAAGAACTAAACTTTGCAGATGCACAAAGTTTTTAGCTGATGACTGTTTCACTTTGTTCACAGTTAACTGTTTTTCTGAGAATCAGCTTATGGGAGTTTTCGCTCAAACATTTGTGGTCTTTAGTTCCTTTGTGCTTTGCACCAATCAGACCACAAACTGACCAGAGAGGAAACGAGAACACTCAACACCCTGAGGAGATGCACTTACACTCATGTGTTTACATCTGCTAAATGCAGAGATAAAACCATAGAAGTCATGAACCACAGTTGAATAAACATTTTAGATTAATCTGAATCAAATAAGTTTGAGGCCGAAAGCTTTACAACAAAGAATTTGGTTTTGAGTCCTGCAGCAGGTTTCAATGTAAGAGAAAAAATACTTGTTGAGTCTTTCCTCTGTTCAATGATCCTCATGTAGTTTTCTGATGTTCTTTGTGTTTCAGTGGTTCAGGGTCAAAACGACTGGAGTGTGACTTACCCTAAAACTCAGATCTGTGCCTTAAAAGGATCAACAGTGGACATACCTTGCACCTACACATATCCATCCAGAGTAAATGAGCTTGACACCAAAGTTGAAGAAAGGCTCTGGTTTACTAAAAGGAATGGAAACCAATTTGTAGATCTGATAACAGACCCTGACTATAAAGATCATGTAGAGTATAATCATAATGAGAATGACTGCACTTTGAGAATCAAAGATCTGAGAGAGAGCGACTCAACTGAGTACAAGTTCAGATTCACAACAAACCAATCAGGTGGAAGTTATACTGAACAACCAGGAGTCACTTTGACTGTCACAGGTAACTTTTTTTTGTTTTACATTTTTTTGTATCTGGAATTAAAAAACTGCTAAAAAAAAAAAAAGACTGCTGGGGTCCTGGCACATTTAGCACCTTTCCCTCCTTCTTCATCTTCTTTCATTTGTGGCATCATCTTTGAATCATCATGTCCGATTAGAGCCACTGATACAGTCTCTTCTGGGAGTCCCTGTGCTCCATCATGTCCTAGGTTCCTCTGGATCGCTGCATCAGACGTTTTGTTTCAGTGGTCCTGCCTGCTTTCCAGCTGCTTCAGCTACATGCATCCCACCATCTCACCTCTGTCCTTGTCTCTCTTTCTGCATCTCCCTCTCTAAACCAAAGACAGTCTCAGCAGATGACTGTCTAACATGAGGGTGTTAGAGGTTTCTGCCTGAGGTTTCTGTCTGTTAAAGGAAGTTTTCCCTGTCCACTGTAACTTGATAAATGCTGCAAAGTGTTTCACTCGTGGTTGAAGATGGGAGAAGGTCTGATCTTACAAGATGGGGCTCAATCTGATCTCATCTTTACACTGGGTCTTTGTAAATAGAGTCTGATCCAAACCAGCTTTTCTTAAAGGATCTTGGTATAATGATTGTGAATTGGCACTATAAAAAATGATTGATATTTAAATTGTCTCATCCGAGATGACATTTCAGTTCTTTATCCATCCAGACCTGCAGGTGGAAGTTATAAGATCTTTAAACAACCAGGCAGAGCTGAGGTGTACCAGCAGCTGTAGTGTGTCTGATAATCCTTCATATGTCTGGTACATTAACGGACATAAAATGGATGAGGAGACGTCTACTTTAAGAGTTTCTGTGAATGACAACAAGTATTCCTGCGCAGTAAAAGGACAGGATAAATATGGCTCTCCTGCAGTTTGTAAGTTTACACACTGTAACACTTGTACTTTTGTGTTTACTGTTGTAAAAACTGTAACTTTGAAGTCAAAAGGGTGGACAAATGTCTTCTCTGATGGTCTGTGATACTACTACAAGTATGAAAGTTTTCCCATATGTTGACTTTTTCACTAAATAAAAAGTGTCTTTGCACATGTCTTTGGTACAGATGCTCCAAAGCTTCAGCCTGTGTCAGTGAGTCCCTCTGCTGAGATAGTGGAGGGTAATGATGTGACTCTGACCTGCAGCAGTGATGCTAACCCAGCAGCTACTTATACCTGGTACAAGACAAACGTCCATCAACCTCTGACTAAAGGAGCCCAGCTGGTCTTCAGAAACATCCAGCCCTCTGACTCTGGAGAGTTTTACTGTGAAGCTGAGAATCAGCTTGGGAGGAGGAGATCTCGTCGCATCTCCATTAATGTGAAATGTGAGTTTGACTTCTTGTTCACTGTCAGCAACAAGTTTTCAGATTATGTTTGAACTTGTATCTCTTAATTATGTGTCCTGTCCTCATATTAAGCTGTTGTTTCTTGTGTAAACCAGTGAGGATGAATCAGATGATAACTCTGAACACTGTAGTTTGGTCCATGAGATTTATAATTACTGTAAACATAAATCTAACAATTATGAAGCTTTAGTTGTTCGTTGTTTAAAATATATCGTCTCTTGATAAAATTTAAACTGGACACAGAGACCACTGAAGTGAATTATTTTTCATTTCGTCTCCTTCAGATGCTCCAAAGCTTCAACCTGTGTCAGTGAGTCCCTCTGGTGAGATAGTGGAGGGTAATTATGTGACTCTGACCTGCAGCAGTGATGCTAACCCAGCAGCAGCTAAACACAGCTGGTATAAAAAGACTGGAAATAGAGGCACACTTGTCAGCTCCAGAACAACACTTAACTTCTGGTCCATCAAAGCCTCAGACTCTGGAGAGTATTACTGCTCAGCTGAGAACAGGCTGGGCAGTAGGGCTTCTGAATCCTCTGTCATTGATGTGAAATGTGAGTAAAACAGCTCATTGAAAACCTTAAAAAACCTGATTTATAGACGGAGGTCTGGATGTAGGAAAACTTATTAAATCTGTGATGCTGAAAGTCTGAGAAAACAACTAAGATGTGCATCATTGCTTTATGTAGTTGGCAGGATCATAAAATGTTTATTGTAAAGGTTAAAAAGTCAATATTCAATCATCATATTACCTTTGTGATTAAAAATCTCTATATTGTGGTTTAACAAACACCTTTTCCTTCCAGATGCCCCCAAAATGAAACAAATATCAGTGAGTCCCTCTGCTGAGATAGTGGAGGGTAATCATGTGACTCTGACCTGCAGCAGTGATGCTAACCCAGCACCTACTTACACCTGGTACAAGACAAATGTCCATCAACCTCAGACTAAAGGAGCCCAGCTTGTCTTCAGAAACATCCAGCCCTCTGACTCTGGAGAGTTTTACTGTGACGCTGAGAATCAGCTTGGGACGAAGAGATCTCGTCGCATCTCCATTAATGTGAAATGTGAGTTTGACTTCTTGTTCATTGTCAGCAACAATTTCTTAGATTATGTTTGAACTTGTATCTCTTAATTGTGTGTCCTGTCCTCATATTAAGCTGTTATTTCTTGTGTAAACCAGTAAAGATGAATCAGATGATAACTCTGAACACTGTAGTTTGGTCCATGAGATTTATAGTTACTGTAAACATAAATCTAATAATAATGAAGCTTTAGTTGTCAGTTGTTTAAAATATATTGTCTCTTGATAACATTAAACTTTACACAGAGACCACTGAAGTGAATTATTTTTCATTTCCTCTCCTCCAGATGCTCCAAAGAGCTGCTCTGTATCTGTGAATCCCACTGGTGAAATCACAGAGAACAGTTCAGTGACTCTGACCTGCAGCAGTGACGGTTACCCAGAACCAGAGTATACCTGGTACAAAGAGGGGGGTCATGGACATCTCAGGAAAGGATCAGAGCTTGTTTTTAGATCCATTCAGTCCTCTGACTCTGGAAACTATTACTGTAGAGCAAGTAATGGTCAAGGGACGGGGAGGACGTCTCGGTCCATTTCTATTGATGTAAAATGTGAGTGAAGCAACCTTCAACATATTTTTAGTGTTTGTCTTTATTTGCTGATCACCTGTCTGCTTCCTTCAGCTCTTTGTGCTTCAAATTAACAATCTGTGGATATTAGACACTGAGCACCTACAGTAAATGACAGAGAAGTGCATTTATATAAAGTTTGACCAGAGTTTGACCAGTTATTGCATCTTTGTACTGACTATTCAGACAGCTAAATGTCTATGTGGGTTTAAAACTCAGATGCTTTCTCCTTCAGATGCTCCAAAGCTTCGACATGTGTCAGTGAGTCCCTCTGGTGAGATCGTGGAGGGTAATTATGTGACTCTGACCTGCAGCAGTGATGCTAACCCAGCAGCTAAACACAACTGGTATAAAAAAACTGGAAATAGAGGCACATTTGTCCGCTCCAGTATAACACTTTACTTCTGGTCCATCAAAGCCTCAGACTCTGGAGAGTATTACTGCTCAGCTGAGAACAGGCTGGGCAGTAGGGTCTCTGAATCCTCTGTCATTGATGTGAAGTGTGAGTAAAACAGCTCATTGAAAACCTTAAAAAACCTGATTTATAGACGGAGGTCTGGATGTAGGAAAGCTAAGCAAATCTGGGACACTGAAAGTCTGAGAAAACAACTAATATGTGCATCATTGCTTTATGTAGTTGGCAGGATCATAAAATGTTTATTGTAAAGGTTAAAAAGTCAATATTTAATCATGATATTACCTTTGTGATTAAAAAAATCTCTATATTGTGGTTTAACAAACACCTTTTCCTTCCAGATGCCCCCAAAATGAAACAAATATCAGTGAGTCCCTCTGCTGAGATAGTGGAGGGTAATCATGTGACTCTGACCTGCAGCAGTGATGCTAACCCAGCAGCTACTTACACCTGGTACAAGAAGACTAGATACCAGACATATGGATATCCCAGAAAAGGACCACAGCTTGTCCTCAGGTCCATCCAGTCCTCTGACTCTGGACAGTATTACTGTGAAGCTAAAAACAATCAGGGGACGAGGACATCTCAACTCGTCTCTATTGATGTGAAATGTGAGTGAAACAGTTTTTATTAAAAGCTGCATTAAGATGATGACTGTGAGGATTTTGAGGCTCTCTCAGCTGATCACACATGTTTTAAGGGACTTGACCAAATCTGGATTAGAGTGTTTATTCATGACTTTAAATTCTTTAAAAAAAAAGCTGTAAAATACTCTCAGATATAGTTTGAAAAAAAGTTTTTAAAGTTTACCTCTTGATGTAACAGGGTGTCCATAGTAACTCTGATGAAAAGGTGAATAGTTGTAGATGTTATCAGGCGGCTAAAATTCTTAATGACTCACATAAAAGCCTTACTCAATTGTTGAAGCAACCAGATTTTACAGCACATAGAGTCTTAAAGGACCTTCAGCCTGGTCAGAAAATAATAAGAGATACACATTCTTACAGAACATCACAGCTGTAAAAGTAAAATGTATTTCCTGTATTTTATGAGTCATTTTGACCTCTCATCACTCAAACGTCTAAATGTTATTTTATGTTTTAACAAAGATTTTTATTCCACTTGTCAGATCCTCCAAAGCTTCCCTCTGTGTCAGTGAGTCCCTCTGCTGAGATAGTGGAGGGTAATGATGTGATTCTGACCTGCAGCAGTGATGCTAACCCAGCTGCTAACTATACCTGGTACAAGAAGAATGAAAACCCAGACCCTCAACCTCAAGGAGAAGGACCACAGCTCCTCTTCAAACGCATCCAGTCTCCTGACCTTGGACAGTATTACTGTAGAGCTGAGAACAAGCTGGAGAAGAGGACATCTGAATACATCACTGTTAATGTGAAATGTAGGTAGAACAGCTCATTTAAAGGGACATAAAGGTGATCAATATCACTCAACCAAATATCGTCCATAGCTGTGCCACACAACAATCTTGTAAATGAAACTGTACATATGCAACCAGAAGAAATGGTTTATTTCTCATTTTTCTTTTGTTCCTGTTTTTTATTTGTTGCTTTCATTTTTCCATCTGTCTCCAGATGCTCCAAATCTTCCCAATATAACAGTGAGTCCCTCTGCTGAGATAGTGGAGGGCAGTTCAGTGACTCTGACCTGCAGCAGTGATGCTAACCCAGCTGCTAACTTTACCTGGTTTAAGGAGCATGAAGACTCACCAACAGCATCAGGACAGATCTTCACTATAAACAACACAAGATTTGAACACAGTGGGAATTATGTTTGTCTTGCCCGAAATGAGAAGGGACATCATAACTCCACAGTTCATCTGACTGTTGAGGAAGGTAAGTTTAACACACTGAGTCAGATTAAAGTTTCTTGCGTTGGATTAGTTTCTTAGCATTAGACAGAAATGGTACGCAGTTATTTTATTTCAGCTCTAAGATTCACTGAGACATGTTTTCATCTATCATCTCCATGGCTTCACACTAGTCTACAAAAGATGAAGAGTGTAAATATTCTCTGGGGTACCTTCCTCCCATTCACTTATTAATTCATGATTATTTTCATTTAATTACTTTGTTTTAGGAGCATGGAGAAGAGTAACTGCTGCCGTGGTCCCTGCCCTTATGCTCGCTCTTATTCTCGTCTTTGTTGTCTCGTGGTTTATGTGAGCAGCTTATTTTCATAACATCATTGTTGGACTTTAAAATGGAATAATTTTAGCATCAACATCATTGGTACCACTTTTTCATTATTTTCATGAATGTGTCTGACTAGAAAAAAGAGGACCTGTAAAAAGCAGTCTGAGCCCAGAGAGAGACCAGACAGCGGTGCACAGGTGAGGAGATTCATCAGTTTCTTATAAGCAGTTATTAATCTGGATGGTATATCCTCTCTTTTGGTTGAAGGGGTCGGTATAAAGACTGTGGTGGATGGTTGGGGAAAGAGAAAAAGTTGTAAAGTGGATGGAAAGAGGGATCATGTAGCTGGAAAATAAGACCCTCTGTGGACAATAACAGCCCAGAACACCAGAGATATTAACCTGCCTGAAAGAGGGAAGATGTGACAGGAAAGGGGGTCATATTGAGTTAAAGCTATAGTGTGTAACTTCCTCTTCCGTTAAACCCAAGCCACTACAAGAGAAGATGATACAACGCTGATTAAGCCGGTCGGCTCCTCTAACACCTTGTGGTATTTGTCAGTATTTGTTCATTTTGTATTTGGTGTCGAGGAGCGACATTCCTGCACTGGCACACAGGAAATGATGCGTTCTACTCGGTTTTACCTGACAACGAGAAGGGAGGGGGGAGGAGAGCGCTGCTAAAAGCAACATGGTGGAGAACCCGAAGAAGCAGTTCAGAAGTGGATCTGACTGAAAGGGAAAAGCCTTCCTGTTCAGCAGAAGGTCTGTTGACAAAGACAGCGAGTGACAAACGGTGAAGACTAACGGATTTTCATTGGCGTCTCTCCTCCTTGATGGAGAGCCCTGAAGGAGGAGATCGGACTTAGGTCCAACACTGATGTTAAGTAAGTGACTCGGTTCACTACGAGCAGGATGTGTTGCTGTTACATTTACTGGACCGAGTACTTTGTTATTTTTGCAGCCTGGTGCCACATTGTGTAACGTTAGCCTAACGAACAGTAAGTTACAAGGTGTGTAGCCCGTGTTGCTGTGTGTAACTTACTGTGGGGAGTTTGTGTGCTGGGACGAGTAACTTTAGAGCCTACATGTTGTGTAAACAGTTACAGTCCTTGTGCCGTGACGAGCAGTATGCAGTGAGGTGAGTACTACTCCATGTACTGTGACGAGAAGCACACATTTTGTCTGGTGAGTGTTCTTGTGTGTGATGTGTATAACGTCATATTGAGGTGCTGGCCATATCGTTGTAATGATGTAGAAATCCTTGAGGGGGCAATAGAAGTTACGCACTATAGCTTTAAATATAAACTATTGCGGGAAACTCCAAGACTCTACTGAAGATCAACAACAAATTTCTGTCTTTGTAAGAGAACCAAACCTGAAGTTCTGTCTTTCAAAAGTCCGTCTTCAAATGCAGAATTGTTCTTACTTGTCTATTTTTCACAGATCCAAATGGCAGAGATGCAGGATGATCTTCAATATGCCACTATCCACTTTCCTAAAAATCAGGAAGATCATGTCTATGCCAATGTCAAACCAGCGAAGCCCAAAAGAAAGAAAAAAGCAACGAACGCAGAAGTGAAAGAGGACGAAGAAGAGACGACTGAGTACTCCACTGTCAGATTTAACGGTGCCAGTTCAGCCCAGAGGTAAACAACTCCTCACATAACATTGTGTCATTTCATAGAAGTTATGCAATAATTACTCCCTTATTTTTACCCTATTATTCTCATCATTAGACCTTTAACATTAAATCTGAACATTGAATTTGTTTTATTTTTCTCAAAAAACTAGCGGTCAGGAAAGTGTGGAGGATCCAGCTGCATTGTACAGTAAAGTCAACAAACCTCCCAAAACACATATACACAGAAACCTCTGATCTGCATCAATCCATGAAATACCTGAAAGGAAACCACTCTGAGCGTTGAAGAACAAATATCTCAGGACAGAATAGTAGAAGTCCACATACATGAATCAGAGGAGTGTGCATAGATGAAAATATCATGTAACTTCTGCAACAGACATGTAAAGTGTTTAACTTATCTACAGAGCATGGATATTCTGTACAAGGACAAGATCAGTTTTTACAGTCCCGTGAACATTTTCTAAATGGTTGTTTAACTTTGCTTTATGAGAACATTGCTGCCTTTTTATACATATAGAATTACTGGCACCTTTATTTTCTGAACCTGTTTGTACTGCATGTATCAAGTTACTATATGTGTGTTTTTGTATACTACTAAAATAAGCGTGTGGGTAGAATAATGCTGAGTCAGATATTTTTGTTTAATGAGCAGCCTCTGTGCCAACTTTATCAGTCGGTGCAAACAGGCGCAGAGGTGGAAAAACACCAAAACAAACTTGGCAAGTGCTCCATAACAACTCTTACACTTAACAAATGATTCAAATGACTGACTCTGAACAGGAGGAGGAAACTGTTGAAGAGTTGCAGCTGCGAGCACAACAGCTTGTGTCTGGGTAGTACCTTGAATACTTCCTTTTTTGTGTGTCTCTTTTTTAAATGTTGTGTTGGTTTACCCTTGTTGTTGATGAAATCTTTGGTGATGAGGTTTACCAAACAAACAGATTACCATCAACTGATTCTGGCTCTTTGGTACCAAAACACAAACTCTGGCATTTGAATAGAATATAGACGTTTGTGTTGGTTTGTGCAACCAAAAATAGAACTGTAGAATGTGTCTGTCTCAAACCTTTGATATTTTGACAATGCAACACAAAGCAAAACCATGAAAATGTTAGGGGAAGTAAGATCCTTCAAGGACCGAAAGTGAAAGAGTGAGTGTTGCACACATTGAGCAAATTAAGATCACCTTATAGAAACTTTTTTTCCCAGTGGGTGGGCTACAAAATAATGTGGATGCTTTTTGTTGCTTCTCCATTCTCGGGGTTGCTAAAGTGTAGATGACGTATGTGTTTGAATAGCCAAGTAAAAATGGAAAATGGGAAATAAAATTGGTTTTAGGGTCAGTCCCTGAATGTTGGGACCTCCACTGGTTGGCAGTAGAGATTGTAACAGCTGTCATAATTGTTGTTTATCAGTTCAGATTTTTCCAGGTTTTGTAATTTAGTTTTATTTTCTGTGTATTTTTCCTGGTGTTTCTGTTCCCTGTGTTCATGACTCTTATGTTTCTGTTGTTCTAGTGTTTTTCACTGTTTGGTTTCTTACTTCAGTTTTCATTGTTTCCTGTTTTATTTCATAGTTGTCAATCCCTGTGTGTCAAGTCTAGTTTTTCTCTCTGAGTTTTCTCTCTTTTGTTGATTACTCAGAAATCTCACCTTTTGCTGGTTCCTATAGTTCCTGTTTTTTCCTCCTTCTTGGTTGGTTCACTGTCCATGTCTTGTAGACGACTTTGTCCTCATGTATTTCCGGTGCACCAGTGTTCTTCCCTGCTCAAGTTTTTTGACTTTTTGGTTTTCTGGACATGGATTTTTTGTGAGCTCGAAAAAAGTAAATTTTTTTGGGGCCTTTGAAGCTCTTTTTAATTAAATCTTTATTTTTTGAGCTTGCATTTTGGGTCCTTTTCCTTTAGTTTGAACTCTGTTACTTGACAAAATGAACCAACATATCATGGTCCCAGCAGACCATTTTGTTTTGGACAGTTTGGATTTTTTTTTCTTCTGAAATAAATTATTTTTAGGGCATTTTGGGAAAGGTCTACTCTGATGTGAGATGCTAATGCTCCATTGAGCTGTCTCCTTGGCTGAGAACTCCCTTGGCAGATTTTTTCAGAACCAGAGGTGGCCACAGAGGGAGACGAGGAAAATGTAACTCCAAGTGCCACCTCCTGCCGAAGCTAAGAAGTAACTGGAAAGTAAGGAGACCAGATTTCTGTGATGAAATCCGGGGACATCTGGAGGGGGGGCAACTTCAAATTTACTTTGTCGGAATTAATTACCTGATATGCTTGTTCCAGTTTTGGTCAGCTAATAGAGCTGTATATAGCTGTATACAGCTAAACAGCTTGCTGGAAGCCCTACTGCTTTAAGTGAGTTGGTAACTAAACTCATACATATTAATAACATAAAGAGGAAGGAAGCTGGACTTTCTGTGAAGCTGCTTTCTTCTGATGAGCACAGAGGGAAGCGTTCTGCCTGAAGAGAAAATATCTTCTCCTTGTAGGTACGATTATTAATTGATATGGTTAATGTTATCAGCTGAAGATATCCACAGGTTGTGTGTAATCCTGCTGATTTGGTTAATTTTCTCTGAAGTCACGCATCGATGAGGGAAGGAGACATGAGTTTGAAAGCAGCAGCAGCAGCAAGAGGTTTGGTTGTCCTCTTTCTCTCTCTATCAGGTACAGTAGATCCTCATTCACATTGTTGGACATAGTTTTAGGGGTTATTGCACTTATTCATGAAAGACTGAAGTTTTCTAAATTTCTTAGCAGTTGTTGATATGGATTTCAAATCTGTTTAAGATACTATTTCTGTTATTGCAAATGAACAGTTGAATTACTTCCAAGTAAAATCACCATCCTTTCATTTGAGTGGTTTGAAATGTTACACTGTAAGTTTATTTTTGTACTGCTTAATTTTTAAAAGAGGATCTGGAGGTTTCTGTAAGTTAAAATGTCAGTATTTCTTACATGGACTCAGAAAAAGGAACCAAACTGCAGATGTATCAAGTTTCTCTCAGACGTCGGTGTGATGTTTCCATTCTCACTGTGGTTACGAGTCAACTGCTCTTCTAAGTATAAAGTGTCTTTTCAAGCACATTTGCTCTCATTTCCTTTTATTTATAATTCTAACTTATCTGACCACAGAGTGATCAGAGAGACATCTAAACTAAACACTCATGTCCAGTGAATTCATGATCTTTGATCAAACAGTCAATTTCAGCCTTTAAATTAGTTCTTTTTGTCTATTTGCAGAAATTTATCAGGAGTAGAAGAAAAACAAAACTTTTGCAAAGTAACGTTTAGATTTTAGATGAATCTGTTGAACAGGTCTGTAGTGGGAATTTCAGCATGATGTTCTTTGTGTTTCAGTGATTCAGGGTCAAAATGACTGGAGTGTGACTTACCCAAAGACTCAGATCTGTGCCTTAAAAGGATCAACAGTGGACATACCTTGCACCTACACATATCCATCCAGAGTAAATGAGCTCGACACCAAAGTTGAAGAAAGGCTCTGGTTTACTAAAAGGAATGGAAACGAATTTGTAGATCTGATAACAGACCCTGACTATAATGATTGTGTTGAGTATCATATTAATGAGATTGACTGCACTTTGAGAATCAAAGATCTGAGAGAGAGCGACTCAACTGAGTACAAGTTCAGATTCACAACCAACCAACCAGGTGGAAGTTATACTGGAAGACCAGGAGTAACTTTGTCTGTCACAGGTAACTTTTTTTTTGTTTTATAATTTTTTGTATCTGGAATTAAAAAAAAACTCAGTTGTGTACTTAAAATGTTCCTTTTTTAAAAGAATCTTATCATTAGAGCTGGTTGAAGCCTGGGCAAACTCTTGCTGCTGTAGATTTAGACTGCTGGGGTCCTGGCACATTGAGCACCTTTCCCTCCTTCTTCATCCTCTTTCATTCATGGCATCATCTTTGAAACATCATGTCCCATTAGAGCCACTGATACAGTCTCTTCTGGGAGTCCCTGTGCTCCATCATGTCTTAGGTTCCTCTGGATCGCTGTGGCAGACGTTTTGTTGCAGTGGTCCTGCCTGCTTTCCAGCTGCTTCAGCTACATGCATCCCACCATCTCACCTCTGTCCTTGTCTCTCTTTCTGCATCTCCCTCTCTAAACCAAAGACAGTCTCAGCAGATGACTGTCTAACATGAGGGTGTTAGAGGTTTCTGCTTGAGGTTTCTGTCTGTTAAAGGAAGTTTTCCCTGTCCACTGTAACTTGCTAAATGCTGCAAAGCGTTTCACTCATGGTTGAAGATGGGAGAAGGTCTGATCTTACAAGATGGGGCTCAATCTGATCTCATCTTTACACTGGGTCTTTGTAAATAGAGTCTGGTCCAAACCAGCTTTTCTTACAGGATAATTGGCACTACACAAAAGATTGATATTTGAATTGTCTCATCCGAGATGACATTTCAGTTCTTTATCCATCCAGATCTGCAGGTGGAAGTTACAGGATTATTAAACAACCATGCAGAGCTGAGGTGTACCAGCAGCTGTAGTGTGGCTGATAATCCTTCATATGTCTGGTACATTAACGGACATAAAATGGATGAGGAGACGTCTACTTTAAGAGTTTCTGTGAATGACAACAAGTATTCCTGCGCAGTAAAAGGACAGGATAAATATGGCTCTCCTGCAGTTTGTAAGTTTACACACTGTAACACTTGTACTTTTGTGTTAAATGTTGTAAAAACTGTAACTTTAAAGTCAAAAGGGTGGACAAATTTATTCTCTGATGGTCTGTGATACTACTACAAGTATGAAAGTTTTCCCATATGTTGACTTTTTCATCAAATGAAAAGTGTCTTTGCACATGTCTTTGGTACAGATGCTCCAGCGCGTCCTAATGTGTCAGTGAGTCCCTCTGCTGAGATAGTGGAGGGTAATGATGTGACTCTGACCTGCAGCAGTGATGCTAACCCAGCAGCTACTTATACCTGGTACAAGACAAACGTCCGTCAACCTCTGACTAAAGGAGCCCAGCTGGTCTTCAGCTTTATTCAGCCCTCTGACTCTGGAGAGTTTTACTGTGACGCTGAGAATCAGCTTGGGAGGAGGAGATCTCATCCCATCTCCATTAATGTGAAATGTGAGTTTGACTTCTTGTTCACTGTCAGCAACAATTTTTTAGATTATGTTTGAACTTGTATCTTTTAATTATGTGTCCTGTCCTCATATTAAGCTGTTGTTTCTTGTGTAAACCAGTAAAGATGAATAAGATGATAACTCTGAACACTGTAGTTTGTCCATGAGATTTATAATTACTGTAAACATAAATCTAACAATAATGAAGCTTTAGTTGTCAGTTGTTTAAAATATATCGTCTTTTGATAACATCAAACTGGACACAGAGACCATTGAAGTGAATTATTTTTCATTTCCTCTTCTCCAGATGCTCCAAAGACCTGCTCTGTATCTGTGAATCCCACTGGTGAAATCACAGAGAACAGTTTAGTGACTCTGACCTGCAGCAGTGACGGTTACCCAGAACCAGAGTATACCTGGTACAAAGGGGGGTTTTATGATCATCCCAGGAAAGGATCAGAGCTTGTTTTTAGATCCATTCAGTCCTCTGACTCTGGAAACTATTACTGTAGAGCAAGTAATGGTCAAGGGACGGTGTGGGCACCTTGGCCCATTTCTATTGATGTAAAATGTGAGTGAAGCAACCTTCAACATATTTTTAGTGTTTGTCTTTATTTGCTGATCACCTGTCTGCTTCCTTCAGCTCTGTCTGCTTCAAATTTACAATCTGTGGATATTAGACACTGAGCACCTACAGTAAATGACAGAGAAGTGCAGTTATATAAAGTTTGACCAGTTATTGTATCTTTATACTGACTATTCAGACAGTTAAATGTCTATGTGGATTTAAAACTCAGATGTTTTCTCCTTCAGATGCTCCAAAGCTTCGACATGTGTCAGTGAGTCCCTCTGGTGAGATAGTGGAGGGCAGTTCAGTGACTCTGACCTGCAGCAGTGATGCTAACCCCCCTGCCACTTACAGCTGGTATAAAAAGACTGGAAATAGAGGCACACTTGTAAGCTCCAGAACAACACTTTACTTCTGGTCCATCAAAGCCCCAGACTCTGGAGAGTATTACTGCACAGCTGAGAACAGGCTGGGCAGTAGGGTCTCTGAATCCTCTGTCATTGATGTGAAATGTGAGTAAAACAGCTCATTGAAAACCTTGAAAAACCTGATTTATTGATGGAGGTCTGGATGGAGGAAAACTTATTAAATCTGTGATGCTGAAAGTCTGAGAAAACAACTAAGATGTGCATCATTGCTTTATGTAGTTGGCAGGAACGTAAAATGTTTATTGTAAAGGTTAAAAAGTCAATATTTAATCATTATATTACCTTTGTGATGAAAAAAATGTCTATATTGTGGTTTAACAAACACCTTTTCCTTCCAGATGCCCCCAAAATGAAACAAATATCAGTGAGTCCCTCTGGTGAGATAGTGGAGGGTAATGATGTGACTCTGACCTGCAGCAGTGATGCTAACCCAGCAGCTACTTACACCTGGTACAAGGAGACTAGATACCAGCCATATGGATATCCCAGAAAAGGACCACAGCTTGTCCTCAGGTCCATCCAGTCCTCTGACTCTGGACAGTATTACTGTGAAGCTGAAAACAATCAGGGGACGAGGACATCTCAACTCGTCTCTATTGATGTGAAATGTGAGTGAAACAGTTTTCATTAAAAGCTGTATTAAGATGATGACTGAGAGGATTTTGAGACTCTCTCAGCTGATCACACACACTTGTTTTATGGGACTTGGCCAAATCTGGATTAGAGTGTTTGTTCATGACTTTAATTTCTTTAAAAATGCTATAAAATACTAGTAAATATTATTTTCAGTGAATAACTCTAGAGACAAAGTGCTCTATTTCCGTGCCTCACCGGAGACGTGCCGCAGGCGCAGCGTAAGTCAGGTCCGCTGCGCCGACAAGGTGTTCCCAAGCACAATTTGGTATTTTGGTGAGCAGCGCAGCCCGGCGTAAGTATCCCCCCTTCCTAACTCAGCCCCTCCCAGCGGCATAAGTCGTAGCGAGGGAGGAGACAGGGCGTGGAGTGGGTTTAACACAGCCGAGACCTGTTTTCACCAATCACATAAGCTCCTCTCCTTGCCTTTAAATCCGCCACCGGCGGGGCGTATTACCATTTTCGTGAAGTAGTCAAAGAGATCAAGAGATGTCTGAAGACAGTAATGCCACAAGATGGCGACAGAAGGCAGCTCCTCAACAAGTGTCACTGTAGCGCTGCATTGGGTGTCCTCCACACTCTCTCATATGAGCACAGACGGATTTGGTATGTGTAATGTTGGACCCACTGGTAAGACAAACACCCTTTTCCACAAATAAAGACACTCACATAAAGTTGCACATATTCAAACTTCACGTGACAAAGGTGGGTTGAGCGCACAGATCACAACATAAACTCCAAAAATGGCATTAAAATCGGAAACACCTGTGTGTAATGGACACATCCCGCTCTGTGGCCTGGCTCTTTCTTTCATAGATGTTGGCATATAAAATAAATTTGACTCACAAAACTGAATATTATAATATTCGTATGTGGGCTTAAAGTAAATAACTCATCTGATCACTGAAACAAATCATCTGTTCAGCCGCTGCAGCTGCTGCTGCTGCTGCTGCAGCAGGACGGAAAGAGGACACGGAGACGTGTCCAGGTCGAGCTGTGCGAGAAATAAGAGGAAGAGGAAGAAAGAAAAGGAGGGAGACGAATTACATATCTTGTTAACTTCATCATGTGTGTCTATTTACTAGATATTTAATTTAATTTGATGCGGTTTCAGCTGTGTTGATTCGGTCAGGTTGTGTGTCCAAACGCGTGCCAAACGCGCTCATCAGATCAGATATAGATCAGAATATATCTATAGATCTAAATGTATGTGCTGACTCAGATTAATAGTTGATGATGATTATTTATTGCACTGAAATGTGCCTGACACTGTGGAAACCTGCTGGTGAGGCATCCAAAATACCTCTAGACCATCTGCGTTCCACCTGCGCTGAAAGCTGACCAGGTTTGAATCGGCGAGCTTTCAGCGCACTTTACACGAGCACGAAAATGTCACTGCGCCAGCTGATTCTGTCGACACCTCCCCCTGCCACGCCACCACGCCCAGCTTGGCGGATCTCGGTTCGCCTCCGTGCGCATCAGTCCACAAAAATACCAAATTGGCTGTACGCCGGGCTCCGCCAGATGAAAATTCAACTGCGCGGGGTCAGCCACCCTCCGTCGCCTCACCGGCGAGGCACGAAAATAGAGCCCAAAGTGAAAAGTTAAAGATGACAGCTGAATCAGGCGGCCTTAAACTTTGAATCACCCTCCATACAAATCTGATTTAAACCTATGAAGTGATCACATTTTACATCAGCTGCAGTCTGGCATAACATCCTTCCTAGTCAGAAAGTTATAAAAGAAACAGATTCTTCTCGGATGTGAGGACCAGGACTGCAGAGCTGTGATACAAGAGTCAAAAAAGACATTTAACAAAGATTTTTATTCCACTCGTCAGATCCTCCAAAGCTTCCCTCTGTGTCAGTAAGTCCCTCTGCTGAGATAGTGGAGGGCAGTTCAGTGACTCTGACCTGCAGCAGTGATGCTAAACCAGCTGCTACTTTCACCTGGTACAAGAACAATGAAATCCCAGACTCTCAACCTCAGGGAGAAGGACCACGTCTTTTCTTTAAAGCCATCCAGTCTCCTGACTTTGGACAGTATTACTGTAGAGCTGAGAACAAGCTGGGGAAGAGGACATCTGAATACATCACTGTTAATGTGAAATGTAGGTAGAACAGCTCATTTAATAAGATAATAATGTAAAAAAATAAGGGTTTTTCATTTTAAAGTTTGTCATGCATGACATTACATTGAAATTCAAAAAAAGAAAATGTTGTGAGTCATGTCTGTTCTTTGTTACATTTAATCATTTGGTCATCCATCCCCAGATGCTCCAAATCTTCCCAGTATAACAGTGAGTCCCTCTGCTGTGATAGTGGAGGGCAGTTCAGTGACTCTGACCTGCAGCAGTGATGCTAACCCTGCTGCTAACTATACCTGGTTTAAGGAGCATGAAGACTCACCAACAGCATCAGGACAGATCTTCACTATAAACAACACAAGACCTGAACACAGTGGGAATTATGTTTGTCTTGCCCGAAATGAGAAGGGACGTCATAACTCCACAGTTCATCTGACTGTTGAGGAAGGTAAGTAAAACATGCGTAAGTCTTAGCCTTAATCCAGACTGCCATACTCCAGGTACTGAAGGTTTAACCATATCCAGAGCCTTACTACTGAATAGTTTGTATCTTGGTGATCTCCGATAAAGGGAGTCATGTACATTTTTGGTTTTCTTGTCTCTTTTGACAAGGAGCATGGAAACTGATAGCAGCTGCCTCGGTCCCCACCATCATGCTTGTTCTCATTCTCATCTTTGTCATCATATGGATCATGTAAGAAAGTCAGCGTCACCGAATGTTCATCTTTCAAACAGAATAATTTGTCAACCATGGTTTAACCTTTTAAACGAATGTGCCTTACCAGAAAGAAGAGGACCTCTAAGCAGCCGGCAGAGCCCAGAGTTAGACCAGGCAACAGTGAACAGGTGAGGAGATTCATTCACCTATGAAATGTGTTAATTTGAACACTTTATATGTCTGAAGGAAAGCTCCCATAACTCTGATTATTTTGCCAACCGATCGACCGGTATATCGAGAACTTTGCATTTTGGCTCAGCTCCCTCTTCACCACGACAGATCTGTGCAGCAGCCTTATCACTGCTGACACCACACCAATCCATCTGTTGATCTGTTAGCAAAACCTACTTGAAAAATTTGTATGTGTGAATTGTGGAAGATCTTTCAAATGTCCACCTGCCAAAGCTGACTGTTGTCTGTCCACTGTTCACAGATCAATTTGGCAGGGCAGCAGGGTGATCTCCAATACGCCGCTGTCCACTTCTCTAAAAAGCAGGAGGATTGTGTCTACTCCAACATCAAACCAGCTGAGCCTGTAAGACAGAAGAAATCTAAACAAGGAGAAGAAGCAAAGCAGGAAGAAGAAGAAAAGCCCATTTTGTACTCTGCTGTTAGATTTAAGAGTGCCAGCACAGCCCAGAGGTAAACAAAATAGCACTCTCCTACATCATGAACGTTAAACAGTTATTATCCTCATGATTTTAACTTTGTTGTGATCACTGTTGGGTTGTTATAAAATCCGAAAGTCTATTTTAATCTATTTTTCTCTCAAAACCAGAAGTCAGGAAACCGTGGAGGATCCATCTGCTGTGTACAGTACAGTCAACAAACCTCCTGAAAAGAAACGTGGACGCAGAAACCTTGAGTCTCCAAGAAACACCTGAAAAGAAGCTTCTCTGAGCACCAAAAACAATCAGGACAGGATAGTCAAAGCTCAAAGCTGCATTAAATTTATAAAAACCAAAACCATGCTTAATCCGTGAATATGGAAGGAGTTATTGTTTTAACACAATCTCTTGGATTATGCCAAAGAATCATGTGGTGACAAACGTTTTATTCATTCAGACATTTTGCATCTCTTCCTTTGCAATAATCTCTAAGAAGCTTTGTAATATCTTCCTTCTTTATTTTACATCTATGTTCTGAATTACTTTTGTACATTTCTGTATCACTGTTAAAACATTCATTTCCTTTTGCTTATATTATGTATTTACTATTTTATGTATGTAGAGATTTGAATATTTGTTATTAATAAAATATCTCAGTGTGACTTTGGTGTGATGTCTCTCTGGCTGATTGGTTAAACCACATCATGAAGGCCATCAGTCAACTGTGGGGTAAGTTCTCCTCCCAATAAATGAACTTGATTTCATTTCTGAGAGTAGGGTTTAAAGGGATTACTTGTTACTTGCTGGAGGAGGAGGGATTTATGACCTATATTGCAGCCCGTCACCAGAGGGTGCTGTTCTCAAGGTGGCTTCTCTCAGTGAGGAGGCAGATATCGTCCATTCTATATACAGTCTATGTGTTTAACAGAGAGATCAGTACAACCCTGGTAAAGTATGACTTTGGTTTTCAAGTCGAGGTAGATCAGTGTCCTCAGATCTTTATCATTCAACTTGGTTACTGCAAATCTTTCCTGCCTCCCTCATAAGCAAACTGTCGGGGTCCTTTTGCTGTGTTCAGCTAGTTTATGTTCAACTCTATATCAGCGCAGGCACTTGGGGAACAATGGTTGGGAGCTTGTTTTGCATATAAATCAGCTGCATTCAGAAATTCAGCAGGATCAGCTCGGTTTTTCACCTTCTTTGAACTCCAGCTGTTTTCACCCTCATATTCACTCAGCGGCTCTACCTCTGCTGCAGCTGCTGGTTTAACGCTCAGTCTTTGGCTGCGTGCTTACACTTTTCATCCTGAAATCTGTTATTTTTGCTCTTGAATTACAGCTGTTGCTACTGTCAGTGTTGTTGATGAGAAATATGTTACTTGATTTATGAATCTCATTCTTTAGTCCATGCATTGCTTGCATTGCATATTTGGAGAGAGTCTGTATCTTGGTTCATGCATATTAATGACACAAGGAAGGAAGCTGGACAAATTTAACAGCCTGACTGCTTTCTTCTGATGACCACAGAGAAACTTCTTCTGTAGAGAAAACATCTCTCTCTTTTGTAAGTGGATTCATTTATTGGTACTATTGTTTTTTAAGATTATGTAAAGCCCTGCTGATGTATTTTATTTCCTCTGAGGTCAAACAGGGATGAGAGGAGCAGCTATGAGTTTGACAGAAGCAGTGAGTGGATTACATATCTTCTCTCTCTTTCTGACAGGTACTGTAAACCCTTATTCATGTTGTAGGGCCTTGGCTGAATAAGATCAAGCTTGAACTGCACTTTCCCAGATTTTATGTTGGGTATTGACACCAAGTAGTTTAAGCTGTTAAAGATTCTTAATTTGCTGCATGTTGGCGGTTGATTTGTCTCTGTCAGATTATTTTGAAGCATTTCAGATGTGTAAAATGTTTTTATCTCTGTGATATATATATATATATATATATATATATATATATATATATGTATATATATATATATATATATATATATATATGTATATATATATATATATATATATATATATATATATATATATGTATATATATATATATATGTGATGTTAGTTTTGTACAAGCGAACTTTTAATGGTGCATCTGGGGGGATGAACTAACTCAGGAATTAAGTTAGGAATGCCAGTATGAGTAAGTAAGATAAAGTATACCACTAAAAAGGTCAAATGCATTGAGTTTCATACCCACAGGTGTGACAGTTAACTGCTTTTCTAAATATAATCTACAGTGACTGTCTTCTGTGGTTTACAGTTCTCATATTTGTAAAACGGATGCTTATCTGACCACAGACTGAACAGAGAAGAACTAACAAAACACATCAGACGCTCTCAATGAGCTGAATATACTCTCATGTCTCAGGACTTCCTGATCTCTAGATTTCACTTTTTCTGAGACTTTGACTGACTAAAGAGCCTCTCCTAAATTTTAGGTCTGCATTAAAAAGCTTAATGGAAAAAAGTTTGTAAAGTTGTAAAATGTCTTGTTTTATTTCTGATGTTGTGAATTTGATTTTTTCCTTCTTCTGTGTTTAGTTGTAAGTGGCGGAAATGGCTGGAGAGTGTTTTACCCCTCTCCTCAGATCTGTGCCTTAAAAGGATCAACGGTGGACATACCCTGCACCTACACATATCCATCAACAATAAACCGTCAAATTACTGAAGTTCAAAGCAGGTTGTGGTTCACTGAAAGAGATCATTATGAACCTGTAGATCTGAGAGAAACTCCAGCGTACTCAGGTCGTGTTGAGTATCATTTGGATGGGAGCAAATGCACTCTGAGAATCAAAGACCTGAGAGAGAGCGACTCAGCTGAGTTCAAGTTCAAGTTCACAACAAACCAGCAAAGTGGAGGTGTTACTGGTTCACCTGGAGTCAATTTGACTGTCACAGGTAACACAGTTATTGCAACTTTTTCACATTTTCTGCACCTTTGCTTTCATTACTGTTGTTGTTGGTGGTGTTTGTGAACAGTCAAAGTTGAAATGACATCACACTCCTTTCCTATCATGTCCAGACCTACAGGTGCAGGTGAAAAAAACACATCCCCAGGCAGAGCTGAGGTGTCACAGCAGCTGTAATGTGACTGATAATCTGTCATATATCTGGTACAAAAACGGAGAGACAATCTCTAGAGAGACGTCTTTTCTCAGAGTCCCCTTAAATGATGTCAACAACTATTCCTGTGCTGTCAAAGGACATGAAGATTACAGCTCTCCTCCAGTGTGTGAGTCAACTTACATTACATTTTCAAAATATTGATGTATTGTCTTATTTCGACTGAAACTCGGCTTAAACAATTATCTGCTTAAATTGCACTAAACTTCTCATAGTCAGAGAACAATAGGCATGAACACTTATTTGAAACTTCAACAGATAAAGACAGGACGCAAAAAAAGACAAAGCTGAAAAGCTGAAAAAGAGGATGCCGCCTCCTTCTGTGCGGAGGAGAAATGCTTCTGTCAGTAACTTAATTTTTGCCTCAGTGCATGTAAACGGGGACAAGGATAGAAGTCCTGTTAACTATCTATGAACATTTTTCCTGCAGATCCTCCAAGGCCTCCCTCCATGACAGTCACTGCTGCAGAGGAGGGCAGATCAGTGTATCTGACCTGCAGCAGTGACGCTAACCCAGCAGCTAAATACACCTGGTACAAAGAGCAACGCAATAGCAACCATGAACTCCTCTGGCGTGGACCTCAGTTAGTCTTCATCTCCATCCAGCTGTCTGATTCTGGAGGGTATTACTGCTCAGCTGAGAATGAGCTCGGGTGGATAATGTCTCATCGTGTTGATGTTCAAGTGAAATGTGAGTCTAACTGCTTCTTTGATGGCAGGAAATTTTCTCAGTTTGATATTTGTAAAGAGATTGTTTTTCTTTTCCATCATGTTAATTTGGGAAACTAGAAGAAACTAAAAGCTGACTCAGAGAGGCTCTCCAGGATGATGGTCCCTGTTTACACCACTTCATTTTGGCAGAGAGATTTTCCTAGCCACTTTAGTTCAATTTTTGAAATGAAATTGAACTTTTTTGCATTTTATCACACAGCAACCTTAAACAGATCTCCACACTCCTGGTTTTTGAAAAGCTCTTAGAGAGACTGTTTTTTTTTTTAAGCTGAGAACCGTTCAAAACTCAAACACTAAATTAAAAAGGATTCAGTGAGGTTTTAAAAACCTCACAGCACAGAAACAGCCCCTCGCTAAACAGAGTGAATGATGTCAGACCAAACTTTGACCACAACAGTCCTGAATTTCTGCTGCTTCTTAACCTCAGAGCTGCTTTTATTTTAGGAAGAGGAAGTCAGCATGCTTGAAATTTGTTTAACTGGTTTCTCTTTTATCTTTGAGGAAGACAGTTTTTTTTAATGATCATTAGTGACCATGCTTCAAACAATGTGAGAATATCTGTGGGATACCACAGGGTTCAATTTTAGGAACACCACTTTTTAGCAGTTGGCTAGATACTACAAAATCCCCCATGCAGGCTGTTTGAGTTTCTTTTTTTTTTACATAATGTCTCCTCTAGATGGTCCAAAAACATGTTCTGTTTCGAAGAGTCCCACTGGTGAAATAAATGAGAACCAATCAGTGACTCTTACCTGTAGCAGTGACGGCTATCCAACACCTGAGTATACCTGGTACAAGAGTAGTAAGGACCATCACAGTAAAGGATCAAAGCTTGTCTTCAGTTCGATTCAGTCCTCTGACATTGGAAAGTATCGCTGTGAAGCAAAGAACGAGCTGGGAAGCAGGACGTGTGGATACATTTACATCAATGTCAGCTGTGAGTGAGAGTGACTTTATTTTAAAAGCAACATTTACCTGATTACCATTTTTATGTTTGCTTTGCTGATTATGTGATTGTATTGTCCTTAGGCTTCTACATGATCTTTTAGTAGAGAGGGCTCAAGAATCAACAATAAAGGACAGAAAGGTCTATTGAGTCAAAGTTTGACCACATATTTAATGATATTAATCACTAAATTAGCTGGCAGGAAGAAAGGGTTGTCACAACTGTAAAATAAGAGTTTACTTTTATGAGGAACAAGCTCAACCTGATACCTTTGCATCTTTTTATATTGGCATTTCAACAACTGTGATATTCACCTGTCTACATAGCATTTTATCATGTGTGTTTTCTCCTTCAGATGCTCCAAAGCTTCCCTCAGTGTCAGCAAGTCCCTCTACTGAGATAGTGGAGGGGAGATTATTGATTCTGACCTGCAGCAGTGACGCTAACCCAGCAGCTAAACACACCTGGTACAAGAAGACTGGAAATCTACAACATCAAACTCTCAACACAGAAGTACAACCCTACTTCAAATCCATTAAAGCCTCTGACTCTGGAGAGTATTACTGCACAACTGAAAACAAGCTGGGGAAGAGGACATCTGACTCACTTTTCATTCATGTTAAATGTGAGTAAATCTGTTTATTGGTTTACAAAGGCCAGTCACTGGTGTTACATGGGAGTAAAAAAAGCTGTCATTCCAACTTGTATTATTCATACACCTTGTAAAATGGTGAAATGTCTAAAATTGTGTTTGATACAAACTCTTTTTTTTCCAGATGCCCCCAAAATGAACCAAATATTGATCAGTTCCCCTGATGAGATCGTAGAGGGCAGTTCAGTAACTCTGACCTGCAGCAGTGATGCTAACCCCCCTGCTACTTTCACCTGGTACAAAAGGTCTAGAAATGTTGAGCGTAAATATCTCAGGAAAGGACCACAGCTTGTCCTCAGGTCCATCCAGTCCTCTGACTCTGGACAGTATTACTGTGAAGCTGAGAACAATCAGGGGAGGGGGACATCTGATCTCATCTCTATTGCTGTGAGATGTAAGTTACTGACATTTCAATAATAAAACACATTTTTGATCATTCAGTGACCTCTGCAGTAAGTATCATAAGATCTGAATGTGTTTAAGCAAAGGTTTTTAATTCCCTCAGATGCTCCAAAGCTTCCCTCTGTGTCAGTGAGTCCCTCTGCCGAGATAGTGGAGGGTAGCTATGTGATTCTGACCTGCAGCAGTGATGCTAACCCCCCTGCTACTTTCACCTGGTACAAGAAGAATGAAAACCCAGACCCTCAACCTCTGGGAGAAGGACCACGTATTTTCTTCAAAGCCATCCAGTCTCCTGACTTTGGACAGTATTACTGTAGAGCTGAGAACAAACTGGGGAAGAAGACATCTAAACACATCACTGTTAATGTGAAATGTAGGTAGAACAGCTCATTTAAAGGGATGATCATGTAAGAAAATAAGGGTTTCTTATGTCAAAATCTGCCATGCATGACATTTCAATCAAATTTAACACAAGTCACCAGAACAAATTGATGCTTTTTCCTCAAATTTTTGCGTATCTGTTGTATTTTATCATTTTACCATTCATCCCCAGATCCTCCAAATCTTCCCAATATAACAGTGAGTCCCTCTGCTGAGATAGTGGAGGGCAGTTCAGTAACTCTGACCTGCAGCAGTGATGCTAACCCAGCTGCTAACTATACCTGGTTTAAGGAGCATGAAGACTCGCGAAAAGCATCAGGACAGATCTTCACTCTAAGCAACGCAAAACCTGAACACAGTGGGAATTATGTTTGTTTTGCCCAAAATGAAAGAGGACGTCACAACTCCACAGTTCATCTGACTGTTGAGGAAGGTAAGTTAAACACTCAGCTACATGAGTCCCAAGATGCCAGCTGATTTGTTGGCATGGGCACAGAATGCCTATGAGCTTTGGGTCACTAGGTCTTCTTTGTAGGTCCTGAGGTCAGGTTTTGTCAGATAGGCTTTAGAAACCAAAGGTCAGTGTCAGGAGCTGGCTTTGGCCCAATGGTACAGTCGGGCTTCTCTCAGTCCAAAGGTCAGTTCAATCCCAGATCCAACAGTCTCCATGACACCATGTCGCTTCACCATCCTCTGCAGTGGTGTGTGAACAGGATTAGACAAAACTGATGGATGCTTTACAAAGCAGCCTCTGTGTGTGAATGTGGTGTGAGTGGGTGAGAGTACTATGTTATATAAGGTGCCCGGAGTGGTCAGAAAAGAAAAGGATGTGCTAGACGAACACCCCATGTACCATCAAGACTACATCCACGTTTTTCACAAGTCTTCTGAAGACTAGACTTAGACCTTAAGAAGGGTTTGACACTATTTGTGCTGTTTCATTTATCACTCAAGAGTCTATTTGTTCCATTCAATCACTTTTTTTCAGGGGTATGGAAGCTGATAACTGCTGCCACGGTCCCCGCCATCACATCTGCTCTCATTTTCATCTTTGTTATTATATGGATCATGTAAGTGGTCCACTTTAAAATGGACTCATTTTACAATATTGGTATTATGGTTTAATTACTTTTATGGGTGCGTCTGACTAGAAAGAAGAGGACCTGTAAAAAGCAGTGTGAGCCCAGAGAGAGCGCAGAGAGCGGTGTAGAGGTGAGGCTGTTAAAAAAATGAATTCCATATAGTTATTTGAGGACTTAAATCTGTTACTTTTTTGTATGCAAAAGTTATCCTAATTCTCTTCACTGATCTCTGATTATAAACTTAAAAAATCTGGACTGAACAGAAATCTAAATTTATCAACCAAAAGTGCAGCAAACATGTCCAAAAGGGCCCCTAGAAGTTCTGAATTTGAGCACAACCCACATTAGGAAAAAGTAACCTTTGAGAGTTTGTGTTGAGTATCTTGTGTTTCTTCCGTGACTCATACCAATTTCAGAATATTTTAGTATTTATAATAATAGAAGAATATTTAAGTTTGTTTAGAAAATTGAATTTGGAGGCATGGACAGTGACAGCCCAGATAGCTTCTGAAATTGTCTTCATCCGACCAACGTTCACAGATCCAACTGGAAGAGCAGCAAGATGACCTTCAGTATACCACTGTCCGCTTTTCTAAAATTCAAGAGGGATGTATCTACTTCAACATCAAACCAGCTAAGCCTAAAAGAAACAGGGGAACAAAACAGGAGAATAAAACAGCCGAACGAAAGGAGGAAGAGCTTGTTTTGTACTCTGCTGTTGTATAAAGAGTACCAGAACATCCCAGAGGTAAAAGATTATTTTATATCATAAAAGTCCTACAGTTTTTGTTTCAATTGTTTTTTTTAAACTATTGCTTTAATGTGATACTTTAGGGGCTGTTAAGATCCTGTAAACTTTATTTTCCTTTTCTCCCATGACCAGCCTTTAGGAGACTGTGGAGGATCAGACTGCATGAACATGATGAGACCGCTGTTCTACATTTATCCAAGAAATGTCCACAGAAAGTCTCTCTGAGCCTTAAAGCCAATTTCTCATGGGAGGAAAGTCAAAGTTCACTGTTTTACCAGTAGTTATTACAGATGTAGGCAAAGACTATGTGGAAGTATGAAGCTTTGTGTTTGACTTAGCATTAGAAATCTGTAACAGGTATAAAAAATTGCAAATTTGTATTTTCCTTTATTGTACTTTGCAATAATCTTAAGTTTTGATCTCCAGCATTGTAAAACATATATTCTTTCTTATTTTTACACATTGTCTTAACATTTTAGGTGTTCAAACATTGTTTTTATCTTGGTGTTTTTTTTTTTTTGTCTTTTTTAAAATAATTTACCTGATGTTCATACCTGATTTAAAGGTAATTAAAACAACAATACTTGGTTACTGTTTGGTATAATCTCTAATAGGTAACAGTGTAGGACAGCAGTAGCAAATATATCAACTGAAAATTCTGGTCAAGCTGTAAAACTCCTTGATATTAGATGTCACTGCAGCACAGGCAGAAGCAAAACAGCATGGAGTGAAGTCCTGGCAGGTAAGGGCCTGAGTAAAACTGAGTAATTTCTGATTTAGAGTAACAATTTTAGCTATAATTTGAGTGTCTTTGTGATTTGCAGTGTTACCAGTGAAATCACCACAGAGTGAGGTTGTGGAAGATGTTGGGAAGTTGGAAACATTTACCTACAAACATTTTATCAAAGCAAATACCATAATGTCCCACAGCCCCCTTAAAGGGATTAGCCTTTTATTTAGAAGCTCTCAATCTATCTGACACATCCCTGTTTTTTTTGTAAACTGCTTGTGTGTGTTTGATTTAAAATAAAATCTGGATTGGATCCTTTCTGTCCTCAGAGCTGATACCGAAGTTGCCATATCTTATTCTCCTGGATACAATACTCTCTGTTTCTGTAAAGTCACAAATGTGAGACAGCTCTGCTAAAGCTAGCAAACGCTTTGTTGATGCTTGTTGATGCTTGCATGCATTCAGTCTTTGTACCCCGTGTATTTGTGTGCATTCTTTGACATAAACAAATAAACATGATATTTTGCTCAATATGAGACGGGGTTAGGGTTTCTGGTTGAGTGTTAGATCAGTTTAAAACTAATACAAGGTTCTGTCTGTAAATATTAAATTCTTCTTTTTTCTGCAATACGGTGTACCCCAGGGGTCAGTATTAGGGCTTATTTAATTTGGCCCTCTCATGCTCCCACCATAAAAGTTGAGTCGTATACAGATGATATGCAGTTGTACCTCTCTGTCAGTACCACTATGACAAACTGCCTATCTGAAACTAAAAGCTTGATGTCTATTGGTGTTTCAATGACAGCTGATCTACAACTGTATTCAGTTATTGAGATCACAGGATTTAAATATGTTAAAGGTGATAGGGCCTTGAGATAAATCCTCTCTAGTCCACATTTCAGCAGTAAAGTCATACCAGCCCTTGAACAGACAAGGCTGCTGCTGTTCAAAGCTTGTGAGGCATCTGCTGTTGCTCTGATGGCTGATGGAGGGACATCTAGAGCTACCGAAAACTACTTAGTGTAGTGTTTTTAATGCTGTACATACAAGTAGAAGTAGAACTTTTTTATTTATTCCAAAGGAGAAATTCAATTGTCTGTAGTCTCATTTGTCATGTCTCTAAAAGTCATCTACTATTTATTGAAGAGTTGTAAAGTCTGATGGCTGTGGGTACAAAAGTTCCTCAGAATCTTTCTATCCTGCAGTGAAGAGAGAGGAGCCGTCCACCACCATTGGCCCTTTGGTCCATCAAGGTGTTATGAAGGTGATGATCCATGTTCTTCAGAATAGTCTCCACCTTCCTCAGTGTAGATCTCTCCACCACATCCTCCACTGAGTCCAGCTTTAGTCCAACCACAGAGCCAGCTTTTTTCACCAGTTTGTTCGGACGCCTTGCATCTTTGTGTTTGGTGCTTCCTCCCCAGCAGACTGCAAGCATAGAACAGAATGCTGTAGACACCACAGACTGATAAAACATCTGCAGCATCTCACTGCATATGTTTATTGATCATAGTTTTCTCAGGCAAAAGAGGCAGCTCTGCCCCTTTTTGTAAATGAAGTCTATGTCCAGTATTATCCAGGTGTACACCAAGATATAAGATGACACCATCTCGATGTACACGCCACAGGAGTTCATTGGCTGTGGGGGTTTGGGTCTGCAGAGCTCTATAGCTTCCACTTTTGACCCACGGCATTAAAGCTATTACTTTAACAGATAACATTTGTCTTTATGCTCCACTATCAGCCCTGAGTGTAAATTGTTAGAGGCACCAATTTCAAAATTTAGCTGCACACAGGTTTAGCAAAAACTCTTTTTTCACATTAGAGCTTTAAGTTGATGTGTTTTTTGTAACTGGTGTTTGGCTGTCATTGATGTTAATCACTCAGCGAGGAAGGAAACTCAGTCATCTGACACCCTGATTTCCTCCTTCTGCTAAGTGACTGTGGGGTAAGGCAACAGTAAAGACAGAATTATTCAGTATTGTAAGCAAAATAATTCATCTATCTCAGAATTTAATGTGATTTTTTCAAAACAGAAAGACGGGAGGAGCAGTGATGAGTTTGACTGCAGCAGCAAGTGGATTTATCGTCCTCCTTCTCTTGGTGTCAGGTATTTCATACACAAAACCCTTTGTAACAAATTTTAGGCTTGTGTTTTTTCATCCTGGACCTCTAAATTGTGTTATTTCAATCATTTTGTCAGTGTGAATCATTTTGTAATGGACATTAATACTGATTTGTTAGCTCACAATTTTTTTTAACTTTTTTATGATTGATCTGTAGCGAGTTAAACCACTTAAGATCACACCAAACTAGACCATGTTTTTGACTTTAAAAAAAGAGTTTCTATCTCTTTAATTTCTATGATTACATAACTAGTGTCAACAGGACTGTGACTTTTTGGAGGGAAAAGAGTCCCACCAGATTTGTTTCCATTTGCAGTAAATCGGAGAGTCCAACTTCACTGTTTGTATGGGTGCTAAATAAATTCATATAATCTCAGCACAAAAAAAATAAATAAAATAAATGATTAAAAAGAAGAAGATAAAGAAGAAACACCACTACTGTGACTTTTTTTAAACCATAATATTTGACTTTATTCTTGTATTTCAGTGATCCAGGGTCAGAATGGCCTGGTTGTGACTTACTCCCCTACTCAGATCTGTGCCACTAAAGGATCAACAGTGGAACTAAGCTGCAGCTACTCACATCCAGCATCCACAATTCATACCACAGTCGAGAGAGGGTTCTGGTTCACCAAGCTGAAGGATGGCCAGCCTCTTGATCTGACACTGGACTCGGATTATGACGGTCGTGTGCAGTATCATTGTGGTGAACACAACTGCACTGTGAAAATCAAAAACCTGAGAGAGAGCGACTCAGGTGAGTACAAGTTCATGTGCTTGACAAGTCAAAGAAGAGAGGCTTTTACCAGTGCAGCTGGAGTCAGACTGGATGTGACAGGTATTTTAATTCCTAATCTTTCCCAAATACTTAAAATAGCTACAGATGGACTGGATCTTTCATTTGTATCTGTCTATGTTGATGATCTAGTCTGACTTCATGGTTCTTATTTCTCCCACTTGTCCAGAACTGCAGGTGACAGTAAAGGGATCATCGACTCACGCAGAGCTGAGGTGTCTCAGCAGCTGTTTTGTAACTGATAATTCTTGGTATGTTTGGCTCAGAAATGGAGAACAAATCCATAGAGGCCCTTTTTTTAGAGCCCCTGTTAATGAGAACTACAAATACTCCTGTGCTTTTCAAGAAAACCAGAATCATCGCTCTCCTGCTGTGTGTAAGTTTTCCCATCCTTACCATCTTGAATTAAATGTCACTTACGAAGTTTAGGTTTTTAGGATGTTTTATGCACACATCTAATTGTGCAATTGAGTCCCTGTAGCGAGATAATTGAGGGCAGTTCATGAATCTGATCTGTAGCATTGATAATAATCTAGCAGCTGATTACAGCTGAGTTAGGAGGTCACAGCGTCAGGCTTTTAGCCTGCAAAGAACCACAGCGTTTCCACAGCCTGATCAGCTCTTCTGATTCTGGTGAGAATGTTCAGCTATTATCAAGTTTCAGGACGTCTTAACAGCTTCACAGGACAGCTTGTACTGACAGCGAAAGGCCTCTATTCACGTGTTTACAGTAAAAAATGTACTCAAGATTCGTATACATCTAAATCAGCCAGGTTATGTTATTAAACAAGTTCTTAAAATGGGCAAAAATGTAGAAGACTATGGTTAAAGGTGCAGTGTGTTGAATAAGGATATCTAACGACATCGAACTGGAAGATTCAAGAATGGAACACTCCCTCGCCAACTTATCTTGTCACCAAGGCAACGGCGGCTGTCAAGAACCAAGAAATTTATGCAATAACGATGGCATCATCCACAACAGACGCAAGTAATTGAACAGTTTGAAGGGATAAAGTAGTAATGTTTTTAGTTATTTAATCTAAATAAATACAGTTCATAGTTCAGTTTTAAGATATCAATTATGAGTTTTTACAAAATTAAAGTGGTAGTACAGTCATAACACAAGGAGGTTAAAGTCATGATGTGAGAGTTAAGTATTGATTAAGTCAAGTACCAGTAATCTGATTAGACTGAGCAAAATGCTGAGATGTGTGGTATCCCCCTTTAAAACAACATCATGTGGATAATCGGTGGAGACTTTGAGTATTGTAGTTAAACGACAATGAGCTGTAAGATAAATAATGAGATTTTGGCACTTCGTTCTCCAACCTACCCAATGAATAATAAAACACATTTGGTTCTTGCTAGTTTGTCCATTTTGAGCTACTGTAGTAAACGGTGCCACTTGGCCGCCTCCAGAGCGAGGACCTGCTGCTTCTCTAACCTAAAAGATTTTCCCAAGTTGTTAGAAATAAAATGATTTGGATGTTTCATTCCATATAAGCTAATTTAAACACACTTCTGCATAATGAATTTAATTTCTTTGAAAAAATGTCACATATTCTACACAATGTACCTTTACAAAACAAAAAATGAACCAAAATCATCAAGTGTTTCAGAGAAAGCACAAAAGACCTTGCAGGGTTAGGGTTAGCCCTTGCTTGGAGGCTGTTGTCCTTGTCGCACTTTCAAACCCAGCATGATGTGATTTGTGTCAATGTCCGTCTCTCTTTTGACTTTTTCTGTCTCTCTCAAAGCTTTTCTTTCTATAAAAGAAAAAAAAAAAACTATTTAAATGTATTAATGCCCATCTAGCACTGAAATGCTCATTTTCTCTTGCAGATTATCCACAGGAATCTGCTGTGTCAGTGAGTCCTTCAGGTGAAATCATAGAGAATCAACCTGTGATGCTCACCTGTAGCAGTGATGCTAAACCTGCAGCAAAATACAGGTGGTACAAGAATAATGGGCTCACAAGTCAGCCTTACGTGTCAATGGCACAGGCCAACTTCAGCTCCATCAAGGCCTCAGACTCTGGAGAGTACTTCTGCATAGCTGAGAACCAGCTGGGGAGAAGGGCGTCTGGATCTGTCTTTATCAAAGTCAAATGTGGGTAAATCTGCTCAGTTATTTTACGAGTCAGACAGAAAAAAGCTCATAATCCTTATATCTTTTCTGACAAACTTCCTTTTGTGTTGCTTACCTGTCATTGGGACAAGATAGCAAGTAAATTTGCTGCATTTTCCCTGAAACAATACCTCACATTTACTTTTTTTTTTTTTTTTTTAATTGCATTTTTATCTGTAAGTGCAGTTTGGAGAACATTTCTCTTATTTGAAAGACTTTCCACCATTTTCTCAACTTGAGAAACTCTAAAAGGGGAACTTTGGTATTTTTCACCCTGAGCTTTATTTTCCTATGTGTTTGTGTGTATTTCACTGATGTGGGGAACAGTTTCTGAAATTGGTCCAGTATTGAGGGAGAGTGGAGCAGCTGGCAGCCGCAAAACGAGTTATAATGCAGTTTGACTGGACAATAACCGGGTCCTCTACAAGTGCTTTATTTCACCTCTGACTGACAGGTTCAGAATGTGAATTTAAATAGCTGAAGTGCGGATAGTTTACAGCTCTGTCAGTACAATAATAAAACACATTTTTTCCTTTCAGATGCTCCCCAAGAGACCTCAGTGTCAGTTAGTCCCTCTGCTTGGATAGTAGAGGGCAATCCAGTGAATCTCATGTGCAGCAGTCATGCTAATCCTGCCCCTGAATACAGCTGGTACAAGATGACAGGAAGCAGGAGAAGCAAACCCTTCAGCAAAAGCTCTCAACCTTACTTCAGGTCCATCAAGTCCTTTGACTCAGGAAAGTATTACTGTACAGCCAAGAACCAGCTGGGGAAGAAGACATCAGACCACATCTTTATCGATGTGAAATGTAAGTGAAACAAGTCCTTCAAAAGCAGCATTAAGATGAATCTGTCAGCATTTTTGAAGCTTCCTCTGCTGATCATGAGTACTTTTTTTACACCTGTGTGTCCAGGGCTTTCAGTTCTTTAAAGACTTGCGCTTGATCATTTTTAAGCCCATCATGAACTACTTCTGTGAAGCACTATATTTCCACTGACAAGTGTTACTTGATAGCCCCTGGTTGATGGAGCTGATGAAGAAGAGGTCAGTTCTTGAGCTTCCTTCACTGGAAAGCAGCATTCTTAAAGGTATATGATATGATAGGAGTGACTTATCACTGAAGGTGGGTATTTCATACAGAATCACAATACAATATGTATCATGATATGATACAATACATATCCCAACACAAAGGCCAGCATACAAAACATATCATGATATGATACATATCCCAATACATTACATGTCCTGATACAGAAGCTATCATATAGCCATAGCCATCATATACCTATCATATTATGTGATATGGTGCATACCATGATACAATACATATCCTAATATAGAGGCCAGCACACAAAACATATCACGATATTGCACACAAAAAAATTGTACTGAGTAAAAGCAAAGGCTGGTTTTAAGCACCCTTCATTTGTTGTGTTGCAGCTGATTTTTATACTAAGTGCTTTTAGTTTTGCACAGTGTAATGTCTTTTGGGGTCTACTGCCACCTGATGGCTTTATTTTGCATTATGCCATAGGCAACATGGTCTCTCAAAACTGTCATTACATTATTTGTGGCAGGACCAGTTTTATGACCTGTGCACTGATGTGCATTGATAGGGGGCACATGTCGATGTATTGCCATATTGATTCTTTGAGCTCACTCCACTGATCACGACTCAAGGCCATGGGACTCTAAATGATGAATGAGAACTAGACTGAAAATAAAATTCTTTTTCTGACCAGACATTAAGACCAGAATGTCACAGGCTTGACAGCTATTAGGACTGTACTGTATATCTAATATTTTATAAGATTGACAGCCTTTGTAATGACTGTTGTGTTAAAAAATACATATTTTTCCTTTACAGATGCCCCAAGGCTTCCCTATGTGTCAGTGAGTCCCTCTACTGAGGTAGTGGAGGGCAGATCGGTGACTCTCACCTGCAGCAGCGATGCTAACCCTGCAGCTAACTATACCTGGTTTAAGGACGATGAAAACGTTCCACAAGCTTCAGGACAGACCTTCACCATCACTGACTTTAGTGCCAACAAAAGTGGGAATTACTACTGTGAAGCACTGAACACAATAGGGCATCATAGTTCCTTCTTACATCTGACCGTTGTTTCAGGTGAGCAACCAATCCTTTGATCATTATTGATAGAGTGCCAGTTCACAACAAGTGTTATCCAGAGCATAAGCCTAGACCATACTCTATTTACCAAGACCGATGTAAAGATGGGACCAGACTGAGTCCCATCACATAAGATCAGACCCACTCCCATCCCAGATGAGTAAAACATTTTGCAGCATTTAAAAAGTTACAGAGGAGAGGAAAAACTTCCTTTAACAGGCAGAAACTTAAAGCAGAACCAGACTTGCGTTAGATTGCATCTGGTTTAGAGGAGGTATAGAGGGAGATGCGGATTGAAAGAGAATCTATGAGCTGACATTCCCATCCCATCATTATCATTGATTATGTTTCAATCCTCAGTAAGAATGTTGAAGGAAAACCTAATTTTCCAAGGTACAGAAAATGATAGAGCTGCACAAACATGTTTTCTCTGCAAAGAAATATCATTTTAGGTGTGTCAAATGTCCATCTTTAATTCTAGGGGACTCAATATTAAGAATAAATGTCATCAGGTTGACTCTGTTGCCCTTGGTGCTGATCCCTCTGCTCCTCCTGATTCTGTGGTCCAGGTAAAACCATGAAAAATCATCTGTCACCTCTCCTTTATCTTCTTCACCACATGCCTGAGTTTCAATTTTTGACTTTTCTAATGTTGAAAGTTATTTGTTGTTTTTTTTTAGGAAGAAAAAGACTCTGAGCTCCACTAGTGAGCCCGTTAAACCTGCAGAGATGATAGAGGTGAGACTCAGGGAGACGTCTGATGAAGTACTCTGGAAGTGGTTAAGAAATGGAGGGAGTTTAAGATCGAAATAAACCTTTGGGGGATTTTTAAGTAAATCTAAAACAAGATAAAACTTTTCACTAAACAAAAATCTCATCACTTGTCATCAGTTAAACCCCAGTCCTAAGAGTGAGGACATCTCAGCTGTCCCTTCAGCACAGGCAGAGGACACAGAGGAGCAGGAAGACATTGTGTGAGGTCCAGTCCAGGCTAGATCCTCCTAAACTGAAGAAAAACAGATGACCTCTTTACAAGGCTGGGACTCACTGAGGAGAATAAGGCTGCAGATGATCTTTCACTGCTAAATATGATATGAAGGATTAAATCTTACAATTAACTATATATTTAATTATATTTGTAAGTTGATAATTATCTTGTTTTTCCTCATTTGGACTGCCTGGGTTGTTGTACTTTCAGATTTTCTATGAGTGTTGCACAATATTGTTAATTTTAGTAAATCTCTCTTGTTTCATATTTCTCATTTTCCACCAACATGTCAGCCCCCAGACTTCAGTCTGTTGTCATCTATTATCTCATCCATATATACTCTGCTGTTATTAGTATTGTAACCTTAATTCACTCGCATTATGTGCTGTTAAATATGCAAATAAATACTCCATCTACGATCAGTTTCAGGTGATTTAACTGAACAACCATCCTTGACCCTGTTTACGAGCACCAGACAAAAATTGATTTATTGACAGAAGCATCTACAGCAAGTGGCGAAATGTCAGGTGGGCTGTCACCTGGTTGACCTGTTACTACCAAAAATAATCAACAAAATGCATTAGCAGGTGACCAGTGGGTAAACGAACAATGAAAACACTGTCACTTTTCACAGCTGATTTGTCTTTTTCTACATTTATGCTGTTTGACTTGTGAGACAAAGCTCGATGTGCATGAGCAGAACACTTTTAGTCCAATAAGTTCATAAACATGAAAGAGGAAATCAAACCTTGGCTGCATTTTCTAGGTATGTGTGATTTCAGTTGAGTTAGTGATTCATTCACCAATGAAAGTGATAATTTTTTCATTTGCTCCTAGTCTGACCTCTAGTGACAACTCAAACACTTGTGTCCAAATATTAATGAGTTCCCTCTGTTCATCTGACTTTTTATACAGAGCTCGTTCACTGACGTCATCAGGGGGAGGACATCCTGTCTCATATTACCCTGATATTTATTTTCTGCTTAATGACTGAAGAGTGAGGTGACAACAAGAAGTGTCTCTTTTGGCATTTTATGCTTAAAAATAACTGATAGAGTCCAATGTTGTATTTATGATTTTATCTGACCACTTATCACTGAGGAAGGTGATGAGTTCAACCACAGCAGTGAGAGGATGCCTCAACTTCCTTCTCGCTGTGTCAGGTATCTACCGTTGATCTTTTAGCACATGAAGTAGAAACTTGATCAATCTGATGTGAGTTTAACTCTTGTTTAACTTTACAGATGTTACAGTTTGCCTTTTTGTTTATGGGTAACACGTGTGTTTCTCAATGTGATTTGTGTTACAGTGACACACGGCCAGAATTACTGGATGATTACTCACTCTCCTACTCTGATCTGTGCTTTAACATACTGCATCTTCACATACCAAACAAGCAGCAATAAGGAAGTAAACAAAACATTCAGGTACACTTAAAGAAACTGGGATGAATTCACAGACCTGAGAGAGAGCGACACAACAGAGTACAAGCTTAGATTAATAATAAATGGTAGCAGTCAATCTAGAGTCTGTATGTACGTCACAGGTAAAGTTTTACAGCATTGATACACACTTCATAACCATGATCAGATCTTAATGTGAAGGTGAGCGAAAACACAAGGGGCTCTATTTTGGTGCCTCGCCGGAGACGTGCCGCAAGCGCAGAGTCAATCAGATCCACCGCGCTGACAAGGCGTTCCCAAGCACATTTTGGTATTTTGGTGAGCCGCGCAGCCCGGCGTAAGTATCCCCCCTCCCTAACTCAGCTCCTCCCGGCAGCATAAATCATAGAAGGGGAGGAGAGAGGGCGTATAGGGGTTTAACACAGCCGAGACCTGTTTTCACCAATCACATAAGCTCCTCTCCTTGCCTTTAAATCCGCCACCGGCGAGGCGATTTACTATTTTCATGAAGTAGTCAAAGAGATCAAGAGATGTCTGAAGACAGTAATGCCACAAGATGGCGACAGAGGGCAGCTGCTCAACAAGTGTCCTCCACACTCTCTCATCTGAGCACAGATAGATTTGGTGTGCGTAATGTTGGACCCACTGGTAAGACAAACACCCTTTTCCACAAATAAAGACACTCACATAAAGTTGCATATATTCAAACCTCACGTGACAAAGGTGGGTTTAGCGCACAGATCACAACATAAACTCCAAAAATGGCATTAAAATTGGAACCATCTGTGCGTGAATGACGCATCGCGCTCCGTGGCCTGGCTCTTTCTTTCATAGATGTTGGCATATAAAATAAATTTGGCCCACAAAACTGAATATTATAATATCCGTATGTCGGCTTAAAGTAGATAACGCATCTGAGCACTGAAACAAATCATCTGTTCAGCCGCAGCAGCTGCAGCAAGACGGACAGAGGACACGGAGACGTGTCCAGGTCGAGCTGTGCGAGAAATAAGAGGAAGAAAGAAAAGGAGGGAGACACATTATATATCTTGTTAACTTCATCATGTGTGTTTATTTACTAGATATTTAATTTGATTTGATGCAGTTTCAGCTGTATTGATTCGGTCAGGTTGTGTGCCCAAACGCGTGCCAAACGCGCTCATCAGATCAGATATAGATCAGAATATATCGATATAGATCTAAATGTATGTGCTGACTCAGATTAATAGTTGATGATGATTATTTATTGCACTGAAATGTGCCTGACACTGTGGAAACCTGCCGGTGAGGCATCAGTGACGTATGTCGATACGCCGCCGGTCTACCAAAATACTACTAGACCAGCTGCGTTCCGCCTTGCGCTGAAAGCTGACCAGGTTTGAATCGGCGAGCTTTCAGCGCACGTTACACGCCGGTGGCGAGCACGAAAATGTCACTGCGCCAGCTGATTCTGTCAACACCTCCCCCTGCCACGCCACCACGCCCAGCTTGGCGGATCTCGGCTCGCCTCTGTGCGAATCAGTCCAGGAAAATACCAAACTCGCCTTACGCCGGGCTCCACCAGACGAAAATACAACTGCGCGGGGCTCGCCGCCCTCCGCCGCCTCACCGGCGCGAACGAAAATAGAGCCCAAGGAGGTTTGACCCTGGAATGTCACAGTATAGTTGACCTGAAGGTACTTCATATGTCTGGTTCAAAGGCGGACAAAAATTTGACCATGAAAAATCATCAAGTTATGACCCTGACCAGGTTCTTCATGCAGACAGATTTTCCAGTGCTGTAAAAGGATGTTAGGAGTTAAATTCTTTCCTGTTTCCTCCTCCAGATGCCCCAAAGTTTCCCTTTGTGTCAGTGAGTCTGTTTACTGAGAAGTGGAGGGCAGTTCAGTGACTCTGACCTGCAGCAGTTATGCTAACCCTGCAGCTAGAACCACCAGGCACAAGGAAAACAACACCACATTTCATGCAGCAGGAAGGATTTATAATTTCTCTCCATTAGCTGAGTAGAAAACATTAGAAAGTCTGCTGTCCTGGCGATGCAGCTCCAAAGGACTGGAACACTTGCTGAAAATCACCACATAATGGGTATAAATATGATTCATCAATGACTCACTCATTGGGTTTAGGTCCTGATTCAGCTTCTGAAATATCAAATATTTCACTTTACTCTAGAGGAGATGTTAAAGTTTCACATTCGGACTCCAGAATCCAGATCCACAGATCAGTCCTCTCCACGTCTATGTAGGCTGTATGCTCAGGCTTTGGCTCAAGTTGTCAGTGATCCATCTTCCCAGCAGGGTTTGGATCCCCACAGGTAAACTAGATGCTCCTGTTGATAGGAATTCAGGAAAGAACCAGCTCTTTCAGTTCCTGAACCATTTAACTCACAAGAACCATGACGGACACGTACTTCCTATAACAGCGAGGATCTTCTCACCAGTATTTGAATCATCATTTCTGTTAACCGCTCACAGAGGAAGGACATCTCACTGTTTGATGCCCTGATAGCGCTTATCTACTCATGAACTGCAAAGGAGAGGCACCTTTAAATTGGAGATCATTAATCAGTGTAAGCTGCCATTTTATTGATAAGTCTGATCGATTTTAAAGTTTCATGTTCTCAGTGTTTTGTCTGCTGGTTTGTTGTATTGTCTTTCAGGCCACAGAGAAAGAGGAGAGGAGCTGAGATGAGTTTAACTACAGCAGTAACTGGATTTATTGTCCTTCTTCTCTCAGTGTCAGGTACCTTCATAATATTTCCAGTTCAACTTGTCATGTTTAATAGGGAAAACTTAAGTAAATTAAGAGACTGATTAACATAGAATCACAGATTCAACCGTTTTGATCAGTTATGATGGGTGTGTGCTCTTGTGATGGACAGCTCCCTAACCGTACAGTTACAATGTAGAAACTGTCAAGTTTGTCAAGTATGTCAAGTTGTGTTTTTCCATCCTTTTTGGCATCATTCTTTTTTTCAAAAAAATATATGTTTTTATATTCAGATTTTTTAAAGCTTAGTTTTGCATCAGTTAGAGAAAAACCTGAACTTTTGAGGGAGAAATTGAGTTTTCTTTACAAAGATATCTGACCTTTTTTTTTATTTTTTGAGTGAGTTGCTTTCCAGTCAAGACTCTCTCCGATTTTTATCTGTCGTCTTACATCTGCGTCAAACCCTGCAGATGTAAGGTTTGACATTTCCATGTTATATTGAAGCTCTTATCTCATCTTTGAGTAGTAGCAGCTGCTCAGTTTTTCACACCTCAGAGCTCTGCATTTATTTTTAACTTTAACACTCCATCAGCAGCAAAGTCGGCACAGAGGAGACTGTGCGGATGCTGCACTAGCTTGGCGCCCTCCTGTGGACAGTAGCAGTCTTTGCCTCTCTCAAAGATATTCTGTCAATCTGTGGGTGGTGCTATGATGTACTTTGGGCAATAGTACAGCATCCCTGACACTGTTAACAAGTGAGGAACTTCCACAGATAACAGGGAGATCATGCAGACAATGTTATCACAGCATGAATTATAAAGAAATGTGAGAGACCTTTCAATTTTCTTTTTTAAATGGCAAAAATACACTTACCTTTATAGGCTAAAGTGATGAAAATAATCAATATTTAAATACAGATTCAAAAACGAATGGAACAAATTAGAATAAAATGAGGTTTTATTAATGAAAACTGAATAGTTATACTGTTTTGGTAAATCCATTAAATATATATTCATTTTGGAAGCTTGAGAGTTAACCAAATGTGGTCAAAATACTGGCGATGGATGTCAACTTTTACATAAAATGCTAGTGGGGGAAGAGTTAGGTAGCATCTTCTGAAACGTTTCTCAACTTGCAAACTTTTGACAACCAAATGTATCATTTTGTTCATTTAAAAAAAAGTCTGTGTACTATCAGCTTTGCATGAAATATTCATGATAAATGACACATTTCATTGTCAAAAGTGAGCAGGAAGCCAAAATTGACATAATGAAAGTTCCTCACACAAACTTTAAGTCTGACACTTTTTCTCATTTTTTTGTGTTAATGTGGATTGTGTTTTCTGTTCTGTATTACAGTGGTTCAGGGTCAAGGAAGCTGGAGAATGAGTTACTACCCAGATGAGATCTGTGCTCCTACAGGATCAACTGTGGAAATACACTGCAGCTTCACTAAGTCAGCCGCAATACATACGAGTGATAACCTTATTGAAAAAGTATGGTTGGGCCAAAAAGACGGCCATGAAAACCATGCTGTTGAGACAGACTCACAGTATGCAGGTCATGTGAAGAACATCTGTGTCCGGGACACATGCACTCTGAGAATCAGAGACCTGAGAGAGAGCCACTCAGCTAAGTACCACGTCATGCTCATAACAAGCCATTACAAACAAGTTGGTCTTCAAGGAGTCCCCCTGTTTGTCACAGGTAAATTTTCCGCTTAAGAATCTACAAGGTCACCTTTTTTGAAAATCTCTAAATAATTGTGTTATTATGATCACTTATGAACACATGTTCAGCTCTGCAGGTAGAGGTGCGCAGATCACATGACACGTTATTACTGGATTGTATCAGCAGTTGCCCCGATGATACTGTCTTCACATGGTTCAAGAATGGCAGGAGAGTTGAAGATAGTAAATTCTCATTTCATCCTGGCAAAATTCTTCAGACAGACAGATTTTCCTGTGCTCTGCGAGGGTATGAGGAGTTCACCTCGCCTTCAGTGTGTAAGTTTACTGACAGGATTGATCTGTACATGCATTTCTTTTGTTCCTTTAGCTAAAATATTCCGTGTGTTTTATAACTATCAGTAAATTGAATTTTGCTACTGCTACTGCTACTACTCAAAAATGAGATAAGAGCTATTCAATTTCCCTTCAGGGATTAATAAAGTTCTTCTACTTCTTCTTCTTCTTTAACAAAACTTGCTTCCTGATCCATCAGTCTAAAAAGATGTTAAGTTCTGAGAAGTTTGACACTTATAAGTAGAAATGGGGATTAGTAACCAGGCCATCAGGAGTCTGAAGGACAAAAAAGGGAAAGACTCGATTGTGGTATCTTTTATATATTTAAGGAAGATTTATTGTTACTGGATGTTGGTTTGTTCTTGTCCTCTCCTCCAGATGCTCCACAGCCTCCCTCTGTGTCAGTGAGTCCCTCTGCTGAGATAGTGGAGGGTAATTCAGTAAATCTGACCTGCAGCAGTGATGCTAACCCTGCAGCTACTTATACATGGTACAACATAAACAGTGGTGAGCACCTCAGTGTGGGACCAAGGCTTGTCTTCAGCTCAATTCAATCCTCTGACTCTGGAGCATACAGATGTCACACCAGTAACCACCTTGGGAGGCAGCGTAAAGATGTCTTTATTGATGTAAAATGTTAGTCAAACGTCAAAGCTTAAAAGCATTTTGATCTTAAAGGCTTTTGATTTTTTCTTCATGTGTTTTTTGTGTGTTTGTTGAACTCATTTATTTGTTCATCCACATACAGATGCTCCCCAGCCTCCCTCTGTGTCAGTGAGTCCGTCTGAGATAGTGGAGGGTAATCATGTGACTCTGACCTGCAGCAGTGATGCTAACCCAGCAGCTACTTACACCTGGTACAAGGAGAATGAAGACATGTTTCATGTTGCAGGAAGTGTTTATAACCTCCACTCTATCAGCCATCTAGACAGGGGATACTACGTCTGCAAGTCTGAGAATCAATATGGATCAATCATGTCGACTCCTCGACTTCTTGATGTCCAGTGTGAGTAAAAACATAAGAAAATCTGATGTCATGGTAACGCAGGATTAAAAACTCCTGTTTAAAATTTCTTGATGAAAAACTTGAGTTTCGTGTTGACAAAGTCTATCCGTAGTTCAAAAGATTATGGTAGTTGCATAAGACTTTCTCACATTATCTATAACCTTAAAGGTATATTTCACTATTTTTCAAGTGAGGTTGTATGAGTTATATGTCATTACTGCAGTCAGTGTTTTAGCCACATTGTGTACTGGCCAGCTCAGCCTCTTTCCTGAGAACCTGTGGATATAAACAGGACACTACTGTTTCTGCAGATGGGGCCAACTCTGATGCATAATTTTGCTCATTTTGAGCGACTCTGATCCAAGCCCTCATCTTTGTCTGTTTTTTTAACACTTTGAAGTACAATCAGAAAGCCTGTTTTTGCACCATCTGCAGGTGCATCACACAGACATGCTCCTCTGCATCCAGTAATAAGTAAGCTCAGCGAATTGGATCTTTGATGCAAGTCACTGGTATATTGAGAATTTTGGTCTCAGTTTTGCATGATGTTCAACACAAAATGCTTCAGAGCACCTGGCGGATACAGTGATGTGTGTAGTTTGTTATTTCAGCACAGTCTCCCTCTTTAGGAGCTAATGTGGTGCATTTTGATCAGATAAACATATCCTGTGAGCAGTGGGTTGAGTCGTAGTGTCTGAGGACTAAGTCTGTGTGTTGTGTCCAAATTGTGCAAATACAAATGGGCTTTCTGACAATAAATGCCTAACAAATATCTGGGAAGAGCTTATGCATTCGTTATGTTGTTACAAGTGACAGAGGTTTCTCTAAATCTCCTCCAGATGCTCCAAAGCTTCTCTCTGTGTCAGTGAGTCCCTCTGCTGAGATAGTGGAGGGTAATAATGTGACCCTGACCTGCAGCAGTGATGCTAACCCTGCAGCTACTTACACCTGGTACAAAGAGAATGAGAACTCAGCGAAAGCTTCAGGACAGACCTTCACCATCACTGAGTTCAGGGCTGAACACAGTGGGAGTTATTACTGTGAAGCCCGGAACAGAAGAGGACGCCAAAAATCCGCCTTACATCAGGTTGTTGTTGCAGGTGGGATTTATTATTTACTTATTTTTACCAATGCAAATTTAGTAGCATAACTGTAAGTCAAGCACAGCCCACAGTGCATTAAAGCCAGCTCATATCAGCTGAAAGCTCAGCTGGTCACCCCATGTGTCTTTGCTGCTGCTCTCCCTGCCTCGGCTTTGTGTGTGCAAAAGACTTGAGATTACCCAAAGAGCCACACAGACAAATAAAGCTTATCAAATGAAATTAACTGCCCCTGTTTGACAGGAGTGGTCTTGACTGAGTGCGTCTCATGTCCCTCTTCAATTCTAGGGGACTCAACAGTAAACATGAACATCATCAGGCTGACTGTGTCCCTCTTGGTGTTGATTCTTTTGCTCCTCCTGATTCTGTGGACCAGGTATGACCATAAAAATAATTAGGCCAATTATGTCTCATCCACCAACCTTATCACTTTTATTTAAATGGTGTTTCCGTTTTGTCAAAATGTGAATTTGTTGATTTTCGACTTAATCAAGGAGAAAGACAAGTCTGTGCATCACCTGTAAACCAAATGAGATAAGTGAGGTAAGAAATTTGAATTTTCATGGTCTTAAATTATGCCAAAAATATACTACTGAAATAAACTGAAAATTAAAACCACACAATTAGACAGATTGAGGTACGGCAAGACAAGAGTGGAGCAACTCAGTACTTCATGTCAACTCAACCTATATGCATAATGTCTCATAAAACGATTGGGTTTCCTGCTTTTATTTTGGTACTTTTCTATCTTGCTTTTCGGTTGATCTATACCTTGCTTTGTGCAACTATGCTTTTATTTTGAAATGAGCTCCCTCTAAAAAAAGGTAAGATACAGACAGAGAGAGAGAGAGAGAGAGAGGATAGTTCATGATTTAAAGTAAAAGCAACAAGCAGAGACCGATCATGTTTTGTTCAGTGCAAAACATCAGCATTGTGATAAAACTCATCGTCTGTCTTCAGCAGGACTTTCGTCATGAGTATGAGAATGACTCAGCCATCACTGTGGCACAGACTGGAGACATAGGGGAGCAAGAAGACACGGTGTGAAGTCCAGTTAGGTGAGAGTCTTCTGCACTGAAGTCAAATGACTGATTTGGTTTGCATTGTGACAGTTTTGACTTTTCTTGTTTTTTAAATGCAGGGTAACTTGTGGCAGGACCCAGCGTGGAGTTCCAGGGTAAAGCTGTGGATGATGTGGAAACATCATCATCATCATCTTCAGCCTCAAAAATGTCTTTCAGCTTCACAAACAGCAGCACAAAGAGATTATAAGGGTTGGAAGAAGAAGAAAGCTGATCACAGTGTTGAGACTAAATTGCAAGATTTGAACCGTGCAAGTTTCTCCTTCCTTCAAGGTTGGATGATACCTTTGATAAGCTGACACATTATCAGTGGCTTATTAGCAGTTACTCAATATAGAGCACATGTAAGGGCCATGATATGTGTCCTTTACAACTATTATGCTGTTTTCTCTCCCAAACATCCTAATTTCTGCCTGTTAGCAGCAAGTATGAACAGTTGTCTTACATTTATTTTTATTCTGTTGTGGTGTCTCCCTAAATTTGGTCATATTTCACTTCATGAATGCTTAAAAAATCCCCGACCTACTCCCTGTTTCTAGCCAGTCTTTGAGCCACTTTAGTTTAATTGAAACAGAGACATTTAATTTATAATTAAATCAAATTAATATTTTCACACTTTGATTCCTAGAAACTCAGAAGATGGTTAGTATGCAACTCAATTTTGCTGCAGGATTTGTAAATATTACTTCTTACTGTAGTTCACTGATTTTCCTTCTTTTTTTTTTTTTTTTTTTTTAAATACAAGACAGTTTTTACTGGAGAGGACATTCATTATTTTAATGCAGAAATGAATCCTCTCTTATACTTGACTATCTGCCAGATTTTTGTCCCGTTCATGTAAACCAGCTCATGGCTCACAGGTCCAGTGCTCTCCTGCAGACATCCTGACTCTGTGCTCATAGAGATAAACTGAGGGGCCATGTGTACATATTTTTATTCTTTCTCTATTAAGCCTTTGCTATCTGTACCAAAATTTCTGAGAATTCTATGTGGTCCTCAGGATTTAAAATAAACTCTTCTAAAACTCTAGAAATAAATATTTCTATATGTACAGGACACCTGTAAATACTGACGATGGGTATGGGTTTTTTTTATTTCAGTTTGAATTGGGCGATTTTCTTTATGATTTCAAAGACTTTACATAAGCTGTGCTTAAGCTGTCACTTTTTCAATACATGTTTCATACAAAATATTTTTCACCACTTTTGCTGGCATGACAGTAAATCAAGCTTAATCCTCCACAATCTGTCATGCACTATCATTGCCAGATAATACGTGCACCCAAGCCATCTATGACACATGAGTAGATAAAAATTTTCAAAAAAAAAGGCAATTTTTTGTCAAGGAAGTTCATATCAGCCATAATCATGAGCTTTAGTGACTCGCAGAGGAAGGAAATCTCATCTGTTTTCAAAACCCTGGTACCAGTCTTTATCTTGAACCTCTACTCCATCCACAGTACCACTGATTGTCTTCTCCTCAAGCATTTGGATGGCCTCAGCATCTTGTGTGGACCTGGTAATGAGCCACTCCGATACGGTTAGGTATCCATTTGCCACAGTCTCTCAACATGGCTGAAAAACTCAGCTTCTGGTGTGGAACAGGAAGTGAAAAGACACTGCTGTGGTGTTAGCCATTGATGCAGGAATCTTGATGGACCTTGTAGTGTCCATCCAAGTCTGGTGTGCACAGCGGCAGATCCACCAGGGGGACCAAGGTGTACCGGCTCCACTGGGGTGATAAGATGTGGATTATCTGACCCAATGAGCAGCAGTGGCTGGGCCTCCCTTATGTCTGGAAGTGGCAGGTCCTTAAGATGACGGTACCTCTCCTGTAGAGCTTTCACTGGATAAGTATGGTGAGCGAGGCAGATTTCCTTTGCAGTGAAGGCTATGTGGATTTGGAAGGACTTGCCAGGCTGTGATGCAGGAGCTACAGAGAATGAAACATTGGCGCCATGGATAGTGCAGACCTCTTGCCGGACAGTACAGAGTGCTAGGTCCTCAGGTTCCCCTTGGAGCCCCAAGCGTTAAGCTGCCTCATGTAAGAGGATGGTACGCTCTGAACCATCGTCCAATGTAGTGTAGGTCTCAATCACCTTGGTACCACTCTTGAGGATGACACGACTCAACCTAAGTGAAATCTGGCTGCTGTTGGTTGGTCAATCTACCAAAAGTGTCTCTAAGACAGAACTTATCAAGCAGATGCTTTCTTCAGTTGAGTCGGGCTTAGCAGATGCTGATGCAGTTTGGCTGGTGTTGACTTCGTTGACCTCAAGGAACCTCGTCCTCGCGCAGTCTTGACTGTGACATGGTATACTGTGGGGCTAGAACAGGAGAGCTAGAGATGACTTCTGTAAGACGTTGCACATCGCGTCGCAGTTGGTCATGTTCCACTCTCATGTTATTAATATACTGAAGAACCTCAGGAGAAATAGTCTGTCTGTCTGGCCTACTCATCATATGGGAGGTGGTACTTAGCAGGGTAACCTCCCATAAGTCCTGGGGATATGGTGGCAGTTGGCTGCATCGGCATGGGCGTTCAGACTCACTGTGTAGGTTACTCCTTTCCATGCTGAACATATATGGCTTAAGTAGTTGCTCTGATCTGGCTCGAAGGACCAAAAATTGTATGACAGGCTGACTAATTGGGACCTTAGGCGGCAGCGATCACTTCAGGGTGTCGGGTCAGGACACTTACATTGATCAGGTATGTGCAGAATGAAAACAGAGTCCAGTAATAAAGTTTCAACTCTTTATGAACTCTGTTTGAATGTGAATGTGGTTTCTGCAATACAAACACAACGATACAGGTTGATTAGAAATAAAGTACAACTTAACATAAACATACTGAGCTAGATATGTATCCCTAATCAGATAATGAATGATACAGCTCCAGATGATTAACCAACTTAGAGTCAGCATTAACGTGCAATGAATAAACAACAGAAATTAACAACATAGTAGCTTAATCCCCTGAGGCTATTGCTAACTAGCGGCTAGCTCTGTGTTGCTAACCCGTCGCATCAATTGGCATTAATCGCTCGTCACATCACACAAACCAACAGCAAAAAGTACTGTTAAGTCATCAAAGTAGACTCATGGATCAACACAAACATCAACAAAGTGTATCACAGGGGTAAACATCGTAACTCATGGTTCAATGGATGCACAAACTGCTGATGTATAAATCAGCCGATGCTTACTTTCTGATTTAAAGGATTAAAACACATCCTGTTGAAGTTCAAGTGTAATCCGCTCACACAGATTTGTTTTTTTCTCCCATTCTTTGAGGTTTTTGATTCAACTTTGTTCACCCACAGACTTTTTGACATCCTTCCTCAACTAATGGAGATAACGTGTCGATGTTAAAATAAATCTAAAGATAATAAAACTTAACCATTTCAAGAGGATTACATTGATGAAAAACAGCTTCTTTAAGGTGTGGTCTCTTATTGGTGTTTGAATCAACATTTATGTTATCATTTAAAAAGGAAGGGCTTTTTTGGTCTGTTTTACACTTCAGTTTCCGCCTTCTGCTCATTGATTGCAGAGACAAGATGTCCTTCAAGACAACGCTGTTCATCTTTGTAAGTAGAATAGTTTAATGAAATGTCTGATACTTTTTCAGCTCCTGTGTGCTTTTCATTTCACATTTTTGACTTGTGTTATAATCCCTGAAGTCCCAGAGAAAGGAGAGAGGAGCAGAGATTAGTTTAACTGCAGCAGTGAGTGGATTCATCCTTCTCCTCTCAGTATCAGGTACTTCATATCTACAGCTTTTCCTCTTCACTCTGAGAAACCTGCAGCCTCTTTTTAATTTGATAAGAAACAGACTCTGTTTGCAGAACCTGCATTTTTTTCTCCAAAATTCAGATTGTAATTTGTTGTATTGAAATCACAGTTTTTTAGTGGATACTAGTTTTGTAGTCAGGCTAGTGTCTCAGGGACTTATTTATCACCACACATCTGCAACAACCCTGTGTGTTCCTTTTCATTAGGTGTTTTGTTTCTATGCTGCATTGACAGCACTTATCTTATCATTTAGTATTAGCTGCTGTACAGTTTCTCACACTTCTGCATTCATTTTTAGATGTCACACTTGACTGGGCAGCTAACTTTGCACTTAGAAAACGTTCACAGAACAGCACAATCTGTCGAACAATTTACACTGTTAATGCTGCTGTTGGGTCAGAAAAGTGTTAATGAATATAAACATCTGTAAATTTTCTGCATGGAGAAATCTTCTGTCAGATATTTTGATAAGCTTTTGAAAATCTGAAAGAAAACTGTTTCTAAACTGAGAAAAAAGTTAAACCTGATCAAATATCTTACATGTGATTGTTATATTGAGATGATGTCGGACTGCACCTCACTGATCTGGTTCAGATCAGTGGCCATTGCTCTAAGGCCCTCCTCACACGAGGACGGCCCTGTATTGTCTTGGCATCGGCACCAAAACATGTATCGATGTTTACACATCGTATTGTACATAGGCTTAGTGCGTTCACATGACAATGCAAAATCCATGCAAAATCCTGTAGTACATACGCCCGGCCTAAAGGTGACACTGTGAAATTGCCACAAAGCACCAAAAACAGAGAATGCGCATGCACGTACATACATGCTGTGTGTGTGACAACATGGGTTGGCGGGCGGGAGGAGGAGGGGTGCTGTGAGGTCACTGTCTTTACCGGACTTCTCTATTTATACCAACTACAGCATGAAGACGAATACCCAGATATCCACTTGCAGACCCGTTTCAAAAAAGATGCGGAGTCATGGACAAATACACGTCTCCATGTGTCAATATCACCAGATCGATAGTTTATTTTACCGGTGTCTTACAAATTTGTACTCGTGTAAAGACCACCTAAGACTGCAAGGGAAGCTCAGCTTCCCTTAAAATGTCACCCCCCCAAAAAAAGAAAAAGTGGTGAAATATGTACTGCTGTGTGTTCATTTCATTAACTAAATACGCACTAGAAAGCCTTCATCTTTTGTTCAGACACTGTGATAAGAAGCTGATAATCACAGGTAACCGGCATAACTTCGTCCTCATTCATCCTCGCAGCGCCTCAGCGCTTCAAACAGCCGGACGCTCAGTGTCTGCTGACTTCAATGTGGAAGCTCAAAGTGGGTTGTTCCAGCAGCCAAACTAGACGCTCATTGGATAAATGCTGGGCTTTGTCCCGCCCATCGGACGCTCAGCTTCTCTGGAGTTCTATGACGAGAGGGCGGTCCCGACTTTCTTGCGGACGCTGAGCTTCTGCATCCATGATTGGATGAGCTGTCTGAGGCGAAATCCTTTTTTGATTGACAGCTAAACAAGCGAATCAGCGATCTTGAAGAATAAAACATCTATCAGAGCATTTTCCAAGTTATTCATTCCGTTGTTTTTAACTGCTCTGGAGACTTTACCGATCCTCAGCGACTTTTGTCTTTGTTAAAAACGACTGCCGTTGTGTTTGGCGACTCTGTTCTGTTACATACTAATAAACAAATACAATTATGATGTAGGCCAGAAAAATGAGCTTCCCCTCATTGAAAGACCAGCAGCCGCCACTGGTTCAGATTTATTTATTTCATGTCCAGTCTTGAACTTTTCCTGGTCTGGTTAAATTGACTGTGTTCTCTGATTTTTGTGTTTTAGTGGCTCAGTCTCAGAACGACTGGGAGGTGACTTACTCTACAACTCAGATCTGTGTCTCTAGAGGATCTACTGTGGAAATAAGCTGCAACTTTAAGTACCCAAAAACAATAAACAGGAAGCAGAACAAACTCTTAAAAACATTTTGGTTTATTAGGAAACGTGGTGATGAGTTTCTGAACATTGAAACAGACTCAGAGTATTCAGGTCGTGTGAAGACCACCTGTGATGGGACCAGATCCACCCTGACAATCACAAACCTGACAGGGAGTGACTCAGCAGAATACAAGTTCATGATGGAGACAAGCCTCCATAAATATTCTGGTAACCCAGGTGTCACCCTGACTGTCAGAGGTAAAGTTTTCTCTGAAATGTTTCAACTTTTGTCTTTTTGAAAATCCTGTAAATGATTGTATCATGTGTATGTTTATGTGGAAAGTACTGACAGTTTTATCTGATCAGATGTCCAGATAATGGTGAGCAGACCAGGTGGGCATTTGCAGTTGAGGTGTCTCAGCCGTTGCCGTCAAGATTTTCTATTAATTTGGTTCAAGAATGGAGAGAAAATTAAGAACCTATATGCAAAATATCATCGACCAGACCAGACTCTGACCACAGACAGATTTTCCTGTGCTGTAGAAGGATATGAGGACTTCCCCTCTCCTTCAGTGTGTGAGTTTACCCCTCCCTTTCCTCTGACACAACACTATCTGATGGAGGTTTTAAAATTTGGTGCGTGCCCTGACTCTCTGGTCTGTGGCTAACATTTCCACTTTAAAAAACATCTCATATCTGTGATGCTCAGAGTAAAAACTTGATAGTAAAGAGTTGTTAAAGGACAGAGAGCATAAACCAAGTACATCAGTGACTGAAATGTTAACTGTAAAATGTGTTTCTTCTTCAGATGCTTTCGAGCCTCCCTCTGTGTCAGTGAGTTCCTCTGCTGAGATAATGGAGGGAAAAAATGTGACTCTGACCTGCAGCAGTGACGCTAATGTAGAATCCAGTTATACCTGGTATAAAAGAAATGAACCTCGATATCCTCTGCGTCTCAGGAGAGGACCTCAGCTTGTCTTCAGCTCCATCAAGTCCTCAGACTTTGGACAGTATTACTGTGAAGTGAGGAACATCTTTGGGACACAGATATTGGGGAACATCTTGGCTGGTTTGACATGTGTGTGAAACATCACAGTTCAAACACATTAGAAAGACAATAAACTACACAACAATACCTCAAAACAGTTTTATCCTGTATTTGAACAAAAAGCACTAAGACAAAATTTCTTCTTCTATATGTTTATTTGCATGTTTAATTCACTAACTTTGATTAAATCCATTTCCAGATGATCCAGAGCTTCCCTCTGTGTCAGTGAGTCCCTCTGCTGAGATAGTGGAGGGTAAACATGTGACTCTGACCTGCAGCAGTGATGCTAAGCCAGATGCTAACCATACCTGGTACAGAAGAAATGGTGATCTAAGTCCTCAGAGTCTCAGAAAAGGAAATCAGCTTGTCTTCAGCTCCATCCAGGTGTCAGACTCTGGACAGTATTACTGTAAAGTGAGGGGGATCACTGAGTCCTCTAGGGATGTCTTAGTCTATGTGAAATGTGAGTAAAAAGTCACATTTAATGGGCAACAGAAGGATGAAAACCATACACAACCATATCCCAGAAATGATTTTTATTCTGTGTTTGTTTCTTTGTCATTTCTGTTTTTATCCGTCTTCAGATGCTCCAAAGTTCTCTTATGTGTCTGTGAGTCCCTCTTCTGAGATAGTGGAGGGCAGTTCAGTGACTCTGACCTGTATCAGTTATGCCAACCCAGCACCACGTTCCACCTGGTACAAGGAGAACAACACCACGTTTCAGTCAACAGGAGGAATTTATACTTTTCTCAACATCAGCCATCTGGACAGAGGGAGATACAACTGCAGATCTGAGAATCAATATGGATCACATGTATCTCCCCCTCTCTCACTAGATATCCAGTGTGAGTAGAAGACATTACAAAGTTAGATCACCTGGTACAAAACTCTTCTTAATGGCTTAAGTCTCCATGTAAAGTTTTCTTTCGATCTCCTCCAGATGTTCCAAAACGTCCCTCTGTGTCAGTGAGTCCCTCTGCTGAGATAGTGGAGGGTAGTTCAGTAAATCTGACCTGCAGCAGTGATGCTAACCCTGCAGCTACTTATACCTGGTACAAAGAGAGTGAAGACTCAGCAAACGCTTCAGGACAGACCTTCACCATCACTGAGTTCAGAGCTCATCACAGTGGGAATTATTACTGTGAAGCCCGAAACAAAATAGGACGCCAGAAATCCAGCCCACATCAGATCGTTGCGGCAGGTGAGATATTTACACACCTGCACACAGAGAGCTCACCCTGAATACTCAAAGCAGCTCATGATATGTTTGATTAATTAATTTTTTCCTTCACAAACATGTTTTCTCTGAATCAGATCTTAAAACTGACTAAAGTGAATAATTCATGGAGGGAACTCCATGTCAGATTCTGGCTCAACAGAGTCTCAGACAGAGCTAAAGATATAGACCAGTCTGATTCTGTTAGTAATGTGTCTCACATATCTCTCTTCTTTCATTCAAGGGAAATCAACAATAACAACCATAATTAGCATCAGGTTGACCCTGTTCTTTTTGATGTTGATTCCTCCACCTCTCGTGAGTCTGTTGACAAGGTAAAACCATAAAACTCCATCAATTCAAACACGTTTCTTTTATGAGCTTCTTCACTTGGTTCATAGTTTAATTTCTTTTCTCTCTATCACTGTAAAACTGACTGTTCTCAAATGTAATAATCCAGGAAGAAGAAACCTCTGAACTCCAACACTGAACCAAGTGAACCTGCAGAGATGATAGAGGTGAGACCGACTGCTGACAAAATATCTTTACAGACCTGTTCAAAGATGTCAGGATCAAAGTTTCAAAATGGGACTAAAATACTTTCAAAGATGATCAACTCTCTTCATCTGTCCTCAGCTGGACTCTGCTCATGAGAATGAGAAAGTCTCAGCGGTCACTGCAGCACAGACTGAAGACATAGAGGAGCAGGAAGACAGGGTGTGAAGTCCAGTCAGGGTGGGGTGTCTCCAGTGGTGCTGATGGTCTACTGGTCCCATAACTGGACTAGAGTCCCCTGTTGAGCGGTTGCTGGTTCAACTCCCGCCCATGATCCTTTGCTGCACATGTTCTCTCACTTTCTACACTCCTCATTTGCTGTCTTTCTTCTGCTTTCCTATCTACAAAAGGAAAAAATGCCCCAAAACACGACTGTCATGAAAGTCAAATAGAAAAACAAGATACTTTAAAAATCAAGTCAAAAATAAGACGTTTCAAACTCTTACTTTTGTCATGTTGGTTAAGTTTCTTTTATTTTTGCACATTCATGTTTTGTTTCATGTCATGTATTTCCTGTTTTATTTTGTAGTTCACCAACTCTTGTTTCTGTCTTCTAGCTTTGTTCCTGTCTGGTCTGCCCTCGTTTTGTCACACCTGCTGCCTGATTGTGTTTCCCCACCTGTTCCCCATCACCCTCACTACCTCTTGTATTTAATCTCATGCATCTCACTGTCTCGTCACCAGTTCGTTGCACTCTATAGTCACGTTCCAGCATTATGCATAGTTTTAGTCAAGTCATGTATTACCTTTGCCTGCTTTATTTTTGACCTTGCCTTTTTACAATAAATCCTTGTCTTTTGGACCAACTGATCTGGTGTTGTGCAATTGTGTTCTCTCCTCTGTGTCTTGGTTTATAACAGTTTCAACAGAGAGTCTGACCTCCTCCACCGAGATAACAGACCAACTTCAGATTTATTCTCACTGTCTTAATCTTTTTTTTGTGATTGTACGCAGATGCAGTGTGTTTCACCCTCCAGTTAGTTAAGTCCTGTCAACAAGACTTTGGCAGATCTGTTGGTCCAGCCACTCTAATATTTCACTGTCCAAAATGATGGGCCAACTCATCTCCTGTGTGGCATATTTATTCTTACAGGAACTGCAAAAACATAAAAACAGTCATTAATAGGAGCGCACTCTGTTCTGTGTCTTTACGCTTCATCCTCACACACTGACTGGACTTCTCTGTTTTATGATAAACACTCTACACTTGCACTGTAAAACAACTCTTAAAGCAACACAATACTACAGTGGTGTTGAAATAAAATCCATGACATTACTGTCTCAATATTTATACTATTTTAACCATTACATCTCCTTTATGAACTGTATAACTGATCTTTAGTTAAGTAAATCTATTTCAAACTAATGTCTTTTAATGTATTAACACTGCACTGTCCCTTAATACACTGAACATAAAGTGTTTTACTTTCCCTCTTCCCACAATGAAAACACACAGTGTGGCTTTAACCTAAAATACAAGCGTGCACAATACAGACTCTCATCACGGTCTACTAACTGGACCATAGCATGGCACCACAGCCGCACCTGCCAGCCCAGCCCCTCACTCAGCTCAACTCCACACAAGCACCTCCCCACAGAAAAAACTTAATCCACTTAATGCGGTTTCTTGATATAAACTTATATTTTTACAGCTGTAATGTGTATCTCTCAGTAGTTAGCCTATCCTTTAAACTCAAAAGAGACATAATTCAGTCCTCTGGTTCATGACCACGATTGCCATGGACTACGAGTCCGCCATTACAGATACACAATCCAGCGAGTCGCCTTTACAAACCCATGAGCTTGTGAATTCACTCTTTAGCTCGACGTCTGTTACACTCCAAGGCACTTAAGATATATTATTACTGTTGTCCATTACTTTTATAGTATTTCTGAACCAGCTAACCTGCAAACACATAAAAACAGTCATTAATAGGAGTGTACTCTATGCTGTGCCTGTACCATTGACTGTATATAAAATGGACGCCATCTGCCTCCTCGCTGGGTGAAGCCACCCCAAGAACAGCGCCCTCTGGTGACAGGCTGCAGTATAGGTCATAAATCCTGCCCCCACCAGCCATCCTTATGGGGTCTGTGGACAAACTTTAGAAATTTATTACACAAAATATAAATTCTTCTCCCCCCTAACTGTGATGTTGACATGTAGCTACTGTAAGACTGGTTTGTGCTCAAGTCCTCTTTTTTCTGTGCAGCTCCATTTTTAAAAGTTATTAGGTGGTTCATGTTTTCTATGATTGACACTTGATACAGCCTATGTGCAATGTTGGTTTCAGGAAGTGGAGAAAAAAATGCAGAATCACAGAGAGCTTTTTGGCTTCAAATCCGTATACTGGCAGAAGGTGGAACCAAGTTGTCCAAAGTATATACAGTCTACGGTCTGAACGCTTCATCCTCAGACACTGACTGGACTTCTCCTGCTGTTGCATCAGCTATCCGCTAGGTGAGGTACCGAGTGCCCCCTGCTGGTGAAACATATATTACACTATCTTACAGGAAAATAGACACTACAGTAGTTATAGTATTGCACGTGAACTTTATTCATATAAATAAAATGGGGGGTTGACTATTTCCATGCCTTCAATAACTCATAGTGCCACATAAGCAGTAACTCTAAGTGATCTTTTTAATTGATTGCATCTTTATCTTGTAGTGACTGAGAATATTTATGGGATGATCGATGTATGTTACATTTTTGATAATCCTTTCTTGTGACAACGAGCTCTATGAGAGTTTGACTGGAGGTTGAACGCAACATCCTGACTCTACTATTTGTTGTTTGTGTGACACTCTATTTACTCTCTGATTCAAAGGATTACAACACCCCCCCCCCCCCCCCAAAAAAAAAAAAAAAAAACATTCCTGTTGAAGTTCAAGTGTAATCCACTCATACAGATTAGTTTCTTCCTCACATACTTTGAGGTTTTTGATTCAACTTTGTCCACCCACAGACTTTTTGACATCCTTCCCCAACTAATGGAGATAACGTGTCGATACTGATGTTAAAATAAAATCAAAAGATAGTACAAACTTAACCATTTCAAGAGGATTAAGTTGATGAAAAACAGCTTCTTTAAGGTGTGGTCTCTTATTGGTGTTTGAATCAACATTTATGTTATCATTTAAAAAGGAAGGGCTTTTTTGGTCTGTTTCACACTTCAGTTTCCGCCTTCTGCTCACGGACTGCAGAGAAAAGACGCCCTTCAAGACACAACGCTGGTCATATTTGTAAGTAGAATAGTTTAATGAAATGTCTGATACTTTTTCATCTCCTGTTAGCTTTTCATGTCACATATTTGACTTGTGTTATCATCCCTAAAGTCCCAGAGAAAGGAGAGAGGAGCAGAGATGAGTTTAACTGCAGCAGTGAGTGGATTCATCCTTCTCCTCTCTGTATCAGGTACTTCATATCTACAGCTTTTCCTTTTTAATTTGATCAAAAACAGACTCTGTTTGCAGAACCTGCAGTTTTTTCTCCAAAATTCTGATTGTAATTTGCTGTATTGAAATCACTTTTTGAGTTTTTTAGTGGATACTAGTTTTGCAGTCAGGCTAGTGTCTCAGGGACTCATTTATTACAACACATCTGCAACAAGCCTGTGTGTTCCTCTTCATAGGTGTTATATTTCCATGCTGATGCTGCATTGACAGCACTTATCTAATCATTGAGTATTAGCTTCTGTACAGTTTCTCACACTTCTGCATTCATTTTTAGATACACACTTGACTGGGCAGCTAACTTTGCACAGAGAAAACTTTCACAGAACAGCACAATCTGTCAAATAATTTACACTGTTAATAATGCTGTTGGGTTAGAGAAGTGTTCATGAATATAAACATCTGTAATTTTTCAGTATGGATAAATCTTCTCTCAGATATTTTGATAAGTAGTTTAAAATCTAATATCAAACAGAGAAAAAAGCTAAACCTGACAAAAATATCTTACATGTGATTGTTATATCAAGATGATGTCGGACTGCACCTCAATGATCTGGTTCAGATTTATTTATTTCATGTTCAGTCTTAAACTTTTCCTGGTCTGGTTAAATTGACTGTGTTCTCTGATTTTTGTGTTTTAGTGGTTCAGCCTCAGAACGGCTGGGAGGTGACTTACTCTACAGCTCAGATCTGTGTCTCCAGAGGATCAACTGTGGAAATAAGCTGCAACTTTAAGTACCCAAAAACAATGGAGAGGAAGCAGAACAAACTCTTAAAAACATTTTGGTTTATCAGGAAACGTGGTGATGAGTTTCTAAACATTGAAACAGACTCAGAGTATTCAGGTCGTGTGAAGACCACGTATGATGGGACCAGATCCACCCTAACAATCACAAACCTGACAGGGAGTGACTCAGCTGAATACATGTTCAGGATGGAGACAAGCATGGACAAATATTTTGGCTACCCAGGTGTCACCTTGTCTGTCAGAGGTAAAGTTTTCTCTGAAATTTTTCATCTTTTATCTTTTTTAAAATCCTGTAAATTATTGTATTATGTGTATGTTTATGTGGAAAGTACTGACAGTTTTATCTGATCAGATGTCCAGATAATGGTGAGCAGACCAGGTGGGCATTTGCAGTTGAAGTGTCTCAGCGGTTGTCGTCAAGATTTTCGATACATTTGGTTCAAGAATGGAGAGAAAATTAAGAACCAAAATTCACAATATCATCAACCAGACCAGATTCTGAACACAGACAGATTTTCCTGTGCTGTCGAAGGATATGAGGACTTCCCCTCTCCTTCAGTGTGTGAGTTTACCCCTCCCTTTCCTCTAACACAACACTATCTGATGGAGGTTTTAAAATTTGGTGCGTGCCCTGACTCTCTGGTCTGTGGCTAACATTTCCACTTTAAAAAACATCTCATATCTGTGATGCTCAGAGTAAAAACTCAATAGTAAAGAGTTGTTAAAGGACAGAGAGCATAAACCAAGTACATCAGTGACTGAAATGTTAACTGTAAAATGTGTTTCTTCTTCAGATGCTTTCGAGCCTCCCTCTGTGTCAGTGAGTTCCTCTGCTGAGATAATGGAGGGAAAAAATGTGACTCTGACCTGCAGCAGTGACGCTAATGTAGAATCCAGTTATACCTGGTATAAAAGAAATGAACTTCTACATCCTCTGCGTCTCAGGAGAGGACCTCAGCTTGTCTCAGCTCCATCAAGTCCTCAGACTTTGGACAGTATTACTGTGAAGTGAGGAACATCTTTGGGACACAGATATCCGGGAACATCTTGGCTGGTTTGACATGTGTGTGAAACATCACAGTTCAAACACATTAGAAAGACAATAAACTACACAACAATACCTCAAAACAGTTTTATCCTGTATTTGAACAAAAAGCACTAAGACAAAATTTCTTCTTTTATATGTTTATTTGCAAGTTTAATTCACTAACTTTGATTAAATCCATTTCCAGATGATCCAGAGCTTCCCTCTGTGTCAGTGAGTCCCTCTGCTGAGATAGTGGAGGGTAATCATGTGACTCTGACCTGCAGCAGTGATGTTAAGCCAGATGCTACTTATACCTGGTACAGAAGAAATGGTGATCTAAGTCCTCAGAGTCTCAGAAAAGGAAATCAGCTTGTCTTCAGCTCCATCCAGGTGTCAGACTCTGGACAGTATTATTGTGAAGTGAGGGGCATCACTGAGTCCTCTAGGAATGTCTTAGTCTATGTGAAATGTGAGTTAAAAGTCACATTTAAAGAGCAACAGAAGGATGAAAACCATACACAACCATATCCCAGAAATGATTTTTATTCTGTGTTTGTTTCTCTGTCATTTCTGTTTTTATCCGTCTTCAGATGCTCCAAAGCTCTCTTATGTGTCTGTGAGTCCCTCTTCTGAGATAGTGGAGGGCAGTTCAGTGACTCTGACCTGTATCAGTTATGCCAACCCAGCACCACGTTCCACCTGGTACAAGGAGAACAACACCACGTTTCAGTCAACAGGAGGAATTTATACTTTTCTCAACATCAGCCATCTGGACAGAGGGAGATACAACTGCAGATCTGAGAATCAATATGGATCACATGTATCTCCCCCTCTCTCACTAGATATCCAGTGTGAGTAGAAGACATTACAAAGTTAGATCACCTGGTACAAAACTCTTCTTAATGGCTTAAGTCTCCATGTAAAGTTTTCTTTCGATCTCCTCCAGATGCTCCAAAACGTCCCTCTGTGTCAGTGAGTCCCTCTGCTGAGATAGTGGAGGGTAGTTCAGTAAATCTGACCTGCAGCAGTGATGCTAACCCTGCAGCTACTTATACCTGGTACAAAGAGAGTGAAGACTCAGCAAACGCTTCAGGACAGACCTTCACCATCACTGAGTTCAGAGCTCATCACAGTGGGAATTATTACTGTGAAGCCCGGAACAAAATAGGACGCCAGAAATCCAGCCCACATCAGATCGTTGCGGCAGGTGAGATATTTACACACCTGCACACAGAGAGCTTACCCAGAATACTCAAAGCAGCTCATGATATGTTTGATTAATTAATTTTTTCCTTCACAAACACGTTTTCTCTGCATCAGATCTTAAAACTGACTAAAGTGAATAATTCATGGAGGGACCTCCATGTCAGATTCTGGCTCAACAGAGTCTCAGACAGAGCTAAAGATATAGACCAGTCTGATTCTGTTAGTAATGTGTCTCACATATCTCTCTTCTTTCATTCAAGGGAAATCAACAATAACAACCATAATTAGCATCAGGTTGACCCTGTTCTTTTTGATGTTAATTCCACCACTTCTTGTGATTCTGTTGACAAGGTAAAACCATAAAACTACATCAATTCAAACACGTTTCTTTTATGATCCTCTTCACTTGGTTCATAGTTTAATTTCTTTTCTCTCTATCACTGTAAAACTGACTGTTCTCAAATGTAATAATCCAGGAAGAAGAAACCTCTGAGCTCCAACACTGAACCAAGTGAACCTGCAGAGATGATAGAGGTGAGACCGACTGCTGACAAAACATCTTTACAGACCTGTTCAAAGATGTCAGGATCAAAGTTTCAAAATGGGACTAAAATACTTTCAAAGATGATCAACTCTCTTCATCTGTCCTCAGCTGGACTCTGCTCATGAGAATGAGAAAGTCTCAGCGATCACTGCAGCACAGACTGAAGACATAGAGGAGCAGGAAGACAGGGTGTGAAATCCAGTCAGGGTGGGGTGTCTCCAGTGGTGCTGATGGTGTACTGGTCCCATAACTAGACTGAAGTCTCCTGTTGAGCGGTTGCTGGTTCAACTCCCGCCCATGATCCTTTGCTGCACATGTTCTCTCAGTCAAAAATAAGACGTTTCAAACTCTTACTTTTGTCATGTTGGTTAAGTTTCTTTTATTTTTGCACATTCATGTTTTGTTTCATGTCATGTATTTCCTGTTTTATTTTGTAGTTCACCAACTCTTGTTTCTGTCTTCTAGCTTTGTTCCTGTCTGGTCTGCCCTCGTTTTGTCACACCTGCTGCCTGATTGTGTTTCCCCACCTGTTCCCCATCACCCTCACTACCTCTTGTATTTAATCTCATGCATCTCACTGTCTCGTCACCAGTTCGTTGCACTCTATAGTCACGTTCCAGCATTATGCATAGTTTTAGTCAAGTCATGTGTTACCTTTGTCTGCCTTATTTCTGACCTTGCCTTTTTACAATAAATCCTTGTCTTTTGGACCAACTGATCTGGTGTTGTGCAGTTGTGTTCTCTCCTCTGTGTCTTGGTTTATAACAGTTTCTACAGAGAGTCTGACCTCCTCCACCGAGATAACAGACCAACTTCAGATTCATTCTCACTGTCTTAATCTTTTTTTTGTGATTGTACGCAGATGCAGTGTGTTTCACCCTCCAGGTAGTTAAAAAAAGTCCTGTCAACAAGACTTTGGCAGATCTGTTGGTCCAGCCACTCTAATATTTCACTGTCCAAAATGATGGGCCAACTCATCTCCTGTGTGGCATATTTATTCTTACAGGAACTGCAAAAACATAAAAACAGTCATTAATAGGAGCGCACTCTGTTCTGTGTCTTTACGCTTCATCCTCACACACTGACTGGACTTCTCTGTTTTATGATAAACACTCTACACTTGCACTGTAAAACAACTCTTAAAGCAACACAATACTACAGTGGTGTTGAAATAAAATCCATGACATTACTGTCTCAATATTTATACTATTTTAACCATTACATCTCCTTTATGAACTGTATAACTGATCTTTAGTTAAGTAAATCTATTTCAAACTAATGTCTTTTAATGTATTAACACTGTACTGTCCCTTAATACACTGAACATAAAGTGTTTTACTTTCCCTCTTCCCACAATGAAAACACACAGTGTGGCTTTAACCTAAAATACAAGCATGGACAATACAGACTCTCATCACGGTCTACTAACTGGACCATAGCATGGCACCACAGCCGCACCTGCCAGCCCAGCCCCTCACTCAGCTCAACTCCACACAAGCACCTCCCCACAGAAAAAACTTAATCCATTTAATGCGGTTTCTTGATATAAACTTATATTTTTACAGCTGTAATGTGTATCTCTCAGTAGTTAGCCTATCCTTTAAACTCAAAAGAGACATAATTCAGTCCTCTGGTTCATGACCACGATTGCCATGGACTACGAGTCCGCCATTACAGATACACAATCCAGCGAGTCGCCTTTACAAACCCATGAGCTTGTGAATTCACTCTTTAGCTCGACGTCTGTTACACTCCAAGGCACTTAAGATATATCATTACTGTTGTCCATTACTTTTATAGTATTTCTGAACCAGCTAACCTGCAAACACATAAAAACAGTCATTAATAGGAGTGTACTCTATGCTGTGCCTGTACCACTGACTGTATATAAAATGGACGCCATCTGCCTCCTCGCTGGGTGAAGCCACCCCAAGAACAGCGCCCTCTGGTGACAGGCTGCAGTATAGGTCATAAATCCTGCCCCCACCAGCCATCCTTATGGGGTCTGTGGACAAACTTTAGAAATTTATTACACAAAATATAAATTCTTCTCCCCCTAACTGTGATGTTGACATGTAGCTACTGTAAGACTGGTTTGTGCTCAAGTCCTCTTTTTTCTGTGCAGCTCCATTTTTAAAAGTTATTAGGTGGTTCATGTTTTCTATGATTGACACTTGATACAGCCTATGTGCAATGTTGGTTTCAGGAAGTGGAGAAAAAAATGCAGAATCACAGAGAGCTTTTTGGCTTCAAATCCGTATACTGGCAGAAGGTGGAACCAAGTTGTCCAAAGTATATACAGTCTATGGTCTGAACGCTTCATCCTCAGACACTGACTGGACTTCTCCTGCTGTTGCATCAGCTATCCGCTAGGTGAGGTACCGAGTGCCCCCTGCTGGTGAAACATATATTACACTATCTTACAGGAAAATAGACGCTACAGTAGTTTTAGTATTGCACGTGAACTTTATTCATATAAATAAAATGGGGGTTTGACTATTTCCATGCCTTCAATAACGCATAGTGTCACATAAGCAGTAACTCTAAGTGATCTTTTTAATTGATTGCATCTTTATCTTGTAGTGACTGAGAATATTTATGGGATGATCGATGTATGTTACATTTTTGATAATCCTTTCTTGTGACAACGAGCTCTATGAGAGTTTGACTGGAGGTTGAACGCAACATCCTGACTCTACTATTTGTTGTTTGTGTGACACTCTATTTACTCTCTGATTCAAAGGATTACAACAGCCCCCCCCCAAAAAAAAAAAAAAAAAAAAAAAACACTTCCGTTGAAGTTCAAGTGTAATCCACTCATACAGATTAGTTTTTTTCTCCCATACTTTGAGGTTTTTGATTCAACTTTGTTCACCCACAGACTTTTTGACATCCTTCCTCAACTAATGGAGATAACGTGTCGATACTGATGTTAAAATAAAATCAAAAGATAGGACAAACTTAACCATTTCAAGAGGATTAAGTTGATGAAAAACAGCTTCTTTAAGGTGTGGTCTCTTATTGGTGTTTGAATCAACATTTATGTTATCATTTAAAAAGGAAGGGCTTTTTTGGTCTGTTTCACACTTCAGTTTCCGCCTTCTGCTCACGGACTGCAGAGAAAAGACGCCCTTCAAAACACAACGCTGGTCATATTTGTAAGTAGAATAGTTTAATGAAATGTGTGATACTTTTTCATCTCCTGTTAGCTTTTCATGTCACATATTTGACTTGTGTTATTATCCCTAAAGTCCCAGAGAAAGGAGAGAGGAGCAGAGATGAGTTTAACTGCAGCAGTGAGTGGATTCATCCTTCTCCTCTCTGTATCAGGTACTTCATATCTACAGCTTTTCCTCTTCACTCTGAGAAACCTGCAGCCTCTTTTTAATTTGATCAAAAACAGACTCTGCTTACAGAACCTGCAGTTTTTTCTCCAAAATTCTGATTGTAATTTGCTGTATTGAAATCACTTTACGAGTTTTTTAGTGGATACTAGTTTTGCAGTCAGGCTAGTGTCTCAGGGACTCATTTATTACAACACATCTGCAACAACCCTGTCTGTTCCTCTTCATAGGTGTTATATTTCCATGCTGATGCTGCATTGACAGCACTTATCTAATCATTGAGTATTAGCTGCTGTACAGTTTCTCACCCCTTAGACTTCTGCATTTATTTTTAGATACACACTTGACTGGGCAGCTAACTTTGCACAGAGAAAACTTTCACAGAACAGCACAATCTGTCAAATAATTTACACTGTTAATAATGCTGTTGGGTTAGAGAAGTGTTCATGAATATAAACATCTGTAATTTTTCAGTATGGATAAATCTTCTCTCAGATATTTTGATAAGTAGTTTAAAATCTAATATCAAACAGAGAAAAAAGCTAAACCTGACAAAAATATCTTACATGTGATTGTTATATCAAGATGATGTCGGACTGCACCTCAATGATCTGGTTCAGATTTATTTATTTCATGTTCAGTCTTAAACTTTTCCTGGTCTGGTTAAATTGACTGTGTTCTCTGATTTTTGTGTTTTAGTGGCTCAGCCTCAGAACGACTGGGAGGTGACTTACTCTAAAACTCAGATCTGTGTCTCCAGAGGATCAACTGTGGAAATAAGCTGCAACTTTAAGTACCCAAAAACAATGGAGAGGAAGCAGAACAAACTCTTAAAAACATTTTGGTTTATTAGGAAACGTGGTGATGAGTTTCTGAACATTGAAACAGACTCAGAGTATTCAGGTCGTGTGAAGACCACGCATGATGGGACCAGATCCACCCTAACAATCACAAACCTGACAGGGAGTGACTCAGCTCAGTACAAGTTCAGGATGGAGACAAGCCTGGACAAATATTCTGGCTACCCAGGTGTCACCCTGTCTGTGAGAGGTAGTTTTCTGTGAAATGTTTCATCCTTTACCTTTTTTAAAATCCTGTAAATTATTGTATTATGTGTATGTTTATGTGGAAAGTACTGACAGTTTTATCTGATCAGATGTCCAGATAATGGTGAGCAGACCAGGTGGGCATTTGCAGTTGAAGTGTCTCAGCCGTTGTCGTCAAGATTTTCGATACATTTGGTTCATGAATGGAGAAAAAATTAAGAACCAAAATTCAAAATATCATCGACCAGACCAGACTCTGAACACAGACAGATTTTCCTGTGCTGTAGAAGGATATGAGGACTTCCCCTCTCCTTCAGTGTGTGAGTTTACCCCTCCCTTTCCTCTAACACAACACTATCTGATGGAGGTTTTAAAATTTGGTGCGTGCCCTGACTCTCTGGTCTGTGGCTAACATTTCCACTTTAAAAAACATCTCATATCTGTGATGCTCAGAGTAAAAACTCAATAGTAAAGAGTTGTTAAAGGACAGAGAGCATAAACCAAGTACATCAGTGACTGAAATGTTAACTGTAAAATGTGTTTCTTCTTCAGATGCTTTCGAGCCTCCCTCTGTGTCAGTGAGTTCCTCTGCTGAGATAATGGAGGGAAAAAATGTGACTCTGACCTGCAGCAGTGGTGCTAATGTAGAATCCAGTTATACCTGGTATCAAAGAAATGAACCTCTATATCCTCTGCGTCTCAGGAGAGGACCTCAGCTTGTCTTCAGCTCCATCAAGTCCTCAGACTTTGGACAGTATTACTGTGAAGTGAGGAACATCTTTGGGACACAGATATCGGGGAACATCTTGGCTGGTTTGACATGTGTGTGAAACATCACAGTTCAAACACATTAGAAAGACAATAAACTACACAACAATACCTCAAAACAGTTTTATCCTGTATTTGAACAAAAAGCACTAAGACAAAATTTCTTCTTCTATATGTTTATTTGCAAGTTTAATTTACCAACTTTGATTAAATCCATTTCCAGATGATCCAGAGCTTCCCTCTGTGTCAGTGAGTCCCTCTGCTGAGATAGTGGAGGGTAATCATGTGACTCTGACCTGCAGCAGTGATGCTAAGCCAGATGCTACTTATACCTGGTACAGAAGAAGTGGACGTCTAAGTCTGAGTCTCAGAAAAGGAAATCAGCTTGTATTCAGCTCCATTCAGTCCTCAGACTCTGGACAGTATTACTGTAAAGTGAGGGGCATCACCGGGTCCTCTAGGGACGTCTTAGTCTATGTGAAATGTGAGTAAAAAGTCACATTTAAAGAGGAACAGAAGGATGAAAACCATACACAACCATATCCCAGAAATGATTTTTATTCTGTGTTCGTTTCTTTGTCATTTCTGTTTTTATCCGTCTTCAGATGCTCCAAAGTTCTCTTATGTGTCTGTGAGTCCCTCTTCTGAGATAGTGGAGGGCAGTTCAGTGACTCTGACCTGTATCAGTTATGCCAACCCAGCACCACGTTCCACCTGGTACAAGGAGAACAACACCACGTTTCAGTCAACAGGAGGAATTTATACTTTTCTCAACATCAGCCATCTGGACAGAGGGAGATACAACTGCAGATCTGAGAATCAATATGGATCACATGTATCTCCCCCTCTCTCACTAGATATCCAGTGTGAGTAGAAGACATTACAAAGTTAGATCACCTGGTACAAAACTCTTCTTAACGGCTTAAGTCTCCATGTAAAGTTTTCTTTCGATCTCCTCCAGATGCTCCAAAACGTCCCTCTGTGTCAGTGAGTCCCTCTGCTGAGATAGTGGAGGGTAGTTCAGTAAATCTGACCTGCAGCAGTGATGCTAACCCTGCAGCTACTTATACCTGGTACAAAGAGAGTGAAGACTCAGCAAACGCTTCAGGACAGACCTTCACCATCACTGAGTTCAGAGCTAATCACAGTGGGAAGAAGCCCGAAACAAAATAGGACGCCAGAAATCCAGCCCACATCAGATCGTTGCGGCAGGTGAGATATTTACACACCTGCACACAGAGAGCTTACCCAGAATACTCAAAGCAGCTCATGATATGTTTGATTAATTAATTTTTTCCTTCACAAACACGTTTTCTCTGAATCAGATCTTAAAACTGACTAAAGTGAATAATTCATGGAGGGACCTCCATGTCAGATTCTGGCTCAACAGAGTCTCAGACAGAGCTAAAGATATAGACCAGTCTGATTCTGTTAGTAATGTGTCTCACATATCTCTCTTCTTTCATTCAAGGGAAATCAACAATAACAACCATAATTAGCATCAGGTTTACCCTGTTCTTTTTGATGTTGATTCCTCCACCTCTTGTGAGTCTGTTGACAAGGTAAAACCATAAAACTCCATCAATTCAAACACATTTCTTTTATGAGCTTCTTCACTTGGTTCATAGTTTAATTTCTTTTCTCTCTATCACTGTAAAACTGACTTTTCTCAAATGTAATAATCCAGGAAGAAGAAACCTCTGAACTCCAACACCGAACCAAGTGAACCTGCAGAGATGATAGAGGTGAGACTGACTGCTTACAAAATATCTTTACAGACCTGTTCAAAGATGTCAGGATCAAAGTTTCAAAATGGGACTAAAATACTTTCAAAGATGATCAACTCTCTTCATCTGTCCTCAGCTGGACTCTGCTCATGAGAATGAGAAAGTCTCAGCGGTCACTGCAGCACAGACTGAAGACATAGAGGAGCAGGAAGACAGGGTGTGAAGTCCAGTCAGGGTGGGGTGTCTCCAGTGGTGCTGATGGTCTACTGGTCCCATAACTGGACTAGAGTCCCCTGTTGAGCGGTTGCTGGTTCAACTCCCGCCCATGATCCTTTGCTGCACATGTTCTCTCACTTTCTACACTCCTCATTTGCTGTCTTTCTTCTGCTTTCCTATCTACAAAAGGAAAAAATGCCCCAAAAACACGACTGTCATGAAAGTCAAATAGAAAAACAAGATACTTTAAAAATCAAGTCAAAAATAAGACGTTTCAAACTCTTACTTTTGTCATGTTGGTTAAGTTTCTTTTATTTTTGCACATTCATGTTTTGTTTCATGTCATGTATTTCCTGTTTTATTTTGTAGTTCACCAACTCTTGTTTCTGTCTTCTAGCTTTGTTCCTGTCTGGTCTGCCCTCGTTTTGTCACACCTGCTGCCTGATTGTGTTTCCCCACCTGTTCCCCATCACCCTCACCACCTCTTGTATTTAATCTCATGCATCTCACTTTCTCATCACCAGTTCGTTGCACTATATAGTCACGTTCCAGCATTATGCATAGTTTTAGTCAAGTCATGTATTACCTTTGCCTGCTTTATTTCTGACCTTGCTGTTTTACAATAAATTCCTTGTCTTTTGGACCAACTGATCTGGTGTTGTGCAATTGTGTTCTCTCCTCTGTGTCTTGGTTTATAACAGTTTCTACAGAGAGTCTGACCTCCTCCACCGAGATAACAGACCAACTTCAGATTCATTCTCACTGTCTTAATCTTTTTTTTGTGATTGTACGCAGATGCAGTGTGTTTCACCCTCCAGGTAGTTAAAAAAAAGTCCTGTCAACAAGACTTTGGCAGATCTGTTGGTCCAGCCACTCTAATATTTCACTGTCCAAAATGATGGGCCAACTCATCTCCTGTGTAGCATATTTATTTTTACAGGAACTGCAAAAACATAAAAACAGTCATTAATAGGAGCGCACTCTGTTCTGTGTCTTTACGCTTCATCCTCACACACTGACTGGACTTCTCTGTTTTATGATAAACACTCTACACTTGCACTGTAAAACAACTCTTAAAGCAACACAATACTACAGTGGTGTTGAAATAAAATCCATGACATTACTGTCTCAATATTTATACTATTTTAACCATTACATCTCCTTTATGAACTGTATAACTGATCTTTAGTTAAGTAAATCTATTTCAAACTAATGTCTTTTAATGTATTAACACTGTACTGTCCCTTAATACACTGAACATAAAGTGTTTTACTTTCCCTCTTCCCACAATGAAAACACACGGTGTGGCTTTAACCTAAAATACAAGCGTGCACAATACAGACTCTCATCACGGTCTACTAACTGGACCATAGCATGGCACCACAGCTGCACCTGCCAGCCCAGCCCCTCACCCAGCTCAACTCCACACAAGCACCTCCCCACAGAAAAAACTTAATCCATTTAATGCGGTTTCTTGATATAAACTTATATTTTTACAGCTGTAATGTGTATCTCTCAGTAGTTAGCCTATCCTTTAAACTCAAAAGAGACATAATTCAGTCCTCTGGTTCATTACCACGATTGCCATGGACTACGAGTCTGCCATTACAGATACACAATCCAGCGAGTCGCCTTTACAAACCCATGAGCTTGTGAATTCACTCTTTAGCTCGACGTCTGTTACACTCCAAGGCACTTCAGATATATTATTACTGTTGTCCATTACGTTTATAGTATTTCTGAACCAGCTAACCTGCAAACACATAAAAACAGTCATTAATAGGAGCGTACTCTATGCTGTGCCTGTACCATTGACTGTATATAAAATGGACGCCATCTGCCTCCTCGCTGGGTGAAGCCACCCCAAGAACAGCGCCCTCTGGTGACAGGCTGCAGTATAGGTCCCAGGTGGAAGCGAGAAGACTGACACAACAGCAGACTGACTGTTTTTCAGTTCTGATTAAACACTAGTGTTGAGATGGTTGTCTGTCATGATAGCATGTACTGAGTCGGGGCCAGTACCAGATAAGCACATGAGACTGTAATCCATGAACGTAAGGTAACAACCGAGACCTAATGGTGCTGTGACAGCAACACGATTGAGTTTGAGACAGTGAAAATACATATGGTATGTTGTATCTGAACAGGTTAGCTTACGAGCTAAAGTTACTTAGCACAGATAAAAGTTAAAACAAAGACGTTTAGCAAACTGTTAAAGCAGACAAACTTCCCTTCAGGTCGTTATCTTTGTAATGTTTGTGTTTTTAATCAAAAAGCACTCTGTTCTCTGATACGTTAACGTTCAGCTGGTCGGCCATGTTGGATATACAGGTGAATCAGACGTCGCAACAACACGCAATCTGATTGGTCAGAAGTGGACACACAGTATGCGAAACTTTAGAAAAATTGACTATGATCCGAAAAAATGAATGCCACAATATCGCAGAATGGGAAAATTTCGCTGATGTGAACGCTTGTATTGACACGATACGGTTTCGAAAAAAAATCGTCCGAAATAATTGCACAATAAACACAGTCCCGATGTGAAAGGACCTTTAGTCATAAAAATAAAATGGGGGGGTCGAATGGGGGGTCGACTATTTCCATGCCTTCACAGACTCGTAGTGCCACATAATTGATTGCATCTTTATCTTGTAGTGTCTGAGAATACTTATGAGACGATCGATGTATGTTACATTTTTGATAATCCTGTCTTATAACTTTACTCAATTTACTCTCTGATTAAAAGGATTAAAACACCTCCAAAAAACCATTCCTGTTGAAGTTCAAGTGTAATCCGCTCACACAGATTAGTTTTTTTCTCCCATTCTTTGAGGTTTTTGATTCAACTTTGTTCACCCACAGACTTTTTGACATCCTTCCTCAACTAATGAAGATAACGTGTCGATACTGATGTTGAAATAAAATCAAAAGATAGTAAAAACTTAACCATTTTAAGAGGATTAAGTTGATGAAAAACAGCTTCTTTAAGGTGTGGTCTCTTATTGGTGTTTGTGTCAACATTTATGTTATCATTTAAAAAGGAAGGGCTTTTTTGGTCTGTTTCACACTTCAGTTTCCGCCTTCTGCTCACGGACTGCAGAGACAAGACGTTCTTCAAGACAATGCTGTTCATCTTTGTAAGTAGAATAGTTTAATGAAATGTCAGCTCTTGTGTGCTTTTCATTTTGCATTTTTGACTTGTGTTATATTCCCTAAAGTCCCAGAGAAAGGAGAGAGGAGCAGAGATGAGTTTAACTGCAGCAGTGAGTGGATTCATCCTTCTCCTCTCAGTATCAGGTACTTCATTTCTACAGCTTTTCCTCTTCACTCTGAGAAACCTGCAGCCTCTTTTTAATTTGATCAAAAACAGACTCTGTTTGCAGAACCTGCAGTTTTTTCTCCAAAATTCAGATTGTAATTTGCTGTATTGAAATCACTTTTTGAGTTTTTTAGTGGATACTAGTTTTGCAGTCAGGCTAGTGTCTCAGGGACTCATTTATCACAACACATCTGCAACAAGCCTGTGTGTTCCTCTTCATAGGTGTTATATTTCCATGCTGATGCTGCATTGACAGCACTTATCTAATCATTGAGTATTAGCTTCTGTACAGTTTCTCACACTTCTGCATTCATTTTTAGATACACACTTGACTGGGCAGCTAACTTTGCACAGAGAAAACTTTCACAGAACAGCACAATCTGTCGAATAATTTACACTGTTAATAATGCTGTTGGGTCAGAAAAGTGTTCATGTTCAGTATTTTAAAATCTGAGGGCAAACTGTTTCTAAACTGAGAAAAAAGCTATTTATTTTTAGCTTTATTTCATGTTCAGTCTTGAACTTTTCCTGGTCTGGTTAAATTGACTGTGTTCTCTGATTTTTGTGTTTTAGTGGTTCAGGCTCAGAACGACTGGGAGGTGACTTACTCTACAACTCAGATCTGTGTCTCTAGAGGATCAACTGTAGAAATAAGCTGCAACTTTAAGTACCCAAAAACAATAAACATGGAGCAGAACAAACTCTTAAAAACATTTTGGTTTATTAGGAAACGTAGTGATGAGTTTCTAAACATTGAAACAGACTCAGAGTATTCAGGTCGTGTGAAGACCACGTATTATAGGACCAGATCCACCTTGACAATCACAAACCTGACAGGGAGTGACTCAGCTGAATACAAGTTCAGGATGGAGACAAGCCTGGACAAATATTTTGGCTACCCAGGTGTCACCCTGTCGGTCAGAGGTAAAGTTTTCTGTGAAATTTTTCCTCTTTTTTTCTTTTTTAAAATCGTGTAAATGATTATATTATGTGTATGTTTATGTGGAAAGTACTGACAGTTTTATCTGATCAGATGTCCAGATAATGGTGAGCAGACCAGGTGGGCATTTGCAGTTGAAGTGTCTCAGCAGTTGTCAAGATTTTCGATACGTTTGGTTCAAGAATGGAGAGAAGATTAAGAACCAAAATTCAAAATATCATCAACCAGACCAGACTCTGAACACAGACAGATTTTCCTGTGCTGTAGAAGGATATGAGGACTTCCCCTCTCCTTCAGTGTGTGAGTTTACCCCTCCCTTTCCTCTAACACAACACTATCTGATGGAGGTTTTAAAATTTGGTGCGTGCCCTGACTCTCTGGTCTGTGGCTAACATTTCCACTTTAAAAAACATCTCATATCTGTGATGCTCAGAGTAAAAACTCAATAGTAAAGAGTTGTTAAAGGACAGAGAGCATAAACCAAGTACATCAGTGACTGAAATGTTAACTGTAAAATGTGTTTCTTCTTCAGATGCTTTCGAGCCTCCCTCTGTGTCAGTGAGTTCCTCTGCTGAGATAATGGAGGGAAAAAATCTGACTCTGACCTGCAGCAGTGGTGCTAATGTAGAATCCAGTTATACCTGGTATCAAAGAAATGAACCTCTATATCCTCTGCGTCTCAGGAGAGGACCTCAGCTTGTCTTCAGCGCCATTAAGTCCTCAGACTTTGGACAGTATTACTGTGAAGTGAGGAACACCTTTGGGACACAGATATCGGGGAACATCTTGGCTGGTTTGACATGTGTGTGAAACATCACAGTTCAAACACATTAGAAAGACAATAAACTACACAACAACACCTCAAAACAGTTTTATCCTGTATTTGAACAAAAAGCACTAAGACAAAATTTCTTCTTTTATATGTTTATTTGCAAGTTTAATTTACCAACTTTGATTAAATCCATTTCCAGATGATCCAAAACGTCCCTCTGTGTCAGTGAGTCCCTCTGCTGAGATAGTGGAGGGTAATCATGTGACTCTGACCTGCAGCAGTGATGCTAAGCCAGATGCTAACCATACCTGGTACAGAAGAAGTGGACGTCTAAGTCTGAGTCTCAGAAAAGGAAATCAGCTTGTCTTCAGCTCCATCCAGGTGTCAGACTCTGGACAGTATTACTGTAAAGTGAGGGGCATCACCGGGTCCTCTAGGGACGTCTTAGTTTATGTGAAATGTGAGTAAAAAGTCACATTTAAGGATCAACATAAGGATGAAAACCATACACAACCATATCCCAGAACATTTTTTTATCCTGTTTCTTTGTCATTTCTGTTTTTATCCGTCTTCAGATGCTCCAAAGTTCTCTTATGTGTCTGTGAGTCCCTCTTCTGAGATAGTGGAGGGCAGTTCAGTGACTCTGACCTGTATCAGTTATGCCAACCCAGCACCACGTTCCACCTGGTACAAGGAGAACAACACCACGTTTCAGTCAACAGGAGGAATTTATACTTTTCTCAACATCAGCCATCTGGACAGAGGGAGATACAACTGCAGATCTGAGAATCAATATGGATCACATGTATCTCCCCCTCTCTCACTAGATATCCAGTGTGAGTAGAAGACATTACAAAGTTAGATCACCTGGTACAAAACTCTTCTTAATGGCTTAAGTCTCCATGTAAAGTTTTCTTTCGATCTCCTCCAGATGCTCCAAAACGTCCCTCTGTGTCAGTGAGTCCCTCTGCTGAGATAGTGGAGGGTAGTTCAGTAAATCTGATCTGCAGCAGTGATGCTAACCCTGCAGCTACTTATACCTGGTACAAAGAGAATGAAGACTCAGCAAACGCTTCAGGACAGACCTTCACCATCACTGAGTTCAGAGCTAATCACAGTGGGAATTATTACTGTGAAGCCCGGAACAAAATAGGACACCAGAAATCCAGCCCACATCAGATTGTTGCAGCAGGTGAGATGTTTACACACCTGCACACAGAGAGCTTACCCAGAATACTCAAAGCAGCTCATGATATGTTTGATTAATTAATTAATTTTTTCCTTCACAAACATGTTTTCTCTGAATCAGATCTTAAAACTGACTAAAGTGAATAATTCATGGAGGGACCTCCATGTCAGATTCTGGCTCAACAGAGTCTCAGACAGAGCTAAAGATATAGACCAGTCTGATTCTGTTAGTAATGTGTCTCACATATCTCTCTTCTTTCATTCAAGGGAAATCAACAATAACAACCATAATTAGCATCAGGTTGACCCTGTTCTTTTTGATGTTGATTCCTCCACCTCTTGTGAGTCTGTTGACAAGGTAAAACCATAAAACTCCATCAATTCAAACACATTTCTTTTATGAGCTTCTTCACTTGGTTCATAGTTTAATTTCTTTTCTCTCTATTATTGTAAAACTAACTTTTCTCAAATGTAATAATCCAGGAAGAAGAAACCTCTGAACTCCAACACTGAACCAAGTGAACCTGCAGAGATGATAGAGGTGAGACCGACTGCTGACAAAACATCTTTACAGACCTGTTCAAAGATGTCAGGATCAAAGTTTCAAAATGGGACTAAAATACTTTCAAAGATGATCAACTCTCTTCATCTGTCCTCAGCTGGACTCTGCTCATGAGAATGAGAAAGTCTCAGCGGTCACTGCAGCACAGACTGAAGACATAGAGGAGCAGGAAGACAGGGTGTGAAATCCAGTCAGGGTGGGGTGTCTCCAGTGGTGCTGATGGTGTACTGGTCCCATAACTAGACTGAAGTCTCCTGTTGAGCGGTTGCTGGTTCAACTCCCGCCCATGATCCTTTGCTGCACATGTTCTCTCAGTCAAAAATAAGACGTTTCAAACTCTTACTTTTGTCATGTTGGTTAAGTTTCTTTTATTTTTGCACATTCATGTTTTGTTTCATGTCATGTATTTCCTGTTTTATTTTGTAGTTCACCAACTCTTGTTTCTGTCTTCTAGCTTTGTTCCTGTCTGGTCTGCCCTCGTTTTGTCACACCTGCTGCCTGATTGTGTTTCCCCACCTGTTCCCCATCACCCTCACTACCTCTTGTATTTAATCTCATGCATCTCACTGTCTCGTCACCAGTTCGTTGCACTCTATAGTCACGTTCCAGCATTATGCATAGTTTTAGTCAAGTCATGTATTACCTTTGCCTGCTTTATTTCTGACCTTGCCTTTTTACAATAAATCCTTGTCTTTTGGACCAACTGATCTGGTGTTGTGCAATTGTGTTCTCTCCTCTGTGTCTTGGTTTATAACAGTTTCAACAGAGAGTCTGACCTCCTCCACCGAGATAACAGACCAACTTCAGATTCATTCTCACTGTCTTAATCTTTTTTTTTTGTGATTGTACGCAGATGCAGTGTGTTTCACCCTCCAGTTAGTTAAAAAAAAGTCCTGTCAACAAGACTCTGGCAGATCTGTTGGTCCAGCCACTCTAATATTTCACTGTCCAAAATGATGGGCCAACTCATCTCCTGTGTAGCATATTTATTCTTACAGGAACTGCAAAAACATAAAAACAGTCATTAATAGGAGCGCACTCTGTTCTGTGTCTTTACGCTTCATCCTCACACACTGACTGGACTTCTCTGTTTTATGATAAACACTCTACACTTGCACTGTAAAACAACTCTTAAAGCAACACAATACTACAGTGGTGTTGAAATAAAATCCATGACATTACTGTCTCAATATTTATACTATTTTAACCATTACATCTCCTTTATGAACTGTATAACTGATCTTTAGTTAAGTAAATCTATTTCAAACTAATGTCTTTTAATGTATTAACACTGCACTGTCCCTTAATACACTGAACATAAAGTGTTTTACTTTCCCTCTTCCCACAATGAAAACACACAGTGTGGCTTTAACCTAAAATACAAGCGTGCACAATACAGACTCTCATCACGGTCTACTAACTGGACCATAGCATGGCACCACAGCCGCACCTGCCAGCCCAGCCCAGCCCCTCACTCAGCTCAACTCCACACAAGCACCTCCCCACAGAAAAAACTTAATCCATTTAATACGGTTTCTTGATATAAACTTACATTTTTACAGCTGTAATGTGTATCTCTCAGTAGTTAGCCTATCCTTTAAACTCAAAAGAGACATAATTCAGTCCTCTGCTTCATTACCACGATTGCCATGGACTACGAGTCCGCCATTACAGATACACAATCCAGCGAGTCGCCTTTACAAACCCATGAGCTCGTGAATTCACTCTTTAGCTCGACGTCTGTTACACTCCAAGGCACTTAAGATATATCATTACTGTTGTCCATTACTTTTATAGTATTTCTGAACCAGCTAACCTGCAAACACATAAAAACAGTCATTAATAGGAGTGTACTCTATGCTGTGCCTGTACCATTGACTGTATATAAAATGGACGCCATCTGCCTCCTCGCTGGGTGAAGCCACCCCAAGAACAGCGCTCTCTGGTGACAGGCTGCAGTATAGGTCATAAATCCTGCCCCCACCAGCCATCCTTATGGGGTCTGTGGACAAACTTTGGAAATTTATTACACAAAATATAAATTCTTCTCCCCCCTAACTGTGATGTTGACATGTAGCTACTGTAAGACTGGTTTGTGCTCAAGTCCTCTTTTTTCTGTGCAGCTCCATTTTTAAAAGTTATTAGGTGGTTCATGTTTTCTATGATTGACACTTGATACAGCCTATGTGCAATGTTGGTTTCAGGAAGTGGAGAAAAAAATGCAGAATCACAGAGAGCTTTTTGGCTTCAAATCCGTATACTGGCAGAAGGTGGAACCAAGTTGTCCAAAGTATATACAGTCTATGGTCTGAACGCTTCATCCTCAGACACTGACTGGACTTCTCCTGCTGTTGCATCAGCTATCCGCTAGGTGAGGTACCGAGTGCCCCCTGCTGGTGAAACATATATTACACTATCTTACAGGAAAATAGACGCTACAGTAGTTTTAGTATTGCACGTGAACTTTATTCATATAAATAAAATGGGGGTTTGACTATTTCCATGCCTTCAATAACGCATAGTGTCACATAAGCAGTAACTCTAAGTGATCTTTTTAATTGATTGCATCTTTATCTTGTAGTGACTGAGAATATTTATGGGATGATCGATGTATGTTACATTTTTGATAATCCTTTCTTGTGACAACGAGCTCTATGAGAGTTTGACTGGAGGTTGAACGCAACATCCTGACTCTACTATTTGTTGTTTGTGTGACACTCTATTTACTCTCTGATTCAAAGGATTACAACACCCCCCCCCCAAAAAAAAAAAAAAAAAAAAAAACACTTCCGTTGAAGTTCAAGTGTAATCCACTCATACAGATTAGTTTTTTTCTCCCATACTTTGAGGTTTTTGATTCAACTTTGTTCACCCCCAGACTTTTTGACATCCTTCCTCAACTAATGGAGATAACGTGTCGATACTGATGTTAAAATAAAATCAAAAGATAGGACAAACTTAACCATTTCAAGAGGATTAAGTTGATGAAAAACAGCTTCTTTAAGGTGTGGTCTCTTATTGGTGTTTGAATCAACATTTATGTTATCATTTAAAAAGGAAGGGCTTTTTTGGTCTGTTTCACACTTCAGTTTCCGCCTTCTGCTCACGGACTGCAGAGAAAAGACGCCCTTCAAAACACAACGCTGGTCATATTTGTAAGTAGAATAGTTTAGTGAAATGTCTGATACTTTTTCATCTCCTGTTAGCTTTTCATGTCACATATTTGACTTGTGTTATTATCCCTAAAGTCCCAGAGAAAGGAGAGAGGAGCAGAGATGAGTTTAACTGCAGCAGTGAGTGGATTCATCCTTCTCCTCTCTGTATCAGGTACTTCATATCTAAAGCTTTTCCTCTTCACTCTGAGAAACCTGCAGCCTCTTTTTAATTTGATCAAAAACAGACTCTGCTTACAGAACCTGCAGTTTTTTCTCCAAAATTCTGATTGTAATTTGCTGTATTGAAATCACTTTTTGAGTTTTTTAGTGGATACTAGTTTTGCAGTCAGGCTAGTGTCTCAGGGACTCATTTATTACAACACATCTGCAACAACCCTGTGTGTTCCTCTTCATAGGTGTTATATTTCCATGCTGATGCTGCATTGACAGCACTTATCTAATCATTGAGTATTAGCTGCTGTACAGTTTCTCACCCCTTAGACTTCTGCATTTATTTTTAGATACACACTTGACTGGGCAGCTAACTTTGCACAGAGAAAACTTTCACAGAACAGCACAATCTGTCAAATAATTTACACTGTTAATAATGCTGTTGGGTTAGAGAAGTGTTCATGAATATAAACATCTGTAATTTTTCAGTATGGATAAATCTTCTCTCAGATATTTTGATAAGTAGTTTAAAATCTAATATCAAACAGAGAAAAAAGCTAAACCTGACAAAAATATCTTACATGTGATTGTTATATCAAGATGATGTCGGACTGCACCTCAATGATCTGGTTCAGATTTATTTATTTCATGTTCAGTCTTAAACTTTTCCTGGTCTGGTTAAATTGACTGTGTTCTCTGATTTTTGTGTTTTAGTGGTTCAGGCTCAGAACGACTGGGAGGTGACTTACTCTAAAACTCAGATCTGTGTCTCCAGAGGATCAACTGTGGAAATAAGCTGCAACTTTAAGTACCCAAAAACAATGGAGAGGAAGCAGAACAAACTCTTAAAAACATTTTGGTTTATCAGGAGACGTGGTGATGAGTTTCTAAACATTGAAACAGACTCAGAGTATTCAGGTCGTGTGAAGACCACGCATGATGGGACCAGATCCACCTTGACAATCACAAACCTGACAGGGAGTGACTCAGCTCAGTACAAGTTCAGGATGGAGACAAGCCTGGACAAATATTCTGGCTACCCAGGTGTCACCCTGTCTGTGAGAGGTAAAGTTTTCTGTGAAATGTTTCATCCTTTACCTTTTTGAAAATCCTGTAAATTATTGTATTATGTGTATGTTTATGTGGAAAGTACTGACAGTTTTATCTGATCAGATGTCCAGATAATGGTGAGCAGACCAGGTGGGCATTTGCAGTTGAAGTGTCTCAGCCGTTGTCGTCAAGATTTTCGATACATTTGGTTCATGAATGGAGAAAAAATTAAGAACCAAAATTCAAAATATCATCAACCAGACCAGACTCTGAACACAGACAGATTTTCCTGTGCTGTAGAAGGATATGAGGACTTCCCCTCTCCTTCAGTGTGTGAGTTTACCCCTCCCTTTCCTCTAACACAACACTATCTGATGGAGGTTTTAAAATTTGGTGCGTGCCCTGACTCTCTGGTCTGTGGCTAACATTTCCACTTTAAAAAACATCTCATATCTGTGATGCTCAGAGTAAAAACTCAATAGTAAAGAGTTGTTAAAGGACAGAGAGCATAAACCAAGTACATCAGTGACTGAAATGTTAACTGTAAAATGTGTTTCTTCTTCAGATGCTTTCGAGCCTCCCTCTGTGTCAGTGAGTTCCTCTGCTGAGATAATGGAGGGAAAAAATGTGACTCTGACCTGCAGCAGTGGTGCTAATGTAGAATCCAGTTATACCTGGTATCAAAGAAATGAACTTCTACATCCTCTGCGTCTCAGGAGAGGACCTCAGCTTGTCTTCAGCTCCATCAAGTCCTCAGACTTTGGACAGTATTACTGTGAAGTGAGGAACATCTTTGGGACACAGATATTGGGGAACATCTTGGCTGGTTATACATGTGTGTGAAACATCACAGTTCAAACACATTAGAAAGACAATAAACTACACAACAATACCTCAAAACAGTTTTATCCTGTATTTGAACAAAAAGCACTAAGACAAAATGTCTTCTTTTATATGTTTATTTGCATGTTTAATTTACTAACTTTGATTAAATCCATTTCCAGATGATCCAGAGCTTCCCTCTGTGTCAGTGAGTCCCTCTGCTGAGATAGTGGAGGGTAATCATGTGACTCTGACCTGCAGCAGTGATGCTAAGCCAGATGCTAACCATACCTGGTACAGAAGAAGTGGACGTCTAAGTCTGAGTCTCAGAAAAGGAAATCAGCTTGTCTTCAGCTCCATTCAGTCCTCAGACTCTGGACAGTATTACTGTAAAGTGAGGGGCATCACCGGGTCCTCTAGGGACGTCTTAGTTTATGTGAAATGTGAGTAAAAAGTCACATTTAAGGATCAACATAAGGATGAAAACCATACACAACCATATCCCAGAAATGATTTTTATTCTGTGTTTGTTTCTTTGTCATTTCTGTTTTTATCCGTCTTCAGATGCTCCAAAGTTCTCTTATGTGTCTGTGAGTCCCTCTTCTGAGATAGTGGAGGGCAGTTCAGTGACTCTGACCTGTATCAGTTACGCCAACCCAGCACCACGTTCCACCTGGTACAAGGAGAACAACACCACGTTTCAGTCAACAGGAGGAATTTATACTTTTCTCAACATCAGCCATCTGGACAGAGGGAGATACAACTGCAGATCTGAGAATCAATATGGATCACATGTATCTCCCCCTCTCTCACTAGATATCCAGTGTGAGTAGAAGACATTACAAAGTTAGATCACCTGGTACAAAACTCTTCTTAACGGCTTAAGTCTCCATGTAAAGTTTTCTTTCGATCTCCTCCAGATGCTCCAAAACGTCCCTTTGTGTCAGTGAGTCCCTCTGCTGAGATAGTGGAGGGTAGTCCAGTAAATCTGACCTGCAGCAGTGATGCTAACCCTGCAGCTACTTACACCTGGTACAAAGAGAGTGAAGACTCAGCAAACGCTTCAGGACAGACCTTCACCATCACTGAGTTCAGAGCTCATCACAGTGGGAATTATTACTGTGAAGCCTGGAACAAAATAGGAAGCCAGAAATCCAGCCCACATCAGATCGTTGCGGCAGGTGAGATATTTACACACCTGCACACAGAGAGCTTACCCAAAATACTCAAAGCAGCTCATGATATGTTTGATTAATTAATTTTTTCCTTCACAAACATGTTTTCTCTGAATCAGATCTTAAAACTGACTAAAGTGAATAATTCATGGAGGGAACTCCATGTCAGATTCTGGCTCAACAGAGTCTCAGACAGAGCTTAAGATATAGACCAGTCTGATTCTGTTAGTAATGTGTCTCACATATCTCTCTTCTTTCATTCAAGGGAAATCAACAATAACAACCATAATTAGCATCAGGTTGACCCTGTTCTTTTTGATGTTGATTCCTCCACCTCTCGTGAGTCTGTTGACAAGGTAAAACCATAAAACTCCATCAATTCAAACACATTTCTTTTATGAGCTTCTTCACTTGGTTCATAGTTTAATTTCTTTTCTCTCTATCACTGTAAAACTGACTGTTCTCAAATGTAATAATCCAGGAAGAAGAAACCTCTGAACTCCAACACTGAACCAAGTGAACCTGCAGAGATGATAGAGGTGAGACCGACTGCTGACAAAATATCTTTACAGACCTGTTCAAAGATGTCAGGATCAAAGTTTCAAAATGGGACTAAAATACTTTCAAAGATGATCAACTCTCTTCATCTGTCCTCAGCTGGACTCTGCTCATGAGAATGAGAAAGTCTCAGCGGTCACTGCAGCACAGACTGAAGACATAGAGGAGCAGGAAGACAGGGTGTAAAGTCCAGTCAGGGTGGGGTGTCTCCAGTGGTGCTGATGGTCTACTGGTCCCATAACTGGACTAGAGTCCCCTGTTGAGCGGTTGCTGGTTCAACTCCCGCCCATGATCCTTTGCTGCACATGTTCTCTCACTTTCTACACTCCTCATTTGCTGTCTTTCTTCTGCTTTCCTATCTACAAAAGGAAAAAATGCCCCAAAACACGACTGTCATGAAAGTCAAATAGAAAAACAAGATACTTTAAAAATCAAGTCAAAAATAAGACGTTTCAAACTCTTACTTTTGTCATGTTGGTTAAGTTTCCTTTATTTTTGCACATTCATGTTTTGTTTCATGTCATGTATTTCCTGTTTTATTTTGTAGTTCACCAACTCTTGTTTCTGTCTTCTAGCTTTGTTCCTGTCTGGTCTGCCTTCGTTTTGTCACACCTGCTGCCTGATTGTGTTTCCCCACCTGTTCCCCATCACCCTCACTACCTCTTGTATTTAATCTCATGCATCTCACTGTCTCGTCACCAGTTCGTTGCACTCTATAGTCACGTTCCAGCATTATGCATAGTTTTAGTCAAGTCATGTGTTACCTTTGCCTGCCTTATTTCTGACCTTGCCGTTTTACAATAAATCCTTGTCTTTTGGACCAACTGATCTGGTGTTGTGCAATTGTGTTCTCTCCTCTGTGTCTTGGTTTATAACAGTTTCTACAGAGAGTCTGACCTCCTCCACCGAGATAACAGACCAACTTCAGATTCATTCTCACTGTCTTAATCTTTTTTTTGTGATTGTACGCAGATGCAGTGTGTTTCACCCTCCAGTTAGTTAAAAAAAAGTCCTGTCAACAAGACTTTGGCAGATCTGTTGGTCCAGCCCCTCTAATATTTCACTGTCCAAAATGATGGGCCAACTCATCTCCTGTGTGGCATATTTATTCTTACAGGAACTGCAAAAACATAAAAACAGTCATTAATAGGAGCGCACTCTGTTCTGTGTCTTTACGCTTCATCCTCACACACTGACTGGACTTCTCTGTTTTATGATAAACACTCTACACTTGCACTGTAAAACAACTCTTAAAGCAACACAATACTACAGTGGTGTTGAAATAAAATCCATGACATTACTGTCTCAATATTTACACTATTTTAACCATTACATCTCCTTTATGAACTGTATAACTGATCTTTAGTTAAGTAAATCTATTTCAAACTAATGTCTTTTAATGTATTAACACTGTACTGTCCCTTAATACACTGAACATAAAGTGTTTTACTTTCCCTCTTCCCACAATGAAAACACACAGTGTGGCTTTAACCTAAAATACAAGCGTGCACAATACAGACTCTCATCACGGTCTACTAACTGGACCATAGCATGGCACCACAGCCGCACCTGCCAGCCCAGCCCCTCACTCAGCTCAACTCCACACAAGCACCTCCCCACAGAAAAAACTTAATCCATTTAATGCGGTTTCTTGATATAAACTTATATTTTTACAGCTGTAATGTGTATCTCTCAGTAGTTAGCCTATCCTTTAAACTCAAAAGAGACATAATTCAGTCCTCTGGTTCATGACCACGATTGCCATGGACTACGAGTCCGCCATTACAGATACACAATCCAGCGAGTCGCCTTTACAAACCCATGAGCTTGTGAATTCACTCTTTAGCTCGACGTCTGTTACACTCCAAGGCACTTAAGATATATTATTACTGTTGTCCATTACTTTTATAGTATTTCTGAACCAGCTAACCTGCAAACACATAAAAACAGTCATTAATAGGAGTGTACTCTATGCTGTGCCTGTACCATTGACTGTATATAAAATGGACGCCGTCTGCCTCCTTGCTGGGTGAAGCCACCCCAAGAACAGCGCCCTCTGGTGGCAGGCTGCAGTATAGGTCATAAATCCTGCCCCCACCAGCCATCCTTATGGGGTCTGTGGACAAACTTTAGAAATTTATTACACAAAATATAAATTCTTCTCCCCCCTAACTGTGATGTTGACATGTAGCTACTGTAAGACTGGTTTGTGCTCAAGTCCTCTTTTTTCTGTGCAGCTCCATTTTTAAAAGTTATTAGGTGGTTCATGTTTTCTATGATTGACACTTGATACAGCCTATGTGCAATGTTGGTTTCAGGAAGTGGAGAAAAAAATGCAGAATCACAGAGAGCTTTTTGGCTTCAAATCCGTATACTGGCAGAAGGTGGAACCAAGTTGTCCAAAGTATATACAGTCTATGGTCTGAACGCTTCATCCTCAGACACTGACTGGACTTCTCCTGCTGTTGCATCAGCTATCCGCTAGGTGAGGTACCGAGTGCCCCCTGCTGGTGAAACATATATTACACTATCTTACAGGAAAATAGACGCTACAGTAGTTTTAGTATTGCACGTGAACTTTATTCATATAAATAAAATGGGGGTTTGACTATTTCCATGCCTTCAATAACGCATAGTGCCACATAAGCAGTAACTCTAAGTGATCTTTTTAATTGATTGCATCTTTATCTTGTAGTGACTGAGAATATTTATGGGATGATCGATGTATGTTACATTTTTGATAATCCTTTCTTGTGACAACGAGCTCTATGAGAGTTTGACTGGAGGTTGAACGCAACATGCTGACTCTACTATTTGTTGTTTGTGTGACACTCTATTTACTCTCTGATTCAAAGGATTACAACACCCCCCCCCAAAAAAAAAAAAAAAAAAAACACTTCCGTTGAAGTTCAAGTGTAATCCACTCATACAGATTAGTTTTTTTCTCCCATACTTTGAGGTTTTTGATTCAACTTTGTTCACCCCCAGACTTTTTGACATCCTTCCTCAACTAATGGAGATAACGTGTCGATACTGATGTTAAAATAAAATCAAAAGATAGGACAAACTTAACCATTTCAAGAGGATTAAGTTGATGAAAAACAGCTTCTTTAAGGTGTGGTCTCTTATTGGTGTTTGAATCAACATTTATGTTATCATTTAAAAAGGAAGGGCTTTTTTGGTCTGTTTCACACTTCAGTTTCCGCCTTCTGCTCACGGACTGCAGAGAAAAGACGCCCTTCAAAACACAACGCTGGTCATATTTGTAAGTAGAATAGTTTAATGAAATGTCTGATACTTTTTCATCTCCTGTTAGCTTTTCATGTCACATATTTGACTTGTGTTATTATCCCTAAAGTCCCAGAGAAAGGAGAGAGGAGCAGAGATGAGTTTAACTGCAGCAGTGAGTGGATTCATCCTTCTCCTCTCTGTATCAGGTACTTCATGTCTAAAGCTTTTCCTCTTCACTCTGAGAAACCTGCAGCCTCTTTTTAATTTGATCAAAAACAGACTCTGCTTACAGAACCTGCAGTTTTTTCTCCAAAATTCTGATTGTAATTTGCTGTATTGAAATCACTTTTTGAGTTTTTTAGTGGATACTAGTTTTGCAGTCAGGCTAGTGTCTCAGGGACTCATTTATTACAACACATCTGCAACAACCCTGTCTGTTCCTCTTCATAGGTGTTATATTTCCATGCTGATGCTGCATTGACAGCACTTATCTAATCATTGAGTATTAGCTGCTGTACAGTTTCTCACCCCTTAGACTTCTGCATTTATTTTTAGATACACACTTGACTGGGCAGCTAACTTTGCACAGAGAAAACTTTCACAGAACAGCACAATCTGTCAAATAATTTACACTGTTAATAATGCTGTTGGGTTAGAGAAGTGTTCATGAATATAAACATCTGTAATTTTTCAGTATGGATAAATCTTCTCTCAGATATTTTGATAAGTAGTTTAAAATCTAATATCAAACAGAGAAAAAAGCTAAACCTGACAAAAATATCTTACATGTGATTGTTATATCAAGATGATGTCGGACTGCACCTCAATGATCTGGTTCAGATTTATTTATTTCATGTTCAGTCTTAAACTTTTCCTGGTCTGGTTAAATTGACTGTGTTCTCTGATTTTTGTGTTTTAGTGGTTCAGCCTCAGAACGGCTGGGAGGTGACTTACTCTAAAACTCAGATCTGTGTCTCCAGAGGATCAACTGTGGAAATAAGCTGCAACTTTAAGTACCCAAAAACAATGGAGAGGAAGCAGAACAAACTCTTAAAAACATTTTGGTTCATCAGGAGACGTGGTGATGAGTTTCTAAACATTGAAACAGACTCAGAGTATTCAGGTCGTGTGAAGACCACGCATGATGGGACCAGATCCACCCTAACAATCACAAACCTGACAGGGAGTGACTCAGCTCAGTACAAGTTCAGGATGGAGACAAGCCTGGACAAATATTCTGGCTACCCAGGTGTCACCCTGTCTGTGAGAGGTAGTTTTCTGTGAAATGTCTCATCCTTTACCTTTTTGAAAATCGTGTAAATTATTGTATTATGTGTATGTTTATGTGGAAAGTACTGACAGTTTTATCTGATCAGATGTCCAGATAAGGGTGAACAGATCACGTGGGCATTTGCAGTTGAAGTGTCTCAGCCGTTGTCGTCAAGATTTTCGATACTGTCTGGTCTGCCCTCGTTTTGTCACACCTGCTGCCTGATTGTGTTTCCCCACCTGTTCCCCATCACCCTCACTACCTCTTGTATTTAATCTCATGCATCTCACTGTCTCGTCACCAGTTCGTTGCACTTTATAGTCACGTTCCAGCATTATGCATAGTTTTAGTCAAGTCATGTATTACCTTTGCCTGCTTTATTTCTGACCTTGCCGTTTTACAATAAATCCTTGTCTTTTGGACCAACTGATCTGGTGTTGTGCAATTGTGTTCTCTCCTCTGTGTCTTGGTTTATAACAATTTCTACAGAGAGTCTGACCTCCTCCACAGAGATAACAGACCAACCTCAGATTCATTCTCACTGTCTTAATCTTTTTTTTTTGTGATTTTACGCAGATGCAGTGTGTTTCACCCTCCAGTTAGTTAAAAAAAAGTCCTGTCAACAAGACTCTGGCAGATCTGTTGGTCCAGCCCCTTTAATATTTCACTGTCCAAAATGATGGGCCATCTCATCTCCTGTGTAGCATATTTATTCTTACAGGAACTGCAAAAACATAAAAACAGTCATTAATAGGAGCGCACTCTGTTCTGTGTCTTTACGCTTCATCCTCACACACTGACTGGACTTCTCTGTTTTATGATAAACACTCTACACTTGCACTGTAAAACAACTCTTACAGCAACACAATACTACAGTGGTGTTGAAATAAAATCCATGACATTACTGTCTCAATATTTATACTATTTTAACCATTACATCTCCTTTATGAACTGTATAACTGATCTTTAGTTAAGTAAATCTATTTCAAACTAATGTCTTTTAATGTATTAACACTGTACTGTCCCTTAATACACTGAACATAAAGTGTTTTACTTTCCCTCTTCCCACAATGAAAACACACAGTGTGGCTTTAACCTAAAATACAAGCGTGCACAATACAGACTCTCATCACGGTCTACTAACTGGACAATAGCATGGCACCACAGCCGCACCTGCCAGCCCAGCCCAGCCCCTCACTCAGCTCAACTCCACACAAGCACCTCCCCACAGAAAAAACTTAATCCATTTAATACGGTTTCTTGATATAAACTTATATTTTTACAGCTGTAATGTGTATCTCTCAGTAGTTAGCCTATCCTTTAAACTCAAAAGAGACATAATTCAGTCCTCTGGTTCATGACCACGATTGCCATGGACTACGAGTCCACCATTACAGATACACAATCCAGCGAGTCGCCTTTACAAACTCTTGAGCTTGTGAATTCACTCTTTAGCTCGACGTCTGTTACACTCCAAGGCACTTAAGATATATCATTACTGTTGTCCATTACTTTTATAGTATTTCTGAACCAGCTAACCTGCAAACACATAAAAACAGTCATTAATAGGAGTGTACTCTATGCTGTGCCTGTACCATTGACTGTATATAAAATGGACGCCATCTGCCTCCTCGCTGGGTGAAGCCACCCCAAGAACAGCGCCCTCTGGTGACAGGCTGCAGTATAGGTCATAAATCCTGCCCCCACCAGCCATCCTTATGGGGTCTGTGGACAAACTTTAGAAATTTATTACACAAAATATAAATTCTTCTCCCCCCTAACTGTGATGTTGACATGTAGCTACTGTAAGACTGGTTTGTGCTCAAGTCCTCTTTTTTCTGTGCAGCTCCATTTTTAAAAGTTATTAGGTGGTTCATGTTTTCTATGATTGACACTTGATACAGCCTATGTGCAATGTTGGTTTCAGGAAGTGGAGAAAAAAATGCAGAATCACAGAGAGCTTTTTGGCTTCAAATCCGTTTACTGGCAGAAGGTGGAACCAAGTTGTCCAAAGTATATACAGTCTATGGTCTGAACGCTTCATCCTCAGACACTGACTGGACTTCTCCTGCTGTTGCATCAGCTATCCGCTAGGTGAGGTACCGAGTGCCCCCTGCTGGTGAAACATATATTACACTATCTTACAGGAAAATAGACGCTACAGTAGTTTTAGTATTGCACGTGAACTTTATTCATATAAATAAAATGGGGGGTTGACTATTTCCATGCCTTCAATAACTCATAGTGCCACATAAGCAGTAACTCTAAGTGATCTTTTTAATTGATTGCATCTTTATCTTGTAGTGACTGAGAATATTTATGGGATGATCGATGTATGTTACATTTTAGATAATCCTTTCTTGTGACAACGAGCTCTATGAGAGTTTGACTGGAGGTTGAACGCAACATCCTGACTCTACTATTTGTTGTTTGTGTGACACTCTATTTACTCTCTGATTCAAAGGATTACAACACCCCCCCCCAAAAAAAAAAAAAAAAAAAACACTTCCGTTGAAGTTCAAGTGTAATCCACTCATACAGATTAGTTTTTTTCTCCCATACTTTGAGGTTTTTGATTCAACTTTGTTCACCCACAGACTTTTTGACATCCTTCCTCAACTAATGGAGATAACGTGTCGATACTGATGTTAAAATAAAATCAAAAGATAGTACAAACTTAACCATTTCAAGAGGATTAAGTTGATGAAAAACAGCTTCTTTAAGGTGTGGTCTCTTATTGGTGTTTGAATCAACATTTATGTTATCATTTAAAAAGGAAGGGCTTTTTTGGTCTGTTTCACACTTCAGTTTCCGCCTTCTGCTCACGGACTGCAGAGAAAAGACGCCCTTCAAAACACAACGCTGGTCATATTTGTAAGTAGAATAGTTTAATGAAATGTCTGATACTTTTTCATCTCCTGTTAGCTTTTCATGTCACATATTTGACTTGTGTTATTATCCCTAAAGTCCCAGAGAAAGGAGAGAGGAGCAGAGATGAGTTTAACTGCAGCAGTGAGTGGATTCATCCTTCTCCTCTCTGTATCAGGTACTTCATATCTACAGCTTTTCCTCTTCACTCTGAGAAACCTGCAGCCTCTTTTTAATTTGATCAAAAACAGACTCTGTTTGCAGAACCTGCAGTTTTTTCTCCAAAATTCTGATTGTAATTTGCTGTATTGAAATCACTTTTTGAGTTTTTTAGTGGATACTAGTTTTGCAGTCAGGCTAGTGTCTCAGGGACTCATTTATTACAACACATCTGCAACAACCCTGTCTGTTCCTCTTCATAGGTGTTATATTTCCATGCTGATGCTGCATTGACAGCACTTATCTAATCATTGAGTATTAGCTGCTGTACAGTTTCTCACCCCTTAGACTTCTGCATTTATTTTTAGATACACACTTGACTGGGCAGCTAACTTTGCACAGAGAAAACTTTCACAGAACAGCACAATCTGTCAAATAATTTACACTGTTAATAATGCTGTTGGGTTAGAGAAGTGTTCATGAATATAAACATCTGTAATTTTTCAGTATGGATAAATCTTCTCTCAGATATTTTGATAAGTAGTTTAAAATCTAATATCAAACAGAGAAAAAAGCTAAACCTGACAAAAATATCTTACATGTGATTGTTATATCAAGATGATGTCGGATTGCACCTCAATGATCTGGTTCAGATTTATTTATTTCATGTTCAGTCTTAAACTTTTCCTGGTCTGGTTAAATTGACTGTGTTCTCTGATTTTTGTGTTTTAGTGGTTCAGCCTCAGAACGGCTGGGAGGTGACTTACTCTAAAACTCAGATCTGTGTCTCCAGAGGATCAACTGTGGAAATAAGCTGCAACTTTAAGTACCCAAAAACAATGGAGAGGAAGCAGAACAAACTCTTAAAAACATTTTGGTTTATCAGGAGACGTGGTGATGAGTTTCTAAACATTGAAACAGACTCAGAGTATTCAGGTCGTGTGAAGACCACGCATGATGGGACCAGATCCACCCTAACAATCACAAACCTGACAGGGAGTGACTCAGCTCAGTACAAGTTCAGGATGGAGACAAGCCTGGACAAATATTCTGGCTACCCAGGTGTCACCCTGTCTGTGAGAGGTAAAGTTTTCTGTGAAATGTCTCATCCTTTACCTTTTTTGAAAATCCTGTAAATGATTATATTATGTGTATGTTTATGTGGAAAGTACTGACAGTTTTATCTGATCAGATGTCCAGATAATGGTGAGCAGACCAGGTGGGCATTTGCAGTTGAAGTGTCTCAGCGGTTGTCGTCAAGATTTTCGATACATTTGGTTCAAGAATGGAGAGAAAATTAAGAACCAAAATTCAAAATATCATCGACCAGACCAGACTCTGAACACAGACAGATTTTCCTGTGCTGTAGAAGGATATGAGGACTTCCCCTCTCCTTCAGTGTGTGAGTTTACCCCTCCCTTTCCTCTAACACAACACTATCTGATGGAGGTTTTAAAATTTGGTGCGTGCCCTGACTCTCTGGTCTGTGGCTAACATTTCCACTTTAAAAAACATCTCATATCTGTGATGCTCAGAGTAAAAACTCAATAGTAAAGAGTTGTTAAAGGACAGAGAGCATAAACCAAGTACATCAGTGACTGAAATGTTAACTGTAAAATGTGTTTCTTCTTCAGATGCTTTCGAGCCTCCCTCTGTGTCAGTGAGTTCCTCTGCTGAGATAATGGAGGGAAAAAATGTGACTCTGACCTGCAGCAGTGATGCTAATGTAGAATCCAGTTATACCTGGTATCAAAGAAATGAACCTCTATATCCTCTGCGTCTCAGGAGAGGACCTCAGCTTGTCTTCAGCTCCATCAAGTCCTCAGACTTTGGACAGTATTACTGTGAAGTGAGGAACATCTTTGGGACACAGATATCGGGGAACATCTTGGCTGGTTTGACATGTGTGTGAAACATCACAGTTCAAACACATTAGAAAGACAATAAACTACACAACAATACCTCAAAACAGTTTTATCCTGTATTTGAACAAAAAGCACTAAGACAAAATTTCTTCTTTTATATGTTTATTTGCAAGTTTAATTTACCAACTTTGATTAAATCCATTTCCAGATGATCCAGAGCTTCCCTCTGTGTCAGTGAGTCCCTCTGCTGAGATAGTGGAGGGTAATCATGTGACTCTGACCTGCAGCAGTGATGCTAAGCCAGATGCTACTTATACCTGGTACAGAAGAAGTGGACGTCTAAGTCTGAGTCTCAGAAAAGGAAATCAGCTTGTCTTCAGCTCCATTCAGTCCTCAGACTCTGGACAGTATTACTGTAAAGTGAGGGGCATCACTGAGTCCTCTAGGGACGTCTTAGTTTATATGAAATGTGAGTAAAAAGTCACATTTAAAGAGCAACAGAAGGATGAAAACCATACACAACCATATCCCAGAACATTTTTTATTCTGTTTGTTTCTTTGTCATTTCTGTTTTTATCCGTCTTCAGATGCTCCAAAGTTCTCTTATGTGTCTGTGAGTCCCTCTTCTGAGATAGTGGAGGGCAGTTCAGTGACTCTGACCTGTATCAGTTACGCCAACCCAGCACCACGTTCCACCTGGTACAAGGAGAACAACACCACATTTCAGTCAACAGGAGGAATTTATACTTTTCTCAACATCAGCCATCTGGACAGAGGGAGATACAACTGCAGATCTGAGAATCAATATGGATCACATGTATCTCCCCCTCTCTCACTAGATATCCAGTGTGAGTAGAAGACATTACAAAGTTAGATCACCTGGTACAAAACTCCTCTTAACGGCTGAAAGTCTCCATGTAGGAAACTTGAATGACTAAAGTTTTCTTTCGATCTCCTCCAGATGCTCCAAAACGTCCCTCTGTGTCAGTGAGTCCCTCTGCTGAGATAGTGGAGGGTAGTTCAGTAAATCTGACCTGCAGCAGTGATGCTAACCCTGCAGCTACTTACACCTGGTACAAAGAGAATGAAGACTCAGCAAAAGCTTCAGGACAGACCTTCACCATCACTGAGTTCAGAGCTAATCACAGTGGGAATTATTACTGTGAAGCCCGGAACAAAATAGGACGCCAGAAATCCAGCCCACATCAGATCGTTGCAGCAGGTGAGATACTGTATTTACACACCTGCACACAGAGAGCTTACCCAGAATACACAATTCATCATTTATCAGAACCTGCTGAACATGAGGTCAGAGAAATTATAGTTTCTCTACCAAGTTTTTTTGACTGCAGCTGGTTTCATAGTTAAAGGAAAAGATTTTAACAAATAACCTCAAAAGTTTTCTAGATGAGACAGTTTGATCCACTGGGTAGGAGACAAAAAATAAAGTAAATCCTCACAATATTAAAGTAGCTGCCTACTAAAAAAAAATAAATATATGCATAAATAAAATTTAAAACAGAGCTGAAATTGCAAAGACTGAGCAGCTTTTACCTTCAGAGAAATCCTGTTTTTCTTATGGGCTCTCATAAAGAACTCAGTCGGGCAAAATCAGGATTACAGGGGAGACGTAGGTAGTGCTGTGTGCATGTGTATGCTGTTGGTGGCAAAGATTATAGACCATGAAAATTTATGTCAGTAACATATATCTGATCACCATTTCTCAGGAGGAGGGTTAGTACCAGTTGTTGCTGGAACAGTTGCTGTTGTCCTGGTGGTTCTCGTGTTCCTCTCTGTCTTCTTGTGGATCAGGTGAGCAGCTCTGTTTCACTAAGTTATCATAACTCAGTTTATCAGATGCAGGAAATCTTTTACATTTTAATTTATTCATTATTTTACCAGAAAAAAGAGAGCTACCAACGAATCACCTGCAAATGAAGCAAGACCAGACGACAGAGGGGAGGTGAGAACAGTTATTCATATTATTCAAGATAAAAGAAAACCGCTCCTGAGGTGGAATACAGACACACTGCTACTGGTTATAGAAACTTTTGGTCTAATTAGGGACAACAGGAGGAGCTGGTTGACCTTCAGTATGCCAGCATCAGCTTCTCCAAGAATCCTACAGATCTGTACAGTAACATCAGACCAACTCAACCCAGCAGACAAAAGGAGCAACAGGATGTCACTGAGTACGCTGCTGTCAATGTTAGTCGTGCCGGCGCCACCAAAAGGTGAGAAACTCTTTAACGAGGACTAGCCTTCTCACTATAAGATGAAACCTGTCTTGTTTTGAAAAGTTTCATCTTTTTTTCCCTAAAGTGTTTTTATTTTGTAAAAACAAAATTGATGATTTAGTTTCTCAGTCTTCTGAGTCTTAGTTGTTTCTTGGTTTCCCTCCTCAGAACCAGAAGTTCAGAGACCGGAGAGGATCCTACTGCAGTGTACAGCACGGTCAACAAATCTAGATGATCCCATGATGCATTTATCACCTGAGTTTTCTTAGTCTGTTTTCTGTCATGAGTTTGTATTTGCAGAGGTTATCATAACGTTTGTAACATAGATTTCTGATGATCAGCTTTGCCTCTAAATATATACAGAAGAAAGAGACAGTTACAGACATTTTATTTCCTTCACATTAACTAACAGTAAACAGCTAACTTTTGATCTGCTATCTAACCAAAACTTGAGTGCCTTTAACTCTCACAAAAACTCACCAAACATGGCATATGAATCAGACATGTTGAAAAAAATGTGGACGTGGTTGAATTGCCCACTTGTGCCACCTGGAGGTATTCAAAGGTACAGCCTCTCGGGGCTTGAATGAATGAAAGAGTTGAGAGGTTTAGCCAAAAATGGTAAAATGATGTCCCAGTGGGGCTTTTTATTTGACTAAACCATCAGTGAGCAATAAATCAGTATGATGTAGTTTTTCTGATGTTTAACTGACCTCTAGTGGGGAAGTTTAAGAATCACATTCAGACTTCATTTAAGTGCCCTTTCATTTGTTTTATTTATTCATAAACTCTGAGGTTTTATTTAATCAGCATTTTTTAAACTTTTTGCTTTGATACATACCTGCTATTTAATCTTTATTAAAAGAAGCAGGTGAAAACACCTTTCTGTTGTGCATTGTTCTGCAAAGTAAACATATTAGAAAAAAGCTGTGAATACAGATTTGTGTTATTTTTTTGTCTCTTATATCTAAAACTCTGTCCGGTTGTCATCCTGTTCATATAGATACACTACAGGCCAAAATTTTGGAAGCAAAGCCATTACAGGCCGAACAGTTGGGAGTAACTTCAAGTTTTTGTTCAAAATGCTTTTTTTTTTTTAAATCCAGCATGAGTTTTATGTATTTTTTACTCAATGGTCAGATGTTGCTTTCATTGAAATGCACCATTTTACTCCATTTACCTGTAGATATACATTGATGTTAACAGACCATTGCTAAATATATGTCAGCAAAAGAAAATAAGGGCTTAGTTTTAGGGTTGAAAACATTTGCAAGAGTCACAACTTCAGTGCAAAAGCAAAAAAACAAATCACAGTTGGATTATTCACGTCAACTTTTTGGCTTTTGAGAGCCTGCATACAAAAATCCTACCCCCAAAATGGCTAGAAAGAAGCAACTGAGTAAAGAAACAAAAGTACAGATTTGTACATTGAGGAAAGAAGGATACACAGAAAGAGAAATTGCAAAACGCCTAAAGGTGTCTAACAAAGGAGTCCACTACACTCTGAAGAGACTAGAGGAACCTGGAAGTTATGATGATAGAAAAAAAACTGGATGAAAGAGAGTTACTACAAAAGCAGAGGATAAACATATCATTGTCACAGTAAGAGAGATCGGCGAAAGACAGCACCAAAAATAAGGGAGGAAATCAACATGACAAGGTCGAAACCCATATCTCTGACAACGGTGAAAAGACATTTGAGAAAGGCTGGTCTGAAGGGTTGTGTATCTGTGAACTGTTCAAAAACGCAGAGTCAATGTCCACGGACAAACTGGTGAATGTCTGAAAGCACCATGTGTTACACCCATAATTCAGCATGGAGTAGGAGATTTGTTTGAAGTAAAGGGTATCATGAAGAAGGAACAGTACCACTCCATCCTCCAGCACCATGCTGTTCCATCTGGACTCAGACTTGTGGCTCATAAGTTTGTTTTGCAGCAAGACAATGACCCTAAGCACTCTGCCAAGCTCTGTCAGGGTTACCTAGACAAAAAAGAAGAGGAAGGTGTTCTTCAAAAGATGGTTTGGCCCCCTCAGTCTTCAGACCTTTCTCCAATTGAACTTGTGCGGGATGAATTGGATCGATCGGTCGGTCAGAAAGGCGCGTCTCACGAATCAGCGGTCTCTTTTTAATGAACTTAAGAAAGCTTGGAATGTAATTCCTGGAACATACCTTAAAAGACTTGTGGAACGAATGCCTGGTATATGCCAAGCTGTTGTTAAAGCCAGAGGAGGTTACTTTAAAGAAAGCAAAGTCTAAGCAACAATAACTCAAATACCTAATAATTATAGTCAAAATGTCTTCTGATAAGTTACTCTTTACACAATAGTCATGTTTATTGTGTTGCAAAGTATATTAATGAAACTATGATCTTTTTTTGTACAAATCTGATCTTGCTTCCAAACTTTTGGCCTGTAGTATATATGTATACACTCACCGGCCACTTTATTAGGTACACCATGCTAGTAACGGGTTGGACCCCCTTTTGCCTTCAGAACTGCCTCAATTCTTCGTGGCATAGATTCAACAAGGTGCTGGAAGCATTCCTCAGAGAGCTTGGTCCATATTGACATGATGGCATCACACAGTTGCCGCAGATTTGTCGGCTGCACATCCATGATGCGAATCTCCCGTTCCACCACATCCCAAAGATGCTCTATTGGATTGAGATCTGGTGACTGTGGAGGCCATTTGAGTACAGTGAACTCATTGTCATGTTCAAGAAACCAGTCTGAGATGATTCCAGCTTTATGACATGGCGCATTATCCTGCTGAAAGTAGCCATCAGAAGTTGGGTACATTGTGGTCATAAAGGGATGGACATGGTCAGCAACAATACTCAGGTAGGCTGTGGCGTTGCAACGATGCTCAATTGGTACCAAGGGGCCCAAAGAGTGTCAAGAAAATATTCCCCACACCATGACACCACCACCACCAGCCTGAACCGTTGATACAAGGCAGGATGGATCCATGCTTTCATGTTGTTGATGCCAAATTCTGACCCTACCATCCGAATGTCGCAGCAGAAATCGAGACTCATCAAACCAGGCAACGTTTTTCCAATCTTCTATTGTCCAATTTCGATGAGCTTGTGCAAATTGTAGCCTCAGTTTCCTGTTCTTAGCTGAAAGGAGTGGCACCCGGCGTGGTCTTCTGCTGCTGTAGCCCATCTGCCTCAAAGTTCGACGTATTGTGCGTTCAGAGATGCTCTTCTGCCTACCTTGGTTGTAACGGGTGGTTATTTGAGTCACTGTTGCCTTTCTATCAGCTCGAACCAGTCTGGCCATTCTCCTCTGACCTCTGGCATCAACAAGGCATTTCCGCCCACAGAACTGCCGCTCACTGGATATTTTTTCTTTTTCGGACCATTCTCTGTAAACCCTAGAGATGGTTGTGCGTGAAAATCCCAGTAGATCAGCAGTTTCTGAAATACTCAGACCAGCCCTTCTGGCACCAACAACCATGCCACGTTCAAAGTCACTCAAATCACCTTTCTTCCCCATACTGATGCTCGGTTTGAACTGCAGGAGATTGTCTTGACCATGTCTACATGCCTAAATGCACTAAGTTGCCGCCATGTGATTGGCTGATTAGAAATTAAGTGTTAACGAGCAGTTGGACAGGTGTACCTAATAAAGTGGCCGGTGAGTGTATATATATATATATATATATATATATATATATATACAAATAGATAGATATACTGTGTGTGTGTGTGTGTGTGTGTGTGTGTGTGTGTGTGTGTGTGTGTGTTTGTATATACATATATATATATATATATATATATATATACATGACAGAGGCACAAAAAGGCATTGGTAAAAACACCAGAAGAGCAAAACACCAGCTACTGGTAGACAGAACAGTTGCTCGAGACTGCAGAACCAGACAGACCAATCTGTGCACTGCCTTGATTGATTACAAGAAAGCCTACGACTCGATGCCACACACCTGGATCCTGGAATGCCTGAAACTGCACAAGTCAACAAGACTCTAAGAGCCTTAATTGCAAACTCAATGGGCTCTATTTTTGTGTACGCCTGTAAGGCGGCGGAGGGTGGCTGACCCCGCGCAGTTGTATTTTCGTCTGGCGGAGCCCGGCGTACAGCCAGTTTGGTATTTTCGTGGACTGAGGCGCACTGAGGTTGAACCGAGATCCGCCAAGCTGGGCGTGGTGGCGTGGTAGGGGGAGGTGTCGACTGAATCAGCGGGCGCAGTGACATTTTTGTGCTCGCCAGTGGCGTGTAAAGTGCGCTGAAAGCTTGCCGATTCAAAGCTGGTCAGCTTTCAGCGCAGGCAGAGCGCAGCTGGTCTAGTAGTATTTTGGTAGACCGGCGGCGTATCGGCATACATCACCGATGCCTCACCGGCAGGATTCCACAGTGTCAGGCACATTTCAGTGCAATAAATAATCATCAACAACTAATAATCTGAGTCAGCACATACATTTAGATCTATATAGATATATTCTGATCTATATCTGATCTGATGAGCGCGTTTGGCACGCGTTTGGACACACAACCTGACCAAATCAACAACAACAATAATAATAATAATAATAATAATAATAGATTTTATTTGTAACGCACTTTACATTTAAAAACAAATCTCAAAGTGCACAACAAGACAACAATAACAGTAAAAACCAAGCAACAGGGCAAAACAATAAAAAACAGTCAGCAGATAAAATCAGATAAAATTTGTCCGGGTAGGCTTTCCAAAAGAGCTGAACAGCTGAAACCGCATTAAATTTCTTCCTCTTCCTTTTATTTCTCGCACAGCTCAACCTGGACATGTCTCCGTGTCCTCTCTCCGTCCTGCTGCAGTGGCGGCTGAACAGATGATTTGTTTCAGTGCTCAGATGCGTTATCTACTTTAAGCCGACATACTGATATTATGATATTCAGTTTTGTGAGCCAAATTTATTTCATTTGCCAACATCTATGAAAGAAAGAGCCAGGCCACAGAGCGCGATGCATCATTTACGCACCGATGGTTCCGATTTTAATGTCATTTTTGGAGTTTATGTTGTGATCTGTGCGCACAACCCACCTTTGTCACGTGAGGTTTGAATATATGCAACTTTATATGAGTGTCTTTATTTGTGGAAAAGGGTGTTTGTCTTACCAGTGGGTTCAACCTTACACACACCAAATCTATCTGTGCTCATATAAGACAGTGTGGAGGACTCCCAATGCAGCGCTACAGTGACACTTGTTGAGGAGCTGCCTTCTGTCGCCACCTTGTGGCATTACTGTCTTCGGACATCTCTTGATCTCTTTGACTACTTCACGAAAATAGTAATACACCTCGCCTGTGGCGGATTTAAAGGCAAGGAGAGGAGCTTATGTGATTGGTGAAAACAGGTCTCGGCTGTGTTAAACCCACTCCATGCCCTCTCTCCTCCCTTGCTACGACTTACGCCGCTGGGAGGAGCTGAGTTAGGGAGGGGGGATACTTACACCGGGCTGCGCTGCTCACCAAAATACCAAATTGTGCTTGGGAACGCCTTGTTGGCGCGGCGGACCTGACTTATGCCGCGCCTGCGGCACGTCTCCGGCGAGGCACGAAAATAGAGCCCAATGAGGCAATGGAACGCCACCCTTCAGGCCAACTTCAAGCCAATAGCACAAGTCTCCATCAAATGTGGCATATATCAAGGAGATGCTCTGTCCCCACTGCTGTTCTACATAGGCTTGGATCCCCTCAGCCAAATAATCAATAATACTGGCTACGGATACCGACTCCGAAGTGGGATCACCATCAGCCACCTCCTCTACATGGACAACATTAAGCTGTACGCTAAGAGCAAGCGAGACATCGACTAATTGATCCACACCCCCAGGGTCTACAGCCGTAACATCAGAATGTCGTTCGGACTGGAGAATATATATATATATATATATATATATATATATATATATATATATGTATAAATTTTTTTTTCAGATTCAAATGCTGCATGCTCACGATCTGTAAATATATATAATAGTTACCTCAGTAATGGCTGACTGCAGTGACTCTGCATCACTGCCTCTGTAAAAAACATGTTACACATGCAAAGGCTTAAAAAGTTTATTCTTCTCACCACTTTTTAAATTTATGATTTTAAAAACAAAATATCGAGAATGTTTTAAAGTACAATGGCAAAAAGTGACACACAAAAGCTGAGTCTTGCATCTGGAGACTCTTTGCAGATATATCTTCATGGCTTTGTGATAAGTTAGAAATAAGGTATCCTCTTTTGCAGGTTTTAGTGGCTGCAGGTCTCCTGGGGACACTTATTAACTAATCTTAGTGACTTGGTGACTCATGTGGTTTACAAGTATCAAAACTGTGAAGAGGAAGGAAGTGAGGCTTATTTCAACATCTTACTTCTATCCACTGCTTACACCACTGACATGAAACCATTTCAAGTGAAAACTACTTTATGCAGCAAATGCTGGATTTGATTTATCAATGTTTCGTGGGTTTCATCTTTCTTTTAACTACTTCTGAAACTAGCTATGAGTTCAACAGCAACCAAGAGTGGATTAGTCATCATCTTTCTCTCCATGACAGGTAATAATCTTTCTGTTCTTCAAATCCACAGAGAAAGAGAGATGGAGAGAAAAAAGAATTACCAAATAAAACATATTTACAACTTTAATGCCAGTAATGATAGTGATGTTTGTGGGGCAGTAGGAAAAGCAGGGTTTGACAAAAATAACTACTTGTAAAGAGGATGAATGGGGAACAGCGATAATGTTAAGGAAAGCGTCACAAGCAATGATTAAGAGGAAGTAAAGATGTAGTGTTGGTGTCTTTGAAGTAAAGTAAAATTGTATTCAGTAGAAAGAGTGTTCTGGTCAAGGCCTATGGTGGCATAACTGAGAGCAAGTCAATTCATCAAAAATGAAAGTTTTAAACCTGATTTTAAAAGTACAGGGATATCCTCTAATCTGGACTTGAGTCCACAATCTCCACCATCCATAGACTTTAAGGTACCGCACAAAGACACTCTGTAAATGCAATGTTCTAGTCTGGTTGGAGGAAACTACAATAAGGAGTGGGATTTTAAATACTATTCTTCATTTTATTGCAAGCGCAGAGAATGAACTGCCAAGGAGCACAGTAAATATATAACCTTTTTTTGCTTTTGGAGAAAAAAGGCACAAAAATACTAGAGGACCAGGGGAGTCTTAATTTAATCAAAAACAGACTCTGTTTGCAGAACCAGCAGTTTTTTTCGCCACAATTCGTATTGTTATTTGCTATGATTGAATCACTTTTTGAGTTTTTTAGTGGATTTTAGTTTTGCAGTCAGGTCAGCGTCTCAGCGACTCATTTATCACCATACATCTGCAACAACCCTGTCTGTTCCTCTTTATTAGGTGTTAGGTTTCCATGCTGATGCTGCATTCACAGCACTTATCTGATCCATATTTATTTACTTTCAAAATTTTTCAACCAGATTGAAAATCTGTGGGATTGATTAGCCTCAATCCACTGTTTATATAGGTGCAAAATCAAATAATCCGATCATGACGGTCATATACATGCACCAAGTTTTATTCAGATTAGGAGCATTTGCACATGTGCAGAGTTGTCTGGTTTCGCTAAAACAACCGCGGAAGAAGAATTGTATTTATGCCTGTGCTGTCAACAAACCAACAAATGTGGGAGTGGCTCACTCCATCCAATCCAGGATTCCCCCCCCTGTTAAATGTTGTCACTAGATGGCGCCCTTGCGTACTTATTTTACTGTTCTGCCAAAGGTTGCACTGTGCGTGCAAATGTGACATCATCACGCTGTTTGTACGCCTTGTTATGTTTCCAGAGGGGCAGACACAGCACCTCCGGTTGTGTTTTATGCCAGAGTGTTAATAGTGAAACTTCATGTACTGGCCTCAGTAAATAAACCAAAAGCTGAAAAGTGAAGATCGAGTCAAGTAAGAGAGTCACAATCGGAAAAAGTGTTTACGTGGATGCATTTCGGAATAGCGATCGGCCTAAACCACCCCTCTTGATCGGAATACAGTTTCTTTCCGAATGAGCTGAATTGGATCAGAATCTTCCGATCGACATGTTTACATGACGCATTGTTATTCTGATCGTGCATTTATTCCGATTATTTGTGCCCATGTAAACGCAGCTATTGAGTATTAGCTTCTGTACAGTTTCTCACACTTCTGCATTCATTTTTAGATACACACTTGACTGGGCAGCTAACTTTGCACAGAGAAAACTTTCACAGAACAGCACAATCTGTTAAATAATTTACACTGTTAATGCTGCTGTTGGGTTAGAAAAATGTTAATGTATATAGACGTCTGTAAATTTTCTGCATGGAGAAATCTTCTGTCTTCTATATTTTGATAAGCTTTTTAAAATCTGAGAGAAAACTGTTTCTAAACTGAGAAAAAAACTGACAAAAATATCTTACATGTGATTGTTATATTGAGATGATGTCGGACTGCACCTCAATGATCTGGTTCAGATTTATTTATTTCATGTTCAGTCTTGAACTTTTCCTGGTCTGGTTAAATTGACTGTGTTCTCTGATTTTTGTGTTTTAGTGGTTCAGCCTCAGAACGGCTGGGAGGTGACTTACTCTACAGCTCAAATCTCTGTCTCTAGAGGATCAACTGCGGAAATAAGCTGCAACTTTAAGTACCCAAAAACAATGGAGAGGAAGCAGAACAAACTCTTAAAAACATTTTGGTTTATTAGGAAAAGTGGTGATGAGTTTCTAAATATTGAAACAGACTCAGAGTATTCAGGTCGTGTGAAGACCACCTGTGATGGGACCAGATCCACCCTAACAATCACAAACCTGACAGGGAGTGACTCAGCTGAATACATGTTCAGGATGGAGACAAGCTTTGACAAATATTTTGGCAGCGGAGGTGTGACCTTGTCTGTCAGAGGTAAAGTTTTCTCTGAAATTTTTCATCTTTTATCTTTTTTAAAATCCTGTAAATGATTGTATCATGTGTATGTTTATGTGGAAAGTACTGACAGTTTTATCTGATCAGATGTCCAGATAATGGTGAGCAGACCAGGTGGGCATTTGCAGTTGAAGTGTCTCAGCCGTTGTCGTCAAGATTTTCGATACATTTGGTTCAAGAACGGAGAGAAGATTAAGAACCAAAATTCAAAAGATCATCAACCAGACCAGATTCTGAACAAAGACAGATTTTCCTGTGCTGTAGAAGGATATGAGGACTTCCCCTCTCCTTCAGTGTGTGAGTTTACCCCTCCCTTTCCTCTAACACAACACTATCTGATGGAGGTTTTAAAATTTAGTGCGTGCACTGACTCTCTGGTCTGTGGCTAACATTTCCACTTTAAAAAACATCTCATATCTGTGATGCTCAGAGTAAAAACTCAATAGTAAAGAGTTGTTAAAGGACAGAGAGCATAAACCAAGTACATCAGTGACTGAAATGTTAACTGTAAAATGTGTTTCTTCTTCAGATGCTTTCGAGCCTCCCTCTGTGTCAGTGAGTTCCTCTGCTGAGATAATGGAGGGAAAAAATCTGACTCTGACCTGCAGCAGTGATGCTAATGTAGAATCCAGTTATACCTGGTATCAAAGAAATGAACCTCTATATCCTCTGCGTCTCAGGAGAGGACCTCAGCTTGTCTTCAGCTCCATCAAGTCCTCAGACTTTGGACAGTATTACTGTGAAGTGAGGAACATCTTTGGGACACAGATATCGGGGAACATCTTGGCTGGTTTGACATGTGTGTGAAACATCACAGTTCAAACACATTAGAAAGACAATAAACTACACAACAATACCTCAAAACAGTTTTATCCTGTATTTGAACAAAAAGCACTAAGACAAAATTTCTTCTTTTATATGTTTATTTGCAAGTTTAATTCACTAACTTTGATTAAATCCATTTCCAGATGATCCAGAGCTTCCCTCTGTGTCAGTGAGTCCCTCTGCTGAGATGGTGGAGGGTAAACATGTGACTCTGACCTGCAGCAGTGATGCTAAGCCAGATGCTACTTATACCTGGCACAGAAGAAATGGTGATCTAAGTCCTCAGCGTCTCGGATGGAGAAATCAGCTTGTTTTCAGCTCCATCCAGGTGTCAGACTCTGGACAGTATTATTGTATAGAGTTGGGCGTCATCAAGGCCTATAGGGATGTCTTAGTCTATGTGAAATGTGAGTAAAAAGTCACATTTAAAGGGCAACAGAAGGATGAAAACCATACACAACCATATCCCAGAACATTTTTTTATTCTGTGTTTGTTTCTCTGTCATTTCTGTTTTTATCTGTCTTCAGATGCTCCAAAGCTGTCTTATGTGTCTGTGAGTCCCTCTTCTGAGATAGTGGAGGGCAGTTCAGTGACTCTGACCTGTATCAGTTACGCCAACCCAGCACCACGTTCCACCTGGTACAAGGAGAACAACACCACGTTTCAGTCAACAGGAGGAATTTATACTTTTCTTTACATCAGCCATCTGGACAGAGGGAGATACAACTGCAGATCTGAGAATCAATATGGATCACATGTATCTCCCCCTCTCTCACTAGATATCCAGTGTGAGTAGAAGACATTACAAAGTTAGATCACCTGGTACAAAACTCTTCTTAACGGCTGAAAGTCTCCATGTAAAGTTCTCTTTCGATCTCCTCCAGATGCTCCAAAACGTCCCTCTGTGTCAGTGAGTCCCTCTGCTGAGATAGTGGAGGGTAGTCCAGTAAATCTGACCTGCAGCAGTGATGCTAACCCTGCAGCTACTTACACCTGGTACAAAGAGAATGAAGACGCAGCAAACGCTTCAGGACAGACCTTCACCATCACTGAGTTCAGAGCTCATCACAGTGGGAATTATTACTGTGAAGCCCGGAACAAAATAGGACACCGAAAATCCAGCCCACATCTGATTGTTGCAGCAGGTGAGATATTTATACACCTGCACACAGAGAGCTTACCCAGAATACACAATTCATCATTTATCAGAACCTGCTGAACATGAGGTCAGAGAAATTATAGTTTCTCTACCAAGAAATGCATTTTTTTCAGATAGATTTGTAATTTTTTTTTCCAACCAGAACATGATTTTTTTGACTGCAGCTGGTTTCATAGTTAAAGAAAAAGATTTTTACAAATAACCTCAAAAGTCTTCTGGAGGAAAGTTTGATCCACTGGGTAGGAGACAAAAAATAGAGTAAATCCTCACAACATTAAACTAGCGGCCTACTAAGAAAAAAAAAATAAATAAATGCATCAATAAAATTTAAAACAGAGCTGAAATTGCAAAGACTGAGCAGCTTTTACCTTCAGAGAAATCCTGTTTTTCTTATGGGCTCTCATGAAGAATTCAGTCGGGCAAAATCAGGATTACAGGGGAGACGTAGGTAGTGCTGTGTGCATGTGTATGCTGTTGGTGGCAAAGATTATAGACCATGAAAATTTATGTCAGTAACATATATCTGATCACCATTTCTCAGGAGGAGGGTTAGTACCAGTTGTTGCTGGAACAGTTGCTGTTGTCCTGGTGGTTCTCGTGTTCCTCTCTGTCTTCTTGTGGATCAGGTGAGCAGCTCTGTTTCACTGAGTTATCATAACTCAGTTTATCAGATGCAGGAAATCTTTTACATTTTAATTTATTCATTATTTTACCAGAAAAAAGAGAGCTACCAACAAATCACCTGCAAATGAAGCAAGACCAGACGACAGAGGGGAGGTGAGAACAGTTAATCATAATATTCAAGATAAAAGAAAACCGCTCCTGAGGTGGAATACAGACACACCGCTACTGGTTATAGAAACTTTTGGTCTAATTAGGGACAACAGGAGGAGCTGGTTGACCTTCAGTATGCCAGCATCAGCTTCTCCAAGAATCCTACAGATCTGTACAGTAACATCAGACCAACTCAGCCCAGCAGACAAAAGGAGCAACAGGATGTCACTGAGTACGCTGCTGTCAATGTTAGTCGTGCCGGCGCCACCAAAAGGTGAGAAACTCTTTAACGAGGACTAGCCTTCTCACTATAAGATGAAACCTGTCTTGTTTTGAAAAGTTTCATCTTTTTTTCCCTAAAGTGTTTTTATTTTGTAAAAACAAAATTGATGATTTAGTTTCTCAGTCTTCTGAGTCTTAGTTGTTTCTTGGTTTCCCTCCTCAGAACCAGAAGTCCAGAGACCGGAGAGGATCCTACTGCAGTGTACAGCACAGTCAACAAATCTAGAAGATCACATGATGCATTTATCACCTGAGTTTTCTTAGTCTGTTTTCTGTCATGAGTTTGTATTTGCAGAGGTTATCATAAAGTTCGTAACATAGATTTCTGATGATCAGCTGTGCCTCTAAATATATACAGAAGAAAGAGACAGTTACAGACATTTTCTACATTTCCTTCACATTTACTAACAGTTAACAGCTAACTTTTGATCTGCTATCTAACCAAAACTTGAGTGCCTTTAACTCTCACAAAAACTCACCAAACATGGCATATGAATCAGACATGTTGAAAAAAATGTGATCACTTATGTGTTTCAGACGTGGACGTGGTTGAATTGCCCACTTGTGCCACCTGGAGGTATTCAAAGGTACAGCCTCTCGGGGCTTGAATGAATGAAAGAGTTGAGAGGTTTAGCCAAAAATGGTAAAATGATGTCCCAGTGGGGCTTTTTATTTGATTAAACCATCAGTGAGCAGTAGATCAGTATGATGCAGTTTTTCTGATGTTTAACTGACCTCTAGTGGGGAAGTTTAAGAATCACATTCAGACTTCATTTAAGTGCCTTTTAATTTAAAGGATCAGTTCACCCAAAATAAAAAGGTATGTGTCATTTGTTTTATTTATTCATAATCTCTGAGGTTTTATTTAATCAGCATTTTTTAAACTTTTTGCTTTGATACATACCTGCTATTAAATCTTTATTAAAAGAAGCAGGTGAAAACACCTTTCTGTTGTGCATTGTTCTGCAAAGTAAACATATTAGAAAAAAGCTGTGAATACAGATTTGTGTTATTTTTTTGTCTCTTATATCTAAAACTCTGTACGGTTGTCATCCTGTTCATATAGATACACTACAGGCCAAAATTTTGGAAGCAAAGCCATTACAGGCCGAACAGTTGGGAGTAACTTCAAGTTTTTGTTCAAAATGCTTTTTTTTTTTAAATCCAGCATGAGTTTTATGTATTTTTTACTCAATGGTGAGATGTTGCTTTCATTGAAATGCACCATTTTACTCCATTTACCTGTAGATATACATTGATGTTAACAGACCATTGCTAAATATATGTCAGCAAAAGAAAATAAGGGCTTAGTTTAAGGGTTGAAAACATTTGCAAGAGTCACAACTTCAGTGCAAAAGCAAAAAAACAAATCACAGTTGGATTATTCACTTCAACTTTTTGGCTTTTGAGAGCCTGCATACAAAAATCCTACCCCAAAAATGGCTAGAAAGAAGCAACTGAGTAAAGAAACAAAAGTACAGATTTGTACATTGAGGAAAGAAGGATACACAGAAAGAGAAATTGCAAAACGCCTAAAGGTGTCTAACAAAGGAGTCCACTACACTCTGAAGAGACTAGAGGAACCTGGAAGTTATGATGATAGAAAAAAAACTGGATGAAAGAGAGTTACTACAAAAGCAGAGGATAAACATATCATTGTCACAGTAAGAGAGATCGGCGAAAGACAGCACCAAAAATAAGGGAGGAAATCAACATGACAAGGTCGAAACCCATATCTCTGACAACGGTGAAAAGACATTTGAGAAAGGCTGGTCTGAAGGGTTGTGTATCTGTGAACTGTTCAAAAACGCAGAGTCAATGTCCACGGACAAACTGGTGAATGTCTGAAAGCACCATGTGTTACACCCATAATTCAGCATGGAGTAGGAGATTTGTTTGAAGTAAAGGGTATCATGAAGAAGGAACAGTACCACTCCATCCTCCAGCACCATGCTGTTCCATCTGGACTCAGACTTGTGGCTCATAAGTTTGTTTTGCAGCAAGACAATGACCCTAAGCACTCTGCCAAGCTCTGTCAGGGTTACCTAGACAAAAAAGAAGAGGAAGGTGTTCTTCAAAAGATGGTTTGGCCCCCTCAGTCTTCAGACCTTTCTCCAATTGAACTTGTGCGGGATGAATTGGATCGATCGGTCGGTCAGAAAGACGCGTCTCACGAATCAGCGGTCTCTTTTTAATGAACTTAAGAAAGCTTGGAATGTAATTCCTGGAACATACCTTAAAAGACTTGTGGAACGAATGCCTGGTATATGCCAAGCTGTTGTTAAAGCCAGAGGAGGTTACTTTAAAGAAAGCAAAGTCTAAGCAACAATAACTCAAATACCTAATAATTATAGTCAAAATGTCTTCTGATAAGTTACTCTTTACACAATAGTCATGTTTATTGTGTTGCAAAGTATATTAATGAAACTATGATCTTTTTTTGTACAAATCTGATCTTGCTTCCAAACTTTTGGCCTGTAGTATATATGTATATATATATATATATATATATATACAAATAGATAGATATACTGTGTGTGTGTGTGTGTGTGTGTGTGTGTGTGTTTGTATATACATATATATATATATATATATATATACATGACAGAGGCACAAAAAGGCATTGGTAAAAACACCAGAAGAGCAAAACACCAGCTACTGGTAGACATAACAGTTGCTCGGGACTGCAGAACCAGACAGACCAATCTGTGCACTGCCTTGATTGATTACAAGAAAGCCTACGACTCGATGCCACACACCTGGATCCTGGAATGCCTGAAACTGCACAAGTCAACAAGACTCTAAGAGCCTTAATTGCAAACTCAATGGGCTCTATTTTTGTGTACGCCTGTAAGGCGGCGGAGGGTGGCTGACCCCGCGCAGTTGTATTTTCGTCTGGCGGAGCCCGGCGTACAGCCAGTTTGGTATTTTCGTGGACTGAGGCGCACTGAGGTTGAACCGAGATCCGCCAAGCTGGGCGTGGTGGCGTGGTAGGGGGAGGTGTCGACTGAATCAGCGGGCGCAGTGACATTTTCGTGCTCGCCAGTGGCGTGTAAAGTGCGCTGAAAGCTTGCCGATTCAAAGCTGGTCAGCTTTCAGCGCAGGCAGAGCGCAGCTGGTCTAGTAGTATTTTGGTAGACCGGCGGCGTATCGGCATACATCACCGATGCCTCACCGGCAGGATTCCACAGTGTCAGGCACATTTCAGTGCAATAAATAATCATCAACAACTAATAATCTGAGTCAGCACATACATTTAGATCTATATAGATATATTCTGATCTATATCTGATCTGATGAGCACGTTTGGCACGCGTTTGGACACACAACCTGACCAAATCAACAACAATAATAATAATAATAATAATAATAATAGATTTTATTCGTAACGCACTTTACATTTAAAAACAAATCTCAAAGTGCACAACAAGACAACAATAACAGTAAAAACCAAGCAACAGGGCAAAACAATAAAAAACAGTCAGCAGATAAAATCAGATAAAATTAGTCCGGGTAGGCCTTCCGAAAGAGCTGAACAGCTGAAACCGCATTAAATTTCTTCCTCTTCCTTTTATTTCTCGCACAGCTCAACCTGGACATGTCTCCGTGTCCTCTCTCCGTCCTGCTGCAGTGGCGGCTGAACAGATGATTTGTTTCAGTGCTCAGATGCGTTATCTACTTTAAGCCGACATACTGATATTATGATATTCAGTTTTGTGAGCCAAATTTATTTTATATGCCAACATCTATGAAAGAAAGAGCCAGGCCACAGAGCGCGATGCATCATTTACGCACCAATGGTTCCGATTTTAATGTCATTTTTGGAGTTTATGTTGTGATCTGTGCGCACAACCCACCTTTGTCACGTGAGGTTTGAATATATGCAACTTTATATGAGTGTCTTTATTTGTGGAAAAGGGTGTTTGTCTTACCAGTGGGTTCAACCTTACACACACCAAATCTATCTGTGCTCATATAAGACAGTGTGGAGGACACCCAATGCAGCGCTACAGTGACACTTGTTGAGGAGCTGCCTTCTGTCGCCACCTTGTGGCATTACTGTCTTCAGACATCTCTTGATCTCTTTGACTACTTCACGAAAATGGTAATACGCCTCGCCTGTGGCGGATTTAAAGGCAAGGAGAGGAGCTTATGTGATTGGTGAAAACAGGTCTCAGCTGTGTTAAACCCACTCCATGCCCTCTCTCCTCCTTTGCTACGACTTACGCCGCTGGGAGGAGCTGAGTTAGGAAGGGGGGATACTTACACCGGGCTGCGCTGCTCACCAAAATACCAAATTGTGCTTGGGAACGCCTTGTTGGCGCGGCGGACCTGACTTATGCCGCGCCTGCGGCACGTCTCCGGCGAGGCACGAAAATAGAGCCCAATGAGGCAATGGAACGCCACCCTTCAGGCCAACTTCAAGCCAATAGCACAAGTCTCCATCAAATGTGGCATATATCAAGGAGATGCTCTGTCCCCACTGCTGTTCTACATAGGCTTGGATCCCCTCAGCCAAATAATCAATAATACTGGCTACGGATACCGACTCCGAAGTGGGATCACCATCAGCCACCTCCTCTACATGGACGACATTAAGCTGTACGCTAAGAGCAAGCGAGACATCGACTAATTGATCCACACCCCCAGGGTCTACAGCCGTAACATCAGAATGTCGTTCGGACTGGAGAATATATATATATATATATATATATATATATATATATATATATATATATATATGTATATATATATATGTATAAATTTTTTTTTCAGATTCAAATGCTGCATGCTCACGATCTGTAAATATATATAATAGTTACCTCAGTAATGGCTGACTGCAGTGATTCTGCATCACTGCCTCTGTAAAAAACATGTTACACATGCAAAGGCTTAAAAAGTTTATTCTTCTCACCACTTTTTAAATTTATGATTTTAAAAACAAAATATCGAGAATGTTTTAAAGTACAATGGCAAAAAGTGACACACAAAAGCTGAGTCTTGCATCTGGAGACTCTTTGCAGATATATCTTCATGGCTTTGTGATAAGTTAGAAATAAGGTATCCTCTTTTGCAGGTTTTAGTGGCTGCAGGTCTCCTGGGGACACTTATTAACTAATCTTAGTGACTTGATGACTCATGTGGTTTACAAGTATCAAAACTGTGAAGAGGAAGGAAGTGAGGCTTCTTTTAACGTCCTACTTCTATCCACTGCTTACACCACTGACATGAAACCATTTCAAGTGAAAATTACTTTATGCAGCAAATGCTGGATTTGATTTATCAATGTTTCGTGGGTTTCATCTTTCTTTTAACTACTTCTGAAACTAGCTATGAGTTCAACAGCAACTAAGAGTGGATTAGTCATCATCTTTCTCTCCATGACAGGTAATAATCTTTCTGTTCTTCAAATCCAGAGAGAAAGAGAGATGGAGAGAAAAAAGAATTACCAAATAAAACATATTTACAACTTTAATGCCAGTAATGATAGTGATGTTTGTGGGGCAGTAGGAAAAGCAGGGTTTGACAAAAATAACTACTTGTAAAGAGGATGAATGGGGAACAGCGATAATGTTAAGGAAAGCATCACAAGCAATGATTAAGAGGAAGTAAAGCTGTAGTGTTGGTGTCTTTGAAGTAAAGTAAAATTGTATTCAGTAGAAAGAGTGTTCTGGTCAAAGCCTATGGTGGCATAACTGAGAGCAAGTCAATTCATCAAAAATGAAAGTTTTAAACCTGATTTTAAAAGTACAGGGATACCCTCTAATCTGGACTTGAGTCCACAATCTCCACCATCCATAGACTTTAAGGTACCGCACAAAGACACTCTGTAAATGCAATGTTCTAGTGTGGTTGGAGGAAACTACAATAAGGAGTGGGATTTTAAATAGTATTCTTCATTTTATTGCAAGCGCAGAGAATGAACTGCCAAGGAGCACAGTAAATATATAACCTTTTTTTGCTTTTGGAGAAAAAAGGCACAAAAATACTAGAGGACCAGGGGAGTCTTAATTTAATCAAAAACAGACTCTATTTGCAGAACCAGCAGTTTTTTTCGCCACAATTCGTATTGTTATTTGCTATGATTGAATCACTTTTTGAGTTTTTTAGTGGATTCTTGTTTTGCAGTCAGGTCAGCGTCTCAGCGACTCATTTATCACCATACATCTGCAACAACCCTGTCTGTTCCTCTTTATTAGGTGTTAGGTTTCCATGCTGATGCTGCATTCACAGCACTTATCTGATCCATATTTATTTACTTTCAAAATTTTTCAACCAGATTGAAAATCTGTGGGATTGATTAGCCTCAATCCACTGTTTATATAGGTGCAAAATCAAATAATCCGATCATGACGGTCATATACATGCACCAAGTTTTATTCAGATTAGGAGCATTTGCACATGTGCAGAGTTGTCTGGTTTCGCTAAAACAACCGCGGAAGAAGAATTGTATTTATGCCTGTGCTGTCAACAAACCAACAAATGTGGGAGTGGCTCACTCCATCCAATCCAGGATTTCCCCCCCTGTTAAATGTTGTTACTAGATGGCGCCCTTGCGTACTTATTTTACTGTTCTGCCAAAGGTTGCACTGTGCGTGCAAATGTGACATCATCACGCTGTTTGTACGCCTTGTTATGTTTCCAGAGGGGCAGACACAGCACCTCCGGTTGTGTTTTATGCCAGAGTGTTAATAGTGAAACTTCATGTACTGGCCTCAGTAAATAAACCAAAAGCTGAAAAGTGAAGATCGAGTCAAGTAAGAGAGTCACAATCGGAAAAAGTGTTTACGTGGATGCATTTCGGAATAGCGATCGACCTAAACCACCCCTCTTGATCGGAATACAGTTTCTTTCCGAATGAGCTGAATTGGATCAGAATCTTCCGATCGACATGTTTACATGACGCATTGTTATTCTGATCGTGCATTTATTCCGATTATTTGTGCCCATGTAAACGCAGCTATTGAGTATTAGCTTCTGTACAGTTTCTCACACTTCTGCATTCATTTTTAGATACACACTTGACTGGGCAGCTAACTTTGCACAGAGAAAACTTTCACAGAACAGCACAATCTGTTAAATAATTTACACTGTTAATGCTGCTGTTGGGTTAGAAAAATGTTAATGTATATAGACGTCTGTAAATTTTCTGCATGGAGAAATCTTCTGTCTTCTATATTTTGATAAGCATTTTAAAATCTGAGAGAAAACTGTTTCTAAACTGAGAAAAAAACTGACAAAAATATCTTAAATGTGATTGTTATATCAAGATGATGTCGGACTGCACCTCAATGATCTGGTTCAGATTTATTTATTTCATGTTCAGTCTTGAACTTTTCCTGGTCTGGTTAAATTGACTGTGTTCTCTGATTTTTGTGTTTTAGTGGCTCAGCCTCAGAACGACTGGGAGGTGACTTACTCTACAGCTCAGATCTGTGTCTCTAGAGGATCAACTGCGGAAATAAGCTGCAACTTTAAGTACCCAAAAACAATGAAGAGGAAGCAGAACAAACTCTTAAAAACATTTTGGTTTATTAGGAAACGTGGTGATGAGTTTCTAAACATTGAAACAGACTCAGAGTATTCAGGTCGTGTGAAGACCACGTATGATGGGACCAGATCCACCTTGACAATCACAAACCTGACAGGGAGTGACTCAGCTGAATACATGTTCAGGATGGAGACAAGCGTGGACAAATATTTTGGCTACCCAGGTGTCACCCTGTCTGTGAGAGGTAAAGTTTTCTCTGAAATTTTTCATCTTTTATCTTTTTTAAAATCCTGTAAATTATTGTATTATGTGTATGTTTATGTGGAAAGTACTGACAGTTTTATCTGATCAGATGTCCAGATAATGGTGAGCAGACCAGGTGGGCATTTGCAGTTGAAGTGTCTCAGCGGTTGTCGTCAAGATTTTCGATACATTTGGTTCAAGAATGGAGAGAAAATTAAGAACCAAAATTCACAATATCATCAACCAGACCAGATTCTGAACACAGACAGATTTTCCTGTGCTGTAGAAGGATATGAGGACTTCCCCTCTCCTTCAGTGTGTGAGTTTACCCCTCCCTTTCCTCTAACACAACACTATCTATAGAGGTTTTAAAATTTAGTGCGTGCACTGACTCTCTGGTCTGTGGCTAACATTTCCACTTTAAAAAACATCTCATATCTGTGATGCTCAGAGTAAAAACTTGATAATAAAGATTTGTTAAAGGACAGAGAGCATAAACCAAGTACATCAGTGACTGAAATGTTAACTGTAAAATGTGTTTCTTCTTCAGATGCTTTCGAGCCTCCCTCTGTGTCAGTGAGTCCCTCTGCTGAGATAGTGGAGGGTAGTTCAGTAAATCTGACCTGCAGCAGTGATGCTAACCCTGCAGCTACTTACACCTGGTACAAAGAGAATGAAGACTCAGCAAATGCTTCAGGACAGACCTTCACCATCACTGAGTTCAGAGCTAATCACAGTGGGAATTATTACTGTGAAGCCTGGAACAAAATAGGACACCAGAAATCCAGCCCACATCAGATCGTTGCGGCAGGTGAGATATTTACACACCTGCACACAGAGAGCTTACCCAAAATACTCAAAGCAGCTCATGATATGTTTAATTAATTAATTTTTTCCTTCACAAACATGTTTTCTCTGAATCAGATCTTAAAACTGACTAAAGTGAATAATTCATGGAGGGACCTCCATGTCAGATTCTGGCTCAACAGAGTCTCAGACAGAGCTAAAGATATAGACCAGTCTGATTCTGTTAGTAATGTGTCTCACATATCTCTCTTCTTTCATTCAAGGGAAATCAACAATAACAACCATAATTAGCATCAGGTTGACCCTGTTCTTTTTGATGTTGATTCCTCCACCTCTCGTGAGTCTGTTGACAAGGTAAAACCATAAAACTCCATCAATTCAAACACATTTCTTTTATGAGCTTCTTCACTTGGTTCATAGTTTAATTTCTTTTCTCTCTATCACTGTAAAACTGACTTTTCTCAAATGTAATAATCCAGGAAGAAGAAACCTCTGAACTCAAACACTGAACCAAGTGAACCTGCAGAGATGATAGAGGTGAGACTGACTGCTGACAAAATATCTTTACAGACCTGTTCAAAGATGTCAGGATCAAAGTTTCAAAATGGGACTAAAATACTTTCAAAGATGATCAACTCTCTTCATCTGTCCTCAGCTGGACTCTGCTCATGAGAATGAGAAAGTCTCAGCGGTCACTGCAGCACAGACTGAAGACATAGAGGAGCAGGAAGACAGGGTGTGAAGTCCAGTCAGGGTGGGGTGTCTCCAGTGGTGCTGATGGTCTACTGGTCCCATAACTGGACTAGAGTCCCCTGTTGAGCGGTTGCTGGTTCAACTCCCGCCCATGATCCTTTGCTGCACATGTTCTCTCACTTTCTACACTCCTCATTTGCTGTCTTTCTTCTGCTTTCCTATCTACAAAAGGAAAAAATGCCCCAAAACACGACTGTCATGAAAGTCAAATAGAAAAACAAGATACTTTAAAAATCAAGTCAAAAATAAGACGTTTCAAACTCTTACTTTTGTCATGTTGGTTAAGTTTTCTTTATTTTTGCACATTCATGTTTTGTTTCATGTCATGTATTTCCTGTTTTATTTTGTAGTTCACCAACTCTTGTTTCTGTCTTCTAGCTTTGTTCCTGTCTGGTCTGCCCTCGTTTTGTCACACCTGCTGCCTGATTGTGTTTCCCCACCTGTTCCCCATCACCCTCACTACCTCTTGTATTTAATCTCATGCATCTCACTGTCTCATCACCAGTTCGTTGCACTCTATAGTCACGTTCCAGCATTATGCATAGTTTTAGTCAAGTCATGTATTACCTTTGCCTGCTTTATTTTTGACCTTGCCGTTTTACAATAAATCCTTGTCTTTTGGACCAACTGATCTGGTGTTGTGCAATTGTGTTCTCTCCTCTGTGTCTTGGTTTATAACAGTTTCTACAGAGAGTCTGACCTCCTCCACCGAGATAACAGACCAACTTCAGATTCATTCTCACTGTCTTAATCTTTTTTTTGTGATTGTACGCAGATGCAGTGTGTTTCACCTTCCAGTTAGTTAAAAAAAAGTCCTGTCAACAAGACTTTGGCAGATCTGTTGGTCCAGCCACTCTAATATTTCACTGTCCAAAATGATGGGCCAACTCATCTCCTGTGTGGCATATTTATTCTTACAGGAACTGCAAAAACATAAAAACAGTCATTAATAGGAGCGCACTCTGTTCTGTGTCTTTACGCTTCATCCTCACACACTGACTGGACTTCTCTGTTTTATGATAAACACTCTACACTTGCACTGTAAAACAACTCTTAAAGCAACACAATACTACAGTGGTGTTGAAATAAAATCCATGACATTACTGTCTCAATATTTACACTATTTTAACCATTACATCTCCTTTATGAACTGTATAACTGATCTTTAGTTAAGTAAATCTATTTCAAACTAATGTCTTTTAATGTATTAACACTGCACTGTCCCTTAATACACTGAACATAAAGTGTTTTACTTTCCCTCTTCCCACAATGAAAACACACAGTGTGGCTTTAACCTAAAATACAAGCGTGCACAATACAGACTCTCATCACGGTCTACTAACTGGACCATAGCATGGCACCACAGCCGCACCTGCCAGCCCAGCCCCTCACTCAGCTCAACTCCACACAAGCACCTCCCCACAGAAAAAACTTAATCCATTTAATACGGTTTCTTGATATAAACTTATATTTTTACAGCTGTAATGTGTATCTCTCAGTAGTTAGCCTATCCTTTAAACTCAAAAGAGACATAATTCAGTCCTCTGGTTCATGACCACGATTGCCATGGACTACGAGTCCGCCATTACAGATACACAATCCAGTGAGTCGCCTTTACAAACCCATGAGCTTGTGAATTCACTCTTTAGCTCGACGTCTGTTACACTCCAAGGCACTTAAGATATATTATTACTGTTGTCCATTACGTTTATAGTATTTCTGAACCAGCTAACCTGCAAACACATAAAAACAGTCATTAATAGGAGTGTACTCTATGCTGTGCCTGTACCATTGACTGTATATAAAATGGACGCCATCTGCCTCCTCGCTGGGTGAAGCCACCCCAAGAACAGCGCCCTCTGGTGACAGGCTGCAGTATAGGTCATAAATCCTGCCCCCACCAGCCATCCTTATGGGGTCTGTGGACAAACTTTAGAAATTTATTACACAAAATATAAATTCTTCTCCCCCCTAACTGTGATGTTGACATGTAGCTACTGTAAGACTGGTTTGTGCTCAAGTCCTCTTTTTTCTGTGCAGCTCCATTTTTAAAAGTTATTAGGTGGTTCATGTTTTCTATGATTGACACTTGATACAGCCTATGTGCAATGTTGGTTTCAGGAAGTGGAGAAAAAAATGCAGAATCACAGAGAGCTTTTTGGCTTCAAATCCGTATACTGGCAGAAGGTGGAACCAAGTTGTCCAAAGTATATACAGTCTATGGTCTGAACGCTTCATCCTCAGACACTGACTGGACTTCTCCTGCTGTTGCATCAGCTATCCGCTAGGTGAGGTACCGAGTGCCCCCTGCTGGTGAAACATATATTACACTATCTTACAGGAAAATAGACACTACAGTAGTTATAGTATTGCACGTGAACTTTATTCATATAAATAAAATGGGGGGTTGACTATTTCCATGCCTTCAATAACTCATAGTGCCACATAAGCAGTATCTCTAAGTGATCTTTTTAATTGATTGCATCTTTATCTTGTAGTGACTGAGAATATTTATGGGATGATCGATGTATGTTACATTTTTGATAATCCTTTCTTGTGACAACGAGCTCTATGAGAGTTTGACTGGAGGTTGAACGCTACATCCTGACTCTACTATTTGTTGTTTGTGTGACACTCTATTTACTCTCTGATTCAAAGGATTACAACACCCCCCCCCCCCCCCAAAAAAAAAAAAAAAAAACACTTCCGTTGAAGTTCAAGTGTAATCCGCTCACACAGATTAGTTTCTTCCTCACATACTTTGAGGTTTTTGATTCAACTTTGTCCACCCACAGACTTTTTGACATCCTTCCCCAACTAATGGAGATAACGTGTCGATACTGATGTTAAAATAAAATCAAAAGATAGGACAAACTTAACCATTTCAAGAGGATTAAGTTGATGAAAAACAGCTTCTTTAAGGTGTGGTCTCTTATTGGTGTTTGAATCAACATTTATGTTATCATTTAAAAAGGAAGGGCTTTTTTGGTCTGTTTCACACTTCAGTTTCCGCCTTCTGCTCACGGACTGCAGAGAAAAGACGCCCTTCAAGACACAACGCTGTTCATATTTGTAAGTAGAATAGTTTAATGAAATGTCTGATACTTTTTCATCTCCTGTTAGCTTTTCATGTCACATATTTGACTTGTGTTATTATCCCTAAAGTCCCAGAGAAAGGAGAGAGGAGCAGAGATGAGTTTAACTGCAGCAGTGAGTGGATTCATCCTTCTCCTCTCTGTATCAGGTACTTCATATCTAAAGCTTTTCCTCTTCACTCTGAGAAACCTGCAGCCTCTTTTTAATTTGATCAAAAACAGACTCTGCTTACAGAACCTGCAGTTTTTTCTCCAAAATTCTGATTGTAATTTGCTGTATTGAAATCACTTTTTGAGTTTTTTAGTGGATACTAGTTTTGCAGTCAGGCTAGTGTCTCAGGGACTCATTTATCACAACACATCTGCAACAACCCTGTCTGTTCCTCTTCATAGGTGTTATATTTCCATGCTGATGCTGCATTGACAGCACTTATCTAATCATTGAGTATTAGCTGCTGTACAGTTTCTCACCCCTTAGACTTCTGCATTTATTTTTAGATACACACTTGACTGGGCAGCTAACTTTGCACAGAGAAAACTTTCACAGAACAGCACAATCTGTCAAATAATTTACACTGTTAATAATGCTGTTGGGTTAGAGAAGTGTTCATGAATATAAACATCTGTAATTTTTCAGTATGGATAAATCTTCTCTCAGATATTTTGATAAGTAGTTTAAAATCTAATATCAAACAGAGAAAAAAGCTAAACCTGACAAAAATATCTTACATGTGATTGTTATATCAAGATGATGTCGGACTGCACCTCAATGATCTGGTTCAGATTTATTTATTTCATGTTCAGTCTTAAACTTTTCCTGGTCTGGTTAAATTGACTGTGTTCTCTGATTTTTGTGTTTTAGTGGTTCAGCCTCAGAACGGCTGGGAGGTGACTTACTCTAAAACTCAGATCTGTGTCTCCAGAGGATCAACTGTGGAAATAAGCTGCAACTTTAAGTACCCAAAAACAATGAAGAGGAAGCAGAACAAACTCTTAAAAACATTTTGGTATATTAGGAAACATGGTGATGAGTTTCTAAACATTGAAACAGACTCAGAGTATTCAGGTCGTGTGAAGACCACGCATGATGGGACCAGATCCACCCTAACAATCACAAACCTGACAGGGAGTGACTCAGCTCAGTACAAGTTCAGGATGGAGACAAGCCTGGACAAATATTCTGGTTACCCAGGTGTCACCCTGTCTGTGAGAGGTAAAGTTTTCTGTGAAATGTCTCATCCTTTACCTTTTTGAAAATCGTGTAAATGATTATATTATGTGTATGTTTATGTGGAAAGTACTGACAGTTTTATCTGATCAGATGTCCAGATAATGGTGAGCAGACCAGGTGGGCATTTGCAGTTGAAGTGTCTCAGCCGTTGTCGTCAAGATTTTCGATACATTTGGTTCATGAATGGAGAAAAAATTAAGAACCAAAATTCAAAATATCATCAACCAGACCAGATTCTGAACACAGACAGATTTTCCTGTGCTGAAGAAGGATATGAGGACTTCCCCTCTCCTTCAGTGTGTGAGTTTACCCCTCCCTTTCCTCTAACACAACACTATCTGATGGAGGTTTGAAAATTTGGTGCGTGCCCTGACTCTCTGGTCTGTGGCTAACATTTCCACTTTAAAAAACATCTCATATCTGTGATGCTCAGAGTAAAAACTCAATAGTAAAGAGTTGTTAAAGGACAGAGAGCATAAACCAAGTACATCAGTGACTGAAATGTTAACTGTAAAATGTGTTTCTTCTTCAGATGCTTTCGAGCCTCCCTCTGTGTCAGTGAGTTCCTCTGCTGAGATAATGGAGGGAAAAAATGTGACTCTGACCTGCAGCAGTGATGCTAATGTAGAATCCAGTTATACCTGGTATAAAAGAAATGAACTTCTACATCCTCTGCGTCTCAGGAGAGGACCTCAGCTTGTCTTCAGCTCCATCAAGTCCTCAGACTTTGGACAGTATTACTGTGAAGTGAGGAACATCTTTGGGACACAGATATCCGGGAACATCTTGGCTGGTTATACATGTGTGTGAAACATCACAGTTCAAACACATTAGAAAGACAATAAACTACACAACAACACCTCAAAACAGTTTTATCCTGTATTTGAACAAAAAGCACTAAGACAAAATTTCTTCTTCTATATGTTTATTTGCAAGTTTAATTTACTAACTTTGATTAAATCCATTTCCAGATGATCCAGAGCTTCCCTCTGTGTCAGTGAGTCCCTCTGCTGAGATAGTGGAGGGTAATCATGTGACTCTGACCTGCAGCAGTGATGCTAAGCCAGATGCTACTTATACCTGGTCCAGGAGAAATGGTGATCTAAGTCCTCAGAGTCTCAGAAAAGGAAATCAGCTTGTCTTCAGCTCCATCCAGTCCTCAGACTCTGGACAGTATTACTGTAAAGTGAGGGGCATCACTGGGTCCTCTAGGGACGTCTTAGTTTATGTGAAATGTGAGTAAAAAGTCACATTTAAAGAGCAACAGAAGGATGAAAACCATACACAACCATATCCCAGAACATTTTTTATTCTGTGTTTGTTTCTTTGTCATTTCTGTTTGTATCCGTCTTCAGATGCTCCAAATTTCTCTTATGTGTCTGTGAGTCCCTCTTCTGAGATAGTGGAGGGCAGTTCAGTGACTCTGACCTGTATCAGTTACGCCAACCCAGCACCACGTTCCACCTGGTACAAGGAGAACAACACCACGTTTCAGTCAACAGGAGGAATTTATACTTTTCTCAACATCAGCCATCTGGACAGAGGGAGATACAACTGCAGATCTGAGAATCAATATGGATCACATGTATCTCCCCCTCTCTCACTAGATATCCAGTGTGAGTAGAAGACATTACAAAGTTAGATCACCTGGTACAAAACTCTTCTTAACGGCTGAAAGTCTCCATGTAGGAAACTTGAATGACTAAAATTTTCTTTCGATCTCCTCCAGATGCTCCAAAACGTCCCTCTGTGTCAGTGAGTCCCTCTGCTGAGATAGTGGAGGGTAGTTCAGTAAATCTGACCTGCAGCAGTGATGCTAACCCTGCAGCTACTTACACCTGGTACAAAGAGAATGAAGACTCAGCAAAAGCTTCAGGACAGACCTTCACCATCACTGAATTCAGAGCTCATCACAGTGGGAATTATTACTGTGAAGCCCGGAACAAAATAGGACACCGAAAATCCAGCCCACATCAGATTGTTGCAGCAGGTGAGATACTGTATTTACACACCTGCACACAGAGAGCTTACCCAGAATACACAATTCATCATTTATCAGAACCTGCTGAACATGAGGTCAGAGAAATTATAGTTTCTCTACCAAGAAATGCATTTTTTTCAGATAGATTTGTAATTTTTTTTTCCAACCAGAACATGATTTTTTTGACTGCAGCTGGTTTCATAGTTAAAGAAAAAGATTTTTACAAATAACCTCAAAAGTCTTCTAGAGGAAACAGTTTGATCCACTGGGTAGGAGACAAAAAATAGAGTAAATCCTCACAACATTAAAGTAGCGGCCTACTAAGAAAAAATAAATAAATAAATGCATAAATAAAATTTAAAACAGAGCTGAAATTGCAAAGACTGAGCAGCTTTTACCTTCAGAGAAATCCTGTTTTTCTTATGAGCTCTCATAAAGAATTCAGTCGGGCAAAATCAGGATTACAGGAGAGACGTAGGTAGTGCTGTGTGCATGCATATGCTGTTGGTGGCAAAGATTATAGACTATTAAAATTTATGTCAGTAACATATATCTGATCACCATTTCTCAGGAGGAGGGTTAGTACCAGTTGTTGCTGGAACACTTGCTGTTGTCCTGGTGGTTCTCGTGTTCCTCTCTGTCTTCTTGTGGATCAGGTGAGCAGCTCTGTTTCACTGAGTTATCATAACTCAGTTTATCAGATGCAGGAAATCGTTTACATTTTAATTTATTCATTATTTTACTAGAAAAAAGAGAGCTACCAACGAATCACCTGCAAATGAAGCAAGACCAGACGACAGAGGGGAGGTGAGAACAGTTACTCATTTTATTCAAGATAAAAGAAAACCACTCCTGAGGTGGAATACAGACACACCGCTACTGGTTATAGAAACTTTTGGTCTAATCAGGGACAACAGGAGGAGCTGGTTGACCTTCAGTATGCCAGCATCAGCTTCTCCAAGAATCCTACAGATCTGTACAGTAACATGAGACCAACTCAACCCAGCAGACAAAAGGAGCAACAGGATGTCACTGAGTACGCTGCTGTCAATGTTAGTCGTGCCGTCACCACCAAAAGGTGGGAAACTCTTTAACTAGGACTAGCCTTCTCACTATAAGATGAAACCTGTCTTGTTTTGAAAAGTTTCATCTTTTTTTCCCTAAAGTGTTTTTATTTTGTAAAAACAAAATTGATGATTTAGTTTCTCAGTCTTCTGAGTCTTAGTTGTTTCTTGGTTTCCCTCCTCAGAACCAGAAGTCCAGAGACCGGAGAGGATCCTACTGCAGTGTACAGCACGGTCAACAAATCTAGATGATCCCATGATGCATTTATCACCTGAGTTTTCTGTCTTTCTGTCTGTTTTCTGTCATGAGTTTGTATTTGCAGAGGTTATCATAAAGTTTGTAACATAGATTTCTGATGATCAGCTGTGTCTCTAAATATCTACAGAAGAAAGAGACAGTTACAGACATTTTCTACATTTCCTTCACATTAACTAACAGTTAACAGCTAACTTTTGATCTGCTATCTAACCAAAACTTGAGTGCCTTTAACTCTCACAAAAACTCACCAAACATGGCATATGAATCAGACATGTTGAAAAAAATGTGATCACTTGTGTGTTTCAGACGTGGACGTGGTTGAATTGCCCACTTGTGTCACTTGGAGGTATTCAAAGGTACAGCCTCTCGGGGCTTGAATGAATGAAAGAGTTGAGAGGTTTAGCCAAAAATGGTAAAATGATGTCCCAGTGGGGCTTTTTATTTGACTAAACCATCAGTGAGCAATAAATCAGTATGATGTAGTTTTTCTGATGTTTAACTGACCTCTAGTGGGGAAGTTTAAGAATCACATTCAGACTTCATTTAAGTGCCCTTTCATTTGTTTTATTTATTCATAAACTCTGAGGTTTTATTTAATCAGCATTTTTTAAACTTTTTGCTTTGATACATACCTGCTATTAAATCTTTATTAAAAGAAGCAGGTGAAAACACCTTTCTGTTGTGCATTGTTCTGCAAAGTAAACATATTAGAAAAAAGCTGTGAATACAGATTTGTGTTATTTTTTTGTCTCTTATATCTAAAACTCTGTCCGGTTGTCATCCTGTTCATATAGATACACTACAGGCCAAAATTTTGGAAGCAAAGCCATTACAGGCCGAACAGTTGGGAGTAACTTCAAGTTTTTGTTCAAAATGCTTTTTTTTTTTAAATCCAGCATGAGTTTTATGTATTTTTTACTCAATGGTGAGATGTTGCTTTCATTGAAATGAATTTTGCTTTCATTCATTCATTCATTGACTGTTGCTTCATAGAAAAAAGCTGTGAATAAAGATGTGTGTTTTCATTTAAAGTAATATATATATATATACACACACACACATATTGTTTTTCAGACTAAAATGCTGTGTGCTCAGTATCTGTAAATATATATAATAGTAACCTCAGTAATGTCTGTCCGCGTTCACTCTGCAGTGAGTGACAGGAAGTGTGAGACCACAGCTGTAGTCCTGGTGGCCTCTGTAAAAAATGTGTAACATGTACACAGGCTTAAAAAGTTTATTCTTCTCACCACTATTTAAATTTATGAGTTTAAAAACAAAATATCGAGAACGTTTTAAAGTACAACTGCAAAAATTGACAAGCAAAAGCTGAGTCTTGCATCTGGAGACTCTTTGCAGATTTATCTTCATGGCTTTGTGATAAGTTAGAAATAAGGTATCCTCTTTTGCAGGTTTTAGTGGCTGCAGGTCTCCTGGCGACACTTAACTAATCTTAGTGACTTGGTGACTCATGTGGTTTACAAGCATCAAAACTGTGAAGAGGAAGGAAGTGAGGCTTCTTTTAACGTCCTACTTCTATCCACTGCTTACACCACTGACATGAGACCATTTCAAGTGAAAACTACTTTATGCAGCAAATGCTGGATTTGATTTATCAATGTTTCGTGGGTTTCATCTTTCTTTTAACTACTTCTGAAACTAGCTATGAGTTCAACAGCAACCAAGAGTGGATTAGTCATCATCTTTCTCTCCATGACAGGTAATAATCTTTCTGTTCTTCAAATCCACAGAGAAAGAGAGATGGAGAGAAAAAAGACTTACCAAATAAAACATATTTACAGCTTTAATTCCAGTAATGTTAGTAATGTTTGTGGGGCAGCAGGAAAAGCAGGGTTTGACAAAAATAACTACTTGTAAAGCGGATGAATGGGGAACAGCGATAATGTTAAGGAAAGCATCACAAGCAATGATTAAGAGGAAGTAAAGATGTAGTGTTGGTATCTTTGAAGTAAAGTAAAATTTTATTCAGTAGAAAGAGTGTTGTGTTCAAAGCCTATGGTGGCATAACTGATAGCAAGTCAATTCATCAAAATGAAAGTTTTAAACCTGCTTTTCAAAGTACAGGGATGTCTACTAACCTGGACTTCAGTCCACAATCTCCACCATCCATAGACTTCAAGGTACCGCACAAAGACACTCTGTAAATGCAATGTTCTAGTGTGGTTGGAGGAAACTACAATAAGGAGTGGGATTTTAAATAGTATTCTTCATTTTATGGAAAGCACAGAGAATGAACTGCAAAGGAGCACAGTGAATATATAAAATATATATATAAAATATATATATATATTTGGAGAAAAAAGGCAGAAAACTTCTGGAGAACCAGGAGAATCTTAAGAGACAGGTAAGGACAAGGGGATAGTGACGGGCGACAACAATGGATAGCACATAAATGACTCATCCTTATTAACAGATCCAGCAGAAAAAATGCATAATCTGGATTGCACAATCCTCCCACAGAACTGGATTTTAGTATCAAAGGGTTCTGTCAGATCTGCAGTGATGCATACCACATAACCCCAGTTTGGTTCTAACAACAGTCTATTAAAGGATATCTGGTAGTTGCTCTAAGAAGTTACATCAAAGTCACATGATATCTAGCAGGTTGAGTGAGAATGCATGGACTCTACAGTATGATCTCCAGACAGGATGGGCTTGTCTGAGTTCTTTTCTCTGATACCATTTTCAGAAAAAGTCATGGTTGTGATTCTAGTTTTCTAATGTGCTTTGTGTTGCAGTGGTACAAGGTCAGCAGGACTGGGGAGTGACTTACTCCTCTACTCAGATCTGTGCCTTGAAAGGAATGACTGTGGATATACCCTGCACTTACATACATCCACCCAACTGGGGTGAGCATCATGCTGTGCCTGTGGGTATTCTTTGGTTTACACGAATGAATGGAAGTAACCTAGTGGATCTGAGATCAGACCCAGACTACACTGGTCGTGTTGAGTATCATTTTCATGAGAACAGCTGCACTTTGAGGATCACAGACCTGACAGAGAGCGACGCAGCTGAGTACAAGATCAGGCTGATTATGAACGACCAAGATGATAGTGTAACTGAGTCACCAGGAGTCACTCTGTCTGTCACAGGTAATTGACTCTTTCTTTGGATCTGGATCTGAGAGGTATACTTGCTCACTTTAAGTGTGAACTTGCTGGTTTAGAAACTTGATTGAGATGCTGTAGTCAAACAAACATGATTACAAATTGGAGCTGTCTTCTCTCAGCTTATTGGCCACTTTTTATTACATCACCAAAACTTACTTGCAATAAAACCAGCTCTGTTTATTGAATTATGCTGTCACCTGATTGGAGGTTGTATTTCTGCTCATTCTTGACTGATTCAGATCTACACGTGACAGTGATTAACTCAACAGAAGACCGAGCAGAGCTCAAGTGTCACAGCAGTTGTCACCCCAGCTCTGATCAGCTTTCCTACATCTGGTACAGGAATGGACACATGATTTCAAAAGAAACCGCATCAGTTTCAGAAGACATTTATCCTGAAGATAGTTTTGCCTGTGCTTTAAAAGGACATGAAGATTTCCATTCTCCTGCTGTGTGTGAGTATACACAACAGTCTACCACAAACAGAGTACCAGTGCGGTTAATTGTAAGACTGGATTTTCTTTCTTTTCTAATGGATTGTTGTTTCAGTTGTTTTTTTTTTTTTCCAAAACGCCATCTGACTGTCACTCCAACAACCTGTCATGCATTTCATCTGTAAAAGTGTTGTTTCCACAGCTTTGTTCACTGAACTTTTTTCTTCCAGGTGTCAAAGGAGAAAACTGCAACAGAGTGACGTACACTGATCGAAAAATCTGTACATTAGAAGGCTCCTCGGTTGACATTTCTTGTACTTATAACAGTTATAGCGCAACTACATTAAACTTCTGGTTTAGTCCAGAGCGCAGTAGCCACTGGAGGTTTCCTTCAAATCCTGAGGACCTAAGGGAAGACTCTGCGTTTTCGGGTCGTGTTCAGGTTGTTGAATCTGAGAGTGGACATTCGACCCTGAGAATCACTGACCTGAGGCTGACTGATTCAGCTCAGTATCACTTCAAATTTAAAACAAAGAGCCTTGAATGGCACAGTGTTTTACCTGCTACAACTCTGACCGTCACAGGTACTAAAGGTTGTTTCTCTAACAATACTGTAAACTTATTTGCTCATGACTTTATGATTTACACTTTTTATGCTATATTTATATTTTACTCTCTGATGAAAAGACCCTCCATGTGTCCTTTCACTCTTCATCAAAATCATGTTTGGTTCTGACCCAAATATTCAGCTCTGCAGGTTCAGGTGAACACAGAGTCAGTCCACAGGACTTCAGACCATGCAGAACTGAAGTGTCACAGCAGCTGCAGTCCAGCTGGTCACCAGTCTTACATCTGGTTCAAGAATGGAGAGAAAATTCAGACAGAAACAGCTACTTTTTTGGTCCGCTTGGATTCTGTGGACAGCTACGCCTGTGCTCTGAGAGGATTTGAGGACTTTCCCTCTCCTTCAGTCTGTAAGTTTAACGTACGCCCAGCTGCTGTTTTGTACAACTGTTTTTTTTTTTACAGGTCTCCACATGAAAAATGATATTTTACTGATATAAAATATCTGTTTTTGTTTTTTTTTTATTGTAGGTATTTATGGTCGATACTGCAACAATGTGATGTACATGATGAGAAGGATCTGTGCCCCTAAAGGTTCATCAGTGGACATTTCATGCTCATACTACAGTTACTGGGGTCGTGCATCAAAATTCTGGTTTAGTCCTGAACGCAGTCACCAGTGGAAGACTGAAACGCAGCCTGAAGACGTACGGAAGGACTCCAAGTATGAAGGTCGTATTGAAGTCTTAGAAACTTGGGGAGGACAGTCCATTCTGAGAATCTCTGAACTGAGAGAGAGTGACTCGGCCGAGTATCGCTTCAAGTTTAAATCAATGAGCTTTGAATGGAGGAGCAGTTTACCTGGTACAAATCTGACCGTCACAGGTACTGAAGAACACACCAAATACAGCAGTACATTTTGCAAACTTTTACCTCCTCTCAGTAAGATTCCTTTCCCCGAGTGTTTTTTTGTGATTATTCAAAGTGTTTGCATGAAAGTGTTTTCGGGTAAACACAAACAAAAGTGCTTATAACTCTATTTGAAGCACTCTCACTGTTATCCTTCTATATTCTGGATGTCCAGCTCCGCAGGTGCAGGTAACTTCTGTAACAGTCAAAGAGGATTATACTGAAGCATCACTGAAGTGTCACAACAGCTGCACTATATCTGGTGGCATTTCATATGTCTGGTTCAAGAATGGAGAAAAAATCCCAAATGAGGAGAGCTCCTCTCATGATGACTGGTTTTTGCCAGGAAACTCCATCTCCTGTGCTCTGAAAGGGCTTGAAGAGTATGGCTCCTCCACACTGTGTGAGTTTGCTCCGCTATGGCCGCCTTCAGAGGGGTCAACCACATTTAATGGCTTGTCACATTAGCTACTTATTTTATTGGTCAGTGATTTTTTTCTCTACAGATGCTCTGAATGCTCCCTCAGTGTCAGCAAGTCCTCCTGGTGAAATAACAGAGGGCAGCTCGGTCACTTTGAACTGTAGCAGTGATGCTAACATTAAAGCTACATACACCTGGTACAAGAGGAACCAAGCACTGTCCTGTGAAAAACCACAGCTTATTTTCACTTCCATCCAGTCCTCTGACTCTGGAGAGTACCACTGTGCAGCTGAGAACGAGCTGGGGAGGAGAGCGTCCAAACCCATCTCTGTTGATGTCAAATGTGAGTGAAAGACTCTTAAATGGCTGAAAATATTTATCTATGATTTGGGAAAACTGTCTTGTGGTCTGACAAATCAGAATTTGGCTTTCTCTTTGGAAATCATGGATGCACCCCC